GGGCCGGGTTCTCCAACCCAGTACTGGGCCCGGGTCGGGATTTCTGGCCCAGTGCTGGGCCCGGGCCCCTAGCTGGGTTCATAAACAATGCAAACATGTCAAGACTCGTGACTACATAACTTGTGCAGTTTTTGGCTGTATTTTTGGGTATTTGACTTGTAAGCAAGGCCTCTTTCTATAATCACTGTTTAATTTAATTGTACGTTTAATAGATTCCTAAGGCTACAGGGCTACAATTCTGACGGCCGTCAGAAAATAGGGTCATTAAGCTATATTGCTAGTTTTTTTGACGGCCGTCAGAATATAGGGTTATTTCGAGGCTTTTTTGAAGATCTATGAATTGGAGAGCTTTAATCGATTAACCAACTAATAGTACTCGAATATATCATTATCGCAATTCTTTCGCTTCCGTCCTGACGCACGTACTTGGGTGTTATTCACTGGCAATGGCACCTAGGGTTCACGTACAGTCGGCCCTTCAAATGCAGTCAATAAAGCTTTATCTAGCTCTGTCTCCTTATCAATTGAAGTCTCCTGTTCCTCGGTATCACTGATTGGCTCGATCTCAATGTCGTCGAGGTTATCATCCTTCTCTTCCTTTGCTGCTTCTAGCTCATCATAAGAGAAGAACTTCTCAAGAAGTCTCGCCTCTTGTTCTTCTATGTCAAACCTTGAGGTGCAAAGAAACATCATTAAATCCTCGATTGTATAAGACTTTATTCTTCCTCGACGGTAATGGCAGATATCCCGAGCAGTATTAAACAGCCGTTCAACGCCTGCCCCGGTTGCAGGGAAAGAGAGGATATCACGCGCAAGAGCAGCAATTGCTAGGAATCGCGCTTGGTTCTCTCGCTAGAACGTAAGAGGAGCAATTTGAATAGGATCTAATCCGAAGTTAGTTAGAATTCTGAAAGGCTTAGCTTAAACGTACCACTATCAAGATAACGAGTTATTTCATTAGTAGCTATGCTTCCCTAGGCATTGCTCCTATCTAGCATCGTATCAAGCTTCGATCCTAGCCGAGCTATCATTTGAGAGCTATCTAGTGACTGATTAAGGGCTGAAAGCTGTTCTTGATATAGAATTAGAGCTTCCTGGAAGGATGAGCGGTACGTGTCACGCCATTTCTGATCCTAGTCATTGGTAAGAAAGAACTTAAACTTGTTCACGAGCGCTAGCATTGTGCCGATTGCATAGATATATCCTCGAATATTATCGGTTTGGGAGTAGTACTTATTAAGCTTTAACCGACCAGCTTCAAGTGCGTGAAGCATCTATTTCTTCTATAGCATAGGCTTACGTCGTAGCTGCTTTATTGAACACTCAAGATGCTCAAAGAGTTTATTGTAGATCTTGAAGACGTAATACGTAGTAATATCTCGAGTCTTCGATAGCTAAGTTGTGTAGGCGAAAAATGGCTTAGTGATACAAAGAAGATAGTCAACTTGACGCCACTCGTCCTTATAGAGTAGCATCTCTTCGCAATCATACTCTGCACAAAATAGCGCAAAGATCGGACGTAGACGCTTTGCCCGACGTAGTATTAGAAAGGTTGAATTCCACCGAGTCCTTATATCTTAGATCGGTACTAGCTTCACGGTGCTTGTCTGGAGATTGTAAAATGTCTCCCGGCGCTAAGGGCTTGCGTTCACATAGATAGCAAGATAGCGGACCTTGTTCAATGTAAAGGATATCTCACGATTCCGATGCTGCGCATTTAAATAAGCTAATCTTGATTGCTTCTCTGTCTATTTTGTCTTAGTTAAGTCATTCAGTGGAACTGCTTTAATGCGATCAAGGAGCTGGTTTAGACTGAGTTAGATAACGTGAGCAAGGCATAGGATTCGAACAATGATAACACTATCTGATAGACCCTATTGGAGGGAATCAAATAATGTCTTATTGTTTGAAGCATTGTCCGTTGTTAACCCAAACACTCGGGCTTCAAGGTTATGCTCGATTAGAGTTTGAAGAAGAACATTGCTTAGATTCGCGCCTGTATGCGCACCGTAGAGAGGTTTGAACCTAAGTAGTACCTTACGATATACCCAATCAATATCTACAAAGTAGCCTGTGATTGCTATAAACGCCTGTGAGAATGGAGATGTCTAGCAATCAAGTGCAATTGAGATTTTCGAACCAATAGGCAGTGTTCGGAGCATCCGCTCTTGCCGATCTTTAACAATGCTCCCTAGTCGGCGACGAATTGTATTAGTAGATGGGATGATCGGAGGTGACGGAGCGGTACGAGCCCGAGAAATAAGACGCTGAAATGCTGGATGCTCAATAAGATGAAGTGGAAGCCGATTGAGTGTGATAAATTGTAGGATGTCTTCTTCCTAGGCTGCTTGCGAGAACGGTATTTCGATATCTTCCTAAGTTTAGTATTACTATTAGTAAATGAAATCGAATAAAAGGGTTACTCCGAACGTACTGCTTGCTTTAGAAATTTGGTAATCTGTGATTTCTTTGTATGTCCGCTCTTTAAATAAGCCGCTGTCTTGAGATGTCTCTGCATTGTCGATATGCCATGATATTGTATTTTACCTGTGGCCTTCGTATTGACTGTATTAGGGTGCTCAAGAATATTTCCACAACGTTGGCATATAACCTTTGGTGCACTATCTATACTATGAGCAACCTGATTGTAGTGGCTCCAAATCTCCGAATGGCGCGTTAAGTCCTAGACAATCTTGCTCTTCCTCCCAAAGTCGGTTTGTAGCCACTATTCTACCCATTCGTTATAGGTTATTTTATCGTAGAGAATAAACGCCTTCCTTCGGTCGGGTCTAACGCGTTGTAAGGAGGATAGGAGTATTGGCGGAATTGTCGGTCGGAGGAAGTCAGTGTCAAAGGGATCGATCGTATGCTGGCTGCTAGAGGGAGTCGCTAGGTGGTTTGATAGCGCAAGATAGCTGATATTATCTATATCGCCATCATAAAGAGAGGACGCGAAGTCAGACTGCTGGCTTTGTGACATGATAAATTGAACAAGTGTAAAGTAAGTGATAGAGGGGGAATAGAGGACTTACGGAGCAATAATATCTAATGACGGTGTGTAAATAAAGCAAACGCGATAGATCAATTTAGAAGAGGACCTTAAAACGTATCCGCGTGGTTTATTGGTTATATTACTCCACCTCCGTATCTATCTAGCCCAATAACCTAGTAAGAACCCAGAAAGCCTAGCAAGAACCTAGCAAAACCCCAGAAAGCCTAGCCAAAACCTAGAAAACCTAGCAAACCCCTAGTAAAAACCTAGCAAAAACCCAGAAAGCCTAATTCCCACCCTAGCTTCCACCTAAGATCGTCAAAAAGTTTTATCCTGCCTTACCTATCCGGGTTTATACAAGTACTTAAAAAGACCTGCAATCTATATAATCTTACTAGCTACTAGTCGAATATAGTGGAATAATAAAGAATATAATTAGTATATATGATATATAAGATTTAAAGTAACAATACCCGAATTCCATAGTGGTTTTTTCAAGCATTTATGGGTATGCAAACACTGTATATTGTGAAATATATATCCGCACACTATATATATTTACACCATGATTTCTGACGGCCGTCAGAAAACCTGTAGTGTCGCCTATAGAACTCATCTACGTATATCTAACATGAGGTCAATAAAAAGGTCATAAGTCAAACACTGTGAAAACCATAGCAAAGTCTGACCTTTCTGAGCCTAAAGAACCATAACTACTTATTTAAAATTGATTCTACGCGTTTATAGCTTTGAACACACTCTAGTTATACTAGAAAAGTATGGTGGTTCAAGGTATAGATCAAAACCGATGTAAAAAACAGTGAGTTATCTTGATGACTGAGCAGTTTTATGATTGAAATAATGCAAAAGTTGGGCCGAGTTGGGTCCAAACTGGGTTTACTGGGGGCCCAGTGCTGGGCCCGGGTTGGGCCCGGGTTAATGAAGTTCAACCCGGGCCCAGGCTGGGTTGGGTTCTGGGCCGGAACCTTGGGCCCAAAATGGGCTTTGCGGAAGTCTATGTCAGACTGCCATCGTGCCATCCCCATTTCAATGGTTTTTTTTTCCTGCCGCGTTATCTGCTTCCTACGGCAGACGATAGCGGCTATTGGCAAAACCGCCCCCCATGATCCAATAATATGTCGTTATCTGTACCCACATGTTTTAACCGCCAGCCTGACCGCTCAAACCCCGATCTACCATCAGCGAAATAACGTTGGGATGGATAAGTCGGGTCCTGTGTGAGGTATGCCCATGCCTTGGGTATCAAAGTATATCCTATAAATGGCTATAAGAGTAGGGGAACGATAGGTATTCTCCTTCCAAAACACTAAAGGCGGTATATCTATAGTGGCTTATATATACTCTTTGTCCATTGAAGTCTGTTTCTAACGTATCGCGCGCAAGCAGCTCTTTCCAGGAAATTGCTGGATTCTCTGCATTCCCAACGTGGACTGTCCTTTGAGCATCAACTATCTTTTGTCAAACTCACCGCGCTCTAGACGACATCTGACATATTGCTATTCCAATATACTAACTATGGTGGTTATGTCTTTATCAGGTCTCAATTCAGCAGGCGCTTTCTCTGGCGTTGTTCGTGTCCAATTGGCAGCGGAGCATAGATGATCGCATGAGCTCTAGTACAACGCCTCACGAAGAGCAATGGCCATCTCGTTGATCGCAGTAGTGAATTTTGATCTACGGGAGATTGGGGCTTTAGGGAGACTGGCTCGAGTATACCTTCGTAGCTACTGACGAGAGTTTACTCCGGGAGCCATCGCAATAAAATGGATTATCTCGACTAATTTCTTGGCTTGGAGTCCTGTAATAGTAAAAGGTCGCAGTTCACTTGCACTGAATCGGCACATATGGTCAATTAAGCCACTGTTATGCCAAGCCATTCTTTTCTCGGTAAATACGATCTAAAGCAAGAACAAAGACGAACGTACTACAAAAAGTAGGTCAATATTCCAAACACAAGCTCATTGGCGCCCCAATGTGAACGTAATCCCTAAGCCTTGGTGGCGTGCTCGGTAACGGCGAAGCTGTAGGAAGGCTTCATGTCGTCCTTGACAGGGTAGTAGTTGGCACCCTTAAGACGCATGTCACGGGCGTAGTACTCAAAATTCAAGGCGTTGTAGTTGATGTCAAGAGTCACAAAGCCGTTGGCGGCCTGGTTGGCGTCGGCACCGAGCCACTTGGCGTAGGGGCCGATAGGGACACCGTAGTTGCAGTCGCCGGCCTCGGCATAACCTGCGCCACCGGTGAGAACAAAGTCAGTGCCTTCGTACTGGTAATGAGCCATGCAATGATCATGACCGTTGACGACGACGCCATTGTTCTCGCGAACAATATCTATCAGGGGGGCCAGCTCAGTGTAGTTGGAAGAGGAGGAGATGTAACCGTGGTGAATCTGCAGGATCTTCCAGGTAGCGTCGGACTTAGCAAAAGACTCGCGCAAGAAGTCCACCTGCTTCTGGGTGTCCTTGTGGCAGGCGATCACATAGTCGGTGTTGTAGACGGAGGTGTCTTTCTGGTATTTTTCGATAAAGCAATCAGAGTCCACGACTACGAAGGTTGCAGTCCAGTTGGAGCCGGTCAGGTCGTAGGTGTAGTAGGGCAGATGCTCGTGTCCAAAATACCAACGATCATCGATCAAGGGAGCAATACGGGTTTGGAAGTCAACGCCGGCCTGGCCAGCGACGATGTCGTGGTTACCGAGAGCCTGGTACCAGGTCTTGTTGTCGAAGGCCTCGCCGACGTACATGTCAGCCCAGCCCTCGTAGAAGCGCTGGATACCCTCCGATGTGAAGTCGACACCGCTATCGTAGAAAGAGTCGCCGACGGAGATGAAGGCAGAGCAGTTCTTCTTGAGACAGACCTTCTCGATGTAGTGAGCCGTGCGGGCTATCACAGACGTTAGTATAGATGCACTGTTCCCTTTCCAAATTTTCTCCCTTTCCCTGGTTTTGAGGGGTCCTATAAGATATATGACTTACTCTCCTCAATGGTGGCATTGAAGATAGCCTGACGGTCACCGGCGTCGCAGTCATTCTGAAGCTGTCGGGGAATCTGCACGCCGTCAGCCTCCAGCTTCGACAAGGCGTTATTGCAGAAATCCAAAGGCAGAGGCTGCCAACCAGTCCAGCCGTAGTCTTGAATCCGTTAGTATTCTTGTTCAAGGATTTGATGTCCCAATTTTTAAAATAGCGAGTACTTACCACCGAGGATGCCCACGGTGAGGGTCTCAGCACCTTTGGGTACAACGATAGAGTTCGGGGCGGCAGCAGCACCCAGGGTCAGACCCAAAGTCAGGGCAACACGAGACATAAAAGGCATCTTGAATATGAGAAAAATAACAGACGAGATAGTTGAGTGCTCATATTTCTGCTGATCCCTTAGCTACTCGCCCATTATAAGGTGAATTTAGGGTCAGGCAGTCAGGAGACACGGAAAGTCACCCCGACAGGCTTCCAGAATCCAACCATAATATCGCAACGTGTCACGTTCTTGGTTCTTAATTCCTGATTTTTGTCGTGGACGGTAGACTCTGGATGCCATAAGCAAAAGCCTGAGTTCGCTTCTAAAAAGCTTCGCTGGTGCTGGAGCCAATGAGGGATCAAGATTTGCCGTTGAAACCGGGAAGTTCTGGGGCAGACTATCCATTTTGAGAGGTGCTCGGACAATACAATCTCCACCAGCGATGCTAGTCGTTCTATCGGAGACGAAGAGAATGAAGCCACGGCACTCGTTGACGGGAAATTGCTCGAACCCGAGATGCCAATGAAGCTTAGCATACCAAACCACGGGCATCAAGGCTTCCTTGACTGTCGGGTCTAATGAGATTAGTCACTTAGGCGACTCATAGGGTGGAGTTTGCACCAGTAAACAAGCTTGTCGTAGACTGCTATTTTCGCAGAGACCATTCAAATCCGCGGATCAGGAGCACGCGGTGAACCATGAATTAAACAGCCAATTAACAATGGCAAACGTCGACTCCTGTTGACTAAGCAGGATCCAGGAGCTAGGAAACTTACCGACAAAAGAGGGTCGCAATTTTACTAGCGCGCCCGAGGAATATTCAGCATCCATACTCGTAACTAAGCACAACCCTCATTTACTCTACATTTTCCATATTATATAAAATCCACTTTCTCAAATACTTATTGGCTATGCCCGTAGTCCGTACTATGACGACCACGTTCCGACAAAACCTCCTATCATTGGAAGGAAAGGTAGATTGAACTCCCTCAAGGTAACCCGGGAAAGTGAGTACCTCCGCGATAAAGAAATTGGTACATAGAGGTGATGTTGACACAAATGTGTGTTAATATATCTTATCGTACAGTACGGGTGAGGTGGTAGAAAAATCTCCGCGCTACAACTGTGAGACGCTAGTAAATCCCATTTACCGCCCGGCTATTAATTAGCGCTGGCAGCCAATTTTCGGGCCAAGCCTCTCGTCAGACAGATGGCGGACCCACCCATGGGGCCTCCCGAGCCTCTAACCACACTAACGCACGAATAGGCGCGATACACCGGGAGACGCTGAACCCAAGACCAGAGTCCGGACCAGAAGACAAGCACGAGTGGAAAGCGAGCAGACCCATGCGGCCCCGCAACGCGTGGAGCCGACCAAAACGGGGACCAGCAGCGGACGAGCGACAACGAAAGAGATTCGGCAGACCATTGAGCACTTGCAACGCATCTTTGAAGAGCAAACCACACTCATCCACGGCACCCAGGCCAGACTGAGAGAAGTGAAAAATAACCAGAATAAACTGCAAACCCATAATGAGAAGCTGCAAGAGGAGGTTCTAGCGCTACGGTCGCAGGTAGACGGACTGAACGCACCAGTAGATGAGAATTAATAAGCAGGGGTAATAATTCATACGCAGAGTCGACCCGCACTCAGATCCACAGTGCAGACTAATGCTCCAGCAGGTCACGTGATTGGACAGCACTCACAGCCCGAGCGAAGCAAGGGCAGAAAGCTTGTATACGTAAACCAGACTCAGCCATCCTGCTCTGTCCGGATCACGAGGTATTAGCCTCTTGAAACAGGTTAACCAAAAGCAAGCCTAGTACTGTAGCAGCCACTACCGACGAGAGTAGAGGATGCAGTACATTCCGCTGTGATCCTCACCCTTCAACTCTTCTTTGAAATTACCTGTAAGTATCCAGTGAGGAACTCATCTCTACCACCCATTCCTGGACAAGCAGAACCACTCAGGCTTCTCCGAACAGCAATTTCTATCTACTCATCATCGCGGATATCGATGACCGTCTGCTTCCATTTGCGAGCCGGGACATGACGCCGGAACAGAATGTCGATCTCACGGAAGGACCTGTGCTTCATCTCTGGAACCCAGATCCAAGACATGACGGTGCAGAAAAAGGCGGTCCCAGCCCAGACGTAGCCGCTCTTGCCACCCAGGTTCCACTTTTCAGTGTTGAGCATGTAGCTGGCAAGGAAGATGCAAGGAATATTGACCAGATAATAGGCACCTCGTCCAATACCGGTTGTCAGTGGCCTAAGACGAACGGAAGATGTCTCGCCGATGATGACCCATGAGGCAGGAGCGGGTCCCAAGCAGAATAGGACGGAGACGATCAAGCCAAGCGATGCTTGCGCATTGCTAGCCGCCTTACTTGCGCCACATGAAGCCGCAATACCGAGCGCAACCAAGAATGCGCAGTTGATGAATTGACCATAGACATAGAGGGTGCGTCGGCCGAGGTATGTGGTGAGGACCCAAGAGAGCATGACCATTATCCACTGGAGGGCAGAAGTGATGAGACCAAGTGCAAATGCGGTGTTGTCTGCCATGCCGGCCTCTGAGCTGGTGTTAGTCTGTTATGGGGTTGCAGGAAATGGCTCGACTCACGTTTGAAAAAGTAAACCGCTTGGTTAGCAATCAGATTGCCCGTCAGATTCTGAGATGCGTACACACCGCACACAATCAATGTGCGGTAGCGATCGGTACCTTTCCACAGTTCAGTGAGACTAGGCTTCTTCTCAGTCTTTTCGAGTTCGATCGTGCGACGCATCATTGCGACTGCGTCAGCGGGGTTATCATTTGCACTCGCGCGTCCAAGGCGTTTGACAGCCTTCTCTGCCTCAGCCAGACGCCCCTTTCGTACAAGCCACCAGGGCGACTCAGGCGCAAGGAAGAGTAGGATAGCGAGGGGGGTAGGAAAAATCCACTGAAGTGCAATGGGAACTCTGGGATGACTGTTAGTACAGTGCTCCTCGATGGCATCTATGGGAGCGGACGTACCTGTACGCTGAGGAGTCAGGCTTGGATTGGTAGTGGTAAGTGATACCGCCGACTATGATCGACCCAATCGCCCAGAACATCTGCAACATCTGCGTCGCTGGAGCTCTCAATCTCATTGGCACAATTTCGGCACAGTAGGCGGGTGCATTGGCAATGAAAATGCCCCACGGGATGCCTTCCAGGATCTGGGACGCGAAAAACATCCCCTGGCTGTTGCCGAAATAGAAGATGAAGATGAAGCCGTTCAAGAACATGAGACCGCCAATGGTTGCCCATCGATATCCAATCCAACTGGTGATGGGACCTGCGACGAATACACCGATGAAGGCACCGATTGGCCCGCTACACTGGAATGCTGACTGCCATGAAGCTTCGATAATCCACTCTTTATTTTTTTCGCTGTATACACCAAAATGCTCGGCGAATTGAGCTGTGGCTATGAACTGTCCCATTAAGAAAACACAATATGACTCCATGATCTATGGCAACGTTAGAGAAATGATCTGTCTATCAGGGGCAAGAGCTTACAATGGTGCATGACATCACGAATGCCCACCAGCTGGCAGCGGGATAAGCCTTGACAGCCTGGAGCACAGTCATATTATGTTCGGCCTCCTCGGCCTCAATGGCGCCCGCTCTGTCGTAGTCGACCTTCTCGCCGACATCGTAAAGAGGCCCGCCTATGGAAGTGGGCTGCGCCTCGACCTCCGACGCTGAGGTCTGTTTCTCTGTGATGTCACTATTCATGTTGACGATTTCTGAAAGAAACGGGTGAATGAAAGAGAGGCAGGCACGACTGGGGGTTTCAGATCTTTATACCTGCGACAACATGCTTGTGATGGTGATCCCGATCTTAGCTCGATTGGGTGGAGCTTGCTCCGGACCTTGACCTCCTCAACCCAACATCTCCACTCATAAAGGTCATTTTTCCGGGCACTACGGTAGCTGCGTCGCTTGATTATGGTGGGCTCTTGTCGAGCGAAGTAACCTGATAGGTACTAGCCGGGAGAAAACGTACTGGTTCCTTTGCGGGGTCTGCTGAAGTGGCAATTTGGTGGTAGGGTGTGGTGGTCTGCGTCTAGATGTGGCGTTCCATTCGCCGGAGAATTTCCTAATTTGGGTCGTAGGGGAGAGTTCAGAATCCTCCCTCCTTCAGCTAGTGCGAGGCTTGCCTGTGCGCCGTCCCAGGTTTTTCTTGTTGTGCACTCTGAAATCCGAACCTCCTGATACCCTACCAGGGTGGTTCAATTCTGTTGAGCCTATCATAATGAGCAAGTAAATTTAACCGAGGAGCTGGGAGAGAATAAGCGCTAATTATTAGTTAGCGCTGTGCTTGACTCCGGGTTTCGAGTACCATGGGCAAATCTTCAGTAAACGTGACCCATTCAGAATGTCTTCGAACGCTGGCCTACGAACATGAAGTCGGATGCTTATGATGCTTGATCTCTCTATCGCTGTAGAATACCATGCTCAGTGGGGGACAATTGGACGTGCAGGGTCCAAGATAAATATTATCGATCCTTAAAGAACCTGATGAATCCGAGAGTCAGACACGGCTCGGTGTTATCTCATCCGCGCGCTATGGGCTCAGCCAGTATTACCCCGGACGGTCATTACCCCGCGCCATGACCCCGGACGGACCCCGAATCTCCTCCAATGGAGAAAAGAAGAAATACCGAAATTGGATACTACAAAATATGAAATTAAATGAGAAGGGGCAGTACGGTATGTGTGTGTAGTTCATTTACCCTGACCCCTCGTCGAAGTTGAGACCTTGGATTGAGGTCCAAGTGTGATAGTCATTCTCTGACTATGCGAGTAGGCGCGGTAGCTGCCCTCTGCCCAGAGTGGTGATGCAGCAGCCTAATAGGCTGCCACTACGGAGTACTGTAGATCAGCCCATCTACTCATCTTCCCCAAGATCTATCAACTTCCCAAGTTTTCAGCTAACTAGCTTTTCATCAGACTTCCGTATGACCTAAGTTGGGTCGAAGGTCTCGACCCAAAACCCAACCCGGACCCAATACTGGGGCCCCAGTAAAACCCAATCTGGACCCAACTCGACCAAACTTTTGCGTACTTTTGATCTTAAAGCTGCTTGGTCATTAAAATAATATACTATTTCTTACTTCTGTTTTGGTTCATACCTTGAACCACTATACTTTCCTAGCATGGGCCCTTGGAAAAACGAGAAATATGTCTGCAATCTAAAACGGTAGTTCTTCCTTGTAGTTAATTACTTATTCAAACTTTAAGTTTAGGGTGAGAAAGTAGTGTTTTGGGGAGATTATATAGTTAGTCTTAATATTTGGGATAGGTAAGTTTGAAATGGACCTTGACCTTTCCCATGGGATGCCTCCCATGGGTAGACATCGCCAAAGCCCACGCCAACCCGAGCCCAACCCCACCCAACCCGCAAACGGGTTGGGCTTTGGGCCCAGTTTTTGAGCCCACGATGGGCTGTAGCTTTGCTTATGGGCGCGCGGGCCCACTGCGGGCCCCCTGTCATGACCACTGACTAACCAGTGAAAACTGGCCTGAGGCGTGAGTGCATGCCATCCACCGATGTATATACTCTACAACTCCATGCATTAAAATTTGCTAATCTCCCCCATAGGCTTTCAGTTTAGTCGCACACTTCAACTCCAAGAACAGTCAGACATCTCTGTGGCCAATAACTTAGCGAGATGGCGTCCAGTCCATTATAAAGCCTCCCATATTGGCTCCTCATGCAGAGCTACTATGCGACGCATGGAATAAGTTTATGCCACAACATGCCAGCGATTACATACCTCCGATTGTGAAACAAGCCGGGGCTACTGACAAATTAAACAGTTGTGGTACTCTTCATTTTTCCCCTCAGATTTACTGAGTATATAGCATCACCATCATGCTAAATTAGCGATTATCGCAGAAGGGCGTATACCAATTGGGGCCTTTTGAATTTGCAGTGACTTCCAAAAATCGGTGTCACCATCTACACTCTTCGGTTGTCTTTCGAGATCTAGTGGAAACCTCTTAGTCTATATTGGGATTGTTTCAAATGAATCATGTCCCCGAGACTGATCCATACAGTAAGCTAATAAAAAGTTTCAAGGCGTCAATTTGGTAGTTTCTAGGTGGAGAAGTCCATGCCGAAACCCGTAAAACCGCTTAGTTGGATGTTTGGCCAACTTTCAAATCTGGAAGGGGCTATATGTCACTCGCATTACACAATCCCAATTCTCTCACTCGCTTGCTGGCGTTCCGTGTAGAAAGACAATGGTAAACTACTTGAGGAATGTTCATAAAAGCTTCACAACGCCGTCTCTGCTTTAAGTTTCGTCATTTAATTTCGCTTATAAATTCTGGCCATAACAGAGGCGACTGCGAGGCCTACAGTGAGGGATACAATGATTATGATTCCTATACAGTGAATCTGAACAATGACTTGACCAGTATAGATATAACGCTGGGGAACGAAGGAGAAAACATATAGACGGTGTATATAAAACGGGTTGGGTTACATCCTTGGGACCAGCCCATGTTTATCCAGCGATGTGGCATGTGTTAGAAATACAATGTTGCTCTAACATTTCCAACCCTTTCAGCGCCTGTGGCACTTAGATAAACACCATCATTCCTCCGAATCCAATATTCAAAGGCAATAGGGAAACCAATCTCATCGTGCACTTCTCATTAAACAGGCTCTCGCTAGCTATGGGAATGTAATAAGTCTTCAATACCAACAACTGCTTGTGATACCCTTGTGAGTAACATTAGATTTTTTGTCATAAGTTGCTCCTCAGCTTAAGAAAGGCTAAGAGGCGGCAGATCATACACTCTTGTGGGAGGAACTGTCGAGGTCGAAGGCAATCTGTCAATATATTGATTTTCCACCAACGGGGATCGCAGCAACGCAAACCAAGTTTTGCAACCGTCCATTGACTGGTACCGGCCTAGCTCTGTAGCTACCTCTGTTACTAGCGCAGGAGACAGTAGATCCCCTCAAAGCATCATGGATGCTAGAACTCTAGGTTCATCTCCATTAAATGGGAAACAGAGAGCAGTCGAATCCTCGATTCTCCCACGAAAACTGGGGACTCAAGAGGTGAATTGGAAAAGCATTTCAAAAGCTGTAGAAATCAGCACAAAGATTATAAACAACACCATTCAATATCTACAGGCGATATTTGATTATATCTCATCTTTCGACATAATTTGCTCTAGGGGAATGGGCCATGATGCAACTCACCACATAATTGCTACTTAAGTATATACAAAGGTCTTACCGCGAGCAACGGAATGAAATCACATGCTGTTTCCGATTTCCTTTCTGCACAGACACTAGGAATACATGGGCCGGATTTAACCTGCCGCGGATGAGGAGCGGCTGTATGATTGAGAAATTCCTCCTTCTTCTTAGCTAAACTTTGTAGCATGACTAGCCATTGCAACAAGTTGAACATGGCCATGTAGGTCTCAAATGCAGAATTATCATATATTGAAGCAGCTTTGGGACTTCCTCCCAAGCGCTGAAGCAAAGCAACAGATATAGTATGGACAAAATATTAAGGTTCAATCGATTGAATATGACTAGGTGCTTGGAAGCGCCGTCGACCTCGAGCACCTCCTGGACAGCCAAGCTCGGAAGACGAAGGAGTTGTCACGAGAGGGAAAGAATCGCAACGGGGGCCTCAAATTAGCAATTGTCTTCCAAGCTCTTCGCCTGGAGAGTCCACGAGTGACCTGCATTGAGATTACGGCAGATAGAAATCGAGGGAGAGCGGCAGTTCTAGGTTCAATAATTGCGGCGGAATTTCTCTAGGCAGCGTATGTTCCTCTCAGAGAAGGGCAAACAAGGGGGAGGTAGGAAAAGCAAGCTCAGCAACAGGCACGGCTGGTATGCGAGCAAAATTAGCACGGTACGGACTAATTTGAGCTGCATGGTCGGTAGCTTCGGTAACACTTGTGGATTGTCGCCGTTGCCGATACTGTCGTTGAATCGTGCGAGCCTTGCGCCTCTGCTCCGCGGTCCATTGTATTTAGGGATGAGAAGCACAGGATCCACCCTCACAAAACAAAATCCAGAGGGTAAATGTAGGAGCAGCAGTGTATAAGTTCAGCTTGGACTAATCAAGGATACTAGGTTAAATAGATCAAAGAACAATCTCTGACCAAATTAATTTAAGCTAATAACAAGCAAAAGTGTTTAACTTGGCACCATTCCAAAAGCGGTTTACCTGTCGCCCGAAACCTTACCTTCAAAAAGTCCCTAACTTCGGTACCTTCGTTTGGCCCACCCAGAGATTTGGAGACGTTTCAACTGCGAATTCCGACTGCGCAGGCCTTTTCTGATTTCCGTACATGAGGTCAATTCACTGTGACCCCCTGATGTGTCTCTAGTTCTAGGCTCTAGCTCTAGTCATAAATTGCCCGTTAGATATGATCAAATGATTAGATTTAAACTCCTAGCGGCACCATAATCAGTACATTTCTTCCTCTTCATTGTCACTATAGTCACTAAAGTCGTCCGCTTTCCCAAGAGATAACACCATCTCTCTCCCACTATCACATCGCTTTTTCCAAATCATATTCTTGCCATCATCGCTCTGCGAATAGTGATTGGCACTTCCGTCTGAAACCTTCCGCTGCAAATCACGGAAGAAAGTCTCCGGAAGCGCAACCTCGACTTCAAGATCCTTGCGCATTCGCGAAGCAATCTCATCGATGGAACTGATAATTCTTTCTATCACGGCAGGATCTCGATCTTCACGGGCCTCGCTAGAGTGCAGAACCCCGAGGGAGATGTATGAATGACGCAGCGATGGAAAGCGGTTTTTCAAATTGAACCCAATTCTTTCAAGTCTCCGGTACGCCCAGTGTCGCGTCGCAAACTCCATAGCCCACTCAGGTAGGTTGAACAATTTCCCATCCATCATAACTTCTAGAGCTGGTATGTGAATCAGATGTTTTGCTGGCAGTACCACGTCTATATTCTCCAATAAATCTTCGTCATCGAGGAAAAAAATGTTGGTGGAGTAGAGAATGTGGGTACCCTCCATGTGTCTGGGCATTCGTTAAACCGAGAAGGGGGTGCTGTCAGTGGTTGTCAAGGACTTACCCAAGCCGAGAACTACAGAGCCAACCGATCACACCGAGCTGACCTGATCGGGGATGTGTGTCCTGAAGTGCAAGCCTGCAGTCGTCGTTGACTGGTTTTCGATTCGGGGGACGATCGCAAACACGACCGAACCATTCAAATCGATCGGGATTTCGTATAACATCCCCAACCAAAGCGTTTGCACTTCTTGCCCCGCCGGCAAGATGTAGATGAACTCTGCAGTCTCCAAATGCCTGACGGAGGATGCGCAGTCGTAATTCTGGAGGGAGGAGATAAAAAGGACTCTCTGCGACTGCTTCATAGAGATTCTCAGTTGAGAAGTCGCTTGGCTTGTGTTTGTGAAGTCTTTCCCAAAGCCATTTGCGGTCTCTTGGGCCGATGTTGTTGCCAAAGCGATAGTCGTCGGGGCTGGCCATGTTCCTAAAGAAACACCTGGAAGTTCTTCGTTAAGAAGCTTAATAAATCTCCTGGGAAATTTTCACGTCCGCGATCGCGTGGATGAAATCTCAACTTCCCGGCGCGGGAGTGTGTTCCACAGTGGGTCAAGGTTTGGGGCAACAAAACGCCGTGTTGGCCAGACTATACCCTATTGAAGGTTCAAGAGACACACGAAAGGCCTTCGAGCCGACAGGCAGCACATTTGAAAAAGTCAATTACTGATTCTGATGCATGGCTACTGTAAACAACTGATATCGATAAGATGGAAGAATAATGAATATATATCCAATGTCTATAGCCTAAGCTAGCTACATATTCAAACATTCGTGGTAGTGAGAATGTCATTTTAGTCCAGTATCAGTTCGTCACATATAGGACAATGGGACAGGCGCAAGTATCATGATTTCCGGGGGAAAAAGTGGTAAACGTAGGTGGTCAAACGGCCGATCAAGCTATAAACGCGGCGCCAAATTGCTCGCTATCCACGTACATTTTGTTTCGCATCGAGCTGGGCCTCTCAATCAACAAGCATCCGTCGTATGCCGAAATATTTATCTCTCTTCTCCCCTTTCCGTCTAGTGGATAGAGAAGTGAAAACCTCTAATATGTAGTTGAGAGAGACCCTCAGCGTGAGTCTCTTTCCACGACAGAACTGACTCAGCCACATCCGGAGCTGTTCCCAATAAGAGCCTAAATAATGTCGGGTTTGTTGAAGTGCTTGGTCAGATCACGCTCAGAACGATCATTGACTAACACAACAATCACTATGTTCATCGACCCTAACTCTCTTGTTAAGGGAGACTTTCTCTCGAAGGAGAATTTGAAGTTTCTGTTTTAGGAAAAACTGCCAGCTGACGGTCGGTGCTAATACTAGGCCTTCTTCGGTATCTTTGATCACAGCCTTGTTGTTAAGGGTGACTTGCCAACCTATAAAATAGTGGGTACGGCTTAGCGCATCCTTGTCGTAGATCTTGTCTTCTTCTTATTCAGGTTCCTGCAGCAGAGGTACAGTATTTGGTCGAGGCTGGCGTACGACGTTGAGCTCATCGTCAAGCAGGGTAGATGGGTAAGTACTACAGTTGGACTGTGTAGCATCAGTTTTCTTGTCTTTTTGAATAGGCCTTGAACGGGTTTGAAAATGTCTTGCTAGGGTATATCGTTTAAAGCTATTATATTTACTCGGCTAGTGGACTAGAGCCTGTTCAATTTGTTCGAGCTGTTAGGAAAGGTACATTCCCTGTCTTCATCCACAAAATGACTTAATACTTGGGGGCCAACATCGCAACGAAAATTCTAACCGTCGTCGTGAGCATCTTTTATATGGCTCCTTTTGTTCTTGAGTAGTACGGAAAGTGATATTGACAGTGAAGTAGGTGTGCTAATGAGAGATGGAAAGTGACCGACCAAATGGGTATGAAAATTGATGAGCCTGGGAATGAGTGAAGAACTGAAGGTAGGATGAGCCCAAATCCACGCCTTTCATGATTTGCATTTGCACCATCACTCACCTTGATGCTCACTCACGTTTATAGGCACCCCGATATGTGAGCGTTGTTGGGTCACAGGTGAAGCTCAGAGGTTGAAGGGTAGAGGTGTGATCACGAGTCAACGCTATGGAGCAATAATCTAGAACTTGTAAAGATATCGTGTCAATGCTTTGATGAACGCCACTACACTGGATGGAATAATTTTCACATGATTGAAATTTTCTCACAAATCAAACTGCTATGTAATCGTTGTTCGAAAGAAAAAAAGCAGTACGCCTCAATCGAAGAATCATATCTCAAGAGATTTCCATGGAGATCGATACTGCAGTACTGCTATCTGTATCTTTTTCAACCCTATAGACACTGCGAGTAGTAGTCATTCTGCTTCTGGCAGGTGTAAGGGCTGGAACAGGACGTAGCTCCGTTCCATCCAATGCCACCACATTGAGAATAGTGCTGAGCTACCGCTGTCGATCCAGACGCTGTTGTAGTGGCTGTAGTCTTAGTAGTTGTCGTACTTGTAGCTTTGGTTGCTGTGGCCGTAATAGTAGCAGTGGCAGTGGTTGTAGAAATCCCACCGGCTGAGCCTGGGAAGTACTTCTTGAGAAGGTCCATGTAATAGACATAAGCAGTTCCTGAAGGAGGCTCAAAACTATAAATATAGTTTCCCCACCAAGGGCCAGCAGCCCACCAAGTTGCACCGAGCCAAACGTCACTGTTTGCTTGCAGGTATTCGAGCATTCCAGTCACGGCACTTTGACAGACGGAATTAGCGCCTCCCGCAAACTCTCCAAGGAATGCCTTTTTTCCATTGTCTTTGAGCCATTTCGTCGCGGCGACAACACGCTCTTGGCCAATAGTTGAGCTAACACAAGTTTCTGAGGTGCCGGAGCCATCGGAGTCGAGATATTGGTGCATCTCATAGATGATCTTATCTTCCGGGTCTGTCAGATTCTTCATATTGTCATTGACGGTGGCCCATGTCCAAGCTCCGGTCCAAGAGTTCCCTTCCACAAATATGTACTGCGAGGTGGCACCAGCTGCTCGAATAGCGTCGATGGCGGCTTGATTGAGTTGTAGGACAAGCATTTGATCCTCCGAGTTGAATTCATTGTCTGAGAGGTTAGCGGAATTGACAAAAATTGAGAAAGTCCTCATTTACTTGTATCAAAAATGACTTTCTCGTTTGATGCAAATTCTGTCGCTAAAGTTTTCCAAAATGCCGCAAAATCACTTGTTGATGAAATGATGCTACCATAGCTAGAATCGAGTTATGTCAACAGCAACTTCATGGTTTGCGGACCATGGCAACTTACTAGCGCCCATAGTTGTGTGGATCAAGAACAGCGTAAGCACCAGTGGAGGTGATGTAGTTGACAGTCTATTTTATTTACCAAATATCAGCAAATATCAGCATTGTAGAAAGCCCGGCTCTGTATGTCGCCAAGATTTACGTACGTTTCTCAAGTCTGAAAGGTATGTTGCATCCATACTAGACGTCAGTGTTCCTGGAACTAATCTTTCCATAGCAAAAGCTACGCGGAAGATATTCATTCCATCACTACGTAGAGTCTGGATTGCTGACGTGGATGGCCACATATAATCTGTTCCCAGTACTCCTGGAAGATTCTGGTTTCCAAACTCTGCACCGGACTCATTGGATCCAAACCCTGCAGGATAATTGATCAATATGTGAGTCTGCCAGATGTGTATAATACTCATTACTCACAGAGGAAGGATGAAGCCCTTTTGACTAGTGATTTCCCAGGTGCGGCGAGCACAAGGCTAGCTATGCTCAGTGTAACAAACAGAGGTGTGAAATGCATCTTGTTCAGGAAATTGTGATTTGGTTTAACAAATTGGAAGAATCGATAACCCCAACTAAGTTATATCAACTTTTCTTGGAGACACGAACGGAAAGACTGTAGCTAGTTAATACAAATACCCTTCGCAAAGCCAGCCAATCGTTTAGTGTGCTGGGGTCAAAAAGGAACCCCGCATAGGGAATGATGCCCCAAGCAGCGTCTTCATAGACCCGTGCTTGCGGCCTATTCGGGCCGTCTACCGTAGATAATTCTAATTCAGAATACTTTTATGGTCATAAAATTTTTTTTTGATACGGAAGAAGAAAGGGACAAGGTGAACACCAATTTAGGCACGGCGTTGGAGTCCCTGGTGGCTGAAGAATCGGAAATTACTTATGCATGAAGGAGGGCACCACTCTAGGCGCTAGGTTCGACAGTGCGGCCGTGCAGAAATGTAAATGCGGGGATAAGCACGATTGGTGACTTACACCAGAAGCTAAGCGAAAGCGATCGCATCATTCTCGTGAGGCCATATCACAACAAACCGGACAAGACTGAGCTACTGTGTCCGTGATACGGTCAGTCACAATATGCTAATCTCGATGCATGGCTCTCATATCCCTCCTATTAATTATTGTTATTCATCTGCCAGTTACCATGTGCTGTTAGAATCTGACAGTAGCAAATGAAACGTTGGTGGTGGGTATCACTGTAGGAGAGGAATCCACATTACGACAGAAATATACAAGCTTCGCGCGCAATCTTGGCTAGAGGTTTGACTGATTTATCCAGGTGTTAAATAGCCTCCGCTTTACTATTGAACGAGCAAATTTTTGTCTAGTGTTCAGAGATAGACACCTAGTCATAGAATACCTAGGCTTAATCTAGGGGCCTAGCTCCTATGCATTGGTTGTGAATTTGATTGTGAATCTCAATGTAGCGGTTTCTTTTTCATGCGACCCTGATAGACAGTCATATGCAGCTTATATCCCCGAGAACGCATAGCCCCCTGCAGATTAAACGATCACGCACCTACTCTGCATGGAACTAACGCCCGTGTACGTCAGTAGGGTCCGGATATTGAGGTTTCTGTTTAGCGTGCAGAAAGGTCAAGCGACGTGGCTTGACTAGTCGGAGTATTCTCCGCATGGTGGCTATTGAATAATTTCTTTAGTGTGAACTAAGATATCGCCACAGGCGCCTGTTACTCTAGGGTCCATGTGAACTGCTCTGCAGAAGGCGTCTGGGTACATGGTATATGCATTAAGTTGGCGCATGGTACTACAGTAAGGTCGGAAAACCAGGCAATGAATGTTATTTTGATCTCAGTTGGGAAAGTTCATTTCACTATATTTGCAATTATCAACATAGATATGAGTATCATACATTGGAAGAAATTCATCATCACAAGCCATCCGAGAATCTTGGGCACAAATGTAATATAGGCAAATACGCATTCAATTCACTAACGCAGTAGAACTCATATGATCAACGAACTTAAATAAGCAATCTAACAAAGAGCGTAGCATAGGCTTTCCTTCGCGTGTTCTGTTCTGTTCTGTTCTGTTCCGGTTTCCTTTCCTCTCCCTCAAGCTTTTCTCCCTCAAGCTTTACACCAATGATCTACAAGCACTGAGAGTACCAATCGTTCTGCTTCTGACAGGTGTAGGGGCTGGCGCAAGTAGTCGCGCCAGTCCATCCATTTCCACCGCACTGCGCAAAGTGAGCAGCCCCAGTGGTGCTCGATCCTGCTGTGGTAGTTGTACTGGTAGCCTTTGTGGTAGTACTGGTTGTCTTTGTGGTGGTAGTACTGGTGGTCTTTGCGGTGGTAGTGGTTCCCGAGCCAGAGCTACCTGAGTTGTAGGTCGAGCCGATGGGACCGACCTTGATATTGGAGTAGATCACATAGGAGTTTGCGTTATTCTCCTCCACATCAGTGGGTTCACCAGAGGAGATGTCACAAGAACCGCGAGCAGCACCCGGAGTGGTAGACGAGGCAGTAGTTGGGTAGGTGCTATCGAGCCAGAGCATGTTGGCCGCGTGATCATCCCAAAGGCTCATCACAAGAACCATGCCTTCGGCAAGTCCGGCGCCCATGCCTGCAAGACCTCCGTGTTTGCTGAAAACGTCGGTATCTTTGAATGCGGTCTTCTGGGCAGAGCAGAAGGAATCGGTGATGGAGTTGCCAGTCACACCACTGATGGTAGACGATGACTGCGAAATGACCTTTCCATTTTGCACGTAGAGGCGCTTGATTTCTGAGAGGGTGCCTGAGGATGTGCCGTCGTTGGTGATGAACTGAGTCACCACCGTGAAGGGAGAAGTAGTGTCGACAATCTTGCTCGGGCCGTAGAAAGACTGGTTACCCATTCGGTACGGGTTGAAGTCACACCCATCTGGATCGCAAGTGCCAGCATAACGTTCAGCACTGTATGTGCCACCACAAGCATCACCTTCACATTTGACCTGAGTCGGGGTGTCGCATGGATGAGGCGTAACAGCATTTGAGATCGAGTTGGCTTCCCAAATGTCCATTTCGGCACAGCACGAGCCGTACTTGCCAGTGCCAGCATTGACATCATTGGAAGATGGCTCCCATCCTTCCACATTGGCGGCCCCGTCGATGAACTTGAGATCGCGCGGGCACTGGGAGTCACAATAACCAGTACCATATTTGGCGCCGGCTTTGTTGGCTGGGTGTTTCGCCATACCACCATCGGCGTCCATGGACACAAAGTAAAGGGCACCGTTCAGACCGCAAGGGAGGTGGGATACATCGACATCAAATGTGAACTCCTGGTTCAACAGCTGGAACATTTCATAGGAACTGTCATCCTCCATCAAGTAAAGACGAGAGCCAATGTTTTTCTGAGATGCCTGGGTGACAAAGTTCAGTCGCAAAGAACTACCGCTGGTGGTCACACCGTACGTTCCTGAGTAGTCGGCACCTTCCACGGCGCAATTTGTGGCGCAGGTTACATCGTCAGGGCAAATTGAAGTATCCCACGTATTGCCGTTGTAGCAGTTGGTGTATCCACTGGTGGAGTGAAGCCAACGCCAATTCGCGTCGATGACAACTTTGCCAGATTGCGAAGTGCAGCTGCCTCCGCTGGTGCACTTCTGCCAGGTCAAGGACGGATGGACTTCAGCGGTATTGGTGCCAACCTGCTGCGCCTTTGCAGTGCTTAGCAAGGCAGCGAGCAGTAGAGCATTCTTGTAGATCTTGAAGGAAATAGCAGATGCCATGATGTTCCGAGACGATTTTGGCTGCAATTGAAACTTGGAAGGTTGGGAAACGTTAGTGTGACCTGGATACAGGAGCCTTTTATATTCCACTGTGGGCTACACAACGTATGAACCTCGCCGATTGAAGATTATGCCACGGCTCGACGGCCCGGATGACCGCACGATGAGAGACTATCAAATTTCCTAATGGAGACATGCTTTGAGCACTCCGGGGACACGGAGGGACTTCCCCAGACCCCGCGAACGAGTGCTGGAGTGGGTTGAACTCATTTCCTGCAGGGGCACTTTCGGCCTCGGTTCTGGCTAAATAACAGTCAGCCATCTTGGGCACTGTTCTGACCCTGGGTAAGTCAGCTCACAATCACCAGATCGGCCGCCTAATCAGTTCCACACGCAGTAGCGGCTAAATAGTCAACCTTCCGGTTTGAGATGTGCCAAGGACTAAGTGTGCATCCAAGATATGACATCGTAGCATATCCGCATGCGGTATGTTTTCAAGATCCGTGACCAGGTAGTCACTGCCCCGGTTTCTGAGGGATATTGATCGCGGGGCAGTCAGCGTTCCAGTCGGTAATTTGGGTGGCGTTCACTGGCTCATAGGGGGTGCATTAGCGTAGTCAGGGGTATTAATTCGACAGTCGGGATTCATTGGTAAATGCCGAGAACAGTTCTGCCAATGTATCTGCACATCACAGGTTCAACGGGGGCAAGTGGCTGAAAGTCGCGTAGACTAGTGGCAGGAGGGGGTCAGGTGACGGGAGTTATCTATCTGCAGTGTGATGTAGGTGCTACAAACATGGTCACAGATGCAAGGAACGAGACGATGAAGAAGCCAAAGACATGAACAAAGACGAAGATGAAGATGAAGTTGAAGTCGAACAAATAAAGATGTCGAGTGGACCTCGGGTACGCCGATCTCCGATGACTCATCAGACACAAATTGCGGTTTCGAAGACAATTTGAGATCTCGTCTTTCTCGCTCTCCAATTTTACGGATTCAACACCGTCTCTTCTCAACATGGCTCCCAGTTTTATCCTTACTCTCTCCGGTCCTGACCGCGCCGGTATCGTCCACGCCGTTACTGCGTTCCTGGTGGAGAACAACCTCAACATCATCGACTCGTCGCAATTCGGTGACCCAGTCTCGCAGCGCTTCTTCATGCGCACTCAGTTCGCAGCTACTACCGATGAAGTTCCAGAACTCGGGAAGTTGCGCACTGCATTCCAGCCCACTGCGCAGTCCTTCTCCCTCGACTTCGAAATCAACCCCACCATGAAAAAGCCCCGCGTGCTGATCATGGTCTCTAAGATCGGCCACTGCCTGAACGATCTGCTCTTCCGTCAATCAACTGGTCAATTGAGCATTGAGGTTCCTCTGATCGTGTCCAACCACCCCGATTTCGCTACCCTCGCCGCCACATACAACGTTCCCTTCCACCATCTCCCCGTTACTGCGGATACCAAGTCCCAGCAGGAATCCCAGATTCTGGAGCTGGTGCGCGAGCACAACATTGACTTGATCGTGTTGGCCCGTTATATGCAGGTTTTGTCTCCTACGCTGTGCGCTGCCATGTCTGGACGCATCATCAACATCCACCACAGCTTCCTGCCCTCCTTCAAGGGAGCCAAGCCCTACCATCAGGCCTACGACCGTGGTGTCAAGATCATTGGTGCCACAGCTCACTTCGTCACAAGCGACCTTGATGAAGGCCCAATCATCGAGCAAAACGTTGTCCGGGTCAACCATGGCATGAGCCCCAAGGAGCTGACCCATGCCGGCAGTAACGTCGAGAGCAACGTTCTTGCCACTGCGGTGAAATATGTCACTGAGCGTCGAGTGATCTTGAACGGACACAAGACTGTTGTCTTCAACTAGAGCAACAATGGCTCACGAGCGAGCAATTTACCATGTAGATTTGGCCACGCATACTCCAAATCATTGAGTGACTTTTTCGTGATACCTGTATGGTCGCTATTATAGACGACTGGGACAGCTGGTGCCCACAGGGCATTCTGCGCCAGACACATTCAGATTCAAAAATAGAACAAAAGATTTCCACTTTCACTCTGGTTATAGTTGTATCGTCTTGGTATTGTTTGCTGGCGATATACTTGTCCTCGTTGTCACCAGATGAAAGACAGCAAGCTCGGTTGTGAATGTAGCTCAAGGCACAAGCTCCAGAGATCTCAGCTGAATCAAAAACACAATGGCTGCCTTGTGAAATGACTGATATTCTCTGTCGCGTGACTCAAACCGTTCACATGAGCTCGTAACATCAAAACATCCTCTCTCCCCCCCCCCCCACCTTCCCCCCAACCAAACCCTCCCTCTCTTCCTCCTCTCCTTCCTTCTACGACTCTGACCTCCTCGTCATGTCGTATTCTGTTGCCCCTCATCTCAAGTATTTCGCGGTGCGATTTGCGGACTTTGCGGATGCCCGTCCCGAATTTGACGCGTTCGGGGTGGGTGCCTACATTTTCTCCGGCGACCGCGTCCTTCTTCTTCAACGTGCACTCACAGACTCTATGCCTGGTTGCTGGGAGGGTCCGGGGGGTGCATCGGAGCCCCAAGACGATGGAACATTACTCGATGGAGTTGTACGAGAGGTACTGGAAGAGAGTGGGTTACATGTGACGCGTATCCTTGAGCTGGTCGCAGTCGATTGCTGGGAGCATCATCGCCGAAGTGGAGGCAAGATGCGGATCGCCAAATATTCATTCTTTGTCGAAGTTCGTGAAACGCGAAACTCGCTGGGGGAGCAGCTATCGCCACTGGAGGTCCCGGTACAACTGGCGGACACAGAGCATCATGCATTTGAATGGGCCACAGAGGAGGATGTCCGGCATTCTGTTGAATCACAAGGTCGATATAAGTTCCCTCTTCCTTCAATCGGGCATCAAGCCCAGAATATCCTGCGCGCTTTCGAACTCAGGCGACAAAACAGTGACTGAGAACATGTATAGCCTGTGGGGTTCCCTGGGGGTACTTTTTGTGTAGGCCTTTTTTGTGTTCCATTCTAGCATTTCAATTGACATCCATGTTTTAATCCGTGCCTCTCGTAGCTGCTTTGGAGCTGGATGAATTATATATTCCCAAATAGATCCCAAATAGATTGTGTCCGAAATGAGCTCTGAAACTGGATGTTTTGCTCCAGGACTACATGGATCACATACTGATTCAAGCTAGAAATTGCATCTATGTTACAGGCTTAGTGGCATACGAGGGTGCTTTCCGGTTCAAAAAGGTACATTAAGTAAATCCTATTCGTAGCTGGCATGATATGTACACACAAAGGTTTGACAAGAAGCTTGTCAGCAATAAAATATCTTTCAAGATTACTCCAGGAGGGAAGACTAAAGCACAGTATGTTCAAAACTTAACCTTTGCTGATCCAGAGCTCGAACCGCCGCCAGCGGACTTTGTCGACCTAGCTTTGATCGCCTCGAGCGGGACTTCGCCAGGAAAGGGTTTTCGGGCCCACACTCTTCGCCTGCAACGCAAGTCAGTGGTGTGATGAAAGAATACAAGGGTCAATCAACACTCACGTCTTATGATATGTGTGATAATGAGGGTTCTTCATTTCCGAGCGCATCTTAGCGCAGAAGACATGAACCTGCTCTTTCGTCCATGGCTCAGGCTCGCCGTATTTTGTCAGCAGCCACATACACCAGCCCTCTATGCCCGACATCCAGTGTTGGATGTTGACCATACCCGCCTCTTTGAACTTCTGGTCTCGCGGCCATGGGCCCAGGGGCCATTTGTAAACCTTTTCGTGGACGTCCACAAATCCTGCTTTCTTGATACTTTCGCCCATGGTCATGACAATATCACAGGGACGCCCAGCGCGTGCACCGCACGCTTCCATAAGCGGGCCCCAGTAAGCCAAATTGCTATCAGGGGGTAGACTTCCGTCATCGCTTTGAACAAATGGACCAGCTTCAACTTGCTCGATCCAACCTCCAGGGGCCATTTTCCTATCACGACGTTAAACAGGACAGATGCCACTGGAAAGACAAAACTTACTCAAAGCACTGTTGGTAGACCCGGTCCCATTCGCGCTGGTCAAAAGACCCTAGCATGTTCCGCATATGGATCAGGTCAAATTGTTCGCGCCAGGTCCAGTCTTCTAGAATGTCGTCGACTTCAATCACACAATTCGGTGGCATCCAAGTGACGGGGGGCGGGAAAAGATCCACTCCCCTCACGGTTGCATTCGGAAACATATCAGCGACATCGCTTGATAGCATTAGTTTGTGATTGATTTGTAGACGGAATTTCAACCTACATGGCCCACGTTCCCTTGCCAGTCCCGATATCAAGAACCTGCAAATACTTTTCTCGGTCTGCTCCAATCGGCGAGCGGAACAAAGGATTTTCTCGATCTGAATCCAAGATAAGATCCACGAGATGTCTGTAATGGTTAGCGGGCGAGCTCCATGCCGGGAGGGTAAACATACCCGGCTTCATAGGTCTCAAATTGTTGCTCATCAGATGGAATACTGCAAGAAGATCAGTTGCAATCCATGATCATGATTCGAAGTTCACATACAGATATTCTTTATCCGAAAGCGACTGATATCTATACATTTCGTTAGCAGATGAAGCCTCACCGCCTTGTGGTACTCACCGCCTTCCGTTGTCTATCAAACCGCGATAAATCGAAGACCCGATCGACGTGGTCTCCCTAATAACGCGTGAGCCCCTTTTTCTTCTTTTCTCCCTCTCCTTAACTCACGATTGCCAGTCATCGGGACTGTAGGTAGCATCTCGGGCATACAGATCCGGATCTACAGCGATGGCCTCCATTGCGAAAAGGTTGCAAGGAGAAGAAGGGTCAGGGATCGGGAGTTTATTTAATACAAAGACAGAGCGTTGACCCTGGCCCCGCACTCGACTTTTTCCCGCCTAAACCGAGCTGATTGGGCGCGGAAAAGTACACCCCCTCCACGCGGAAGACAATTGTCAACCCGTTATGCACCTGGCCAACCTTACGTCGCCCCACCCTGTCGCCCTTTTCCTTCAGGATTTCTGCTATTTTTACGTAGGCATATATCGGATTTTACACTGATCAAATACTCGATTTGTCTGTACGATTCGTAATCCCACCCTAGCCGCACCTGCATGGAACTGTCACGGGCCCGAACGCAATGGCAGACATGGGCCGCTTCTTCACCCTACGCCATGCAGCTTGTCAATTTTAGGTTGTATATCGGCCTACACGACGAACTTTTGGTCACTGACTCTTCGTCTTTTTGTTTGTTTGTCTTTTCTTATTCCTTTCCCTTGACGTCGCATTGAGTAACTCGTATTGCAACGACCGTAGAAGGCTTCGCATTTGCTGTTAAAATTCGAACTGGCATCGCCTTTTGGGGGATCTTGAAACAAGTGCCTTATCAATTATGGCTTACCCTACTTTCTCCATGTTAGTATGTTGGCCCAGTTCCTAACTAATCCGATCCATCAAAAGCATTAGGACAACGTTTTCAGTTGGTTGCACCGCTCAATTTAAGGTGACCCGCGGAGGGATACCGATATATATCTCAATCCATTTCAACCACGTAGTGCAGCGCTCGTTCTACTGTAGCTTGGCTTTCCTCATTGCACTCCTGCTAAATGGCTATGCTTGCCATGCGCACTAATTTCACATCCAATAAATTGAGTGTTCGAGCATGTTGTTGTTATGTTGCCGTGGCACTAGTTTACTGTAGTTTTTATGATTTTATGATGTTACCCATACCAATGATTTCATAAGCAGGGCACGCCTAACGCTCTCCCTCCTCCTCCCTCTTGTTTACATCTACAATACCTGACAATTGGTGTGCCGAGGCTCGGATATACATCTCCCGTCCAATAGAAGTTAGTAATGACGGTGGACAAAAGTACTCGGCCTATTCATAGCAGCGGATCACAAACTTACGTTCCGCTGGGGCTAGTGGCACAAACCCTCAAACACGATCACACAAAAAATACGATGCGTCAGGTTCAAATAGCTAAATGAAGCGACCCGCATAGTTCTCCTGCAGATCAGCGTCTTTTGCAGCACGGGCCTGCCGCAATGATGAACACACAAGTGTCATGTCAGGCAATTTGCATTACCTATTCAACTCCACCATCCGTTATGAAGAGTAACGTAAATGAATCGCCTGGCTCTGCATATTCGATATGGCAAAAGTACGATGAAACGGTTCCCTGACAGCCGAGAGTGCGCCTATGACCTGAGTACCCAGTAGACTTTTTATCACCTGCAAGTTTGGAAACAGTGTGATGAAGTGCAAGTTTGGAACAGTGTGATGAAGGCAGTTTCTCTGCCTATTTCTTCTTTTATTGATTTTTCCCCTCTCAGGAAAAAGTACCGCATTGACAGTGTCCTGGTTTATGGACGTGTAGAACCTTGCCAATTTCATCGCAATTGTTGTGGAAAAGGTAGACTCTGTGCTCTCTCATTATCTTGGTTGGGGCATCTCGTGACTACAGCTGCCACACAAACATGACTCATTTGTATATTTCATCGGCCCAGCCCCACGGCAAACATTGGTGACCATCACGCATTCAAACATTGTTGAAATTTTGCTCGAAGGAAAGTTACTTCGTACGTTTGGTAGAATTTCCGTTCAAAGTGTACGTATTGTCTGATTCGTAACCAGATCCGCAATGGCTTCCAAGCCAACAAAACACTGTTTTGCTACGCCCTCCCCCTACGAAGAGCAAATTGGATACTATCGAGCCGTCCGTCATGGGAACCATATTTTTGTTTCCGGGACAACCTCCGTCGACCTTCTTTCTTCCGTGAACACACCGAGAATATTGTTCCCAGGTGACGCCAAGCAGCAAACCCGCACTGCACTTCAAGAAAGCATCAACGCGATCCAAGGCCTAGGTGGTAAGGGCGTGGAAGATATAGTCCGTGTCAAAATGTATGTCGGTTGTCACGAAGATTGTGCGGCGGTCGGCGAAGGGTTTCGTGAGATATTAGGCAAGCAGAACCAAGGAAAATACGGTCTTGTAGGAGCAGCTGCCACTATGATTGTGGTCAACGGTGGTTTCATCAACAAAGATATGCTTGTCGAGGTCGAGGTTGATGCAATAGCTGGTTAAGGCTAATCAGACTGCCTGTACGACCCTGATTCGATCCAAATGTACTCGACAATCACATTGAATCCATCTAAGCATGTCTAGTGGAAAGTCTGAAGTGGATTGAGTCTACATAGAAATGTCTACCGATTATGAAATCATCAAACTAGAAAAAATAGTTCTCCAAGCTTATTCATGATCATCGTGTCCATGAAATGACAATTCTTATATGCTTCAGGATGTTCTTTCATCACAGTGAGTCATCCTCCGCATAAACTAGATCTAGGAACCCAGCCAGCACCGTATCAAATTTGCCAGGCAGATAAAATATTGTTCAAGTTGATCGAAACTGGAGGAGAGAAGCTGTCTGAAGCTAGGTTGCATTGGTTGCCTGGCTCCGATGAAATATTGAACCGTCACGTCATAAATAACACAAAAGGAAATGTTATGATATCTTTTCAGATTGCTTTCCAAATGGGTGTGTCCAGATAAACCTTGCTCAAAAGAGCTTTGACGCCTGGAAGGCTTCCCTTCTACACTTTTTCACCCCTTTTATTTCTAGCAGCATAAAGAAAGCACGCAAGCCTTTCACATTCATAGGAGCATCCTTTTCACGGACCGGTAGCTCTAGTGGGGTCCATCGACCGTTATCCTGCCGACCTATTGACAACGACTGGCTGGCAATAATGGATTGCGAAGAGTATCCAGCTGCTAGTGAAGTGGAAAGACTAACTTGGCTTAGCCATGGATAATACACAGTATAAACCTTCAAGGCTGGATCTGGGAAGCCTTTTTGTGAGTCAAATAGGTTTATTAAAGCAAGTTCATCTCACACTCTACTGATGGCGGACTGCCTCCAATATCATTACAAAATCACCGTGGTCACTCAGAGTGCAACATTCACGTGCTCAAACTGGGTGGTCTGTTTCCAACACCGTCAAAACACTTCGGCCAATTGCGAACCATTCACAATTTCTGATACTAAAATTAGTAAAGCATAAAGTTGTTGGAACCATCTTAGTTCAATGGCTGGTTTGAAAAAGGGATGATCTGTGCACTGAGGTCAGGGTCGTGGGAAAAGTCTTGGTCAAATGGCCACATGGGCCGGCGTATGCGATGATGCCCAAGCCGCGGTAGATCCTGATCGACACCACCCGGAGTGAGAGCAAGAATCCAGTCGGCTGCCATGTCGAACAATTCTGGTTCGAGGTATCCGATCTTCACGATGACGATATCTGATGTTCGAGGTCTCAAATCAAGCTCGAGAAAGTCCTTCTCGAGATGATATGGCTTCCGACGTCTGGTCAAGATCACATAGATATTTTGAACTTGCAGAACAGCTTCGACCTCGGCATGGATATCGCCATATTTGATCGAATGAACTTTTCCCGTCATGGTAACAGGCCCCGAGTGAATATTATCGACCAAAGCACCTGCGGTGACGGTCACCGTCGCACCAACTCCGGCATTCGCTATGATGGCCAAAGCCTCCGGCCCGGGAATACTTGCATATATTGCAGTTGGGCCGCCTTCCTGGCAAAATTCGGCTCGGCCTAGCAACTGGATCAGGCCATAAGTCACGTCCCCTGCTCCACCGGCGGTGGGGTTGTCCCCTGAGTCTGAAATGAAGAATGGCCTTGATGACGACAAGAGTGCCTTGTCAATAGAGCTCTGAAGAGATCCGCTTGGCGCCACAAAATGAAACTCTTTGTGTGACTCCCAGAAGAAGGAGGCAAGTCTCTTAGCTTGCGCAATTATGACGTCCTCAGCCCATCCAGTAACGACTACCACGGCGTGGTTGCGCGGTTCATCGGCCCAAGCATAACCAACCCATATGGCGGCATCTAAAACATCCTCCAGGGCTTCCACTTCAGGTATAAGAGCGTAGAGACTTTTTGCGGGCTCGATGCGAGTTGATGTCTGCTCTCCAGGCAGGAGGATTGGAATTGGAATCCATGCTTTCAATGGCCGTTTCAATCTGCCAGTGCGGGATCCCAGTACATTAACAAGGTTTCGGCAAGCGCGCTTTTTTGTTTCCCAAGCATCTTCATGAGGCGCCATGCGATAGCATGTAATCAGGTCGGTTTGATGTGCTAATTGGCGAGACACATTTCCGTGTAGGTCCATCGATGTCGATACCAGAACATCAGGGCCAATGACAACCCGAATGCGGCGGAGAAGCTCTGCTTCAACATCGGCCATGCCCTCAACGCACATTGCTCCATGAATATCAAACCACAGTCCGTCAATGGGTGTCGTGGCGACCAAGTCAGTCACGCGTGCAATAATCTCGCTGCATAATGATTCGAAATCAGCTTGTACCACGGTCCCTCCAGGAAGTGCATGACCGATAAGTAGACCTTTCCATTCTGCAGCCTCTGCAAGTGGAGTTCCGACATGAAGAAAAGGATACTTGTCGAGTATTTCTGTGCCCCGACGAGGATGAAAGTCTGCGGCCAGTGTCCGTGCTGGGGAGAAGGTGGAGGTTTCACAGGCGAGTCCTGCAATAGCAATGACTGGGCGCGACATGATAAAAGTGAGGACATGTAAATAGGCAAGTCACTGTAAAGTGGATGATATCGGGACGGTACCATGGGTTGCATCCACAAGTGGATACAATACGATACATGTATTGTACTCTGGCACGTGACCCCGGTGATGGTCTTGTGTGATCCCGGGGGCTTGGCAGGGTTGTTGGTCAGACTTTTGGATGCCTGGATGCTAAGGCATCTACTTGGGCAAGTGATATAGACCTACTTGGCAAGCCTGGCATGTCAGTTATGTAAGTAGGATTTATTTAAATAACTAGCTGGCAGCGGCCACATAATAAAAACCATGCGATCCACACAGTATCTCACTTGTCTGATGCTTCGGAAACAAGTCGAAAAATGATTTCTTGGCATTAATACCTGGGCCCTTCCTCACTAGAACTCCATGGGCTGACGCTGCTATCCGGAATCTTGGGATAAACTTGGGTTTTACTTCTTAATAAGATGATCATGGACGCATCGGATTCAGGAACAAGCACACGAGCCGCACACGAACCTCTACTTAAGTACTCAACATAAAAGACAATGTAGTTATTGGGAACCCTGTTGAAGCGTGAGCAAGCCGCAGCAGTATACGCTTTTTAAGCAGTGTTAACTCGACTATAACTGGAACTATCACATAAAGAAAATGTACGTGCCTCTCATATATGGAAACCTCAGCCTGTCCTCGATCTTTACCCCGTGGTTCATTGCCAGACCGTTGGAGATACGATCCATACTGTCACAAGTCGGACCCCCGTGGGAATAGTGGTGAGACGTCCACTCACGCGACCCCAGCTCGGAGTTAGCCTTGTCCGGTACAATTCAATTCGGAAAATAGAGGTCGCTCTCCCTCCATAGAGAGGTAAAGCATCCGTAGCGGCCATCATTCAAATAAAGCATATCTGGTAGCTTGATTTCAATACCAACCTGAGTCCCCCGCTCAATCACCCGACAGACCATGGTAAGGAACAGATGTGCGTAGAATCGTCCCGAATTTGCGATAAGAGTCACAAGAACTTCGCACAGCAGTCCTACAATTCTCTCGAAGTTGGGGTCATCAGCCGCCTCCAATGTCTAACAAGTGCATGTCAAATCCAAGAGCTTTCCCATTGTTGAAAACACACCTGAATTGCTGGACCGCGATGACGGCGTTGGGATCAGCCGCGCCTGCCTCTAAACATTGCTAGAAGGAATTAAATCTTCCTGTTGCATAGTTAATTCCTAGGGACATAACTACAGACACTGGTCACTTTCAGCCCCAAGCTTTGCGCCCTTCTCAGCAATGCCCACGTAGCCTCCATGAGAGTTCCGAATTTGGCACGCAGAGGGACCCTGGCAATCGGCTCCTGTGCATGAATACGCGATTTTGGGATTGACTTTCTGGATTTTGTGCAACTCATCGATACTAGCGTGGGTGCCGGCTTGTGGGTACGAGCAAAGATAATGCGTTTTGGATAGACTCCAATATCCAGGACTTGCTCAATCTCTGCGAGAGGTACAGTCAAAGTGGGCACCCATGTCTGCTAGCAACCCCAGAGGTCTTTGATATGATTTACAATTTACCGCGGGCTTTTGTAGCATCTGTATTCGTGAAGTCGAATTCAGGTTCACTGGCCGTAACAGGATTGCGTTCCAGGCAAGTTTTGTATTCTTAGACAGATGTTACACCAAAAGTTTTGATGACTGCATCAACGCAAATTGCCTACCAAATTGCCCTGCAGGTTGATTTCCATAGACGAGCTCAAGAATGTTTCAAGGATGCTATGCGAAAAGGAAGAAAAACATTTGGCCAGGGTCTCTTTCTTGCAACGTCCAGGCCGCTTACAATGGACTATACCTCATCCCAAACATACTATTCTTTGGGATTTCGTCAAGCATTGTGAGCGGTAGTAACATCGTACTCACTTATTCGCGAGCCTCCCGTTTACAATTGGACAGATGTCGCGCAACATGCTGGCTAGAATGAACCAATTTATGAGTCTGAAGTCGCGGTGTAGGGCTTCGAGATGAAATACAGCAAGCTATTGATACTATATGTTATGTATGCAATACGCGGCCCGGACCACTTTCTTCCGTTCCCCCGCCCTTCCCCTTCCTCCGTTCGAATACATTAAATGTGCAAACGTGTTTCCGCCATGAGTCCACGCATATCAGACAGCCTCCTGGAAATAGCGTGCTTTAACTACGAATCGGCCTTAGCTGCTGCGGAAGGCGGGGCAGATCGCATCGAGTGAGTATTTCATGCTTCATTTTCCACCTTTGATGGCCATGTCTGAATTTGACTAATCATAATCAAGATTATGCAAAGACTACACTTCCGGTGGCTTATCGCCTGACACTAAAACCCTCGAACAAATCAAGTCGCAAATAACAATCCCCATTTACGCGATGATTCGGCCACGGGCCGAAAATTTCTTCTATGATGAAGCAGAGTTTGAGTCAATGAAGATAACACTGAATAGTTTAAAAACCAGCGGAGCCGATGGCTTTGTCTTCGGTATTTTAAACCAATTTCCTCACAAAGCTTGCAATGGGACGGAACATTGGATCGATGTGTCCAGAAACAAAGCGCTTGTGCAATTAGCCGAAGGTCACCCTTGTACCTTTCATCGCGCGTTTGATGTTATCCCTGAAGCTCATTGGGCGACCGCGTTGGCGGACATCAAAGATTGTGGCTTTGCATCGCTCCTCACGAATGGAGGCCCATCGGGAATCAAAGCAGCTGAGTGCACTGATCAGTTGGCAAAGTTAGTGGCCTGGAAGCAAACTAGCGACCATCAAGCCATTTGTCCTGTTAAAATCATTGTTGGTGGTGGAGTGAGATCATCGAACATCGGCATGCTTCTTGAGGCGACAGGGGCTTCCGCATTTCACTCTGCCGCTCTCCTGGACTCAAACGGATTGGCCTCCAAGGATGAGGTGAGAAAGATGAAAGCCATGACAACAACGGTGGGAGGCTTATTGAACGAATGATTCGCCTCATAATGAACTGGTTTCTATGTCGCTTGACCAACCAAATAGTAGCATTGCGGTGTCTATATATTGTAGTGGTTACTCCCGTGACAGTATCATGTTAATGGCCTGAGGTATCATAAATGCCTTAGCAGACATGCAATCTTCTCCTGCATGGAGATCGCAGCATGATCCAACAACTTCAATATGACTACAGTTATTCACCAAACTCCTTGATTCATGATATAGCATCGGGCTCAGTGCGATTCACACCTTCAGAGAGTGCTCTCTACGTCTACATCAGGCCATGGGAGTGGTTGTGTGATTTCTTCGTTAGTATCGCCCCGTCTGCTATGCCAGACTGCCATCGTCTAGGTGCATCTCGAGTATAATGCCATAGTGCTGCCACTGCAGTTCTCAACCCTTGATCAGCTGGACTGCTCAATGTGGGCAGAGCCATTAATGAAATAGACTTTTCCTAACATGTGGACGCACTTGTATCGCAGTTTTAAATTATATACCCCGGCTGCAGATTTCGTAAACTCGGTCGCACATCGTAAAGATTTTGTGATTGATTGGAATTTAATGAAGTAGAAGATGTTCTAAAGATTGCGAAATTGAATGTTAAGGCATTCCTCAAATGAGCGGACATGTCGGAGATTTTACACTTGGTTCAGACTACCAGACCTATTGTAAACAAAAGTCGTCAAGGCTTAGGGACGAGCTCGAATCAGTCTTCTAGACATCTAGCCGTTGATGCAAGGGGCTGAACTACCAGGTGCTTAACCAAATATTTTGACTATCTACTCCATATCGACGCTAATTTTAGAGGAGGTATCTGGGCGCTTGGCTAAATGTTCAATCCATTCTTCAGTTATTTTGGGTCTTTCAGCGCCTTGTGATATTGAGCATGTCTCAGATTGAGCGCTATTCCAAACACCTCAGGTTTGGTGACCTAATAATACTGTAGACGTTATCATTCTTGTAGCGCCGGAGCGGTCAATATGGCGATGCTGAGATATGCGCTAGCCTGTAAAGGGTTGTCAGGTACGCGAGATGACGCAGATTAAACTTTTTTCCCCCGGAAACCGCGCGCCTAGCCATCTTTTCCGGACAATTCTCCACACTTGTCTGTTTCATTCAGAAGAGAGTGACAAGGTTCCTCTACTTCAAATTCAATATCTGCATATTCGTATTTAGTAAAAAAATAGAAAAAATAGATAAAAGATAAAAGACGGATGGTTTCCTCGTTTCGCTTTGTCCATCATATGGCTGAAAGCTGAATGAAATTAATGAGGATGATGTTTGAAAAGGAGAGGTTACCAACAAGAACACTATTTTCAATAGAGCTGCGCCCGTAAAGTGAGCCCCGGGCTGCACATGACCCTAGAGCCTGAGAGATCAAAGAGTCGGATTTTCTTTCATAATTTTGCTTACCGTCAAGGTGCGCACCATCCGCCTACGAGGACCTGAACATTGAGACGTGGCACTAATATATGAGAAATCGCTAATCTCTTATCGAAATGATCTCCTGTAGGTCGCCAAGGGTTGAATCAAATGAACGGAATTCAAACTAACATCATTTCTGACAGCGCCTCAAGATCATCGACCCATCGTCATCTCCGGTCCTTCAGGTGTCGGCAAAGGGACACTTGTTCAAAAGTTATTCGATAAACACCCTGGCACGTTTGGATTCACCGTATCCCACACGACGCGAAAACCGCGACTGGGCGAAGTGGAGGGCGTCGCTTACTTCTTCGTCTCTCTCTCCGAGTTTTCCTCCCTTTGCGCCCAAGGTGCTCTCATGGAGCACGCATATTTCAGTGGCAATTACTATGGCACGAGCAAGCAGAGCATTGACGATCAAGCTAGTAAAGGGTTAGTTGTGGTGCTAGACATCGAGATACAGGGCGTCAAGCAGATGAAGGCGAACCCCAGCATCGATGCGCGATGAGTTTTTATCAAACCACCGAGCCTTGAAGCTCTTGAGGCGCGTCTCAGGGCCCGCGGAACTGAGAACGAGGAGGACATTCAGAAGAGGCTCACCCAGGCTCAAGTCGAACTTGATTACGCCGACTCTCAGGGCAGTCATGATAAGATCATTGTCAACGATAGTATTGAATCGGCGTATGGGGAGCTTGATATGTTTGTGTTTGGATCAACATAGCGAGATAACACTGCAGATATTTTGCGATCAAATTATTAGGTTTCGACCCACCATGTCTCCTTACGTCTTGAATAACACATTGATCGAGTTGCAATTCGGAAAGCATGATTCTAAAGAGAGGCAAATAAGACACTATCAGCTTACCAATAATAAGAAGCGCCAGTCAGAGAAGCCAAGACGTTCTCGCAATCCGGCTCTGCCAGATATGAGTTTTCACCGAGTTTGATCACAAGGCTGTACCACCAAACGTCATCCTGTACGAATCTCAACGTAATAGTAGTCGGCATCTCGACTTATAAGTACTTTCTTCCATCTCTACAGGTCTCCTTGCTATGGTTTCCGAGTACATTTTGGTTTCGTTATGTGAATCGCTTTATCTAAAAATTGAATTGATAGCGCTGATGCAGGGAAATTTACAATTGCCGTATCTGAGATTTAGACGGTGGTCTTGTTTGGGCAAGTCTAACCAGATATATACATAAATACTCGGGATGGTTGATACCACTTTCTAGTCAGTATCACAATGATGGTAGTGGAGAGCTTAAAATACGGGTTGCGCAAGAATGCCATTTCGCCCAACACATACAATTCTTCAATTGAGTCTTTATTATGTGGTTTCTCCAGCGCTTCGAACTCCCCAGAAATACACCGAGTCATTTTCAAACGGGGATGCCCTTTGAAGAAAATTTGGGTAAGGATTGGCCTTCATTATTGCTGATATCTGGTTCAGTAGACGATATCAACGTTGGGGTATCGATATCCCTGTCTGTTCAACGCGCCAGGCCCACCCGAATATCGAGCCAGAGACGTGATTTGCTACTGACTGAAGAAGCCGGCATGCACCCGCTTGGGTCCATTTCAAATCGGAGATGATTCTCGAAGTGAGTTAGTGCGAATTAGCTTCTCCGAAATCCTCTTCACGCGCCCGTGGCGGGGGATATTGAGTTCTTTTGCATTTTGAAAAACGCATGGCTTTGGCCAATGATTTCTTGATGATATTGTTTTCTATTGGTTATTCTTCGCGTGTAGAGCATAAATTTTCAATGAGACAATAACATTGGAGGTCTCGTGTCTTTACTCACTTCTTGCTGTTCAATGTAATTGCTTGTCAAATGCTTGGTAAGCTTATCACTGGAAGATCCGTGATTATTTGGGCTGCAGTTGGCTAGGATGCACTGACCTGCAAGCCACAGTCACATCGAGCGTGCGTGGCTTATCGGCATTCATTCAATGCCCCTTTTGCAGCTGTAGATCGCTTCCAGATTGAAACTTTTGTGGCTTGTTCGATCCAATGGTCACATTATGCATTGATCACTATACAGTAGTACCTCTTCACCTCATTGAACAAGTATCACGACCTTATCACTCGGTTAGGGTCCGTCGGGAATCCGATATTGCGCAAGTTTCAATGTTGCCAGATGCACTACCGGGCTCTGGTCTTACCATGCTAAATCCCCACGGATATTAGGCATCTGTTAGCTTTATTACACCAAAAGCTTTCTTGACCAAAGAAACGCTAAAATTCATTTACACCAGTATATTTCACCACGGCCATAGATATTCTTGGTCCAAACTCAGCTGATGAAGACCAGTTTCTTTGCGCTCAAGTGACTGTGAACTCATTTAACCAGTTTATTACATAGAATATTTTCTTTTTAGCTGCGTCTAGTGTAAGTAACATCTAAGAAAATGCTCTATGTTAGTGGGAGTTTGTCTCAGGGGACTTTAAATAATGTGTTGCACGACTAAACGCTAAGCTCTTCCAAGACCCTATGTAGACCTTGCTCTTTGGGATCAAGCTTTGCAGAAATGGCTTATCCGTGCATAAATTGGCCTATATCATGCTATTGTTCTTAAAGTGAACTCTCGGTCTCCGACGGTGACGGATCATCCGAGTCTGTGTTTCTTACTTTTCTCGCAATGGCGATGTTGCATCGGCAAGAAACTCCGGAATTCCGGTATCCTGGTGTGTTAGATGAGATTCAATATTGCGTGAATGGACTTTATCCTATTGGCTTCAAAGAAAGTGATATCCATGTCGCAGAAGAGTGGAGGGGAAGCATATAAAGGACGTTGTCTGCTCACATATTCATCAATTCATCAGAGTCAGTTATCAATTCCTTCTTCATTGCCGCATCTTGCCTCGCATCTTGCTCGGTCCATTCAAGTTGAACATAATCATCACCATGAAGTTCTCAGCATTTGTCGGTACTGCCCTGCTCGCAACCTCTGTGGTTGCAGCCCCCCTCACCTCGGAACGTCAGGCACGCCAGGAAAGTCGCCGAGTTGCCAGAGCTTCAGGTCGCTCCAGTCACCCACCCTACAAGCCCGGTACATCTGAGGTGCTGCACTTGAATGAGACATCCAAGGCAGAGTATAGCACCAACTGGGCCGGCGCTGTTTTGATTGGTACGGGGTATAACTCTGTGACTGCGGAATTCACAGTTCCAACACCCAAGCTTCCCACTGGTGCCTCCTCGAGGAGCCAGTACTGTGCCTCTGCGTGGGTCGGAATTGATGGCGATACCTGCTCCACGGCCATTCTGCAGACTGGAATTGACTTTTGCATCCAAGGCAGTAGCGTGTCGTACGATGCGTGGTACGAATGGTATCCTGATTATGCCTATGACTTTTCTGGCATCTCAATCTCGGCTGGAAATGTGATTAAAATCACTGTCGATGCCTCCTCCAAGACTACTGGTACTGCCACCGTCGAAAATGTGTCCACTGGAAAGTCTGTCACCCACACCTTCAACGGTGGCGTTGACGGTGATCTCTGCGAGTACAATGCTGAGTGGATTGTGGAAGACTTTGAGAGCAACAGCTCTTTGGTGCCATTTGCCAATTTTGGTACTGTTAAATTTACAAATGCCGAAGCCACAACCGGTGGAAGTACCGTTGGTCCTTCTGGTGCTAGCATTCTCGATATCAAGCAGGGCAACTCGGTTCTGACATCGGCTTCCGTGTCTGGCAACAGTGTCACTGTCAGCTATGTCTAGATTCCTCAAATGAACGAACGCTAGCTAGGTTTCTCGGGTTGAATTGAGATTGCCGTGGTGGCTGAATATATCGTGTTCGAGTGTCATGGTGGAGAGTATTGGAATGATGAAGAGTTTTGCTAGAAAAATGAAAAGCGATTTTCACTGAAGTCGGCCGCCGTGACCTAATATTAGTATAACATGTATACCATTGAGCTTGACCGTAGACTATGTATACTTATTAAAATTACATTAACTATGCATGGTAGGCCCCTCTCTGGCCAACGAGGCTTGTTCTTGTTTCTTAATAGTGAGCTCAAGGTCCCCCTAATAATTTATGCAAAGATCCACACCTGTTCTGTTTGAGAATTTTCGGACATGTGTTCTAACACATCTAAAAAGTTCAAAGGCCAACGCTATGTGTTTGGTTTATCATAAAGCCAACTGGAGGTACCGCTAATATCACTGCGTACATAGTGGATGAGCCCATGCTTACTGGATCAAACCAAGGTGACGCCATTTTAATCTAACACCATGCCAAAATTACATTTTCTAAAAAAAGAAATCAATGAATAAGTGGTGAGACTTTCAGCGGGAGTCTAAGGTTGCTTTTTCAATTTACAGTAAAATAGCTGGTCCAATCATATGAGAAGATGTTCGTAACATAAGAGCGTCCGAAGAGATATTCCTGGAGGCCATCCATGTGGTGAGCCTTTGACCTGATAGCCCCGGGTTAGTTGACAGTATCTGTCTTCTCGACCCTATGACCGGAGAACAAGACTGGCTTTCCAGGATCATCGGGTATTTTGATCCATAAAATCGCCGTAGCGCATCGTGTAGCACATAATAACAAGCACCGTATCTCAAAATTGTGCAAATTTTGAGACCAATCATGGTTGATGAAAGTCGAGGGTGGTGGAACTTTTGCTTTCGGTAGTCAATAATACTGTCCGCCCGCTTCAAAACCTGAGGTTCAATGTTCTCGATTTCAGACTTTGTTCCCTTCTCCGTGATGTTTGCCGAAGAACCTATCGGAGGGAGTTCCTCTATTGGAGCCAGTCGGGATAATTCTTCCTGCAATGCACCACCATTGAACAACATTGCGATTGTTCCCTTAGCAACACACTGTTCTAACGTCTTGGGTGGGATCTTTCTTATAATGGGATGATTTGATCGGTAAGGGGCGATGACTCCAATGGGGACATCTAAATCTACGCCCACGAGCTTGACCATGCTGCTCGGGATTGGCGGAAGTGCATGGATGTCACAATGAAAAGCGTGACTGCCCGTCATTGCGTGTCGCTTGCATGGTTGACGTTGCTTTGAAAAAAAAAAACCGGTTCAAAGCCTCAGGGTCGATCGCGACAATTCCGTAGCCGACGTTGGCCGGAATTATTGCAATTCCACCCTGTTTGAGAACTTCAGATACCATCCTGGCATCATTTTTTGCATTGATATTTTGTTATTTCACTTCAAATTTGCAGGATTTGAACGTAAATTGGCAACTAAATGTAGGATCAGCTGTCTTTGCATGCAAGGAACAAACTTCGCAAGACATCCAGTTCCCCAAAATAAGTTTGCATACAGCAGAAGAGCCAGGCTACTTCAAACCAAAAACATGATGTTACCTGTCTATCAAGAAACGTAGCATCACTTCTCTGGGGTTATACAGTCTGTGTGACCGAAAGGAACAGTGACGAGAGAAGTCACGTAGCTCCTGTGCAAAAGAGCCAGATCAAGGACAAAAGCCGATTCTTAACCATATACCAACGAACAGGATTTGCCAACTTGAACACTTCTCAATGCGACTCTCGGTTTTTTTGAGAGCTAACCCAAAGACACCCATTACTCGATCCTCACATGCGAGTCATTTGAAAGAAACTCCCCACGACTTGCCCCCTGAGTATCCTCTAATTGTGATGCAGTGATATTCACTAATTCAGTAGGCCATACAGCATGCCAAACACCTCGGGCACGGATAGCATATTCATTGTCCTTGTCAAGGTTCATCGTTGGCAAGTTGATTGTGGTTTGCAAGGTTTGACGTGGCAGTAATTCCACCAGATCATCTCTAGAGGCAGGAAGCTTGCGTGATACTTTGATGACAGGAGCCGGTATTGTCTGATGTGTTTTTGTGTCCCAAATTTCAAAGATGCCTAGGACGCCGGCTTGCGGGTCTAACGGGGTAGCCCATTTGAGAAAGGTAACTGGGAAGTCCGCCGCATTGTGAACTGATGCTGTGATATGGATAGTGGGCGGTTCCTTGGCTCCTATCATTGGGGCCTGAGATGCCAATGTGACCTGCAAACTCAAGCATGAGTCCATGACGTGGTGTCACTCTATCGCGGAGAGGGAAGTGGTCGGACTGTTGATTCCTCGCAGTTATGGTAAAGAAGATGCAAGGTGAAGATTTTATTCGAAGAAAGAACGAAAGGTGAAACAAAACTATTGTACACAGGGTGAGCATGTTCCACATTAATGGAAAGTAGCCGCTCATCTATCCTTGCAGAATTTTATATAACCAATCAAATATAAATACCACGCCAAGTCTTCTCCTCATGGTGATCTCTGCCTCATCTTCACGGGCTCCGTCTCGCTCCCGTCTCTCCAAGGCTTGGCCTCCGAGTCATAATGTGTGGGGTTGCTCGACATACTGTAAAGCCAAGCCTCTGTTTGCTCTAAACAGTCATGCGACCGAGCTTTCTAATGGCTGAGACTAAGCATTCTATCTATAATCAAGACTACGGCGCCGTCTTGGGTTGTATCTTGGCACCGGAGTCCGGCGATGAATGCAGGGTCGATGGCTTGGCACGATATCACGAAGAGGAGAAGTATCATACAGTGAACATAGCTAGCTGAGGATTATTTTGCGGTATTCTGCGAAGTAAATATGTTTGTTTTTGCTTTTTTGGCGCAACAGGGATCTATATTGACTACTCATGTCTCTATTTTGTCCTCCGGTGGGCATAGTAAAGTATTTTGGCACTTAGAAGATAGTCCTGTAGGCCTCAAATACCTAATTTGTATGGCAACGAAAGGAGGGTTCTGTACATTCACACCCGGACTAAACAAGTAACGGTCTTATCTTTTTACCTTTTTCCTCAAACATGCCAAATGCCAGCACAGCCGACGGCGTTGCGTTTACTTCCCCTCAATCTCGATATACAGGTTGCTTTGCAAGGCCTATTGAAGATACGGGATTCCGCCGGGCCAAGAAGACAGTGTATATCGCATCTGCAGAGCGATAGCTATCTTGAAGAATCTAGGGCCAGTCAGAAGCCTTCCTCGTGGCTTCTGCATCCTGTTCAGGATTAGCCACGAGTGATCACGGCTGTTCAATGCTATGGAATACTACCTTCGGCCTTCCGCTATTGCAATGGTCAATCGCAATTATTGAGATATGCGGCAGGCATTCTGTGTTGTTATCAATGCCATATAGGTATAAGTATCAGCATAGTCCCCCCTCGTGATGAAGTTATCCAAGCATCGAAAGGCAATCGCAAGTCATCAGATTTTATATTCACCAATCAGCCATTGCTACCTACAATGCGTTTCGCTACACTGTCCACTGCTCTCCTGGGTCTTGCCCAATACGTGCACAGCTTACCAGTCGACGCTGATGGAGCATCTGTGCTTGATGTTGCATTGACTCACGTCAGTGACACTCGCATCAAGGCTGTGGTGAAGAATTCTGGCAAGGAGGATGTTACTTTTGTTCATCTGAACTTTTTCCGGGATAGTGCACCTGTGAAGAAGGTTGACGTCTTTCAAAATGGTATGTAAAGATTTCGAGCGAACTCATACACAATGCTAACTTTTGAACAGACGCGGAGATTACCTTTGAAGGAATCAAGCGCCGTTTCAGACTTGAGGGTCTCACCTCAGAAGCTCTTACCTCGCTTGCGGTAGGAGAGACCTTTGAGGATGAGTTTGACATTGCGAAGACCAGTGACCTCTCGACTGGAGGTCCACTGACATTGCGGTCGAGTGGACTTGTGCCAATCGTCACCAATGGCACAGTCACAGGATATGTGCCTTACCGCTCAAATGATCTCAAGATCGAGGTGGATGGTGTCAAGGCATCTCGTGTTTTGAAAGCTATCAAGCCTCTCGATCGACGCACAAGCGAAAGCTGCAGCGACTCCAGCAGGAAGTCTGCACTGGACAAAGCTCTGAGCAACACCGTATCATTGGCAAATGCTGCTGCCTCTGCTGCGCTCTCGGGGTCTGCTTCCAAGTTCAGCGAGTACTTCAAGACGACCTCCACCTCCACTCGCCAGGTCGTGGCCGCTCGGTTGAAGGCTGTTGCCAAGGAAGCTGCTTCCACTTCTTCGGGCTCGACTAGATACTATTGCACCGATGTGTATGGGTACTGTGAGAGTAACGTCCTCGCCTATACACTCCCGTCTCTGAACGTCATCGCCAACTGCGACATCTATTATTCCTACCTGCCGGCTTTGTCAAGTAGCTGTCATGCACAGGATCAGGCCACCACAACCTTGCATGAGTTCACCCATGCCCCAGGTGTCTACAGCCCTGGAACTGAGGACAATGGATACGGATATTCTGCTGCCACTGCTCTCTCGAGCAGCCGCGCCGTTTTGAACGCAGACTCGTATGCGTTGTACGCGAACGGTAAGTTATTGAATTACAGACTCCTTCGGGAAGACTGAGACTAACGAGCTTATAGCAATCTACCTTGGATGCTAATCGCCGGTCCTCAGGAAAGGGAGCCGCCCGTGGAAGACATTTGGGATCATCTGAGCCTGTGTCTTGGATTTGGTGTAAACAAGCTCGAAGTGATGTTGATGAGTTGAAGTTTGTAGCTATGACAATGAGAATTTGAAATTTTGATCGAACTTGTTGCTCAGTCGGAGAACTGTAGTAGGAGTCGTGGAATTGGGGAGCGTAGATCCACTTCGGGGTAATGTCGCCTAGTCTTGATGTTGTGCAGTTGTTAGATCTGAATAGCTGGGTATTAGCATGTATTCATCTAGTTTCAAGGCAGTCAATTCTAGGTTATCACGGCACCTTTCGAAGGATGTTGGAAATCACCATTCTGGCATCCACGATGTAAATCTGGCTCAATTGGGCCACATCCACATAATACCTTAAATGACTCAACGCCGCTCGAGAATGTACATCCAATGAAATATTTCCGGCACATAGGTCGAGGGGGTAGCGGGACCAGCAGGTGCCTTTAATGGGATACGGGCCTGAAGTGTCCAGTGGTCCGCTAAGTGATGAAGTCCATCGAAGCGTATAGTTGAGTATGAGAGGGCAATCCATCTCGAGCCCTTCTGGGTCAATGGGAAAAGCTGCAAGGCCAGTAGCTCGACGGGCTTCAGCGTGGTTGCAGCGTTCTTTAAAAGTATTTTTTGGACGGCAGGGCAGCTAGTCAAAAAGTCATTTTGACGTGACAATTGGTGGTCTTCGGACGTGGCTACAGCATCGCTAGTGCTTTTGTCGAGAATCACATCGAATGGAGCAAAGTCAGACAGAGTAGACACATCACTCCAGGACCGTAAATCGACACGTAACCAAGGCATGGCATGTGCCGATTCCTTATTACTTTCCAACTCTTTACCACGACGAACAGCTTCGATAGAAAAGTCAGCATTCTATCATAGACAATTAGTAAAGTACCGCAACACTGGACTTAATATTACCCACCACGATGCCATTGCCCTGCCATTTTCGCTCGATAAATCGGTCTCGTAGCTTATTTCCAAGTTCGGAAACACCAGGACCAAGGTGCAAGACACGAGGTTTCCTTATCATGTCCTTCTGGGGAACAATTCGGTTTTCTAAGTTTGATAGCACTGCATCTATGAGCGCTTCACCAGAGTTCAACCATTCACCCACATCAGAGCCTGTCGCAAAGCGGGTATCCCAAAATTCTGGGTCATCGTAGTCTGGGGCCCCCTTGAGCTTCGTTTGTATCCTCATCATCCTGGATCATGAAAGTCATGAGATAATGGGTTCGCAATGAAAGGACCAGATTTTGCTTGGCGGTCAGGGAAGCTGACTAGCGTATTCTGGCGGGGCGGCATGCCAAGACTCCGCCCAGCCAGAAACTATCGGAAAGCCAGTCGGGTACTCCAACCTGCACAATTGATCCGTCCTATTGACATTTCTTTTGGAAATTATTTGAGAAAAATCTCAATCGACTTGGCTTTGCATGTCACAGAAAATGAGGATAGATTTCTCCTGAGACAAAATTCTCCGGTTCTATGATATAGTTGCTACTATCGTGGCTGTAGGGTGTTTTGAGTAGAACCCCCATTATTGATACGCTAAATGTGATTTTATTGCAAGGCAGCAACCAACTCGTCCACGCTCTTCATCTGACGAGCATTGTTTTCTCCCACGTCCAATGCAACCAAGAACCGACTCACACAGTTGTACCCAGCGATACCAGTGGTAAGTTCCACAATCTCACGGTCATCATATCCGACTGTCTTCAATTCAGCAAATACCGCATCTTCCACAGTAATGGTCTGGGTCATTTGGTCGGTATAGCGCAAAACGGCCCGTTGCTGTGGAGTAAGCGCGCTCTTCTCGAGCTCAGCAGTGTCCCCCTTGGCGGTGGAAGGTAATGTGCGAGCAGCTTGCAATTCAGCGGGCTTAATACCACCCTTGAGAGCTAGCGGGGCGTGGGCATTCCATTCGTAGATAGCATTGTTAAGCACAGCGACCCGGCAAACAGCGAGCTCCATGACACCAGAATCGACAAGGGTGCGGGAGCGAATAGCTCCAATGAAGCTGTTCCAGCCATCAGCAACGGGTGGGCTATGAAGCAGAGACAGATCAAGTGGAATCAATGGGCGAGGGTTCCTGCGCTCAGCGATGCGGGCATAGGTGTCAACGGTTTCGGCCGAGGCATCGGCCGGCGGGGTGGAGGGGGCGTAGGGCAGACGCATGTTGCGGGTTTGATTGACAGATGTACGTGTATGTCTTAAAGAAGGATTATATAGCGACGCAATAGAACTGCGAAATATGCGCATGTTACTAGATCCGTAGACGGCATCTTGTCGATGTCATAACCGAGCGGGAGTAGATGGGGGAAAGATATTACCCGGTGTGGGGGAGGGTTTCTCCGGGACCGAACTATGTGAACTTGTACGTAGACCAGACGGTGTGAACTGTTAGAATTGCAGTTTGATACTACTGCGCTCTGTAGACATGCTCACAGACTGTAATCTGAATACAAGAAAATCTGAATATCAATTGCTCTCCTTGTAAGTTGTAAATTCTCTATCGGGTATATATCCTTCGTACTGAGTGTAGTCCATTGAATTTCGTAGACAGCAGATGGCCATTTTAATTCCATCTTAATAACCCCAGACCAACCCGACCAAACCATAAAAATAACGGAATCAAACCCGAGACCAACAATGGCAGTCAAACGTGTCGGCAGTGAGCAAAACACACTCCCGTTGCCGCCCCTCGATGCCGACCTCCCCGCATGCGGATAATTTACTTTTCAACTTCAATGCTTCGTCCATTTGCAACTGTTCCTCGTCGCGCATTCTCTGTCTCAGCCGCCAATATGAAGCACCACTTGATGGTCGGCACATGGACGAAACCCGGTCGCATCTATACCGTGCAATTCGATGACGAAGCCCTCACTCTGGAGCTGGTCAAAAAGACCGACATCCCCGAAGCCGAGCCAATCTCATGGATGACCTTCTCGCACGACAAGAAGGCCATCTATGGTGCTGCCATGAAGAAGTGGAACAGCTTCGCCGTCAACAGCCCCACTGACATTGTTCACCAAGTGTCGCACCCCGTCGCCGGCCACCGTACGTTTCCAAGTCCCTTGCAGATCCCCCGCTGACCTTCAGCAGCTCTCGCTCCCAGCAGCGAGACCAACACCCGTGCCATCTTCGTCCTCGCCGCCCACCAGCCCCCCTACAATGTCTACGGCAACCCCTTCTATAACTACGCCGGTTACGGCAACGTGTTCTCTGTCAATTCCGACGGAGCTCTGGACACCAATGTGCAGAACTACGAATATGACCCCAAGACCGGTATCCACGGCATGGTGTTCGACCCGACAGAGACCTACCTCTACTCGGCCGATTTGTCGGCCAACAAGATCTGGACGCATATCAAGGACCCCCAGACGGGTGAATTGACCCTCGTGGACTGCCTGGAAGCCCCCGACCCCGGTGATCATCCCCGCTGGGTCGAGATGCACCCCAGTGGCAAGTACCTGTATGCGCTGATGGAGGCCGGCAACCGCTTGGCCGTTTACGTGATCGATGAGCGCACCCACAAGCCAGTGTTCACTCACATCACTTACCCTCTGCTACCCTCTGGTGAGTGACATGACCGTTCCCACTCGCGACTTTGCTAACTCAATAGGCCTTCCTCCGCGCAACAAGTACCGTGGCGATGTCACCTTTTGCACCAAGAGCGGAGAATACCTCTTTGCGACCACTCGCTCCAACCACTTCGACGTGACCGGCTACATCACCGCATTCAAGCTTGGCCCACACGGCGAGATCGAGCGTCAGCTGTTCATTAACCCCACATCTACCAGTGGTGGTCACTCCAACGCAGTCAGCCCTTGCGACTTCAGCGACGAGTGGTTGGCGCTTTGCGATGACCAAGAAGGATTCGTGGAGATGTATCGCTGGCGTGATGAGAAGCTCGCACGCGTGGCGCGTGTGGATATTCCGGAGCAAGGATTTGGTATGAACGCGATCTGGTACGATTAAATGATAATGAACAAAATAGAAGTATATATTATAGCGTGTTGTATATTTATAAATGTAGGACAAATGTAGTATATCGTAGTCCATAGTAAAGAGTAGCGAGAGTATAGAAGTAGTGGGGGATGTCGGCAGTCGAGTTCGGTTGTGCTTTGCTTTCATCCGGAAAGGCAAATCCAATGCCGAACGATGACTTGATGGGATTATCTTACGAGTCCTGGTGTTTGGATTCTGTTTCTTGATTGATTCTTGACTCTGAACTCTTGACTCTTGACATCCTCACATCCATCATGCCTACTCCCGGTCTCCTCTACGTCACCATGCAGCCCAAGGGCTCGCTGCCAGACACTCAGTTCCACGACTGGTACAACACCGAGCATGGCCCTTTGCGTCTTCGTCTGCCCTTCGTTACCAATGGCTTCCGTTTTCGCGCGACCGATGGCGAGCAGCCCGAGTATGTGGCGCTGTACGATATCACCGACATGGACGAATTGACCCGCGAGACTTACTTGTCGCTGCGCACCAATCTGATCAAGACCGAGCGTGAGAAGAAGACCATGGCACAGATCGACGTGGGTCGCCTACTATACGACCTAGTGGACGAGCGCAGCAGCCCCAACTTCCGCCCGCTGGAGGACCAAGCCGACACAGATGCCGAAACCCGGGGCAGCGTTCTTGTCGCTGTCCGAGTTGCTACTGACCCCACCAAGGAAGCTGATCTGGAGCAATGGTATCGGGAGGAACACTTTGACATGCTCTCTCGTGTGCCTGGATGGCGTCGTAGTCGCCGCTTTGTTACTGCTGCTATTGATCCTGCTGCCCCGCGTGAGCACCTTGTCCTGCACGAGTATGCCCCGGTCAATGGCCTCGGAGGTGATGCCCACAAGGCTGCCATGAGCACCCCTTGGGGTGCTCGCCTCATGAGCGACGTGGTGACCTCCAAGAACCGCCGTGTGTATGAGTGGTACTATACGTTTGGCCCTGCTCCCCGTGAACTGACCTCGTTGGCTGCCCCGGATGTCGTTGGACCCTGGAACTCCAACGATGGTCGCACTCGTACATTCCCATCGTCTACCCGCCCAGCTGTCGAATCCTTCGTCACCACCGCTGATGGTGTCGAGATTCCTTACCGTCTGGAGGGTAGCACCGACCCCTACGCACCCGTTGTGGTGCTGAGCAACTCCATCCTCGTCAACTGGAGCATCTGGGACCGCTTCGTGGATGCCTTCTTCGCCCAGAAGCAGAACCAGCGCTACCGTATCGTGCGCTATCTCACCCGTGGTCGCCGCTCTGCAAGCGGCGAGCAGCCCGTCAACATTGATGTGCTAGCCTCTGACCTTGCCACCTTGCTGGAGGCCCTGCGTGTCCCTCCCAAAGCCGCCCGTTTGATCGGTGTCAGCCTGGGTGGTGTGACCGTACTCAACGCTTCTCTCCTCTATCCCGAGCGCGTTGGAGCCTTCATCGCCTGCGACACTAACTCTTCCGCTCCCGAGTCCAACCGCAAGGCCTGGGGTGACCGTGTCGCCATCTGTGAGAAGGAGGGCTCTGTGGACCCTGAAACCAAGGAGTCCATCGTCGGCGAAGAGCTGGCCGAGGTCACCACTCGCCGCTGGTTCGTGCCCGAGTCCTACAAGACCCAGCCTGAGGTTCTCGCCCCTGTCAAGGAGGCAGTGCGCACCAACAGCCTGAAGGGCTTCGCCCACAGTGTCCAAGCTCTCTGTGCCTACGATATCCGCGATCGCATGGCTTCTGCCACTGTGCCCGGTCTGTTTGTTGCTGGAGCCAACGACGGTGTCCTCCCCCAGACCATGCAGAAGATGGCCGCTGATCTGAAGGGCGGTGCTGAGCTCAAGATCATCGACCGTGCTGGTCACTTGCCTATGGTTGAACAGCCCCAGGCCTTTGCTGATGTTGTGACTGAGTTCCTGGCCAAGATTGATGGTTGATTGCATTTATATAAGTTCTCTATAGATATATTTGTCCCTTCAAAAGATTATATATTGGGAAATGACGGAATGTCTTTGATGACCATCCCTTGAGCATATTTACCTCCATTCCCTGTAGCATATTCTAGTTGTTCTGCGCAAGTGAAAGTTGACAGGTATTATCACCGCACAGCTTCATGTACAAATTGATTTCAGCGACTGGTTCATGTGCCAGATTACCCTGGATATCGAAACTGACGTGGAGAAGTGATCTGATCAGGTGGTCAGACAAAATAAACATCACTTCAGGTGAAGTCAACTGGTCAAGTGGGAGGTCGGGCGGACGACGGCGACCAACTGTGAAATACGCATCTTGCGGGGAAACACACTCTTCTTCGGAGCAACTCTCACGCACTTCCCTTCTCATCTTTCAATCACCATGCCAGACAGCAAGATCCCTCAGCCAGGGCCAGCTAAGCTGAAGCGCAATGCCGGCCCTGATGAGTGGCTGGAGGCCGCCAAGGACTGCAAGTACCTGTCAGAACCGCACATGAAGCAACTCTGTGAAATTGTCAAGGAATACATGATGGAAGGTAAGTGAGATCGTTCTTTGGCCTCATCTTACCGTACTGACATGTGCAGAATCCAATATTCAACCAGTCTCAACGCCGGTTACGGTTTGTGGTGACATTCACGGACAATTCTACGATCTGCTCGAACTGTTCCGTGTCTCTGGTGGCATGCCCGATGGCACTGAACTAGACTCCCCGAAAACCTCCCCCTCCGTGATCACATCCGCCGATATCGAACCTCCTTCCAGCATCACAGACCCAAAGATCCGCAAGAAGCTCCGTGGCCCTAGCGTGAGCTCCAAGGACGAGAAAGAGACGGGCGCACGAAGTCGATCAGCCAGTGATACTTCTGCGGACCTTCAATTGGACCGCAATTTTGTGTTCCTAGGAGATTATGTGGACCGTGGATACTTCAGTTTAGAGACTTTAACGCTTTTGCTCTGTTTGAAGGCGAAGTGAGCGATCCCCGGAAGTGTAGCAATAAGAGCACATCACTAACCTACTTTTGCTAGATATCCCGATCGAGTTACTTTGGTCCGAGGCAACCACGAGTCGCGACAAATCACCCAAGTCTACGGTTTCTACGAAGAATGTTTCCAAAAATATGGCAGTGCGTCAGTGTGGAAGGCATGCTGTCAGGTCTTTGATTTCATGACACTGGGCGCTATCATCGACGGCAAGGTGCTGTGTGTTCACGGTGGCCTGAGTCCCGAGATTCGGACACTGGACCAGGTTCGTGTGGTAGCACGCGCACAAGAGATTCCCCACGAAGGTGCATTCTGTGATCTGGTTTGGTCTGATCCAGATGACGTAGAGACATGGGCTGTGAGCCCCCGAGGAGCAGGTGAGGCTGAACATGGTTCCTTGATACGAGCACAGCTAACGATACTCAGGGTGGCTCTTTGGAGACCGAGTTGCGGACGAATTCTGTCATGTCAACGATCTCTCGCTGATCGCACGTGCACACCAACTCGTCAACGAAGGCTACAAATATCATTTCAACAACCAAAATGTCGTGACCGTGTGGAGTGCGCCGAATTACTGCTACCGGTGTGGTAACTTGGCCTCGGTCTGTGAGATTGGAGACGACCTCAAGCCCACCTTCAAACTGTTCAGCGCAGTCAGCGATGATCAGCGACATGTTCCGACCTCGCGGCCAGGCCGCAGCGAGTACTTCCTGTAAGATGAGCTGAGTTACCGGCGCTGGCGTTCAGGTATTTCGAGGGAGCATTATATAATGATTTAGACCAGACTTAATGATGCATACGCCTCTTGGGAAGGAAAGTATTGTCATATATGTACGGAGTAGGACGAATCAATACCTTTCACGAAATCAGCATAAGAAGAGAAGAGGCAAATGGCCGAGGTCGTGTCCGTTCCGAGCCCGGGATCAGTTCCGAACTTCGCGGGTTTCATCCCGAACTCCGCATAAAAGACCCCAGTATATGCACGCTGACCACACAAATCTTGACAGTTTGACATGGAGAAAGTCGACGTACTTATTTGTGGCAGCGGGTCTGCCGGTCTCTGTGCTGCTACTTGGCTTGCACGTTATGGCGTACGCTGCAAGGTATTGGAGCGGCGCGATGGCCCTATGAAAATGGGTCAGGCGGATGGCGTCCAATGCCGCACCGTGGAGATCTTTGAAAGCTTTGGAATCGGCGAAGAGCTTCTTCGTGAGGCTTACCATGTCCTAGAAGTCAACTTCTGGGCCGACAATGGTGCTGGCGTCATCAAACGGACTGGCCGAACAGCGGATACCCAGCCAGGTCTATCGCATCAGCCTCATGTTATTCTGAACCAAGCCCGAATCAACGGGCTTCTCATTGAGCTGATGCATCAATACAACAATCAGCAAATCGACTACGGGTATAATGTCACCGATGTTGAAGTGAACAGCGCCCTTGTTGCAGATCATGATGCCCATCCAATCAAAGTCACCGCAGAGAAGAATGGAAAGACAGAGACTTTTGCTGCAAAGTATGCCCTGGTAAGCATCTATTCATTTACTGTCCAATCTTTACTCTAACTCATTTGTAGGGCTGTGATGGTGCACACAGTGTTGTCCGCAAAGCTCTTGGATACAAGATGATTGGAGACAGCAGTGACGCCGTCTGGGGTGTCATGGACATGGTCCCACGAACAGATTTCCCTGATATTCGCAAGAAATCGACCATCAGATCTCAGGCTGGGAACATTCTGATCATCCCCCGCGAGGGTGAGAGCAACAACCTCACACGCTTCTATATTGAACTTGCCGCGGGAACCAACCCGAAAGAGGTGACCCTGGAGAATCTGCAGGCTCAGGCACAAAGTATTTTCCACCCATACAAGGTGGAGTTTGTCGAAACTGTTTGGTGGTCTGCCTATGCAATTGGTCAACGTCATGCCGATTTCTTCCACAAGGACAACCGAGTCTTTTTGGCCGGCGATGCTTGCCACACCCACTCTCCGAAAGCTGGACAAGGGATGAATGTCAGTCTTCAGGATGGCTATAACATCGGCTGGAAGCTTGGTGAAATCCTCACCGGTCTTGCTACGCCCTCCCTCCTGGAAACTTATGTCCTGGAACGCCAAAAGGTCGCCATTGATCTGATCAACTTCGATCGCTATTTCTCCAAAATATTTTCATCCGGAGCTGCAACCTCGCCTGCCGAATTTCAGGAGGGCTTTGTCAAGTCTGGTAGATATACGGCGGGTTTGACAGCAAAGTATGAGGTCTCGCCAATCACATCTGCATTGGAATCGGCCAAACTCGCCTCAAATGTGGTCGTTGGCATGCGACTGCCGAGTGCGCAGGTTGTGCGCTTCTGTGATTCCCAGCCCATGCAACTCATGAAGTGTCTCAAATCGGATGGCCGATGGCGCATCATGGCTTTTGTCGGTGATCTAGGGGTTTCAGAGAATCAATCGAAATTGAGCAAAGTATGCCTGTCTATTTCTTTCAATGTTGGCCACCGTCTAACTTTGCTTCTTTTCAGCTTGGTGATTACCTTTGCTCGGAGGAGGGGCCAATTCATACGTTCACACCCAAGAGTCAAAACATTGACAGCCTGATCGAGACTGTCGTAATTGGCCATGGGAAGCGCCACGAAATTGAACTTGAGCAGATTCCCGAGTGCTTCTATCCACTCTCTGGGAAGAACCAAACGAGAGGTATCCTTTTCTGACAAGACTACACCGGCCATTGCTGAACCCTTTCCAGATCTACACAAGATTTACTATGACGATGAAAGCTATAACCAAGGTCACGGCCATGCATACGAGTTCCTTGGGATTGATCCTACACAAGGTGCTATCATCATTGTTCGCCCTGATCAATGTACGTGATGCTTCACCGCAAATCAGCTTATAAACTAACAATCATGACTACCAGATGTGTCTGCCGTTATGAGACCTGCTGACTATATAGAGATCGGCAAGTTCTTTGCCGGATTCCTCAAAGCCCAAACGTAGGTTGGCACCTGCGGGCCTTTAAAGACAAATTAATCAACTGAATAATTTGTTATAGGGGCACTGATGCTAGATATCCATCCACTGGCCAATTTGGTAGCAGACTTTGATATGCCTTGCATGCATGGATAAATTGGAAGAAACTAGGGAGTTGTGACGGTGACTATCCTTTCGTAGCTTTGTGGGCACGGTGATGTACAAATCGTCGGAGTTCAGGATGAGAATTTCATTTTACCCAACCAAATCTATTCTATTCTCGAGTATATTACCTTCATCCGCAGGGGCAATGGCATTTATGATTATACTTGTGAAGTCATAATATAGTAAGCAATAATGCAGTCGTTGAACGCTGCTCACGGACTAAAATAAGATAAAAGAAAAAGGACATCAATTGAACACTGTGATAATACTATGGCCAGATGCCCCATCAAAGTAAGTATCGGAAGCTCTCGATCTCATGATCAGTCTTGTTGGACAGCTCGTCCTGCAACTCTTCTCCTTCGGTCATGTCTCTGGGTGAGCCGTAAAGTCTATCCCTTCGACGATTTTCATAAACATAAAAGACGTACAGGCAGATCAGGAAGAAGATTCCAAATGCAAGACCTGACATGGCTGCCTTGATTCCGGTCTTTTCATTATTAGCCATGAATTAAGAACAGGGATGGATACTGACTGACCTGGTAAGAAGGCTCTTCCGAAGGAATGAAGAACTGAGGACCGACAATGTTGCCAATACAATATGCTGCAAACATAAGAGAGCTGACAGTACTCTTCTTTGTAAATCCGGCCACGTTCGAACTAATCAGACTCAGTGATAGAGGGATATTGGCAGCAAAAACACTGCCGAGACAGAGCCCAGTCATCTTGCCCGCTCGGTTGTCAGCATCCAGCTTCCAGATAAGAATCATACCAATCATTGAGATTGCTGTGTTGATGATCATCATGATAATTCGACTCTTTGGAACGATAGAAGCGAATCCCGATGTAAGAATGAGAAAGACGAGCTGCGCACCACCAATTGGCATCTGAATAAGAAGGGACTCGAGATGACCGAATCCAAATCCGGAAATGATGATGGCAGAGAAGCTGGTTAGACCACCATTGCAGAAGTTGACACAAAGCGTGTAAAGCACGAGAAACCAAGTTTGGAGATCTTTGACTGCCATCCAAACCTGTCCCCATTTGAAATTACCTGCGTCCAGCACACCTGTCTTATTCTTCAGCGTTCTTTGTACAGCAATGGAACGCTCCTCTGGCTTGAGGAAGACTGCTTTGGCAGGCGAGTCTGGTAGTGCGAAGAACAAGACCAAAGCGTAGGCAGAGGTGACGGCGCCGAGAATAAGAAACAACAGTTGCCATTGGGCAATACTGGTGATGTGGATATTACCGATACCATATGCAATCAAGCCTCCCAGGAGCACAGCAATCGAATTGCCAAGGAACCAGGCTGCCTGTCTGGCTGGCTGTTCTGCTCGAGTATAGAACATACCGGTGATGAGAGCAAAGCCAGGAGCGATCGAAGCCTCTGAATTTTACGTCAGCCATGCCATAACGTGAGAGCAGATGAACATCATAGCGTACCTCCGACGCCCAGGAAGAATCGGGCTGCCATGAGCCCACCCCAGTTTGTGCAGGCCGCATGGCACATTAACACCCCACCCCAGACAAAGACTGCAATGCTGAGGTATTTTCCCAATGGAAGTCTGACAATCAGATACGAGCTAGGCCAACTCCACCCAAAATATCCAAAGTAGAAGATGGCCGATGCCCAGTTGTATTCGCTGCCTTTCAGGTTCTAATTGAGGGACACTGTTAGTATGTCATTCGGGCCATGCAAAGAACCACTGTATCACATATAACGTACCAAATCTTGTCGAAGGTTGAAAAGTGTTGCTTGGCTGATGGCCAACTTATCAATATACTGCAGCATATAGCATGCTCCCATGAGAGGGATTCTTAGATGGAAATGAGTACATTTTTCATTATCGGATAGAACGGAATACTCACAAAAACATGTCAATCTTCTTCAAGACCTTCTTCTCCATCTCAGGGTTTGTTTCAACCTCAAACACCTGACCAAAGTCTACATCGCGAGCGGCAGAGTTAGACTCATTCTTGAGCTTCCCTAGGTCGACTTCGACGCCTCCGGATGGCGGTTGTTGCTTTTCCATGATGAGATAAACTTTCAAGATAGAATATTGTGAAGATGAATCATGTAGAAGGTAGTCAGTACTTGTAAATAAAGTGTGCTATATCAGCGACAATTTGATTTGTTTCTTTCTATCACTTGGGGGTTTTTCAGGGGGACTATATCACTTTGGAGACCTAGGCCGAGCCCTAATCTCCCAAGCATGGCGGCATTGGTGGCGACGTATAGATCACGAGATTTTGTGATAGGGAAGTCCTCCGCCCTGATTTCCGCAATCATGAAGTTAAGATTAGCGATGATTACGTTGAGAAACTTCATTTCTCCTCTCATCCCAGGCGGGGTTTAGGCGATATCACCCGGCAGGAATGCACGGGCAGGATTGACGGCAATGCGAGGCGGCGGAAGACATTTCTAGATGCCGAAGTAACAATCTTCGTACAGGTAGATACTGAGTTCTGCCTATTGTACCCCTCGCTGTTTGTCAAGAATAAGACTTGATATCAATTGACCTGAAAGCTAAATATTAACCTCGAATCGGCTAGTATAGCGAATCAGCAGTCTTCATCGGCAACCCACTTTACCTATCTTTGGCCCGACGAGAGTAGACACATCGGATAGGAGACTTGGCGATTGATTAGCGACTAAAGACAGGTGGCAGGTCATTCCCCACACTCGCGAAACCTGGAGAAATCCATGTGTCAATAGATGATTGCCGATGGGCTATCCTTCATTGGCCAAGCACATCGCGGGAAGATACCGTTATTTCCGCTTCATACTTCCCCCTCTTGTTGGCATAGGTCTGTTCACAATTATGGTCTTGACAATAGGCTGGTATGATTCCACTCGTCTCGATAACCGCCTGAGCCTGTCGGCAAACGCCACACGAATACTACCTAACTGATTATCTTTTGTAATGAACAGCATATCATTAATGAAGGTCACATAAACGGCTACATCGGATGTCGTCTAGGAGAAGTCTGAGACCTTGGTCATAGTTAAAATATGGATTGTCCCTCATAATGAAGTCCCATCAAACAAACTTAGCAAGAGTGTAGGAAAACGTTCAACCCACCATGACTGTTACAGCAATCGATATCGAAGAAGTAAGGGTTTCAGTGGATGCTGCCCTCCAGGCACTTCAGAAGGAATTGCGAGGACTCAATCACCAGGTTTTTGATCCCCTTATGTTCCGCTTTCTGTCCATGTCTAACCTTGATCCGACCTTCAGATTTGGTCCAATCCCGAGCTTGCATATGAAGAGCACCTTGCTCACAATGCAATCTGCGATTTCCTCGAGTCCCAAGGCTTCTCTGTCACTCGTCACGCGTATGGCCTGGATACCTCCTTTGAGGCACTGAGCGGATCTGGTGGACGGTTGATCAACTTCAACGCCGAATACGATGCCTTACCGGACATCGGCCATGCATGCGGTCATAACCTGATCTCTACCAGCAGTATTGCAGCCTTTCTCGCTCTTTCGTTCGTATTGAAGAAATACGGAATCCCTGGTCGAGCTCAACTGCTGGGCACACCCGCTGAAGAGAATGGAGGTGGAAAGGCCAAGCTTATCGACGCTGGGGCCTACAAGGGAGTTGACATCTCTCTCATGGCGTAAGTGCCTGCGTTAGAACAGCACTGGAGTTATGATGTTCTAATTGTCATTGAAGTCATCCAGGTCCTCATAAAATGTATCCGGAGGAGGGGGCTTGCGATGGTATTGCTGGTACTTTGATGAATGCCCGCAAAAACGTTCACTGTAAGCTCCTTGACCTCTTTCTCATTCTATTAGGCTAAAAAGTGGATTTGATTGCAGGCGAATTTACAGGAAGAAATGCGCACGCTGGCGGTAACCCCTGGGAAGGAATTAATGCTCTTGATGCCCTAGTGTCATCCTATAACAATGTTGCAGTTCTGCGCCAGCAACTGCTTCCGGATCAGCGCATTCATTGTGCTTTCCTGGACACGCCCAAGGTTGCTAATGTGATTCCGGCATACACTAAGGCATTCTGGCAGGTTCGCAGCCCTACACTCAAGGGGCTCAACAGCCTGATTGGAAAGGTGCGCAACTGTATCGAAGCCGGCGCGCTTGCCACTGGTTGTGAAGTCACAATCGAAGAGTATGAATTCCCTGAAATCCAAAGAAGCGCCATTGGCTGATGAATCTGCTTCAAGGGATGAACTCTATACCGATGTCCGTCTAAACGACACTCTGTGCGAGCGATACTCGGCGCATATGGGACGATACAATCGCAAGGTACTCAAACGCCATGAGAAGGTTCTGACTGGATCCTCGGATATTGGTAGGTCACCCCCATAGAGTCCATTGAGCGTCCGGACTGACTTCAATAGGCAATGTCAGCTACGAGACTCCCACACTCCACACAATGTTCGCCATCCCGGCCCCTCCAACCTCATTCCCTCATCATCCGACGTTTGCTGCAGCGGCTGGAACGGATGATGCTCATGCCGAAGCAATTATTGTTGGAAAGTCCTTGGCGCTGATTGGGTGGGAGATGGTGGCTGAAGCGACCCTATTTGATACAGCGCAGCTACAATGGAGAGACGAGATTGCCAAGGAGTAAATATAGAAGTATATAAGGAAAGGTCAGGTATGCACAATATACAAAGATTGAAGAGTATGAAGTTGAATAAAATAAGGAGCTTAAATCGTGCACGTCATGAATGACTCAGCCTTCCCCGCGTTATCGGCCTTATCGGCTTCGGTACTTCTCAGACCCTCAATTCTTCCACCTTCACTTAACTTCATCCTTTTGTCGTGGAGGGGGGGACAGTCAATCCATGTCCTTGCAATCTGGGCGTAACGGCCCACGTTCGAAGAGTGGTGAGTCCCTTGTCCAGGTTTCTCTCAAAGCCGGCTAACCGCTTTCCCCCCGTAGGCTGTAGTACCTGCCGTCGGCGCAAAGTGAAATGCGGCGAAGAAAAACCAGTTTGTGGACGATGCTCCGCCTTACGGCTCAATTGCGAATGGGGCATTCCAGTCAAGCGTGGACGAAGCACACAGATCAGACATCTCGAACCGGCACCGAGTGCGCCCGATCAGTGGCCCTTGTCCAAGGTCGAAGATCTAGTCGATACCCAACCAGAACTCCTTTATACAAGCCCTTCACCAGTTTCTTGGTCAGGCGACTTTGTGCCCTTCGACACAACTCAATTGACACCCTTCCGTCCCAACCTCGTTCCGACCCCGATTTATCCGGCGTTGAATTTCAATAATGTGCCTTGCGCCAATTCCCTGGCGCTCAATACGCTCGATCTCCAGTACTTTCAGTACTTTCCTTCATCCTTCCTCGTTTATTACTATATGAAAGGTTGGAAGTGGAGCAGTTTTTGGTGAGTTTCTCCGTTGCAAGGCAAAGGGCTGCACGTTCTTGTCCTGCATTCGGAGTTGCGTCCTGCTAATGCAATGCACATTCTATAGTCATCTATATCAAGGCCCTGCCGCATCCAATAAGGTAATAATGCGGATGATCTTGGCTCTATCCGCATGTGACATGCATCGCAATGGCTTGGTTGTGCGTTCTCCGGGTCGACCAACAGCAGATGACCATGGACGATATCATTATAGTCTGGCAGTGAAAGAGTTTAGGCAACTTCTCGAGACACCGCGTCAAGTTTCTTTAGATGAGGTCGAGACAGTCTTTGCAACGGTCTTCTTGATGATAGCTTGGGAGTGGCAGTTTGGACACTCGGTGCGTCACGTAAGGCTAACTCCCTCTAGGACTTCACCATTCTCAATGATCTTTCGGCTGATACTCCCGTAGTTACAACTTCATCTCCAGGGTGTTCGCTCCCTTCTGGAAACACACCCTCAACTTTTCCGCATCAAAGATGTCAACGATATGTTTTTATCTCCTGGGCCTGGTAGCCCATCCGATGAGCCTGGAACCGTTGCCAAGGTGTCTTTTATCCCTGAGCAATTCTTACTGTGGATATTGTGAGTATGTCGAGCCCTGGATTTGGTTTACAGCACTCACATCACCCAGATATATCGACTCCAGCTGCCAGCCCATGGGTTTGACCGAGTCTTTAAATGATTATGTTGCAAAATCCGGGAATCCCGCTCTGCAGCCAGATCATCTGCACCGCTGCGCTCGTCTCTGGGGTAGGTGCTTTTGGGGCGAACAATATCCCGATGAGGAGGTCCTGGATGACATTGAGAACTACCGGGCCCTGGAACTGCTGCATGACGGATTCTGTCTACGTCATAGAACTTGGAAGGCTCTCGTGGACTCTGCGGCTGGTACCGCCGACTCTGCGGATGTCATATTCCGTGAAATCCTCACTATACGAGAAGTGAGTGCATATAAAATTCGAGAGTCTTGGTCTTGACTGATTGTGTTAGAAATTCTCCGACCTTTTCATCACTGCCAGATTTTCCGCCGGCGTCTCTGCTCGCCGGACGGTCAACACCGTCTATATGGCCGTCTCGACCTTCTACGCCCAGGTCATCCTCCACCGTCGCCTTCTTCGTGTAGACGCCTTTCCTGCGGCAATACACCAGCAGGCCACTGCAGGAATTGTAGATATTGCGCAAAAGCAGTTTCTAAGCGATCCCAACCTACTCAGGCGTCTACACTGGCCGTTACTGATGGCACTGATTGAGATCAACGACCCGACCCAACAAGCTTGGCTCCGGCAGCGCTTATGGGAACTACGCGAGTTTCATTCAGAATACGTGTGGGTGCATGATGTTGCCGAGCAGATCCTGGCTCAGCAAGATGTGAGCCAAGGCCGATATGTCAATTTGGCGGAATTATTACTGCAACGTTTTCATGCACAGTAAAGCACTTGAGCATATTTGTATATGTACGCAAATGTTTATAGATCAAAATTAATGTCTGATGTCCCAGTCTGCTGCGTGCAGCAGTTAGAGCAAACTCTTATTCTTCTCTACTTCTGCGTCGGAGGGGTTTTCCAAAAAGTAAGCATCGTAGGCTACTTCGCCCTTCTCTCTGGTCGCACGTCCAACAATGACACGATTGTTCATCCAGCGGTACCTTTCATGGCCAGTCTCAATCTTCACGTGTAGATGAAACCAGTACTGGCTGGGGTCCACCGGTCCGCCTTCCATTAGCGCCCGAAGCACTTCCGGGGGACCAGCTCTGGTGCCTTCCGTTCTGTTCTTGGTCAGCCTGTGGTCTTGGAGCCCCGGTATTTTCATTCAAAGAGATCCTACCGAATGTAAATATACGCCCCGTCATCACTTTTGATCATATAGTTGGTATTGACGTGTGTGGTCTGGTCCGCCTCAACCAACCTAGTCATTACATTAGAACATGTCTATAGTTCTGGGGTCATTGAACTCATACATGAAGTCTGCGCCTCCTGTAGGCACAACCTCGCCGTTGATGTACTTTCCCTTCACCGATCCAGACTTGATCGGAACACAACGCCTTCTTCCATAGGGGCCATTGCCGACCTCCATCGGCGGGTCTACCGCACAACGAAGAGTAAAGAGGTGGGTGAGCTTGGGTGGCGGTGACAGGGTTTCCATCGTGAATATCGAGATGTGTGAAGAAGAGAAGTTCCAAGTCGGGTGGGTATCGGGCTACGTCAAGCTTCTCTCCACTCTTCCCCATACCCCGGATATCTCGGCATTGCCCTAGTTTGATCTATAGATCGTGAGCTTGTATTTACTTCATCATCTGCCAAATTAGAAATATTGATTATAGTCATATTCTATGGATTTGATCTAGCATGATCAAACTGTTGCCTTGGTTTTTCCGGCTATGGGTATCTCAATTGGAGTCTTGTATCCACCAATATGCGAATTGATTTCAGCATTCTCTTATATTACTCGCTCCCTGAATACGAATGTCTAGAGGCCAACGCATGTAGGAATCGATGAGTTCTTAGACTCGAGTAAAAGCTCCAAACATCAAGTATCAAGGCAGATTCAGTCATGTGATGCTTTGTTTATGAAGAGATCAGACGAAGCTGCTACACTGACTGTCTTGCACGTCAGTCTGTATGTGGACGCTTCCTCGCTCTCCCTCTTCCTTTTCAGCTTAACCCACCCTCTCACTCATCACTGATCTCCTCTCCTCTCATTTTGGCGGCCCATTTGGGCCTTTTCTCATCTCTATCACTTCACGACTAGCCTGACTGATCTATCTCAGATTTACTTACACGCTTTCACAGGAATTCAGTTCATTGCAATGTATAATATCACATTGACCCGAATAACTAGCTGAGCTCGACTCCCTCAGTCTTCGCCAGACCCCAAATCACCATGGGTTCCAAGGGTCCGCGAGGTGCAACTTTACCCGGGCACGAAACAAACTGCGCCGAACCGCAGGCATTCGAGAACAGTAGTTCTCGGCGATGACTGTTCTCAATAGAATGCCTTCGATCGTTGTTAGCCACCCTGACGTTGCGAGACTCCTTTCGGACGAGATATTGGCTGTAGGCCATTGGAAACGCGAAATCGAGGAGGCCACAAAAACTTGCTCGCAGCAATGCATTTACTTTCGGAGGAGGAGATGTTATCCTTCATTCTCTATTATACAGATGAAATGTACCAATATGGTACCATCTACGAGGCTCCAAGTCCACCATTGTCGGCGGGCGATCTGTTGGGCGTGGACGTAGTGAAGGATCCGATCTAAGCTAAAAATGTTGGGAATCATGACTTACGATATTACATGAACATTGAATTGAATGCGAAGATTGCAAAGGCTGAAGACTCTTGACTTCAACAGTAGCGATTGTATAGATCTGTGAGGCTCTGATTGGTCGATCGAACATTGGGACCCCTGACATCACCGATTCACGGTGACATCAAGGGATGCGAACAAAATCTTGTAAATTTCACCATTTGCAAGTAACAACATGTCAAAGAAAATCGCTATTGTCGGGGCTGGTGCTGCGGGCATGTCCTGCGCTGCCACCTTGGCCAAGCATCCCGAGTTCTCAGTAACGCTGATCGACATCGAGTCGCATACCGGCGGACAGGCGACATCAATCCCACTAGATCAGTCTACCCACGGAGCGAGCTGGCTAAACGATGGCGTTCAAGGTGGTTCGCAAATCTTTCGGCACACTTTCCAATTTTTCCGTCGTTATGGTTACGAGCCCCAGCCGGTCAAGCTTCAAGTCGCGTTTGGTAAAGGGAAAAACTTCTGGACCAACGTGTTCCCAAGCCCATTGGTTGATCAGCACTCGGCAGAAATCAAGAAGCTCTCACGGGTGCTTACATGCATCAAGTATTTGATGCCTATTCTTGGCATCATGCCAGTGAAAACTATTTTGCGTCTATTTCGTTTTAGCACCGATTTCAGCAATAGGATGGTCTTGCCACTCCTGGCTCTGTTTCTTGGAACAGGGAATCAAACACCCAATGTCTCAAGTGTCCTGTTGGAGCGCCTCTTCAATGACCCGCAGATGAAGTTGTGGGAGTATGACCCGGATACACTATTGCCAAATCTCCCTCTCATGTATACGTTCCCAAACTTGAACAACTTTTACCGAGACTGGGCAGCAGACCTTCGCGCCAAAGGTGTTGATGTTCGACTCAATTGCGCTGTGACCATCTTTGAACGAAGCAAAAAGGGTATCGTACTGCAACTGCAAAGTCATGAAGACGGACAACCGACGGGGCAACCATTGACAGAATCATTCGATGATCTAGTCATGTGCTGCCCAGCAGACGAATCTAAGAAGCTCCTTGGTCAATTAGCGACCTGGCGCGAGAAGTATGTCCTGGGTGGAGTCAAGTTTTTCAACGACCTCACCATCACCCATTCCGACTCCAACTATTTCCAGCAGATCTTCGAGTCTCTGTATGATCCAAAGCTCAGTGCGAAGCCCACAACTCAGGAACGCAAAAATCAAATCGCGTTTGCCGAACAAGAGCCCCATAGCCAGAAGGATGGTTGGCTGGGATTCCGACCGATGTACTTCATGCATTCATACGAATCGGACCCTACAAAAATCGAAATGGGGTTCAATTGCAGTAACTACCAGCATCAGTTCCGTGAGGAACTGGGCGAAAACAACTCTCCTTTGCCTCAGGACCAACAGGTGTTCCAGACAATCTTCTTGGTACCAGCCCCTATCCCAATCTCAATTTCGGGATCTAGAAAAGTCCGCTAAGTTGACTGTGACTAGAATGATCAAGAGAAAGACCTTTGGACATGGAATGCCATTGATCCATCCAAAATAATATCGTATGTGGTCAATCTATTTGTCGAGACTTAGGCTGATTCACTTTGACAGACGGAAATGGTGGCATCAATTCGGCCATCGGTGGCAGCACTATCTCAGAGTTGTTCCAGGTATGGCGTTCATCAATGGCACTAATCGGACGCTATACGCAGGAAGTTGGACTATGGTGGTAAGTTTTGCCGGCTTGATAACTCCTTTTTTTCAGACCTAACGAATCACAATACAGAACATGCATGAGATTGCGTGTATCTCTGGCATTGCTGCTGCATACCGACTTGGCGCTACCTATGAACCTTTTGATGACTTTGCTGAGGACTTCTTTGCGAAGTACCTGCTTTTATGTCACGGAACCAGGTACAAGAAGGCCAAGCCGAAGAATGCATAGGCCAATTAGTCGAGTCGTGTCTAGATGGACCAGATTGAGAGCACCTTCTATATCATAGACAACTTATCGCAATAAGACATTTGAGCTGTTTCAACATTTAGGAAGATTCTATTCCATGCTATAGTGAATTGACATCCAGATAAATACGAAATGCTAACAGCTTGGCATTCGAACTTGACAATTCAGCGTTCTCTTGTCTCCTTGTCAGCAAGTACAACCTAAAATTAGTCCTCGGCAGGAAGGACTCCCTCGGCCTGCATTTGGAGGGCTACTTCATCAACATCCGCCCAGACTCTCAGCAAGTTGCCGCCTGCCACCTTGCTTGCATCCGCGTCGCTCACTCCTCGTTTCAACAGCTCTGCGATCAGACTTGGGAACCTGGAGACATCTTCGAGCCCACGAGGAACTGTCGGAATACCATCAAAGTCACTGCCGATTCCAACATGTCCAAACCCGACGAGCTTGCCAATGTGAATGATATGGTCAGCGATGCGTTCTAATGTGGCATGCTCAGTGTCCTCGTCGGGGATCCCGTCATCGCGATCAGAGAGCGTGCAGGAGATGAAGTCTGGCGAGAAATTGACCATGACTAAAGAGTTCTTTTCACGCACCAGCTCCAGGATGTCATCGGGCACGTTACGCGGGTGTGGGCAAAGTGCATAGGCGGAGCTGTGGCTGTATATCACTGGAGCACGACTACCGGCCCACTCGGACTTTCCAGCGCCCAAAACATCTCGCATGGTTTCTGCGCTCACGTGCGCCAGATCAACAATCATTCCGAGGCGGTTCATCTCCCCAACCAGCTTCTTGCCGTCCTCGCTGACACCGTGCCAAAGAGGTTCGGCCTTTTGGATACCCCCTGGGACTTCAAGAAGAGCGGCATCGGCATACCGGTTGTGGCAGTTGTGTGTCAAAGTTGCATAGGAGACACCCAGTTCATAAAAAATCCGAAGGTGCGCAAGGGAATTTCCGATGGAGTGCAGGCCCTCGATGCCCATGGGTGAAATGATCTTTCCTTCGCGGAAAGCTGACATGGCCGTGGTGCCATTTGGAGGCGTTGAGAAGATCTCAGGATAGGCTCGTTGAACACGCGACATGACATCCACCTGCTCCATTGTCTCACGCACACCTATAACTAGATGAGTATACCGCGTTACGGTCAGCCTGTGTTTCTCTTACTTGCTGCATAATTCTCGTCGGAGAAGTCGGCTCCATCGGCAGGGCATGGCACGAAGACACTCCAAAAGGTACCACCGACGCGACCCTGCTTCAGCCGAGGAATATCTACATGGCCGGGTAGCGTGCCCTTGACAAAGGCATCGGTGAAATTGCGATCATTGATGCGATTGTGGAAGACCTCCCGAACGAAAATGGGGAAATCATCATGGCCGTCTGTTTGATCGGTCAATGTTTATCATCCACGCGGATTCGATAGATACCTACCGATCAAGGGAGATTGTGAAAGAATTCGCTCCACTCGGTCCTCGATGCTAAGTGGAGGTGAACAACAAACATACGGCCAAGCAAACCAGCCAGTAGCTAAGGCTGTGCAGAACAGTATCCACCATCCTCGTCTGGGAGATTTACTCTGCGCATATCGCTGGTCTTCCAACTGGTTTTTATCCATGGTGAGTTGGGTGTTGGAGAGAGGAGAATGGTCCAGTTGGGGAAATTATCGATAAGCACGTTACGTCGCTTACAAACATTCATTACTTCGCCTTGAGGGAAACAACACGATTGAGACAATATCAAGTCTTTATAAACGGGTTTGACTCAAAGTGAGGAGTTCACTAAATATCCCCAAATTCTCCGAGATCTCTGTGGAACCAAAATGTTGGCTGTGCAGACATTGTCAGTGTATAACGAAGCATGATCAACATGGGAGTCAGAATGGATAGACTCGATGCGGTATTCGTTTATCATTTCAGTATGTTTCCTTCAAGTCATTTCGTCAGAATATGTCCTTTTCATAGCTGAATTGTATACTTTTTTACTTTGTACATCTCGAACCTTTGAAGGCTTGGCGGTCTCGATCACGTGTGCTACCCGCCTCAGGCTCTCCCGGTATAACAAGACCTTCGATCAGATGGGTCGTTTCTCGTTTTACATCACTCCTTTCTGGTTTTTCCCGCAACTCAGACCAGGATGACGCAGCCTGGAAAACCCAGAGCGGGTGTTCTTCAGATCCCCGTGGCGGCCACACAGAAGTCGGGCTCCGGAGCGCCTCCAAAGAAGGCTCCCAAACCCCCCGCTCCACGTTTGAAGCTCTTGATCCGACGTCTACCTCCAGGATTGACTCAAGCCGAGCTTGAGGCTGCTCTGGGAGACGAATGGAAGGCCGGTGCCGGAAAGGTCGACTGGCTTCAGTACAAACCTGGCAAAGTATCGAAAGAGTATGAGATTACTCCACCCACCTGTTATGATGATCATGACTGACAAAAGATCCCAAACAGTCCTGCCAAACCTTCCCGTCCCTCGCGAGCCTACATTCATGTCGTATCCACCGAACATGTCACAGCACTTTCGGACAAGGTACACCAGGAATCGTTCCAGGATGCCCGTCACACTTCCAACGATCCCATTCTGCTTGGACCTCCATCGCTGGAGTATGCAGCTTATGCCAAAACTCCCGGAAGTCGCTCTCGCAAGGATGCCCGCCAGGGCACGATTGATCAAGACTCAGACTTCATTGCGTTCCTCGAAAGCCTCACCCAGCCCATCACGAAGCCGGCCCCTGTCGATTCAATGGCTGATGTCGAAGAGAAGAAGAAGGATTCTGTTACAACTACCCCTTTGGTGCAATATATCAAGGATAAGAAAGCAAGCAAGTCGAAAGACGGTGGCTCCAAATCCTCCAAGCACAGCCGCGCGGAGAAGGAATCCAAGCAGGAGAAGGTCGTGGCGAAGAAGCTTTTGCAGCGGGCCGACAAGGAGACCAGCTTAAACTCCGAGAAGAAATCCCGGGGCGAGAGGACAAGCAAGGAATCTACGAAGACAACCAAACAAGCAGCCGCCAGTGCCAAGGCAGGTAAATCGGCTGCTACGGCAAGCGCTACGAAAGAAAATCCCCCGGCGTCAGAGCGCAAAAGAGAACGCGGAAATGTTGCGGCGGCTACTAAGATCCTTCAGCGCGATCTTGGAATTTCGACCTCTGGAGGCCGCCGGCGCGGCAAAGGTGGTGCCGGTGATACTGGTTCTCCCAAAAATGAAAGTTCTCGCGATTCCGCCGCTCCATCTACCGATGTTCCCAAGAAAGAGTTTGCCAAATCTGCCAAGAATGCTTCTTCTACAAAGCCCAAGGAGGAAACATCCTCGCGGGTATCCCAAGCCAGTCCTGCGCCGGCCACGAACCCACCTGCCAAATCCTCCAAGGGTACCAAAGCGAAACTGGCCGCCAGCCCTGCACCCACTGCTACACAAGCGTTCTTGAAGCACGCCAACCCTTCGCAGGGTGTCACTGAGGCACTCTTGGAGGTCGCATTCACCCCATTCGGAACAGTGACTAAGGTTGAGATTGACAAGAAGAAGGGATTCGGATACGTCAGCTTCGCTGGACCAGAGGGACTTCAGAAGGCCATTGCTGCCAGTCCCGTCTCAGTCGCCCAGAGTCAAGTGGTGGTGTTGGAGCGCAAAGCCAATCCCCATCCCAGTGCAGAGAAGTCTCGCAAGGGTCGCGACGCACCGGCACCCAGCGCCAATAAGGACAAGGCCAAGGCCGGTGAAGGAGGTGCCAACAATGCCGGGTCTTCACGTGGGTCTCGTGGAGGACGCGGATCGCGCAACAAGGGACCTAAGGGAGGTAACGGAGGCAGTGCAGCTCCAGAGAAGACAGGAGGACCGGAGGCCACCTGAGTACACTAGTAATTGTTTAGCGGTTTATGAGACATGAGATACCCGAGCAATGAAGAAATGCAATGCCCTACATGTGAGGAGACAAAACATTCCAAGTCCTTGTGTAATGCAATGTGCCAGGCACATTCACAGCGAGCAAACGTGACTTGACTAGCATTTCGAAGTGCAGGTCTAAGCGCTCGAGGACCAGGATCGACGGTGCGCAGATCAGTCCACGTGTGAATCACGTTATAGGGATTTACAATGGAAAAAGCTGCAGGTAGATAATTTGATTGAAGCTAACTGGACCCTCTCACATCTCACCATACCATCGACCAAAATGGAAGAGGACCTTTCAGACCTCCTCGACACCCACCAGGACCGACCGACCGAAGTCAGACGTCGAGACCAGGTCAAGATCATCACCACTCCCTGGACCGGAACACAGACACTGCGAACAGCACGCGTAACAGTCGAAGCGGGAGTAAAAAGGTTTCACTTTAGGGCATCGAGGACATAGCAGTCATCAGCAAGGGTGGAGATTCTGTGGCTCTTATAAAGAGCTTAGAAAGAGGACGTCTACTCTAAAGTGATTCTTTGAACTGTGGGAAGAGGTCAGTAACATGCTTAGAAGATATTCCCAGAGATTCCCGGAGATCTGTTTGGGAGGGGGGGGGGGGGGGAAAGAACATACGTAGAGTCGCTTGAAAAAAAGAAGAAGGGACGGGGAGGCAGCGGATATTTATATGGCTCAATGGCCACGCTAGTGCTAAGCGAGACTAGTGAGTCTTGGGCTGGTGTGTCTGGAATAGTGGGGACTTGACGGCAATCTGACCAATCACAGGCTATCATGAGCCTCAAGTGGATCTACAAACAGAGTTTTCATCTCGTTGCCGGGTCAAGATGATCTATCCGTTCTCATTACTTGATCATTTGCGCGTTTTTTTTTGTGTTAAATGGTCTAAGCTCGGTCTGAATTGCACACCGACGGTCCATTCTGACTTTTCCCACCAGGAGCGACGTTGATTGGTTGATTCAATAACCTTCGGTATACTTCGGTTTGCCGTCCTGCCGTATACATCAGTGTGGTGCTTGATATTTGATCGCTCTCAACAATAAGAGATGGAATTAAACAGTACGAAATTTAAGTTGATCTTGGTTAGACAATTGATCAAGAACAAAAAAAACCAGCTTTTGAGTTAAAAAATCATATGTCATAGACTTGGGCTAGAGATATATATCTGCACCTCAACATAACCGTACACCATCTTTTCACCAGGAATACATATTTTCGATTGATAATGTAGTCAAAACGGACCCTTGTAGCTAGAAAACAGTATTAGTATATTTTTCTGCATGAAATTTATCAAGAAAAGTGCTATCTCTGAATATTTGCATGTCGGAAAGTCTAGAAAACCCTATAAGTGACGGAAACAGCGTTTCAGCATGTGTTTAGACTTATTGTATATCGAACAGAGCATAAAAAACTAAATTCCGAACACTTTGATCCAACAATACACCATTTGCTACATGTTATCCGGTGCGTCTTCCGAATGTCGGGCCGCGCACACCCGCTCCCCGCTTATCCTGCGGGGATCTCCCCAGACTCCCTTCATCAATCATGGCGCGCCCTAAGGTCTTGCCTGCGAACCGTTTACGCGCTAATACTGCATGTACTGCTTGCCGCTCATCAAAAAAACGCTGCAGCGGCTCATTCCCATGCACTAATTGCATTAACAAAGGCCGCAGCCGAACGTGTACCCCGTTCAAGTCCTTGGATACTAGCCTTCGCAATCGCCCTGTGCATGCTTCAAGACCTGAAAGCAGTGACCGGCCGACATGGAGGGAAATAGAACCCGAAATGCAGAGCTCTGCAAGGTCACAGACACATGAGATCATCACCCCTAGGCGCGAGTCCGACACGTGGGAACCGGGTTCGCGCTCTCCCGAAGCTACACATCGGACTCATCCGCGGATGCTCCGCAACTTACAAGGAGAACGAGGTCTCGATACATACAATTGGACGTTTAGCTCATCTACTGACTTGGCTCGCAGTTTTTGTCGGAAAGGCTGCCTCTTTATCGTTCCTGCAGTTGCTGCGGGATACAGTCACCCAGCATATTGGGCCATCCCAATTTTCTCACAATGTCAGAAGTGAGGATATGTTAGAGACGGAGGCACATCATGATCTACTGAAGTTCTCCGAAGAACGTTGTAGCGTGGACGAGAAGCGCCAGTACATCCAGAACTATGAGGCAGCGGTAAGACAACCAATCTGTCTGCCAAATCACCTTCTAACAATCCCCTAGACAAGCGGCTTCGTGTATCTGGGATCTAGCGATGGTATTGTATTCACACTAACGGACTCAGTGGAGCCGAAAACCGACAAAGAAAAGACAAGAGCGGCCATTGTAGACCTGATGGTTGCTATCGGAGCTCAGACATGTCTGAATGAACCCGATACTGTGCAAGTGGAACGATTCTACTTTGCTCGCGGTCAAAGTAGGACATTTGCGAATTTTCTGGAAGACCCCAGCATGGATTTGATACGAGTCTTTCTATTGATGTCATTCTACATGCTCGGAGCATGCCGCCGGAACGCAGCCTTTATGTATTTGGGTGTCGCTTCACGCGCCGCAGTGGCTCTAGGCTTCCATGTAGACCCTTCAGGGTCAATGAGTCGCAATGAGCACTGTGAAAGGTGGGTTTGCTCCCCACAAGAAGTTTGACCGGGGCTGATGTAGAACAGATCACGATTATGGATGAGTCTATGCGTCCTTGATCTCATGGTCAGCTCAATACTTGGGCGTCCTTCCGCTATATCGCCTTTATTACCCGAGAATAGACAAAATGTCAGTCACGCAAGGACTGACTCCACTGCTACAGGTTTGGTGGCTTCGTATCATTTATCATTCATCCTGGACGAGATAGTCAACCGCTTATACAGCGGCAAGGCTGCATCTACAGAAACAGCAGATCTGCTGTTGGGAAAACTAAACTATTGGAGCGAAAATCTCCCGCACTCATTACGAACCATGTCTTTGGACCAAGAAGATGAGAGTGCCATTCGGAAGCATACAATTGGGAATATGCACGTAGCATGTTCGTATCACTTCGCTGTGATCTTAGTCACTCGACCCTTTCTCATATCAGCACTGAGTGTCCGGTTAGCCCGGTTGCACCAGAGCCTCTCAACTGGCGTGTCCAGTGAGCTCCCCGAAGAGGACTCAGCTCATTCCCGGCTAGCAGCTGCCTGTATTGACTCCGCTGTCTACATGCTACAGACATGTATGGAAGTCCTCCAGTCAGGGCTGCTTTTCCGTAACCAGTGTGTTCTAAAGTAGGCATCCCCCTACCTCCAAGCATTTGATCGAAAACTTACGGTAGCTGGCAGAGCCTTTGTTTTTGCCGCAGCTCTTGTACTCGGGTTCTCCATGTTTTCCGATCGTGATGTCGATGCAGAGATTGACGGTGCGTTCCGCGGTGCTCTTACTATCTTGCGCATGCTGGCTCCACAGTCTGCCCAGGCAGCGCACTACCTCGAGATTACAACTATGCTTGAGTCTGCCATCACTCAACAGCGCCAGCAACTTGCAGCCCATGCGCGACAGCGAAGGAGCCAATACGTGAACCGAATATTTAGCCTGAGTGAGAACCCAGCAACACCGCGAGATCAGCCGGAAAGTGCCGACCAAAAAGGAACCTCGACCCCACGATTCGCGCAAGGTGCGCCATACTCATGGTTACAGTCGGAGGATGGGACAGGTGCTGCCACACCCCTGCTTGATGGGACTTTACTCGAATGGGAGGGCATGGACTTGCCACTATGGGACAGTTTTCCATTTCTCACCGAAGCATCGATAATTTGACGTTGTATGAAGTATGTACGGATAAATAAGAGTTTGATGAACCGAGGCACGATCATGCTTAATTAGACCGCCCCCAAAACAGTGATGACCCAACAACTCTCTCAAACAGAGGACTTCACAACGGGCGACACAAATCCAGAAGGATAAAGGTTCGAAGTATCCCAGTAGAGTTGGTAGATATCGGTGACATTTGTCTCCTTGACACGGAAAGAATCGCTCAGAACACCACTCTCATCTTGCCACATGATATATCTGCCGTAGAAAAGGAAATCATCAACTACTGCGTCGCTGGGAGTCTCGATACCATTTCCAGTGAAGCCAACAGTGAGTATCTGGTTGGGAGTGGGACGGATATAGAAGGTCGTGTCATCATCCAGGGTGACATTCATGTTGGTGGCAGTAGCATATAGCCGGGTATCAGTGAAGATAACTAAAAGAGTTAACAGAGATTCTTGTTCAATAGAAGACTAAACCGAGAGTTATACAGGTAATGTCAGTAGTCACTGATCCCTCCCACTTGGAAGCGTCGCCAACATATGCAAGCCCTGATTGTTGAGTTAGATAGAAACCAGAACATTGGGATAGTGCTGAATACCATCAGAGTAAAAGACATTGACCCCTGATTCAGCGACACCGTAGGCAACAAGACTGAAAGAGCCCGATGGAGAGCGCTTTTCCAGCTTTTTAGACATGGAGGGCACAGCAATAGCATGTGTCGCCCAAGCTAGAGTGGCCGCGAAGAGATGGAACTTCATGGTTGGAATTTAGAATAGTCCGAATAGAATATGATAGGCATGACAGCGCTTGGTCAGTTGTCTTTATAACTTTGCGTACTGCATCAAACGATACATTCCACATGCGTTTGGATGATGACGCGGCCAGGCCTTGCGCTGTCGAAAGGCTGAAACTAATCCCAGCTAATGAGATTACCGCAATGAATCCTTCGACTTTGTTTCGGCTGGCGACCGAAGCTAAGGATTGAGGCGAGTTTGTGACATCTCATACTTTTACAATGACACTCGATGTACGCAATCTATGGCCCTCAGCGCGACCCACGTCCGAAATATACTTCCCATCGAGGCTATTTGTACCTTGGGAATAGAAGCAGGATAGGTGTTGCAGAGGAACTACGCTCGGAGTCCCAACAGAATGAGTAGAGCGTTGTAGAAGCGATTGGGTTATAGTGCTTAGAAAACCACAATAGGCCTAGGATGCCTTCTATTGGCTGAGTCACTTCGCAAGTGGTTATTTTCGAGGTCGAATAAGCAGTAAGTGCTTACTCTCCACCACGGCGCTGTAACCCCTCAAGTTTAGTTTCTCCGTATGATTGCCGATGTGAACGTGGCTGAAATTGCCACGAAGAGTTTCTTGGCACTGAGGAGTTAGACCAAATATTGATAATGAAGGATTATCTGGTCTTGACCGGAGCACCGGTGGTCTGATAGAACACACTGACTGACCCACAGACACTGCCTATCCACCGCAGGAAATAGACCAAATGCAACATTCCTAACACCATTTTTTAACCTGCTAGTGCACCTAATCAGTGGACTTGAATGCCCCTGTTTGATTCTAGGAATCAGTATCTCCGTTAACCACGAGGTGGAGGCTAGATTTTGCCCCGGCTTGTCCGAGGGGGAAAGGGAAGGGATTTCCCCTTGAAACACAGATGTGCTCGTGTCAGTCTCATTAGGGGTAGCAGAGAAAGTAATGTCTAATCCATATTTAAGTGTCCCAACTGCGCATTACGATAGGTACACAGAGCACTATGTCGAGCACGTTTCGAGTTCATACATCTGCGATGATCGTATTCGTACGTTAAGCAAGCAAATATCTGATAAAATCTAGGACGCAGGTTCTATTGACGGAAACAGTCCGCGCTGGAAGGATGAGGCGCCGTCCCACACATGATGGAATACAGAAGCAGACTTACGCACATGAAGGAAAATGTATGAATAAATCTCTACACGTAGAAATATAATCATCAGATGACGTTAATATATCGGAAGATTGATAAGGCCAAGTCTAATTAGTCGACTGGTAATGTAGGTATTGTTGTTAATTACATTGCTAGTCTTGCGGCTAGGATTCCGTTGGTTAAGCTGCTTAAGTAGCCAGTCAACCAACTACATATAAGAATTAAGTTATTTACGAACGAAAGATGGGGCTATTGAGCTAGGAAAAATGAAAAATGTGATTCAATTAAATTTAATTAGTAACATGTGAAATAAAATCACTTATAGAGACTGCTAGAAAGATAATGGTTAGCCTCTCTACTCCTGTTGTTAACGTTGACTGCCTTGGTGTGAGTGTGAAGACGCTCGAGGTCAGAGGCAACCTTGTGGTCTTCGGTCGAGGTGGTTCTAAGAGTAACGATCACGGAAGGAAGTACTGGCATTATAATTCTGCAGAGATTAAGGTCAGTAGATTTCACATTCTGGAACACTTCATTAGTGGCCATGATTTCATTCATCTCGCAGCGGACTTTTTCAAGCTGCTCCATGATCCTCAGACGATGATCCGGGAAATCATGGTGCTCTGGATTATGGAGACGACCTGGGTAGTGCCTCAGACTGTTGACATGACCTCCGTAGAGTATGCACGAAGTGATCATGTTTTGTCTTCATGGTTAGCTCTGATCCAGATATCGTGAACTAGGCTAGGTTAGTGTTTAACAGATGTTTTGAATGATATTTGAAAAGGCAATGGCAGTGAAGTAATTTATGCATTTCTAGCCAACGGATGGACTGGGATCACACTACTAAAGAGGACAGTAGGCATTGTGACATTGTTTGTGACATCCTTTGGCCAAATATTCTTTTTACTTTGTGGTTCAGGTGACAAAGTCAAGGCAAACTTACTAGCCCGTGCCGATAATGAACTGTTTGTGTTCTTTGTCAAGGCCACACAGAACAAAATCGAGGCAATGACATCGGAGTAAGGGTATAGAGATGATAGCGGACCGAAAATAAGCGTGCGCGGCCCGCTGTCGGTTCCGCCGAGTGCATCATCCGATCCGACATATAGATAAGTGATGAACACATAAGAACGTCTCGAGTCCAGCTGCATATCCTTACTTCACTTTCTATTGAGACTCTCACATCCAGTCCTCTATCTACCCTTTCTACTACCCCTTTCAGCTCACACACACAGCAAAATGTCAGGCTGGCGCAGTCTTAACGTCGGCGTTGTCGGCGGTGGCATTGGCGGCATGTGTGTCGCAGTTGCGCTCCGTCGCGCCGGACATCAAGTGACCATCTATGAGAAGTCTGATTTTGCAGGCGAGGTTGGAGCTTCAGTCTCATGCGCCGCCAACGGAACCCGTTGGCTTCACGAGTGGAACATCGATGTCGCCAAGGGTGATCCCGTCGTTTTGAAGAAGCTTATCAACCGTGACTGGAAAACCGGCGAGCCAGTCAGTGTCTACGACCTTGATGACTATGAGAAGCGCTGGGGATACGTCTACAACATGTTCCACCGACAATACATGCATGCCATGTTGAAGGATGCGGCCCTCGATGAAGGAGAAGGAACTCCAGCGACACTCAAAGTGAATCACCGCGTAAGTGACACTATATTTGACTAAAGCTTGACATATGTACTTATCCATCTTGCACATGTAGTGTCGCGATATCGATATGGAGACTGGCAAGATTATCTTCGAGCATGGAGAGAAAGCACAACACGATCTGATCATCGGCGCTGACGGAATCGGATCTGCCGTTCGTGGCATTCTTGGAATTACACCTGAAAAGCGCGCATCGGATCAAAGCTGCCTTCACACCAATGTCACCACCGAAGAAGCAATCCGACTCGGACTAGTTGACTACTCGAAGAACAGCGCATTGGAATACTGGGGCGGCCAAGAAGGAAAATGGGACAAGATCGTGCTATCTCCCTGCAACGGCGGCAAGCTCCTCTCATACTACTGCTTCTTCCCTCGCGAGCAAGGCGACTACTCAACACAGGCATGGGGTGCCGAGGACCGCCCAGTCGAGGAACTTCTCAACCCATATCCCTCCTTGGACCGTCAAGTCTTTGAGCACTTGAAGATCGGAACTGAGATCAAGCCATGGCGCCTCTGGGTCCACGACCCCTACCCTTACATCCAGCGCGGAAATGTCTGTCTCCTCGGTGATGCCGGACACCCCATGATGCCGCATCAGAGCCAGGGAGCTTGCATGGCTATTGAGGATGCCGCAGCTCTCGGGATTCTCTTCAACAAGCAGTACTTCAACGGAGATATTTCCCAAGCCTTGGCTGTTTATGAGGAAGTGCGTCTGCCCCGTGCTACAAGAGTGCAGGCCGCAGCAGCAAAGGCAGCATACAACATCAACGAGCGAATTGGTGAGTATCTTTGATCGCCGGGTGTGGTGCAGTATGCTGATGATTTATAGGATTCTCCGTCAATAAGGATATCCCCACATATAAAGTCGAGGACGCAAAAAAGGTTCTTACCATTGAAGAAATGAACGCGTGAGTCCCGTATACCCACATTGACCCGATCCCGAAACTAACAATGCAGTTATGACATGTACCGAGACATCGAAGAGAAGCTTGCAGCCAAGCGCGGGACAAGATATGCCGACAAGTTCATCTCCGGGCTCCCGATCGGACTAGAGCTACCAAACGGAATCACAATCGGCGAATCGAAGCTATGATTGGAGGTTTCATCTAGACCCTGAACCCATAGACACTCCTGCATTGACAAAGCTTGTACATACAGTTTGCATGAAACCATCAATACCCGAATGTATCATTCTGTTTCTTGTAATATTGCATATTAAGCCCCGTATGATGTGCGTGCCCCACGTCAATCATTCTAGAATAGAACAATGTCCATTTTATTGAGTGGTTTGATACCGAGTCTCTCGGGGTATCTTATCCCGACCGGGGTTCTTTAGCCCGGCGGGACACGCGAGAATGGTTCGCAATGAAATCCGACCCTACATGATCAGTATGAACAATTGTAATTGGTTGGATTCGGTGAGATTCAACAATGAAATGATATTATACGCTATCGAGGTCCAGCTTCCATGGATACATATACATTGTAGAAAGGGGCGCAACAGTACACGTTTACCCCGCCAATACTCCGTACTCCAGACTCTGTACTCTACAGCATACTACAAGAATACAATAGACAGGATCCAAGCCTTTCAATTTGTAGTATGTACAAAACGAACATTTCCAATCATGTATCATCAGTGCGTCGGTTTTTATTTAATTATTTTTTAAGTGTTTAACCGAAGAGGGCGTCACCTAGGCGGTAGTGAACCGTCTTAACCTGGGTGTAGTTCTCCAGAGCGTAGGAACCGAGCTCACGGCCAAGACCGGACTCCTTGAAGCCACCGAAGGGAGCCTGGTAGGAGATTAGGTTGTAGCTGTTGATCCAGACGGTACTGCATGAATGTTAGTATTGATCTTTGCAAAGAAGTAGACTTGTCACTTACCCTGCCTTGAGAGCGTTGGAAACACGGATGGCAGTGTTGACGTTCTTGGTGTGGACGGCAGCAGCCAGACCGTAGTTGGTGCTGTTACCAATGCGGATGGCATCGGCCTCATCCTTGAACTTGGTGACGGCAATGACGGGACCGAAGATCTCCTCCTGGGCGATCTTCATGTCTGGGGTAACATCAGTGAAGATGGTGGGCTGGATGAAGTAGCCCTCGCTACCGTGGCGCTCACCACCGACGGCGACGGTGGCACCCTCATCCTTGCCGTGCTTAATGTACTCCATAATACGGTCGAACTGGAGCTGAGAGACCTGAGGACCCTGGAAGGTGTCGCCCTCGAAGGGGTTGCCGAGCTTGTTCTGGGCAGCACGCTCCTTGAAGCGAGCGACGAACTTGTCGTGGATACCCTCCTGAACCAGCAGGCGAGAACCGGCACAGCAGCACTGGCCGTGGTTGAAGAAGATACCGAAGTTGGCCCAGGAGATGGCGTTGTCAATGTCAGCGTCATCGAAGACAATGTTGGGGGACTTGCCACCGAGCTCAAGAGTGACCTTCTTGAGGTTGGACTTGGCAGCGGCCTGCAGAATCATACGGCCAACAAGGGTAGAACCAGTGAAGGCAACCTTGTCAATGTCCATGTGGCTAGAGATGGCGGCACCGGCGACACGGCCGAAACCAGAGATGACGTTGATAACACCGGGGGGAAGCCAGCCTCAACAATGAGCTTAGAGGCGTAAAGACCAGACAGAGGAGTCTGCTCAGCGGTCTTAATGATGACGGTGTTACCGGCAGCAATGGCAGGACCAATCTTCCAGGCCCACATGAGGATGGGGAAGTTCCAGGGGATAATCTGACCGCAGACACCGACAGGCTCGTGGCGAGTGTAGGAGAGGGTCTCAGGGTTCGTGTCAATGGTCTGACCAGTGATCTTGTCAGCCCAGCCACCGTAATAGCGGAGACAGCCAGCAGCATTGGCGATATCAATCTTGGCCATGGTGACAGCCTTGCCGTTGTCTAGAGCCTCAATGGAGGCGAGGGTCTCCATATCACGCTCGAAGAGGTCGGCAAGCTTGGTGAGCATGCGGCCACGGTCTGAGGGGGTCACCTGTTTCCAGGGACCCTCGAAGGCGGCACGGGCAGCCTTGACGGCGACATCGACATCCTTCTCGGTAGCCTCGTGGACGGAGGTGATGGGCTTCTCGTCGGTAGGGTTGAGAGTCTCGAAGGTCTTGCCATCGACACCCTTAACGAACTCGTTGTTAATGAACCTGGCAGGTGTTAGTGAAGCTCCAAAAAGTGGGGGTGGGGTAGCTCACAAGCCGAGGGGCTGCTCATAGGTCACATTGGGAGTCTTGATGGTAGTGGAAAGCGACATGATGAAGATGGGAAAAGGGGTATCACTGAAGAAAAGAAGAGAAGGGGGAAGAAGAGAGTTATATAGGGACCAAAGGTGAAGTGGCAGGTCGAAGACTTGCGGGGTTGACGCCACTTGGAGCTGCCGTATTGTTGTATGCGAGCTGTATTGAAAATTACCTCGGGGTGATTACATCGCGAAATCCCGGTTTGATCACTTTCTCTCCTTTTCTCCCATTCTCTTTCTTTTGATATCGATTCCCTTCGCCAACATGTCTCCGATCTTGGCAACGTGCCCCAATGGAGCCCCAAAGGGGCCCCTCGGTCTGAGACCGACGCTATCCGCGTCAGACCCCGAGGGGGATTAGCTTCCCCGGGTCTATTTCTAAGCCGGGCATATATGTGAGTCTAATCCGAGTACCTTGAGCGGTCAGTAGGATGAAACAGCGTTACTATTGCCTCTTCGGGACAAGCTTGACGCTCCTTCGGGCCAAAGGGCGAAATGAGGGGCTGTGGGCCAAATGTGATCATCGTGATGTTAACACGGGCCAATATCTCCCCGGCGACGTAGTGGGGTGTACTGTATTGTATACATAGTTTGATCGGCCGAGACATCTTTAATAATTTATTTAGTGTGATTAGTCTACCAATATAAGTTATTGAAATCTTACTTTATGCTTATGCAGGTTGTAGGAACCACCTACGGAGGAGGTTGGAGATATAATCCGGTCACCTGACCCTATACTTGTAACTCTCGCCTATGTATAAATGAACCTTCCCCTTCTCAATAATGAGTCTGTCCAATCATCATGTTGCCTACTCAAAATGTTTCCTCGAACTCTATATGTATACACTTCGCGGAACCCCGCATCACAGCTTTCCGCGGGTTAAAAACCGTATCGGAAGATCGACGTGGCGCGCTCTGAGGTATTCCGCCACATTCTTTCCTAGAAAGTCGACTGTGGTAGTCACACCGACGCCTCGGTCTAGCAGATTGCGGAACAAGAAATGCACGGCATGCAGACTGGGTAACTCAAAGCGTTCAATGGCTAGGTCAGGTTGTTGGCGGCCCGTGTCTCCCAGTAGTACCTTCGCCGTATCTACAGACAGCAACACCCTTAGCCACTGATACTCATCGCGGTGCCGCACCCAGAAGCCGCAGTTGGCATCAGCCCCCTTGTCCCCTGAACGGGCATGTACAATCCAGCCAAGGGGACCGCGAGTTGTCGGCCCAAAGTCGCGGGCAAGGTCGACAGGCTTGTTAGTCTGTGTGACTGGCTGCGATGGCTGGCGTGCTGGGTAAGTCTTGGTGTTGGGTGGGGGTGGAATGTCCAGTGTCTGCGTAGATGCTGTCGGCTTCCAAGGCATGTGAACACGGTGCTGGACTGCGGACTGCGGCATTAAACTAACATAGTACTCGAAGACCGCACGGGGGAATCCCTGACGCATATCCAAGTGGAAGGTAGCACCAGGGTATCCTTGCATGATGTTATCCGAAATTGGCTTCAGGAAACGAGTGGGTGCAATGTCCTCTGCGCGTCGTGCCTGCACGACAATGCGCAAGGGGACGGTGGCGCGGTTCTGGTCGTGAGGATCGGGAAAAGCAGAGCCCAACAAGTCAAAGTTGAGAGATGTGTATTGATCTGAAAAGGGCGCCAGTTGTCGAACGATCTGTGCCTCCAGCATGCGTGCTTTGGCTTCAATATCCAGGCCAGTCAAGAACCACCATGCCTCAGCCTGGAACCCACCCCGTGCGGTGATACCGACCTTGGTGGTAGGCGGAGGAGGACTAGACCGAACTCCAAGGACAGCAACCCTGTTGACACCTCGCTTTTCGAAATAGATGCCATCGAGGACCGCTGTGACATCGGAATTGTAGTACCAAGGTCCTTGGATTTCATAGAGCAGCTGTGAAGTGCAAGTTTCAACAGTGACCGCGCCACCGGTAGAATGCGCTTGCTTGGTGATCACAACCTCGCCTTCGGCAGATATCTCAGCGATGGGATATCCAATGTTAGTCCAGGCATCTCCACCCGCTTGCTCCAGTGCTTTGAAACCTGTAAAGTTCCCACCACAAACGTAGTTGCTACATTCAATAAGATGCCCGGCCACAAAGGCGTTGGCTAGCTTGTCGAGGTCCTCGCGCTGCCACCCATGGTACCAATAAGCAGCCCCGATGACAGGCGAAGCATCAGAGACTCGTCCGCAGAGCACGATATCAGCACCCTCTGCGAATGCGGCTGCAATGCCTAGGCCGCCGAGGTAACACTGGGCATAAATCGGCTCAAATGACCAATCTGCCAATCGTTCGCCAGTGTAGATATTGCGGAACTCAGACCCAGAGGTCAGTCCTTTCTGGAGGCTAGTCAAGACTTCATCCCCAGAGACCCATGCGACCTATATAAATTAGCGGTTGATCATTACCACCATAGAGAGACATGACTAACCTTTAAATCCAGCTTCTTTGCTTGCACCATGCGCACCACCACCTCGTAGAGACCCTTCGTATCAGTGACTCCAGCATTGACCGCAAGCTTAATACCGTGCTTAGCCAAATCCTCCAGGGCCGGCTCAACAGCCTCCAGGAACGAAAGATCATAAGCAGGCTGCGAGCTGGTCTGGTCCACGCGCCGACCCGCAGCGGTGGCCATATTGTACTCGCTCATGAAGTCCGCAATGATCACATCGATTGGGTCAGTCGGATGGTGACGCGCGAAATCAGCAATCGCTTTGCGCCGGTCCGAGGTAGACCCAGAGGCACCTGGACGGTTAGTTGGTGTACATGTACATCGAAAATCCCGGAAACTGACCTGCAACACGAATAGATCGACCCTTGGTCATTTTGATCAACTTGTTGAACAAGTAGAAGTTACATGTCGGATCAAAAGTTACATGTCGGATCAAAAGTTACATGTCGGATCGAAAGAAGGGCAGGCACACCGCATGCGGCCGAGGTGACTTTGGTCCTCGGCTTGGAATGCGGGGAACAGTGAAGTACTCGGAGTAAATGAGATGCAGAATATATCTATACAAAGAATAAGCAAAGAAGCAAAGAATAAAAGAAGTTAGAATAAAACATACCGCAAATTACAGTACGATGTTCAAATCAGGTCTGTTCACCGCAGCGGCATCAAAGTGAATATCAATATGTTCCGAGTAACAGACAGCTACTCTGGCCTCATGGAATGATGTTTTGATTTGTCTTTCCAAAGTAGATAATATATGAAAGTGATTTGAGCAAGTGATTTGAGTGATTACTCTTATTAAATACAATTGGAAAAATATTGGAAGAAACGCTACTTATGCTGCACTGGGTTCCAGTAACTCCATACATGCAAAGCAAAAAAAAAATCACCTTCGTCGACGAGAATTAGTACTTGGCATTTCTTCAAAGGCATCGTCGTCATCGTCATCGTCATCATCATCAACACCATCGCTTATGACACTCAGGTTACGCGTGGAGCGACTTGGCCTCGATGACTGAGGTGCACTGGCCTGAGAACCAAAGTTCAACGTGCTTTGGGCCTTAGCTCGTGGCGCAGGAGCCCGACGAGAAGCACGGGTGCCAGCTGTAGCTGTGGATGGGGCTGGGGAAGCAGCAGCTCGCCCACGGCGCTGGGTAGTTGTCGTTGGTGCAGCCTTCCGCGACTTGGCAGTAGTAGATGGCTGTTTGACAAACAGCGCCTGGGAGTCATCATCATCATCATCATCTGAAATGAAATTGGCAGCGTGATCATCGTCATTGTCATCTAGCATGATCACATCTGATTCATCTTCCGAAACGATCTGCTTCTTGCGACCCTTGGTGGCTGCGGGTGTTGTCTTGGGCTTGGTGGTACGTGCAGTGGCTGCTGCACCGCGACCACGACCCCTGCCACGGCCACGACTGGGTGCGGCTGCAGCACGACCGCGAGCTGGGGCTGTACCATCTTCTCCAGCTTCCTCCTCGGCTGGGTCACCACCCTCGTTGTCAGAGTGAATCAGCGCACCAGGCTGATCCTCCCAGACACCATCAAACTCAGTATCCCAGCTGTCTGGCTTAGGCTTAAAACGCTTCTTGCCTCGAGTTCGCTTTTTCACGCCCTTGGAGAACATGTTCTCCATTTGACCGCGGTATTTTTCCATGGCGGTAGTCAATGAGCTATGTTCCTGCTCCTCATCATCCATACCATCGTCGTCACGATCCAAGGCTAGCAAATGTTTGACTTGACTCTCAAGGGATTCATTGACAAACATTTCCATCGCATGCTTGTCGTCCTTGTCGATAAACTGAGCAACGGCATCACCGAAAGAATTCTGCGGCAAAATACTCAATGACTGCGAAGAAAGGAACTCGCGCACAAGCTGCTCGACCTTCACAGTATCAAGTGCTGCCAGATGGGAGACAGCAGCTTCATCAATCGAGGTATCACCCTTGCGCGAAGTGGATGCTGTCTTCTTCTTCCGGTAAAATTGTACGACGTCATTTACGTTGGCCACCTTGCCCACGAAACGGTTTGAAAAGCGCTGCGGATTTTCACAGTCGTAGGTCCCTCCTTCCGGTGTGGATGTCTCGACACGTAGACGGATGAGAGGAAGGGGAGGCTGAGGTGCATCTTCGTCATCCTCATCCTCATCACGCTCGCCTTGTGCGTCAAGCCATTCGGCATTGGCTTCTTCAATTAATTCTTCCACAATGGACATAAGGAACCGTGTGACCTCCGTCCGGTTGTTTTCCTTGCGGGCAAGCTTCTGGGCATCTTTTTCCTCTGACATCACAATCTCGCGCATCACAAATGGCCGCACGGTCTTAAGCCGAATGGGCTCATTCTTGAACCTTCGGCCTGTAACGCTGAGTATGGAAACCTGTTTTGTCACGGCCTCTCCAGGTACCAGGGATGTAGCGACAGATGATCCTGGTTGCATAACGTGGAACTTCGTTTCAGGATTAAGCTTGGGATCAATTAGGCATTCATGCTCGTGCCCCCAGACAACCAGGTCGAGGAACTCCGGGAGGAAATTCTCGGGCAAGTAGCTGGTCTCGGTATGCGCATGGTGATTTTGGTGAACGGACATCAGATTGAACCAATCGTCCTTCTGAACAGATGGCTGGAAGAACTTGACCTTGCCATCACGGAATGTGCGAAATAGTCGCTCATCACGGACATTGCTCATCCCGTAGAGTGCCAGCTTTGTTCGACCCTTCTGTAACAGGACTGGTTTGATCTGAATGTTGTCTGATTCTGGAGTACGGCCATAGTAATTGAGAAGACCAGATACTTGCAGTAGATCCAGCGCAGCCAAGTGACCTTCTCCAGAGGGATCGTCATGATTGCCGTGGATGGAGAAAATGGGGATAGCCACATTCATATCCAGGTCTTCATAGTTGACATGGTTAAAAGCTCCCTGGAAGTTCTCACTAGCATCACTGAGCATCTCCAGCTCACAAGGCTTATCTCCAAAACAGTTCATACGGATTGACCGCATCACCTGGTACATAGATTTGCGCGACGGCTTGTTCTCATGGAACAGATCTCCTGCCAAGAGCACCATATCGACATCTCGTTCCTTGGCCAGGCACATTATCTCATGGAAACTCTTCCAGCTATCATCTCCACGGATGGGATCTCGCTCGTTATAACCAACATGATTGTCAGTGGAGATGAGGATGCGGATGGTTTCCGCCTCTGAGATATGTCAGTCGGTGTCCAGCATTCCCTCTATGATAACTTACCATTTACGGGCATATTCGAAGATAGAGTTCGCGTCTCATGCAGAACTGGCTGTAGGATATACCGAAGATGAGATATATACTACTTTGTAGATGGAGGAAGATTCATCAACACGACTTCACGTCACACTTGGCGATGCTTCGCGTCGTCACGTGTCAGACGCGTGAAAGTAGCGACCAACCAGCAATAAAACAAGACGTAAAGAGATATGAGTTTGATACTGAGAGAGAAAACAGGGGAAACAGCAGAGAAGAAGAGAAAAAAAGGGAAGAGATATGGCGAACGGAAAGGGAAGCAGAGCCGCATGGATGTGAATGTGCGGGATGGCCACTGCGCCTCGCCTTCCGCCTCTGCACCCGTTCATTCTCTTCTCTTCATCAACGCCCACACGCTTCGTACATTCTCCTCCTACCTTGTATCTTATTTTCTCGACTGATCCAGACTCTACTGGCTCAGTCGCTATTGCTCCAACCTTTCCTCAAGACCTTTTTATGCAACCAGAGCCTACTGCCGTATTTCAACGTGCGACCCCCGTTGACTCATCCCAAGTCGATCCCAGTCCCACCCAGCATGGACATGACCTCGATGACGCTCAAGTCTCTGACCTTCTCCAGCGAGAGAAGGCTACAGTCTCTGTGGATGTCTCCGACATGTCGGTCCAAGGTGAACAGCACGCGTCCGTGAATATCGACGGTCGCCCTGCCCCGCCCCCAGTCGATCGAGTGAGTCAGTATGAGAACGCTGGAACTCCCGGGACTCCCCCTATGCAACAAGAAGAACTTGCATTCCAGGTAGTGGCTTCCAACGGCCAGTCGCAAGGATCTCTTGAGACCTTCCCCAATGGTAGGTCCTTCTCAACCCCGCAGCGCATTGCTTTCTGACCTCCATCGCCAGAGGTCCTCACTCATATCCTCTCGCACCTTCCTCCGCAGTCCTTGTCGGCTATCACCCTGGTGTCTCGTCGATTCCATGCACTAGTCACAACGCCACACGCCTGGAGGATCGCCTTTTCGCGTTTCTTCCCGGGGCCGCAGGCTGTAGAGGATGATCGTCATACCACGATCAACGATGAAGACTTGCTGTCGGACCGGCGGTACTTCTCAAGGCTAACTGCACTGGCATCTTGGCGCAGCGAATACATTTTACGCACCCGCTTGATGCGATCTTTATCCCGAGGCAAACCTGCGCAGTTCGAGCCGCCTAAGAGGAATGGCACCGTACGAACGGCGAGTGCTCGTCATGGGAGCGCGATAGCGACATACACTTCGAATCTGCTCTTCCCAGTTAGCCACATCCACGGATCTTTCAGCCCGGATAAGGACCCCCACTTCATTCATGGCGCTGCTGAGCAAGGCATCGCATCTGCAAGCGATCCCTCGACAATTAAAGTCGGCACCTGGGGTGTTTCCGATCACCAGATGTTCCGTCACTTTGCGGACCTATTCCCTGCAGAAGCACAGTATGGCCTGGGAGCCGGCGACGTGGTTGGTCTGCCCAACGTGATGGATGTCAGCCAGTTATATGGTATGGTCTATGGCGAAGCCTGTCCGCAGGGACGCAGCTACTTCATTTCAACGACGGAACAGCGTGGTCGGTTCCTGGTGCCTTCAGAATTGGGTTCCCATCCAAAGCTTGGAATACCTGCGGTGAACATGATTACCCATGCTGTTTGCTCAGTTTGGATTGCCAAATCCTCTCGCATTCTCAAGATGACAGAGGGGCTCGTCGGAACGATGTCTGGTTCATCCTCCGGGGTGCTTACAGCGTATTCTCTGGGTCCTAATCCGACTTACGAAAAGCGATATGAACGAGGTCAGCCGACTGCTAAATGGGTATTAAGTCCTGGTGTTCCTATCATTGGAATCGCCGTAGATGAACAATATTCGACCAAGCGCCATTTAGAAAGACGTATTTGGGCTGTTGCTCTAAATGCTTTGGGAGAGATCTTCCATCTGACTGAACTTCCTCGGCAGCCGAATGTCCCTTTTACCGCCAAACTCGATGCTGAGCAACTTGACGAGCTAGCTTGGAAGACTGGCAGAAGTGCGCGCTGGGAATTGGTCGAAGCAAGCAGACGTGTGGCACGCCCAGACCCCTTCAACCGTGAACTTGTTGATGGCAGCTACAGTCCGCGCTCATCCTCCGATTCCATGGCCCTTAACGAACATCAGATTGCGGCTGAAACAAAGGAGATTGAAAAGTTTCTTTCGTTCAAACCTAAGCACTTCCGCAAAGTCTGTGAAAGCTGGAATATGCAACGCGAACTTGAGGTGGACTTTGCTGGTGGTGATGGTCGTGGGGCTGGCGAGTCGGTTATTGTCATTGCGCGTGGTTCAGGTGAGGACGAACAGGCATCGATCAAGCGATTCATGCGCTCTCCCCCAAAACTCGATTCTGCCTCATTCACACCAGAGTCTCGTCCTCTCGCTACGCCGCCACCGCCGTCACTTTTTGGTGGCCCAACATCGACTTCGCCGGTCAACAGTGTCCCTTCTTCTCGATCTTCCAGCCGAGAGGCCCTATCGACTTCTACAAGCTATGAATGGCGCCTATCAGAGTTCGTCTTCGGCGATTGCAAATCTGTGGAAGTCAGTACCACCGCACTGGATACTTCCGACTTTGCGAACATCACGGCGGAAGAAGACCCTCTTTTAGCAATGTCTGGGAGCTCTCACTCGTCTGCGACTTCTTCGCCAATGCTGCCTCACATGGACCAACCGCGCTCCAGTCTCGATGTTCCTGGACAACGCGCTCGATATCTCGCAATTGGAACCAATAGTGGAATGCTCTTTGTCTGGAACATTCGTGCACCAGCAGCACCATCTACTGAGATCATTAATTCCATATCTCCTCTGCGCATTATCCAAACGGAGTCGCCTCAAGTGTCTTGCCTGGCCGTCACCTCGTTGTACCTGGTACACGGTGGCAATGATGGCCTCGTGCAAGCCTGGGATCCTTTGGCGTCTTCCACCAGGCCGATTCGAACGATCAACTCCCGCTTCTCATCCCGCGCCCGTCGTCGTCTTGTACAAGCCGAGGCATCTGTCCTAGGCGTTGGCAACAATTTCTACGCCACGGGAGCCATTTGCCTTGATACAGATCCTACTGTTCTACGTGGAATGGTTTCGCTGGGCACACACTTGCGCTACTGGTCATACAGTTCTTCTTCGGCTGATCAATACAAAACCAGCAAGCGTCGCCTGCGTCGCTTAATGCGCGGTAACAACGGCACCCCCGAAGGTCAACGTTTCAACAACAGTGGCCGTGGTGCAATCCAGGACTACATCGAAGACGAACGTGTGGAAATGGAACGACAGAAGATCGCGGATGAGAAGGAGCGAGCCCATCTGAGTCAGCGTTTCGGTGTGGATCTGCTGGGGCCAGATGTTGACGAGGAGCAGCTCTTGCTCTATGCCCAACTTCTGAGTCAAGAGGCTTACTCGGGCGACGCCACCAAGAGCGATGAAAATGCAGCAGTTTCTAGCTCGGTCACAAGTGGCTCCTTCCCAGATATTGTTGGTCCCGGTTCCTTTGGCCCTGGCGAGATCTCATCCTCTTCATCCCCCTACCAAGATGCGGTTGATGACAATGATGACGATGAACTGGCCGAGGCAATTCGTCGCAGTCTGCTCGAAGAACAGGATGCTCCTCCGCCATTTGATCTCACGTCCTCTATTCCCATCAAGTACGCGAAAGGAATGCAACCACGCCAACCATCGCCTCGGCCCCATGAGGCCGAGGGCAGTAGACAGCAAGAGATCGATGATCTGGAATTTGCCATTCAGCTTAGCTTGGCCGAAGGCAAAAGTCGGGAGGAGGAAAAGGAGTGGGAAGAGTTCCCATCCCTCGCACCGCCTGTGTCGACCTCGCCATCGGGTAAGGGCAAGGGGAAAGCCAGAGCCGTTTGGGATTGATTTGAGGATCGTGTGCCATTTTGAATTTGTGTGGTTTAGACTTTGTGTGGTTTATTGTGTGATTTTCGGTGCTCCGATTTGGATTTTAATAGTTGGGAACATTCTATTGCAATTCTGTCAAGTTTGTTAAACATTCAAGCATCCTGCATGATGATATAGAGGAACCTTTGCATGTCCCCAGGATCCTCCGGGAAACGCAAATCTCACCCTAGCATCCCCCTTCGTGAACCCTATAGCCCACTCCACGTTGATCTTCAATATTTTCATTCCGAATCCCAGTGACATCACACGGGAGGCCGGACTCTCGCGATCCCGCACCAGAAGATGAGCTCTTCCGCGCCGGTCTCCAAGTCCGCCGCGAAGTCCTAGGCGATGACTATGTGAACAAAGCCATCCTAGAGCCAAATGGCTTCACGGAACTTCTCCAGGATCTCGTAACTAAAGTAGCATGGGCCATGGTCTGGACAAGGCCCGGCTTATGTCGAGCCACGCGAACCATGCTCACCATTGCACCATTGAGTGCGCTTAATCGCCTGGATGAACTCGCTCTACATCTTCGAGGCGCACTCAGAAATGGAGTCACCAAAGCCGAGAACCAGGAGGTTATGCTTCATACGTCCATGTACGCTGGTATGCCTGTCGCAGTGTCGTCGTTTAAGCTCGCCGATCGGGCTTTGAAGGAGATGGAAAATGAGCCAAAGAGGTGTTCTAAGCTTTAAAATGGCCGCGACAGGCTTAAAAGCATAGGCTACATACTCTGTACATCTATGGCTATATCTATTAGAGATGTTCTGAATGTTGGCGGGATCCGACTTTGACCATCTCAATGAATCAGCCTCAAGAACTTCCTAGAATGCAATTTTTCACACTCGCAGCATTGACGAACACATTTTGTGACTAGACCAATGAGAGCTACATCAAGATAATCGACTCAGTAAGCTTTATATTTCTATTACCCGATGTCTAGCGACGATGATCTTGCGTCATAGAGGATACCTGTGAACCAAGGCTAGACCTAAGTATCAACTGACATACCAGGCCCAGTAAGTGAAGCCGAATAGTTCTGGGACGGTAGTCGACGGTGGCCTAGTTCTGGAGTTGTGTCTTTGCCGTTCATTCGGTCAAACTCCACGGGGAGCAACTGGAAGAGATCTTCAACTAATCTCCAAAAATGAATCCCACTCTCCTATCGGCTGATATCTGGGACTGTCTCTTCGAAAGGAAGGAAAAGTCTTTCCAGACAACCATGGTATGTACATCCCTCAGTAGTTGTCAGGGCATGCTAATCCGAGATAGTCATCTTCAAACCCGGTTGGGATATACGCACCTATAGCGGTTTTCGCTCTGGTGAGCTGAGCTTTGGTGCCAATTTACAATGCACATTGGGATGGAAGAAGGACGATGTTCTTTTAGTATTTTCCCTCAGTCATATTTATATACGAGCTGTACACTGGGGCTGTCTTGGGCTGGAGGCGTTGTCTCACCTGCCAACCCGACATATACTACAAAGAGGCTACTGTATCAGCTTGCTGATAGTGGATCAAAGGCACTGGTTGTTCACTCTTCACTCATCAAGGTTGCAACTGCTGCTGTGCGATAGGTTGGATTGCCTGTGTCGAATATATGGGTCGCTGGCGCCCAACCTTCAAGAACAACAGGACCGCAGCTTTTCGATCTATCCTTGAGAACAAAGAAGCTGGAACCATACGCCCCAGAATTGACTGTCACAGATACAGGACTCTTGGTCTACTCATCGGGAACAACTGGACGGCCCAAGAGTGCAACGGTCACTCATACCAATGTGACACTGCACAGACAAGTTGATGGACCATATATGGGCTGGAGAAAGACCGAATTCTTGCAGTCTTGCCAACCTTCATATCTCTAGTATGTCAACCTGCGATTGGATTGTCTTCTTTGGACCCTGACCAGTCTAACGGTATACAGATCTTGTATGTCTGCGCCGACAACCATAATGAGGAAATACTCCATCGCGGGTTTCCTCCGCGATGTATACAAAGAGTCCATAACCACGGTTTACCTTGCTCTCCCAGACACCTGGCCAAAGATCTAGCAATGACACGAGCTCGCCTATCATCCCTGTGAATGGTGACATCAGGTGGAGCACCCCTGCCTCCAGACCTGATTCGCGCGGTATATGATCGACTGAAGATCCCAGTTCGCCAAGCATTCAGATTGACAGAATCGAACTCGCCGAGCCATGTCCAGGTGATACATCAATATCAAAAGCATTTACGCTCCGGCTAACCCCGTCAAACAGGATGAGGTAAATGGAACTATGCAATGAGATCTAACGAGCCACCATTACCCACGGTCGAGGTAAAACTCCTCAATGAATCAGGAGACGAAGTCCAAGGTAAAGGCGAGCAGAGACTTCGTAGGTGTATAAATTGAGTTGATGAGGATCCTAAGGGACCCTCTAGCAAGATCCTTAAGCGTGTTCTGAGACAACGGGCTGAAGGGGCTGACCAAGGAAAGGTAAATTGGGGCTGCTGTTTACGAAGATCGATCATCCAAGCTATGATTCGAGCATAAAAGGTCATAATGGGAAAAACGCGCATTAGAATACATAATGCTACCTTGCCATGCTATGCTAGGAATTCCTTCCAATCTATGCGGGCGGGTTAAAAAACAACAGAACAATAGACATGAATTGTTCAAAAGGGTAAAATAATCATGTGAGAATACCAAATGAATCACAAGAAAACGCGGATGCGAGTGAACAATGGTCAGGAAAAGAAGTAAAGCCTTGAAGCTTATATCAGCTCCTTGGTCGTCTCAAAAGCCAAAAAGAGAGAGAAAAAATTGATGCAACACATCTAAGTGATTACAGAAGGGAAGCAAGGAGCATGAAGATGCCACCCATGCCACCGAAGACGACCGAGGGGGAGCCGCCGTTGATAGAGGCGGCGTTGGTGGAGGTCGAGGTACCGGAAGCGCTGGAGCCGGAAGAGCTGCTGGAGCCGGAGGTAGAAGAGGGAGTGTTGGCACCGGACTTCACCTCGAACTTGACACCGGTGACTTCCTTGCCGTTGTGGTCGTAGACCTTCTGGGGAATGGTGGTGCTGGAGACAGAGACCAGCTTACCGACGGGAGCATCGGGGAGACCGTTCTTGATGTAGTCAGAGACCTTGGAGGGCACCTCGGGGAGATCCCAGGCGTTGTAGAAGGACTTGTGGGTGACGAGATCAGCACTGCACTCCTCGGCCTTGACACTAGTCTGGCTAGAGTTGCTGGAGGTGATGCGGTCCATGTCGAGCTGGCCGAGCTGGTCCTGGAAGTTGGCGTAGTCGATGAGCATGGTGATGGTGTCGCTGTCGTTGACGCTGACCAGACCGTACTCGTTATCCTCCTGGGTCCACTCGTAGACAAGACCACCGGAGAAGGCCTGGGTCATCTCCTCACCGTAGAGGGCCTGGACCTCGGTGAAGACACGGGGCTTGACTTCGTTGCAGCCGTACTCGGAGAAGAAGACGGGGATGGTGGCGTTGGAGAAATCATCGGTGAGAACGTCGTAGCCACTGGCTTTGTAAGAAGACTTGCCGCACCAGGAGTAAGAGTTGAGACCGAAGAAGTCAGCACGGGAAGAGGTCGAGTTCTTGAGGTCACACTCGAAGTAGTGAACGGTGTCCATGAGAATATCACGGATGTCGGCAGCGGAGTAACCAACGGGAATGGCGCGGTCAGAGTTCTTGGCGATGTAGTCCTTCATGTCACGAACAACAGCGCGCATGTACTTGGGAGCAGTGTAGGTAGCATCCTCGTTGATAACCTCGTTTCCGGCGAAGAAACCGAGAAGGTTGTCGTAGTTCTTGAAGCCCTCGATGATACCGAAGACCTGCTTGTAGTAGATAGCGCTGTAGGTGGTCCAGGGAGCGCTGCGGTCGAGATAACCACCCTGCAGAGGGTTGCTGACATCGAGAATCATGTAGATACCGGCGGCGTTGAAGATGGAAGCGCACTCATCGTGGTTCAGGCTGGGCTCGAGGTTGTAGACACGGATAGTGTTGATCTATAAGATATGAGTTGCTGAGTCGCATACAAAGAAGCATTTCAACTTACACCCAGGCGCTGCATGAGCGCGGCATCGCGCATACAGACCTTGCCATCGCTCAGAGGGTCGAGCTTCGCAGTGAAGCCAGAGGAACCACCGGGCTGGTAGTCGACACCAATGATCTGGAAGCGATCACCGTTGTCGGAGTTGACGAAGTCCTGTCTGGTCAGCTTATGCGAAGGCTGATCGCGGGGTATCGCTTACCTTTCCCTTAACCTCGAGAGGTGTAAGAGCCAGCGCAGAGCCTGCGAGGGCGAGGACAGAAGAGAAGAGCTGAGAGTAAGACTAGATAAAGCATTAGTCCGAGTTCCAAGTGCACTTAATCAATTCATGCGACAATGCGACACTCACAAGCATGGTGTTGAGGTATAAAACGAGGGAACTGCGCCAGGCGCGGAAGTATAGAAGTAGCGAACGTGAAACACCAAAGAGCTTTGAAGAAAGAAAGAAAGAGAGGAAATCAGCATTAAAAAGATGAACCCAGGATCAGCTGTCTCAAATGTCTATTGTGGACCCGATAAAGACCCAAGCCACTGAACAATGGAATAGGGGGCGCGTTAGGGGTCTTAGGGTCTTGAGAGTCACTTAGGGCCTCTAGCGGGGTTTGCTGCATTCCCTAATTTCTTGTTTCAGGCTTTTGATACCTGCTGATTAATTTGAATCAATTTACATCATACGTCTATTTGAAAGGGATATTGTAGCGCTTCTCCTTTCCGATTTTCCCGTCAGAAATTTCAACCAAATTTCCACTGAAACCAAACCCCCGCCAAGTGGACGAACTCGCGGGAATTGCCGCCAAGTCCCCGCCAAGGTACGTTCCTCCGCTGGCCAACGCTGGGCCAAGCTGTGTTGCCAGAGGAGCCCAATAGCGGAAGTCGTTCTTCACGCCACAACACTGCCACGGTCTTGGAGTAGGCGCTCGAATTAATTGTCTGCTATTCAGGGGCCACTCCAGAAATATCTTCTTAGCGAGCCCATGTGCTCATCCAAAGCTCTCTTGGACATAACCCAGAGATGACAGAGAGAGATAGACTCCGCCAAGTCTGCAAATTCCCTAGATGTATCACAGAGTGAGAACTTAGGGCTGGAGGTTTGTCCTTTCTGCCATGTCTTCCATATGAAGTTCAACTACTGCAGTCCTTCTTGCTCATACCTCAATTGGTCCAACCTGCGACCGAATATTTATAGATCATCGGACTATCATAAACAGGAAATTAGGTATATGGGAGACCCACCATTTGAGTCACTAGTGACCTTTAATTCATCCTTGTCTCCATTCTTCTCCCTTTTCGCTCTTGCCTCCCTGACTTTGAAACTTATGGACGCAAGAGCAAGGGTTTGGATGATCAAAAATTCCTTTCGAGTCCTCCCCTGCAGCTCAAACACATCATGATTTTGACCGCTCTGTGATTGCTGCATGGGGTATTCCAGACCCCATCATGGTGGACTTGGGTGTTTCAATATCCAAGATTGCCTACCCTTTGTCCGTGTTCTCGGCAGATATAGGGTAGACTACTTCCCGGGGAATATGATCGGTAGTCTGACACATCTTTACCTGTTATTGTCTGCCATCAAATATGTGACTCGAACCCAGATACGTATCACACTTGACAGAGAATCGTTATTTTTGAAGTCACAGTCGTTGCTATTTATCGGTTCGAGCGCTTTTTTGAGAGACTAAAGTGCGAATATGACCAGGAGAGAAATCGACATCACGCACAAAACGCGGATTGAGATGATACAGTAGCTTGATCAAGCAATCCCATCATACCCCAGACCTAGTAGAGACAATCTAAGCCATTGAACATGATAAACCCTTTGTCAATTTCTCTTTTCCCGACAATAATTGAGTTCATCACAAGTTGAATGCTAGAAACTAGTGGGGTGCAGCATAGGGCCAGATAACTATAGCTTAGAGAGCCCAAGAAGCATATGTTGGAGGATGATAGCCCTGGTTTGTCCGTTTGATGATACTTTATAGCCATCGAATTTTCTTTATAAGATATCAATCCAACCCGTTTAGTTCCCACGGAGGATTTCAGGGCTATAAGTCTAAAGTCATTTGGTGTACATGCTTAAGACGAGGAATTGAGACTGTTGTGTTGATCTGATTTGATACTTCCCCTATCCCCACCCGATCTCGTCATCGCAGCCCCGATATTGCTAATCTTCTTTACTTTTCTGGTGTTTTAATCCGATGTTTCTGTTGGGGGAAACAGAAGTATGACTTCATCCTGAAATAATCATTTACTCGGCCGACTGCCATGTGGTTTTCATCGCGTGCAGCCGGATGTTGTGCTACAGGAACTTTATATACTTTCTCCGCAATGTCTTCTTTCGCGTTCTCGCGCTCTCTTCCCAAATATGGTACTGGCTATCAAGGCTATTATGGCTTCGGTATCTGGAAAATACGAGGGTGACCCCAATGTCAAGAATGAGGTGAGCTGCTCTCCTTCCTCAAGCAGCGTCGCCGAGGCCGTGGGTATCAACGAGAAGGCATGGCTACGGAAACTTGACTATCATCTTCTCCCACCCCTCACACTACTGTATTTGCTCTCTCTTCTAGATCGCAGCAATGTGGGAAATGCGCGGCTCGAAGGAATGGCGGATGATATCCACATGTGTATGTTATATACTGTCTTCCCTATCCCAATATGGACCTAACCTATGTCATTTATATAGCCGGAAATCAATACCTAACCGGCTTGACACTATACTTCATTGGATATGTCCTCTTTGAGCTACCCTGCAACGTCGTTCTTAAGAATACCACCCCGAGACAGTGGCTCCCAACATTGACTCTCGTCTGGGGCGTGGTCGCGACTCTGCTGGGAATTGTACAAATTTATCCGGGATATTTGGCATCAAGATTTTTTCTTGGTGTGGCAGAAAGTGGCCTCTTCCCAGGCGTTGTCTTCTATCTATCCATGTGGTACAAGCGCAATGAGCAGCATTATCGAGTAGCCCTATTTTTCAGTGCTGCCTCGCTGGCAGGCGCCTTTGGTGGTATTCTAGCTTGGGTTAGTTTATCTCATACCCAACCGAAGAAAAAGCTAACGTATCTTTAGGCAATTGCTCATATGGAAGGTGTTGGCGGGAGTACATGATCAATCATTTTTGCTATGGTACAATGAACTAACATCTGATAAAGGGCCTAAATGGATGGCGCTGGATTTTCATTCTGGTACGGCTCTAAATTGAAGCTTCATATGTTCCATACCAATGGCTTTTTTTCGGTTTAGGAAGGGCTGTTGACTGTTGTTGTTTCCATACTCGCCTACTTCTGGGTATACAACTATCCATCCACAGCCGAATTTCTGGCAGAGGAAGAGCGACAATTTATCCAATTTCGTCTGAAGAATGACAGTGATGCGACCTTTAATGAAAAGTTTACCTGGTCTGCAGTGCTAGATGCGTTCAAAGACCCCAAGGTTTGGCTTTACGGGTTAGGGTTCCATACCATGTCGCTCCCCCTATACACCCTCTCACTCTTCTTGGTAAATACCCGCTCTCCTATACTGTAAGTCAAGTACTGAATTTTTCTCAGCCCACAATCATCAAGGAATTAGGGTTCTCCGCCGCGAAGGCCCAACTACTTTCTGTACCGCCATACGCAGTCGCATTCGTACTCACTATCGGCGTTGCAATTGCTTCTGAAAATACTCGCATCCGTGCACCATTTATCATGGGTTCATCTGCTCTTGGATGTATCGGATATATCCTTCTGCTGTCACAACATCGCGCTGGCGTATCTTACCTAGGAATTATATTTGCGGCGGCAGGCATTTATCCAGCTGTCGCAATTGTACTGTCTTGGCCTGCCAACAATATATCTGGCCAAACAAAAAGATGCATTGCAAATGCCCTCCAGATCTCAATTGGTAATTTGGGGGCCGTTCTTGGAACGCAGCTCTATCGGACTGAGTCTGCGCCACGATATTTCCTGGGCCATGATGTGTTGACCTACCGATTTATATCCATATTGGTATAGCGCTAACAATATTTTCTCTTCAGGCTTCGCATTGGGCTATCTTGTAGTAAATATTGTCGTTGTTGGGATCTTATGGTTAGTTCTTCGACGAGAAAACGCCGAAAAGGAGCGCGCCAGAGAAGCGCAGGGCCTGACACCGTTGATGGGAGATGTCGGTGATGCTGAGGGAGATTTTCAGGGAGACAAGGATTCGCGATGGGTGTTCCAAACGTGAAACTTATCCTGTCAGATATCTATTTACAGTCCATACTTTCTCGCAATTTGAGGTCAACACTACGCCCGACTATTAGAACGCCCGACTATTAGATTGACAACCTCTGTCCAGCTATAGACTACCTTGCAAATACCGAGATTAGCGAAGTACTTAATCTCCAAAAAAGAACAAAATCCTCTGAGCGAATGAAACAGAGCATGTGAATATCCTCGGCTAGCGGAAAGTATTTAGGATCCAAAATGGGAGTGTCTTCGTTCTTTCTGTCTATAAAGAACGCAATTCAGGTGCTCTCTAATACATAAATTATGAAATGTAACATTGGAAATTCCATAAGTCTTCTAAAATACAAGTTGTTGAGGGGGGATTCACACCGAAATATCTTACTCCACAAGGTCTTCAGCAGGGTTCGCACCAGCGCGAGAGGGGGGACCGTCCAAAGCAATGAGCTCAGCAAGGACTTCAAGGGTTTCCTTGGGAACGGTCTGTATTGGGCATCTGTCAGTCGTGTTCTCGCAGATTGAAGGATGAAAGCTTCGAGGCTGTGGATCGGATAACGCACCTTGTCATAAATTCCAATGAGATCAGCGGGCTGGGGGTAGACCTTCAATGCCTTCCAGAAGGCGACTGCGGCCTCGACCTTGTTGTTGCCTGAGGGAGCGAAAGTGTTAGCAATTGACCTCCAGCATGCGCCATTAAATTAGATGCAAAGTGGCAAGTGAACGTACCATCAGCACAGAGCCCTTCACCCATGGCTACTTGTTGCATGAAGAATGACTGCGAAAGTGTAAGCTAAGTTTCATACGGAACCCGCAAGCGTATACTAACCTCCTTCTCTTCAAGGTCAGTGGGCCATCCATCCTCCTTGGCCTTAGCAAGGGCCTTCTTAATCTCATCCTTCTGTGCGCCCTCGGCGGCAGCTTCTTGCTCCTTCACAACCTTCTCGATGACCTTGTTCTTCTTATTGATGGACTTGCGGAAGGTAACGTCGGTGCGGCGGCGGTGATCAAAATAGACGGCGTAGGCTGTCAGAATAGAACGGTTAGTAGTGAATTAGGTCCCAGGCGACATCAGATCGATCCATACCAACGAGTCCAGTCAAGACTGTGCCGGCAACAATCGCAGTGTTACGGAAGGCCATTGTGAAAGCGGGTAGGCGGAGAGGGTAAAGCGGAAGGGTTTCGAGTCTAAGTCACGAGTATGTGGGACTTGGGAGGATGGATAGTCTGGACAGAGTCTAAAGGAGAGACTCAACGAAAGCGATGATGGAGTTGACGTGTTGGATCGCGTCTTAGGCCGATGAAAATGTTTAACCTCCGGGACCAGCGCTGACTAAGCCCGAAAGTGACCTCACTCCCTTTCCTGCCAGATCACTCCGTTGACAACACTCTTCACGATGGAGGGCCGAGGATTGACTTTGCGAAGTAAATCTCGCCGGCAGCGGCCTCAGATCAGTGCTCCTAAGCCTATCTCCGGGCCATTGCCTGCGAATACCAGGTCACCCGAGTCCAGCCAGGCCGATGTCCCCTCTACTCGAGAGCGGGCACCCCCAAACGATGCGACTTCGGATTTAGTGAAACGACGATACTCGACGCGATTCAACAATGTGCCTGAGTTCGATGCCGGTGCTCCCCCTGTTCCGGCACTCCCAACACAGATGCCTGGAGGGTTCGGCCTACCTCCACAAGCTGTGCTGAGACAACCATCCCCAGCCGATCCCAATTCCCCGGTGCCGAAAGTAGATCTCAATGTGCTACGAGACCCCAGTCTTCCAGTTGATCGATGTTGGTAATTTTTGTCCGTTGCACCTGCATTGAAGCTAATTAGGGGACTTTAGATGTCGCCAGCCTTCTCGCCAACGCGTCCGAGGAAGACATCCAGAAATACCAAGAAAGTCTGCGCAAAGTCAAGAACCGAACCTCTACCGACTTGCAACAGAATGTCTACCAGAACCGCACTCAATTCATAAAGATCAGTAAAGAGGCCGAGAAGCTCAAGGATGAAATGCGGACTCTTCGTACCCTCATGGCGGAGCTTACAACGGCGCTGGGACAAACAAGCGTGGGAAATACACCAAACCCTATGTCCCCAGTCGAGGACTCTTTCCCAAAGCGCAATGCCAACCGTAGTTCGGTCGCCAACTTGGAGAGCATGTGGAGTGTGCAGCTCCAGACCCTATGGAAGACGGTTGAAGGATCGCAGAAGTTCCTACCCGCGGTGCCCGGACGGCACATTGTCCTAGAGACAGGCAACTGGGCTGAGCTGGACTCAGCCACGTGGAAACCGAGACGGCCTGTCCACCTGGTGCTATTAAATGACCATCTCCTTGTAGCAGCGAAGAAGCGCAAGCGAGTCGACCAAAGCCACCCTCACCATCGCGGGCCCGTTCCAACAAAGCTAGTAGCGGAAGACTGTTGGCCTCTACAGGACATCGACATGATCGATCTTGGGGCTAATTTGGGAACTGGAGAAGCACGTGAAGAAGCTTTAGACCGGGGCATTGGTAATGCCATTACCATCCGAGTTGGGTCATCCAAGCCCTTCACTTACAGAAATGATAAGCGCGATCCGTCGTTCAAACAAGAATTGCTGGCAACCTTCCGCAAAACCGTCGAGGATCTACGCCGTAACTTGCGATCGGAGACTGAGGCGGCCAGCAAGCCTTTGGAAGGATATGGATACCTCGCTGGCCGACACCTTTCGCATTCACAAAAGGCAGAGTCATTCGACCTTCCGGATTCCACCAGGGACAAGTCTGATTTGCGAATCGACGTGGATGGTAAACAACAGAACCTCCGGTGGGTGGAAGGACAGGTAGATGAGCTTGATATCGATATCGCTTTACAGCGATTCGAGGCATCTGTGGCCAGCATCGAAAGGTTACGGAAACTGGCCAAGGGACTGAAGGGCAACACTATCGCACAAGATGTCATCAATGTCAAGGTTGATGGACGAGCAACTCGATTGGGTGGCATTCTCTCACGGGCGCTCGTGGACAAGCATTCTTTCCCAGCGGCAACCAAAACCCATGTCAGTTGGTTGACCCGCTTAGGGTTTGAGGATCAGGCGCGCGAGACTTATCTGAAAGCTCGCTCCGACGTGATTGCTCAGCGCATCCGGTATGTTATTTCTACTTTCTATCTACTGCTGGTTTGATATGCTAAATCCTATGACAGAGCTTGCATTTTCGAGGGTGATCTTCCTCTATACATCTTCCAGATTTCCTACGTCTACTTCACTCTCATCAAGAATACCATTGGCATTTACCAGCAATGCTTCCCTAGCGTCATGAGCAGTTCTTGTATCCGATGGGCTAAGCATCATCTGGATGGATTCAATGCTCTGCTTAGTCGACAGCTCAGCAGCGTGCAGCGGGGCACCTCTGTCTGGCAAAAGTGCCTCGACATAGTGCACGAGCATGCAGCTCTCTTGATGGAAGTCGGTGTGGATTTTACGGACTTGGTGGCTCGAGGGTTGGAGGAGAATGGCGAGGGTTCGCCTGACGGGCCTCGCACCGTTCAGCCAGGAGAGCTAGCGCAAGCACCCTCTCCAGCTACCATGATCTAGACTATAATAGGACGTTAAATTGCGAATTAACGACGTGTTTTCAACTTACTATCACCCTCGCATGAAAGATCTTGGGCGAGGCTCAGGTGTCACGGGGCCAGGCCACGGAATTCGGAGATAAGACATAAGCCCGAGGGCATCTATTACCTACACCTCCTTGCGCAACAATCCTTAGACATCATTGCATTAACGATGAAAGTGATTCTCACAGGTTCAACTGGCTTTGTTGGTGGCGAGGTCCTCTCCCAATGTCTACAACATCCCGCCATCACCTCTATCGTAGCGCTAAGCCGTCGTGACTTGCCAGCACACGAAAAGCTCCAAGTCGCGATAGTTGAGGATTTCCTGACCTATCCAAACTCAGTCCGAGAGAAAATCCAGGATGCTGATGCATGCATTTGGTACGATAGGCATAGGGACTCTGTCACGAATCAATCTCATTGAGACCAGACTAACCCCTTGTTGCAGGACACTGGGCAAGGCTCGCATACCCGATAACGACACAGCTCGGCGCGTGAGCATAGACTATACCTTGACTGCAGCCCGAGTCTTCCAAGACACCTGCCAGAAGCCATTCCGTTTCATATACTGTAGCGGGGCGGCAGCAGAGAGAGACCAGACCAAGCCGCTGTGGTTCATGCAGGATTATCGACGCATTAGGGTAAAAAGCACTCTTGTCTGGAGATGGGAATCAACGATTAGGCTAACAAATAACAGGGTCAAGTCGAAACTGAAACCCTGGATTTCGCTCGTGATCACACTGGTTTTGAGGCGCATATTATGCGACCTGCTATGATTTTGACGCGAGATATGAGTCTGCAAAGACTTGTCTTTAGTCTTGGGCCTTCTATCAAGGTTGATGATCTTGCTCGTACTATGTTGGATTTGGCGCTGAATGGTGGACCGAAGAATATATGGGAAAATGCTGATATGAACCAAAGGGATGATAGCTAGAGAGGCCCGAGAGAGGATGGAAGATAATGCCATAGGCTCTGATAATGGTATACTTCCTTGATCTTAGTATGCTTAGATCCTGGGTTGTATATGATCTTTGCATTTCTTTATACTTCTTAGTATACGCCAAGCTTTGGCCAAGGTCGAGTATATCCACGTAGTTCGATACAAGGGATTTCAATGGGCCTTGTTTATGGTTTATATATATTCCGGAAGCACCAGTTTGAGTTGTATCTCTTTGAAACAATCAACTTACAACGTTTATCTTCACATATATCTACGTGTAGGTAGTCAGTCGCATCGAATAAGCCGGAAATTACTCCACATCGGCAGTTCTCCGCACCGGCTAAATGTTGTAAGGGGTCAGATTCTTGTCTTTCCTCCTCCTCTTCTTCTTCTTCTTCCTCTTCAATTCTATACTATCTTAAGTCACTCTTTGGATCTTTCGCAATCAGCAGAGAACAACACATTTCACCTCTCCCCATGCCGATACCCACTCTGCCCCTCTTCGCCGCGGCAGAACAGCATGCGCGCGACGACCCCAACAAAATCGCGGTCATCGACGCCACGAAACAAGAATCCTTTACATTCGTTCAATTGCTAGCCGATGCTGCAGCATTAAGGAAGCGCATGGTTGAACAATTGGGTCTGACTGAGGACCTGGACGAGCGGCGCATTGCATTCTTAGTCCCCAATGGGTATGATTACGTCGTCACGCAATGGGCTGTGTGGGCAGCAGGAGGTGTCTGTGTTCCTCTATGTGCGTATTGAAGACTTTAATATGGAATCACTTGGCTGACCTTTTCGATTAGGCACAAGTCACCCAGTGAAGGAGCTGTTATATACCGTCGATGATTCGGACCCCTCGTTGGTTATTGTTCACCCAGCTTTCGAGAAGATGGCACCAGCATTGCGCGAGGGATGCACTACCGACATTCCATTCATGGGCCTTGAGCCATTAAGTCGCAACGATGCACCGACTATGCCATCCTTCTCTCCACCTTTTGCCCTTACCCGTCGCGCTCTGATGATCTATACTTCCGGAACCACCTCAAACCCGAAGGGCTGCGTCACCACCCACGAGAATATCACTTTTCAGGCAAACTGTCTGGTCAAGGCTTGGGAATATAGCCCCTCAGACCGTCTCATTCATGTGCTGCCGCTCCACCACGTCCACGGTATTATCAATGGTCTAGCCGCCAGTTTCTTGAGTGGTACCATTGTCGAGATGCACCCAAAGTTTGACCCAAAAGTGATCTGGGAGCGGTGGCAGGAGGGCGGCTCAACTTTGTTCATGGCAGTTCCGACCATCTATTCCCGCCTGAATGATTTTTTCGATACTCATATTCGCGGCACTGAACACGAGAGTGCCGCACGGGCTGGAGCTCGCGCTCTCCGACTGGTGGTCAGCGGATCTGCAGCCCTCCCCACTCCTATCAAGTCGAAATTTGCCGAGATATCTGGCCAGATATTGCTAGAGCGATATGGAATGACCGAGATCGGCATGGCTCTCAGCTGCGGGCTTGAGGTTGAAAAGCGAGTTGATGGCAGCGTTGGATGGCCTTTGCCCGGTGTCGAGGTCCGATTGACCGAAAAAGAAACAGGCAAGACCGTTGAAGGCGTGGACGAAGATGGCATGATCGAGATCAAGGGTGGGAATGTTTTCCGCGAGTATTGGCGCAAGTCCGAGGCAACTTCCTCGGAGTTCACAGCAGATGGCTGGTTCAAGACCGGCGATGTCGCCAGACGGGATTCCACTGGCGCATACTTTATCCAAGGCCGTGCTTCTGTTGATCTGATCAAATCCGGCGGTTACAAAATCTCCGCGTTGGAAGTTGAGCGCAAGATGCTCGCTTTGGATGAAATCCAGGAAGTGGCAGTCGTTGGTCTCGCAGATCAAGAATGGGGCCAGCGAGTCGCAGCAGTCGTCAAGTTCCGCTACGGAGTAAGTTGACATGATCTTAAAGATCACAGATTTGTTTTGCTAATACATATGCAGGCTGTACCTGTCGAGCTTCCGGCCCTCCGTGCGAGCCTCAAGAATGAGATGGCCCCTTATAAAATTCCCACTGTCTTGAAGGTTGTGGATGGAATCGAGCGCAATGCTATGGGCAAGGTCAATAAGAAAGCCATTGTGCAAAAGTACTGGCCAGACAAGGCATAAATCATGCGATGAATGAATGAATGAGAGATGAGTGAGGCCCTGTGGATGGGACTGGTTTGGACATGAATTAGCGAAGACACATATAGAGCACTACACGTTTTACATCGAACATAGATCAGATGATATCTTTGTGCTTATGACTCAAACGAAATACGTCAAGATTACAGAACGGTCGCGAATCACCTGTACAAATCGAGCTTCTATTCCGGCCTGAGACATGATATCCAAATTCCTCGCCTCTTCATGCAGATGTGGTGTTCCCGAACTGAGTCGCGTTCCAATCGGACGCAAACTAATCGGAAGGTCAATTACCGTGTTCGCTATAACAGTGAAAAGAGATCTGCACATCTTACATTCCAAGCATCAATCCGCAGCAAGCTAATGTTTTTGTTGGTTGTCTGATTCGATGTCAGAATGCCAATAGCTGGATCGAACTGTATTAGACGGAGATACGGCGATTGACTTCGTGTGCGATACTCACCCACCACACTGTTCAACCAATAATACTTTGGACTTCCAGTCTCAAAGATAAGACGCAAGTGCAAATGATCATCAGGGGCCTTAGGACCAGCAGTCTGGAGGAAGATATCGGCCCCATCATCGGTACGAAAGTTATACCGAGTATCCGCAGAAAAGATATTGGTTTGGGGATCAACGAGGCCCCAATCAGCACCGACATCGAGAATCTTGCCTAGGTAGAGACAAATCATGTTAGATCACCACTGATATAGACTTGGAGTTGGGATCATACCGGAAAGATGAGGGCCGCTGAAGTTTCCACCGACGATGGGAATTGACTTCCGAATTCCATGGGGTCCAGCAGAGGTAGACATCAGATTAGAATCACACTCTACAAATGCTGTGTAAAGAAATGAGAGCTTGGGCACAGCGGGGACTGAAGTCGTAGCAATTCCGGTAGCATGAGAAACATGTAGCTAGAGCAAGCATGCTAGTAGCCCATCCCTGGGAAGAGACAGGGTGCAACATTATGGTTCATGATATATCAAATCTGTGGTTTTTCTTTCAATGATTGAACCAGTAGGAAAAGAAGTCCTGTACACTGGAACGGAGGCAATAGTTGTATAGCCGGGTATACTTCGGATAATCCGATCCATCTGCCGAATCCCCGCCTTTTCCACGCCTCAGTACGTCGAGGATTAACAGGAAATACTCGAATTGACCTGTTTCCCCAGAGAAATCAACAGGGTTGTGACTGGTAATGTCTGAGATTGTACCTAGGCTGAGCTGTTCACTTGCCGTTTTCCCCTGCCGATGGCGATCTGCAATACTCTCTGAGTGCCAGTACATCAACTATTCTTTTTAATTGTAAGTGGAATGCAACGGTATTTATTTTTGATGTTTGATTGTAATTCTAGTTGAGGAAGGCAAGAAAATAGAAAGAACGGGACATTCTGCATCCTAACTACGGCAGGATATGGCTTTGTGTAGTGTCTGTTAAAACCTCGCGCTGGACCTAAATACTAAGGTCCTCCTCATCAGCTTGCAGATTATCGCCAAAGAGTACTGTAACTTGCAATAAAGATTTGTGAGCTATCTCTGGTACGACAAAAAAAAAAAAAAAAAAAAAAAAAAAACAAGAAAACTCCAGCAGCCACGCAGAATTAGCTAAAGAACAGGAGGAATGTGCTCCTAACTGATAGAGACAAGCATCCGAGGAACGACTACTCTAATGATGAAGTTAGCCGGCTAGTTGTTTGAGGTTGCAAGACTGACACTGTTTACTGGCCTGGAGCTTGGAAAGACCTCAGCAGGTAGAACCCAGGCGAGAGGGTCATATGAGATGGCATAGCCGAACACATAGATATTGAAATGGGTGGCACATACTGGAATATCAAAAATTCGTAAAATTGATTCAGACACAGCTGATCGAAACTGATATAAAATGTCATGCAAATAAATCGCCCAAAAGAAAGACATGCCAAAAACACAAAAAAAAAAAGAGAAAACGCCAAGCCAAATCCAAAACACACGCCACGCAAAACACGACACACAGAACACACACATAACACACACATATAAAACCATAAAATATAAAATATTGACATACAGAGGAGTTCATGATAAGGAGATTCATCTAAATCTATACAGCTACGGGCATAAAACTTTTCAAAAACATAACGAAAAAAAAAAAGGAAAACATGTCTTGCGTGATCAAATGCATGGCGCTTTTGAATGCCCAATCCCCAGAAAATTATAGTGGCAGTGGATATTCAAGTTCTCATGCCAGGACCAGAGCGAGCAGGGCCATGCGGCAGTAAAGGCCGTAGCGCATCTGAGAAGAAGTTAGTATATAATCTTGTGAAGGGGGCGAATTGAAACATACCTGGCGGAAGTAAGCAGCCCGCTGGTCGAAGTCGACCTCCTCAGCGATCTCGGCGTTGCGAGGCAGAGGGTGCATGACGACCATGTGGCCCTTGGCGTGCTTAAGCAGAGCGTTGTCAATGACGAAGCTGTTCTTAAGAGCCTCGTACTGGGCGAGATCGGCGAAACGCTCCTTCTGGACACGAGTGGAGTACAGAATGTCAGAGCGGGCAACGATCTCAGGAGTCAGCTCCTCCGACTCAAGGACCAACTGTCCGGAAGTAATGATCTGCTGGCGGACCTCCTCGGGAAGAGCAAGAGCCTTGGGGGCGACCAGCTGGATGCGGACATCGTAGAACTGGAGGAGCTTGATGAGGGAGTGGACGGGGCGGCCGTACTTGAGGTCACCAGTGAAGGTGATGGTCAAGCCGGTGACGGTACCGAGCTCCTCACGGATGGTAAACAGGTCCAGGAAGGCCTGGGTGGGGTGCTCGAGGGAGCCGTTACCACCGTTGATGACAGGGACCTGGGAGAACTTGGCCGCGATCTCAGTGCTGCTGGCGTCGGGGTGACGCAAAACAATGGCATCGCCGTAGCAGCCGAGGGTGCGGATGGTGTCCTGGAGAGTCTCGCCCTTCTTGGTGGAAGAGTGCTCGGTCGAGATGGCGATGGTACGTCCACCGAGGCGCTGCATGGCAGCGTCGAACGAGGCCGAGGTGCGGGTCGAGGGCTCGTAGAAGAGAGTAGTCAGGACACGGCCCTTGAGGATGTCAAGGACACCCTGGCGCTGAACACCGAGACGCATCTCCTGGGCGACAGTGAACAGCAAGTGCAGGTCAGCACGAGTGAACTGGTTCACGGACAGGACGTGCTTGCCGCGGATCTTGGAGCGCGAGAGCAGGTCGGCCATGTTGGAAGAACCCTGGGACGAGGGGTAGAGAGGGGGTCCAAGTTCACCAATGGCAGGCACGGTGTTGTCCATGTTCTTCTGGCGGCGGCCAGGGGTGCCAGAAAGAGACTGGTGACGGTCGAGGGAGCTCTCAGGGCGAACCATGGGGGTCATCGCAGGCGAGGCAGGAAGGATGCGGTGGGCAGACATATCGGTACCTTTGATAGCATCCTTGATGATCTCGCCATCGAGGCAAGAAGTCTTGCCCTGGAAGATAACACGCTGGACGGAGCCACGCATCACCTTGCCGTTGAAGGGAGAGCTGGCATCGGGGCTCTGGAAGACGTATGGGCGGTCAACCTCGATCTCGAGGGAGCTGTCAGCCTGGTCGTGCAGCTCGAAGATCTTCTTGGGGTTCTCGTAGAGGCGAGCGGTGATGTCCTCAACGGTCAGACGGCCCTCAGCGACGGCAGTGAACAGGAGAGGAAGTGACTCCGCAATACCAGTCTCGGGGGTTGCGGCCTTGCCAGCAAGCTGGAAGGGGATGCTGCCAATCGAGAAGACATCGATGGTGCTCATGTGGTCCCACAGTGATTTCTGGTCCTCAACGGTAGGCAGGAAGCTGGAGGCCGGGTAGTCCTTCTGAGAAAGGAAGAGGCAGTAGATGGAGACATCGCAGGTCACCTTCAGGCCCTTTTCCTTGCTCAGAGCAATGAGGGTAATGTCCTCCTTGGAAGTCACGTTCAGAACGTGAATGTTGCGACCGTGGAGACTGGCCAACAACAGAATGGAGGCAAGGTCAGTGCTCTTGGCATCGGTGATCAGAGGCTTGCTCGAGGGCCAGGCGCTGAAGTGGTTGGTGACAGTGGCGACCTTGTTGATGTTGCCAGAGAGGTGGTTGAAGGGGATGAACAGAGATCCAACCTCACCGGTCACCTGGATGATCTGATCCGAGTTGGTGGCGGTGGCAGCGACGGAGAGGTTGAAGTCACAGAGAGACTTGTCCTGGGCGTTCTTCTGGACAATCTTCAGGTCGCTGGCCTGGGTGACTGAGGTGTCAACGCCAACGGGCATCACACGGATCATGCTGAAACCACCTGCGAGCGAGGCCTTGGAGACAGCCTCGAAGTCGTTGGAACCAGCAGAGACCAGGTTGGGGACAAAGGCCGCAATGTTGATCAGACCGGGCAGAACAACAGTGCGGTGGCTGGTCTGGAAATCAGCGGTGATGATGTTCAAAGGGAAGTGGCGAGCAATGGCCTCAATCAGGATCTTGGCGTTCTTGACGTTGGTGACCAGAGGAGTCTGGTAGTCAACAGCCATACGACGAGTGCGGTAACCCTTGGACATGTAGTTGGCAGGGCGACGGAAGCGGTTGTTCGATGGCAAGTTGACGTACAAGTCAATCAGGTTGTTGGACAAGTGCTGAGTGAGAGAGTACTCGGACTTCATGTCCTCTTCCTCGTGATCGGGAAGGTGCTCGAGGTACTTGACAGTCACACCGTGCTCCTTCAGGAAATCAGCAGTACCAGCGGTGGCAAACAAGTTGTAACCGAGCTGGGAGAGCTTCTGAATGGAAGGCAGCATCTCCATCTTCTCCTTGTAGGCACCAATGGAGAACAGGATGTTGCGACGGGGCAGCTTGAATCCGGTGGACAGCAGGGCCTTGAGGTAGGCCTCGTATTTGTCACGACCGAACGAAGCGACCTCACCAGTGGAAGCCATCTCGACACCCAGAACGGGGTCAGCGCCGGAGAGACGGGAGAACGAGAACTGAGGAACCTTCACACCAACGTAGTCCTTGGGGACGTTGACAGGGGGGTACTCCTGGAAGGGAGCACCGATCATGGCCTTGGTGGCCATCTCGATCAGGTCGACACCCATAACCTTGGACACGAAGGGGAACGAACGCGAGGCACGAACGTTGCACTCAATGACCTTGATGTCGTTGTCCTTGGCAATGAACTGGATGTTGTAAGGGCCGGTCACGTTGAGGGCGTTTCCAATCTTGCGGGTGGCCTCAACAATACGACGGACAGTCTCCTCGCTAAGATCCTGGGGAGGCAGGATCAGTGTAGCGTCACCAGAGTGAACACCGGCGTTCTCGACGTGCTCAGAGATGAAGTGACCAACCATGACACCATTAAGGGCAACAGCGTCCATCTCAATCTCCTTGGCGTTCTCGATGTACTTGGTGATAACAACGGGGTGCTCACGCGAGACATCGGCAGCTTGGCCGAGATAGCTGGCGAGATCGTGCTCGGAGTAGACAGTGTTCATGGCAGCACCAGACAGGACATAGGAAGGACGGACCAGCACAGGGTATCCGACCTTGTCACAGAAACCGCGGGCTTCTTCGATGGAGGTGAGTTCCTTCCAGGCGGGCTGATCGACCTCGATACGGTCCAACATACGGGAGAACTTGTAACGGTTCTCGGCACCGTCGATCATCTCAGGAGAGGTACCAAGGATGTTGACGTTGAGGCGGTGCAGGGGCAGAGCGATGTTGTTAGGGGTCTGTCCTCCCATAGACATGATAACACCGCTGGAGGTTTCCAACTGGTAGATGTCGAGCACAGTCTCGAGGTTGATGTTCTCGAAGTACAAGCGGTCGGCCTCATCGTAATCGGTACTGACAGTCTCAGGGTTGTAGTTGACCATGATAGTCTTGTGGCCTTGCTCACGGAGAGTACGGATAGTGCGCACAGAACACCAATCGAACTCGACGGAGGAACCGATACGGTAGACACCAGAGCCCAGAACCATAATGCCGTGATCGTCGAACGACAGATCGTGCTCGGATGCATTGTAGGTGAGGTAAAGGTAGTTGGTCACAGCGGGGAACTCAGCGGCGACAGTGTCGATCTGCTTGACAATAGGCATGATACCAGCCTCAACACGCATACGGCGGACAGCCAGCTCGTTGGAGTCCAGGAAGTTGGCGAGCTGGCGATCGGAGAAACCGAGCTGCTTAGCCTGGCGGATCATAGGCACAGGCACAGAGGTAGCGTTGAAGGTGGACATGGACTTGCCGAAGTCGTTCAAGCCCTTGAGGCGAGAGAGGAACCACTTGTCGATGTTAGTGAGCTTCCAGATGTCATCAACGGTGTAGCCAGCAGCCATGGCGTTGGCAATGGCGAACAGACGCTGGTCGGAAGGAGTCTGAAGCTCGGCGTCGATGGACATAAGGGCATCAGTGGCGCTGAAACCAAGGTTGTGGAAATCAACGGAACGGATGGCCTTTTGAATGGCTTCTTCGAAGGTTCGGCCAATGCTCATGACTTCACCAACACTCTTCATGGAAGAACCGAGCTGGGTGGAGACACGAGTGAACTTCTTCAGATCCCAGCGGGGAATCTTGACCACACAGTAATCGAGTGAGGGCTCGAAGCAAGCACAGGTGGACTTGGTGACCGAGTTCTTGATCTCGTTCAGAGGAATACCGAGACCCAACTTGGCAGCGATAAACGCAAGAGGGTAACCGGTAGCCTTAGAGGCCAGAGCCGAGGAACGAGACAGACGGGCGTTGACCTCGATAATGCAGTACTCCCGGGAGAAGGGGTTGAGGGCGTACTGGATGTTACATTCACCGACAACCCCGAGGTGTCGAATGACGTTAACAGCGGTGGTACGCAACATGTTGTAGTCCTCGTCGGAAAGAGTCTGAGAAGGAGCCACGACAATGGAGTCACCAGTGTGGATACCAAGGGGATCGAAGTTCTCCATGTTACAGACAGTGATACAGTTGTCCTGGGCATCACGAACAACCTCGTATTCGACCTCCTTCCAGCCCTTCATACTGCGCTCAATCAGAACTTGGGGACTGACAGCCAGGGCCTTGGTGCAGAGCTCCTTCAGTTCATCCATGTTGTTGGCGAAACCAGATCCGAGACCACCAAGAGCGTAGGCAGCACGAACAATAACGGGGAATCCAATGGCCTCAACGACCTGGAGAGACTCCTCAAGGGTGGAAGCGGAGGCAGATTTGGCACACTTCTCGTTGATGGAGTCCATGCTACGGGCGAACAGCTCACGATCCTCAGTGGTAATGATGGTGTCAATGGGGGTACCGAGAACCTGAACGCCGAGCCCCTCGAACTCATCCTTGAGCTGGATACCAACAGAGAGGGCAGTCTGACCACCGAAAGTGACGTAAATAGCATCAGGACGCTCGTGCTTGATGACCTTGCGGACAAAGTCGGCGTTGACGGGCAGGAAGTAGACCTTGTCAGCCAGACCCTTGGAAGTCTGAATGGTGGCAATGTTGGGGTTGATCAGGATAGTGTAGATACCCTCTTCCTTCAGAGCCTTGATGGCTTGACTGCCGGAGTAATCAAACTCTCCAGCCTGGCCAATGCTGAGACCACCGGAACCGAGAACCAGGACCTTCTTGACCGAGACACGGGGAGCAGCAAGGACGTTGTCGGCCTTGGCGCCACCGGGGAAAGAAACGGGCAAGTTGAGAGCCTCGGGAGAGGCAATGGTAGACTGGATAGTGTTGATGAAGACATCGAACAGGTACTCGGTGTCGCGGGGACCGGGGGTGCTCTCGGGGTGGAATTGCACACTGAAGAAGGGACGGCTGGTGTGACGAATACCCTCGTTGCTGCCATCGTTGGCGTTGACAAACAGCTCCTCCCAGCCGTTCTTGAGGCTGCTGGCGTCCACGGCGTAACCGTGGTTCTGAGAAGTGATGTGACACTTGCCGGAGAGCATGCTTGTACAGGGAATGTTGTGACCGCGGTTACCGAACTTCATCTTGGAAGTCTGGGCGCCGACGGAGCGGGCAATCAACTGGTGACCCAAGCAGATACCGAAAACGGGTGTGCGGGCATCCTCGAACATCTTGGCGAGGTTCTTGATGGTGACCTCCAAGGTGGCAGGGTCACCGGGACCGTTGGACACAAACAGACCGTCGAAGTCCTTTCCAGCGAGAGTAGGGAAATCGTAGTCCCAAGGGACAACCAAGACTTCCACACCGCGGGAAAGCAGACAACGCAGCTGGTTGTACTTCATACCAACATCCAAACAGAGCACACGGACTCCACGGCCTGAGGGGTGCTTGAGGGCGATGTTCTCGGGTGGTGTGAATAGGCGGGGCTCGCGGATGGAGACTGTAGTTTAAGAAAGATACAGTCAGAAAGCCAATTCTTGTTTCCTCGCAACTTAACCTGGTAGGTCACTCACCCTCAGCCACGAGGTTCTTTGTGTTGGGGTCGACCCATTCGGTCTCCTCGAAGTGGGACTTCCAGTTGGCACCGGCGATGCCAGCGGCATCGGCGGCACCATCCTTTTGCAGCAGCATGCGACCCAGCATACTACCGGTCTGACGCAGGCGCTTGGTGAGAGCACGAGTGTCAACACCGTGCATGGCAGGAACACCCTGCTCCTTGAGCCATTGACCGAGCGAGGTCTTGGCCAAGAAGTGCGAGTAGTCCTCGCCGGCGTAGGCTGCCACCACCAAGCCGGCAACGTGGATCTGGTTGGACTCGAAGTGCTTGGGGAGGTCCTTCAGGAGCTCATCCATCTCATCCTGTGCGGGGACACCGTAGTTACCCACAAGTGGGAAAGTGATAACCAGGATCTGACCGCGGTATGAGGGATCGGTGATGGACTCGGGGTAACCGACCATACCGGTCTGGAAGACCAATTCACCAGAAATGCTTTTCTCGGCACCAAAGTTGTAACCCTGGTAGACTGTGCCATCGGCCAACTCGAGGGAAGTCATGCGGCCGCTGCCACCCCGGACCGGGATGGAGGCAGGCTTGATCACTGTACCGCGGACAGAATCCATGATGGGCAGAGAGTCTTGGTATGCAACAGGTCCTCCCAGCTTGGGACTAGTAGGCAAAATTGTGTCGTCGAGGGAATTGGCGTGGGACATGGCAATTGGAGGGGACAAGTCCTCTCGAGGACGAAATTCGTGAAAGCAGGTCCTAATTCAGCATTCGCTATAGGAGAGGAACTTTTGGAGTAAACAGAAAAAAAGAAATCGCAAAAAAGGAGTATAGATAAAAAGAGTAGTGCTGCAACCAGCTGGTTGGAGGAGGAAGAGAAGAAATCTCGGCAGAAAATATTTTCATGCATTTTGAGCCCCACTTCTGTTTTCGGTACATTTCACCGCAGAGATTTCTGGTATGTCATAGTCCACTACTTAGTACTGTTGTTACTTACATTCTGCCTATTTGGCTAGTATTCTAGTATTCTATATGGTATCATAACAGACATTTTCTTGTTCACCCAAAAGTCCCTAGCTTAAGCTACCTGCATGCATATGATATATTCCTAGGCGGTGGGCCGATAACAGTATCAGCCCTGTTTGATATTAATTAACGGCGATTTATAGTGGAATTAGTCAGTGAACACCGTGAATACATGGTGCTATAAGCATACAGCCAGTCGACTATTGACAGCTAATCTCCAAGTTTAGATATATCAACTGTCCTAGGAGGTGGCAATTTGAGTTACCGGTATTGCCCGTCCCACCTGCACGCGTGATCGAAGTTAGATGTACTCAAAAACCAGTATATGCGACAATTGACAGGCAAATCACACATTCTTCACTACAAAAAAACCGTGCTACTGAAATCTGTACTATGACGTGGGGGAACACAGCACTAAGATAGCTCCGACTAGATCCCGCTTTTTGTCTCAACTTCAACCTCATATCTTCGACTGTACTGTGTTTTTCTTTTTTTCTCTTTCTTTTCTCACACTAGCCTCCGTGATGCTCTAACGCTCCTCTCCCTTGATTTACCTCGGTTATGCAAACCCTGACCACCGCCTACCACCATGTTCGCGTCGCTGCTGCGTCCCAAACGCCAACGCGATCAGGTTGATCAGTCGCCTTTTTCAACCCCTTCTCCATGGTATCGTGGCCCGCGCGATGACCCCCGACGTGTCAACAGGTCCGGCGATAGTAGCGAGGATGATGCGCCGGAGCTTCATGGGATCGATGAAGAAGACATGGACGAGGACTGGGACGGAGAGGAAGAGGAAGATGGCCCACTCGAGTCAACACCTCTCTTGCCCATGTTCTCTGCGTCGCATCTCGGTACCAAATCTCCCTGCTGAATGCCCAAGCCTATATTAACAATGTTCGATGACTAGACGCGCTGCCCGTTTACAACATCACTCATGCCATCCGTCCATTGATTGCCTCTCGATGCGAAACAACCTTGACATGGGATCAATTACGTTCGCCGCAGGTGTCCCAGTTCCTGATCAAGCCGATACTGCAGAAGATTATGTCAACTCAGTTTTCACGCGCGACACTCTACGCACTGATGGCCAATTGTCTACAATTTGAGAAGGAAATGCATCTGAGTCCGGGGAATAGCGGGGCAAATCAGACACGGGCCATGGTGAGCGAACTATTGGCGATCAAACTGCTCAGGGAATATTCGACGCGTGAGTTGATTGATGCGTTGTCGTATGAGTTCTATCCGCTCCAAGGCCAAGACTCTTCCACTGCATTGGCACCCGGTCCCCAGAGAAAACGGGTAGTTGTTGCCCGCGTCTCTTGTCTAGAGGTGGCTATTCGCGCACAGGCTAAACGGTTTTTGGCCCATCCTGTGGTTGTGCAGCAATTGGAAGCTATTTGGGCTGGAACAGTTGTCTTTCACTCGGCTGCCGACAACTTACATCGCCGTGTGAATAGGAACCGAGGAGATATGGACTATGGAACATCAATAGACCAGAATGGAACCCTCGGAACAACACCAAGCAATGGAACCCTTCGACGCTCAGTGTCTCTTTACAACCCCCGTGATGCATCTCTGTTCAAGTTGTCACGGTTGCGAGTGCCACGCTATCGACAATTTCTTTCCACCTTGTCCTATGCAGTGCTCTTAGGGCTGTTTCTAGCTGTGCTGGAACAGCGCAGCCGTAGAATCACATCACTCGAGGTTGTGTTTTGGTTCTGGAGTACCGGCTTCATGCTTGACGAAATTGTGGGATTCAATGAACAGGGATTCAGCCTCTATTTAATGAGTTTTTGGAATCTTTTCGACTTGGGCATCCTGCTATTGCTTTTCGCGTATTATTGTTTGCGGATCTACGGATCATTCTTGACCTACCCTAGAAGCCAACTGGTCACAGACCAAGCTGTAAGTATCGCCATGCTTCTACTCATCCTGCCTCCATACTAACTGATTCAGTTCGATGTTCTTGCGGCCACGGCACCCTTGCTATTCCCTCGGTTGTTCTCCATCTTGGACCATTATCGCTACTTCTCGCAACTGCTGATTGCGTTCCGAATCATGGCATCTGATCTGATTGCAGTCTTTGTCCTCATCGTCATTGCCTGTTCTGGGTTTTTTGTCGCATTCTTAAGCTTTGGTGACAGCAATTCCCCAAAAGTGGTGGCATATGGTTTGTTCCAAATGTTGATGGGCTTTACACCTACTGCATGGGCAATGTGGGATGAGTACAATTTCTTAGGAAAGGCGATCCTAACGGTTTTCCTATTTATTTGTCATTTCGTCGTCGTCACGATCTTGATTACTGTTCTGACCAACTCCTTCATGAGGATTGTCCAAAATGCCAATCAAGAACACCAATTCCTGTTTGCCGTCAACACCATCTCGATGGTCAAGTCCGATGCCTTGTTCTCCTATGTGGCACCGGCAAATGTCATCGCCTGGCTGGTGACACCGTTCCGATACTTAATGCCTTTCCGGGAGTTCATTCGGCTGAACCGGACCATTATCAAGATCACCCACCTACCCATTCTCTTTACAATTTTCCTCTATGAGAAGACGATTCTTAGTGCGCAATTTATTCAGCCGATGGATCTTATTGAGCCGACATCACCAAATGTGACTTCAGCTCCCAAGCAATGGGGGCCTAGTCGATTCCGCGGGTTTAGCAGCAGGGTATCACGTATGGTACGAGCACCATCAGTGGCCACTTTCCAGAAAGATCAAGCATTAGAAGAAGTGTTCCGACGGCCATACAGTGACGATCGAATTCGACGTCCACCAAGTACTGTGCACGAACGCCAGACCGACAATGTCATCAAAGACTGGATGCAGGAAGTTGGTTCTGGGCCAGCCAACGGCCCTGATGAGCAAGATTCTGTCGTGGTGGACCATCTTGAGAGGGACCCACGACGACCCAAGCTTCCCTTCCGCAGTCAATTGACCTCTCGCCCTCGCAACTTTACAGAAACGACCCGGTCAGTGGCCTCAAATCCCGAAGACCGAACAAGTCGGATCGCAAGTCCAATGATTCGGCCTCGGCGCACAAGACTTGGCTCACCCAGTCACAAACGAGCGCCCTCGCACCATACGGATATGGAGGGCGATGATGAGTTGACCAGCAATGATGGAGACTCAAATGACGACAAACACTCGGCCCCAGGATATATCGGTAACACTCTGGATCAGGCCGAAGCCTCCGAAAAACCTTCGCCTAAGTTCTACAGCTCTCGCCCGTCTACCGCAAGGATGATTTCTCGCCGCAACAGTCCGACCAGACGTCCCAGACACAATCGCAATGCTTCTGGTGTCACCATGCTGTACAACCCGGTAGGATCCCCGAACGAAGAGACCGATGGCCAGACTACACCTCCACGACCCAACGCAGACTCCTCCGACGAGGAGCGTATGCCTGTTGTCTCTGCTTCAATGGACCAGGGCACCATGAAACGACACATCCTGGACGTTTCTCGGCCTCGAAACTCCCCCCTCGCACTCAATCAGATGTCCGTCCCAGAACTGGACAGCATCTATCTATCTGATCGACAAACAGTGGCACAGCCTCGCTCCTCTCTGCTTTTTGATCTCGGTTCTGACCTCGGCGACAACAAGGCAGTAGCAGGCGGCTTAAGCGGTTTCCCTGGTGCAGTCCCATCCAGCTTCCAAACACAGATGGGTTTCGCTGCAGGATTGCGTCGCGATATTCCAAACCAAACCCAAGACATGCTCAGCAAGCTAGTTTTAGCTCGCATGAACAACATCGAAGAAGGATTTCGTGAAGTCATCAAAGAAGTCAAAGATCTCCGCCGCAGCGAATCTAGTCGCAGCCCCAGCCGACCGGATGAAGCTCGCGGAGCAGCTCGTGAGAAAAAGAAGCGTGGGGATAAGAAGAAGCGGAGTCATCCCTCACCTGGAAGCTGGGCCGGCAGTGGTGGAGAGCCCTCGAAGGGCGATGGACCGGGCGATGACACATTGCCATCTACATAATTGTGCATTACGCTTTGCTTTTTCGTGACACCTTGTACAAACCTGTATAGTGTGGAGGGGCTTTTTGATTTCTGATACCTGGCGCTTTAGCTTTACCGCAGATACCATCTCATCCAGCATACATAACGCGAGACCACATTCACTGGTTATGTTCAATTCCGGTTCCAATGAGGTATTTGAATACAAAGGATCAAGGAAACAAGACACTGCTCGGCCTCAAGAAAGGGATATCAAGTTCCCCCGAGGAACCGTTTCGGAAGAATCACTTGTACAACAGAGCTTAGACTTTATGCAGTGCAACAGAACCTTGTCGAGCATGTGGGGATGAGACAATGCATTGTTCACACATTTTGCATACTCTCCACACGAGGGACGTGTTTTTCGGTGCTCTGTGCCATCATTGCAGCTTGGTGGCTAACCGACTATTTGATTGAAGAGTTTGCCACTGAGTGGTTCTTGGTCACATTTGGCATGACTGTTTATAAAGGTAAAGACTTTCAGTTGAAAAGGCAATTGCTTACCGATTCTTCCAATGGAGCAAGTTGGCCATCCTCGGGGCCAAGTAAAGTGGAACGTGTTCTGGGCATCTTCTGGGCATCTTCTGGGCATGACATCGTGATAAAGACCCACGCCACCAAGCCCTATGCAAATCACGCCAGTTGGTAGCAGAAAATCATCATTCTTTTACCATCCGCATTTTAATATATTTTAAGAGGGTTACATCTATCTTGATCACCGGAAGTTACTCTCAAAATCCGTATAGCAAGCCCGAAAGCCCAGTGCTGATGTCACCGACTCGCCGCACGTGACATCCGAAGTGGAATAGCCAAGATGCCCAGAAGTCTCGGCTTTGAGAAGTTTTCTGTGCCTAATTTCTTGTTTTCGATTCTTGTTTCTCTCAATCCTCAACTGAGTTGAACAAGTGGCCTCGTGATGGCTGGTGGTTTCCTTGCGTACCACGAACCTGGTAGTAAGTACAGCCATCACCCCAAGACCCCCGATACGACTTACTCAAACAGAAATTAGTTGTCGAGATCCTAATCATTATCTCGTTCTTTTTCTTCTTATCTCTGGCTGAATATGTCTCTGCTAAGATCATTCGTGCCGGTATCATTGGCCAAATAGCTGTCGGTATTATCTATGGAAAGCCTCTGGCAAATATCCTGGAGATGCCATGGCAGGAAACATTCCTCGCCGTTGGTTATGTTGGCTTGATTTTGATCATCTTCGAGGGTAAACAATCCTCCTATGTCAATTATTGAGCTGCTGCTAATCTTTTTTTTTTTTTTTTTTTTGGTAGGTGGACTCACTGTTCGACTTGACCTCATGAAACAAAACTTCCTTGTCAGTTGTCTCGGAGCTGCAACAGGTGTTTGTTTCCCCATTGGGCTATCTTACCTGCTTTTGTATCTTGGATATGGATATGGTAAGTCGAATGGTTCTTTTTTGTGGTGTTTACTCAACTGATTGTATAAAAGGCGCAGTCGAAACATTCATCATTGGAGCCGCATTATCTGCGACTTCCCTAGGTATGCCATGCCATCCACTTCTGATCGAGATTTTGGTACATTCGGATGCTAACAGGGTATATCAGGAACTACTTTTGCTGTGATTTCGTCGGCTGCCAAGTCCATAGATCTTTCTCAGACTAAAGTAGGGTCAATTCTTGTCAGTGCTGCTGTAATCGATGATGTTGTGGGCCTTGTTCTATCCAGGTAAGTCATCTCTGACTATTTCGGTTTTTCTTGTTAGCATTTCTGGTGCTAATATACTCCCCAACAGTATTATCAGTCAATTGCGTGAACTCTCTGGTCCCGGCGCAGGCGATGTCAATCTTGGTTGGATAATTGGTCGCCCAATCGTGGCTTCTTTTGCCATGGCTGTTCTTACTCCCATTCTCACCAAATGGTTCTTTGCGCCTGTGTTTCGACGATGGATTGAACATTCTTTTGCGAAATACGACCACATTTCTAACTTCATCTTAATGGTCTTGGTGCTATCGGCATTTATCAGTATCGCTGCATACGCGGGCACCTCGGTTCTATTCGGCGCTTTTCTTGCGGGCACATTCCTTACCTACTTGCCGAGCAAGCACCCCGAAGGCCCTTTCGTTGTTCTAAATCGCGAGGAGGGGGAACGCGAAGCTAACAAAAGCCCTACCTTTGTCCACACCTTTGAATGCTATCTTCTGGATGTTCAGAAGTACCTCATGGAACCTCTTTTCTTTGCTAGTATTGGATTTGCAATTCCATTCGTGTCACTATGGACAGGTGAAAGGATATGGAAAGGCATCCTATACACGCTTCTTATGATGTTTGCCAAGGTAAGCTAACTTTATTTTCGGTGCGTTATAGAATCCAGGTTAACAATGTATGCAGTTCGTGGTTGGCGTATGGGTTCCTCTCTGGAAGTTCCTAACACCATCAAAGACAAAGCAAGGTCCCAAAGAGAAAGTCAATCTCCGCGAACAAGCAGATAATTCTACTGAAGTCGAGAAGAGCAAACATGGCTACGGTGCCGCATCTCTTGCTGGATTATTGCTCGGCTCAGCCATGGTGGCGCGTGGGGAGATTGGCCTTTTGATCATTGAGATTGGCTACAATGAAACACCGTACGTGACTGAGGAGGGCTTTATCACTGCCATCTGGGCAATCCTGCTAAACACCATCGTCGGACCTGTCGTCGTAGGTTGTCTTGTCAAATTCTATGGCAAGAAGATTGGAGAGGGTGAATGGGGATTACAGCGGACAGAAATAACGCGAACAGAAGACGACCATCCTGTATAACATACGAGGCTTTAGGCACTCGCGTCTCGGTCTGATGGTCAAATTAGAGAATGCAAGGTCAAGTACAATGAACAGCAACTTGATCAAAATCATGTTCAATAGATCTATGAAGCCAAATTTTGCTAGTTCGTATGATAGCGTTTGATCACAGGTGTTTGTCGGAATTGCCTTCTTCTCCGGTTTGGATCTTCCTCGGTATCGTCTTCCACCAGGCGTTCGCTCGGGAGTACAATGGCACGATCAAGCTTGTATGGCAGTCCTCGGTGACGGCCTCGAATCATCATCGCACAAACAACAAGCTTGCTAAAGACCGTGAACTTGCCACTGAGGGATGTGTTCACTGTCGGATACCCAAGACTTAAGCCGACATTTCCACTGTGAGAAGGTCAGATAAAATTGGAATTACTGTTCAACTGACATGTCAAAAAGAAGGCACTTACTAGGCTGAGACTACCTCGAAGAAAACCGAGAAGACTGAAAAGGCCTAGAAACCATAGGTTAGCAGTCTGGTCACATCGAAAATTAGTGACAACTTACAGGAATCGAGTTGTCTGAAATCTTTCCTGCTTCGGCAATTGTGATCAAAAAGACCCCAATGAAGATGTACCATAAGTCAAAGGTGAGCTGATTCCGAATATGGGCCATGATATAGGATTGACCGTTCGTTTCATCCACGTCGTTTTCTTTAATGTACACCCCCAGGGTCGTTTCTTCGTAGATGTTCGATGCTCTCACGCTAATAGCGATAGGGAAAATGGCCACATACATCATGACCACAAGGCTGAACTGAACACCAGGGCTGACATCCGCCAAATTGAAGGTAGATGTACCTGTATGTCTTGAAGATGCCGATTGGAAGATGGCAGCGAGAACGCGGGGCCCAGCAGCAAGATTGTTCACCGCGGGATTATTCAGATCCAAAACGATAATCAAGAGAACGTCAACAAAATTCATTGCGAACAAGATCCCAAAAAGAATCCATGTGGGCCGACTTGGAAACAGCAGTGTGTAGCATCGTCGTGGGTGATCAAGCAAAAAGCTGAGCGTCTCTTTCATCGATGACTTCTCCGGGCAAAGTTTGTACATGATCCAGATCACAAGTCGTAGCAGACATGGGTAGCAGGTGTTTCCGGCATATGCAAGGAAGCTCATGACAATCAGTGGAAACGTTGCATCTTGAAAGGAAATCATCGAGTCTGGTGTCAGGGTGAAGCCGAGATTGTTCACCATTGTTTGAGCGGAGTAGAATCCCCTAGATCGCGACTATGTTCAGCAAGGTTGTTGGTGTTCAAGGGGAACAGGTACACTAACCACCACACATCACCTTGTCCACATTCAGCGAGGTACTCGCGATACTTCGGATCGGCATGCTGAATCCATCCCACAAGACATATAGCACCGAAAAGGTGTATCCCGATGAAGTAGGCCGTGACAATTTTGAACAAGAGTTTCAAACTCCGGTACTCAATCCCTCCGAGTCTCTCCCGGTCTTCAGTAGTCAAATTGTAAAACTGTGAGTTCCGGCCCATGGATGCTTGCGAGGAGATATTGGGAAGTGCCAACGCTTTGTAGGATGGTTTCTCTTGGGGTGATCGTTTTTGGGGCTTTGTATCAAAGCCTTCCGATCCACCAGGACGAAACATTATCGAAACAACACGCTCAAGCTGGCGTGTGGTGGATGTGATCGTACTGGCGGTTCTCTGGAAGGATGATGGCCTGGGGATATTTGAGTCTGTTGGTCTCAGTTTCATTGACACTGCATCATCTATACATTTGTTAGGATCGATAGTGTGCGAGAACAGACGGATAGCTCACCACCGTCGTTGGTTTCATTCTCGATTTCCACAATGGGACTCCCTAATTTTGAAATTAGAGCTCGGTACGGGTATTGAATATCATTTCAAACTTGCCTCGGTCACGTTTCCATGGAGGAGGGATGTAGAGGGCCTTAGTTGGTCCATCATAATCCGGGACATCATCCCCAAACTGGATAGTTCTTGTAGCAGGTGGAGAGGCGGTTTGAGCTCCATCATCTCGCTTGATGTTTTGCGGCTTGTGTCTATCATTGATGAGCAGCTCGTCGAGAAAGGGACATGGGGCACATAAGTAGCACTGACTTTGTGTTTTTTTGGTTCTCGGAATCCAAAGCAGTCTCCTTTGCGTGTTCTTCAGTGGTATCATAGCGAGACTCGGGCTGTCTCTTGTTGTGTACGCCTTGCGTCTTGTGTGCCTCCGCTTCCACGTCGATGCTGGGGTTTCGACCTCTGGGTGCTTCGGGTCTCAGAAGCGATGAGGCTATAATATTCATCAAAGTATCAGTATTCAATCAGTCAGTTTATTCGGTTTGGGTTAGGTCGTCCTACAGACAGATCGGAGGTGCTTCTCAAACCAGTGAAGTCGCACGACGACCACAATGATATTGACGAACCCTAAGTTGCCCAGGATTGGAATCAGGTAGAGATAGACCTGCTGGTATGTTTTGAGATCTTTGATATCAATACTAAGCTAGTATGTCAGATCGGCCATTCAGTATTCCCTTTGGTTTGGGGTTATGAAACGAACGTGTTGAGCCCCGACTCTGTAGAAGCGCTTGCGCCGAAGAAGAAGGCATCTATTGCCTTCAAGTTCCCATAAGGATAGATAATAACCAAGCTAAGAACGCTCAAGGTAATTATCCATGCATCTGGCGATTTCACGAGTAAGCACAAAAGCAAAAATTATTTTCAACGCCGATAGGCTGTACGAACAATGCAGAACAAGGAAGTTGACTGTGGGCTTCCACATGGCGGGCGTAGAGTTGGAAAGAATGCGCAAGGGGTTGGATGGACGCATGATCCCTTTTATATAATTTTCATCGCACAAAATCTACATGATTATGGTGACATAGGGTGCTGTTTGTGGGGGCTAAGCCACTGCGCGATATATCTACACAAATCAAACCGACCTTGCTACACTTTGGGTCCTGATACCACTGTGCTAACTGATACGTTACAATGAAAAGTTCGATAAGTTATCACCCACGAGTTATTGCCATCTTAGTGTGTATGTCAAATGTGGGTGACAACGTTAATCTTGATTGATACCTTGGTTACATGGTTGGAGATCTATGCAGGCATTCATTCTAGTCATGCAATATGCATGTACACATCTGTAGCTAATTTATTGCAATGCATGATAGTTTTCCAACTGGTATTTTGTGACTCTTATCTGTAAAATCAAATTTCCTTCGCACATTAGCTATTAGGAGAGCTCTTGAATGTGCCGATGCGCGATATTTCTCGACCAATCACTGCCGCTTAGCTATCCGCAACGCCTCCCGCTAGCAACTGCTCTGGTTTTTTATTTTCAGCAGGGAATTCATAAATTTCATTTACAATCTACGGAGGCTGGTCAGAGAATAAAGTTAATGGACTGTGGAAAGAACATGGCATTGAGCCTGTTTTGATTCTGGTACATTTTGATCTAGAGAGAAATGAGAGCTTTATCATCACTTTCCACTAGATTGACGTAGGCCTGAGTTGGTTTCTACATCGCCTTCGCCTTTTTCAACGATTCTACTCTACTTTTCCGGGAATTCATTTGCTCTTCTTGCTATTGTCCATTGCCAACAGCAGGATATACTATCCTCGACCAATCAGAGCTCTTGTGCTAACCCCTGGTTGATGACTCAGCTTTCCGCCGGCGACCTCCAGGGCATCAGGTACTCTTTCAGGCATCGAATGACTTGAGATATTCAGAGCAGAAGGGTACTCTAGACTCTGCTTGGAAATCGCTGGCTTTTTTTGATCCCCCGCCGTCCATCTCTTCTCCACCCCAACTCCAAGTCTCAGAATCCCGCCCACTGACATCATATCATGGCTTCATCCTCGAAGACGAGCTCTTTGCTCTAGTGAGTCCTACCAGTTGGATTGGCAGGTTTCATGTCCATTTGCCAAACTAACCATGCTATCTTGCTTTTAGCTCCTGCATCGCTCATCGAACCACCATCCTGGCTGAGCACTCCTCGCCAGGCGCATCATCAACCTCCGCTTCGTCCCTGGCCTCCATTATCCTCCCAAAGATCACCCATGACAAACCCCAGAAGCTTACTTTCACTCATGAGCGTCTCTTTGTCCACTACATCGCCGACTCGCCAAAAGCAGGTGACGATAGCAATCGCTCGGAGCAAAGCTCGCAGGCACCCCTGAGCTTCCTGGTAGTCGCGTCCGCCGAGCAAGGCCGCCGAATCCCTTTCGCCTATCTTCTGGAAATGAAGCGCAACTTCCTGTCCCGCTACCCACCCTCCACCACAGAATTCTCCTCGCTCCCAGCATACGGCTGTGCCGCCTTCAACGGCGAGCTCCGCTCTCTTCTGCAGACATACAACACAGCTCCTCCAGCCGACTCACTTGCCTCGGCTAAGCGCGAAATTGATAGCGTGCGTGACATTATGACTGAAAATATCGAGCGGGTTCTAGAACGAGGAGAGCGCATCGACTTACTCGTCGACAAGACAGACCGGCTTGGTGGGAGTGCACATGATTTTAGAATGCGCAGCCGGGGGTTGCGGAGACGGATGTGGTGGAAGAACACCAAGCTGATGATTATGATTGTTGTTGTGATTATCTTCTTGCTCTATATCTTTATTGGGATGGGATGCGGGCTTCCTGCATGGGGAAAATGTGTTGGGCACAAGCAATAAGCGATGAACAGGTTATTTTCGCTGGTTTAAAGTCCAATTTTCTTCAGCTGGCTGTTTCAAATTTTCACCAAGTGCATTCTTGATTCTCGATTCTTCGGGCCTACTTCGATTGCCTGAGTTTCTCATGAGATACGATACCGTGTTTTCTGCTTTTTCTTGCATATTTGCTCTATCTGGTACCTTTGATATGTATATTAAAGCCATTTCCTCGTACCACGTTGTGATTGTGATACATTTGAATGCACTTTGTATAGTTGCAATTTGGTTGAAACGGTATACTGGTAGAGTGCATTCATGGCTTTGCTGGAGGAGTGCAATTTTGAGATCGAACAGAGAGTATAAGCCTGAGAAGGTAGGGAGTATTAGATATAAGTATTCAATCTTGCAATATCCGTTTCTGTGGACCCTAGTACCCAAGGCTGCTAACAATCAAGTATCTATGCCATTTGTCTCATAGTTCGTGTGGTTTCGGTTCTCTACATGACAAAATCGCAAATTATTTACGGGCGAGTGGCTGTTAGGTGACAGATAAAAGTTCTTACAGGTGGACTCATTCGGTTGCTATCTCAAGCCTGATATATAACCTGGAATCAACCGGATGTGACATCCACATTCTGATCTTACACCAAACATGACCAGGAACCTTCATTGAGAAAGACACAAAATTGATCAATAGGTTCTCTTGACCCGAAAGTGCCGCATTCTTATTTTGTCCCCACTGGTGCTAGGTTTCAAAGTACACCAATTTGGCATATTGGCAGCGGGCGAGACCCTTTAGGTTAATCATCATTTCCCCATGTTTGCCCCTCAACTGAATTAACCTCTAACCGGTTGGAGCCTTTTGGCCGATCCACCACGGACTGTGTATTAAATTCCCATTGAGTTGTGATCCACACGTTAAGCCGGACGACGAGGCCAACTGCTCATACAGCGAAGACGTACGAAAAGCGGGATGTGTTATCTCAACGATGATTGGATTGACGTGATAGTTTGATAATCCTGATACCCTCCAGCAATGAACAGATCTACAGCTTACATACTATACTCCATCTTGGAGAATCATATACCTCACTTTCAAACCCACTGCGTCCTTGCCATAAGGCTCAGAGTGAGTCTGCAAGCGAGACAGAACGATCCAGCTTCCCAGAAAGTTCTGCAATTCTCTCTACGCCGTTCGTTTACCTCGCCAACCATAGAGTCCGTCCCTAAGGAGCGGGATTGATGAGGAGATAATCTGGCGATACTTGCGGTTCAAGTGAAAGTTTGGAAACGGAAGCACATAAAGTGTCGCTACGAAATCGGAGCGTATAAAAGATCAAACGAGCCGATTGAACACGAAACGAAAGAGTGGTTGAGATCGTAGTGTAGCATTCGACGAAAGATCCTATATGCACATGGAAAGTGAGGAAAGAACGCCAGCCTTGCAGAACAAACTGCGAGTACCAACTCCAGATAGAAAAACAAAAAGAAATTTTTCATTTTTCATTCATCACAATGCACCTGGTTTCATTGGTATATCCTGATGATTGCAGGTTGGACCTCCTTTTCTTGGAGTTCCTTTTTGCACCCGCGCGGTCAAACCGCCATTGCAACATGAACCTAAACCCTACACATAAATCCTTTAAGCGGACTTGTTCTTGACGGCCTCACGACCCTTGGCGGAGCGAGCGAGGATCTCCTCACGGTCCTTGTCGAGGTGGAGCTTGGTGATGACGACGTTGGAGGCGGAGATACCGAGGGGAACGCTCTGGCCGTTGGACTTGTCGCGGACAACACGCTCAACGTGGATAACCCACTTGAGACGGTAGACGGAGGTGATCTTGCCCTCACGGCCCTTGTTGGAGCCACGGACAATGGTGACCTCGTCGTCCTTGCGGATGGGGATGGAGCGGACCTGTCACAAGGTGCTGGTTAGTTTCGGTTCCCTGAGAAGGGGTGTCCCATATCTGATTTCACAAGTGAAAATTCAGACTGGCCGGACCCGAATATGGCAAAATGGAAAAGACGTTTGGTGTGTACGTACTCCGTACTTCTCGCGAAGCTCCTTGGACAGGCTGGCGCTCATGATACGGCGGCGCTCGCTGGAGGGGGCCTGGAAGTGAGCCTTGCGGGACTTGCTCCGCGAAGAGGCGAGGGCTGTGAACATCCATCAGTATTGGGAATTGGCGAAAATCGACAAGGCGAGCGCAAAGCGAATAGGTACACACCTTGGTTGATAACAGTCATCTTGACGGAGCCTCCTGAAGGTGTCGTGAATGGGCGGGTTGTCGTTGGTCGAGGAGAAGGAAATCTTTTGTGGTGGCCGAATATTGGATGTGGGTTGTGCGTCACATGATGCTCCGCTTAGGCTAGGGCTGCAAGTTGGACTGTGATTGGCTGGGAAGATTGGCCCACTTGGACGCGCTTTCACTGCGGTCTTGGCTTACCGCGGTCTGTTTGGACTGCAGATTTGGACTTGAATAGGCTACAAGTCTGAAGGTCTTTCAGAGGGTTTTTTTTCGAGGTATCTTTGAAGATCTCCTTGGAGGGTCTTCTTAGATAGCTTCCATTCTATCCAAACACTCATATCGCCATACCCTACCCAGCCCATTTGATGCGTGCCAACTCTAAAATCTCCCTAGAACCTCAGCGATGTGATACTAGTCTGAAATGGCCAACGGAGACATGGATGGAGTAGATTGGCCGCAGAACTTTCTTTCGAGCGACCAAGCCAATGCCTACCAGAGCGCCAATCAGAACCAAGGTGTCTACGATGCATATCAACATCCTGCTTTCGACGATGCGGCTCAAGCTACGTATATGTACCACCAGTCGCACTCACGGAACCCGGTCTCCTACCTAAAGGCTTCAAACCCTGCAGTTCCGTCGAGGCCAAGCGCGCGACCTACTCCCCCCTCACAACCTATCAACTCCAACAACATCAAGTGGCGTTCCTACCAACACATGATCGGACAGCAAAATCAGCGCACAGTACCACTGCAGTCCTCAGACCCCGACAGTCGCCAACCAAATCCGAGTAATCAGACTTGGTCTGCTCTTGCCGGACAACCGAGTCAACAACAATATCGGCCGACGGCAACACAGGGTTCAGGCTACGAGCGTCCTCAGGCCACTCCGAATAATCAGAATGGACCGATATTCAATCAACATCCGGATCAACAACAGCGGTCGACAGCAACACAACAAAGCTCTCAGAATGCGTGTCAACAGCCGATTTCAAATAACCAGAGCCGATCTGTTTATAATCAACAAAATTCACATGTTTATTCACAGCCATCGAACAACCAGAACTGGCCTCATGATGACCAAAATAGACCCCAGCCACAGTCAGCCATCTCAGACTTGTCGCTCTCACACCAAGCAACCAACTTTATTGACTTGACAAGATCTTCAATCCCCGGAAATGCTCCAAGTTCAGTTGCCAAGCTGGCTCCGATGGTATCACAGCCAAGCACGACTAGCAATAAACACGCTTTTTATCCTTTGCCTGCTCCTGGGTATCATCAGCAGACTCGAGGTCCTCAGACTTCAACGCAGGATGATATTCAGGGCCAACCGCCTGCAAAGATACGGCGCTTAGATAACGGGACTGCTCATGTTGAGTCTGACCAACCGGCACCAGTCAAGTTCAATCAGCCGCCAACCCCGTCCTACCCGCCAACTAACCCGCCGTCATATGCACCTTCAAATTCGCCTGCGCCGATCCAAAACAAGCCAGTCAATCCTTCAATTGAGACGGCTCCCAACGTGCGACCTGCATATAAACCTAACCGCAAGGCAATCAAGAATCGTGATGACCTGGTGAGGCCAATTCGCATGAGTGATGCATTGGTAAAAGTATCATATGACCCTGCTACAATTGCGCGCGATATCCTTATCGCCGCCGGAAAACATCCCAAAATGAAGGGACTGAACCATCACCTACACACATTGAGGGCTAATATTCCTCAAGTGGATCTCAATTCAGACCTGGCAACCTTTCGCTGGGACCTGGTGGATGTTGAACAGAAACCCAGCGCTCTTCCTCCTGCAAAACCTGCTGTTGTTAATGCAAGACCTGCCCCGGCAGCTTCTGTTCCATCACAGTACCATGTTTCTCCTTCTGTCCCTATTACCTCAGCAAGCACCACTCCAGCAGGCTCCATTCCCCAATGGCAGCATATGTATACATATGGGCCTCCTAATATACAAGGGCCTATTCAATCGCAGGGACCGGTTTCTCTGGCACTTTCTGGTCATCCACGGCATTCTGGGCCTCCGCCAAGCTTTGCTACTCCATCAAGTTATGATCCTCCGTCGGGCTTTATTCCTACAAGACACGTCCCTCCCCCACGGCTCTTTAACCAGAGATCTGTTCCTTCAGCGATTTCCGCTCTTCCTGGAGGTTCTGTTCCTGGTAAGGCCATTCCTCCACCTGGTGCTATTCCTCCTGTGAGGACCATTTCTCCACTAGAGCCTACACAGAGAGATGTGCCTTTGACAAGCTCTGTGCTTCCATCGAGCTCTGTGCCTCCACAGGGCTCTGCTCCGCCATCAATTCCTACTCCTACACAGAAGGCCGTTGAAGGGCCTAGCGCGCCACGTGACCCCAACCCTTCACATGATCAGAATAGTTCCCCGCACGTGCCTAGGATCACCGCCTACTCTCCACATGACACACCGTCAACGCGTTCTGCCAGAATTGACGCGCGCGCCCCTCCCGGTGGGTTAAGCTCTTGGGGAACTTTACCCTTCCAACCCCCAACGTACCATTCTCCAAAACGTGCGACAGATCCTTCCAAGTTCCCCTCTGGACTTCCTCGTCTTGATCCAGCTCCAGAACCCTTCGTCTTATCCGACCCACACCCAACTGTTTCACACTCGCCACATACAGAAACAACCAACCCACCTACTCCCACCGGGCAGACTCCCAAGGCCACGCCCAAATTAGGCAAAGGTCCGCGTACCACTAAACCGAATAAAGCCAAACCTACCAACCCGGTCGCACCTAATCAACCTGCTCCGGTGGAGGTAGCTATTGTGACGCCCAAGGCGACTACATCTAAGACTTCATCGAAGGCTACACCGACTTCGGTCACTACTTCCAGCCAGAAGACCAATCCCAAGCTATCCTGCCCACAAGTTGTGATACCGCCGTCGCCAGATAAAATGCAACCAAAGCGAAAGCCCGGTCGACCTCCCAGGGCCAAAGGTGGATCCGCAATGATTGAGGTTGCGATTCCCCTCACACAACCCGTTAATTACCCAATCTTCCACTGCCAATGGGAAGATTGTGTTGCTGAACTTCACAACCTGGACGTACTGCGGTCCCATGTGTCCAAAGTGCACATCCCTTACCACCTCCAGTGCAAGTGGAAAGACTGCGAGGATAAGGAATTTCGGGCTGCTCAACGTCTATTTGAACACATGGCAGAGACTCATTTTGCCAAAATGGCCTGGGAACTTGGCGACGGGCCGACAGTGCCCAAAACCGGTGATTCTGCACAGGCTAGCATCAATGTGACCGATCCGAGTGCGCGCAAAGGAACCATGGCCTTGCCTGTTGATGAACATCAAGTAAAGGCTTTCAGCAAAGCCCACGGGACGTCAACCGAGAAATTGAAGGCTCGCGATTTGTTTCAAGCTGGTCAGCAGTGGAAAAAGAGGACGGGACCAGCTCTAGGACCGAGTGACAGCCCTTCCTCCACACCTGACCGACAAGTCAACCTTGACTGCGATGAGGTGTGCTACATCAGCAGCGACTGAGTTCCAATCTGAGATACCCTTGATTTTCATTTTCATTTTCGGGCATTGCATGAGGTGTGGCGTTGATTAAGTTTACAATTGAATGACGCTTTATGATTTACATGTCCTTCAGGTTCGGTTACACTGACGAGTTTACTAAAGCATTCAAGTCATGACAAAGGCGGTTGCCAATTGCTGGATGAACTTTAATTGTAGTGTACAATTGGCTTGTGCCTGACTCGCTGGTAACGTAAAACAAATGTAGACAATGGTATCTTGATTCTCTGTCCTCCCTTCAGCCCAATTCGTATTCATGCAGTGTCTGCGGACGCCAGCGGCGCAGAGTTCTCAGTCTTCTGGTTCACGGCATCGGTAGGCTCGTCCTCGGTGGCATTGACGTCGAGGAAGTGGTATAGAACGATCATCATCATGGCGCAGGAGCCAAGGAAGATGGCGAGGCGGTAAAGGTCGTCGTCGGAGATCATTATGAAAGAGGGATTCGCAGGGGTGCAGATAGACGGGTCAAAAAATGTCGTTGATTGCGAGACCAAATTACGGTGGCCGAGAGACAAAGGATTGAGTCGGAGAAGACACGTCGGCCAATAGTTCGGGTGACGCAACACAAGGTAGCTTGGGGATCAAGTCTCAGAAGCAAGCTAATTGCTTTTTCTCGGGTTGAAAATGGATCAATGGAGAAGCAAACGGGACTTAGAAGAGTAGAGGCAGAGTCCGAAGGAGTCAATGAGGGAGAGAGTCGGAGACGGAGAGAAGGGAAGTTGATAAGATCCGGCAAAGTGTATTGGTATGGTAAAGGGTACTTATTAGCTCGTGTATTGTAATTATGTATGGTAACACCGAAACGCCAAGTCACAAGATCCCCGCTGCGTTTGATCTCAACGGTCTCCTTCCTTCTCGTCTCTCTTCCCCTAATCTTCCTTTTCCCTTTCCCTCTCCCTTTCCCCCTTTCATGCTCCCACCATGACTGAACAGACTTCGGGGAAACCAAATGGTCCCTCACCATTAGCGTGTTTGCCGTGCCGCCACAAACATCTCAAATGTGATGGCAAGATACCCACTTGCGGTCGTTGCGAAGTCAATGGCCAGCCTTACCAGTGCGAGTACACCAAATCTCGAAGAGGCTACAAGGGTCCTTCCAAAAAGCGTCGCGCCAACCCAGATTCCCCAGAGCAGTTGCCGATGGATCCCGGCATGGTCAACCCCGTGGATTGGAAGAACATGCAGACAGGCTATGGCTATGCGCCAGCCGTCCCGTTCCCCTCGTCCAGGTCAAACAGCCCCGGCTTTTACGATCTCTCGATGTCAATGCCGCAATCTGCTCGCCCAGTCAGCGGCCCGTTAACTCCGGATTCCTCCTCATCCGTTGGTAGCAGCGATGCCTACTTGATCGATATATACTATAATTATTTCCACGCCGCACATCCAATCCTGCCACCCCATCGGTACCTTAATCGCATTTATGTTCCCGTATATTTGGAACAGGTGATGAAGTTCGTGGGCTCCCACTTCACCTCGGCGGCCTCGAGCGAGACATACCGCCAGACAGTGGTTTCAGTGGTGCGAGAGCAGGACCCCACTGTGGAAAAGGTCCAAGCACTGCTCCTGCTGGCAATTGTACTGCACTCGCGCAATGAGCGTTCTGAGGCTGGCGAGTGTCTTGCCTCCGCAGTGGACCTGGCTTTCGAAATTGGCCTGCACCAGCAAACCTTCGCGTTGATTGCCAGCAACGGTGACCCGATTCGGGCTGAGTCTCTGCGACGTACCTGGTGGGATCTGTTCGTCATTGAAGGTCTGCTGACTGCCCTTGGTGTACAAGCTGAGTTCCGGACCAATTCAGTCCCGCTCGAAGTGCCACTTCCTTGTGAAGAGCGCATCTATCAAGATTGTCTGTTTCCTCCACCATCTCCGACCATTGAGCAATTCGATCAGCGTGTATTTGCAGACGAGGAGTTACATTTCTCTTCATACTGCTACCGAATCGAAGCCATCCGGATTCTTGGTCGCGTGGTCGCGATACAGAGCATGACCGAGGGTCAGCAGGATCATGTGGAAGCTATTGATGCGCGTATTGGTAGCTGGGGCCACCACTTACCGGAGTCCAAGGAAGAGCTTTTGCGCCCGGACGGCACAGTTGATGAGATCATGTTCCAAGCGACCATGATCTTGAACGGCGCATCGATCTATCTGAACTTCCCCCGATCCGACCTTCTCTCATCTCCCGCGGTTGCCACAGCCGTCATCTGTGGTAGTTCTGGACCCATCAGTGTGCCCGCATTCTCCCATAACGAGCATGCCATGAAAGCAGCCAAGGCAGCCCGGGAATTATCTCGGCTGGCCTCATTCCGTCTACCAGTTATCAAGCACACTCCATTCTTCATCTGTGCCCTTACGCTCAGCTCCATCGTTCAATTGGCCGCTTGCTCCGTCAAGGCCGGTCAGATGCCCGACCCCAGCCGCGACCGTCTTACATTAACAATCGGCGTGTTCAAATCGCTGGCTCGTACTTGGGCCATCTCGCAGTCGATTATGAGGCAGATCAAAGCCGTTTCGCGAGATGTCATGGAGATGGGTCTTCGTCCGACAATGGCGATGGACTCGCTTTATCTGACCACGATGCTGGATAATAGTCAATTCTGGGTTGATCAGGGCCCGAGCTGAAGAAGTGAAGATATCACCCATCTCGATCTTCTGGTCTACTCTTCGTTGTCCCCAGACCTCTATTTTCACAGCTTGGTGTAGCACCCACCCAGATCATCAGTGCTGAATGTGCCTTGGGACAATTACATGCGCTCAGGTTGCTGCTGGGCTGTCCCCCGCCTGATCCCTTCCTGCAGACCCCGGTTCCCACAGCATGGGGCCCATTGGGTATAAATCTGACTCCGACGCTGACCGGGATCTTCTGAGCATGGTGCGTGGTCTGCATGCAGTGCCGCCCCATCTACTGGAGTCAGATGGCATTGGCTTCCTGGGAGCTTTCATTGGATGATCCGACATATGTGAAGAATATAAATACTAATCATGAAACTAATCATGAAAATACTCATTCAAACCCTCTTACCACAGCCAGGCTTACTATTCCAACCTATAGATTGGCTTAGCATTATAGATTTAGGGCTATACACATATCCATATGCAGTGTAGATCAAACGCCTGTTTACACCCCTGACTTACTGGCCTCGAGGACGATAGATGGCAATGATTCCACAGACGGCCATACAAATATCAAAACATCCCACGATTGGGAAACAACACTCCTATTTCTGCTGACTGAAATGACGAAGAAACTTCAACCGCACCATAGCACGTATAAGATCCTCATCAGTATTGATCGCCTTGTTCTCCGGTCCACCAGGCATAAGCGACATCAGCTCCTTCACCTCCTTCAACTCCAAGTCCAGTATCTCCTTGGTATTATATTCGGGATGTGTAATCTCACAGGAAGTTAGGACTCCTACAACAGAGAGAAATGATTAGCTCACATCCGTAAGTTCGGCGGATCTAGTGTGATCTCACGATCTAGTTTCACAAGGTGCTCGTTGGCATCCACAATTGCAGCCCATAAAGCGCAGACTTCAGCCATGTTTCCGAATGTTTCGTTACGGACCCAGCCTAGGAAACTGTTGAGGATATTTGATCCTGGATATGTTAGTCTTTGTTGGAAGCTGAATGTTGGAAGACCCTATACCTCTCTCGCCTGATGCGACTTGGAATACGGCGGGGACTTCATTTATAGCACGTTGGTAGTTCATTTTTTTTTTGACTCAAAAGAATAGAAATGCCACAGAGAAAAGAAGAGACTAGGCCTGCGAAATGGTCGAAACTGTCAACCACTACCAGCCTTTGGCTTTATGTATGCTGCACGGTAGTTTTACTCAGAAGCTAGCGTTACTGGCGCGAACATAGCGCCAGGGTTGTCTATACAAGTCTATTCCGGGAACAAAGAACTCGCAACCGAACAGGTTAAATACCCAACCCCTTCAAACATACCGTCGGTTTCGAGCCCTGGAATCCAACACGAGAACAAAGAAATCACATCCATGTGGTCGGATTACATGGGGGAACAAAGAGGACGACGAGTTCCAGTCTCGAATCAAATGAGACCAGGCTGCGCAGAAGAAAAAAGAATGGGAACTCCTAATACCAAGGCTAAGTCAATAAGTGTACCCTCGCCTACACATGGTTCATCTCGTCTTTCTTCCACGATCGGCCTACGATCATTAACTACCTTCCCCAGAGAGATCTTTTGCAATGTCTCCAATCACCGAAGAATCTCTGAACTTCGTGAACCACATGGAGAATGTCCCAGCGCCGTATCATCATGCCCAGATGGCATATAGCAGAGATGGTAGGCTCAAACCTCAATCACCATCTCCCCTGATATTGACAGCAAATAGGTCTATCCTGTGCAATGATAGCCTGGATGCTAGACATCGACACACGAGCAACAACAAAGAAGCGCGAGTTCCAACGCACATATCAAAAGCTCTGCCTACGCATCAAACACCTGGAGGGCGAGTCTACCATCCACCTTCCCAGGTATCATATCAAACCCTAACACCATATAGCAATAATGAAAAACAACAAAATAAGATGCACCTCATACACCGCCGACGAAGTCGTCCGAAACATCAATCAAGCGAGACAAAACTTCAGATCCCAAGTCGAGGCCAACTTTATGGATAATGCGCCCTTCCCAATCACGGCACCTATTGATCACGAGACCGAGCTAAATAATACGGTTCCCGATGCGCAGACTTTTGAGCGTAAACTTCATCAATTCGAGATGTTGCGGTATATGGAGAGGTTTGATTTGGAGGCTTGGAAAGACGTTGAGGCTACGCCGAGGGGGAGTAAACTTAGTATTAAGTCGAGGTCATTTTGAGTGTTTGAATGGTTTATGCTGCAAAGGCCTCATGTTTCTATGATGTTTCTATGCTTTTATATGAACGGGCGCGGGTCGAAGCAAATTGGGTGGGATTAAGTCTGATATGGAGTTTGAGAAAGCGAGACAACCGGCAGATTTTAATTCTATTGTATGTTCAATGACGTTCCATATGTACAACACACGCAGACATGCAGATATGTAGACATGCAGCTGTAAATGTGCGTTGGTTCGTCTCGAGGAGGACAGTTCGCAAGTGGAATCCGAAACGGAACTCTGCTCGGCCATCTCTCCGAATCTTCGGCTTTCCTGCGTCTTCACCTTGTCAATTCGCATATGATAATTGCGGTGGAAAAGTATCACGCACAAATCGTCTACTGCTCCGTACTTCACTTCCACTCGCATATCTCGCGTATCTCGCATTGTGATAGCCGAGTACACAAGCACCATCGGAGACGCTCCGTATAGATCGGTGGGAAACAACTACCAAGGCAGATCCTGTACTTTCGCCCTGTGAAGCTGTAAATTAAGACGCTTCGCTATCGTACAGATTCGTGCCTTATACTTCGCATCCCATGTCCACGATATCAATATCACTATGGAGTCAGCGACGCAAGTCAGCATGGCCGACAAGCCAGCCAGCTTAGCTGTCAACCTTGTCTCCATGCCAGACGACCTCTTGACTGGGACAAATACTCCGGGGTCAATCATGCCAGGGACACATTCTCCAGGAACAAGCACTCCGTCCAACCTGGTAACCTGGGATGGACCAAACGACCCCGGAAATCCCCAGAACTGGCCGCGGTCAACAAAACTCCTCAGATCTGCAGCACCACTAGCGGTGATCTTCTCAATAGCCTTCACATCCAGCATATTCGGTTCCTCATCAAGCATCACAGCAAAGGAATATGGCGTATCAGAAGAAGTAATGAGCCTGGGCGTAGCCCTCTTCGTCGCAGGCTTCGCCGTCGGCCCACTCATCTTCGCACCCATGGCAGAAGTAGTAGGCAACGCACCCCCAATGGCCATCGCCCTAGCCGGCTGCGCCATCTTCCAAATCCCACTCGCGCTAGCCAAAGGTGTAGCCACAATCCTCGTCAGTCGCTTCCTAGCAGGAACCTTCGGCGCCGGGGGGTTAGCAGTGGGATCAGGCATCCTGGCCGACATCTACGGTCCGATCACACGAGGCGTGGCAGTCGGCATGTCCGCAACGATCATGAATCTGGGCAGCATAATCGGGCCAATCGTAGGCGCACACATAGTCGACCGATACGGCTGGCGCTGGACAGCATGGACAACACTCATCCTCTGCTGCGCAGTCGGCATACTATGCATACTCCTCCTCCGCGAATCATCCCACAACCGCATTCTCATGCGTCGCGCTGCCCGTCTGCGCCGCGAAACAGGAAATGAGAAACTGCGCGCACAGGCTGAGATGGCATCTCTAGACCCGAAAGTCTTGCTGCGGAAGTACTGCACGAAACCAGTGAAGATGTTCATCCAGGAACCGATTCTGATCGTCATGACTACCTACCTGACACTGGTATACGGCTCCTTATATCTATCCTACCAGCTCTTCCCACGCCAATTTCAAAGCCGAGGGTGGAGCAAGCCGGCTGCCACGCTTCCATTTATAGCCGTTGGTCTGGGCGTATTGACAGCGCTGGGACTGTTCTCGACGTTCACGATGACAGTGTATAAGCGGCGGTGGATGGCTGCACATAAAAGCAAAAGTTCGGGAGAATCTCAATCTGGCACATCTGTTCGTATTGCTCCCGAGGGTCGATTGCCGCCTATGGTATTTGGTGCTGTCTTGCTGCCGCCGGCTTTGTTGTGGTTTGGGTGGACGGGGAATACGCATTGGATTGCGCAGGTGATTGCATGTTATGCGATTGGCCTGGCGTTGCAGATTATCTTCATCAGTGGTATTGTGTACATTGTAGATGTGTACCTGCTCAATACTGTGTCTGCCATTAGCATTCATGTCATGGTGCGGAGTCTGGTGTCGGCTACGTTTCCACTGTTCGAGGGACCGATTTATGAGACATTGCATATAAACTGGTCGGCGACGCTGTTGGCTGGGTTGTCGGCTATTATCATGGTGTCTCCGATATTGTTGATCATTTTTGGATCTCGCATTCGAAGTTGGAGTCGGTTTTCTGTTGGGGGGGGGGGGGGGGGGGGGGATATAGAACATAAACCTTAGAACTTAGATGGGAACATAAAAGCAAGGTTCATTCGAAGAAGTCTAATGTGCTGCCTCCCAAGCGTAAGATCCAGGGGGTATCTTGAATGCGGTGATGTATGAGACGGGCAAAGGGGATATCGCAGGCTATGTCAACATGTGTTAAAGAGAGAATATGAGCGCCAAATAATGAAAGAGAAAGCCAAAACTCCTTGCCTTATGCTCGTATCGGCATCGTCAATATCTAGAAGAAATGAAGAAAAAGATCATGAGACCCTCAAATAAGAAAGAAATGGACCAAGAAATTCTAGTTGCTATGACCACTGCTCATTTCCCGCATTTCCTGCAGGGCAACAGCTCGGCGCGCAACCACGTCTTCTCGACGGACCACGTTGCGCAGTGCTTCGCTGGCTTGGATCAGGCCATCAATGCTGATCGCGTGGTTGGTCATCTGGTGGTTGATATATGTGTATAGCGCAGCGGGCGTCGAGCAAGTCGTCAACAATTGCTGCTCGTTGAGTTTAAGGAGAGCGAGTGCAACTTGGAAAAGGAATGTGCTTCCACCTCCGCTGCCAGAAGCGTCTTCGGTCACCTGGGGGGTCTTGTCATTGCTTTCCTTCGTATTGGCAGTGGGACCAGGGCCGTTGACAGCGCTGGTCACATTGAGACATAGGACAACGTCCCATACGCGATACAGCGCCTCTGCGGAGAGACAGTCTGTGAAGACTGAGAGGAACCATTGGAAGGTGAGCGCCTCTAGTTCGATGCCCAGTTCTTCCAGATGAGCTGAAAGTCTGGGAAGTAGCTCCGAGATGTACTGTCGCAAGACAACTTGATCAGCTCGTGAGGCCAGCAATCCATGATCATAGTAGTGCTGGGGTAGAATAATTTCGATCATCGAAGTCAGAATCCAGAATGCATCTTCAGCAGTCGGCATGATGAGCAGCAGAGATCCGGCTATAAGGTTCATGCCTTGACAGTAGCCGACTTCAGGGTTACGACGTGAGTACGCAAGCAACACCTCTTTGAGTTTGCCAACACCAGGACCCTTGCGGAAAAAGACATTGTCGGTAAGAGTGCGACGGATATCCATGTCAATCTGTGATATAACAGACGGGTCAGGCTCTGACCCACCAACATCATGGACAAGGTCATCATAGTACCCGGGGATTCGCATGGCAGAAGCGCCGCTGCATTCTGACCAAGTTTTGGCGCGAAGGGCGACTGGGATACCGCCGAGTACGAGCAGCCGGAATTCGCGCCACTTTGCTCGACCAACCTTGCCCTTGTTGCCCAGGCCGGCAATTCCCACAACCTCGCCATCTGCAAGCGAGGCCTCGGGAGTATCAACGGCAGCTACAGAACGTTCAGGTGCGGCTGCTGCTGCTGCCTCGCCTTCTTTTCGGCGTTCTGCGCGCACCTTGCGGAGGAATTCGTTCCACCGCACGGTTCGGTCGCGCTGCAGCGTATCATGGAGCTCTGTCAGTTGTTCTAACAATAGCTTCACTGGCTCAGTCTCCGAAATTGAGATCTTGGCAGCCATGTCATTTGCTTGATCAGATGATAGACCCGCGAACTCGGGGCTGTCAGCTGTGATGGCCGAGGTAGAAGCCGATGGCTGTCCGACAGAGCCAACAGATAAGGACCCATCTTTGTCAACAGAGACAGATGAGCTGTGGGGGCGATTTTCTCCGGCGGTGGTCAAGGAAATAATTGGACCGGCGGAGGGCGTATGGGAAAGAAGTTCTGTTGGGCGGGATGGAATCCTCAAGTAGTCCTGCCAACGGCGGATGGAAATCGCTCCACTCTCAGGATCGTCTGGTGAAGTGGGAGAAGAGGGTGTTGTTTCAGGGGCTCTCTGCGTGAGGCTTCGGACATCAGGATCATCTTCTGGATCCGACACATCAGTCCGTAGGGTACCAAGAGTCTCGCCAATACTCAAGCGATGACCACTACTCTTGGATGTGTTGGCTTCCCTTTGACGCTTCTTCCGACGTTGATCATAGATGAACCCAAAGCGGTCTGTAAGAAATTCACCTGACTGAGAGTTGTTGTAAACAGGCGTGAGTGTGGGAGGCTTTGACTCCATGGGCAGGATGGCATCCATCTCAACGGGTCCAAGGTTTGTAGAGCTTCGGTCTGTGGTCTCAGATGCTACACCTTGCGAGATGCTGCCTGCTGGATTTCGTCGCGAGGCAGGAGGGCCCATTTTTCCTTGGACACTAACTCCACTGGCAGAGCGAGCTGAAGGCACACTGACATTGCTATTGATTCTTTTCAATGCAGCCACTGCCGACATCCCGCCTTTGCCCGAAAGAGTAGACGGAGCGCTTCGGTCCCCGCCTGGAACTTTAGACATTGGTTTGGTTTGATTGGCCTCCGAATCACTTGCATCCTTGCTTGCCTGAGAATTCCCAGCAAATAACTTGACAGTCCACGAGCCGATTGACCGCGAGGATTGGCGCGAGTGCGTGCTTGCATCGTCGCCGGTCACTGACGGGCTAGCAATCCGCTTTGCTGGTCCACCAACCCGTGTTAAAGCATCGGGTGGCTGGAAAAGCTGCTCATCAAGAGCTTTGCGCCGCGAGGGATTGCTGGGCACTCGAAGGCGCTCAGTCTCTTCATCCTCATGCTCCCCAACATCGCTCATGATGCTGCTGGCACGACTCGTTTTGCGACTGGTGTTGGTCGAGCCAAAGATGTACTCTTGCCAGCCGCGAATTGAGCTCTGACGCTTCCGGGTGGTGTCGTTGCCGTCAATCCCACGGCCATCAGCCTCCGCTCGCTGAGCCCGGATTGTAGCTTGAAGATCAGACCGAGCTTCTGATTTGTCAAAGGGCCGCGAGCCCACAGTGTCCTGCATGGCTTGAGACATCAGCCCATTCAACCCGGAGGAGGCCTGGCCAGCATGATCACTACTGTGAGTGCTTTCCCCATCCGATATACGATCTCCAGGTGAATTTTCCAGCTGATACAATCGGCGCTCAATATCCTGGTTGCTGACAGAGACCTCCCGGAGCATTCTCTTCAGCTCTCGCTCCCTTGCATCAGCGCGTTGGCGGAGAGCCGAGATCTCAGCATCCCGCTGAGCCAGGTCGCGCGCGAACTGTCTCACCATCTTCACAGCGCCTGTACTAGCAACAAGACGCTCAATATGCGCATCATCGGCCAAATGCAAGGCTCCTGGGATATCCTGAGTCAGGACGGAGTCGGCGAATAGGGCAGATCGACCCGACTTGTGAGAGGCTCCAGTTGTTAGCTTCGCCAATGTTGCTTTCCGTCCCCGACCACTCCCATTGGCCTCCTCGCCATCTTCGCCAGATAACAAAGTATTTGTCAAACCACGGGTGAGGGTAGTGGCTTTATCGGGTGGTGAAAGGGAAGGAAATGAGGTCAGATCCGTGGTTGTGTTCGAGGAGCCGGAGTGGCGTTTCTGGGCTTTGGCACGAACCATCTTAGCATTTCGACTCCTGCTTGAGGCGCTGGAGGCTTGCGATGACGACCGCCGCTGGGGCTGGTCGGACTCTGCCATGACTCAACGACCGGGCAATGGCGTGGACGGAGAAATCGTCGGGTAATGACTTCATGAAGGCTTTCCGCAGGTTTGTTCAAGGGTGGATTAAAGGCGTTCGAGCTAAAATAGATAGTCGACTAGCTGCTGACAGTTTGGCACTTCCCTGTCGCGCGTCCTTGGCGATCCCTTGAAACCGGTGGATCGGTGGAATGAAGGGAGATCGACGCGATTTGAAAGGAGAAGAAATGTCAACCCTGCAAGCCCTGAAATCCAAGGTGGCCAAAGGTGCACAAAGAGTTGCTATTTTTGCTTTCTTTGAAACACACAAAGCTGTTGATGGCCTGGGCACATGACGTTACTGGTCATGTGACTGTGTTGGTCCACGTGACTGTCTGCCTCGGCTCTCCGCATAGCCGACGCAGTGGGGAAGCTGAGCTCGTATAAGTTACAGCTAGCTGCTATACTTGCATGTAATTGATTTAGTTTCTATTCTCTGTTCCATTGTCTTCGATATTGCAAAATAAATATCATGTCTGCAGCAGCAAAGCAACGTCTCCAAGCCCTCAGCAAGCAACTTGTCGAGGGCATCCCCTTCGAGGGTACATTTGAGGACATTCCCAGGATTCGCCATATTGCTGGAGATTCAGCTGGACCGTAAGTAGCTTGGGTTCATGGTCAATATATGTATTAGCTAGTCTGCGCATGAACTTTTTCAATTCGTCATTCTATCTCAGTTATAACTAACATTGATACTTGCAGCCGAACACAGGACAAGGTTGTCATCGTGACCGGTGGGTTTCATTAGTGTCATTCTAAGGTATATTGACTAATAAAAATATAGGTGCCAACTCACCCAACGGTATTGGCCGCGCCAGCGCACACCAATTCGCCAACAATGGCGCCAAAGCAGTCTACCTCTGTGATTACAGCGACACCCACCTGGCAACTCACAAGCGCGAGATGGAGTCCCTCTACCCGAATGTTGACGTCCACGTACGGTCATTTGATGCCGCAGACGAAAAGGCCTTGACAGCAGTCATCGACGAAGCGGTAGCCAGATACGGCCGACTGGACATCTTCTTTGCCAATGCAGGCATCGTCGGCCAACCGAAGCTCTTCACCGATATCGACGGCGACAACTTTATGAGAACCATGAGAACAAATGCACTCGGGTATGCTTACCCCATTTTGTTACGAAAACAAATTAAACTAACTTCCACCAGCGTCTTCCTAGCAGCCAAACACGCAGCCCCAGCAATGAAAGTAACATCCGCAACAAAACCCTACCCAAGCGGCTCAATCATCGGAACAGCATCCGTAGCAGGCCTCCGCTCAAATGCCGGCTCAACAGACTACTCGGCCTCAAAAGCAGCAGTAGTCTCAATCGCCCAAACAGTCTCGTACCAACTCGCGGGAACGGGCATCCGCATTAACGCCATCTGCCCGGGCTTGATCGAGACAGGCATGACACAGACTGTATTTGACCGAGCGCGGGAACGCGGCACTGAGCGGAAGATTGGACAGTTGAATCCCATGCAGCGGGGTGCTGTTGCTGATGAGGTTGCTCGTGTTGCACTGTTCCTTGGGTCTGATGAGGCTTCTTATGTTAATGGGCAGGCTTGGGCAGTTTGTGGTGGGCTGAGTGCTGGACATCCTGTTGTTCCTGGAAAGCTTGCATAAGTACTTCATAGCATAGGCACAGCGGAGCAATATACATGATATCGGAAGATACATTTTCTGAGTGGAAGACCTAGTATAGCTGAAGAATGTAAAGAAAGTCAATTCACAGAATCCATTTTCGAGTAACAGGGAACTATATAACCCTGAGCAACTATGAGATCAGTCCAGATCAAGGACTGTAGACAAGGAGAAAGTGCATGACAGACACAAAAAGGAAATCTCATCCGCGACAGTATGCGGACGGCGAGTGCAGAGTGGGTGGCTCTCTCGACAACACGAGAATGAGCGAGTAAAAACAATAAAAAATAAGAAAATCAAGCCGATCCATCCCAGACGGCACGACGATAAATAATAGACAGTAGAATCCCGGGTAAAAAAGCCATGGTAAAGACAAAAATGACCAGAATTATGGGACAAGAAGACAGAGAGATGGTCGGAGGATATAAGGGAGTATCAAAAGAAATCGACACGACGAAGCGAAGCAGTAAAAAAAGAAAGAAATAGAGAAGAGCTACGCCAGACAACCAGAGCGCAAGTGCGTATTCAAGATACAGCACAGTGAAGGAGTAAAAAAGGGAATGGGCCACGCCAGGCAGAAGAAACAGGGAATGGACAGAGGGGAGAAAAGAAAACCAAAACAAACAAGGTCGTCTCAGTCAAGCCGTTGCATCATCTAAGCTTATATAGATAGCTGATGGAACCTAGGAGATGACCCGAGCGGTGTTTGGTCGCATGAGGTCCTCGCTAGCCTGCTTGGACAGAGTGCCAGGCTCGGTCTGCTGGTCATCGACATTCTCCATCTCGTGGGCATGTTCGTCGTCATCCTCGACGATACGAGTAGGGATGTCGCCCGGTCCGTACTGCTGACTTGAGCGCTCGGGGAAAGTCGAGCTGCTCACCATGGACATAGAGGTGCTGGAGCGGTTGTGGACCAGATCCGGGGTCGGGGGGATACTGGAGTGACGGTTATCCGGGTGGAGGGAGTTGTTGTCGATGTCGCTCATTTCGCTGGCGGCACGGGTGGAGCGGCCCTCCTGGGTGTCGTAGTCGGAGCCAAGACGGTCGGAGGACTGGAGCTTACCCTCCTCGTCATCTTCGGCGTCCTGGGCGAGGTGGAGACCCTCGACGGCGGCGGCACACTGGTCGCTGATGCTGCGGATGATGTCCGCGATAGCATCGGTCTTGTCGCGTAGGTAGCGGTCTGCGACATCTGTAATGCTCAAACGAGCAAGGGTCTTGTGGTCCTTGCCGAGGTTCAGCAAATGCTGCTCTAGAGCAGGGTTCATGTCATTTACCAGAGATTTTTGACCATTGACCTCCTCTGTCTTGACGGGCTCCTTGGGCTTGGGAGTCTCTGCCTTGCGCTCCTCAGGAGCGTCTTCGTAACCCTGCTCGACCATTTCAGTAATCTCTGATGTGCTGCTGATGGAGCGTACGATGTGCTCCATGTGGTGGCTCTGGCCGTTGATGAGGCTGCGCAGGTGAAGAACCACGCGCTGGGCGTCCTCGCGCTCACGGGAGAGAGTTGAGTTAGTGTGAGTGAGGGCGGAGATCTCCTTCTGGTTGCGCTTGCGCTCACGCTCGAGCTCTTCGGCAATCTCCTGCTGGAGAACGAGGGCCTCGAGGGCGTCGTCACGCTGCTTCTCAGTACCAGACAGACGAAGAGTGAGACGAGCCACATCGTCTTTCTGTTGGTCAATGAGACCAGTGAGGCGACGGTTCTCACGCTTGTGGTTCTCGATCTTGACCTTGAGCTCCGTGGTCTCCTTGGTGAGCTGCTCAGCAAAGGCCTGGAACTTGAGGAACTGCTGCTTCCAGGTCTCGAGCTCCTCGACAAGGAAGTTGTTGCGCTTGGTAACCTTGCTAAGCTCGGTGTCCATTCTTCCCTTGAGATTGATAAAGTCTTGCCAGGCCTCCATGGCGTCCCGGGAATATTGGTTGCGCTCGCGGACAATCTCGTTGAGGTGACGCATCGAGACCTTGGTCATCAAGGGCTTCTTTACGGAGCCACCGAAGATGGCCTTCATACCGGTGTTGCGACCCTATAAGGAGTTAGTTTAAACTGCAGTTAGTTCAACATTCAAGAGCAAACATACCAGCTTCTCACACACATGGTCCATGACACTCATGACGGCATCCTGGTTCCACCATTGGGGCTCCTGGATGCTCTCGACCTCGCCGCGCATGACGATAATCTGACCAGCGGGGATGAGCTTACCCCCAGCGTAGGCAGTGCGCAGGTGAGTAGGCACGCCGGAAGGCGAGACATCACCGTTCAAGGATTGAGTCATGCGGTTGATGAACTTGGTGCGCTGACCCTGGTTCAGCACATTGGGCGGGCTGGAGGTCAGAACGAAGTTACGGTCGAGATCGACAACGAGGGCGTCAGATGGAGCGTTGAACAGAGTACGGCACTCGGCGGTGACACCCAAAATGTAAGGACCGGGCTCCTGGACAAGCTCCTTGACGTGACGAGCGTGCACAACGGGCACGTACAGGCCGCTCCACTCGTAGACACGAACACAGTAGCGAATGGTTTCGGCAGCCACGGTCAGCATCGCAGGGTAGTGAGAGACGAAGATTATACGGCGAGTAGGGGAGACAGCAGCCTCAATGACTCCTACGATGTTGGGGATCGACAGACAGGTGAACAGGGGCCACATGGAGAAGTTCTGGAATCCAGTCGGCGAAGAGGGGAATTGGTAGCAAAGAGCGTAGTCCTTCATATCGATGCGAACCAAGTCGTTGAGACGCGGGGCCGGGAAGCTGAGAATACGCGAGACCTCCTCGGCGTGGAACAGGTTTGTGGCCTTGTTCCAGTGAATCCACATACCGCGGAGGTAATCACCCAGTAGGTCGTACAGGGGGTAGCGAGAGAGGAAACTCAAGCAGTAAGGAATCCAGTAAGTCTCATCGGGGTTGTCGTAGAAGTCCGGCTCCGTCTTCTTGCGCAGCTCGCGAATAGTCTCCGCGCGCTTCTCGTCCGCACGGGACCAGACGCGCAGCGCGATACCGTACAAAGTGTGAGAAGAGTCCTGCTGCAGCACGAACGCGTGGTGTGCACAGTGAGGCTGGCTCTTACCAGTGCAGATCTCCACGTCGTGAGGGAAACATGCCCGCATGGCCGAGTGCAGGGCTCGGGCAATCTCATTGTCCTGCTCTAGTCGGGGGCTGCTTCCCAGAATCTCGGGCAGCCAGAATTGACCGACAGCTCCCTTCATATGGCCAATCTTACCCTGTTCTGGGGCTGGGGCCTTGACCCATTGTGAGGGTTCGCGCCCGACACCGCAGACCATATAGGCATGGGTGAGTGTTTTCGGTGTTCGCTGGGCGGGCTTGATGTTGAGAGTAGACGGAATGGGTTGAGTGATGCGAGAGTGCAGCGACGACGTGCGGCTGGGAACGACCAGCGAATTTTCCCCTTCACCGCGTGTCGAAGGCCTATCCCGGGTGGAAGGCCGGACAAAAGAGCCATGGTCGCGCATTGAGTGGCCCATTGTGTGTGTTTATATGGGGGTATATGGGTATATGGGGGGATTGGAGGAGACTCCTAAGAGTCGAAAGCACTGCTCGAGTGCAATTTAAAGGAAGGATTTACCCAGAAAGAGAGGCAATAGTTAAGAGAGTGTAGAGATAGGAATCCGACGTGTGAAAGGCAAAGAGGAGGTTTAGGGGGTTAGGAGTGCGCTAAATCCAAAGGGGGAGAACTGCCTCCACTTTAATTTCTTCTTTTTCTTTACTTTACTTGTACTGTACATGAACTCGGACTATTTTTCTATTTTGCTGCAGGGTTCTATCCCTCTGTTCTGCTACTGTGTCAGTGCATCTACGTGATAGATGCCCGTGCAGTTCACCAGTTCACCGTTAGCCGTTGACCGCTGGTTGTTTCGTCCCCATGTTCTTCCTCACATCTGATATGTCCATTTTTATGTTTTCTACTGGTGTTTCACCTGAACTCTTTCTTTGTTTCCTATTTCCTGATAATAGCATTCATTCGGACAAATATCCAAGCCTCCAAGTCCAAGTCTGGACCTTCTGCAGTACAACATAATGCAGGTTCAACCTACATGTATAGTGTTTCACTGCGAGCTGCTAGGAGCCTCTACGCGTACCACCCCCAACTGACAAATACTACTGGGTCAGGATCGAGGCGTGCAGTGCCGATCGCAAGATTTCATTTGGAAACCGATCATATCCCGTCCCGTCCAGGTGTTGTTATTGGTGTCTGCCACAGTCTCCCAGCCCCCACTGCAAGAGATTTGTGTTCGATCTTATGCAGTGTCTGCTTACCCCTGAATTGCTAAATTGCTGGAATGTATCATGAAACAAGCAGTACAGTAGCATTCTGTCTATGTCCAGGCCCAGTGTCATGTCAACTTCGTTCCAGGGCTTTTTCTTCCCGTGACTCCACTGCTGTCAACCCGTCAAACCTACCATACTTAGTCTCGCCTAAATACACTGCTGAACACGAACGGTCCAGATACGATACTTAATCCGACACTATTTCGGTGTCTCCGATAGTTCTCCTCCGTGCTGAGACCTTTAATATACATAAGGGATAAAATTGAATTCTATTAATGATTATTATCCAACAACGTATTACCCCTTAACTATCACCTCCATAGTATATTAAGGAAGCATGAACTTCCGTTCCGAACACCCCATTGAACTCAACAGGAAGATGAAGCTGTCGATCGTTCGGTCCACCCGTCCAGTGTTTCGCCTGAGTGGAGAAGAATCCACTGGCTGGACAGGGGTACCCGGTACCTTGGTCTCTGCCCTGACTGTCGCGTGGGCCGAAGTACCCGGTACAAGCCGGTTGGTTTTTGTCGGAGCTATTTGGCTGCTGTGGAGGTGTTCGGCAGTGATGTTCATGTCTATCCGAATTTTGGAGGTAATACAGGCTACGTTTCTGGTGAAGTTCGATTTTTTGTTCCATGATTCATGCTTGTATAACACTGTAATGTACAGTAGTCGTGAATATATATCCCTCCGTAACGAATGCAGTCTCGACTCTTATTTCTTGCTTGAAACCTAAAGACGAACACTCTTGAGATAGTCATATTCAAAACTCTGTACAGTCCTAGACACACCTAGGAGAAAATGTAAACCATCCCTGCCCGATCCACACTAACAATCATTCCATACGGCACCCGCAAAACCGCCACATCCTGAACAATATCCAAATGACTCTTAAGAAGCATCTGCTGCTGGAGACTAATAACCGTACTACGCGGGGGTCTCGGACTAGCCTTCTTAGCATCACGAAAAGTACTAGCAGAGGGCAGATGCTCCGTTGTAACAAGGAGACTGGGGCCCGGCTGGGATTGCTCATAGTGTGGTTTGCCACTGGCACTACCATCCGAGACAACGTCAAGACCACTGACGATCGATGACAGATCTGGTCGAGCGAGGTCCCAGAAGCGGATTTTGCGGTCGCATCCTGCGGTGATTATGTACCCGCACTTGGTGCTAGAGTCTTTGTCTTCGTCCGGAGCATTGAGTCCAGCGGCGAACGCCCAGATGCCCAGCCGATCGCCTGCGGGGTTATTATTCGTGGGGATCCCTGCATCTGCGCCGGTCTTCGCGAACCGACTTAGCATCCCCTCCGGGCGGTCGCCGTCCACGCGCCAGGCTTCGTAGTCGGCTAGCGTGATGCGGGATGGATGATGGGGCCGGGAGGGGTGGTGGCCTCCGTTGGGGGAATTGGCGCTGCCTAGTGGGGTGGCCTGGTAGACTTCGCGACAGCGGAACTTCTCGATGTCCCAGACGGTGATTTCATTGCCGTGACTGCCACTGCACGAGACACAGACCCAGCGGCCACGAGCCTTGGTTGGGTGGACCTGGATTCGGTTGATGGCGCCCCAGCCTGGTAAGCCCCAGGCCTTCAGCCGCACGCGAAAGCGCAGATCCCAGAGGTCCAGAATCCCGTGGGTTGTGCCGACCAATAGCCAGTGGTGTCTGCGATCGCAGCAAAAGGTGGTTAATGTGCCGTGGTGGACTGGGTTCTCTAGTGTGTAGATCGGCAACATGGTCTTCATGTCCAGCGCGAGGATACGGCTGGTGTTGGTCGCCACAAGTAAAGTGGACTGCCCCTCATCGCGGAAGTGCTCTATCCAGACAGCATACTCAGTTGATCCATCTTGCGCGACAGGCAATTGGTATTCGCGAACGAGTTGAAGCTTGCCATACCGGACAGCCGTCTGGCCGACTTTCTGATAATCGACTCGAACGGCATGGATGCTGCCATCAGTAGCCGCACTGATAAAGGTGTAGGTATTCTCTACAAAGGTCAAAGCCTTGACACGTGAGCCTGTTGCGTGACGATGAGTTTGACGAGATCGAGGGGTCAAGTTTCTCTCGAGGCGAGTTGTGTCCCAGATCTTCACGGTGCTATCATCAGAAGCAGTTGCAAAGAAGGAGTGGTCCGGGGCGACAACGACCCGATTGATTGCCGCGCTGTGTTCACCGAATGTCACGATGAGATTACCCTCCGGTTTCCAGACCTTATTTGGCTCTTGGTCGGCAGCGCTGCGAATGGGTAGCCGGGTATCCAGTTCCTTCACATACGGACCCAGGTCAAACAGGTCTGTTGGGTAGTTCTCTGCAAAGATATTGTCTAGCAGTCGTAGAACCGCAGGATCATTGCCCTGATATGAATGGTTGGGTCGATATTTCTGTGACGGGAGTTGAGCGGCCTTGCGCTCATCTGAAAGTAAAGATGTCGCTGGCTGGGGAGTTTTTCCTCGATGAACCGGTGCATCTACCTTACCGAAGGCATTAGCAGAGCTTGTGCCGGTTTCTGCGAAGGCTTTGGCAGTGTCCTTGCGATTCAGCAGGTTGATTGCGCTGGACTTTTTGCTAACCCGATCAGACAGGCTTCTCAATTCCGGGGTATCAGCTCTAGTGGGTGTTGAAGAGTCGTCTGCGTCCGGGCTTTGACGATGGGTGGAATGTCTGCGATCAACATCCGAGCCCGGGGGAGATAATGGACGAGATGATGTGCCAGCGGCGGGCGAAGATGCCAATGGAGATGACGATAGCGAAGAAGAATCATGTCCATCCAGAATAGGAATGCCCGAGGGTCGTCTTGTCTCTCTATGAGCTTGGCTCTTGGAACGTAAGTGCTTACGCTGGGTACTGGGCGCTCGTTCAATAGTTGTAGAGGCATCGAGTAAAGCATCTGCGATAGTTCTCGGTCTCGTATCGTCGGCATGGCCATCATTTCTGTCCAGGGACGCTCTCCGAGGCGAATCGGGTATTTCCTTGTCAAAGAACACGGTTTGAAGTTTGACTTGTTGTTGAGTCAAACTGACAATGTCATTTATCGGCAGACTCGACTGGGCATCAGATTCTCTCGAGTGCCGTAACGAGACTCTCCAAATGTAGTCCTTGAGAGCGACCAATTTAAATTCATCTTCGGAACCCATACCAATGTTTCTCAACCGGGTTAGCCATTGTTCGTCTTCATCGTTCCTTGACTGTGCAGCCATCGTCAAGGAAGGATTTCGCTGTCCAACACGAGAACTAAAAGCCCCAGGCTCGGATAGGCCGAACATGCCATCCCTGGTTGTTGACTTCCAGAATACACCTCTGTCGGACTTGAGGGCCCAGAAGAAAGCAGTCTCGTAAACACTTCGCGGCATTGGTCGCTTGAGTGAACCAAGAATTTTGGCTTCTGAAAAGTCGATGATTTTGATTTTGAGGAAAGGTCGGAGGAGGGGTGCCAATATAGAATGAATGTCTGCTATCGACAGGAACTTGGCCGAATTGACTACAAGGTTCACAGTTGCCTCTCGGATCCAGATATTTGGATGTACCAGGAACCCAACGGTGGTATGTAGGAGATCCCATGTTGTTGAACGCTGGAACAAGCCGAGATCAGCCATCGCTGCTAGAGAGCGAATCACTCTTTCCACGACAAATTCCTCCGGTTCGGTCAAGGATTGAACCATGAGTGGCAAAATGTATAGCTCAAGATTGATTGTTCCCACATATGCCGCGACACCAACCACGGCTTTGAAAAAGGCACACTTTAATATCCAATCGGGATCGTTTAGGTACGTGTTCAAGTGACTGAGAACGACCTCATTCGCTTTGAGGTTGCCAAAGAAAACACACAAACTTGACACAGAGCCTAGGAAAGCCCGCCGAACCGATGCATCTGTATCTGTCAACAGAGCCTTTGTATGAACTTCAAAGTATTCTAAGAGATCGATCCGAGCCACGTCGTAAAGATTGTGATATGTTGCATCTTCAGTCCATCGTGGCTCAAATCCGACAGGTATCAAAGCTGCTAGACGTGTATCTGAGCGTAACGCCTGGATCATATCTAGAAACCGCAACGAGGACTGGGCCAAAGACGCAATGCACGAAGCATATGCGGCGCGGACCATGGCACTTGGATTTGTAGGCGATGTTGCAACAAATGGCTGAAGCCTTGGGAAGATGTATTCGGAAAACAAGTAGGCGTTGACTGGGGAAACTACTTGGACCATTTCCAGTAGTTTTGTTAGGGTGCGGATTGCTGCAACCCTGACAGTGTCAGTTCGATCGGTCAGGAGAATCATGACGTGGGGAAGAACTCGGTCCAATTTGGCTTCATCTGACAACCTTTCTGCGAACGCCAGAAGAATGTCGCAGGCCTGGACCCGAGCTGACGCCTTGGATGTATTTCGCAAATTGGAGACTACGAGAGTGAGGAAAATCAGAACACCTTCGTCGGTCTGTGAAGGCCGTTTTGATACCTGGGTGTCACCGTCGGGTAGGTCATGCCTCACAGGGAGAGTGTTTCCTGTCAGCCTGGAGACTGGGGGATTGGACGAAGTACCGGGACGGGCATTTGAACCAAGAAAGTACGAGATCTTATCAAAATCCAAGTAGACTCGCTCAATTCTTTCATCCGCCTCGCCTCTGTTGGCTGATTCTGTGTCCACATCCGTTCGCCCGGAAGAAGGATCTGTCATGAGAGACATGTATTGATGGAGAAAACTGTAAAAGTATTCTGGGAAGGCCTTTCTTTTCCAGAAATTGAGATACTCATCAGCAGAATATCGGGACTCTGGTTCAAGTTGGATCATGTGTAGGATCAATTCTCGAATTTCCGGGTCTTCGATTTTTGCCAGCTGGCTGTGCTGTGGGCTGTATTCTCCTTTGCGGTACTTGTACATTTGGCTCAGATTAAAGATCGGTGACTCAAGGAAGAGTTCTGCAATGACACACCCGGCACTGAAGATATCCATGGCCCAGTTGACACCGCTATCGCTAGGCTCTTCTCCGGCGATGCAGAATCGCTCGGGAGCCAAGTAACAGGTTCGTCTTCCAGAAATGTCAAAGAAAAAAGAGAAATCAGCTGGGTTGTCCTCTGGTAGAAATGTTGGTTTGAAAGATGATGAGAAATCGGAAAGGTAAAGCCAATTCCAGGCCGTTACCAGGACGTTTTCTGTCTTGATATCGCCATGGTAGATGTCCAATGAATGACAATCCCGAAGAGCACATAGCAGCTGAAATGCAATCCACTTTTTCTCAATGTGCTCTAAGAATGGACGTGTGCTGAGCGACTGTTAGACTTGGGTTGCAGAGAACAAAGCGACAGGCATACCTCATTCGATCATATAGAGAGCTGTGGATATACTGGCGCACAAGGTATCCACTCGTGCTGGTCTCAAGAACCCTCTGATAGCTCAATGCATTTGGCACGTCCAATAGTAATTTGCGTTCCCCTGGGCTGAATGTTAGAATATCGAACCGATGAAGAGGGGTCAAAACATACTGGTAATGGCTTTAATGTATGGCTCCAGCTCCATCGTTGGAAAAGGTTTCATGATGACTTTGATAAAAACCAAGCCATTCTGTTGTCTCGCTCGAATGCTCTTCATAAACCTGCCCCCACCCATGGACTTCTCATACACCAAGTCGGACAGCTCCGGTACATCGATTCCCGCCGACCCCGCCGACAGGGTTGTGAGGGAGTAGCCTTGTCCCATTTCGACTGTCCCTCATCTCCTGTAGAGACTGTAAAGACAAATAAGACAAATATTCGAGGGACACCCGGTGTAGAGACTTGCGATAAGGAAGCTGAGGCTATGAAGTCACTGGACGCGTCAACACGTGATAAAAAGGCGGTCAGCGATGCCGACAGCTCTCAGCTCATTCCTGGACTTCTTCCTGGGAACAATTCTTTCTTTGGGTTTAATACCTGAAGGGCTCTGTTGTTGCAATGATTTGTGTGCGCGCCAATTGAACATTCACCGACATGAGCCTCTCATCGGAGATACCTCGGTCTTGACACCGACATACAATTCTGCCCACAACAAAAGCAATATAAAGACACGCTTGGCAGACTGCCTGAACAGCTATTTGAGAAGCAGGCTAAGAGAGATAGTAATTACAAGGCGATAGGTATGTATTGATTCTTTTACATCTGATGATCCTGGGGGATCCGCTAACCGTTGAAGTGGAGATTCACGCTGTCAACGATGGAACCACATACAGTCAACATGGATCATACTGAGATTCCGATCATCGACACCGATGAATCTCTTTTTGATGTTCTGCCTAAGCTGTTCAAGTGAGTTCTATCTATTTGTCTCTACAGCAAGACTAACAAATCCATACAGCTTCATTAGCATGGCTGTGGGCGACATGGCATATACATTTGAGCAAATGCTGTACGGCTCCCAAGGGCACCGTCTCAGACAGCTAGTTCATGCTTTAGCCGAAGATAGCCATAACCCATTTATCATTGTGGCTTTGATGTAAGCTGCGCATCCATGGATTTGCCAAGCTTGTGGTGCTAATGAATGCAGGATCCTGAAATGGGAATTTGACACTGCCATCGAGGACGACTGGGGTCTCAATGAGAGCAGAGGTGCAGCATGTGAGTTCGTTGCTTGGCAATTCTTGTGTCATCTGAACCAGCATGAGACAATAGAGTTCTTGCTGGAGGAGCTTCCGATCCCACGCCGCAATTCTGCAAACTCCTTTGAAACAGAGGCAGGTGTGACATCTCGAGGTGGCACACAAACCAGCGAAAACGAGACCACGCCCCTTTTAAGCTCATTCTCTTTGAGTCGTCTTTTCAGTGGTAGGACGAACGAAGTCGGGTCTCCGGGGAACTCACAGGGCACAAACTCGCAGGACGAGACCTACGCTGCCCAGAGATATTCCCAATTTTTCGGATTGAATGCATTGGAGATCGCAACCATTGCCCACGCAAAGCGATTTCTAAGCCAACGAGTTGTTCAGCGGGTTGTTAATGATATCTGGAAAGGGGAGATAGTGTTCTGGGATTCTTTGACAGTGCATTCGACCAAGAAACCCCAACTTTTCAACAGAAGGTAATATTTCACACTTCGAATATTGACTTCGGCAGAGATGCTGACATACTTTTAGAACAGCAGATCCGTACTCACGCTTGAGGGTGCCCATTTACCGCAAAATTTTCGAGGCAGCTTTTTTCGTCTCATTTCTTTTCCTCTACTACGCCGTCCTTGTTGAGAGGAAGCAACATGCCGTTGGTGTTTTCGAGGCTGTGATGTACGTGTGGATTGTTGCCTTTGCGTATGACGAGCTGAGTGGGATCATCGATGCCGGAGTCATTTTTTACCAAATGGATTTCTGGAGCCTGTGGAATATCAGTATTATTGGAGTCGGAATGGCATTTGTCATAACCCGTGAGTCATTCGTTAGAATCTGCCTTGCGGCTCTTCACTCAGGTCAGTCGATGAGCGGCTAACGAGGACGCCACAGGAGTCATTGGGCTAGTCAAGGGTGACAACTCCATGATTGAACTATCATTTGACATTTTATCTCTGGAGGCTCTGTTTCTCGTGCCAAGGCATGTTATTCGTGGAGCATGCATGGTGGCGACAGGGCTGACCGGATGAACAGGATCTGCTCCCTCGTGAGCTTGAACTCATACTTCGGCAGTCTAGTAAGTGGATTCTGCATGAAACACATTTCTCGAGAAAGGTCAACTGATTGTGGCTGTGAATAGATACCGGTATTGAAGGAGATGGTACGGTGATCTCTCTAGGCTTCGAGCCCAAGGCTGACCACCGAGTGTTTCAGACGAAAGCGTTCTTTAGATTCTTTCCTGTGGTGATAGTTTTGTATATTGGTAAGTGTGGCTTAGCAGATGCAATCCCCGAAAGAGCCACGTCTAATGGACTGTAGGGTTCTTGACGACATTTACCATGCTCGCCCGTGACCGCTTGTCTCTCGATACAATGTCACATTTATTAGTGAAGGTGTTCTTTGGGTATGGCGGTGACATAACCCCTGTTACGCCCGTTTTTTACTAACATCTATTGCAGTTCAAGCGTTCTTGGCTTGGTGGGTGCTTAGCTTTTATGATCCTTTGAGGATGTGCACTGACGGTGGCTGAATTGATTGGATATTAGGACACCGCGTCTGAAGTAAGTCTGCGCACTAGGCGGCTGTTATGCAGTCCAAATCACAATATCCCCGAGATTGGCAAAATGGTTGGCTGTCGCGTTTAGTTGACTGACACACTAAAATTTAGATCTCCCCAATCTTCGGCTACGGCTTGATGTGAGCTTCCTTTGATCTTATTACGAAACCTCGCATAGTCGCATACGTTTTCAATCACGTTCTATGCGTGTGACGTTCGGCCCCAGTTATGCATGGCGTTGAGTTCCTCGGACAGGGCAACGCAGTGTTCTAGACGGTGGTAGATGCAGCATTTACTGACGGATATTGTTTGCAGGCTTATTTTCGCATTGATGACCAATACACTCATTCTCTCATCCTTGATCAGTTTGATGAGTATGAGCCTTGAAGGGGTATGTTCTCTCCGCGGACCGTGGGAGCCACCATTGACTTGTGCCAGGTAATGCGTCATGCCCGAGAAGAATATCTCTTTCAGTGAGTATACACCCCAGTCACCCTGATTTTAGAGAAACAGGGCACTGCCTCCATGAGAATTTCATTCCGCTGATGCACCAATCAGGTTGGCGATCTATGTTTTGGAAAGCAGTAATTCTCGACGACTGACATACTTCATGCCACCCCTGGTCAGTTAGCGTCTGATCCTTCAATGAAATGTTTCTTTGTGTGTTCTGAAATGCTTCCATGCTAATGCCCGGCAGAATCTAATTCCCCTGCTTTGTATCCGCCCCATGCGAATTTTCTTGTCTGCGGGAACTGTTCGCCGCGTGCGCATTGTCTTACTTCGGGCCACGCATCTTCCCTTTGTCGCGTTGATATGGGCATATGAGTCGAAGTGGCAACAGCCGCGGCGACACAACAGTCGGCTGCCCCCAATGTCGGCACGCGCCTATCGTACTTCTGCAAACGAGGCGACTGTGTCTAGGTGCCAGGACCCACACCACCCCTCCGTAAGGACAGTTGAAACAAGTCTGGGCCCTGGAAAAGAACGCAGTGTGGATCAGCAAGCCGCGCGTGAATCTGGCATGGAGCAGAGGCAATCACAATTTACGGACTTGATCGACACGATAGAACGATTACGAGCTCAAGTGGATGCAATTGCCGCACGACAAAACTAATTCAGGGGTCAAATGACTAGTGACTTCGCGCCGAAGTGCGCAAACAGCGCGGCAGGAGGGGTCACTTCCCTGGCGCTTAGGGCCACGCACGCCCCCCTGCAGCACCGGACTAGCGCTAGTTGGCTTCGCGGGCTTAGTTGCGGGTTTAGTGGCACCCTGACAACTCGAAAACCGTTCGAGATGAGCATATCAATGCCCTGGACGAATGAGACGAGTCGATCATTTCAGGCGCTTTTTCTGTTTTCGTTTTTTTCTTTTCTTTTTATTATTTCCCCCCTGTCGTGTTTCGGATCCGACTCCTTCCTTTTTATTACATCCATACTGTACAGTCTGGGAGAAGCAAGTAAATAGACGACATAGATCATGTTCCCTGGAGCATCATTTCCTTTGGAGCTAATGTGGAGTTGCGCTATGGTATACATGAAGCCGAAGGGATCGAGCGGTACGGGTTCGGAAAGTCAGACCCGCATACCGTTATGGTCACGATGGTCATGATGCCAATAGTTACGAGAGGCATTGCCAATTCGGGCACGATGTGATCAACTTCATTATCTGCTGGGCTCTTCATACATGTACATGTCCTGCGGCTGTGTTCATCAGTGGTCAACAAACCCTGGCATGCACGTCGCCAAGCTAACAGCCAGAACCTCGGGCTCTTTTCATGCTTCTGTATGGCTACTGCCTGCATGGGACACGTCGCGGTTGGGCAGACCAGCCTAACGGTGGTGAAAGGGATGGTTAGTCTGTCCCAGGGCAATCGTTATGCATCTATGGCATATCAGTCTACAGCCAGTTGCCCCCTTGTGAGGCTATGATCGTTCTATGACATAGTCTCTCTATATTGATCTCCGGCGCTAATCCTCTGGTGTGTAAGGACACACTGTGCAGACCTGGGCAATCGATCTGGTCCGGATTAGCCCCGGTCGTTACCTCCCCCCACCCTTTCTTCTTCCACTGCAATTACAGACCCTTTTTTCTCTCTCAAATCTGCCTTGTCTATTGAGGCGTCAGGTCATCAAGTCTTCACTGATTGTCGGTGTCGATGCGGCGCAAACTCTTCTCCAATGAATCCATACCCCAATCGGTATCCTCTCAGCCACCGTCCATGTATGCTGCCGCTGTTAACCAACAGCGAGGCTGTTGACTTAAAACAAAGGCTTTGCTATATATACTCCCTATCGCCAAACTTTCTTCACTCCGATATAGACTAGCTTTGGCTGGCTTTGTCTAATTCTTGTTACCGTTGTTGGCAGCTATCAACATGGATCGGACCCATCCAGTTCATCATGTCTTTGTCTCGCGACCCGAGGGTACACAGTCTCTCGAAACCTCGTCGGCATACTCGTCCCCGGTCTCGACAATAGGATCCCAAGGAGGCTTTTCGCCAATCGGCTTAGGGATCTCCAATTGTGGCATTGAGAATGCCTTCGGCCAAGTGAGGCTCTATGCCCCATCCATGCCTGTCCCACCTGCAGGTCCATCACAACTAGTTCCTGAAGCGACCCCCTACGATTTTCAATTCAAAGTTGATGACGACCGCTCCGAATACGCAATCTACAATAAACTCGCAGATGCCTCGGAGTCTTCACTTGGCGTCTACAACCCAACAGCCATGAGCGCGTCCTCTAGTTACGATTCCGTGGAACTAGATACTCGCCAGTGTACATTTCCGTCCGACGTTTACTCTTGGATCCAAACGCCTTGCTCGGCACCAATAACCCCATCAGAGCTTGTCCCCACTGTTGGTAGCGGAACTGGACAATGGGACCAGAGTCTATTCTCCGCTACATGCGCCCCAGTCAACATGCCCATTATGCCAGTCACCGATACCATCTACCCCGCGATGCAAGAGGACATGTCATTCGGGAGTGCCTCTGGACGGAACATGACCCCAGAGCGAGTCATGACTCAGTCCCGAACAGCATCCCCTGGTAGGACAGAAACGGATTCAAAATCGGTCAAAGGAAGTCGTTCTCCCCGCAGCAAACTTATCTCTGCCAGTGGTCTCCAGTGTCCGATATGTGGTTCGAAATTCACTCGGCGCTCCAACTGTAAAGAACATCAAAAGGCACACGATCCTAGTTGGAAGACGAAACACCCGTGCAAAGAATGTGGCAAGACATTTGGCAGGATGTCAGATCTGAAAAGGCACCTAAACAATGTGAGTCAAACGGCATTTTTACCCACGAGCAGTCACTAATAAGTACAGGTCCATTTAGGGATCCGCCGACGGAATTGAAGCAACCACTGGACGACATGGATGACAGAATATACCTAGCTTATACAATATGTAACACCTCGTTTTCTCTGATCCTCTTTTACCCCCTCAACGTAGGACCCTTCACTAAACCCCCTTCACCCCCGGCCCTTTTTTCCTAGTCTCCCCCTTAACATATCACGTGAACCTCTAGAAATACAAATCAAGAAATATATTAGTAATAAATGTGATAGAAAGTTGGACTGGGGATATAGGAATTGCCCTTTAGCCTGGGCTCCCTATAGCTATCATGCCACCGAAGATCCCTCTTTTCATTCTGTCTCTTTATCTTTCAGCATCGCTGCACGCCTATAAATTGGCCTGCTGAAACACTCCGTTTGTCTACGGCATGGCACCTCCTTTGTATCTTCTTGTGACCCCGGAGGAGCTGCTTTTGTTGGTCTGCTTAGGGGGAACCACTCTTGACCCGAAAGAAGTGCTCCTGTGATCCACATTGTTATTCAATCATTGGCTGCTCAATCTCTGAACACCCTCTTCGTCCCCAGCTCAGGATGCAAACGGAATACAGCATCCACTTGTGACCTTGCAGCCTTGAGATTCTCTTCTCTCTGTGCACGATGCATAATAACAAATCTCTCATGGACGCCTCTGAAGTGGAATGCTGATTGGAAAAGCAGTCTCTTTCCAGAGTCACTTCGCAACGTCGACCCTGTAAGTGGGAGATATCGGGAGATTTCTCTTTGCTTGATCGCTTTCGCTTTCTGCCACACCGTCATGATTCCATCCGGAAATATCGGCCATAAACCAAGGGCGGTGGATGACAGCTGGGAGTTGTGATATAGGCATCCAATCCCAGTCTATAACCCTATAATTGATTCATGTTAGCCAAAGGGCTTGACATCAAAGGGCTTTTGATACTGGCCCTGTCAAGTGAAAGTCATCGTCAATCATCATGTGATGTGCGTTCAAATCTCATGGGCAAAGCCGAAGCCAAAGTAACTATCGAATTCGGCAAACTTTGGAATCATAGATCGCATAATCAGATAGTCAATAGCATCATTCCTTCTAGTAGTGCCATTTAGAGTCCGTCAAAGACCTCGATCTAAGCTATTCGTGAGCCAGGTAGAGTAAAGAGAAGTTTTGTCTGGGACAGGAGGAATAGCAGTAGTCCATAGTTGCAATTGAAGCTCTGCAAGGTCACCCAGAAGGTGTTGCCGCTTAAATGAAGGAATTTGGAGACTCCAGATTCCTAGTAGATTTCCACTGCCCCAGTCTGAGTATAGCACAGGGTATTCTGGGTTGACTTAAAGGTTAGGTGCTTTCATCTCCGCGTGTTGTTTTTTTAGTCGGCTAAAACTATCGAGAGGCATTCAGTTCGGATTTCCAGTTGTTGAGATCGAGGTTTACTCATGCTGCCCACCGTACAGAGTCTTTGAAGATGATCTTGAATACGCGGTGTGAGCCACCATAGTATGGACTTCCATCGGCAGACTAACATGGAATTACTTGACGAAGACGGCTAGCTAGCCTCGGAAAGTATATCAGGTGAGGCTATCATGGAGCTCAATATAAAGTACAACAGGTAGATGCCAGAAATAGTGCTACAGTACTGAGGTGTGAACACCCCAAGACTGAGGGCATCAGGATGACTAACCATGCCGGGCTTACAAGGATATAAAATAATATAGGTCCACAGCACCGAGTCATTTCAAATATTGATTCACGAATTTATCGAAACTGCTGTTCAAATCTGAAGAAATGCGGTATTGCCAGTTCATCTCGCTCACCAAGTATCAACCGAGGAACCTAGGCAGCAGGCAACTCAGCCCGGAGGAAAGACAAAAGAGATCCATGGAACGAATTCAAGAAGCGCATGAATGGCAAAAATCGGGGTATTTGCACCGCATCAACGCCAGTTTCACTGTCTCGCAGTTCTTCAAGGCCTAGCAAGGCGAGAGTCATACGCAACAAGAGATTCAGCCCTCTCAGCAGAGTAAGGAACATCATAATGTAAAGCCCCCAGGGCATTAAACATGCGAATAAAAAGGCCAGTGTCACGGTCCATATGAACAACAAGATCATCAGCCTGAACCTCACGGCCAAGGAAGTCGTTAACGGTATGAGCATTAGCATCATAGAACTGACGGGGAGTCCCAGCATAAACACGAATGGTGATGGGAACTTCTGTGAAGCAGTCGCACAAATCACCCAGGGTAGCAGGGTCGGTGGTCCATCCATCCCACCCGTTGAGTACGATGATGCATTCCTTCATGTTGGCACGGGCTTCCTCCAGCACCGCCCATATGTAATGAGAGATCTTGGAGCCGCGGGAGATCTTAGCGTTGGGTTTATGGACGATTGTCTGCATCTTCAAAGGGCGGCACCCCAGCACACCGTATCTCTTGCGGTGCTCAGCGGCGATCAAGATTAGGGTGGAGCGGAGGTATTCGTGCATTTGGACCTCGGTCAGAGTGGTGCCGAGACCTCGGGCGTAGGGATGGTCATTGAGATCGCTAGCCCTGGCCATGAAGAGGACCACAGGGCCGGCGGGGAGGGTTGGGTCACCCTCCATGTTGACGATTGGGGTTTGTTTGTCGAAGAGGAGTTGTGGTTTCGGAGAAAGTGAGGATAAGAGAAAATGAAAGAGGAAGGGAAAGCGTTGAAAGGGCAAAAACGCATTTTATATTGATTTTTGTACCTTCTGCGTTTGGGACGATTTATGTTCAGTTGGGAATCGTGTGATAGTCAACGCTGTCCACCTAGCTCTAGGCTACGAGCAGAGCACATGTGCCTCAGACTACGAGTAGCAATGATGTTTACCATCTGACTGGACCTCAACACAAAAGGCTAGGAAGTTCACATACAATGCATTGATTGATGTCCTGTGGGACACTATAGAAAATGAAGAATATCAAAACAGGCCATGTGATATCTATCGTTTCTTGATGCTGACATCGATCTTTCCAATGCCCCAAGCAGCAACAAAGACTGTCAGCAGACCGGCAAAGATGGTGAAAGGCTTGCGGAGGGCATCCATCATGGTGTGGGTGTAGGTAACCACCAACTTAGCATCACGGGCTTCATCAGTCAGACTGTCAACCTCCAGGGTCAAGGTAGTCCGGCCCAGAGTATCCATGTAGGTCTTGAGGGAGCTCAAGCTAGCGTGGATCTGGTTTGCACCAGGAAGACCGTTGCTGGTAGCACCCTCGATGATCTCGAAGCGGACGTTGTGAGCACCCTCGGGAAGAACAACGCGCACGACAACACGCTCATACTGGATACCTTCCGCCATCTTAGGGCCCTCGATCAGAGGGACCTTGAGAACGTGGGAGTCGGAGTTGACACCGGCAGCAAGACGCAGGAATGAGGAGAGATCGTTGTTCCAGCCAACGCGGAAGCTGTAGTTCCAGCCACCGAAGATGGGGTAGCGGGGCTTCAGCTCCAGGTTAGCGGCGTTCTTACCCTTGCTAGGACGGTAGCGGCTAGTTGACACATTGCCAATGTCGTCAATAAAGTAGGGGTCAACAGAGCCGGGCTGGAGAGGGTAGGTGAGCTCGCGCAAAGCCGAGCTGGGCGCCTTCTGGTAGGCGGCCATGGTCCATTCAACACGCGAGAACTGGTTGGCGAGTTGCGAGCCGTTGTTGCGCAGCCAGTATCGTTCCTCTGTGGCAAGGTTTCCACCCCATTGCGAGACCTCCAAGTCGCGCTCCAAGAGGTTGACGGTGATGACGGGGTTGGTGAATTCGTAGCGGACGCTGACAGGGTACTCGGTTCCCGGGGCCAGCTTAGCTGTGTCGTAAGGGCCGTAAGTGTAGGTTGCACCCTTGCGCTCGGGATCTGAGCCTGATTTGAGGCCACCGGTGGTAGTATAGTCAGGCACGTTGGTGCTGGGGAACTTCAGCTTGGTCTTCTGGGTGACTGTTGTGTAGGCGCTTGGGGTATAGGCGGAGAAAGAATAGGTAAGGAATTGCTTTTCGCTTTGCTGAATGGTTGCAGGAAGCGGGCTGAGAGCAGAGAGGACCGAGTATGAGATACCAAGGGTGATCTGGGCCTTGGGGGCCAATGGCTCTGGAAGGTGAACCACGAAGTACTGGTTGCCGCTGTTTCGACTGTTAGCTCATGGACCATCAATTGCATGCCATTGAGCCTCCAATTGATACTCACCTGGAAGATACAGCCTCAGTTGTATCGACCTCAAAGCGTCCCTGCTCTGGAACCTTCTTGTCCCTCACTTCGAAAGCTCCAACCTGGTCAAACACCTCTGAAGGGAAGGGAACATAGTAGTCGGTCTGGGGCTGCTTGTCGATATTTTCCACCACAACGTTGATAGTTTCGCGCACAAAGCCTTTCTCCAAGTTGGTATTCCGGACCAGGTTTGTGTTCTTGAAGACCTGTGGGGGCTTGAAGTCGGAGGGAAGATCCAGTCGACTCGGCGTGGTGAGGTCGGACGCGGCACACAGGCTAGGCGCAAGAAGCCCGAGCACCGTGGCGGTGAAAAACCTCATGTTGACTACCCGACAATGATGTTTGCAAAAAGCAGGGTATTCAGGCGTGAACGTGAGTTGGCGATGGAGGACGTGAAGCTGATGAGGTGTCCCCAATGTATACGTACGGTGGCCGTAGCGGCCATCGCGCGCACTCCGGCGCTTATCGATAACAGCTTCTCCTCTTCTACTTTGTCGACTTTCTTCTTCTTCTGTCTCTGTTTTGTTTCTGTTTCTTGCTCTTCTTGCTTTGCAGAGCTTTTATTCCTGCATTGCATCGGGTATCATGCTGTCAAACACAATGCTCGCTTCGCGGGCTGTCTTCAAGTCCAAACTTGTTAGAGGAGTACGACTGTCGCGTGCTCGTTACCATGACTTCGCCCAGAGCAAGTTCTTTAGGGTGTCAGAAGAGGTACGAGATGCAGTTGCTACAGGGAAACCAGTTGTGTCCCTTGAGACAACCATCTATACACATGGTGAGTCCCTACATGTCCTAGAGATGGGCATCTCCCGCTCAAAAGCGGGGAAACATTGGCTGATCACCTGCAGGCTTCCCATATCCCGATAACATTGCTCTTGCTGCGTTGCTGGAGTCTGCTGTCAGGGCTAATGGTGGTGTTCCTGCAACTATTGGCATCGTCGGTGGTGTGGCCAAGGTTGGTCTCAATGCGGAAGAAATGATCGAGCTGGCCTCGACTGCGGAGAAGAAGAGTGCTTTGAAAGTGTCTCGCAGGGACTTGGGATATATTTGTGGCTTGGTACGTTTCTTCCCTCATATGTAGAAAGCCTGAACTAATCCTGGTTAGGGTCTGGCTGGCAAGAAATTGCACGGCGGTACCACGATCTCTGGCACTATGATTCTCTCAGAGCTAGCTGGCATCAAGATCTTTGGTACCGGTGGACTAGGTAACTTTCACCTTCAAGGTCAATCAATGATATCTAACCATTCTCAGGTGGCGTTCATCGCGGAGGAGAAAACTCCATGGACATTTCTGGTAGGAATGCGCACGATCATCCTAAGACCCAATACTGACATAACGTGTAGCTGATCTTACCGAGCTGGGACGAACCCCGGTGACAGTCATTAGCTCGGGTTGCAAAAGTTTCTTGGACATTCCTCGAACTCTGGAATACCTCGAGACGGAAGGCGTTTGTGTTGGTACCTTTGCAGATGGCCGAGAGGGCCCTGTCGATTTCCCTGCCTTCTACACCCGTGAGAGTGGAATTCGCAGCCCAAAAGTTATCCAAAATGAAGCCGAAGCTGCTGCTATTGTTTGTAAGTATGCGTTTCATTTGAAGGTGCTCAAATCTGTTAACGGAATATATAGATGCCCAGTCCAAGCTCCCACTATCCTCTGGGATTCATTTCGCCAACCCTGTTCCTCTGGAATACTCAATCCCCAAGGCTGACATGGATTCTGTCATTGAGGAGGCTGTTCGTCTCGCCGACGTAGAGGGCTACCACGGCAGTGACAACACACCCTTTGTACTCAGCAAGATCAAGGAACTGAGCGGTGGAAAGAGTGTAGTGGCAAACCGTGCTCTGATCGAGTCCAATGCCAAACGTGCAACCCTTGTAGCCGTGGAACTTGCCAAACTCGAACAGTCTGATCGAGCAGAGGATCGGTGAGTTAATGTCTAGCCACGAGATATGAGATACGCGAAACAATCAATGCTAAGTTCGGATATCTTCTTCCCTATAGACACATGCCAGCAATGCCAGGCGTAGTCTCGCCAGCTGCAGATATCTCTGCAGCGGACACTCCCAAACACATCAATTCAGCCCCGACCCCAATCGAAAACGCAGATGTCATCGTCGCCGGCTCCCTCGCCATCGACCTATCCTGCGACTACACCCCCTTCGGCGACGAACTAACCCAAGTCGCACCGGTCCCGCATACCTCCAACCCAGCAGTAATAGCCCAAAGTCTCGGCGGCGTCGGCCACAACGTCGCTGTAGCAGCCAACTACGTCGGCAGTTCAGTGATCTTCTGCAGCGTGGTCGCAGACGACCTAAGCGGACGCGCCGCCCTCTCGGCCCTGGAAAAAGAAGGCCTAAGCACGATAGGTGTATCCATCCTTCCCGCAACACCAGGTACGCGCACAGCACAATACATCGCCATAAACGACATCAAAAAGGACCTGCTAGTAGCCATGGCAGACATGGGCATCGTCGAACTCCCCGAATCCCAACTGGACTTTAACGGATTTTGGGAGCCGCTCATCGAGCGCACGAAGCCAAAATGGGTCGTTGTTGACGCGAACTGGCGTCCGGAGGTGATGGCAAAGTGGAGCGCCGTTGCACGCAAGCACGGAGCCCGCGTGGCATTCGAGCCCGTCTCCACGGCCAAGGCGCGTCGTCTTTTCGGCGGCGATGCGAGTGGCACTGGTGCTGCCATCGGACCTAAGCACACTGTACCTGATAATGTCATCAGCATGGCTTGCCCGAATAAACTAGAGCTGGCTGCTATGTTCACCGCTGCACGCGAGGCACAGTTATTCGAGTCGACCGGGTGGTGGCATGTCATCGATTCAATGAACATGAGTCCAGCAGGATCACGAGAGCGACTCGTACAGTTGACTTCGCCAACACTAGTGGACGAGGGTCTTCCACAACAGACTATCCAGCTGCTTCCGTTCATTCCTTGTATTATTACGAAGCTTGGTGGCGCGGGTGCTCTTCTCACGCAGCTTTTGCCGCCAGGCGATCCTCGTCTTACGGATCCGGAGTCTGCGCCCTATATTCTGGCACGCTCGCATGTTGAATCGGATGTGCCGTTCGGAGGTGTTTATATGCGGCTGTTCTCTCCAGCTACTATTCTTGGTGCACAGGATATTGTTAGTGTCAACGCGGCTGGTGATACCTTGCTTGGTGTTGTGGTGGCTGGTCTGGCGAAGGGTGAGACTGCGCGTATTGAGGATATCATCCCTATTGCTCAAGAGGCAAGTCGGAAGACACTTGCTAGTGCCGGGGGGTTAGCAAGGATCTAAGGGAGTTGCGGGCTACATTAGGGCTGTAGGAGTAGCTAGTCTGTATGCATATACTTGATAGCGTTTTTATATATTTCAAAAGGAAAAGTCATCTAACTGAGGTTTGAACTTATTCAATCTGGATCAAAAGAGTTTATTTAATATGGGCTAATTAATCTGGATATCATTAAACTGGAACAGGCTGAACTGCCCGCGGCAGAAGCCCCGGATCCAACATTCCAGCTTGTACCAGCACGCTGGCCTGATCCCAGTATATGCTCTGGCGCGTAATCTGGCCTGCACAGAAACTTGCAACCACAATGACTATGACTTGGATATCTCGACCTGTAGGCGCAATACCAGGTAACAACCAGGGTATTTCAGCAGTATGGCGACAAGAAAACTGGATCTCATCAACAATCCGATCAGATCCCACAGTCCTAGTTAAAAGACGAATCTTTTGATCCTCGGGACCATTAGGAATAAAAGTCTGAGCAAAGAAAGATTTCAGACTCGATATATCAGAAGCTAAACCCGTCAGCGTAGCCCTAACCAAAGAGGAAAACCAAAACCCACCACCGGCAAACGTAGGAAGACAAGTAACAGCCGACTCTCCAACAGGACAGCCGACCTCACCAGCATGACTAGCAGCAAGTAGCTCAACGGGCTTCTCGACGACCCGCTGATCCCCGAACCGTCGCTCATCGGCCTCAGCACAAATCCGATCCCAATATTCCTCCCAAACAGTTTCAATATCAACAACCGCCCAATGACCCCCAACCCCAAAAGACCTCTTCAAACAACCAAGCACCCGACTCCAAGCCAACTGCGACCCAACCTCATCCTCGTATGTGATATCCATATCCTCATCCTCCTCTCCAAACCTCTCATCCCCAATCTCCTTCTCTGCGAAACCAGCTGTACACCCAGGATACGAGTAGACGTGACATCTATGCCGTTTCTTATATGTGACATCCCCCTCCGAAGCACTGAGGTGAATCCAAGGCCACAGGGCGCAGGGTTGGACTTTCGGTCCCGGCATGTGGACCTGGATAGGGAGGAAGGTGGTCTTGGGACCAGCCTCAAAGATAGTCGAGGTATCTGAGCATCCCGGTGGTTCACAATTTTCTTTCCGTTTGTATGTGTATTGGTCTGACGAAGGGAGGGGGTAATATGCTATCAAAGCACATAGACGTGGGAAGGGGTTTGTATTGCTTATTGTCTGGTGGTGCGCGGATAGAAGAAGGTAAGCTGGTCGGTGGTATGCTACATAACAAAAAGTAAGCATGTCTAATCTCCAATTGGGTAAACCCGAAAGGCATATACCGGCAATCGCAAACCGCTCCCCGGTCTCAAGCTCATCTTCTTCCAGACGGATGACATTCTCAAGAGCTTTACGGTCCTTGTCTAGATCCCCACAGCCCGTGAAAGGAACATAAGTCACATCAAAGCCCTCAGCTTGGAAGCGCTGAATGACATGCGGATCGAATTGCACCGTATCAGAGACGATGATGAGATATCTGTGCCAAGGATCTTCATAGCGCCGGCCGCACCTGCCGGAACTTGTACTGACCGTTCGCTGTAAGCCATGTGGATGAGATACAGCGGAATTGGGTCCTGCAGTCTCGGCTCGGTCTACCTGGTTGCTGCCGGAGCTCTGGGCTCGGCGTCGGGTGAAGCGGTGGAAGACGTTTACCATTGTGGTGATGCAACAGTGTTGGGGGTATATTGAGGATGATGATTGACAGGACGCTCAGCCCTACTCAAGGCTGAAAGAAAAGTCCTGGTATTACATAGGTCAAGTAGGGAAAATGAATGCCTGGGATGCCAATGTGCCAATGCTTAGGGTTTTTTGGTGTGACGTCGACGAATGTCACATTCCGATAAGATAGCAGAATGCGGAAGGATAGCTTCAGTTTTATATTAGAATAGGTATGTAAGTATGCAGGGATAGTGAATATCTATTCTATTACTAGAAACAATGCAGTCTCTTTTTTCTTGCTATGTTCAATGGCACCGGGTCCATCCATCACTCAAAACTCACCAACCAACCTCGATCTTCAGCAACCTTCCCAGTCGCCTTCCCGTCATCAACAATATAACACTTATAAGAATCACGCAATAAGCTCTCGCGCGCAACTTCACAATCAATCCGAATATCTTCAACAAGCGCCTCCAGCGAAACATAATCAAACTCGGGACGAATATAACCCAAAATCAAGAGATTGAGCTTCGTTTGGTAGAAATCTGGCAAGCGATTGAACTTAGTCTGGCCCTCAGCTGCAGCTGTAGGCGATGGTTCAGTGAGAGGGGGCATGATATGGATTTCCTAGACTAGGTCAGCAATGTATCCAGAAAACCAAGGCAATATAAACAAATCACTGAATAAAACAGCAACCAGAATAGAACAAGTGTGTATAGCGTACCACTGAGCGCACGGTATTCTTGTAGAAAGGGTTATATCCAATGCTCAGAACCGCGGGCAGAATAACAGCCTCGGAAGTCGAGGACTCATGTTGATATGTCTTAGGGTCTAGCGCGACAACACCATAGTAGACGCCCGATGTCAACTCGGGATGCTTTTCGGAGAGATCGTCGGCGGGGATATTGGCAGTTGGAATTCCTAGCTTGTGGTTGGAGTAAGAGTAAGCTATATGGTCAATACAATAGGTGTGACCAATCGTATCCTATGCGCCAAGCGCGCTGGGACAGCGGATAGGAAGGCAATATCTTGTCACATACGTCTTTGCTGCCACGGCCGAATCCTTTAATCACTGGCCCTGACAATCGAACGGGGTAGGGTGTCTCTGGGCCTGCATCAGGTCCGGCAACGGGGTCGCGCGGCTTGTCGGGGCGCATGGTGGATTGTGTCGGATAGGGATAGATAAGATGGTATTCAGGAGGTCGGAACAGAGATGAGGTTGTGTTTGACTGATTGTATTTGTGTCAATGAGTGAGACTTGTTAAGGTAACATCGAGTGACTGATTAATATGGTGGGGTTATCGTGATAAGGACTTGTTGGCCTTATTTGTCAGGTGTCGACTATCTCGTCTTCCTTTGGATTCTATAGAGTCACGTATACTCTAGAGATAAGTCTTGTCTAACTACTCACTACTTGATCAAGCTTAAGCCTGAGGTCACAAGTGACCTCACTCAATATCATGGCATTAATGCTCCTTACAGTAATCCTATCCCGGAGATAACATTTTCCCTTTTGAGCGCCGCAAGAAGACAGAAAGAAAGCATATCGACATCCCCAGGAATGAGTTCCAGAGGCTCAAACAAACATATATACGGGAATAAAGAACAAGACAAACCCCCTAGACAAGAGCCGGACGAAAGAAGAAAACCGGGATCGGGGGAATCATACAGTCCCAGGGTCTGGAAATATGTACCGGAGTAAAACAAGAAATGTGCAAAGAAAGACAGGCGTAAAGTGACAAATTTGTCGAGGGTATGAAAGTCTGAAAGTAACAGAAGCGACAAAACCGATAATAGACAAGAAATCAAATGCAGGGTAAGAACTAAAGAGATTAGCATCACATCACACAAGCCACACCACCTATGGATGGACTCACATTCATCACAATAAGCATCGGAATATCGAACACATCTCGCTTGACTGTCCAGCAGTACGCGCATTCGACCTTTCCATCCTTGAACCCAAGCTGGTTCATACCAGCCTCACCGGCAATACCACCCTTGCGGAGATGGCTATTCCACTTGCCATGATCATCAGACTGGGCACCGTCCATATCCTCCTTGGTCTTATATTTAAGTAGCTTGCACTTCGTCATGACACTACCACGAGAGTCACCAAATGCCAGACGGGCAAAGTCCTCATAGAACTCAACGACGCTGTCGTCGTCGAGGAGTTCAGCCAGGAAAACTGGCTGCGGGCGTCCGCCTTGGTTCTCTAATGTTGAGCTGCGCGGTGTGAAGCTGCCGCGGGATGTTGTCCCGGATTGTGGCACACCTGATCCGCCCGTGTTAACATTGAGGTTGGCTTCTTTGCCAAGGAGCACGTCTTTCTTCCAGCCGGTCAGGATGCTGAATTCTTTGCCTACGGCGGCGATCTCGCCGGTGCGTCGGCAGACGATGGTCGGTGTACCGCATGCATTGATGAAGTCTTCGTATTCCCAGAGTGTGCGTTGGAAGCACTTCTCCATGAAGATGAGATCATCGCGATTAAGAGTTTTAGTAGTTGCGATAAAGGAAGGTCGAATAGATGCGAGGGCCTTGGCGATGCGCACGGTTTTTTGTGGTGTGAAACGCCGTTGTATGAAAGCAGTGAGATTGTGGAAACCACTGGTGTAAGCATATGGCTCCTTGACACTCTCGTATATTGACGAAGGATTACGTTGACGCCGTTTAGAGCCGATCTGCAGGTTCGGGTGTTTCAGGATCGAAGCGGAAGTCACCTGGCGTTGTCCATTGGGCGCCAGGCTGTTAGACTTGGAAGGAACATTGTTGAACGTGCCATCCTCAAAGCCAGTTGCAATGTTCGGACTTTGGGCCGAGCCAGGGCTGGTAAAGTTGGCAGGGCCACTCTCGATGGCAAATGCATGTGGTGCATTTGCTTTCATATGTTCGGGGAGCATGCCGTTCTGGCCATACACACCGCCAACATTCACATGTTGACCCGAGGCCGGACCAGTCGACCATTCGTTTAGGAGAGGGTCGCCAAACATGAATGGCTGTTGATTCCCCGGGCTTTCCCCAAATCCAGGAGCTGGTGTGGAGAACTGGGCTGATCCACTGCGGCCGATCGATCCTCGCTGCCCTGCGGAATCAGTCGGAGAGTCTCCAGCCCCAGTGGCCATGTGGCCGAGCATGCCAAATTCCAAAGCGCCATAACGGTTCTCGAAGTTCATGCTTGATAGGTCGAAGTTAAAGAGCGCGGGATCGCTAGGGTCGAAGAATGGTCCTGCAAAGGGATTCGGGTTCTGGGGTTGATTGGCATCCCCAGGGAGAGCGGTATTGGGAGTTGGTTGCTGGTTCACGGTGGATGAATGACTAGGAGTGCGGCCATTGGTGCTGGTCTTCATGTTGAAGGTAGGCGACACGGGGGATTGTGTGGTGAAAGGACTTTGACTCAGAGGAGGATCTTGGTATACATTGTAACCGGGTTGTGGCGGCGTCGGGTAGAAGTTGTTATTGGAAGGATTCGTTTGCTGTTGGTTCGAGCTTGTTACGTTCGAGCCATTTCTAGAGGGCAGATTATTGCGGAGAGTGTTGTTGTATAGGTTGTTGCCACTCACGGCTGGCATGAGTGCTCCATCTGGAGCATCGTGGAGGTACTTGGCCTTCTTGCGAACGCCGTCATGGCATGCGTCTTGAAGGCCACGCTTTATACAGCGTTGACACGGTCGTTCGTCGCCTAAAACACCAAAGATTAGCGACTTGTCCGATATCGGCTCTCAATCTATCATACCGCATGTCAAATGAGCCCGCTGGCATGCAAAGCAAGCTCGGCGGGCCTTCTTTCGTCGCGGTCGCGACGGGTCCTTGGCATTGGCAGCTTTGCGGCTCTCCGCCTTGCTATCGCCATTAGACTTGGACTTTACAGAATCCATATGCTCGGAATATTCGGTGACATCAGCGGAGTCGCGATCCCCGAGGTCTCCTACGGGGGAGCCGTTCTTAGCATCCACGTTCATTTCAGCATGTATCCCGAGGTGGTTGTTTCGTGAAAATCGTCCCAAGAGTGACGACTACCTATATCTCAATGCGCGTCAGCCACTTCCACTGCTAATGGTGTTGATCTGGATGAACAAGACGTGGTGGCGACAATACCGATAGCATCCGCGCTTCGATCTCGGCGGACGAGCGGATCCACGTGCGCGATATCCTGCCCGAGTGTAAGACGCAAGAACCACGATCGCACGGTGCAAATCGATCCTGTTGAATCTGCGAAACCACTTAGGTCTCCTCTCGGTCCGGTCCTCGACTCCTATAATCGCGCGGCTGCGACGCTGGCAGTTGAATCGGGGGAGGAATCGGCAGAACGGCGAGTCGAGTCACGGATGTAACGGGGGACAATCGACAGGGAATGCGAAAGAACGACGATCTGACACATTGAAGGATTCTCAAGGAATGCGAGAAATTGGCGCAAGCTGACAGAAAATGCCGCAACGGTTGGAGTGGAGAGAAGCTGCGGGGGAGGCAATACAGAGACAAGCTCTCCGTATAGACGTATACCGATCTGAAACGGATCTCTAAATCGGATCACAGAACCGAGAGAATGAGGAGAAAAGAAAGACAGTTCAACGTATGCGCGGGGGAAGCGGATGACTCTGTTCCCGTGACTGGGGTCAGTTCAATTGTCAAAGCGACAAGGTGGAATTAAATGTGATTTTTCGTGATTTAGTGTCGTTTCGCACTTTCGAACCCCCCAGGGCTGAATATACTTCGTAATAGCCACCTTTTTACCTAATTAATATGTAATTTATGTTGCTACCCAACCTAGCCCGCAAGGTAGACTACTCTAACACGTCCATAAACATATAATATGTACTGTAATTGTATATAATAGATGCTGTAGACCATGTATGGACTATCTCCTCACATGCTGACGTTTGGCAGTTCGGCCACTGGACGAGAGCCGGCAGTCAGCCCGATGGTAATACCGTTACCGTTATTTTGCCGGAAACGGGTAATTCTGGCGCGTCAAACAGTCTCTAATTGGTCGATTTACAATACATAGATCGCAATACCAGCCGGAAGACTGTAACCCCGCGAGGCAATAACGCACGTGCAGAGGACGATTGTATAGCCGGACGACGACATGATACACTTCTACTTCTTTAAACAGTACTTGCATTCTTCACGGTATGCCGAATTGTATCTCCACTTCAGACTTTTCAACTCATACTTTTCATCCCGGAATCCCCCTCCGGTCCCGTTTTGTTCCGAGGCTGGGAGCTGCCGAGGCTAGAACGCAGCTTGGACCAGTATATCATGTCCGAAAGGAGAGAGACAATGATGTTTGGTTGCGGAAGATTGCCTGTGAAGAGAATCCAAGACCACATGATGCTCGTATCCTTCGCAACTGGCCCGACTGGGGTGGCCGGAGAATTGAAGTTGGGGCTGAGCTTGAGTGTTGCAATGCGGTATGGACCTGATATAGTATTTCTAGTTCAGGGTCTGGGGATGGATATCAAAAGTGTGGTAGTCTATTTCCGTAAACCCTACCTGCGTATACAAATAGAAGTGGACCCATAAGAAAGTACATCCTTGCTTCGCATACGTATGCATTCTTATTGTCTGCATTACTTTTCCAACTGCAGGCGGTACAGCAGCTATGTCGTTGGGTCTTCTACCTAGTATTCCGGTCTAGCTGCTGACCCTTCTATCTCCAGTGGTCAGAAGTCATGGGATGCGAGAAGTGCCCACGACACATATCCAGGCGAGACTGGCAAAGTGTTGAGATCCAATGGCACCGAGGATAAACCTGTGGCTGCCCTCGTCAAGGTGATTCAGCCAGCAACTAACCTGAATCGAGAGATGCGTACTGAATCAATCTCGTCTATCTTCGCCATTTTGATTATTTTAGCTATTATTGTAGATGTATATCACACCTGCGACGTTGCGAACCGGCTCTTCTTTCGGATCTGGCTGCCATATTTATAAAAGAGATACCTAGCATGGATGTTAGTTAACTCATTCTACCTTTCGATTGCCTGCCATGCAGGTGGAATATCAGACTTCCATGCTTGGGGCAACCTCACTCGAGGCCATGATGCAGGGGGAAAGTAAATAAATGGGTCATAGCGCAGACAATCAAGGTGTAGTTCATAGTCGAATTGACACTTACGGGAATGGAGTCATGACAAGGGTTAAAAACGCTAGCAAGGAAGTCGCCCAGTGATATCCGAGATTGTTATACACTGCATGGCCGTTAGCTATTATCTTTACTGGGAGTTGGAGCTTTCCGATGCTTGAACGCTACAAGTGGGTTGTTCAACGTATGCATCAACCCGCAGCTGGAACTGCATGCAGAGCACGGATACTCAAGTAGTCGCAGCATGGAGGCATTGCAGGCAAACTTACTTTGGATTCCAAACAGAGGGAAGATACCTCCAAAAGACGACCGAGTGAAGCTGTTCGCTGCCAGAGCACTGGCGGCAAAGGTTGGATATGCATCGACCAGGAATGTAAAGATCCCCGAGTAAACCAAGATGGTTCTAGTAACACGAGTTAGTATCACAGGATTAGAATTACACAGGTCAGGTGAGAATGACTGACCCTGCTCCAAAAACTCCACTGCCAATGATGGGTGCAATCCAATGTACGTCAGGGTAAATTGTCCAAGCAAAGATGAATAGACCTATTGTGACCAAGGGTCCACCCAGAATGGCTTCACACTATCAGCCACTATTCTTCAGATCATCCGCGGGAAACTTACCTGGGGGGAGCCGCCACTCCGGCTGGAAGTCATCGGTCTTGTTTGTGGCTTTCTCATGGTTGCGCTCCAGGCGAATATAATTCCGGCGCCAGATTGGATCTGACAGAATGGCAAATACCATACCAACAAACAGGCCAAGGAAACACAAGCCTCGTTGCCAGATGTCCAGTCCATAGACGTTGGAAAAGACTAGCTGGAATGCTCCAAAGAAGAGGTACAGAATACCCAGCAGAATGGCCGAAAAAATACAAAGGCACAGACACATCGGCTCCAATGCCAATAAAAGAATTGGGCGATACATAGATCGCAGGACAGTCTGCGCCACGCTGCGTTGTAGCTTTTCGATCGGAGCTTTCCATCGGTCATCTCCGGTTTCCTTGCGGAGCCTTTGGGCCTTGCGCCTCAAAAGTCTAAACTTATCAGCATTTCGTTTCAACCATTTAGGGCTTGACATACACTGGGTGGTAAGTCTCCGGGACAAGGAAGATCATTGAGACTAGCAAGACACCAGTCCAAATCAGGAGCACATAGAAAGTCCAACGCCTGTCAGTCATGTTAGCTGCAACCTTGACAAGATTTGGGTTAAAGGCATACCATGTGGTAAAAGCATTGATGAAACCACCAACACTGGATACTGTTAGTTATGCTGATATTATGGCAAACAGAGGTTGACTCACAGAGGACCGACTTCGGGTCCAATGAATGGACTCGCTGTATAAAGCATCATGGGGAAAGCAAGCTCATGGCGATCAAACATATCGCCCACAGTGCCACCAGCGACACTCAAGAATGCACTACCGGACAATCCATTGAAGAAACGAGAGACAAGCATTGTTGCAGTGTTCTTGGCCACGGCACATGGAATTAGCCAGATGAGGAATAGCGAAAATGAAACGATATAGATGTTTCGTCGGCCATAGAACTAAACAGAATCAGTTACTCAAGTCCCTCAAAGAAAATATTCTCTAACAAACCTCAGATAGGGGACTCAAGAACAGCGGACCAACTCCTAAATCGCAATGGTCAGCTCATACTTCAGCAACAACCAACCTCGCACACGAACCAAGACCCCAAATGAAAAACGACAAGCCAAGAGTCGCAACCTCTTGCGAACACCCGAACTCATCCATTAACTGCGCATATGTCGTCGTATACATAGACGAAGTACAAGTCCTATACCAAGATCAGCAACCCGCGCAGACACACTGAATATAGGAGTCCAAACTCACACACAAAGCGATCCCATCGAAACAATCATAGTAACCATCCACCTCCGTGCAGTACTCATATTCCGCGGATTCAAAGGATCACCCGCATCCCATCCAACTGTAAAAGAGTCGTCCTCATTGGCAGCTTCATCAGCCTCAACATCATTCCCACCAATGCTAACACCATCATTAAGCGACCAACTACGCTCCAGCGGTTTCGAAGCATTAGACTTCTGCTTCTGCAATGGCGCACTGCGTTTCTCATCTGCCGCCGCGGTAATAGGAGCGAAAGTCATATCATCCGAACTGGCACGCTCTATTTCAGCGCTTTTATCGCTAGATGCACGTTCCGAGTCCATATTGATTTCTTTCTCTTCAGACGTTGAAGACAGAGGCGGGTCTGTGCTCCGGGACATGGCGGACAAACGGGCCTTGTTTGTTAGGATGAGATCATCTGCGATATGCGATAATTGGGATTTTTGGTGCTTCGATTGATGATCGATTGATGATCGATTGATGGATTAAATGGTAAGACTATGCGCCTGAGTCATTGTTCGGGGTTAAGATGTCAGGGGATGAATGTGTTTCTAATCGGAGGTGTAAGTGGCCGAGCTGATCAATCACGGCAATCTAGCCGTGAAACTACGGAGAGGCAATTCCGAGTTTTCGGAGAAGCCGAATATCATTCCGATTCTTTCGCCTATACATCTTGGGGTTTATTGGGATTTAATTTACTCTTCACAATTGATCACTTTACTACTTCCTGACCATGTATACATTTACTGAGATCAATAATGCGCCAAGGCCTGACACACGTGGCGGTGAATTCTCCGATAACGTGCAGGTCCACTACCACTTTGGGACTCCGAAGTACTGTATACCGATATTGCAACGAGATATTGATATGTTCAATTAAGCTATTTCAAACGCAATCATATCGCTCAATGAACAATTGTCCCAAAAACTACCCAAAATCCCATTCTCCTAGCACTCCGAACCAAAACACCTGATAGTCAATGCTATCCCAAAGCCAATAACCAACCCATGAGCCATGCCAAAGTGAGCTGTACAAGAAGAAAATACGCCGGTAAATCCCAGAATCTTTGATCAAAGGACTGCTTTACAGAGCCTGGCTCAGTTGGCTCATAGCACCAGCGGCGTTCTCCTCAGCCCAAGATCCCCAGAGGTTCTGCTTGCCACGAATGGCGAGGGGACCACCGATAGACTTGGAGCCCTGGTCAACCTTGACAGCATCCTTGGTGGCCAGGACTAAGACCTCGAAGAACATCTTGGTGGCATCGGCCTTGCTGGAGCGCTGCTCAGGTAGAAGGTCCTGGAACATGACGCTCTTGTTCTGCGAGGACTCAGCATCGCCGAGCTTCTCACGGAGGATGTGGACAGCGTGCTTGGTGCCCATGGAGACAGGCTCGGTGTCAATAGGGTGGGCGATGGTATCGTCCAACTCTTCGAGCTGGTCCATGTTGTCATCCTCGCTCAAGTGGAGCTCCTGCTGGTCATCACCAGGGAATTGAATCTCGGAGTGCTGATTGAGAGTGGTGTCGAGAGCAATACCCTCGTCAACGGGGACAATAGCTTCATCCTCACCAAGTTCGAGGGCAGGAACATCAGCGCCAGCGGCCTCCATGTCAGAGATGCCGCTGTCACGCTTGCGCTTCAGCTCACCAGCTTTCTTGACCGAGTCCAAAGACAGCAATCCGCGCAGCTCAGGAGCCCATCCACGCCCGCGGTCCTCACCAAACACACTGGACACGAAGTTGCCGTTTTGCTGGCGGGTCATAAGAGCGAGCAGAACGGGGTCACGAGGCAAGAAAGTGGCAGGCTTCATGATGGAAGAGCGATCATTCTGCTGCTCTCTGATGTCTTTACTAGAAATGGCAACCGAGCTGTCCAGTTCCATAAACTTCTGGCGCTTAGCACGATGAGCGTGCTCGTTAGTAACGACCTCAGTAGTGGCAGACTCTTCACGGTTGAACTCTTCCTCCAGCTGGTTCATCTGGTCAGAACCGGCATCCGAAAGAGGGCTTTCCGAGTCACGTTCAAATCGGCTTTCGGTGGCGCGAGGGGTTTCGCCGCCAAAGTCGTTTTCATCGGCAAGATCCATTCCACCGTCCGGGATCAGGTCATTCAAATTGTCGTGGCCATCGTCGAGATCCATCTTGTCCATGCCATCATCCTCTCCAATGTCGAGGTCCAAATCGGCGCCGTCATTGAACTTGCCGGCGTCGCTGAACAGGTCCTCCTCAACAGGACGAGGAGCCGGGGCGTCTCGACCAACTTCCATAGTCGGGTCGTTTCCAAGAGGCAATTCATCCTCACCAAAGTCAAGGTCAACCAGGGAAGGGTCTTCGAGGCGTGCGGGTTCCTGAGAGACAGATCGGCGGAAGCTGCTGTCGGGGAGGAGGTTGTCACCTCCAAAATCCATGGCGCCAGGGCGCTTGGCAGCGGGCTCCAGGTCGAGGGTTTGAGGGAAGAGCAGAGACGTATCGAGGTTGGTGAAGAGATCAGATTCAGTAAGCACATCAGGAAGGGTGATGCCACCCGGCGCGACAACAGTGGAAGTCAGGTCATTGTTGTTCGTGAGGCGGAAGGCCTGATATGGGTTAGCATGACTCGTGGAAGTGCGTCGAGGAACACACCATCTTAATTTTCATCAAAGCTTCATTGCAATCATCAAGGAGGTAGCGAGCTTTGCGGCTGTAGATGCGAACAACACCCAAGAGCAACTGTCCACTCAATCGCAAGGCCATGGGGGCCTGGCCCTGGTCGACAATGGCATTGACACTGCTCTCGATATCGGACTGCAGGATGTGCGACTTGGAGAGTTTGCGTTCGATATTCGCCGACAACCAAACGCGAGCCAGTGGCCCGGTTTTCGACAGAAGGGTCTCGGAATAGAACATGGTCTGTGACGCACTGGATACAATACAGAGACAACAGGTGGTTCACCAAGCCCAAAAAAAAGCAGAACCCGCCCGGCGCGGGGATAAGGCGTAACAGGGTGACGCGCTGGACCGGGAAAACAATTGACTCGGCGATGACACGCACGCAGTTTCAGATAACGCGGATAGATATACAATCAAACGAGTAGTAAATCACCGAATCGCGTGAAACGACATCGAAGTCAAGTATAAGAGGGGCGCGCGAGGGATAACGTGAGTTGGCAGAGAAACCAAAAGGAACGGGAGAAGCGCGTGGGAATCAGGCGTCAACGGATTCCTGCTGACTCAGGAATTGAGGGGGCTGGAATGTGGTCATGTGATATTATCCAGTGTATTTCTCAGGCATGAATTCATGCCTCACATTAGTCTTCATACGGCACCGGATTAACTGCTCATCCGGTATAACTAAGCCGCAACGGGTAAAGCATCAGCATGGCCTTAGCCTGTTGGAGAGGACTCGAGCTGTGAACGTAGTCGTTTTGCGATTTGGTTCTCAGCAAACAGATCATCTGGCAGTTCCCTGGTTTTTCCTGCCCTACACTGCTAGTCCCCTGTCGTTACACTTGCGCCTCCACTCTTGTCGGTCTAGCCCCGTTTCAAGCTGCTGCCAGATCGCATCTAACGTGGCCTACCGCAGAACCAATTCTCATCGAGACGGGATGAGAACCCATTTCCGACATACCTAAAGCGCTATACTATCTCTTTTCTTTCATATTACAAAGCATGAGAAATGTCAAGGTCAGCGACACCTTCATTACCTTTGCATAATGCATCCAACGACTCCTTACGACCTCCCTCAACCAACCCTATGAGCGGCCGGCCAAATGCCCCGTCATCGGTAAGTATGCAGTAACGTTCTCTGCATGACATTTACATCTGACATTGCTTGTGGTCGTTATACAATTACTAACAAATGGTTCCCTATCCCCAGACCTCCACCTCAACATATTCGTGGCTCGAGCCTCATGAAACCGCCGAGCGACTACGGACCTCCCTTTTACACGGCCTGACCCCCGCCGAGGCAGAAGTCCGGTTTGCACGCGATGGACCGAATGAGCTTCCCCATGAAGAGCCAGAACCGCTCTGGCTGCGGTTCCTCAAGCAGTTCCAGGAGACGCTCATTCTTCTCCTGCTCGCCTCTGCGGGGATATCATTCTTGATGGGAAACCTCGATGATGCTATCAGTATTACACTCGCGGTGACAATCGTTGTAACAGTTGGCTTTGTTCAAGAGTACCGGTCGGAGAAGTCCTTGGAGGCATTGAGCCGCTTGGTCCCCCATTTCGCTCATTTGATCCGCGACCTGCCTACTGCAACATACGCGGGAGCTGAAAATGGCGGTTCACCATCCCCAGAGTCTGGGGACGAACTGCAGGAAATCCGAAGCAAGAGTCCAGGTTCGGCGGGTGCCGCGATCAAGGCGTCTTCGACCGTTCCTGCGACCGAGCTAGTGCCTGGAGACCTTGTCCTTTTTACTACTGGAGACCGCATCCCCGCCGATATTCGAATCACCGCCGCTACAGACTTGAGCATCGACGAATCGAACTTGACTGGTGAGAACGAACCTGTGTCGAAGTATGCGGAAGCTCTGCGCACCTCATCCAGTGGACTTGCCCCGGCGAATGCGCCAAATCCGCCTCGATCTCCGTTCTACGATGCACCTGCTACCGGGGCTGTTGGTGCTGACATTCGTTTGAATGAGCAGCATAACATTGCATTCATGGGCACATTGGTTCGCTCGGGCTACGGTCAGGGTATCGTTATTTCGACAGGTGCGAAGACAGAGTTTGGCAGTATTTCAATTTCCTTGCAGGAGATTGAAAGTCCTCGAACACCTTTGCAACTGTCTATGGATCGTTTGGGTCAGGAACTAAGCTACATCTCCTTTGGTGTCATTGGATTGATTGTGGTAATTGGTCTTTTGCAAGGTCGCAAACTGCTCGAGATGTTCACTATTGGCGTTTCGCTGGCAGTTGCTGCCATTCCTGAGGGATTGCCTATCATTGTTACTGTTACTCTGGCTCTTGGAGTTCTGCGCATGGCTAAGAGAGGAGCTATCATGCGGAGGCTCCCTAGTGTTGAAACCCTTGGTTCTGTCAATGTTGTCTGCTCTGACAAGACCGGAACTCTCACCCTCAACCACATGACTGTGACCAAAATGTGGCATTTCGACTGCGCGGAACCATTTGACATGCACAAAGACGCAGCCTCGGTGGTGACTCCTGGTCCAGCAGCGCAAACTATCCTTCGTGTTGGAAATATTGCCAACAACTCGCGGTTGTCGCGAATTCATGCCAACTCTCCAGCCACCGCCTCTTCTGCCGCAGTGCTTTCGTCTACTGTCGATAGTGACTCTGCTGCCGCTAAAAGTAGATGGGTGGGTCAACCTACCGATGTGGCTATCCTGGATCTACTGGACAACTTAGGAGAGGATGATGTGCGTGATCGTATCAGTGCTCGCGTTCACGAAACACCTTTCAGTTCTGAGCGTAAATGGATGGGTGTGGTGATTGGTAGTTCAGGTGAATCCTATGGCAACTCCCATGTTGCCTATATTAAGGGTGCCCTCGAACAGGTTCTGGCACGATCGGACACTTATCTTACGAAGGATGGCCGTGAGGTCATTCTGGATGAACCCCGGCGCAGAATCATCCGTGACGCGGCAGATAGCATGGCAGCTGAGGGTCTGAGAGTCCTCGCTTTCGCCAGTGGAGCTGTACGAGACACCTCCAGGGGTAGCAGAAGCTTCGGCAGCCGCTCCGGCACACCTACGTCGAAGCCAAGCCCGGTTGACGAAGATGATCGATACAACAGTTTGGTTTTTGCTGGACTAGTCGGTATGAACGATCCCCCACGCAAGGATGTCCACAAATCTATTCGACGTTTGATGTCCGGCGGTGTTAGAGTCATCATGATTACTGGTGATGCTGAGACAACCGCTGTGGCGATTGCGTCCAAGTTGGGCATGCCAATCAACAAGTCTCCTAACTCACGTTCTGTCATCCGAGGTGATGAACTCGACCGCATGACTGCTGCCGAACTTGCTCAGGCGATCTCAACTGTCTCCATCTTCGCCCGTACAAGCCCCGATCACAAGATGAAGATTGTGCATGCACTTCAATCTCGCGGCGATGTGGTTGCCATGACTGGTGATGGTGTCAATGATGCACCTGCTCTCAAGAAGGCCGATATTGGTATCTCGATGGGCAAGCTTGGCACCGATGTTGCCAAGGAAGCCGCAGATATGATTCTCACCGACGATGATTTCTCGACCATCCTTCGGGCGATTGAACAGGGCAAGGGCATTTTCTATAACATTCAAAACTTCATTACGTTCCAGCTTAGCACCAGTGTGGCTGCACTCAGTCTCGTACTGCTGAGCACGGCTCTCGGGTTCAAGAACCCGCTGAATGCCATGCAGATCTTGTGGATCAATATTCTGATGGATGGCCCACCCGCCCAGTCTCTAGGAGTTGAGCCAGTCGACCCAACAATCATGAACCGCCCACCCCGACCCAAGACAGCCCGCGTCCTTACAAGACCTCTGATCCAACGAGTCCTCACCTCGGCCATGGTAATCATGATCGGAACACTATCAATCTACATTCACGAAATGGGCGACATCGACGACGGCTCACCAGTCGACAAGCGGTCCCGTATCGTCACAGCCCATGATACCACCATGACATTCACCTGCTTCGTCCTCTTCGACATGTTCAACGCCCTAACCTGCCGTAGCGAAGGCAAATCTATCCTCCGCGGCGAGATGCCGCTCTTCGGGAACAAGATGTTCAACTACGCCGTTCTGGGCTCCCTAGCCGGTCAGGCCTGTGTTATCTACCTACCATTCCTGCAGCGCATTTTCCAAACGGAACCTCTTGCCTTTGGTTCGCTGGTGAAGCTTGTTTTCATTACTAGTTCTGTGTTCTGGGTCGATGAGGGTCGCAAGTATCTGCATGCTATCCGTCGTCGCCGTGGTGTGGGCTCTGGTTATAGTGTCAATGTTTAATGTTGTGTGTATGTTTGGATGTTTGGTTTCCGGTCACATAGACTTGTTGAGGCTGGCATATGTAGTTTATCATATTCGATTGATATCCCTATATACATAATAGAGTCTTCCGTGCATTTCTTTTACACTGTAGTCAGTCACCTTGGACGCGAGGGAATAAGCTTGATGTGTATCTTCTGGTATTCGACGCGGGCCATTCTGGGGAGCTCGGCAAGGGAAACAGCCCTATTTGCCTAATGACTTGCCCAAAAAAAACCACCAGTCCTTTGACTATGTAGTGATAGTGTTAGTGTGTTTCAGGCATCATTAAACTATGTGTGATCCAATGGTACCTGATCCAGCGAGGCACGCATTCAGACCAGTCTAGAATCCGCCTCTCATATATGACCATGATCCTATTTATGGGTGCTATACATCTTTTCAGCCGCAAAATGCCATGGAAGCTGTTCTAAACTCGGCCCAGTGGTCTCATTCTCTGGTGACGGAGATATTGGCAGATGGACTTCGGCAATTTAACCTCTGTGCTCTCTTGTCTCAACAATTTCCGGCGGTGGTAGTGATGGGACATTTGATGTACCCATTGCCTATTTCGAATCATGTCATATCTGTTCACGTTACACAGACTATCCAATTCATACTTTCGGGTAGTACAGGTGTATGACGGGTGTGTTTCTCTGGAGTGAAGTAATTCTCGGTGTGGGCAGGACCATACAAGTAATCTTTGAACTTCAACAAAGGAATTGGACAAAGAATCGTGCGACTATACAATGCCCTCGACCGATTTACCCCGACCAAAAAAATGAGGAGAACATTATATCGCTATATTAGGGATAAGGATGTGATAAAAAACAAAAAAAATTGACCGACGCAGGGGTCGAACCTGCAATCTCTTGATTCGTAGTCAAGCGCCTTGCCATTGGGCCAGCCGGCCTACTTGTTGAATTAAGTGGTCCATAAGTGCTATAAGAGCAAGAACAAAGTGGAGCAAGCTAGGTCAGCTAGTCCTGCTTCTTACCGAGCAGCCATCTTGGCTTAACATTGGAACAGGGTTTATTAGATGATCTACAATCATTGAAACATAATTTCATGTCTAATGGCTCAGGTCTATTCGTTTTGCCTCGAAATTCGAGTTGCCACCCAGGCTAGACAAAGTTAGCATGGTTCGTTCCGGGGATATATATAACCAAAGACACCACATAGATGCGGTTGCGCCACCCGAACCCCTAGGATCGAGACTTGAATGTACATGTGCCCCATTGTTATTCAGAGTCCACATGGTAAACAACTAGCACATAGACTAGAAAAACTAGATGCACTGGAGAAATTAGAAAACGAATGCTATTTTTACCTGCATAAACAAAAATATCGATTGGATCTGGCCAGAGGCTGAAGACCCAGTCCCGCGGGGGCGGATCACTGAGCCTAGCGCCAGTTGAAGTGACACTACTGCAGAGTAATTTGTGTCAAAACCAGCGGAATGTTCCTATCATTCCGGACAGTGTCAACAATGACGAGGAATCTACAGCTATAATTATATCTGTCTGAAACAGTCTCAGTCTGCTACAAGCACAGAACACAGAGCAGAGAGAGTATAGATAGGGTAGACACTCCGGCACCGGTGCCCCGAGTTCGGGCAACCACTCGGGATCGGGAATATTCGGGAAGTGAGGCAAAACACCTTATCTGTCGCCAATCGTTGACTCACTTGGATATCTATACACTAGTCCACATGCGGAAAGGCTTGGCGTCCAGCGGGACCCACATGGTGCCAGTGGCAACAACTGCTTTATCTGCAGCCAATGAGAGCCCAGAGATTCGAGCGTCAGCGGTCCAATTGCTGGTGGCGGATAGAAATTCGAGGTCGAATATCCGCGTTGGGACAGAAGTGGGAGATAAGTGCCTGTATACTCCGTCGCTCCTCCGTAGCCATCAGGACTCGAGGATAGGGAAAGGGTACCTGCATATGTAGTTGGGAAGATAAGCTATCTATAGGAATATCCAATATTGAATCTATATATACTAGGTAGACCCTATATGTCTTGAAAGGGAACCCACTCCCCTGACACTGCCCCAGGAACTCTTCCCCGGAGTGTAGGTCACTGCCGAGAAGTGCAGGTCACCGGAGTGATCAATTGGGCAAGGCATCATACGAGAACTGCCGGCCAGCTTGGCTACCCAGCTGCCTCGGGAATTACCACCGCAATACGAAGACTCGCCACATTTCCAATAACTCAGGCTTACGGCCATTGAAGCCGAGGTGAGCACGTTGCTACCAACAGTACAGGTACAGTCATATGTTATAGGGATTCCTATACAAGGGAGAAAGGAAAGGGGATCATCAAGGCGGTGATTGGCCGTGTGGACTGATTATCCCATTGCTATTGTCACAATCTCTGACTACACCACTTTTCCCGACTTTCTCCTGTTTAACCGCGCCAACCTTGATAGTTTATACGTACCTCACAAATCTACTGCCTATTCTCTCTATCTTTTCTTTTCTTTTTTCCCTGATTTCCCTCTTACATTTGATTGCATCCAATTCGATAAGGTGGGGACTGTCGATCCGACTTATCACTGAACTTTCGGTCTCTCCACGCTTCCAGATTTCCTTATAATCCGTGGCGAACTTTTTCTTTCCACTATTTCTCTCCTCCTCACCTAACACTCGGTCGTTTCTCACCAATTCGTGAGACACCAGATCTCACGATGTCGTTCAACGGGAAAGCTCCATACGCCCCCGACTACGCGTCTTACAACTGGGTTGGCGCTCCCGCAAACTACGACCTCTCAACTAACACCGACCTGGGCGGCGATTCCCGTATGCAACTCCTGTCATTCTAGTCAGCCTCTTTCTAACCACATATTTTGCACAGGAATTGAAAATGTCAACAAATGGTTCCAATCTGGTGACCAGGCCTACATCATCGTGGCCTCGGCCATGGTTATGGTCATGATTCCCGGTCTCGGCTTTTTGTACTCCGGTTTGGCTCGCAGAAAGTCCGCCCTCAGTATGATCTGGGCCTGTATGGCTTCTTTCTCTGTCGTGACCTTTCAGTGGTACTTCTGGGGTTACTCGCTCGCCTTCTCGCCGACCGCTACCAATGGATATATCGGCAACCTACGCAACTTTGGGTTGATGAAGACTCTGGCTGATCCTAGTCCGGGCTCGCCCTTGGTGCCAAACTTGCTATACGCCTTCTACCAGATGCAGTTCTGTGGCGTGACTGCTGCAATTGTCATGGGAGCAGTTGCCGAACGCGGTCGCCTTCTTCCCGCCATGGTCTTCACCTTCATCTGGGCTACAATCGTCTACTGCCCCTTGGCCTGCTGGGCCTGGAACGTCAACGGATGGGCTTACAAGTACGGTGTCATGGACTACGCCGGTGGTGGTCCCGTCGAAATTGGATCCGGTTTCACAGCTCTGGCCTATTCGATGGTTCTCGGTCGCCGACAGGAACGCATGATGCTCAACTTCCGCCCTCACAACGTCTCGCTCATTCTTCTCGGTACCGTTTTCCTCTGGTTCGGCTGGCTCGGATTCAACGGTGGTTCTTCCTTCGGTGCTAACCTGCGTGCTACCATGGCTTCCTGGAACACCAACCTGACTGCCGCCTTTGCAGCCATCACCTGGGTTCTGCTCGATTGGCGTCTGGCTCGCAAGTGGTCGATGGTCGGCTGGTGTTCCGGAACCATCTCTGGATTGGTCGCAGCCACTCCTGCCTCTGGATTCATCTCCCCGTGGGCTAGTGTGATTCTCGGGGTTGTCACCGGCATTGTTTGCAATTACTCCACTAAGATCAAGTTCTGGATCCGCATCGACGACTCTATGGATGTGTTGGCTGAGCACGGTATCGCTGGTATCGTCGGACTAATTTTCAACGCCCTTTTCGGTGACGACGCCATCGTCGGCCTGGACGGCGTCAACACCGGCACCGGTGTCGGCGGTTGGGTCATCCACAACTACAAGCAGCTCTACATCCAGATTGCCTACATCGTCGCAACCGCCTCCTATGCCTTTGTCATGTCCGCCATCATCGCCTATGGCATCAACGCCATCCCCGGTCTCAACCTGCGCGCCAGCGAGGAAGCCGAACTCCTCGGTATGGACGACGACCAGCTGGGCGAGTTCGCCTACGACTACGTCGAGGTCCGTCGCGACTACCTCGCCTGGACCCCTCAGAACCACGACCAGCTCGAAGACGGCCACCAGATCCCCGCCGCCCAGCGCTACGGTATTGGCGAGCACAGTGAGATGATGCTCGGTAGCCCCCCGCGCGAGATGATGCTCAATGGACACTCGCCTAACGGTGAGATCTCTCACAGCAGCCACGGCGGCAGTGAGGGTGACATGGCCATGCATGAAGTCAAGATTGCGCCCGCTCCTCGCCAAGTCGCTGAGCAGCATCCTCCTGACACGAACCCAACTGGCGAAGTGCCGGTGTTGAGGCCTGTTGATGAGAAGACTGAGAACTAATCTCTTCATCGCATTCCGTCTTGGCTTTCCAATTCGCCACCATTCAGCAACTTTTGTTTTGTTCGCCTCTTTATTCGATATCCCTTGAGCGTGTTTCTTTCTGCGATTAAAAGCCTGGGGCTTTTTTCATCTCAATTATTCTGGTTTTATCCCTCGACACTACATCTTACCATCTCTTTACCTCGGGCCTCACCTCTTTTCATCCGTTCCTACCTCACACTACCATCTTATCCCTACAACATGCACTACTACAACATACCATACTCCCATCCGCGAATACACCTGCTTCCTTGGGAAAAGCAACTCGATTTTTGGCTTTTGATTTTTGGTTTAATGGGCCTGGCGTTTTATCGTTGGGCTTTGGGATATTAAACTAGGTTGGATCTGTACATAAACTGCGACTTTTTGTAAGCGTGAGCTTACGATATTATTTATCATTTACACTACACTTCTTCTCTTCTGTAAATTCCAAGTTACAACTTTACGTGTACAAGTTTTGCTCTCACATATCAATGGAAAGAGTGTTGTAGATATCATTGTGAAGAAGAATACATGGCACGGATGCATGGCACACAGCCGAGCTCACATTCTACGATGAATACGTCTACACACACAATTTACTAACGCCCGGCGGCTAAGCCAAAGGGCATCCATCACTAATTACAGACGTTCTTTTGGCACAGTTGTGCAATCATTGATAATTGGAGCAGCAGTAAATTAATATTCGTATCAAGCCTATCTATTGTACAGAAAGCAAATCATTGCACCGCTTCGATTCCAAGCCACATGAGCCTCGCAGAAAGGCCCGTCACGTTTATGCCACGGCGGCGATGTTATTGTCGATGAAACGATCCGCCTCTCTCTTCAGCATCAAGATACAACTCGCCACACAGAAAGCCTCTACACCCTCAGCGCCGGCATGCTTCTCATCCTCCCACATGCGCAGATCCATCACCAAGCGACCGCCATTACCGCCGGAGTACCTGACCGAGCCGGGGGTGCGGAATTGGTCGTTTCGAATCAGCTGAGCGATTCTGGCGCCGCTCTTGGTCTTGGTGCCGTCCGGTAGTACGCTGCGATCCATGCGCTCCAGAATAAGAAGCGAATCTGCGTTCCATGCTTTTCTTTCTTCCCGACTACCGTAGCGCCACTCGAATTTGCCAAGCGACGTGTCGAACACCTGCGCACGGCTAATCATTGACCGGCTTTTGACGTCGACCAATTCTCCCCTCAACGTATCGTCGTCTATGGCCTGCTCAACCGAAACGCTGGCGTCGCGGGGTAGGATGCGCATTCTGGGGTGTCTTCCCGGGCCCCAACGATAAACGGTTGAAACGAGAGCATTCTGACGTGGATCGGATGGGCGCACCAACGCGCACGAGTTGGAACTGCGCTTGAGGCGGATAGAGGTGTACTTTTCCTGCATGGGGGCTCCGGATTCCACGCCGTAGACGGAAATGTTCTCCAGCGTTTTACTGCCGCTGAGGGCCTGGTTGGTGCTGTATCCAATGGCTTCTACCTGAAGCTCGCTGGTGGCGAGAAAGCCGTCGGGGAAGGAGGATTGGCTGCTCGCGTAGTCGGATGCAACAACCTCCTGGTACTCGGGGGAGACTGGGACGTCCAGTCACCGGTTGCCTTGGAAGGGCTCGCCCTTGCCTTTCGTGAACATGTCAATATATCCATTGTGTTTGGTTCTTGACGTTTGGAGTTTGGATGGTTGAATATTGAGGTGTGTCGCGGAATAAAAGCCTGGTAAAAGAGCCAGTGCGACTTTGGAGGAAGTGCCACTTGAATGTGCGAATTTCCCTGCACTGATATATGTCCACAGATATATGCATGTATGTGTGTATTTTTGCGACGCTCAAGATGATGGCATGTTTCGTGCTGCGTTGAGTGAGCTGCTGCGCCATGTCGCGGTGACCATTGATAGGGTTCAGTGGCGCCAGAGGCGGGAAAGCGACCACTCACGTCTTGCATACGCTACTTGAATGTAGTTAGCTCAGAGCCCCTGTTGCTGCGGACTGCCAGGGGGCTTAGCCGTGTGTCGGAAAGGCACCTCGACTCTTGCTGCAACTTTCCCTAAAAGGGTATCATCTGGCGCTCAAGGGATCTGCGGCTGTGTCGCCGATCGAGGCAATGCTGTGCCAGCATCGGGCCCACAGAAGCTTCAATCGAAGACTGGTGAATAGCCCTAAGCACCGCCGCGCTGCGCATACGAACCGGCGAGCACAGAGGCGCTACGTAGTACATTAATCGCGGGAGCTAATTGTCCATCTCCAGTGAGACCCAGTCTCTCTTCAACTGATCACGGTTCACTATGCAGTCGGCAATTGCGTCTAATTTTGATACGTGATGAGACAATAAACAATAGCAATACAACGCATAGAACCATATGACTCTCTCACTCCAAGGACTAAATCACCTCCTTACCATCCCTCTCACTCTCACTCTCTCTTCAGCCCCAAGCTTGTCAACCACCTCGGCAGCCTCGCCACCTCGCAGAACCTCATCCCACTCATCCTCATCCATACTCATAACAAGGGTCATTTGCACACAACGAGCAAAGACCTCACGATGGCGATACCGTCCCGGCGCACCGGCAACATATCCCACATCAACAGCAGCACTAACCAGACCGGCGATATCACGCTCAAGTCTTGCCGCGCCCAGGGGATTGATCCTCGAATGGTAAGAGTATAACCTCTTCTCGAGGAGGCGGGCTAGATATGCGATGGTAACTACTAGTACGCGGTCAAAGGCCGTGGGGGTCAGGATACGGGCTAGTGGGACCAGCAGGTCAGACCAGGAAGCTGTGAAGCGGGGCTTGACTATTTCCTTCGAGGAAGAACCATCGTCCATGTGGGTATGGGATGAAGGATCGTTGTCTGGGGTTGGGTGGTATTCAATGTCGCGGAACGCATCTGCCAGAATTGGGCGGAGACGAGGTTTGATGACATTGTTGAAGATTACTTGGATGCCGTCATTGAGGAGGTCTGTGACTTTGCTTTCGAAGGACTGTGCGAGGGAGTGGAGGGTTCCGGCGACGCGGGTGGCAGACGAGCGAGCCGGGAAGATCGACAGGAGGTGGTCGGTTGCGAGGGTGGACCTGTCGATTGTGTCGAGTTCGGTGTAGACTGGGAGTTGTTTTGAGCCCGTGTTGTTTTGCACAATGCGGCGGATGTAGTCCACTCCCAGGTCGAGGTTGTTGATTTGGACGAGGAACGAGATGATGATTTGTTCCGGGGGACTGCCACCGTGGGCTGGGGCACGAGGATAGCATTCGTCGCGCATTTTACGCTGGGTCATGCCAATGAAGTCGGAGCCGAGGACGCGTGATAGAGTTGGGATGACGTTTGTCACGACTGCTTCTTGCGAGGTGGAGATGGATTGCTGGATGACCTTGTTGACAATGTACATGATGTCGTCGACAGCCGAGGTGATGTGTGGCGGATCTGCCTTGAGGGGACGCTGGGGATTCAAGGTAAGGCCTGAAGGGGACTCGTCCAGCTGGAAGGCCTTCTCCACAGACCGGCGGAAGAAGAAGGTTGTCATTGCGTTGAAGGGAGCCACCAGGCGGTCGTTGACCTTGTGCGCCAGAGGTGATTCTCGCAAGAAGTCAGGCAGAGTGAATCTGTTTTCGTCATTTTCATCCTCCATATCCGTAGTCTAAAACTGTCAGTGATGATTTTATATCCAAAGGTAACAGCACGTACATTGCACTTATCAGCCAGGAACCGACAGTAGAGTGACCACCGGCTCAGCATGATCCCCATTTCGTTCAAAACCCCGTCGATCTCTTTCATGTCTACTCCCTCTTCTTCTGCAGCAGTCGCCTGGGCCGGTGAGCTTGGGTGAGGGGGGGCCAGGACGCTGTGCGGGCAGGAAGCTCTGAACCAAGAAAGTGAAAGCGTAGGATTTGATGTCCATCAGCTTGCGGTCGATATGGCGTTCATCGCCCCAAGTGTCAAGGATGATACCACCTTGAACATCAGCCTCGATCTGCAGCCGTTCAATGACCCGTCCCATCTTGTGTGGACCGTAGTGATGCTCGACGAGTCCACCGTGACCCTCAACAATCTGAGCGATATGCTCAAACAGCCGAGAGAAAGCATTGGCATAGAAGAATCCATCCTTAGTCTGAACACCTCCAGTAGCTCCATTGAGATTGGCCCGAGCCTTGGCCGCCACACCCTGGCAAACATAGCGACCATAGACATCAAGTCCAACCTCCGAACGGCCAATAAGAGGGAACAGCTTAAAGAAACGAGTAATCTTGGCACTGTCATTCTCCTTGACAGCCTTCTCAAACTCACGCAGGAACAGCCCACACAGCGACTCGGCAGCATTATCCAGCGTGACACTCGGTGGGTCAGGCACCTCGGCTGTAGGAACCATCTCCGCAGCAAAAGCACCATTGACGACCTCAGCTGGAATCTGCGCAGCGCGGTGTAGATAACTGGCAGCTTTCTCCCAGTCCTGAGGCGCACCCATAGACCCAGCCACACCCAACGCACAAGCCTTGAGCTCGGCAACCTGCTCAACAACCTCCAGTGTAGCCTTAACCCGAGCTTGTTCAAGATCCAATCGGCGGACAGCGCTGGAGATGCGGTCGGCGGTACCAGCGGCTTCGGAGAGCATCCCATGGCTAATGGACCGGGTAGTACTGGCATGTGTACCGATATTGGCGCGCATTAGATCCAGCCGGCCCAATTCCCGGGAGAGATCTTTCTGCGATGTGACCAGGGCATCGAGGCGGGCTGTCACGGAGGCTTCCTGGGTGTGGAGGTGGGACAATGTGGCTTTGATTTCGGCGACGGAGCTGGCGTTGAAGATGTCGGGGGCAGTTGAGGCGTCTGTCGATGAGACAGGACTCAATGGCGGGCGATGCCCGTTGGTAGCAGCCATGCTGGGCATACCCAAGGGTAGCTTGTTGATGCCAAATACGCCAGACGTAGGGGCTCCGCGGGCGGTGAGCGGAATATCAAGTGTGACAAAGAAGAGAGATGAGAACGTTCTTGACTTGATCTCTTTCCGCTCTCTGTTTCTTTTGTTTCTTTGTCTTTGTCTCTTTAGTTTGCCTATTTCTCTTTGTTTTCTAATTCGGCGAATCAACACGACTTCATTTCGTTTCCCCCCACGCTCTATCAGTTTCACTTTTTTTTTTTTTTTTTTGTGAAGCTCTTGTCTTTTGAACATCCCCATTTCTCGGAGGCAGAGACCGAGACATATCTGTCCTTCATCCTATCATCATTGGACGCCGCAGAAACCGCTAACCCCGGTGCTTTGCGATGGGCAACGAAGAGTCGACCATGGATGCTTCGACTTCCCCCTCTGTTCTAGAGGCGCGCACAGTTGAGGCTGTGGTCAAATACGTCAAGGAGCACGATGTGAAGCGTGTTGTGGTGATGGCAAGTGCTGAATATCTGATGCCACTGCAAAGCTAACAATGCACAGGTTGGAGCGGGCATCAGTACCTCAGCAGGCATCCCGGATTTCCGCTCTCCGGATACTGGAATCTATGCCAACCTGGCTTTCCTGGACCTACCAGAGCCCGAGGATGTCTTTGACATCAGCTTTTTCAGGGAAAACCCCAAGCCATTCTACGCCTTGGCGCAGGAGCTGTACCCTGGTCGCTTTCGCCCAACCATCGCTCACTCTTTTATTAAGCTGCTCTACGACAAGGGCATCTTATTGAAGCATTTTAGCCAGAACATTGACTGCCTTGAACGCCAGGCTGGTGTTCCAGGCGATGTGATCATCGAGGCCCACGGCAGTTTCGCGTCACAGCGCTGCATTGACTGCAAGGAGCCATACCCCGACGCTGATATGCACGAGAAAGTCTCCAAGCAAGAGGTCGCACACTGCGCTTCCTGCAACGGCCTTGTCAAACCCGACATCGTGTTCTTCGGCGAAGCTCTACCCCGGGCTTTCTTTGATCATGCCGATAAGGTTAAGGAAGCCGATCTTTGCATTGTCATGGGAACCAGCTTGTCTGTTCACCCATTTGCCAGTCTCCCCGGACTGTGCACGGATAACACACCTCGCGTGCTGATCAATATGGAGCAGGTGGGCGGCCTCGGCTCACGAAAGGATGATGTATTACTCCTCGGTGACTGTGATACTGGCGTTCGCAAGCTTGCCAAAGCCCTGGGGTGGGAAGAAGAGTTGGAGACTCTGTGGGAGGGGACCAAGCTCGAAGTCGAGGAAGAGCAGACTATTCCCCAGACGCGGGACGAGCGCCTGCAGGACGAAGTGGATCGGCTGACAGAAGAAGTTGACCGAACTCTGGGGTTGACTGATGCATATCAGAGCAAAGTCCGTGAGAGGCTGGAATCACACGACGCACACCGCCAGTCGGGCCTCGCACATGTATTTCCCCATTTGGCTTGAGACTTACGATTTGATGATTGATGAGGACGGAGTTTGAATAGAGTATTCCAATATCACCAATACCACCACTACTATCAATACTACAACTGTTGTCTGTTGACTGGTGACTATAAAGTGGGTTATGCAAGCCACGCCAAGACATATCCTGTTTGGCGATCATTTGAAGTCATAGACAGGTCAATACGCCAATATTGCCAATTTTGGCTGGCTTGGGGAAATTTGTCATTGTAATTCAGCCAGAAAGATACATAGTCCATTTTCCGTCGACTCAGCTCGTATAAATAACCCGAGAATACCCCAATTGCAAGTGAAACGGTGAATTGACTTTGTTTCGCCCACCGCAGCCAAATCAAGCAAGGCTCACCTTGCCCCACGTCCGTCATCACCCCTCAGGACTCTTTTCTTCTTCCTTCTTACTTCCTCTCATCTTCTAAGATTTCTATACAATTCACCATGGTTGGACTCGGACCTAAACAGCCACCCTCCCGCAAGGGTGAGGCTCTCTCCATCCCTGTGCCTATCGTGTACTAATTATGTGGTACAGGGTCCATGCAGGAGCTGCCCCAGAACCTTCTGGGGCCCATCAAGGACTTCGAGAAGGCCTTTACTGTCGATACTGCCAAGCTGAAGGAGGTTGTGAACCACTTCGTCAAGGAGCTCGAGAAGGGTGAGCTGATCCGCAGCTCCCGGCCAACGTCATAGCTAACAATCGCAGGTCTGACCGTTGAGGGCGGCAACATTGTGAGACGATACCCCCCCCCCCGAAATCATGAATTCAGACTAACTAGTTAGCCCATGAATGTCACCTGGGTTATGGGCTTCCCCGACGGCGAAGAGCAAGGCACCTACCTCGCCCTCGACATGGGCGGCACCAACCTCCGTGTTTGCGAGATTACCCTAACCAAGGAGAAGGGCGCCTTCGATATCACACAATCCAAGTACAAGATGCCCGAGGAGCTCCGTACCGGTACCGCTGAGGAGTTGTGGGAATACATCGCCGACTGCTTGCAACAGTTCATCGAGACCCACCACGGTGGTCAGGAGCTCGCCAAGCTACCTCTCGGTTTCACCTTCTCCTACCCTGCCACCCAGGAGTACGTCGACCACGGTATCCTGCAGCGCTGGACCAAGGGCTTCGACATTGATGGCGTTGAGGGTCAGGATGTTGTTCCTCCTCTCGAGGCCATCCTCAAGAAGCGCGTATGTATCCCATCTCTCATCATGGTGCATAGATAGAGCTAACCGCTTACAGGGTCTCCCCATTAAAGTTGCTGCCCTCATCAACGACACCACCGGTACTCTCATTGCCTCTGCCTACACTGATACCGACATGAAGATTGGTTGCATCTTCGGTACCGGAGTCAACGCCGCCTACATGGAGAACGTTGGCTCCGTGCCCAAGCTCGCCCACATGAACCTCCCCGCCGACATGCCCATAGCTATCAACTGCGAGTACGGCGCCTTCGACAACGAGCACGTCGTCCTCCCTCTGACTAAGTACGATGAGATCATCGACCGCGACTCTCCCCGTCCCGGCCAGCAAGCCTTCGAGAAGATGACCGCCGGTCTCTACCTCGGTGAGATCTTCCGTCTTTCCCTGGTCGACCTCCTCGACAGCCACCCCGGCCTCATCTTTAACAACCAGGATGTCTCCAAGTTGCGCAAGCCCTACCTCTTGGACGCCTCCTTCCTCGCCGCCATCGAGGAGGACCCTTATGAGAACTTGTCCGAGACCCTGGACCTCTTCGAGCGCACCCTCAACATCCGCCCCACCGTCCCCGAGCTGGAGATGCTCCGCCGTCTCGCTGAGCTGATCGGTACCCGTGCTGCCCGCCTGTCCGCTTGCGGTGTCGCTGCCATCTGCACCAAGAAGAACATCGACTCCTGCCACGTCGGTGCCGACGGCTCCGTCTTCACCAAGTACCCCCATTTCAAGGCCCGCGGTGCCCAGGCTCTGCGCGAGATCCTCAACTGGGCTCCTAACGAGAAGGACAAGGTCGACATCCTGGCCGCCGAGGATGGTTCCGGTGTCGGTGCCGCCCTGATTGCCGCTTTGACCCTCAAGCGCGTCAAGGCCGGCAACCTGGCTGGTATTCGTAACATGGAAGACATGAAGACCCTGCTTTAAGCGGGTGTAATGTTTTTTTTTGGTTCCACCCCTGAAATCTCTTGCGATAAATGACTCCCTATTGGGATGGAGTATTTTTTTTTTTTGAACGTTTGTTATGCCACTGGATGGGGTTTTGATGGATTATGATTATCGCTTGTTGGCCTTGGTCAATAGAATATAGGTGTGTTGGTGGTACCTATCAGTACATACCGAAACAATAAATGCACCTACGGGCTACTATCCCCTAGAAATACTCTTGAAGAGACAGGTAATGTTGGAACTAGAAGATATTGTCCCATGAACCATGTTTTCACCTTTTAACAAGCAGAACTGTCTCAATAGACTCGATAGAACTAAGAGATTACCAGCTTAGATTTTACACTATTCTCTACTATCATTTGTGAGAATATAAGAATCAACGCATTCGGCAGAAAACTCATCACCAACAAAATGCAAGACATGAAAGCCCTGCTCCATTAAATTCCCGAATCCTCCTGATCAATATTGTAAGTGGCATCATAAGTCTTCCACGCCGCACAATGTTCCCGCAAGGCATCAAAACCAATCAAAGGTTCAATCTCCTCCTCCCTTTCCAGGAACTGCAACGCAAAGCCCTCATCAGTATGCCACCCATTATGACAATGCATCAACCAAGCCCCAGGATTATCCGTCTCAAACCCAATAAGCAAATAGCCATTACCAAACAGCAAAGCCGTATCTCTCCGTGGGGGATTGTTAGTATTCACACTCCCATCCCACGGATTGGAACCCTGCGCCAAAACAAAGAAATCATGCCCATGCAAATGTATCGGATGCGTAACGGGAATCGAAGTATTGATCATGAGATATACCCATTCATGGGCAACAGGCAGGGTGATCAACCCACTCGACTCACTGTAGTCAGTCTGGTTATTGAAAACCTGCAGCAGGGTTGGGTCTTCCCAAAAGACTTGCATCGTCGTGCTGTTGAGGTACCAGCGGAAGAGGTTCGCCGAGTTACGGCCTACCGTGACATCTGTCATGTTGCTCCAGTCTGCAGCTGAAACGGTCTTGGACACATAGGGGACTAGGTTGGCGGCGGACTCGTCCAAGCAGCCGTCGTCGAAGTTCCAGGCGTTTGTTGTTGGTTCTTTGGCTTTTTTGTTGTAGTGCATAATTCCTCTGATGTTGTCTGGGTTGGCATTTTCTGAGCATGCTTCTTGGGGGATTGCGCGCATCCAGAATGATTCGGCGACTTTGCGTTGGTTTGCTGTTACAATTACGTCGTAACGTTGGCCTGGAGGGGCTTAGTAAATTGTCAAGTAGAAATGCCGGTGAGGCAGAAGAGACTTACCCATTCCGATGTCGATGTAGTTGGTGGTGAATGGGTTGATAGGCACAAAGTCGGCCGAAATGACAGTCAAAGTATGATTGTCAACCATAAATTTCCAGTGCGTGTCAACAGCAGAATTGACAATTCTGAGTCTGTACGAAGAGCCCCTCTCAACTCTCATTGTAAAGCGCTCACCAGTTGCAGTGGAACCATTGCCATAGACATTAGTCCCGTTAAGCAGGCCAGTATCCAAAATTGGCGGACCAACAGCCTGAGCATACGAGTAAAGCTCATCAACAGTGCGATGAGACCAATCCGTCAAGAACAAATTGCCCATATCCACATCATAATTAGCCGTAGCAGGCCCATTGATCACAATACCACCAAAGACACCCTCCCAAGCCTGAAGACCAATATGAGAATGATACCAAGAAGAGCCATACTGCACAGCCTGCCATTTATAGGTCATAGTATCACCAGGAGCAGTGGGACACTGGGTAATAGACACAACACCGTCCTGACCATTGGTATAGTTCTGACGAATACCATGCCAGTGAATACTGGTTCCATTCATGGATGTGTGCAAGTTATTAGTGACATGCACGACGACCCAATCGCCCCAATCTGCGATGATTGTCGGGCCTGGAATTGACCCGTTGATGGCCATTACTGGACGGCTGAAGCCATCTGGCGCGGCGGTCAGATCGTCCAGTGTCAGCCAGTACTCACGGGTTACGCCTGTATCTGGCACGACCTCGGTGTAGTCGGTGCTGATGTCATGCTTGCACCATTTGGATCTGTTGCTGGCTTTGTTGCCGGCACAGGGTGCTCCTGTTGGCTTGCTAACCTTGGTGGTTGTGGTTGTGGTTGTGGTTTTGGTCTTGGTGCTTGTGCTTGTAGTTGTGGTAGTTGTCTTTGCCTTGGTTATCTTGGTCATAGCTGTGGTGGTTGTTGTCTTGTGGTTTGCAACTGCGGCTGCATGTTGCTCAACAGAGATGGTGGCAGCAGCAGCTGTCAAACCAAATGCAACGAAAAGAAGGGGTTGGAGCTTCATGGTTGCTGTATACACCCAATTGGGGTATGACACACTATTATTGTTTGAACAGAAAAGAATGAGATGTATATAAACTCAATGCATATAGCAAAGGCAGACGAAGCAAAATGACTCCACGATATACTAGGAAACGACGGAAGCTTGGTGACAAGAGGCCAAGAACTATATCCCGTAGTTAAGCCATGTGGTTATATGTAAGACTCTCTCAGCACCGCACAGGTGGAAAATCATGCCAAGGGTAAAGGTCCGTCTTCCAATTTCACAAGGTGACCTCCATCTGGAGCTCGCTAGGATATGCCGGTCAGCCCTACTGGCATGGCCAAGATAGACAAGATGTCAAGCTACAGATGCCGAGCCAACGGAGGAATTGCGATGATAGGCCACAAGTTCCAGCCCGAATCCCAATCTATGTGTCTATACTACTGCAACTAAAGAGCACCGTTTCCAGCTAGTATTGCGGCGACCCAGTCAAGGATGGGACGATAGTCGGCTCCGAATGCTTCTCAATTGTCGGATTGGAGAAGTTGCAGCAGCGCTTATGGTACCACCCGGGCTTTGACTCCTCGTATATGAGTAGACTGCATCTCATATTCGTATCAGTAGAGCTAGAAGTGGTGGCAGTCTCCAACAGTGAAACTAGGGCTGAGTCTGATAGTGCCGAGAAAACACGAGTGGACCAATAGCGCAGATTTGATATTGCCAGAAGCGTACTTCTCCTCGCTCAAAATTGGTCAGATTGACTTCTATAGTTTGCATTATGGTTATCTCCCCGAGTGGCCGCCGCGCCCGCTTCGTGTTGGGGTACCTTTGCAGACTCTCTTTATACGAGCTGCAGCAAGCCTACGACGTGTAAGGTACAGGAGCTGAAGGGCCTTACTGAAACCCGCATAATTCTCCTTGCTGGGTCAGGTGCGCATACAGAATTCGGATAATGTTGCGAGTCAACGCTGACGCAGAACATGCATTATGGGATTGCATCTGACTTTGGGGGTGCTTTGTGGGTTGCTTTCAGAGTGGAATAGTCGGGATTTGAACATTGACATGATAAGAACAGCCAGGGCACCTCTGATATGATCAGGGGTGATTACATTTACTATGTGATATCTTGGCGACGGTTCGCATAATTTGGGTAGTAGGTCAACTTGTTCCAGTCCAGATCTAAAATGGGGCTTAGATCGCGTGGAAAAAGGAAGCAATTTAGCAGAAGCGAAACACGATTTCATTGGAGAGGTCACTTGAGCGCTCAATGTCTGCCTATCTACATTCATTTATATCTCTTTTGCTATACCACGGGCATTCCCTCATACTCGATCTATAAGTCTTGCAGCGCATAAACCCCTGAAGAATTGCTATATCTCTACTCTGTTTTGTATCATTTTCCATTTGCAAAATGCCCTTACTCTCTATTCTTTGTCTCTTTCTAGCCTCCGCGATGGTCTGCGTTACACAACCGCTAGAGGTGCGACAATCGACTAGTTCCTTCGGTCTGTATGCGTACGGCGAAGGCATCAGCGGATTGCCGGTTTACTACAAAGATGGTAGCTTATGCCTTTTGTTCCAGCTTATCTTCATGACTCAGGAGCTGTCTGATTCTTGATCTTTTCACAGGTACTGCTCAGGTTGTGGATTCATCCAAGGTCGACACATCTGCATTGACCCAGGTCTACTGTAAGCCCAACTTCTTCCCCTCACATGAAAAATCCAGAAGATCATAATGGTAATTTCATACTTTCATAGTCACCGCTTCCGACAGTTCTTCGAGTACCTGGGTAGCACATCCTGGTTCCAGTGACACTACCGCCGTCGCCAGCTCTGCCCCCTTCACGACCAACTTGATCTACCTCGCTCAAGGCTTAACGGCAAACCCGGTCAGATTCACTGGAACATCCGAGTCTGCACAGTCAGGTAAGCTCACTGACGTGTGGTCTCTGTACGGCAATTATGTCCTCGTCAGAGTAAGTGGGGCCAACTTCTACGCCAAATCGACCGGCACGGACGGCTTATATTCCCTGCTCTGGAGTACTTCGGCGGAAGCTATGTCAGACACTATCTCGCTGACTCTGCGGACTATCGAGCCGGCGACACAGTCCGTGCTGAGCTGAGCGAGTACGGGCGGGAAGGATTTGGGCGAGATGTGCTGACGAGCCGAGTCGAGTTTTGCAGTAGCTTGATCTTGTATGTATGTGCTGGTAAAGAGGCTCGGCTCGATCTACCTTAATTTGGGTTCGATAAGAATGTTCCGCATGTGGTAACTCGTTCCTGTTGTATCCTTCCCTGTTGGGCATCCTGCTAATATTGATTCTTGAGGCATTGATATGATGATTGAGGATTTTGCAAGACTTTCTTCTGCTTTTCATTCCCTTATCTCATTTTCTCTATTTTGGTTCGTCTCAATCGCATTGCTATTCATTTTATGTTTAGTCTTGAGCCAAGCAAGCAAAGCATTGTAAGTCTTACGTATGCCTGCATGGTTAGTATATCTCACATGAAGGATCCTTAATCAAATTGTCCGGCGAAGATTCAAATTTCTCTACAATTCTTGAGTGATAGCCAACATATGTCAACTCCGAAGTTCGGCTTGGTCTTTTCTGCAAGTGGGGCCACGAATCTGAGGGGGGCCAGATCTGGCTTAGCGTTGAGATCTAGGCCGCGATCAATGAACCATGGTTTAGCCGAGATCCTAAAGTATGTATCAACGTCCCGAGGCAAGTACATACTCATTGGTTTGCCTCATAGTTCCGACCCAATGGAGCTAGCGAAGTGGAAATAACTGCATAATCATAATGGCACTCCAATCACTTTGCCAATGAAGTAAGTTGTATAGCCAGACATGGCCTTTTACGAGCACACCACACCTCCGCCGGTCAAAACACCATCGAAAGTTGATAGGGCAGATATTCAATGGAAGCTCGAGCCCCTGCGGGATTGGACCATCTTCTTCGGACAGATATACCGAGCCTATGCCAGGACGCCGGTGGACGAATAGGTCCGAAAGGACCTAGAGGGCGGCAAGCTATCTGGACCAACGGCCCATCTACACCGGTATATGTTGAGTATGTCAAAGTCGAGCAGGGCCCAAAGATGTTACTATGTTACTATATTCATAGGTCACAAGTCCTTTAGCTACCCCACCTTCATGTGATCTGGATTGTCAATTGTCGTCAGGAAAGAGGGGGAGTAACAAAGTAGATTGAACACAATGCATGAGACGATATGCTTGTTTCGAGGATTTCGTGTAGAGCTTTTCCAATACTTCGTAGTACTGCGTATGAATTGTCACCCTCACCATCCAAAAAATGTGAATTAGGCCAGGAAGGCACAATCTAATGTCTAAGTAATATTTCCAACAATAGATGCCATTAGTAGATAGTTTTCTGAATAGAAAGCTCAACATCAAAATTGCTACAAAACTAGATTCGGTATAGTATATTCGTGAGAGAAAATGAAGATTATATCAAACAAATGAAGCACAGGTAAAGCAGGAAACGCCTGATGGTTATACGCAACGCAACCTAAGGCGAAAAAAGGAATGCCCAACACCCATTAGCAAGCAAAGTGTTGGTTGTGGAGTGGCACCAGGAAAGGAAACACAGAATCCAGAGAAGATGGAATAGAATAAGGAATGCACTAGACCAGAGTGAAAAAAAAGAAGCTGGAATCACACAGCAAGGCGAAAAGCCAGATCAAACAAGGAAAATAAACCTGATGCAAAGAGCATTGATATCAAAAGCCAAACTCCCCAAGTCTCCGAGACTCAGAAAACGCCAAACTCAAATAACATGAAAAAATTACCATTGAAAACACCGAATCTCCTTCCCAATCCTTGGTAAACTGATACCCCTAGTAATCCATTGCCTTGACCGAAAAGAAAAAAAAGAAAAGAAAAAGAAAAAAAAAAAATAAGATAAACAGGAAAACATCCCCTGCTTCCTGTCTCCTGTACCAGAACACAAAAGTGAGTCCCGCTAGCAATAGATCCCTGTTGACTTATTGACTCAAACGCGTGTCGATCGTTTCCGCAGACCAAATTCCTGCTCCTGAAGCTCTCGGATTAAACGGAGACTTTCCTCGTCTGCGTCTTCATCTCCGGTAATATGCTGGATATGCTTGTGCTGACGAGGGGACAGTGAGGTGGGGGCGTGGCGATTGAAATGTTTTTCGTACATTGGAGAGCTCTTCTTCGCATGAGAGGAAGAAGGGCGCGATGAAGGCTTTCTTGCCGACTGTGGAGGGGCAGGGGTTGTCTTGCGTACGCCAATTGTGGAAGATGTTGCTCGCCGGACGGGTTTGGAAACCCGAGAGGCAGTATTGTCAGGCGCATATCGATCAACGTGTCGAGGCTGGCGAGAGGAATGCCGAGAGCTGGAATTTGGTGTGTGAAGCGCAGTTGACGTCTCACCTTCCACGGACTGAACGGCATCCCCCTCTTGAATCACATCCATTTCATCGACCAGCGACGTAGGCGGCGAGACCAATGACGTGGCTGGCTTGGACGACGAAACCGAAATGGAGTTCAGGTCCTTTGTGTCCCCAGAGTCGGGCTGGAAAGCAGGCGGTGATGCATACAAAGCCTCACCTTGAGAGACATCGTCTGACTTGAATTGAGGATTGCTGGGGTTGGCGTGGTTGACTGGTTCCTCATCATAAGCATCTGTGAACTCCGGTTGCCTTATGGATTCTCCATCATGATGATTGTAGAAGACAGCTGGCCGTGCCATAGGGGATGTGCTCTCCTGCTTTGTTTTCTTGGCTGATGCAGGTACTCCATCATCTTCAGCAGGACGTGCTCGCTTTGCGGAAGCATTCGCACGAGGCTTGGAACGCTCTTGGGCCTTGATAGGATCTATGCGACCATATTCATCATGAATGCAACGACGCTAGTCTCATGTTAGCAGCTGAAATCGGAACAAAAGAAGACCTCGGTATACGCGAGGAACCACATACCTTGCTCTTCCGACAATCATCACATGCTTTGCTACGGCCCTTCTTTCCACCGGCTCCATCAGGACTCAAATCCATGAGCCGGTTGGCAGCAGCCGTGGAGTTACTCATTACCGCAGATTGGAATCTGGCAGAGTTCTCGAATCGATCCATGTCAACAAGATGATTATTGCTCTGAAATCCAGTCTGGGATGCAATCGCTGCTAGAGAGTTCAATGCAGAGACAGCATCCTGAGCAAGAGAAGATGGCGTGCTCACCCCAGAGCCAGGTGTAAACGTATTGACTGTGACTTGTCCATTAAGCATCATATCGCCTGGCTCATCCTTGTGACGGCATCGAATCCGTCGCTTGCGACATGCATCACAAGCAACACGCTTTGGACCAAGACCAGAGCCTCGTTGCACCGCCCGGGTTTTGGGAGTAGCAAGCTCTTTCATAGTAATATCTGGAGCATGATTGAACGGCGCCGGTGTTGAGCTCTCGTCTGACGGCCCATCCGATGGCACATAGAGACCACTGCTGGATGCGGGATTTGGAGCCACGGAGACCTCATCCGAGGGCCACTGGACCGCTTGTCTTTCAGCATAGGTGCGTTGATTGTCCATGTTGCGATCAGATCGGCGGCTGGGTCGACCTGCCGGCTTCTTCTCCGTAACTAAGACCTTGGGATTGCTTTCAATGACACCAGGCCTAGTCCAGAGGGGTGCTTTCTCGTTACCACGCTTCCATGCCACCCACATTCCGAAATGTCTGATAACATCCACGGGATCTCCGACAACCTTTGGAATAGAACGTCGGACCGCATTGCGAGCATCAACGGTGACTCCTCCATCGACAGTATAGCCGCCTGCAATGAGCGCAGTCCGCAGCAGATACCGAGTCAGCTCAGGTAGACCTTCCAATTCGGCTTGCGAATAGAAACGGGCATTGTGATGGGAAGAGCCACGAGGTTCCTGGTTGGCACGCTCTCCGAATTCGTAGTAAATTGGATGTTGGCGGTGAAACCGATAGTGCTCATCTTGGATAAAAGAGTTCACCACATGTTGTGGAATAGGGTCATCTTCCAGGTACTTCAGAGCCGTATACCACTGGATCTTTTGGAAAAAGGGGTATCGGAATTTCCTGGGCACTTTCGTGTCCTTTTCGATACCAAGAATCTTAATTTGCATCCCGTAATTCAGTCTGGTCAAAAAATTCCCACCGATGACCAAGCTATTTTCAGGAGTCCAAACTGCGTGAATCCAGCCTGACGGAATCAACATGGTGTCTCCTTCCGACAGATCCACGCGGTAGCACTCCTTGGTTTGATTGCCAAGGAAGATCGAATCTTGGGCGGGAGAGTTGCACCACTCTTCATATTTCTTGAGGTGTTTGTCTTTAGGAGGAATGAAGAAGAAAGTCTTCTTGCCCTTCAAGATATGATAGTAGACTGAAGATCCACCGAAGTCGATGTGGAAGTCAGTGTAGCAGTCGGCAACAGACATCAGACAGTAGAACTGAACCTTGGGGTAGTCCCCGACGGCCTGCAGTTCCTCTGGCCATACAGAATCCTGCAGATCTAGGTCACGCACAACCTTAGGTCGCTTAATGAGTCTGCCCAATTTGCTTTGGGATACCTCGAGACTGATAACATTCCTGACAGGCTTTTCCAGCTCGGTGCTTTCGTAGTAATCGGCCCATTTCTGCATGTTCCACCTCTTGTCCTCTCCTTGTTGAGACTTGACATCGATGACCTCAACTCTCTCTTCGGGACCGTAGAGTTCGGCGACGGCACGAACAGTGAGGCCTTTGGGGATGACCATATCCAGGAGATCTTGGCCACAATCAGCTGTTTCTTGAACGTGGGTATCCTGCTCTGGGTGATTGTCGAGTAGCTCATCGAACATCTCTTGCGATGTAGCCTCTTCAACCAAAGATTCGAAGTCCGGGATTCCCGAGGAAACAGGCTCGGTGGTGTTCCAGCAAGCGGGAATCACGATTGGTTCCGTCCAACCGTTTCCTCGTTCAAAATATTCCGCAGTAACCAACTCGGGCTTCATGCGAGGGAATTTTTCTGGCTGGAAGCGAATCTTGCCTTGGCGAATTGGCTCGAGGTAGTGGTGCTCCAGTGAGTCGCTGGCCGCCTTGACAAGGCCTTGGTTGAGGCCCGCATAGTCAATGGCCGTGCGAGCCCGCGAGGACTTGCGCACGAATGTTGTTTGGCCATAAATTGAGCGGCACGGTCGACAAATAAATTTATCAACGGTACGAACTTCCCGGTCACTCTTGAAGCCAGCGCAAACAATATGGAACCATCGTTTGCATCCATCACAGCTGATCCATGTGTCTTCCTCTTGTTCTTCCGTTTCGACTGGAATACGAACCATATTACATGCAGCACAGCTTGCTTGTGTAGTTTCACCTTCCTCTTCCACTTTTGGCGGCACAGCCAATGATTTTGAAGTCTGAGGCTCAAGGACACCGGCGGGTTTAAACCCCACATGCCCAGCATGAGTTTCATCAGCTGGAGGATGCCAGTTGTTGCCTTCATTTTCATCTTCCCAGACAATAGGCGGGAGGGTACCTGCGCTGGTAGTTGGTCGAACACCTCGGATCACAGGACGGGAAATGAAGGCTGATCCGTCTGAACGTGAACGCATACGGGATGTGGGAACATGATCTTCGGTATCATCGCCTTTCAAATCACCTTGTCCCGGATATCCAACGCTAGCAAACCCCACTCGAGCTTGACGAATCGCATCGCCGTGGTGGTAGGACTCGTCAATGCTGACTCTCTTCGTCGAGTTACTCGGGTGAAAGTTTGTGGGCCGCGCAAGGTTGAGGAGAAGCTCCGCATCCGTTGTCATACTGTCAAATATGGGATGTGGGTTTTCCGAAGGCATTCCTGGTCGAGGGCGATGGGGCGAAGGATTTCTTGCCGACCGTGCACGCTTGGCCGGCCGTTCGGAGTCGGCAGATTCATGAGGAAATAGTGGCACGGCTGATCGGAAGCTGGGGGAGGGCGGATTTTGAGGGAGTGGTGCAAAGGTGGGACTCGTTGCGAGAGCGATCGTCGCAAGCGTGTCGATGGTCGAGTTTGATCGGCCGTGCCCTGTCCGAGGTTGTGAATTGTTTTCAGTGGCAGTTCGGTTGTGATTTGATGCACGCTGTTCGAAATCAAGGCTTGCGGCTCGAGGGCCACTGCGGCCGGTCAAGAAGGAATGAGATTCGGTGGTTGTGGATGGAGTGATAGGTTCAACGGCGCGTAGCGGAGGGGACGGAGTGCGGTACTGCGGCGGGCGACCGCCGATGGGGCTCGCGAAAGAGGCCGCGCTCATCATCTTTGCGGCCCAGGATTGTATCGGTCAGAGATGAGATGAAGGATTGGTGGTGCGAAAAGTTGCGCTTGCGGTAGGTGGGTGCAAAGCGGGGATGCAGACCACACGGGCTAGCGAGAGGCCGCAGAAGGGAATGTCATTCCTGGCAGAAGAACATGCGCAGGAGAGACCGATCGCGAGATGGGAGCTTGATATTGATGGCGGATTGAGGCCGGAGGAAGTGTTCGCTGAGGTCGAGTCGCGGAGCACTGCGTTGAGGGGGTTTCGAGCGGGAGGACAAAGGCGCCGAGAGTCGCGCCGCAACCTGCGGGCAGGTAGGGAGGAAGGTGAGATGAAATCCAGTAGCCAGGAATCGATTCCTGCCAACTGGATCAAAAGTAAGAAGTATGCGAATGGATAAAGCGCCAGATGAGATGAGCGCGCGGTGTTGAAGGAGGAAGCCGGAGCCGAGTAGAGTAGCAACTTTTGGTATGCACGCGGTCCGTCTCCAACGCTACATCAGCCAGTTGAGTTGTAGCTCTTAGATGAGGGTTGAAGAGATGATTAGAGAGTAGTTATTACTCTAATTACTTTTGTAACCAAGTCTACTTGCTCAAATCTCAACTTCTCCAAGCTATTGCGCTGAGAGCCTGCCAATACCGCCCGGTACTGTCACGTGCCGGATTCGGCAGCTTCCACCCGCTATATAAGTCACATGATCCGTCACGTACTGTCAGCCACAACTGCCACTAACCAGGATAAGTAAGCGCCAAGCCAAACCTCGTGGTTCGTTCTTGCGTCGCTGTCGTCTGTTCCTCTCTCTTATTCTAACACCAATCGATACCTTGCGTATCTTTTCTTTCTACTCTAATTCAACATCTATCCCACTTCTCTCTCGCCCTGAGAATGAGCCGCAAGCTCGCCCCCGAAGCCAATCGGTACGTGAGGTTACTTTTTCATGCCCCTCCCGAAGCCGGCATGCCAGACACTGCGCATGGAATAGCTGCTAACCCGAGTCTCTTCCTTAACAGGATTCTCTTCGCCAAGAACCTCAAGTACGTTTTCCGTCAATCGCCGCTTTGCTTCGGCGTGTTCCCCGAGATTTCAGCCCTACAACCTGTCATCTACAATCGTGATCAAACAGTGATAAGACTGTGATCAGTCCGTAGCAGAATCGCTAACCTTCCGCCATCAGCTACAACGTAACAGCAGAACAGCTGTTTGACCTTTTCGGCAAATTCGGGCCCATTCGGTAATACTTCCCCAATCTCGTCTCCTAGCTCCATCTAACGCTTTTCACTTGCAGCCAAATCCGCCAAGGTATCGCCAACAACTCCAAGGGCACTGCATTCGTGGTATACGAAGACGTTCACGACGCCAAACAGGCATGCGATAAGCTGAACGGCTTCAATTTCCAGAACCGTTACTTGGTTGGTACGTGTTACACATGGGTCATCCAATTATCCACGATCGCACAGAGATGACTGACTTTCGGGCTTTTAGTATTGTACCACCAGCCAGAGAAGATGCTGCGCACGAAAGAGGACCTCTCGGAGAGGCAAGATAACCTAGAACGGCTCAAACAGCAACACGGGATAGAATGATGTGACGACTTTCTTCTCATGATGCCCTGCTCGCACTTCGCTGCGCATGGTGTTGCAACGACTCTACTCGATTGCGGCTTGGTTGAGGGGTTTCCGGCGTTTTTATTCCCTGGGTTTCTTTTCTATTTTCAGAGGGTATGGTGGGAGGCGGGCTCTGGTCATGTATTAAACCAGATTGATGCGAGAAACACACCCCGCGAGATTTGATTTCTTCTCTGTTCATTCTTCTTACTTTACTATTATTCTTTCCCAATCCGACCCTCTTTGCTCTACCGGCTTCTATCAGGAGCTTCCCGGCGCGGACAGCTTACCTGGGATATGATCGACCTGTGATACGGTCAACCCCAGTCATCCTAGAAGTTTCGAGCTGTCACCGGCAGTATGAAATCTCCAAGTATGTTGGCCGTTGAGCTGTCAAATTGAGCCCTGGGCTTTGGATCTGTAAATCAGCGTCTAAATAGGTAAGGCTGGTACAGGACTGGGGCAGCAGTATCCACCCTGATACACGAGGACCCTCGAGACTCAATAAGCGATATAAAGTGAAGGCAGCACGCTTGGGGCTAAAACAGCTGCCTAAAAAGTGCATTCAAGATTGCCAAGGCTGTAAAAATAAAAGAAATATCAGCCTCATCCCGCTGCGGGGGCACCCTGCCACCGCCCCAGGGCGCAGTAACCTCAGTAACCTCACTTCACCTCATTGGAAAAGTGGTCCCTATTCTTTTTATCTTATAACTTTTTAACTTGCTACTATCTCTACCCCTTGCGCTTATACTGTCTTTTCGAGGTCATGCGTATGACGCTTAGTCGCCTCCTTTGATAAGCCTATGCGCCAGCTGGACCCTTATTCGACCCTGGTTTCCGCACATGACGCATTTCTTTTGATATCCCCCGCCATCTTCTTTTTGGCTGAATGATGGAAGACGCGACTGCTACCCTGGCTACGATAGCCACATCCACCTTGATCGCTGCTACGGCCAATCTCGCCTCTTACGGTACCGCCTCTCCGACGCCATCAGACATGCACACATTATATTATCATGGATCAACCTCGGGAGAGGATCCAGACGAGGGAGGGGGGAATGCAAGTTGCTTGGTCCGTTCTCTGTATTTGTGCAGGTTGCGCTCGGAGGACTTGCGCTATTATCTCTGGTCTTCAAGAGATGGAGAGAACGGCCCCAGCGACCACTCAAGGTGTGGGCCTTTGATGTATCAAAGCAGGTTTTCGGGTCGGTGATGCTTCACATGGCAAACCTGCTCATGTCTATGTTTTCTGCTGGCCAGCTTGAGATACAGAAGCAGTATAAGCCGAATCCCTGCTCGTTCTACCTGCTGAACCTGGGTATTGATGTGAGTCTTGATACTGCTTATCTATGAGGACCGCAGGCTAACTATGTCGACAGACTACTCTCGGTATCCCGATTCTGATTCTGATTCTCCGCGTTCTCAACTATCTCGCCTCCTACACAATACTCGCCAACCCGCCAGAATCAATAGAGTCAGGAAACTATGGTCACCCTCCGCGCGCCACATGGTGGCTCAAACAGTCCATTGTCTACTTTATGGGACTATTCGGCATGAAGATATGTGTATTCTTCATCATTCAGCTCTTGCCTTTCATCGTCAAGTTTGGCGACTGGGCGTTGCGATGGACAGAGGGAAACACAGCCGTTCAAATCTTCTTCGTGATGCTTCTTTTCCCAGTCATCATGAATGCGATTCAATACTACATCATTGACATATTCATCAAGAAACCGATCTCACATGGCATGTACACGACCGACGGCATGAGTGGAGATTCGACCGCTGCCGACGATGCTCAGCGCCGGGAGGCCCTCCTCGATGGCCTGGACGAGTCATATTCAACTGACTCAGATGACGAGTCGCCAATACTGTCTAAACCAAAGGCTACTGTGCATAGTGTGAAGGAGTCGGAGGACCAGCTTACAGAGGATCAATCATCTGTTCCTCCATATGAACCTACCAGCTCGAGTAGTAGTCGTGTCGACCCTGACTCAAAACCTAGTGTTACACACCATTGAACAGCTTGCTTGAGATGCGCCAGAGCCTTGGGGCTTGGATCTCGACTCTTAACATATCTTTGATGACTTTGAACGTGTATACGATTTGCTTCGAATACGAATTCGATTTATAGTTTCTTTCTGTATGGATTATCCCAATTAAATTTCCGGAACTACTTATCAAACCTGACCCGTATAGCTCAATTAAGAAAACAGCCAATTAAGAACTAAAAATACAATATCAGTCGACACCTGAAAGTACTCGCATTGTAACTTACTGCAGGCAGCCAAATGGAAGTACATAGACCGCCTGTTATACCGCTCTATTCTGCCACCATTGGAAAAATCAAAGAAGAAAAATATTCTAGCTCCGCCTTAGGATCGCGAACAGCATACAATTGCTTAATTGTATCCAAATATTCTCGCCTGGCCGACCCTGCAAAGACCTGCATTCAAATTGCAGTACTTTGCATACCAGCCACCATGCCTAAAACAGGGCTGAAGGAAAAGACCAAGCGGTCGACCAAGCAGGCTTCGCTCGAGACAGCCAAGTTCCGCCCGGAAGATTCAGATGTCGACATGAATGACGAAACAAGCTCTGATGAGGAGAGTGAGGCTGAGAAGGATGAGGCCGAGAAGAAGCTTGAGCGCATGCTCTTCGGTGACGATGAGGGGTTCATGGGTGCATTGAAGAACCAACAAGCCCGTGAGGCCGGCATGGCTCTTACTCTGCACAGCGACGATGAAAGTGGAGCCGATGAAGATGCTGAAGAAGACCAAGAAGCCATTGATGGAATGGCCGACTCAGACGTATGCGATTGTTCCGCTTTACCAAAGCTTTAAACTAACATCTGTTTGATCTAGCTTTTCTTCCTTGACTCCGGTGCCCCCGCCACCACAGATATCACTCCCTCCGAAACCTCTGATGCCGAAGAAGAGGATGAAGAAGAAGCCGAGGCCGCCGTGTGGTACGACAGTGACGACGACCGCCTCGCCGTATCGCTAGCAAGCCAGGCCCGCCTGCGCAAACTGCGCACCACCGAATCGGAAGATGTAGTCAGCGGCAAGGAATACATTCGACGCCTGCGCAGACAGTTCCAGCAACTGCACCCCACACCCGAGTGGGCTACCCCCGAGCTCGCATCGAAGCGCCGCAAAACCGACTCAGACCCGGAAAGCGATATGGAGTCGGACGATGACAACGAGCAGCTGTCTACGCAGCCCTTGGCCAAGATCCTCCAGAATGCCTCCGACCTAACCCGCATAGAAGACAGTGCAAAGTCAGGCAGCAAGCGCAAGTTGCGCCAGGAGGTCCTGGACATCCAGAGACTGAAGGACGTCGGCAAAGCGCAACCAGTAAGCACCTCAACCTCAAACCAACCACCAGATAAGCTAACATAAACCAGTCCTCCGTCGACTCTTTGACCTTCCACCCTCACTACCCCCTCTTGCTCTCCTCCGGACCAGCCTCAACCCTCTTCCTGCACCACATCTCCCCCTCCGCACCCGCACCAAACCCCCTCCTAACCTCCCTGCACATCAAGCGCACACCAATCCACACATCAGCCTTCGCCCCACCAACAGGCAACAAGATCTTTGCCTCTGGTCGTCGCCGCTACTTCCACATCTGGGATCTGGACACAGGAAAAGTGGACAAAGTAAATGGCTCCTCAGACCGCAAAAACGAACAAAAATCTATGGAACGTTTCAAGCTCTCGCCCTGCGGCCGGTACATCGGCCTAGTCGGCACATCCCGCAAAGGAGGCGGCCTAATCAATATCCTCGACGCAAACACAGCGCAATGGACCGCACAAGTACGGGTCGACGGCCGCGGCGGCGTAGCTGATTTCGCCTGGTGGTCCGACGGCGAGGGAATGACAGTAGCAAGCAAGAATGGAGAAGTATCAGAATGGGACGGACGACTCGGCCGGGTCGTCGCGCGCTGGGTTGACGCCGGTGCAGTGGGCACAACAGTATTGGCGCTGGGCGGACGATCAGGCCGTACCCATTTTGGCGGTGATCGCTGGGTCGCGATTGGGTCCTCTAGTGGTATTGTCAATATCTACGATCGACGCGAATGGGCCGCGGCGTATGCCAATGCTTCTGCTGCGGAGCGTGAGGATGCCGCTCAGGTTGGAATCCCGCGTGCGCCTATGCCTACGCGTGTTTTGGATCAGCTTACTACGCCAATCAGCCATCTTGTTTTTGCGCCAGATGGGCAGATGATGGCTATGGGTAGTCGGTGGAAGCGTGATGCTCTTAGACTTGGTATGTTTCTGTTATCTTCGTTTCGATTGATTGATTGGCTTGCTAACTGGTTTTCAGTTCACCTTCCTACTTGCACCGTTTACCGTAATTGGCCTACTTCTAACACGCCTCTTGGTCGGATTTCCTCTGTGGCTATCTCGCCTAACGGAGAACAGCTGGCTGTTGCTAATGAGCAGGGCAATATCCGTATGTGGGAGATTCGGGGGTAGAGTTTACATGTGTATGTAATCTAAAATATAAGTTCAAGTTTTGTCATTATCCGTGGTGCTTGCGTCATTGTAGATTGAGCTACTTTCCAAGTATGAGTTAGGGCTGATATATAGTGTCGAACATCCTCGGTTTGAACATGATTCAGAATAGTACCTTGATTGACTTGAAATACAATAAAGATCAAGACTTTGTAGCAAGGAAGACGAACACATATCTGAAATTGCTGATGACTGTCTAGCAAAGGTGAAAAAACACGCAACGCCAAATAAAACCCGAAGAAAAAAGACCAAGCAAGGGAATCTGGGAATGGAGATGAAAGATCAAAAGGAAAGCCAGTAACACGCCACATCACATGCAAGTCGTGTTGAAATCAGATCAAGAGTCATGGTATCGTTCGTAAGGAGAAGTCTATACTGTTGGCCTTTGGTCAAGGGGCTCAGTAACATAAAGGGGGTATATAGGGGAGATGTAAAGAAGCAGAGAAACATGACGAGTGAAGAGTGAGAGATATCTAGCAGAAGAATCTCCAGTAGATCTAGGCTGGATATAGATGAGTGAGTTGTAAGGGTATGGTTCAAGTGTAGGTGATGGAATAACGTGCCATTGATAGCTGGACCATTCATCAATAATCAGTCTCCTGGCCCGCTAGACCCCCAGCGCTGTGGACGCTTTCCCTGTTCGACGTAGTTCTTGATAATGCAGGGAGCGCGATCAGGGCCTTGGCAAACCTTATGGCGGTTGAGATGCTTGAACCGGGGCCCTGTCGGGCCATTGACATAGTGATATTGGCCAGCAAATCGATATTGGCGGGGGTCACTTAAGTGATAAAACTTATCACCCCAGTGGCCTTTGAAATAGAACCATTCTGTCGGAGCAGAGGGACTGAAGGTAGAGGCTCGCAGATTATCTTCGTCGAAATCATAAGTGTAGGCATGTGAATTGAGTAGAGGATCCCATAGTGGGCCGCGGTCTGTCACATCGTGGAGGAGGCCCCAGGGTAGAATGTACTCATGTACCCCGGTCGTGGCATACATAGCGTGACTGCCCTCGGCGGAGTAAATGACCGGCTGCAAGGGATGTTAGGTTTATATGGATAAATACCCGTGATACTTACTCGTTGCCCGATCTTTTCCACTGCTTCATAGCTATATGCTTCTCCGCCTTGGTGAGCACTGAAGAAGAGGGATTTTGGTTTGCCATTGTAGAATCGGACCAGGCAATGTTCCCAATCGCCGACGTGGTTCCCAAAGCGCACATTGGCGACGGTGTTGCCGAGGTTGAAACTGTAGAAGTAGAACCAGAAGGCATCGATGATCCCATTGCCTTTGTCCATCACGACCAGGATTGCAGGGGCATCACTTCGACCGCCAGCCCCCTCATCCCGGATCTCCTTGCCGCCGTATCGTTTGCGAAGCTCCTCCTTGAATATGCGCTGCGCTTCGTGGTGCTGATCTGGGGTATCATCCGTCGGAATCGTGCCCGGTTGAGTGAAATCGTACCACTGGGCACGATCTTCCTTGGTATCACCAGGGATGTCCCCGTCCACCCGTCCATCCCAATCGGACCACGATTCCTGTTTGCCTCCCCCCTGGGGTATATTTCTCTCGCCCTCCAACCACGGCGGCCGACTCTGCACATCATCATTGCTGGTCAAGTAGACCGGCCAGCCCTTTTCCCACTGATTCAGATCATCCAAGTTGCTGAGAGTAGGATGATCCCAATGGGCATGAATGGGAGTATAATTGAGCGAGGGAGTGGTGTGATGCAGATGCTCAGCAATATCGCCAGGCCAAAACTGCTCGCCAGAATAAAGATGCACGAGTGGGGCGTAGTGGAAAACAAAGTCGGGGATCTGCCGAGCCCGCAGTTCAGCGTCCCCGCGCCAAAATGACCGCCAGCGATCAGACTTCGAGTCCGTCCAGCCTGCAGGATCGCGCTGTCCAAATGTGCCCTTGGCAATTTGTAGATGTGCCGCGCCGCACACACCCAGCCATCGACATGCCTTGCGGTCGAACCAGGACTGTGAACTCGCAATCCAGTGCTGCTCGTCCCGGTCTTCCGCATACCACACAAACGCCGCAGGTCTAGTGATATGGGCTATGCTGTTGATGGAGACATAGGCGATCAGGGTGAGGAGCAGGGCAATAATTGCCTTGGCCTTCCGGGTCATCTGCTGGATTGAGCCGACATAAGACTGTGGCCGTCAACAAGTTAAGATCGAGGCCAAGGGCTCAATGGTGGGGAAATCAGAGAAGGGCAGGGCACACTATATAAAGAGCAAAACTAAGCACACCAAAGAGAAAAACTTAGACAGTCAAAGGGTCCAGAACAGCAGACCGGGAACGTGCGGAAATACAAAAGGCAATAGGCCCGCGACTGCATATGCTTATCCGCCCAAAGCCGGTGGGTTTCAATGCGAGTGGGTTGAGAGCCATAAGGCTGAAATATGCGAACTCCTTGGTATTTGTCTCTACGAGGCGATTATTTGAGGGACAGCCCTACTGCAAACAGAAGCAATTGGCATGTATTTCTTACATTTGCCACATCACTGACTTGGTTATTTATTGACAGGCCAGGGGAGTTCTCACCGCTTGCAGCTGACTCCGATCTTATCTCCGTCCACGGGGTTTGGCAATCATTCATCCCTTCCTTCATCATGGACTCGGATTCAGAATATGAGTATGAGTATGGGACTGAGACAGAGGTAATCAATTTCATTTTGTTGTCAAATTACTTGCTTACCCTTCACCACAGTCCTTCTATCTCAACCTGGACTTGACCTCCCACCACGGCGCATTACGACCACCTCGCCGTCGCGACAAATCCTCCGCCGCGAATACAGACGACAATGGCTTTAGCAACCAAGAAGCCTTTACCCCGATCGACACTACCGAGAGGGGTGTCCTCCCAGATGAGCGAATCCAGATTCTCGGTCTGCACACGTGCAACCCAGTGGTATCGTACTACAACCAAATCTTCAGCTGCTCCTGGGCGGACCAGATCGGCACCGAACTAGTCTTCGCCAACCCCGACACAGACCCTGATATGGATAGCCACCCCACAGAGCCGTTGCACCGTGGACCCTCCTACGAGCTTATCGCCGCCAACAGCGCAAAGATCATCGGTCGCAAAGCCACACTTATCACAAGCTCCAAGGGAACGGACCCAAACCTAAACCTGGCTACATCTGCAGAGGCGTCCTCTCAGGGTCCAGCATCCCAAGGCGTGCCCCGACGAGCCGCACCGACGCACCAGACACACTTTATTCAACGACTGCAGGAGATCAAGTCGGCCAAGGGAGAGTCGGATCCTGTCCGTACGGTCATGAGTCAAAAGCGCAACGTGAACATTGGCGACCGGGTGAGTGGCTGGGCTCGTACCGAAGCGCAGATGGCTGAGATTGACCGACTCAACCAACGTGCTCTCCAGGGAGACCCAGAGGCTCAGGCGACCCTGGAGCAGCTGATCCAGGAACTTAACGCGTCTGAGAGTTCTGAATCAGATGGGTCTGGTGATGAGAGCTCTGCATCTTGAGCGCAGATCGACTTTAAGCGAACAGATCTAGACTCTGTCTAGATCGATATCAAGAGACAATACAGAGTATTGTCACGGGTGTTGTCGCTGAAACTGAACAACAGCTCGGCTCCTCGGGGGTGACCGTCTGACCCGATATTCCAAGCATTCGTCCCACGGAAGCCCGGCGTGGAGCACGTCAACCTTACTCCGTCCACGGATATCGGTTATCCTTGATATCCACGCTATGATTTCATAGCCCGTAGAGAATTGCCGGTGAACCGAGGGCACTAACTCGAAAGAGAGATATGCTCCATCTTCAAACGTACGGAGTTCGGAGTAGAGCGGTTCACCAAAGAATAAAGAGACATCAACATCCATCAAGAGCAATCTACAAGAATAACACATTTACATTAAATCTCCAGGTGCTGTGTATCATGCAAGCGCAGGTACCCCGATGCCGAGAACTCCCTACAGACCCCACAACCACGCGAACAGTGCTGGACCCTGTCAACTTAGCATGTTAGCTCTTGTAGCTTCCCGACTAAAATCGTAACAATGAACTCATACCCCCTATAGCCGACCGGTAACGTCATGCCTAACTCAATGCATGGTTACTATCCCTGATCTCGTCTATAATCCCCGATGAAGGCAAACACTATCCCACCCTCGAGTCCGATACACTCTCTGTTTGTTCCAATCATGTTTTTCTCTCTTTCTTTCTTAGAGGTTATTCTCCCGAAACGAGCTCTTGTAGACTTGTTGCGTTCCTTGAAGATGTGACGTCGTGATCGACGCAATCCTCACACGAGTAGATCTCGTTGTTGGGTTTAGGGAAGGTCATTCGTTCTGTACAAACGATGGAGTAGAGGTACTTGTATATGGTACTTTGGGTGTACGTAATACTTGACATCGGTGCAGGTGGTATGCAGCAGGGGGCCTGAGTATGTGTGCTTTGTGTGTCAGATTGCTGTCAGATTACATTAAGTGTTCAGGATAAAGACTAAGTCACCCTACAGCGTAGAAAGAGAATCTTACTGGGATTACAGACAGAAGAGTAAATATAATAATATTCCAATTATGATAATACGTAGAGAGTATCAACTATTCCATTTCAAAGAAACCCGGGGGATTCAGATAAACACCAGAGACTCCCCAGACTTTTTGAATTCCCCAGCCATAGAGAAAGATAAACCAGGGAGATAAATGTTCACGCCGCCATGCACTCGCTAAATCCAACCGGCGACATAAACAAAGACAACACAAAATCAGAAAAAGACATAGGCTAAAGACATCGCACATGTCAAGGACATGAAATGAAACAAGTCAACATCGAGACTTCACTGCATAATATATAACAGCATTCGACACCAACGAACGACCAAAAACAAGTAGAAAGATGTTGATACAAACCCCAAACCCGAGAACAGCAACAACAGTAAGAGAGAGGAGAATGATATCTACTCCAGACTCAAACTGGGAATATCGGCAAAAGACCCTTTCTTACTCCCCTTGGCAAAAGCGACAGGCGAAGGAGGAGGTGCAGGAGGCATACCGTCCACGAGGGTGGAGCGGGTCTTTTCTGGCTTTTGGCTTGAGGCTGTCATCATAGCGCGGGAGATATCTTGCGGGAAGAAAGCTGGAGGCATGACGGGAGTAGCGGTTTTGGTTGAGACGGAGGCCATGGTATTGTTTTGGAAATGTTAAGAGGTGTGGTGAGGTGTGGTGAGGTGTGGATATGAGGATAGATATCTTGTAGAGAGGTGGGTTTGGATGGTGGTGTAAGGTAGGAGTAATAAATTGTCCGTCGAGAGCAGGTGGATGATTAAATATAAAGCCGGACCGAGCCAACAGCACTTTTATACAGAAGGTATAGTATGTAGAGTTGAAAAACCGATATGCCGGGCGTGATGGTAAAGCGTGACCGAACAACCTCGGTAGAAAGTGTGGCAGAAGCTTGACGTAGAGTAGATCTTTGCGGGTATGAGCTGGATTCACGAGATCGAATTAGCATCTGATGTGATATGTACAGCTTTTGTACTTGTCTGGCATATGCTTCGTGTTTGGAGGCAAAAGTTCCGAACTTGCCCGAGCAGGACCCGATTCTCGGTGGATCGGATCGGAGGCGATGTGTGTGGGTATGGGTGAATGGAGATGGAGTAGGAGATGCTTACTCACGTGGAATTAGAATTGATCTCGGATTGATTTGGGTGGGAAAGTGAATGGGTGTTTGTGTTGGTGTGAAGTATGTGGATAGTGAAGCTGTATAGACCGTGGTATAGACGTATAGCGTATAGACTGACTTGGACAAGTCGATAGTTTGGTGAAAATAATAAACGGAAGATGAAATTGAGAAAAGAGAGGACCGGGTAGTTATATCTTCAGGAGAGTATATAAATAAGACAAAAAAGCCAGTGTGGAGGTACATGCCTGGGGAAGTATCCAGTACATACCTGGGGCCAGACCCATGGCCTCGTAGATCTTCCCGCCAAGCCCAATCGCCTCATTCTAAATCTCCCACAGGACCCAATAATTCATGAAAGTAGGGGAACATTCTCCATCGGAATTGCGGGAGCCCAACCCGGAGCCTGTCGGGGAGAAAAGGGGTCTGACGCGTTAGTGTGGGGATTGGGCTAGGGATCAAATCGATTCACTACATTTACAGCTTACTTTAGCCGGCTGAAGCGGCAAGGTATTGGAACTAGGAGAACTAGCAAGCAATATGTCTTGGGTATTCCTTTCTTCTAGTGCTTCTACTCCGTTGTTAGTGCTTCTATGGAAACCCGGGGTCAACCTCGGCATGGATACGGCGATCTTTTCTCGAACAAATGGAGGCCCGGCAACCAGTCTGTCGGATACACTTCCCCATCTGTTGCGGTGTAGAGAAGTGGCGAGAGTTTTTTCGTCTGCAATACTCTCTTCCGCGGTATCAACCCGTCTTTACCCACCGCTGTTTCGGATTAATTTTTTGAAACCGAAAACCGGGAGATGCGCGATGATCCAGTCGATCGTCCCGAAAATTGAGATAGTCGGATACAGATCATTCGTTTAAAAGGGTGATACTATACCCTATACAAGTCGAAGTATACGGAGTACGGAAAACACGCTCCACCCGGGCACACACACACACACACACACACACACACACACGTTCGATGACTATTGTAGAAATTGATATAGTAACACAGCAGACGCCACGAATCAAACACAGGATTAGCCATACTGTACTCTGGTATCCCATCACAAGCAGAAGTGGGACGCCAGGGGCCGAAACAGTCTGGGGCGCATATATTCTTTGAAAGGACAGGGATAAAGAGTCCGGGGATTAACTTTTGCCAATGTTTCCTTTCTGTATTCCCTTGATCGTCCTTGATAATATTCAATATTCAGGGGCGCCCTTAGCGAAAGCGATACATACGTTAAGCGAACTCTCAAACAAAGACAAAAGTACCCCAACCCACCTGCAAATGCAAGCGCTGGAGGCTGATCGACAAGTAGAGTCTGAAAAACTCCACCATTCTTCCCCCGGATTCAAGGGGTATATATGGATAGACTCCTCTATTATTCCCTATGCACTCTGCCACCTACGTAGGAGGATCCGGGGGGAAGGGGGGACTCCATTCCTTCGATAACAACGTTACCATCTACAGTTCCAGTTTGTTGGGGCGCATACCTCGGGAATGGCCCCTTTGCTTCCACTTCCAATTCTGGATTATTGATACTGCATGGTAGTACCTATGCATTTGGATGTATGCGTACGCCACTACTGAAATACAAATCAAGCACAAAGATAGATCCAAAGATAAAGAAAATATTCTAATGTTGGGCCCGGGGCACTCGATTACCTCGCGCATGACTCTCTGACTTGTCTTCTACACCGCTCGTTTCAGCAATCTGGGGAGAAGTGAGAAGGGGAAAAGTGGTGAGTTGTCTTATGTCTCTATGCCCATGTGGCGCCAACTGGCTGGTGGATTCGTCAGGTACACGAATGTACAACACAGCATCCATGCATGATTATCAATGCTGACCATGTACCGGTACTTGGTAATTGTTTGCTGTAGAGGTAAGTGATCCCAACGGTTAACTTCGATCGTGCCTGGTTTGGGTGCATAATGTGATTGCATGGGTTTGCTGCATCCTGCACGGAATTTCTGGGTTTCGTGTTAGGTTGAGACAGATAACAGGACTGGACTTGGGGTTGTTCATGGGTACGTGGACTGGTACTACCCCTACCCTCCACGCCCGGACTGCGATCGAGCGCAGGGCTGGTCGATGTAGGGGATACTTGTGGGATCGAGACCCGATGATCAAGGGCTGTGTTGGGGACCTCGGGAGGGTGTCCGATCTACCATCTGCAGATTGTGGTTGATGTGCTTCTGCACTTGTGGTTGCACATGTGCTGTAGATGTTACAGTTTTAGCTGATAGCTGATAGCTGATTCTGCTTGTGTACCCAAGATGATTTCAGGAACAGCCTCGCAAGCTGAGGTGCTGAAGATTTTATTTGTCCAACGTATACAGTAGATTGTGCTTGGATCGGGATTGGCCCAGATCCTGCGATCCTATCTCAAGTATCGAGTACTCCTAGCGCTCCCGATGATGTCGAGATATCCCATACTTGTGTTTGTGTAGATAGAGATCCAAGTCGGGATGTCTTTCCTAAAGAGGGCAACGAGACCAACATATTGGCCTGAACCCTTAGGCTGCAAGTAACCTCAGGCCCAAGTCACGGGAGTGATTACCTCATCTCGGATGCATCTGCCAATCGCACGCCCGCCGAGAGTCCGCAATCACGTAAAGCCCCGCCGGATAACTTGGATTGCGTGAAAAATGTGCAATTCACGTTGGAGATAGACTCCGTATATTGGGCCAGATGCGCTATTTCTAGCGAATAACATTGCGTGACCATCAAAACGTGCAGGGCTTGGATCTCAAGGGCAGGGCCATGCCGGTTCAATACCCCGCAAGTCGACGATCCAGGTACCAGAGCCCCTCCGGTTGGAGATTTTCTTCTGTCACCGGCCCGGTGATAGGGCCAGACTGGAAAGTCTTGGTAATAGTTGAGCATACCCCAAGGCGAGAATCCCCCGGACTGGACATTTCAACCAGTGAGAGGCAAAGCGAGAATCCGGGGATTGATCAATAACCTTGTGAAATGAGGCATTTAGGATACATTGTACGTGATATTGAAAGTCTGAGGCAATTGAGTGGATTTATGACACATTGCATTCCACGATATTCCAAGAACATCATAGTATGTGCTTTGACGAGGCGACTGCTTTGTATAGAACACTCAGGTGATCTGGCTTGGACTCTAATTTTCAGTGTCACCTGCCCGGTTGCCCCTGTAGAAGCAACTAAAATCTCAGCCACGTTCCAGAATTGAGGCAATTGTTTCGGCCCGCATGACGCATTGCTATCTTGTTCGGCTCGGAGGGCATTTGGCTTCCAATGAGAGTGGCGTATGTCGCCGGGCTTTAGTCAAGTTGAGTGGAGCAGAAGTCGAGACGCTGGTTGAACCGCCTAGCGTCGGTGATGACAGAGTGGACCGAGTAAGAATAGCAGAATCAAGTTTGACTATAAAAAGATCAGGGTTCCCCGGATTTTCTTCAAATCATCATTTCAGTTTCTGTCTTCCATGGCGACAGTCGATTCTCAGTAAGTAAAGTTGTTGAAGGGTCGGAGTGTCGTCCCTTGCTTCAATCCTTATCTCCAGAGATAACCACATGCCCCACGTGAGCTCTTTACTAACTCTTTACTTCTACTAGACTTCTTCGTCTTTACTTTACATGTTAAGAGATCACTCTCAGCATGTCTTCTCCTATTTCTACCCCACAATCTGAAGCTGGTTTGCCCTCGCGGCCCCTTCCTCAGGCTTTTGTTAGCCAAGATGGAAGCTCCGGCGCCGGCACTCCCATTGGTTTCCAGCGCTACCCTCCTCACAACAAGCACTTGGACCACGCCGTTGGAAATTCTCTGCGTCAGCCATCACCACAGCCTACCCACCTCGGTATTCCCGGTACCCCTCAGCACCGTGTGCTGTCTGAAGAGGACCCGGGCTACATTGCCGCTACCTTCGAGGGCAAGCAGAAGCAGATGGAACAAGGTCAGTAGAAATACTCAAGTTGATTGCAAACGAATATAGCTAATTCCGAGTAGTCATGCTTCAATTGGAAGAGAAGGGTTTCTTCCCCAGTGACTTCATCGAGTCCGAAACTACCTGGTTCTACAACAAGCTTGGCATCGACGATACCTACTTCCAGACCGAAACCGTGCCTGCCATTGTGACCCAAATCCTCTCCCTCTACGCCGCCAAGGTGGCTGCCTATGCTCGGGATGATAGACAGCTGGAGATCCGTCTGGACAAGGAGGCCGAGGACCACGCTGTGTACATTGATACCAGCCGGCCCGGTATCTCCACCGTTGATGGCCCTCGTTACGAGCAGCGCATCGACGAGAAGTACGTCAACCACTCTAAGGGTGCCAACAGCTACCGTGTCGAGACGTTCCGTTCGCCCAGCACTCTTCCTGGCAATGACGGCCAACAGCTGCGCTGCTACTTCGTCTACAAGTGTCAGTTTGTGAACCCTAACCCTTCACCAAATGAGACCGACATCGAGATCATTGGTGAGAAGCGGTTCCTGCAAAAGGCCACCCCCAACACCAAGGCGGTTTACCAGGAGATCATCACTACGGCTGTCGGCCGGTCCGGACCCGTCATCGAGATGTTCGAGATCGAGGGCAGCCGCGAGAAGCGTCTGGTCATTGCCTACCGCCAGGGTTCCGCCATGGGTCTCTTCAGTGCTCTCTCGGATCTGTACCACTACTACCGCTTGACTAGCTCCCGGAAGTACCTGGAGAACTTCTCCAACGGTATCACCGTTATCTCGCTGTACCTCCGACCCTCAGCCGACTCTGGTGTCTCGGCCAAGTTCCCTCCCATCGAGGCCGCCATCCGCCAGATTATGAAGGAGGTCTCCCTTCTTTACTGTATTCCCCAGAACCGCTTCCAGGGTCACTTTGCTACGGGCCGGCTCAGCTTGCAAGAGACTATCTACGCTCACTCCGCGTGGGTCTTTGTGCAGCAGTTCCTCAACCGTCTGGGATCAGAGTACACTTCGTTGTCTGCTCTTCTGGATAACAACAACAGTGTTCATGCAGAACTTCTGTCGAAGATCAAGAAGCGTCTTCGTACCGAGACTTTCACTGCCGACTACATTTTCGAGATCATTAACAAATACCCCGAGCTCATCCACAAGCTCTACCTTGACTTTGCCAACACTCACTACGTTCAGACCCAGGGCCCTACTGGCGATGACTTCCTTCCTACCCTCAGTTACCTCCGTCTTCAGGTTGACGAGGTCCTTGATGGTGCCAAGCTCAAGCAGCTGATCCGCGGCACTGCTGTCAACGAGCACGACGAGATGGTTATGAACTCTTTCCGCGTGTTCAACTCCTCTATTCTCAAGACCAACTTCTTCACCCCCACCAAGGTGGCCCTCAGTTTCCGCTTGAAGCCGGACTTCTTGCCTGAACACGAATACCCCCAGCCCCTGTACGGTATGTTCTTGGTCATCAGCTCCGAGTTCCGCGGTTTCCACCTGCGCTTCCGTGATATTGCTCGTGGTGGTATTCGTATCGTCAAGAGTCGGAATGGTGAAGCATACAACATCAACGCCCGCTCGCTGTTCGACGAGAACTACAACTTGGCCAACACCCAGCAGCGCAAGAACAAGGACATCCCCGAAGGCGGTGCTAAGGGTGTCATCCTCTTGGACGCTGACCACCAAGACAAGGCGCGGGTTGCCTTCGAGAAGTACATCGACAGTATTCTTGATTTGCTCCTGCCCCCTGTTAGCCCCGGTATCAAGGACCCCATCGTTGACTTGCACGGAAAGGATGAAATCCTCTTCATGGGTCCCGATGAGAACACTGCCGAGCTCGTCAACTGGGCTACCGAGCACGCTCGCAACCGTGGCGCTCCTTGGTGGAAGTCGTTCTTCACTGGCAAGAGCCCCAAGCTGGGCGGAATTCCCCACGACACCTACGGCATGACCACCCTATCGGTCCGCCAGTATGTCCTTGGTATCTACCGCAAGCTCAACATCGACCCTGCCACTATGCTCAAGCTGCAGACTGGTGGTCCCGATGGTGATCTTGGATCCAACGAGATTCTGCTCTCCAACGAGAAGTACGCCGCTATCGTCGACGGCGCTGGTGTCATCTATGATCCCAACGGTCTGAACCACGAGGAGCTTCTCCGTCTGGCCAAGAAGCGCGCCATGATCTCCGAGTTCGACATGACTAAGTTGTCCTCCGATGGTTACCGTGTCCTGGTTGACGAGAAGAACGTCAAGCTCCCCAGCGGCGAGGTTGTCCACAACGGTATGATCTTCCGTAACACATACCACCTCCGCTCGCAGGAGAATTTCGACATGTTCGTGCCTTGCGGTGGCCGTCCCGAGTCCATCGACCTGTCCACCGTCAACAAGCTCATTAAGGACAACAAGTCCATTGTTCCCTTCATCGTCGAAGGTGCCAACCTGTTCATGACCCAGGACGCCAAGCTGCGCCTTGAGAAGGCCGGCTGTATCCTGTACAAGGACGCCTCCGCCAACAAGGGTGGTGTTACCTCATCTTCCCTGGAAGTCCTCGCCTCGCTGTCCTTCAACGACTCCGAGTTCGTCGAGAACATGTGCATCCGCGAGGACGGCACTGTCCCCGATTTCTACCAGGCCTACGTCAAGGAAGTCCAGGAAGTCATCAAGCAAAACGCCGCTCTCGAGTTTGAGGCTATCTGGCGCGAACACGAGCAGACCGGTGTGCTGCGCAGTGTTCTGAGTGACCGTCTCAGTATCGCCATCACCAGGCTCGACGAGGAGCTCCAACAGACCGAGCTCTGGGACAACGTTGCTCTCCGCCGCTCAGTTCTCGGTGATGCTCTGCCCCGTCTGCTTCTTGGTAAGATTGGTCTCGAGACCATCCTGGAGCGCGTAAGTTCCCATTCCCTCTACATTTGACCCCATTGAATGATTACTAACATCTACCAGGTTCCTGAGAACTACCTCCGCGCCATCTTCGGTTCTTACCTGGCCAGCCGCTTCGTCTACGAATACGGCAACCAGCCCAGCCAGTTCTCCTTCTTTGACTTCATGACCAAGCGCCTGGCCCAGATTCAGTCTTAAACCTGAATGTTGGATCTAGAAAACAAAATTCCCCCTATGCCTGTCGTTGATTTTGCGTTTTATTTTTCCACTTTGGATAACTCGTCTCTTGCATGATATATATCTTAATCCGGAACGAAAAGAAGTAATTTGTTCCTTGACGAATGTATGGTTAGAAAAGTTCTGGTGATGTTGTGGTTTGGAGGGTGAAGAAAGAGATGAGAGTATTTCGGGCAATTGGTCCTAGAAATGGATTATTTATTGGCTTTTGGATATGAAAGTTAAGGTAGTTGTAGAGCACTCAGTAGTTTCAACAATTTGATGTCACAGAGGAATCTAGTTATCGTTCGATCTCGGTGGCCTTTTGGAGTTAAAAGGTCTTCACCTCCAGTTGTCGCGGCAGTAGGCCGGCAGTATGTTTCCGTTGTAATGATCTACATAGCATCTATAACGATGTGTTCAGCAGGCCCAAATACAGAAGAGGCATTTCGTTCAATAAATCAGGCGCTCTGTACCGAGAGGCCTTGTTAAAGCAACCCTTCATATTACACTCACACTCCGATATCATCGCAGTATCCTATCCATAAACATGGGTCTTGTTGGTAAGTCCACCCTGGAAAAAGCTTAAATACTCAGTTTAATCCGATTGTACAGACTTCTTCGAAGGCGACGAGTTCCAAATCTCGTTTCCCGAAGTAGAATTTGGCGAAGAAGATCAGTGGGCTGTCGCTTTCAAAGCCCCTAAAATGTATGATCAACGTTGCGAAGATCGTGATATGTCAGTCTTTTTCCTGGTCTCAGTAAAGAATTGAGTAAACCTAGAACATCAATCTTAGGCAAACCAGATCCCAAAGAATAGGCAAGGGCTCTTTTGACGGCTGGCACGAGCGCCTACACTGATCGCTGGATTGAAACCAAGGGCCTTGGCTATTTGGACTCAGGCAAGGCGAAGGATGATTTCAATAAGAAGGTAGATGAAGCATTCGAGCTAGCTGAAGAACATGACAATTAAATGGAGTGGCAGCTTCGTCTTTAATCTTGGCTGTTTATAGTGCTTGCTGCTTTCTACCACTCGTAGGGAGAGGTCCGTGTCGATTGAAGTGGTTCATGTGTACAAAATAAGTAACTTTAAGCCTGTTAGTTTTATAACATGAAGATATTACCGCGCCTAGTCTAAATCTAGTCCGAATGATCTGTAGTTCCATAACCGTCTATATCTCATCCCACATGTAATCATAAAAGCCCATTGGCAAACAAATGCTATATTTCCAGTCCCTCAAACATTGCCCTTGTAACCCAGGAAGGGACTCTTCTTTCCAGGTGACTTGCCCTTAAAAGCGGTTTCTATCTCAGGGAATGTGCGACCTTTGGTCTCGTGCATGTAAAGGATGCCAACAACCGCAGTGATAATACTACACCCACCCCACAAAAAATAGGCACCGTAACTACTCTTCGCAAGTAAAATTGGCGTAGTCAACGCAACCAAGAAATTGCACAACCAATTGCTCGAATGGCCAAGTGTCGTAGCTGATGCCCGTGTTCGTTGGGGTTGGATCTCAGCCGCGTACACTTTGACGGCAATACCCCAAGAGACAGAGTAAAGAGCGGCAAACAGGAAGATGCAGACAATCACAACCCAGCGACCAGCGCCGGTAGATTGATGGACGGCATTCCCAGCATACAGGCCACCCATCAGGAACATTAGAACGGCTTGCCCGATGCCGCCGTAGACAATGCTGCTTCGGCGGCCCCATCCATCGGCGTAGATCAGACCTGGGACAGTCACAGCGAAGATGACGATGGCTGAAACACCGGAGGCTAGGAAACTTGCTTCTGACGAGGCGAGGCCTGCTTTTTGGAAGAGTTCAGGGGCATACTATCGGGTTCTGGTCAGCTTATGTTCGTGACAAAGTATGGCATTGGACATACGTAGAGGACTCCGTCGATGCCACTCATTTGCTGCATGCCCATCAAGAAGACAGCAAGGAAAGTCCTGCCTCTCACATCCTTGGAGAAGACATCCATAAGTTTCTCCATCGTGGTCTGGCCATCCTGTTCACTTTCAGTGCCAGGCTCAATTTCCGTTGTCTGCACTGAAACTTCAACCTTCTCACGGTCCGCATGAGTAACGCCCAACTTATCCCAAGCCTCTTCAGCCATAGCATAGCGACCTTGAAGACCAAGCCACTGCGGTGACTCAGGCAAGAAAATCAAAGAAAGACCGCAAAGAATCATGGAAAAGGCAGAAAGAAGAACGAAGGGCATCCGCCATGAAAGCGAAGACTGGATATTCGAAGTTCCATAACAAACAAAGTAGCCCACAACCAATCCAAGTGTTGTAGCCAGCTGAGGACCAGTAGTCAAAGCACCTCTAGTGCGTATCGGTGAAATCTCACAAATCAGAACAACAAGGTTCCCAAGGAAAAGACCCTCCCCGAGACCTTCAACAATACGACCAACGATGAACATGGACAGCTGAACAGCACCTGCTTCAATCGCGGCTCCAATACCGAATATGAAAACCCCGATACTGATTCCCTTTGGTCGGCCTAGCCGGTCGGCAACGTAGCCAGCAAAGAAGGAAGAGAGAGCCGCTGGAATCAAGATACAGGAGACGATCAGGCCGTGGATTGTTGAGTTTTCACTACCGCCGAATTTTGCTTTGAAGTCTGTCATGTCGGTGACTGGGCCGATGATTCCCGTGTCCATTCCGAAGAGGACGCCATTTGCTGAACAGAGAATGCAGGCTAATAGGTATCTTGGTGGAGTTTTGAAGTGGATTGGGAAAAATCCCATTTTGGCAGGAGTTAGGGCTTGCGGGTGAGTCAGGCAAGGTACTCAATAGCTTTCTTCAGATGCTTCGGAGGTTTGATCTGATGTATTTGAAGGATACTGGAATGCAATTAGAGACTTCAAGAATGGCAAGAGTGATTATTATAAGAAAGCGTGGGATGAAAAATCTTCTGGAAGTTCCCTAAATACTCCGGTAGTACATGTAAATGCCCCACGTGGCAGTCTTATCTACTGGACATGCATGGAGCATGAAGTATGGAGCAGGTGAAGCGACCTGAGAGCTCATCACTTGGTTCTGATGTGTTGTCATTCTTGCTTCTAGATCTATGCAAAATCCCCTGTACAACGATCAATCAGAACTCAAAATAGCAACATGTACTCGGTTTCAGGAACACACTGGCTAAAACTTCGCAGGGCTGTCCCAGGAAATGGGTTTCCGGGGTGTCGAATTCCTCACGGCCCGAGTTGGGAGGAAAGCGAACCGAGTCTTTTGTGGGCCATTTTCGCGTCGTTTGCTATCCCGGGCGATTCATTGGATCCACTATGGCTGTTAGGCTTGTACCTAGTGTTCTTTTGAATTGAGCCGGGCAGATCTTTGAAAATTTCGATTTGATGCAGATTAGATGGCGCTTATAATTCCCAAAAAAGGGCAAGGAGCCGAGTCTGGCAGTTATAGCCAAATTGTCTTATTCAGTGCGATTCAAATATGTGATTGCATAGAGTTCGCGTACTACGACTAAAATCTTCATGTTCTTGAAGCCAAATTTTAGAAAAATAACCGTTAGTTATGCCGTGATCCAAATGTTTTGAATACGGTATAGAAAATCGATTGGAAATGCTTTGGGTAATATGTACTCATCTCCTGCTATAATCATCTAGTTTTGGATCACTCAGTCTCGCTAATCAAGTGAGCGTCCAGACCTGTCGGCCTGTCCTCTTTGGAACTTGTGTTTCCCGTTTCCTTCAAGTGAGCGTTTTCTCCATTTGAGTCCTCTGTGAATTCGAACTTTCGCCATTCGCAATTTTTCCAACCAGTACCTAAGACAACATCATTAGTAGCTGCCATGTAAAGCTTGCTCAAAATATAAAGATGCACACATACAGTGAACTGTATCATAATCAGCCCAGTCCTCCATGAGATAGTGCAAAAACCCACCATGAGTCACCAGAGCAATATGTTCCTCAGGTCGATTCCAAAGCCATTTCCGCAAATCAGCAGCACGCTTGCGGATAGCGGAAAGCGTGTGGGCATATAGCCCAGCCTATGTAAGGGATTGAAATTAGTTGTAGCTCATGCCGAAACAAGTACCAGCAAGTACCTTGGAGTTCCACGTTTGATCGACTAAAGTGGCATCCAATCGACTAAGCTCAAAACCAGGCGCAGCTTCAGCAATCAATTTTGGAGCTTGCAATTTGACGTGCTCCTCATCCCAGCCATGATTACAGTTAAGTCCGCTGATCTCTTGGGCGCCAGGGACGAGAATGAACAGCAATTGGCGCTTCTCCAATTCTGGTCCGAATACCCAAGCTGCTGTTTGAATGGTTCGCTGAAGAGGAGATGCAAGGACAGCAGAGATGTCTTTTGAGAACGGAAATTCCTCTCGAAGTTGAAGGCATTCGTCTTTGCCCGTTGCGGTTAGCAATGGATCGCGTAGGTGACTTGAATTCTGTGAGAGTTATGAGAAAAGCATTTTCCACAAAGGTGACGGGATTAGACGTACATTGACATTGTGCTCGCCTTGCCCGTGGCGGATCAGGTATAGAGTTGGTGGCATTGAAGCAGATTGTATGTTCAACTGATCAGAGGATTTGAGCTTACCTTGGAAACTAAATAGAAAAAGGGATTAATGCTTGAATGTAAAGGCTATTATGATTTGTTCTGTCTATAGAATCTTCATTCGGCTCAGTGTCCGCATTTCGTAGGTCTTGCTCATAGAGCGAAGCCGGGCCGAGCATCTTTCTCAGGAACTATATACTACACTCCTATACGGAGTACTCCGTGTACGGCTACGACATGGAACATGGCAATTAAAGCGACAACACCTAGCCACATCTATGTAGAGATTTCGCATTGATTCCACACCAAAATGGGAAATGTTGCCGAGCCGCCACAAGTGGGACCTCAAAACGTCACCCAATTCACCTTCAGGAACAGAACAAAATGGAACTTCAAGTTTGAGCCGATTATAGTATTGTTTCCGAGCATCTACCGACAAAGGAGAAATGCGTTCTTATACAGGCTGGTACGTGCATACGATCTGAATAAAGGTGCAATCGGCTAATTGTCCGTGATAGCCTCACATGCAGAGGTCGCAAATTGAAATGCGATGAAGCCAAGCCAATCTGTGGCCCCTGCAATAAGGCAAGTCGGGAATGCAAGTTTGATCAGCGATGTATCTTCCGTAGTCAAACTTTCTCGACGCCGAAGCCTAGACATAAACGCAGAGCTGGCTCGCGGGGCAACGATACTTCAAATGTGCTCGATGAAGGTCAAACCTGGGTTGAGGTACCGCATGATCGTTAGTTTCCAGCTAAAGCCGACACGAGCACTCACTAATTCAAGGGCAGTTACCTTTATCCAAATAGATGATCCATGGTCGCCCGATGGTGCACATGTTCTACATGAGCCCTGTGAAGACCGAGAAGAAGAAACCTCCTCTGTGCAGCAACATACAGACCCAAGGGTCAATTTTGGCCTTGACAAGCAGCCTCCTAAATCATCTACCGATAACTCTCTTCAGTCCACCCCTATATGGCACACGCCAGTCCCGGAAGTAATCGCAGATACCCCGGATAGTGTCCGCCTCTCAATCCCAAGACCTCAGAGATCTGGAAAAGATGTTGACCACAATGTGGTTATCTCTTACATGTTGCGACATTTCAAGGAAGGACCGGGCCAGTGGTAAGTGATCGTGGACAATGAATGGAAATAGTCACTCATAAAAGCTAGGATGGACCTTTTTGATACCACAGCATACTTCTCATCCAAAGTGCCCGTGATAGCAGCTGTGCGGCCTCTGCTAAAATCTGCAGTCTGCGCTCTCTCGGCCAAGCACCTACAACATCTTTATCATATCTCGGACGGCATCGACCGCAACAGTTATATTCTTTCGCTGGCAGACGAAGAGACTTGGCATTACCAGTCAGCAAAGCACTACGATCAAGCATTAGGATATTTGAAAACCGCAATCGATCTCGAAACTTATAATGACAGTCCCTCCGAAAAGGAAGAAATGTTGGCTGCTGTGGCAATCTTATGTCTCTACGAATTGATGGATGCACCTGGTACTTCTTGGAGAGCTCATCTCAGCGCCCTACCTCTGTTCAACGAAACTTCTGCCTCGATGCCCGTCCACTCCTCGGTTATCATTCCTAGGACGGCAATCAAGGGGCCGATTTTTTGGAGTCTTGCAAGGCAAGACCTGCTATGTGCTTGTAAGCCTGGAAATGGGAAAGGTCTCAGAAAAGTGCTAACGATACTAGTTATAAGCGAGACCTCAACCCGTCTTGATCTAAAAGACATGCGTCTATGGCAAAATGCCGGCCTAATCACAAATGAACACGGAACCTTGTTACCTTCCACCGCAATAAGCCCATTGGACGTCCAAAATTATTCAGGAATTGAAGAAGACATGAAAGCCAACGAACTCACCTGGCTCCTTGGAAAGATTGCAAACCACCTGATCATGGGAGACACAGTCACTTTGGAAGACTTTGTGTTGCCACGTGAACAACGAGCCTACCTTGGCCTAAATCAGCAGCACCTGCTCGACCGCTGGAATCTGCTTATGTCCGAGCTAGAACAGTGGTACGACTGCCTCCCGTTAACATTCACAGAAGCTGCACGGACAAGGGCAGAGGGTAGCACCGATCCACGACACAAACTCTCCCTGGAAGCCTTCGAACAAATCTGGTTCAATTTACCGTTATGTGCTGCAACAATCCAAAGTTATCATCAAGCTAGGATTCTATTATTAGTCAATCAGCCACAGCAGTCAACGGCAATTCAATCAACTGTGTCCTCGCGGCTGAGGGCATATCGAAGTGCGCTGAAACAGGCCCTATTCCATGCACGGGAGATCTGTGGCATTAATCTCGCGAATCCAACAGATCCTGTACGAATTAATTCGGTGCAGGCTTTGTTTGTTGCTGGGCAGGTGTTTCAAGGGCGACGGGAGCAAGATGCCGTTCTGGAGATACTTGCTGGCATCGAGAGGGATTTAGGTTGGACAACTCAATTCCATGCTGCTAAGCTGGTTGATGAATGGGGGAGGGGAGGGGATGATAGTCATGGGCTTGGCCGGGGTGGGCGTGGATACAGGGATGATTGGATGACTCCATAGATGAAGTTTATGATGAATGATATACTGGCATGTATTCATTGAGGCAAGAATCAATTGAGTAATATATTTATTTCAAATGAGAGTCTATCTAGTCGAGTAAAAAGGGTTGTAACCATTTTTCAATTTTGGGACATTTTATACTTTGGATGCAGACTGAAACTTACAACGCTTTCCGCTCAATCTTCTTATGAGCTTGAGCATGCTCCGCCTAGCCTATAGCCTCAAAGAGATCAGCGATGGCGTTGGAGACATACGTATCATAGTCTTAATCACGGTCAGATACAGCTTCGGCGCGACGCTAGAATCCTTAGGCGACATCTCCCAGTTGATTTGAATGCGGTTGGACTCTCTTTGCTCCCCGCCAGGTAGTTCATTTGAATAGATGGCATCCCACATCTCGGAGACAATTTGGAATCCCTTGTCAACCTCAGGCTCACAGAGGCGCCCCTAAGCCTTCGGTCTGCAAAGAGTATGCCTCGTAGCATGTTTTGTAAGTCCTAGGGTAGATATAGAATGGCTGATGTACGCGTTCGCTAGGCCTCTAAGCGCTCATTGAGCATTGTTTAGGAGTAGAATAATAAGAAGGCGTGACCCTCAGCACGTTCATGAAGCGGCCACACTCGGGTTGGGGAAACACCACTAACAGAAGTCCATTATATACATCGACATGTTGACATATGCGACACTCCAAATATACTCTGCACAAAAATATGGCGCCAAGAAAACAACCAACAATTCCAACATTGTTCAATGATCACACTTTGTTGTCCATTACAACTATATCCGGCGCACCCGAAACCCCACGTCAACCGGCATTCAGTTCTTCGCCTCCACGATTCTTCACAATACCTTCGAGACGAAGCAAGGGATCTTCCCTTTTAACAAGTAAAAAAAAAACCTGTACCCCACAGCTTAATGCCCCGACAAACATATCCCCTCACACCCCCCACAACTCCAATAGCGCTATGCCCCAATAACCTCCTCTCTCCACCACCAGACCGCCTAATCAACACCCCAACAACCCTCTCAATAACCCGCGAAACCCCAGGCCGAACGTTCACTGTCCATCTCGTCCGCGCGCACGAACCCCTTGATAGTCCAGACCGACACACGTTGCTCTACACCGTATCGGGGAAACCATGGCCGCACACGCAACACCGTCAGATATGTGATGCGGATGGGGTGCCGATTCTTGAGCTTAGACGCGTTTGGATTGGATCTCGGAGGTGGGCTGTGCGGTGTCCTGGTGGTAGAGCGGACTTACTTGAGGCTTCTATGCCTTGGTCTGGAAGTGGGAGTGGGAGTGGAAGTGCTGGTTTTAGATTTGATGTGAGGTTCTGGAATGTGCTTGGGACCGAAGCTTCAGACATGGGATTGCATGCACATTCATCTGATCCGGTATCTGATCCCGTGTCTACTGTGGATTCTGGGTCTTTACGCGGTCTTGGTGACGAGCCGCCGCCCTATGCTTCTGTTGCTGGCGATATAGAAGAAGAAGATCACGGCGAAGCGAACGAAGTCTGGAGAAACGAAAAAGGCGACTCATTTCCTAATCCAGAAGACGAACTAGGTCCGGAACCAACGCCACAGGTTGGAAAGGACCAAGACTCGCACACTGTCCTCCCATCTTATGCCTCTGTCCGCAGGAACTCGCCAAATTCCATGAGAGATCTCCTTGATGCTATAGAGCCACCGAATGAGCCAGCCCCAGCCGTACCATCTTCATCTTCATTCCAGGCTCCAAATTTAATCTCTGCTGGCACTCCAACCGGCTCAAAAGTTGATCTCAAAGTGATACAGCTCCAGGCATCCGGGATAGGCGTGATGATGGAGGACCAAAAGATCATCCATATAGCGAGGCATAATATTATAGACTATGGCAAATCGGGAATCAAGTCGAAATGGGAGGCTGAAGTTGCCGAGAGAGTGGATTTACTGCTGGTGAGTTTTATATTTCCTTTGTGTTTCTGTTAAATGCTAACTTGATATAGGCGGTGAATATTGTACTGATCATGGCAAACTCGGCATAGGCCTCTAATGAATAGGAACGTATAATGCTTTTCATAAATATAAGTATTATATTCCTCATTTGTTGTAGTGCATACACGTCTCTGATATGACATCCGAACTGCCGAGGCCATAGTATAAAATTGAAATATACGCTTGGAGCTGAATATATAGATCTAGATTCCTAATGCTATGCCGAGTGCTAAATCCCTATCGCCTTTTTAATCTCGTTCTAGACGGAGTGGGAACCATAACCGTCCTAAATAAAGACACTTCCGAGAATTGCCTTTCCTGTCAATAAAGTGGGACTATGGCCCACTTCGCGCCGAGGTAATAATAGCCCGAGGCGCAGTCCAGACTATGGAAAATTTCTGCAGGTCAAGTGGTCGGGAATAAATTCATTTTATAGAGGTTTGGGGACTAGTTTGAGAATACGTGCTGATGTGTGCATGTATGGCATGAGGCCAGTAAAGGCGAGATCAACGAGGAACCGGTTAGCGCGGGCTAGTGGCTGGGGGAGAAGCTTGTTTTTTTATGAAGATATGATATAATTCATAATGCATGCATGGCCTTTGGCCTCTGATCTCCTATCCGTTCTTTGTTGCTGTGCTCCTAATTCCAGCTTGGTATAGTTCCATGGGCCGGCATCAAATTCTGTTTCAGGACCAATAACCTCGCCCATTTCTCAATTTCTCAATGATGGCCACGTTTCGGATCCGGCAACTGACGCGTTCCCCTGGATATGACCTCAATCTGCATTAGCGACGTGGGTCCGGTAAGTTGGAGACAGCGCGGGTGAAGGACCGGGGATCCTCATCTTAGAAAAAGAACGTCCTTCCCCCTTGCTCGTGCCTCAAGAATATGAAGTGTCACTGTCCGTGGGGTGTTTTGACCGTTGCATGTTGGGCTTCCTGTCGTGCGAGTCTAGGGTTTGCTAAGAGATATCTTCCCCTGAGTGTCAAACCCATCAACTGTCTAAAAAGGTAGCTTTATTTCCGGCTACTTCCGGCAGGGCCCAATTTTGCAGTTTTAATTGCGCGAAATGTCGAATGCGCAGGAGAACTTTTCATCTATGCCTCCCCACTCCTCTGAGGATGAGGAGAGAGACCGCGAGGGTCACGGCCACCTTGGTGATCATGGCGACAATATGACTAATTCAGAGACTCTTTGCCAAAAAGAGGACAGTGAGAACGTTTCGAGTATCTCGGATTACTCGCATAGATAATAAGGAAATGGGTGGTATAAAAGGATTTGAGACCTCTAGTACGACGACCCTCTTGTTCAAGTTACGCAGCAACAATGCAGAATACAATACGATATGGAGCATCACAGCGTCAAAATAGCACCACAAAATGCAATCCAAGCAGGCAAATCGGCAAGAGCCATCCTAACTCGATGAACACTCAACCACCTCTCCATATCAACCGTAGCACCAACCCCACTCTCCCCCTGATCCTCCTTCACGGCAGAATCCTCAAAGATCCTCTGCACCGGCCCGGCGACAAAAGGCACAAAAGCGAGGTGCCCAATAGCACCCACAAGACCAACCCAGTAAAAGAAAGTAGTCTGCAATGGGCGACTCTGAGAGGGACGATATCTATTCATGAATAGCGTTGCAGCAGCCGAGGAGATCGTGCTCATATTTAATGCGAGAACGGTCCATACGCTTCGTTTGAAGACTCGCTCAAACCAGGTTGGGAGGATTGTGTCTGAGGGTTGGCGGATTGATGGTGTTAGGAAGGCATTGAATGTAATGTGTTCTAGTATCGCGTGTGCGAGGGTTCCGGTGCTTGTTGCTAGTGGGATTGTTTGGAGGAGGATTTGTGGGTTGAAGATGAGTCCTGACGCCATTTTTGCTGTGGATGAGTTTGTTAGGGGAGGGGATTTTGGTGATATATAAAATGGGGGTTCATGCAAAAATGGGCTGATGTCGGGGATTAGTTGGGCTTGGGGGCCAAGCTCGGGCCCCTTTTTCCGAGGATCGTGGTTAGTTGCATTTTAGAGAATAGCTGGGAATGAGGGTTCTATCCTACGATATCAAATTAGTGTCCAAGAGGGATCCTTCAAACCCATTATCTACATATTTTGCTACAATTGATGCCGGAGAATACAAAACAACATCTATGGGTAGAAGCAATAATTGCATGATCCATATCCTATACATTGGGGTACGCGGTGTCGAATTATACATATACTAAACCACCACCTCATTGATGATGCCATCGAACTTGAGTCCTTCTTCGTGCTCAGTGCGATTCGTCTTAACCAGATGTTCCCAGAGCTCGGGATACTTCTGGATTGCCCACTTCTCAACCTCATCCTTCCAGTACTGATACGGGATTGCGTTGTAGAAAAGTCCGATACTAAGATTATATTAGCGGGGCTCACAAGTTATGAATCACAAAGTAGTACTCACGTATTACTGGTTGGAAGGATTCCGACCTCGGCTTCCATGTTGTCGATGGCCTCGGTTGCCAGATCGAATTCGCACTGTGCTGCCACGGCTTCCATGTATGCCGAGTAAAGCGGGCGATCAAGGGTGATATCTAGCTTCTTGACTTTGGAAATCATTTTCAAGGCTTCTTGAGCACCAGTGTGGTGCTTCTCGCAGACCTTGAAGAATATTCTGATAGTGTGGCGAGTAGGACCTTGTTCAGACTGAAGAATTTGTCTGAAAATATCCATACTCTTCTCTGGCATTTCGCATGCAGTATAGGCCATCATTAGGCCATTCAGAATTCTGGTAGTCAGGTCAACTTCAGTGTCTAGCTTAAGCATGTTGTGCACAAGTTCCAGGTTGGTGGCATCGGCCGTGCGAGATAGTCCTTGGAAGCAACGGGCGTAGGTGTCTGGTCTGGGGCGACGGGGCCATTCCTCCGCCTGGCGCATATGTCCAAATACCTGGACGGCAAGATCACTGCGCTCGCGTTCGAAGAAAGAGGACATGATCTTGGTTCGCATCGGGACACCGGTCTCTGGGAATGCAATTTTCAGAAGCTCATATACGTTCCATGCCTCTGTATCGGACTGACTCATGTCCAGAATGAAGTCTGTGAGCGCGGATCGAACCCACATTTTCATTTCATCGTCGTAGTCTCCCAGCCTTGGACGTAAGAGATCTGAGACAGCCTCCAAGTCGTGGCGATAGAGAAGTAGGTGTGTCAATGCGGCAACGGTCTTGGGATCAAGACGAACATTGTCCTGGAAGAGAGGGTCGAGGAGGGATGAAATTTGTTGGAACAAAGCGTCTTTTTCCTCGGAGCGGCAAAGCATCGTGATCAATTTGTTGGCAAGGGGTAGATTTCCAGTTGTGAGGGAGTTCGGGTCGACCTTCTCCTCCAAAAGCTTCAAGGTTTCCTTGACATCACCAGCCTGGATGCGGGATTCCAATTGCAAAGTGTAAGTGTGCTCATCCGGCGTGAGGGCCCATTGTTCTGCCAGCTTCATGAATTCGGCAGCCAATTGGGGTCTCTCGAAAACATTGGCAAACTGAAGCAAATCATTCACAGCTTCAATTGTGATGGATGACTCGAGTCCGGGGTTCTTTGCAAGCCATGTGTCAACCTTCATTGCAATACTAGAAGCGTCGCTCTCCTGTGCTGCTTCCCAGAGCAGCATGATCCTCGCAGTTTCCGGGCTGGGATCACGGGGCAGAGTCTCGTAAATGGTTGAAGCCCATTCAAGTTGAGACTTAAAGATACAATACTTGATGACAGCCTCTTTTGCAGCCAGGGAAGGTTCGGGTTGGTCGGAGATCGAGAAATTGTAGACAGTCTGGACTGCATGAAGCTGGTCCTGGTCAATGAGGAATATGAGCAGTTCAAGATGAGAATTGCTGTCAAACTTGTTGCCATGTTTCTCGAATTCCTCGACGATTCTCCGGACCGGCCGCAGATCGTCTTTCAGGGCAAATCCCTTAAGCACAGTGAGCCAAGGCGATGGTTTGGCGTTGCGCAATTGGCCCATATACTTCAGCACTGTATGTCTCGCTTCTTCGGGGTTTCCATTCATGGCTGTGAGATTAACGTAGAGAATAATAGCTTCTCTGCTAATCTTGTTCGCGCCAAATCCATGATCCGCGCAGAGTTCATTATATGCGAATCGGCCGAGGCGCAGGACAGTCTCGCGAGCCTCCTGAGGAATTTCACATTCATTGAGCACATACAGCATCTTCTCAAGGTTCTCAATTGAAAAGACATTCTGATACTCGTCTTCTTCCAGCTCGGGTTGTTGCTTCTTCAAATGTTTCCACGTGATGTTCAGGTGGCGAGCTTGGAAAAGATTGATAGTTCCTGGTGTTTCGAGTCGTGTAGCAAAGAATACTTCAAATGCCTTTGCGAGGACGTCATTGGGAGGGGGTCTGCTTCTATCGACGAGAGACCTCATCAAATCCGCCATTGGCTTCAGGCCTTTCTCGGAGGGTAGCGTGGTCGACTGTCCCTCGGAGTTTTGGGACAGATTAAAGGCGAAGAGTGTGCGTCGTGACATATGCGGCAGACCTGGGAGAGGACCTCGTACACGTAGAGGAGCTATGGTATGTAGCAGACGGTACCGACGGCATTGCGAGAAACGAAGCGGTTCATTGTTGATGAGTGCCTGGAAGACCCGTCTGGTGAGATGGGACTGCATGATGAAATGAGAGCAGAGCTCGAAGCTCAAGTCGAATCAGGAGAATTGGTGTCAATGGAAGAGGTCGCGACGCGGAGAGATCTGGAGTTTGCTAGGCGGAAGAAGTCTTGGCGAAAAAAGATCTCAACTCCGCGTTGATCCCGGACTCCCTGCAGCCAACGTCTATCGTCGAGGATTCAGTCAAGATGTCGTTGAATCTCTTTTCGTTGTCTTTATTGCGCAATGTCGCCACTACCGCAAATGTCGGTCTTTCGATCAGTCGCTCCAGCTCAACTGCAGCCATGAGCGCCTTCACTTCGCAGCGCAACACAGGCTCACAGGGTAAGTGTCACCCGACAGTACAGATCTACTGTTGATATCTCACAAATTGGATATTGGAAGAACTGGGTCAATATGAGAACGGCCGCTGACGTGTTGCGATAGGCTCCAATGTGCTCCAGCGACGCCGTCTACCCAGCCGTCTGAAGTACCTCGAGGACCAGAAGGTGCAGGGTGAGAGCCGCGCTCTCGAACGATTCCAGTCTCGCGAATTCAAGGCCGGAGACATTTACGCCCCTCACGATCTGAGCCCAGCAGAGATGAAAAAATGGGGAAAGCGCAAGAGCCCTCACTCGGACGCTTTCGACGCATTGAACTTGAACCCTCTCGACATGTACAAGGTATGGTTCCTGACTATCCAGATATCCTCCGATCACCTTTGCAGATGCAACATATTCATCATATCCATATGACGAACATTGGCTGACGCGTTCCTCTGAACAGAACTTCGCCGTTATGTCCGAATATATGACCTCAATGGGCCGCATTAAGCCTCGATCCGAAACTGGTCTGCGACCTGTCAACCAGCGCAAGTTGGCCAAGGCCTTGCGACGAGCTATTGGCATGGGTCTCATGCCCAGTGTTCACCGACACCCTGAGATCATTGCATCCGAGATGCGGGCACGTATGGAGGGCCCTGGTGGCTTCTTCTGATTTGAATATATCATTTTGGGGGCCTGGGATAGATCTTGGTAGAAGATGTTCTTGTATAAGTACAGGCCGGTGCCTGATTGAAGGGGCACTTCGTGTATTATTACTCTTAGCGCTATGCATTTATTTCTGAGTTATTTCAATCTTGTATGGCATGCCACATAGATCGTAGATGTTGTACTGCACTCTGCATTTACTACAGACAAAAAGGCTGAGACGTGGCTGGTGTTCCCCGCTAAGTGGCCGGGTACGTCAGTCGATAAACACCCTCCCCTCCTCAAACACTCCCAGAGTGCACCTCAGCAATGTCACTTACGAACGGTGAGATCCTGCAATCCTTATTTAGTGTCTTACCGTCCTGACATTCTCTAAGAGTCCATCTGGGCTGCGAGCCCCTCCACCGCCCGCGGCCAGCCCACGCAGCTTTCCTCCGATGCCAAAGGCGAGCGATTGGCCTATGCTGTATGTCTTTCAACCTGACAGCCCACTACAATGGAATTGTATAGATCTGACAATATCTACTACAGTCCAACAAATCGATCTTCCTGCGTTCAATTGACGACCCCGCCGTCGCTAGGCAGTACACCGAGCACAAGGCCCAGACAACAGTTGCACGTTTCGCCCCATCTGGTTTCTACGTTGCCAGTGGTGATGCTGCTGGAATTGTGAGAGTTTGGGACTGTGTCGGCGAAGGAATCACGAAGGGCGAATATAGCATTGTCAATGGACGCATCAATGATCTAGCCTGGGACGGTGACTCTCAGCGCATAATTGCTGTCGGTGATGGCAAGCAGCGATATGGACACTGCATCACCTGGGACAGTGGAAACACTGTTGGCGAGATCCACGGCCACACGCAACAACTCAACACTGTGTCCATTAGGCAACAGAGGCCTCTGCGTGCTGCCACTGCTGGCGACGACCGAAAGACGGTCTTCTACCACGGAGCGCCTTTCAAGTTCAACATGGGAATTGCCGACAAGCACTCCAACTACATCTACGGAGTTCAATTTAGTCCAGATGGCTCGCACTTGGTCAGTGTTGGCGCAGACCGCAAGATCTGGCTCTACGATGGCAAGACCGGTGAGACCAAGGGCCAGGTTGGTGAAGGCGAACACAATGGCAGTATTTTTGGTGTCTCTTGGGCCAAGGACTCCCGAAAGTTCGTAACCGCAAGTGCCGATCGGACTGTTAAGATCTGGGATGTCGAAGCTGGCAAGGCAACCCAGACCTGGACTTTGGGAGAGGAGGGTGCTATGGCTGTTCGCGACCACCAGGTTGGCGTTGTTTGGCCCCCTGGAAGAAGCGATGACTTGCTCATTAGTTTGTCGCTCAGTGGCGACCTCAACTATCTGGTCGAAGGTACTCCCAAGCCCCGCCAGGTTATCTCTGGACACCAGAAGAGTATCACCTCCTTGAACCAGACCACTGTGGACAATAAGGAAACTCTTTGGACAGGTAGTTTCGACGGAAGAGTGTGCAATTGGGACGTGGCCACCGGCACCGCCGAGGAGATCGAGGGAGAGGGTCACCCCGGTTACGTTGCCGGGCTTGCGACGACATCAGAGGGATCTGGTAGAATTTACAGTGTCGGCTGGGACGACACCATCCGCTCTGTCGATGTTGCCGCCAAGACCTACACCGGTAGCGCTTCGAAGCTTAACGGACAGCCAAAGGGCGTTGCGGCTGGTGACGTGACCGTCCTGGTCGGTGAGAGTGAAGCTGTCGAGATCTTCCAGGATGGGAAAAAGACTGGAGAATATAAGACCGACTTCCCTGCTACCACTGTCGCGGCGCACGGCTCCATGGCAGCAGTCGGAGGCGAGAATGGATCAGTTCAGATCTGTGCCATCTCCAGCTCTCGACTTTCTCCCCGAGCGGACATCAATGCCTCTCGCAACCCGATTTCTTCCCTTGCCTTCTCTCCAGATGCCTCTCACCTGGCAGTCGGTGACTTGCGGGGACGTGTCCTGGTTTTCAAGGTCTCAGATGGCAGTCTGGTTACTGACCGCTGGACAGCACACACCGCACGAATCACATCCCTTGCCTGGAACCCAGCGGGCACACACGTTGTGAGTGGATCACTAGACACAAACATCTTCGTTTGGAGCCTGGCCAAGCCTGGCGACTGGATTGAGCTGCAGAATGCTCACAAGGAAGGTGTTCATGGAGTCGCTTGGGTCGAAGGAGGCGTGAAGATCGTCTCTGTCGGTGCTGACGCTGCGGTGAAGAAGTGGAAAGTGGAAGGCCTGCAATAGAGTGTGTATTCGCTAAGAATAAATTACCAAAGCCGGATTCATCTCAACTCCGAGCCAGTTTGAGATAAAGCGTTTAATGTCAGGCATAGAATTGGGCAGAGTAAACAGTGCGTGGCGGTGACAAACGGGAGGTGGCCGTAAACATTGTTCCAATCGTAGCCAGCCAACAAATTGACCTGCATAGCTCTGCGTGCCTCCGCTCAACTTTCTGACGTTTCGAGTCCCCAGAAAACAATCTCTTCTCCGCCATGAGGCTCGTACAATGAGTTTGCGCCAAGTCAGTGACGTGAGAACCTGAAGATGCCGTCTGGAAGCTCAAGCTCAAGCTCGCGCCGCTTGCGCCCTACAGTATGCACTCACATTCTCTCCCGTGTGGAATCTTCAAGACCCGCTTACATCCGCCGAAGCTGCGCCAGGCGACCTTTGTGCTCCCAAAAACAGGCCAGCGCCTCAGAGGCCTCGTGAACCTCCGCAATTCCACGCCAACCGACGAACACGATGAACGGCGCGGACTCCTCACGAACGAGATTCAGACACACTACGATGGGTACATCCCAAGGATCTCGCGTTACATGCACGATAAATGGGATCAGGCGAACCAATTTTGGAGGTCAGAGCTGGGGATTGGAGTGCTCAAGTACAGTCTCGCATATTTCATCGGTTCTCTTGCAACGTTCATCCCTGCAGTCTCAGCGTTGCTTGGACACCAAGATGGGAAACATATGGTGGCTACGGTCACTGTATATTTTCACCCGGCCAGGTCCCAGGGTGGCATGTTCAAGGCCTTGATCTGCGCGTTCCTGGCGTTCTGCTATTCCTCCGTACTGACCATCACGAGTATGTTCGTGGAAATGTTTTTCCAAGATACACTTCACCGGCCTGTCCTTGGCCATGCTGTGGTTCTGATTGTTTTCTGCGGTGGTGGACTAGGTTTCGTCGGCTGGACCAAGCAACGGCTCGGTGATCCTTTGGTGAATGTTGCTTGCTCACTCACTGCGCTTTCAACAATTACTGTTTTGACTAAAGAGGGCGCCGTGCAAAGCGGTGATCTTTCTCTTGCGAAGATCTTCCAGGTCCTAAAGATGGTCCTGATGGGCGTGGTAGCTGTCATGGCTGTGTCTTACTTCATCTTCCCCATTTCAGCGCGAAGGAAGCTGCGCGCGAACCTCGTCACTGTAACTGATACGTTGGCCATCATGCTGGCTATCATTACGGAGAGCTTCTTAAGCGGTTCTGAGGAAGAGCTTAAATCGGCCGAGTTTGTCGATGCAGAAGCTAGACACCGGAAGGCCTACGGACAGCTTGACAAGCTTGTCCGAGAAGCTAAACTGGAGCATTATGTCTTTGGCACCGAGAAAGAGTACAGACTTGAGAAAAAGCTCGTACGCTGGGTGCAAGATATCACACACAATATGGGAGGGTTGCGCAATGCAGCGTCCCTCCAGTTCAGTTTGATCCGCGAAACCATTGCCCGTGAGTCTAGCTCCGTGGATGATCAACAGGTTAGCTCGGCCCGTGACTACTTCACGCCAATTGAGCGATCGTGGTCATTCCCTGACGGGTCGTTCTTGGAGCCTATCGTTGAGCGACCAGAGGAGGAATTGTCTCCCAGCGGCTCCACGTGTTCTCGTCAAGGTGAAAGCGCCCAGGCGACACCCAGGCCATCACTACTCCCAGCGGATGTTTTTACAATTTTCATCTCGCACTTGGGACCATCGATGGTAAGTTGGAAAGCCAAAGTATTCCTTGTACAAAAGCTGACTGGATGAAGCGATCGTTGGCATTTACATTGAAAGAAATATTCAAGGAGATCCCATTCGGGCCTGCTCCGAACTACAAGGTCTCGGTGAATGGGCGGCTGCGGATCAGCCTTGATCGAGCTTTAGAGCTCTACAAAGATTCACGCCAAAGGACACTCGAATCTCTATACCAGCAGAAAGAAACGATGAACATGAAGACCCACGAAGCGGAGGCTGACCTTGAGGAAGTCTCAGCAAGTTGCGGTCATTTCAGCTTTTCCCTCCTTGAATTTGGAGAACAGCTCCAAGAGATGCTGGCTATCTTGGATGAGCTGCAGCTCGAAGTTGAGGAGCGGCCTCATGGACGGTCCTGGTCCTGGCTTAAAATCTGGCAATGGTCAAAAAGCACAAAGGCCGCCAAAATAGGTGCTTTTGGTGCTGGTGAGCCTACGCAACACGCCATAAGCTCTTTGAACATTAAATTGACCCTCGCAGAACAGGATTCCATTGCCCATACAAATAATCATATCAACCACCGTCGTCATGCATCCGACGGACTGATCCCACACGACAGAGTGCCTATTAACATTCAGGCCCACAAAGCACCCTCTTCAGGAGAAACAACGAAACAAAGACTCGGCTACCGCATATGGAAAGCCCTTGGTTTTATCCGAAGAGATGACACAAAGTACGCGATCAAGGTCGGAGCAGGAGCAGCTCTTTACGCCTTACCAGCGTTTTTACCCTCAACTCGTCCTTTCTATACACACTGGCGAGGAGAGTGGGGTTTGCTGTCCTACATGTTGGTTTGCTCAATGACAATCGGTGCTTCGAATACGACGGGCTATGCTCGTTTTCTCGGTACCTGCCTGGGGGCAGTCTGTGCTATCGTAGCATGGGAGGTAACGTCAGGAAACGTATTTGGCCTTGCATTTCTAGGATGGCTTATGGCTATCTGGACTGGATATATCACCATTGTTCGAGGCAATGGTCCGATGGGCCGGTTCATCATGCTCACCTACAACCTTTCCGTGCTATATGGCTACTCTCTTGCCCAAAAGGAAGCAAACAATGATGAAGATGAGGGCGGTGTGAACCCCATTATGAGTGAAATCGCCCTTCATCGTGTTGTTGCTGTCCTGTCAGGCTGCATTTGGGGAATCATCATAACTCGCATGATCTGGCCCATTAGCGCAAGGCATAGACTGAAGGAAAGCCTGAGTCTTCTATGGCTGCACCTGAGTCTCGTTTGGAAGCGGGATCCCCTTTCAACCATGGCTCAAGAGGGGAAGAATGTTGTTTATATGACTCCGCGAGAGAAGCTCGAGATCGAGCGATTCTTAGCCCGCTTGGAATCTCTTCAAGGTGCAGCTGGTTCCGAGTTTGAGCTGAAAAGTGCATTCCCCGAAGCTTCGTATGCCAACATCGTTCGCCGCACCCGCATAATGGTGAACTCATTCCATACCATGAACATTGAGTTGATGAAGAATGATCCTGCTACTGAAGGCGAGATCAGTCTTCTTCGATACACCGCAGCAGAGCGACAGCAGCTCTCTGCTCGCATCAGTCATCTATTATCAGGTACGTTTCTACGAGCTGCCTGTATCTCGTGATTACGTACCCTGCTAAGCAATCTTTCAGTCATGGCTTCATCGATGAAGCTTGAATACCCCTTGAGCGATGTGCTTCCTAGCATTGAACATGCCCGTGACCGGTTGCTAGCTCGCATCTATCGCTATCGTCTGGACTATGAAGTATCGCAGCAGACCACAGATGAAGACTGTTCTTTGCTCTATGCCTACAGTGAGTTCAAACTTTTTATTCGTTCAATTCATCTCTGACTGTTATATCTAGTCCTTGTGACTGGCCAACTGTCAAACGAGATCATGGAGATCATTGCGGAGATCGGACAACTCTTTGGTGTATTGAGTGAAGACGTAGTGCAGCTAGCTTGAAGCGTATTATGCGTCTGTTCAGAAAATCTTTTCAAAATGCAATTGATATCGACTCGATCTACACTGTAGATGCCAAGACCGTGGAGATCAATGCGGAGATTGAGTAGCTTGGGGTATTGAGTGAAGATACATTGTAGCTGGCTTGTGACTCTATTCAGAAACCCATTGAGAAAACTTCTCGATAAGGCCATTGACAGAACATTAAGGCGATGTTCAATGTAAAATATAGGCTGAGTTCGGCGCAGGTCGATGTATCCGTTTCTGGCGGGGAACTCGCAACTCGGAACCTCCCTTCCACCCAAACCCATCGCCATCTCTTTCACCTCATCGATTTCCATCGTCTATTCCTCGGTTACTTGTATGAAACTATCGTCTCTTCAATTCTACCCGATTTGATCACAGGAATCCTCCTTGATGAAGGCGTAGGTGCCGATATACCCTGCCCTTCGGCGTAGCCCGTCGCGCTCTCCAACCATGCAGATCGATCCGGCCGCCCTGAGTCGGAGTGACTCTGCATCGAATAACAAAGGCGCTGCGCCAAACGGTGCGGCATCAATCAAGACATCCCGAGCTTTGATATCTGTGCCGCGGCTGGACCTGGAGCATGCCTACACGGACCTGAAGGCCGCCATCGGAGACAAGTGGAGCGAATACAAGGAGTCCACGGCCCTTTTCCTACTAGGTATGAGCTGGATTGCATTGGATGTCTGGCCAGAGAACAATATCCGAAGCGCTGTGAAGACTGTTCCTTTTCTCCCCGCGAATTGGACCTGATTAGCTGACCTCCTGACCTCTTGCCCGATTCTAGGACATTACAATCAGAACGAATACGCATCGCGAGTCGACTATTTCCTATGCGCAGATCCGAAAAATGAACATCTACACAACAATTTTGTATGCGCGCTCATCGGAAACCTCACACGCGACCTCCCCGATCATGGCGTCGCAAATTGGGTATCGGCCAACGATAAGCCATCGGCCGTCTCGAAACCCGTCTCCGGAGATGCTGCGGAACAAAGGTTGAAGACCGAGGTCATGCAACTACCTCCGAGGGACCGCCGGCGCATCAAGGCAATCACCGAGGTAGGTGTTCGCGACAGCGATATCTTCGCACTCACCAGCAGCTGACAAGTCAACTAGCGCGAGAACTACGAGACATTGCCCACGGAGCTCGAGCAATCCCATCTGGTCAAGCAAATCAAACTACCCAGTCAGGTACCCGCAAGTGCAGGCGGGCTGAACAAAACCAGTAAGGCACCGCCACTCCCCTATCGGACAGGATACCGTCTTCGTGCCCGTGGACATCCCTCTTCCAACAACAGGCCCTAACAATTTTCCTTCACTCTAGACTGGGAACTGGAAATCCGGAAACGATATGCCCAACCCCTCGCTGCAGAAACCGGCGAATTCCCCGACGCCGAATCAATCTATTCACGAATGGTCCCCATATGTTACGAAGAATCCCTCCCCAGTGGTGCTGGTCTCCCTTGTGCTGAATTTATGGCCATTGCGACGGAAACATTTGTCAAAGAAGTTTTGTCCGCGGTCTTCTCACGCACACGTTCGAACGGTCCATCGGGTACAATCAACAACATGATGATGCGCAAATATCGACAACAACTTGAAATGGAAGAACTTGCATACACACGTGGTGAAATTGCGAAAGATGCTGCGACAGGCTTGCTACCTGTTGAGGCACGTGAGGCCAAGCTTCGGAGACCTCTAGGCGTCAGAGACCTGCGGCTCACTCTGGAGCTGGGCGGCGGTGTTCTTGGTCATATGCCACTCATAGTGGATCAAATCATGGGCGGATACTTTGAAGACGAGCTCGAAACAGAGAAACAAGATCGGTTGGAGAACGGAGTTGAACTGCATGAGGATATCAAAGAACCCGCAGAAGACGAGATGGACCTGGACGAAGACGAATCTCTCCTGGACTGGGAAGGAGGCGGTGTTGGTGACCGAGACCAGCTGAGCTCATTGCTTGACGAGTGTCTGTCCATGGCCGCGTGAGAATTTTATACCCCCTTTTTCCCTTTTTCCATTTCTCTTTGTTTTCATACCTGCTGTCACATTACATTTTTCTTTCTTCGTTTTTGTTCTGTTCCCGGTCTGGAGGAAGGAAGGCTCACGGCGTCTAGGTACTACTGAGGGAGGCTGTCACCGTTGTGGCGCCGCATGATTTGCATATGGATTCGGAGTTTGAAGATATGTCTTTGCGATCCGTTCTCGAATGTCTCTGTCTTGTCCTACTATTCCCACACATTCCTCTGTATCTCGGTCGCTTTCAAGACGACTTGGCGATGTATAATATCACACTTCCTATCGAAAGGGCAAGGCAGAGCTGTTGAGACAGGGAAAAGCTCGAGGAGGCAAGAGAAAAAAAAACCGAAACAATAGCCATTCCCCCCTGCTGGGGGTAGGAGGTCAAGCTTGTTCGATACCCATGCATTCCATTCGTTTACTACATTTCTTTCATCCACGTTAAGGGCTGCTAAATAGTCCACTTCCCATCAAATCTGTTAATTGATTGTCGTCTGGACATAAGAGAAGGGCTATCTGGACAAAGTGTAGACCTAGCGAATCGCCCAATCCGCATCGAACGCATCTTGGACCTTCTTCGCTACACCATCATGCGGAGAGGATCTTCCCCGCCGCACATGTCATACCCCTAGCGGATGCGAGACATTGCAAGTAAGCATCCTCACTTCCAGCAGCAGCATTCAGGCCAGCAGTGAGGTTATATGCCCGTAGCGCTGTCTCGATGCTGAATCCACTATGGAAAGAAGGACAAACATAGGACACATTGCCTAGAAGGATTAGCAATCGAATCAATTCAGTGTACTTACATTGATCGGTAGATCCGAGAGTGGATTTCTCCAAGTCACCTTCGACCTCTGTGTCAAAGCTGGCCATTTCGTCAGCGTAGAGTCAGCAAATGGCCTGTTTTAGCCTCGGATCTGCGTATTCGAAGATTCTATGGATCAATCAATCAAGCAATCAAAGTTCTATTGAGCTGTTGGAGCCTATCTAGTATTGAATAGCTATGCAGGTGCTTCTTTCCAGTTGAAGCAAGAACTCGTGTCCCGTGCGCCTGATCATGCTCCAGTACAGAACTTGAGCTGGTCCTCGAAGCGAGAGAGAGCACTGGCCCTACATGTGAAGTCAAACCCATAATCTCAGTAAACAAGAAGCTAGTACGAATGAGAGTCTCAGCGCTGTAAGCCTCTAAGTACAAAATGAATGCGTGGATGCACCGTCCACCTCCCCTGTCCTCACCTCACATCCCATATAAACACCTCTCGATCTAGATGCCAGCCAATTCCTGCTACAGCAAGATCAAACCCTGTTCTTCGGCGTCCTCACTTCAGCCTCAATTGCTGATTATCGTTCGTCAGGCCGAGCGTGGGCTTGAGCCCCGTCCGGCAGCGCGTATTCGAATAGCACATCGAGGTTCTCTCCTCCCTCGACGGTGTTAGCAAGCATTGGGTAGTGCCCAGCGTCTTCGGGACCATGCCTGCCGAAAAATTATGAAAATCCACTGTTCTAATCAGTATGCAAGCCCATGAGACAGAAAGAAAGAGTATGACTACTTACCCTCCATGGTGCGATTGAGTTGTCGATGTGGCCAATTTCATATGCTAGCAGACCACCAATGACTGACGCACTCTACAACCTGGACACCATCGCTGTCGAATCAGTATTACATTCACAGGACATACTATTCTCAAGCAACTCGCGCAGCTTATCTCTGGAAGTAGGACTCATTGCGCGCTTCATCATATTCCTGATGGGAACGGATGTCCAGGTTGCTTTTGAAGGATGTGGTAGGGACCTAGCAAACTATCTGTACTCCAATGGCCTCTACCGAAGAATACTCTCATCGCAGTGGTGTGTCTAAGAATAATTTTGGGGATCCTCCTATCCGGACTCTGAGCTTCATCGGGAGATATTGAAGTCTCTATATCCTAGCAGATGGGTTTCGAGATTTCCGTCATAATTTAAGCGGCAACTGAACTCGGCCGGTCGTCACAAGGGTTTTATCTGTCGAGATTTCAAGATAGAGAGGAATATCCAAGAGGTAGAGAATGTAAGTCCCTTGGATTCCCTTTCCTTCGTTCAATGACCTTTGTCGATTCACTACTTGTTCAATATCACTTCCTCCTTTCATCTCACATTCCAGCTTACCCGTTCTTTAGGAATACAGCGCCATCATTCGATTGGCAAACTCAACCCAGGCGCGCAGATCATATGCAAAAGAGAGTGCCGATACTGCATTACCTTACCTTCATTTCATACAGATCTATTATTTCCGCACAACCATCGACGATTATGGTCAACAATGTCCACCCTATATAGTCAGTGCAATATCAACGATACTGAATATTGCGCACAGGGCGTTTACATCAGGCCAAGAGCGCACAAATGATCTGCTTGAGCCCCCCCCCCCCCCCCCCTGTTTATTGTGGGAATAGAAACTAAGGATAGGATTCATTTGGACTGGATTCTGAAAAGGCCACCAACAGCGCAGTACTCATCTGCGCTTCGACACACCAACCTCGCTCAGCATCAGACGGGAAGAAGGCTTGCCATTTCCGAAATTCAGTATCAGCTGCGAAGTCCCGATAAGCAACGCGGATACCTTGCAAGATGTAACTAAATCAAGTCATTGTCCTGCTGTTCTGTTAGCTAGGAGAGCCAGCCAACTAGAGATAAAGGCCGTTGTAGCACGATAATTGCGGTGGCTATCCTTTAGAATTTGAGCCACTTGATAATACGTATAGCGAATGGCTGCTCTTTCACTCAGAGCCAACTGTCTGCTATCTGTCCAAGGTGGTCTAGACATTATTTATTTGACCTTCATGAAAATTATGCGAACATTTGGCAGCCTCATAGATTGAACATTGGCGAATAGACTCAATGATTGGGTGGGATAGCCGATGTCTTCTTGCCTCGGCTAAGCTGGTTTGTCCGTGTACTACAATCTTCATCTGATCGATATAAATGTCCATGTCATAACGGTATTCATGTCTTACCACAAAATCGGGCATCTTATTATGTCTAGTCTATTTAAACAAGCCCAGATGCCGGTTTGTGATTGGATTGCACTGACCATGGTTCAAGGGCGAAGAGCAGAACATCCCTCTCTAACCCAAGCCTGGGGTTTTAAGTTTCCAAATCCTGTCACTAGATGTGTATACTTGTTAATTGGCTTGAGATATGATAGCTTTATCGTGTGATACAGCCAATTCGAGTGGCATGGCAGTGCCGCCATTTTGCATACAGTGAAGAGCTAATTCTCTGCTACTTAATAGGATAGTGCTGTTAGATGTGAATTGGTCGGTCTCTGCAGTACAGGCTCATTTATACTGGAACACATTCTATGATGTTGGAGAAAATCGCTTTTGTCGCTAAAGAAAAGTACTTTTTCATGAACCTAAGGTTTTTCCTTGATGCCCAATCTTCAATCTGCATGGCCCAACGCTTTAAGCCCGGTGCATCCAGTGGTGCGCGAGTGAAAGATTTGTAAATCTGTATTTTATCACCCAGGAGTACCGGTGGACCAGCGTTATTGTGTGAGCTTCGAATTAATGCTATATCCTCGCAACAGTGCCAACGGTAAACACTTTTCGCTGGAGGGGTGGGACCACAGTAGGGATATCCCCAGAGCTCCCAGCAAGACGGGCCCCGGCGCATTTGCAATGCACTCGGGGCATACTTGGCTCCTTAGAAGTATATCACGTTTGGGATCGAACCGGCGTGATCCAAGTTGATCGGTCTTCGGGGATGAGGTTTTGGAAGGTGACTGAACTACTTCTCAGGAGAAAGAAATAGATATCACGGTTGTGAGTAATGGCAAATCAATGACAGTCGATTGGACCTTTGTTTCTCCCACAGTACCTCACAGTTTGACCTGGAACCGCGGATGAGTGCGAATCTGCGCCCCATACTTCCAGAAGAGAAAAGGCACAGAGCACATCGCTAACGCAATGAATGCCAAGAGAGAGTTGCCCCATCCCAGTCCCAATGCAGCATACATCGATGGCCCAGCCAGAGGCAGCAGTGCTCCAACTAACGAGCGCAGCGCCGTGTTAGCTGCCGTGACAGATGCAGCATAGCGCAGGTATGAGTCAACCAGGTATGTACTGGCACACATAAAGACTGTCATCAGACCAACAGCAAACACGCCAGTACCAATAATGGGCACAATCCAGTGGACACCCGCCTGGGCTGACCAGCCATACCAGAATAAGCCTACAGGCATAAACCAGCAGCCGACCATCATGGGTAGCAGACGAGATTCAGGCGTGAAGCAACCCCGATGGATATGGTTCGCAGCGATGCGATTGGCCACAGCGCCAGTGACGACCAAACCCAGCATACTCCCGATACCAAAGCCCAGAAACGCCAGCCCCGAAATTCCATGAGAGAAGCCGTATTTTTCTTCGACAATGGAGGAAATTGTGGTGAACATGAGGTAGAGATAGCCGTATGTGGTGGCGGCGAACAGAGCCATGAGGAACACGATGGGTGAGCCGAAGAGCAGCTTCAGCGGGCGAGCCAGCGCCGAGAAAAACAGCTTCGAGTCAAGTTTGCCTTTGTCATGGATTGATCGGAGGTCGAGATTTCCTGTGGATTTGCGCAGACGAGCAGCCTTGCGCTCAAGGACGACGGGACCATAGGATTCACGATACCAGATGATAGTCAGGATCATCATCGCGCCAGTCTATCCCTTGTCAGTTATGCCTGGAAAAGAGGGAAACATGGACATACCACAATGGCAATAACCCAGAACACCCAGCGCCAGCCTTCGGCTTCGGCCAAAAAGCCGCCAGCGACGGGGCCAACGACCGGACCGAGGATGGGGCCCATAGCCCAGATGGCCATGATACCAGCTCGCTTCTCCTTGGGCACCATATCGGCGACGGTACCAGAACCAATAGTAAGCGGACAAACACCTGCCATTCCAGCAAGTAAGCGAAAGACGATGAGCTGCGGCATAGTTTGAGCGACGGCGCAGGCGATGGTGAAAATGAGGAAGAGCAGATTGCAACTGTGGTAAAGCGCTACACGGCCATAGATCTCAGAGAGAGGAGCGATGAGAAATGGACCGAAGCAGTAGCCCAAGATGTAGACGGAGACGACGAAGGAACCCAACATGCTGCTTGTGACGTTGAATTCTTTCATGACATCGCTGACTCCTGGTGTGAACATTGATGAAGCTAGAGGACTACCTAGGTGTTGTGGTTAGAGTAGTTCGACTCAAAGTGCTAATATAACTCACGTAATGAAGGTATTGAATGCCATCAAGACTAGTTGGCGACCTTTTTTCCATGTGGGCCAATTGAATGGATTCTCTGTATCATCTGGGCCGTCGAAATCGACGAGATTGGAGTCCTGTTTGACCTCCTCATCTCGAGGGATGATTTGTTTCTCGATGTCGGCCATTGTGTATTGAATATTGAAGTCAAAGACCATGGCGACATAGCTAGACATATATAGAAAACCGGGTACCGGCACGACTTCGGCTGTTGTATACATTTACTCCGACAGATTCTCCACCAGCCTATCATTCGACCAATCGCCGACTTTTCTGGAGCAGATTGTGGCTTATGCTCGATTTTATACAGACTTATACGAAGAACTCTGGCCCCTTTCTAGAATTTTCATATTAGTATCCATATTTGGATGCTAGAAGGCTCTAGGCTTGTTGATGTCTAATATATACCGGAAAATGCCACTTGAACTCTCTTTTGGTCTGATTTAGGGCTTCCGTTTCTTGATGACTAAAATCGAGCACGCCCTTGACTTGATTAGAGCAACTGTGACCTTTATCCTAATCGGGGACCTGGAGCCATCATTCAAATTGATCCCAAAATGCTAAGGGCTTTGGTAGTATTGTCAGGTTTCGAAATTATGTTGGTCTTCCTCCAGCTCTGCGTTGACACGGGCGAGGTCTTGCAGTGAATCGGCCCCAGCGACAGTATAACACCATTTTAAAGAAAGAGCATGTTTAATATCATAACAGATCACGTCGATATGCGTCATGCTGTGTATATGATTTAGTGCGTACCGCACCATATCCTGTTCGCAGGTATCAGATCCAGTTCGCAACGCTTTTTTCACGAAATTTGCAAGGTCATTGCTAAATTGCGCCCTCACAACTGCAATTCTATCTGCCAATGCTATCAAGGTACCTATTCACTTGAAACTACGTTCAACTTGACCGTGCAAATCATGTTCTGACCTCACCAGAATGTCACCCGCTAATACGAATTGCACAATTGCAGTTTGTACTGGATCTCTAGGAAAGTATTGCGCATCAAATACGCCAATGACTCTCCGTTAGAATTCTGGAACACGATATCCTCTCCTTTGGCTATCCACACTCAGCTCTTGCTACCAAGGCGAATCCCGTCGGGTACACTCCTTCTGGCCACACCAAAAATCCGTCTCTTGATCGGTATTTCTATATCACAGGTGAGCCCACCTCAACAGGAAGCCCCCCATGCGCCGGTATTATGTTCGCGGCCAAAACCTGGGACCCACAACGTCTTCTGATCATTAAATGGACGGACGCCGTTTGCCATTGGGAGCTCTGTTCGGCTGATCACTGGGAGTGGGACCTTTTTCGAAACGCCACAGACCTTAGGGTAGACGACATTTGGAGGCTGCCACGCTTTTGGTAAAAGGTAGGATGGTGAGGAATAGGAAAGAAATATTTGACCCGGGCTGCGTGATCCAGGCCAAACCCTCAATGGAAACAAACTTGAGGCCAAAGTATTAGTTCATCATTGTCTCAATATGGCCATTGTCAGGATTGACTGATACGAACTCGCCGAGCCAATTTCGAGAGTCGTCACGAAGGCAGGTGAATACACACGACCCTTGTGAAGTACCCAAGATTGGGATTTTCCAGAGCTTCGGGAGAAGTCAAACTCTTGATCGTATTGTGTCGGTCCGTCGATTATCAATGTTCTGTACCACACCTCATTGCGATCTTTTATCCAGACGCCTGCTTCAGTGGCGAAACTTGCCTAGCGCTCTCATACCAACTTGATAGTCGGGTTTGGTCCAATGATTGCGAGAAACTCATCGTCATGTAAGATAAACGGCATATCTGTGGCTAGATGCAGTACAGAATTGATGGTCGTATTCGTTGTGTTGGTTCCATTGACAAAACTGTAGGAAAGATCGCCCATGAAGGGTGAGGGGAGCAGATAAGTGTACTCATCGGGGATAGACGCAATAGCCCTGGTGCTCAATGCAGAACACAGCAGCATTGGCAAGAGGTAGAAAGCAAAGAGATAGTAGACGCGATGCCAATTCATGGCGGTTGATTGACGTGACCATAAATGGAACGACCTTTGTGAGGACATGAAATACGAACACTTCAAATGTTGCGAAGATCTCTCTTGGCATAGCAGAAATCGGATTACAAGATATTGAGTAACGACCTGCCTGTGCGCTTTTCCCGCGCGCCGTTGCAATATCAAGCAACCTTGGCGTATGCTTGGCTCGGTAGACAATATTGATTGGCACGGAGAATAGAAGAGGGCACGAAGGCAAGTTGCTTACTCTGTACATGTCATTCGTGGATAATCGTTGACACATACCAAATGGGTTAGCTCAAAGCCCTAGTTGGAATTGCAGATCAGTACATATATTTCCCAGCATCTAGAGTCGGCCCTTGGATTGTCTGGCAGATCAACCAGGCTGTGACGCGGCATATTCCATCATCTAGGTGAAAACCACTGGCTGTTCGTCGCTACGTCGTTGTCGCCCGGAGTTAGCATGCAATCCCCGCTATGCTGACCAGTGGAGCTTGCGTAGGAGCAATCCACAGCTTGACCATGTTCTATGATTCGGAGCTAGAAATATTCGCTTCACGAGAGTAATGTACTTAGATTGTTGAACTATCCACGTCATGTTCAGTTCTCAGTGTTCATGTTCACGTTCACCTAAAATGAGCAAGATGGGAGTTTCTCGGGGAAATACACTCAAATAAATGTCTATACTTCCATAAAGCTTCTCAAACTACTTCCGATACAAGTGAGTTTTAAATCTGCCTGGCCATACTTTTGATTGTCCCCAACTGATACTTGTTTTGCCGAAAAGGGAATGTCATTCAATTGATATCAATCAGAATTCGGTAGGCTCCGTCATGAAACTCAGCTTTATTTTCATTTAGCAATCGAGCAACGAAAATTTATCTGCTAGATTCAAGCGTATTCTAACAGGATGCCCGGGCAATTGACACCACGAGAATATGCACCAATCTGTTCAAGGTAGCCTTGATCAGTGCGGGAGCATACACACGTTATTATTGACATAAGGGTTGCGCGCGTTTAGACTTACCCTATGAACGACAATGGGAAAAGCTCTTGCTAGAATTCATTTTACCGCTAGAGTTCTTCATGCTTATAGAAAATCAATTGTCAGACAACAAGGACTGCACATTATGGCTCATCGAATGGCCAAGATCTTTTATAACTAGGTACACATCGGGGGCCTGTAGGTGGAGAAAGCGAGATACAAGGCGATCAAAGTGAATACAATATCATATAGAGCGATGGTCGAGATGAGCGTAAAAAGTATGCCAGGTCGCATCTATTCATGCAGTGCCCAGAATATGGAACGGATTGCCTGATAGAGGCTTATAACCCATGTTTTAACTTAATCTTTAATACGAGGAATCCCGGTCTTTTTCAAGTTTTTCATGTTAGTCTCCATATTCAAATAATGGCAGACACTAAACTCTTCATATCTGATACATGCATGCAGGTAAACGTTTCAATTCCTTGGGCTCTATGCGCCCATAACGCCTCTGGAAGTCCAAAACAGCTATCAAAACAACATATCAGCTAACTGATGGTATTCGCGACAAGCTTGAGGATTTCTTCGGTAGATCTGTAAGCATTAGTCGGGTCCTTCGCAATGGACTGCCAGATCTCGCCATGCTTGGGTTCCATCGACACGCACTTGGAGACGACATCTGATCGTTTCTCCTCTGTGCCATGCTGCATAAGGAACTTGTAATACCAAGCCCAGCCATCACCGTAATCGCTATCGGCAACAATGGCTTTCTCAAACCAGGTCATAGCCTTGTCCAGTCGACGCTCGCCCCAGAAGATGCGGGCTACAGTGATGAACAAGATGGGGTCGTTCTCAACCTTCTTAATAGCCTCCAAACTGCGAGCCTTGCGCTGGGCCCGGGGCTCGAGGTGCCAGATGCTCTCGCTCCATAAGAGACCTGATGTGGGGACTTCTTGGATGGCACGCGCCATGAGGACCTTAGCCTGGGCAATGTTGTTGGCGCGACGTTCAACGCGCACACTCTCAGTCCAGAGCTCGGCGCTCTTGGGTACAGCCAGGCGAGCACGATCAAGAACAGATCGAGCCCGGACGACGGCACCAGCTTTTTCTTCCAAGCGGGATGCGAGAAGCCAGAGCGCAACAGACTTGGAGCAGGCCCGGGTACCTGTTCCATATGCCTCTCGTGCTTGTGGGAACTTGTTCTGTGCTTCGTATAGCTGGCCCTTGATCATCCAGAGCTTATCGGCCTTTGGGAATAGCTGCAAACCTTGATTGACCAGGTCGAGGGCATCGTCAGTGTTGCCAAGCTGACGCTCGAAAGCAACACTCTTGACCCAGACACGATCTGTGCCTGCCTCGCGACGAGCGGTGGCAAGAAGCTCTCTAGCCTGGTCGGTCTGCTGGGCGTCGGCCTCGAGCTTGACAGCAGCCAGCCAGATGTCTTCGTTGTTGGGGTTTTGGTTGAAAGCGCGTCCAAGGACTCGGCGTGCGTCGTCGATCTCGCCGGACTGCCACTTTTCCTTGGCGAGCTGGAGCCAGAGCTCTTCGCTCCGAGGGCAAGCCTCGACGGCTTTCTCGAGGACCTGCCAGAGCGCTTCTTTGGTGCCGTGATTACGCTCCAAGTCTGCTGCTGCCAGCCAGATTGATCGGCGGTTGACAAAGACTCGCAAGGCGTAGGCGTAGATGGCCCGAGCAGTCTCATATCTACCACGCGCAATACTGGACTTCGCATCATCCATCCAGATATCCTTCCGGTCATCATCCTCATCCAGTCCCCACCCGAGCGTCTCTTGGATGATACCGCCACAGGTGAGAACAGCACCTTCCGCTTCACACTTTTCAGCTTCCGTGATCCATTCTTCTCTCTTCAGCATAGCATTTTCGCGAGCCAAAGCCTGGATAGCACGTTTCATAACATTGACCTTGGCAAAAGTACCCATCTGTTCCTGGAGTCGAGCTGCGGCAATCCAAATTTCATAGCTGGTAGGGACAGCCTTGCGAGCAGCGTTCAAGACCTTCTGTGCGGCATCTGGTGTCTCCAGGCGAGCAAGGGCAAGCCACAACTCGACTGATAGAGGGATCATCTCAACAGCCTTGGCCAGGAGTAGACGCGCATCAGCGGGATCTTCTTCCAGGTTGACGGCTTCCTTCCAAATCTGAACAGATTGAGGGATGTGCAAAATGGCCTGTCTAAGCACGTTCTTCTTGGCACGAGTGTCGGTTTCTAATTTCATGGCCTCAGTCCAAAGTCTCGTAGACCGGTCATTGTTCTTGATGGCGTTTGCTGCAATGACCTTGGCATTGTGGCCTTCATTGAGTCGAATATTCTCCAGCCAAGCGTCTTCGCTCTTGGGGCAAAGCTCACATCCCTTAGCGATGAGGTTTCTGGCGGCCACGATCCTGCCAGCGAGCTCCTCAAGGCGGGCGAGTGCAATCCAACCAGGAGCGTGCTTCGGGTTGGTCTTGGTGACGGATTCCAACAAAGTTCGAACTCGCTTGATATCACCGACCTCAACTTCACCGGCTTTGACTTCGGACTGTGTCAAGCTAGTTAGGTATCCCTTAGGGTCGATATTGGTAGCACTTCCTGATGATGTATCGGCAGATGATCCCAGCGCAGCCTGGTCAAGTCGGACCTTCAGCACTTTATCGCGCGCCGCACCAATGTCTGCGAAGTTTGTCATGGTGCCATCGGCTTCTCCGTCACCGCCATCAGGTTGCGTTCCATCGTCGGCGACTGATGTATCGTATTGGGCCGAGTCTCGAGCGCCAGCGATGACACTATCCGGAACGGCATAGAAACGCTGTCTGAGGTTCTGCTTCTCTCGTCGATTCTTGCCCGTCAAATCACCAACCTCGGGGAGGTTGGCCCAATCTTCTTCGGACACCGAAGCGAGGGTTCGTTTCAAATCGGCGAATTGTTGTTGGATCTTTGGGTTTTTGCGATTGTAGTCTTCTTCTTCGAGTTTTTCTCGGGCTTCCCTGTAGGTGGCGAGCGATTCAAGTCGGTACTCTGTCCAAACAACCGGGGCTAACCCGATGAACAAATGGTTTGAAGGGAAGATTATGGGGTAAGACTAACCTGCGAGCTTTCCGACGCCTATCCATCTTCTCATCTACCTCTTGGTAAATGCGATCTGCCTCATCGTCCTCTTGATCGAACTGTCCGTATGCGAACAGTCCGACCTCGTTCTCAGGATCCTGGAAGCGCTCATCGTCTTCTTCCTTCTCGTCTTCTTTCCCTCCTTTCTCGCGTGACTGGTTTCCGTAGGCAGTGGGTGCAGCGGCTCCTAGTTGCTGTGCCCTCTTGTTTAGAGCAGCTTGGATTTGTTCAGGTGTAGGGCCTTCGCGCGCCGGGCCAAGATCGGAGCGAGTGGTGAAACCGGTCGCACCACGACCAAGACCAGCAACATAGTTTTCAGGCGCCTGCTGGCTTAAGAAATCTTTTCGTCCGGACGCCATGTTGGGCACGACAAGCTCAGGAAGCTCGAGGTCAACGGCGAAGGAAAGGCGGGCATGAGAAAAGTTAATCCGGCGCCGGCAATCTTATCGGCCAAAAAAAGTTGCCCACATTGAAGTCGATGCGCAAGACTTCTTCTTTCCCTCATACCTGAATCCTTGAGGTTGTTCCTTTCAAAATGCCTAAAGTCGTGAGACAGAAGCGTAACAACGCTTCACAGGGTCTTTCAGATGCTGCCGCCAAGACCAAAGCTGCTCACAGCATCTTCAAGATGAACACTGATATTGGCCAGCACGTTCTGAAGAACCCTGGTATTGCAGGTAGGCTTCTCTCTGTCTGCATCATGTTTGCTGTGGCTAATGATTGACTGTATAGCTGCTATTGTGGAAAAGGCAGAGCTCAAGCAGAGCGACGTGAGTACTCGAGGCGATAGACTGAACTTCAAACACTGACGCTATACAATCTCCAGATCGTCCTTGAAATTGGTCCCGGAACTGGTAACTTGACAGCCAAGATTCTCGAAAAGGCGAAGAAGTGCATCGCCGTGGAATTGGATCCTCGTATGGCTGCTGAAGTCACCAAGCGTTTCCAATCCACCCCATACCAAAAGCGCCTGGATGTTATTCTTGGAGACGTGATGAAGACGGAGCTCCCATATTTCGACGTCTGCATCAGTAATACCCCCTACCAGGTATGTACAGCCCAATTTTGCAAGGGTCACGACTGTTCTAACGCAATATAGATCTCCTCTCCTCTCACATTCAAGCTTCTGGCTACATCTCCGGCTCCTCGCAGCTGTATTCTCATGTGTGTTACTGCCAACGCCCTCTTGCACAAGCTATTTTTATCATTGAGATCTAACACGACTCTCATACAGGTTCCAACGTGAATTCGCTCTGCGATTATTCGCTAAGCCCGGCGACAAGCTCTACAGTCGACTTTCTGTCAACGCGCAAATGTGGGCCAAGATCGACCACATCATGAAGGTCGGTAAGAACAACTTCAAGCCCCCACCCCAGGTCGAGTCCAGTGTCATCCGAATGGTTCCCAAGAACCCACGGCCACAGATCAACTACGAGGAATGGGACGGTTTGCTGCGCATTGTTTTCGTGCGTAAGAACAAGACCCTCCGGTCTAGTTTCATTGGTACCATGAGCATCATGGATATGCTAGAAGGAAACTACCGAACGTGGTGTGCGCAAAACGACATCCCCGTTGAGGATGGCCCGGCCGAGGTCGCCAACGACGATGCGATGGTAATGGATATGGGCGAAGAACAGGAGCAGGCTCCTGAGGAGCCCGCCGACGAGGTTATGGACATGGACGATGACGATGTCCCTGACTTCTTCAAGGAAGAGACCAACGCTCGCATTGAAGCAGCGCTTAAGAACGGAGCGTCGCGCAAGAAGCGAGGCAAGGTTGCGGAGCTCGTCCGTGAAAAGGTGCGCCAGGTCTTGGAGGATGACACTAACCTCGGCGAGAAGCGTGCCAGAATGTGTGACGAGAATGATTTCTTGAAGTTGCTGTGGGCATTCAACCAAAAGGGGATTCATTTCAATTGAGCGAAGCAACATGTCTCTGCCCCGAAACATCGATGATGAAGCCGGGAATTTGGATGATGAATTATGATTACTATCAATAAAAGATACCATTTTCAGCAGGTACATCCCCAGCAGGCCGAAGATGAGCGCGTGAGTCTTGGAACAGGCTCTGCCAGATGAATGCCTCGCTGAGTAAGAGCTCAATGTCTTTCTCAGTCCAGTCCTTCGTAGGCAATGCTTGGAGGAACATCATAACCTCCTACATTGATGTTAATATCTCAGGAGGTTGGCCATACAGATGAGCGTTCGTACCTGGAAATCCATCTTGACTAATTGATCCGTCCACTTGACCAAAAATGCGGCGCAGACATAAAGGTGGAATCGTGAGAAGCCCTGCTCCTCGGCCTGTGATGATGATGGTCGTTAGGCCTTACAGTTAAGCAGCCACGGAGGAATGGGAACGTACCATATAAGTATCCCACATGCGTATCGTGTTTTTGATGCTCATTTCCCGCATGAGCAAGCAGTTCATCCATCGGAAACTAAATTGCATAAACTCCACGCCCTCTTGTTCCAAGTGCTTGGCGAGTGTCGAGTCAATGCGCATTGTCAAGTCCCGTAGCGCCCTAACCTGTCGATGAATACCGGGCTGAGCATAAATGTAGTTGTCCTGGATTCCATCCAAAAGCTTTGTGAGACACCAGAAAGTGTCGGCTTCCACCGCATCTAGCACGCTTCGGGGCAACTGGCCGGGATCCATGCCTTGTTCAATATTCAAATCCGTGATGTAAACACCTAAGAAGACCTGCCAGAATGGGGTCACTAGGTCGTTTATACCTTGAACGTAGCCACTTGCCGGATGACGTATAGCCCAGACGTAGAGGATACGTTCCAATGAACGCTGAGTGGCTTCATATCCATATAAAGGAATATGGGGACTGGTACGCGGAACATCAATACTGATCTGATGCCAAACTGCTTCATCCAGTCCTCTGCCACGACCCTTTGTTGAATCAGGCGGTTTTGTGGAGCTTGCTCCACTGCCTCGCTCAAAGGCCTGTCGAACTCCATCAAGGTATTCTTTGCGCTTCCGCTCTAGCGTGGAGATACGGCGCTCGCTATTTGTAGGTAAATATCCCAGCAGAAGTTGCCAGGTCATTGGCCGGACTTCTTCTGGGACACCTGACCAAGCGAGGTTCCGCAACTCAGTTGGAGATACCGTGCTTGCCTGTAGGATGCGCTTGAACTTGTTGATTCGTGTAATGCGACTAGAGTAGATATCTCTTTCTTTCGGCGTTGCATTTGTGGGTGGTGGGGAGTGATTTATGAGGTTCAAGGCGTTGGCTGGATCTAGGGCTAGTTAGCACGACCCCGTCTTTTTACCACAGCCATACGTACCTTGCAGGATGTCCTTGTATTGAGGCCGGAGGATCTTGCCCTCTCCCTTCCGCGCGGTTGGATACATTGGTGCACCACGCTCTTCCGCAATGTCTGCACTATCGGCTCGGCTTCTGTTATGCGAGGCCAATCCATATCCAAGTGTTGAGAGATTGCCTCCAGCCCCGCCACCAGTATCCAGGTTCTTGGGTTTTAACGGCGCAGATCGTTTCCTTCTCATACTAGCAAGGCTCGGAAGGCCGAATTCATCTTCATCGTCGTCGTAAACAATCTCATCATCATCATCATCATCATCTTCATCATCTTCAGTGGGGTCGCGACTCCACTCATCCACCCCTTGGGTCATAATTCCAGGATAGGGTTGACGTGGAGGCGATGCGACAACGTTTCCTGGTCTCCGGTTCAATTGCGATGCAACATTCGTAGCCGATGACTTCGGCGGGGTTTTAGGGCGTGAGTGGGATGATGTAGCTCTGCCAAGAAGACACTTTGTCAATCATTATTTCCGGTGGAATTGTAAGGCGCGCAGGGGTACACACTGCACAAGATTGGCATGGGAGTATGAGGCGCCAACAACGGTATTCGGTCCGTATATCTTCGATCCCTGGTTTAGAGAGGTGTTTCGGCTTGCCCAGAAAGGTGATTCTGTACGTCTAAAAAGATGGTCAGCATTGCATGCGCTTTATAGCTTGTGTACAGCTGCAGGATAGATAATGCCAGGCTTGCGACTTACTCCGAATTGTCTGTCCAGTTGGAAAGGAGACTATGTGAGCTAAACTGTGACTGAAATGCAAGGGGACAAGCACTCACCAACCTGGACCATTTCCTTGGATATAGTTAGCTTCAAATGACAGCAATGAAGTGCAAGATCAATACAAGCAGGCATAGAACACTAACCTGCCCTTTTTTGTTCGCCATGATGGGGATTCAAAGTGATCGTGATCTCATGGGGCTAATAGACGTGCGGGGTGGCGCTGCAGCCAGGCCATATAGGAGCTCAACAGATTAGAACAGCATTGTAGAGCATGTCAATAGTAAGAGAAAGTAAATCAAAAGCAAGCGGACAGTCTGACCATAACTGACAAGATGCGCTCAAGTTCAACCGTTGCCAACTTTCAAGTCGGGGTCATCCTTGTTAGTCAGCGCACCTCATCCCTTGAAGTTCTTCACTTGCACGGGTTTCCGCTCCCTCACTCCTCAGACTTCGATTTTTGTGCTTTGAGCACTTATCTCAGTTCGCAGTTCTTACTCAATCGCTAATCATGGCTGACCCTGAGGATGGCGAAGATCTTTTCGCGGATCTGTATGTCTTCCATTTCGTTTATACTTCGCGAAGCCCTCAATTCTAACGCTTCACAGTTACGATGCCGATGAATCGACCACTCGCACTACCTCCGCTGTTGAGGCTCCCAAGCCTGCTGCGCAAGAGGAGGCCCCTCCCGCCCCTGCTATGAATTCCGATTTGGACTTTGCGCCCGCCCCCGTCGAGACCCAGGATTCGCACAATGGCGGCCAGGCCAACTATGACACCGGCTACCAAAATGGCCACGGAAATGCCTACGGTGCTCCTGTTCATGCTCAGGCACCCCCTCCTGAGCCCGAGTCTCAAGGAACTGGAATCAAAGAAGACGGGTAAGTCGACTGACCCTTCCATACCCCATTTTTCGAACCATGTATCAATTGCTTGCGCCTCTTTGACATTGGGCTGTGCTTTGCTGGCAATTACTATCGGTCGCCACTGCTATTCACGGGTTTGAAAATGTCATGGACCCTGGGAGACGAGTCCCTTGCTAAGAAAGTGCCTCGCTTGAGAGGTTGTTGAAAAGAGATGACATTGGGCCTTTTGATATGGCAGAAATTTATGGAGGGAGCAAAACTGGGCTCGGTTATCGATCAGCATGTTTATTCGGGGAGAATCATGACGGCCCTCAACATTTCGAATCACCCAGCCCTGGGCACCTCGATATCTGCATTCCGCAGAGGCAAAACATCTCGAAGTCCTGGACAACAAATGCAAGAACACACCCACGGATCTTTATCAAGCGATTATATATAGTACACCCGATACTATATAGCTTCTTGTCGGTATACCTTGATAGAGCAGAGCAAGAAGTAGCTACACTGTCAGAGGGAAGATTATCAAGCCCTATCTACTTAGCTTTGCACTTTGTTAGACAAGGCAGTGGGTTTCCAGGATTCCCAGATCAGACAGACAGACAGTGACAATTCACTTTTTACGACTGAACTACTTGCGCCTCTACGCTATTCATCTTCGCCCGGTTCGAGCCAGAAAGAGGAGGACGCAGGCTTTCAGTCTTGGCTCATGTAAACCAATGGGCTTCTCGTTAAATCCTATGGGAGATCAGCTTGGTCGGATTGAACGTATACTGGGGAATCAGGCCGCAACAGTGATCCTGTGAAGGACTTGCCTTGGACTTGCCCTGACAAGACTACGGCATTTGCATTAGCTGTACTCGTGGATAGCAGCATAGCACCGCCAGCCCAATTAGCCAGGACACGCTTGCAACTTTGATCTTGTTTCACTTGCTTTTGTCTATGCACATCGATTCTTTAGGGGACCGCTAATCATTATGGATAGGAAAATGTTCATTGGAGGTTTGAACTGGGAGACTACCGACCGTATGAGCATTTTGATTACCGCGCGAAAATTTTCTGACGTTTGTTCTAGAGTCTCTGCGTGATTATTTCTCTGAGTTCGGTGAGGTCCAGGAATGCACCGTCATGCGCGACAGCGCCACCGGTCGCTCTCGTGGTTTTGGTTTCTTGACCTTCCGCGACCCAAAGACTGTCAATACTGTTATGGTCAAGGAGCACTACCTGGATGGCAAGATTGTAAGACTTCCGCGCTGTATTTTTTTTAGTGCGGTCACTAACAGCAATTGAAGATTGATCCCAAGCGTGCTATCCCACGTGATGAGCAGGAAAAGACGAGCAAGATCTTTGTTGGTGGTGTCAGCCAGGAGGCTACCGAGCAGGACTTTAAGCAATTCTTCATGCAGTTCGGACGAGTTGTCGACGCTACCCTCATGATCGACAAGGACACTGGTCGTCCCCGTGGATTCGGATTTGTGACTTTCGACAGCGAAGCCGCAGTGGAGAACGCTCTTTCTCGTCCTCTCGAGATTCTCGGCAAGCCCATTGAGGTGAAGAAGGCTCAGCCCCGTGGCAATCTGCGCGACGATGATGACCGACGTGGCGGCCGCCGTGGTGGATACCGCGACATGAACCAAACCGACGGACCAGGCCAACAGCAAGGTGGACAGCAAGGACCCGCCAGTGGCATGACCCCTCAGATGATGGCCCAATACTGGCAACGTATGCAGCAATACTTCGCCATGATGCAGCAACAGATGGTCGCCAACCAGGGCGGTGGCATGCCCAACATGAACATGGGCGCTATGAACCCAGCCATGATGCAGCAGATGCAGCAGATGCAACAAATGAGACAGATGCAGATGGGTAACCAGCAGCAGGGCAGCATGAGCCCCAACCCTCAGAGCCCTGGCTCCCAGCAGCAGATGCCAAACATGGGTGCCATGATGCAGAGCCAGCCTAGCAACGGCGGCAGTGACAGCGCCAGTCCCGGCCCCAACGCCGCCGGCATGGCCGGAAACTTCAACAACAACGCCAACCGCCAGACCGGCCCAGGTTACAACGCCCACGAGCAGATCGCCTTCGAGCAGCAGAAGTACGAGCAGCAACAAGTTCGGCGCACTATGGACCCCCGAGGATACTCCCCTTACCAGCAGCAAGGCGGCCCCACCTCTTGGGAAGGCATGTACGACGAAGTACCCCAGCCAAACATCCCCACTGGACCTGCAGGTATGAGACGCGTCGGAAGTTCTGGTAGTGGTATGTGGTTCTTTCGAGGCTCGACATAGCATATACCCCTTTCGATCCCAACTCCGTCTTTCTCGCAAAACTAATCAAAACATCAATAGGATCCACCCCCCAGCCCCAGGGCACCGCACCCGCCAATGCTCCCACTGGACCCCGCAATGCAGGCAAGCCCGGTGCCAACTACCGTGGCGGCGGTCGTGGAGGTCACCGTGGCTTCCACCCATACCAGCGTTAAGCCACTCAACATGTATCAATGTAAATGTTGCTTGTGCCACTTGTGTCTCTTTTCTTTTCAATCTCTGTGTTTTTCTACGTCTTTTTTTACCTGGGGCCTGGCTTCGCTTGTAACAAGAGAGGGAATGGTTAGGTGATCTGTAATATGTGATCTAATGATTGTAGCTCAACGTTCGGTTTTGAGCTTGCTTAGACACTTTCTTTTTTTCAATTTTTCTTTTTTTTTTTTTCATGTGCACCCAGTCCTGTAATGACATATGTTCACTTGATTTAGTACACGTAGCTTGCTAGGGTTCTTTAGCCTTGGTGAGATAAGTCAGTTCCATGGAGGGCGTAGTATATAGTGATAAACGATATAGGGACACTCGAAGCAGACCACCTACTTACTGCCTTGAATATTTACGGTTGCTATTCGGCGTCCTTGCGAAATGCCAGTATATCAAGGAATCCTGTCGATCCTTTGAAATTGCTCCATCATCTACCATTTACTACCCTGACTTCCAAGATGGCTCAGGCAAAGAAGCTTGACACTTTGCCATCTTTAACCGACCGACTCAAGCTCGCTTGGGAATCATTGTCACCCGAAAAGCCAACAGCTGGGCTATCCTAGGCTCGAGGTGTGTCGGTTGGACGTAGATGCGCCGTGGGCTACGCACCGATCGCATCGTCAACTTGTTTTTTAAGTGACAGATCTGTCGCAAACGCCTCTTTGATAGCGGCGGAGAGGAAGTGTGGCTGAGAGGGGAGGGAGTTGGCGAAAACTAGGATTCAAAGAATGGCGACGGGGAACATTCTTCCCTTGATGCGTAGACAAAGAACCACAAGGCAAGCTTGACCTAGGTTCCTCTAATAGCGAGTTCTAGTTCATATCATAACTTGCCGGGAAATAAATGGTAGTAGACTTGATTTATATCGCTGTTGTAAGTTGGTCGCTCTTATAATATGAGGATTCATCTTGGGTGCTATTCATCTATGGTGAAAATGGTCTCAAATTCACATATGCTTACAGTATGGAGGAAGTAATGCAGGGATTTAGGAGGGGCATGGAGTTGTCGATATCAATCGTATCAAAATTTCAGGTAATTTACGGGAGTCCTCATTATGTGATTATCCTGACAAGACCGAACGATATTTTAAAAACCTCTCCTCAAACCCGCCCATTCTACAGTGGTATTCCACCGGCACACACCGTTCCACATCACAACGATCAGCCTAATGACCGTATCCGTATCTCGACCACCCACGGCACTGTCGCCGCCAGGGCTGTCTCATTTCATGGATAACTGCTCAACGGCGTCAACCCTCTTCAACTAGCACAGAATGGCCTGTATTACAAGCCACTCGGGTTGGACAACCGAGCTGCATGCTGATTTGCCTGTGGAACAACAATCCAGGCATGAAACTGAAAACTAATGGCAAATAGGGTCTCTTTTGATAATGCTAAGACCCTGAAGCCGAAAGCCAACTTCATTAACGGAAAGTGCCTTGGAGGACTATTTGCGTGGGCACTGGACGAGGGTGGCCCCGGTTCTCTTGGTAATCCAAATGACCTTGGTCCATCTGATACCTCAATGACAGGTGCAAATATAGACGGCGGCAGCGATTGAGCTGGGGATCCTTATATTAGAGCTCTGTATATGACTGTATTCACTGTAATCTCACAATATTATTGAAAACATTATCCTACAGCCTGAAATGTAAACTTCAATGATGACGATGTCAAATTATCGTCACGTGATACGACGTGCCCTTATATCGACATGCTCACTCGCTCTCTCTTACGCATAAATAATATGTCGTCCTTGAATAAGGCTTGGTTTGGCCTAGTATTATTGCATGGATTGCTAGATTACTCAATTTCGGGGCTATGATTACAGCTCTTGGGTTGAGCGGTTACTATCATCACTTTTCTATAACCAATTAATCTGTCTGGATGTTAATGAGAGTAAAGCTAGTTTCTAGGCAATTTGTTATAAGATCCATCAGTCGCAATGCTTGAGGATATATAAACTTAGAGAAAAGGAGAACACAGTATAACATTAGCGTCAATGTATTCAACAATCCATAGAGATGGGCAATACTACCAAGCAAGTTAGAACCATACGACGACACATCTAGGAAAGAAGCTCATAAATTGTAAACTGAAATAAAAGAGTGATAAATAAAGAACGAGGTATGTATGGACAAACGCAATATCAAAGAAAGAATGGAATGATATCACAAGAATATGGAAAAAGACAAGATATAAGGCCCAACCGCCATTTCAATCACGCTAAAAACCGTCAAAAAATGAAAAAGAAAGTGCTCGATCGCTCGGTCTAAGAATATATAGGTAGGCAAGAATGTCGAGAAAAAGGTGTAAACAAGAAACAAGGCAAGTCCGCGTGATGCCTTAGAGTTTTTTTTTTTTGGTTGTTCTGTTTTGTTCGTTTTTAATATGCCATACCATAGCCAGGCTGTGTGGGATGACGGCCTTCGATAGAGCTGCGTGAATGGCTGCTGTCGCGGCTTGAGCTGCGAGCATGCGATACACCATAGTCGTTTCTGACCAACCCATCGTGGCTGCTGTTTGACCTTGTTCGGCGGGGTGCGTCGCGGTAAGGCGCGTATGGGGCGTTGAAGTTGAAGTTGCTCATCTCGGCATATTCCTTGCGCTTGGGGTGCTCCATGAGGAGGGATTCTCGGGCGTCCAGAGGGGTGAGGTCGTCGAGGTCGCGGTTTGCTTTTTCTATAGGAGGCATATGTTAGCATGTTTATGTGACATGTAGGGATATGTGAGAATGAGAAACTTACCAGCTTCTCTTCTGCGTCGGGCATGAGGGTTCTCGCGGCAGCAGGTGATGATAGCGTTGACTGCGATGAGGATGGCGAGGACGGCAGTAAGGGTGGACTGCACGACAATGAGGACAATACCGGTGACGGTTTTGGTGGTTTGGGAAAGGCCAAGTTCCTCAACGAAAACAAGAACACAACAAATGGACAGGACACGGACGACCTGGACGGCGATGTTGATTCCCATGGAAGACTTGGTAGCGTATGGGCGGTTCCAGACAAGGATGATCAGAAGGATGGCTTCGCAGACCAGTTGGCCTGCACTTTGCGCCAGACCGTGGCCCTCGGCTCCGGCGATGATACAGCCCTTTGCCAAGGCGTAGATGATGACCGGGATAAAAATCCACCAGAAGTCCTTCTTATAGTTGTCGTAGAACAGACTATACTTCTTCCAGGTCTCCTTGTTTTCGTACAAGCTGTCGGCATCGCCCTCGGCCTTCTTGTACTTGCGAGCCATGTATACGATGCGAATAGCGAAAAAGAGGAGGACAGAGGTGAAGACAGCTAGGGTAATAGCTGCTAGGAGCTTTGCTGCCCACGAGTCACCGTTTCGCAGTTGATAGACACAGTAAAGCACCCAGATGCTGTAGAGCACAAGAATCATGTTGGTGATTGTACGCGCCATCAAGCCCCAGTAGTCCTTGCGGAAGTCGGAAAGTTTATTGGGGAAAGTGCCATACAGCGCCCACAGTTCAAGAATGACCTTGACAAGAAGGATACCGACGATGACCACAGCAACAACAATGGCGAAAATGAGAAGAACGGTCATGAAGATATTGGCAGAAGGAATCATGAGTTCTTCGGAGAGCTTTTTCAAACTGTTAACTGTCGAGCTAATGCCATCGTCACTAGTTGAAGAGCTGTTTGAGACGCTCGCATCAGACGATGTGTCAACCGAGCGAGCTACAAATTCACCAAAATGAATCGCATATTCCAAGCTCCGTTTGGTGGTGTTACTCGATGACCCGCTGCTTGTCAGACTAGCGTTCTTCAGGAAGACATAGCTCTCCTCAGTCAAATTGCCGCCGGTCGACTTCCGGAAGCTGTCAATGGAGTTTTGCATACCGGACCAAGGTATCAAACCAGTACTCCACATGAAGTTCTTGGAGAAGCTGCTGTAAACAGTCGGATAGCTGACACTTAGCATGCCGTTGGTGGCCATGGAATGGAACCAGCCCATTACATCACCGAACCCAGGGCTAGCCGACGGTGCTCCAGCAGCTCCAGCAGAGCCAATGGCGGAGATACCAGTCAGCGCCAGAGCACCAGCTGCAATACCAGCAGAAACATAGGAAACGGCCTTGACGTCAGTACTGTGACCGTTGGACAAGTCCGATTCGACACAAGCCACATTCGAAGTGTCGTTTGATGTCAGAACCAGCTTGGCCTGACCGTCCAAGTCAGGCATTTGGAACGCGATAGCCGGGATTTGGCTTGCATATTGGGAGGGAACCTCCCATGTTCCCTGGGCCTGGAATCCCTGCTTGGGGACAGGGCAGAGCTGAGACACATGGATTTCCGTACCACATGGGTCGAATTCTTTGCTGTAGAGGTTGTTGCCGTAGGCAGTGACAGACAAGGTCGCTGTCACATACTGTTCTTTGGCGCTGGTACCAGCCACGTCAAAGGTAACAATTTGCGAGGAGCGAGAGTAAGAGACGTCCAATTTCGTGACTTTGATGGTGGAATCTTGCATACACAGGTCGAAACCGTTGGTGGACAGGGTATCGCCTGCAAGAGCCTGAGGCACCACAGCCAAGCCCAGCAGAGCCCAAATGAAGTTCCGCATGTTGGCAATATAGATGAACTACAAAATACCAACAGGGCGCGTATTCATAAGGATATAGGGATCGAAAATCGAGAATCGAGGGTCGAAAACAGTAGCGATTGGATTATAACGGTGGGTATATCGGTCAGGGCAGGATCAACCTGCGCGAGAAAAGCAACAAGAAATGAGCTGTATGTGGTCGGATAGAGCGCCCGATAGATAAAGACACTGGTTAGTCGACCAGAGGCGAGAGATTGTAAACAAGAGGATGAAGAGAGTGAAATCCCCAGAAACGCAGAAACATGAGAGAGGGAGGGAAGTCTCGACCGCGAGACTTCCCAGGGCTGGAGATTTGAGGAGCCCCCTGAATTTACGATTGGCCGCGTTTCAGAGTCTAGACCTGCCCTACGGCTTGTTCTATATCTGTTTTTCTTCCAGTATGATTTATTCGACTATTGCTAGTATTTATGCCAATTTAAATTCTCATTTCCCATACAATTGACCTTATTACACTGGGAATAGGAGTAAACAATGAAGCTATTGCAATTTAAGCAAACTCTCCATCCGTGGGAACAGTGTTGCCCTAAGACAAATTGGGGAATGAGATCCACATTAACATTACGCCACAGGAGATGCCACTATTGTCTCTAGTCCTGTCGAATTGGTCACTGATTTTTGTGCATATCCGTCCCTTTTTACACGTATCTATGTCCCTACGTGTTTGGAATGACGTTGCCCAGGGATGTCCAACCGATTCCCAAGATTTACGGGCTCGCCACACTGCCGATCGGTGATCCTCCAAGCTCTAGATGTACAGTGGACCCCTTACAGCTCGGGTCACATCTTGTTCCTGGTGAAAATCCTCTTGCCAAAGTCCAGACATACTATTAGCATGCACAAATCAAACTGGAATTTCACAGAATTGAATTATGTGAAAAGTGTGAATTGAGACAATTAGCCTCTGGTGGGCGCTATTCTATCCTATCATCAATGTGAGACAGGCCAAGCGCTCGGTGCCCCATCTGACAGATATCTATTTACAGTGCGAAGCTGAACCTATAGCACACGATCAATGATGATCACTGCCACCCATGGCGCTTGCATATAAGTGCCTGTCCATACATATTCCAGTATTTACAAGTACCCAGCCTGTGGCTGGTGATCAGCGAGACAACTGTGCAGACATTTCTTCAGAGGGTCAGTTCGGGTTTCAGAATTATTATCAGAGCAAACCCTTTACTAAAAGGTGGGTACATGGGGGTCTGTACTTTAATGAAGGAGTGGCATAATAAATTGTAGCCGAGTTTCTACGTGACAGGTATATTTCAACACAGCTATGTCAAGGGTACGGTAATTCAGGGTAGCAGATCTAACTTTAGGTGAGCCACAGGATCATCCGCTGATCTTTTGAACGAGAAAATGTATAGTAACAGTGAACCTAGGAGATATACTCCGAGACCCGAAATAGAACAAGGGCAATGGCAGAAAAGCCAGCTGTGTGCCGCGTTGCTACACCGCCTGATATTTTAGACTCAATGCCAAGGCTCATACTTAGATACAGTATGTTCATTGCTAGGCAGCTTACGATAACATCAATGGCTTGGGAGGAGCTGGGCAAAGCCCAAGAAACCCGAGAAGTCAGCTCGTCGAGAGGCTCAAATAAGGTGGGGCTAAAATTATAGGGGTCTCTGCATGAACCATGGTTGAACGGATATTTCTAGTGCTTATGTGACTGCATATGCATTGAATGAATTTGTTATGTTCAAATCCTGGCTAACTGAAATATAAGGGTATAGTATATCATGAAAGAAGAGAGAGAGAGACTCGGGGCTTACCGGCAATCAGACAACTTACGGTGTGCCCATTCGTATGCTCCAAATTTGAGTTGAAAGGTAAGAATATTCAATTCGCTCAATGTATCTGGCAAATTGCAATGCAACACAGAATTCAATCAGAGATCATAATTTTCCGTAACAGCCGTAGGCCGAAAGACAGATGGATAAACAAATGGTCCATTAGAGGACTACTCCAGACGCCAGGGTATTTCCTATTCCCGAAAAGCCAGTCGCCATGCACAAAGAAAGAAAATCGTAAGAGTAACCACAAGGATAAGCTCATGTCATCGTCACATCCTCCGCCGGGGTGGCGGCAGTAGAGGGCAGGCCAGAGGCATCGGTCATAGCATTGTCACCATCTGCATCATCTGCAGGGGTACTGCCGTCCCGCATGTTAGAGTCAGCAGAAGTCGCATCTCCTGCAGGGTCCGAGCCATCTTCAGACACCTCCTCGAACAAGCGAACTGTTTTGTCCATTCCACAGCTCACAATCATGCGCTTGCCGTGCAAAGTGCCAGCGTGGACACCGAGAACAACTCCTTCGTGAACATCGATGCGCTGTAGGATCTGCTTGCTCACAATATCCCAGAATATGATAGCGCCGTCCTCGCTGCCGCTGACAGCGAATGCCAGTGGCGGGTCATACTTGATGCTGGGTGATCCATAGATACCAAAGCATCCGGACAAGCTGTACTTGTTGTTAACGTGTCCCTGGAAGGTCTTGATAACACGACTCTCGAGGTAACTCCACATGCGGATACAGCCATCCAGAGTCCAGGCCAGTACATAGTGACCATTGGGGGAGAACTTCACACACGTAGCAGGAGGGTTGTCTTCCATGACCAGGGTACGAAGACACTGGCCACTGATAGTGTCCCATATACGAATGAGGCCATCCAAGGCGCATGAAACGATAAGAGTTCCGTCATGAACAACATCAATGCCAGCAACAGGGTCGGAGTGAGCTGGGAGGGAGCGCATAACTGATCCTCTGCGGACATCCCACATGAATACGGCTTCATCGTAGGAACCGCTGACAAGAATGTTTCCCTTGGGTGTAAATGCAATTTGATACACATAGTTGTGGTGGCCGTTGAAAATCCGGGGGTGGGCTCTCAGCTGTAGGACAATATCAGAATCAGTTCAACAGATGCATCGCAAGTAAATTTCTTACAGTTTTGACATTCCAGAAACGGATTGTCTTATCATCACTGCCAGTCGCGATCCATTGGCCATCCGGGGTCCACGCAAGTGTCGAGATACCTGCGAGGTGGCCTTCGAAGGTGTGAATGAGTCTGCCAGTGGCAGTGTCCCAGACCTTGAGATCCGAATCGGCACCTATAATGCGCAGGTCGGTCAATTGATTCTACCGTCGGCGGGTTTGATGCAACATACCTGCACTCGCAATCATAGTACAATCCGGTGAGAACTGAACAGCAGACACTCCACGGATGTGGCTGCGCATAACAAACTTCTCCTTGTAATTCAAGTGGTCGGGCTTGGGAGGCGGCGGGGGAGGTACCGGGGTAGCAGAACGGTCAGACCAGGCGTCGGCGTCGCCGGGGACCTCTTGTTCATGAGTGCTTTCCATATCTTCATCGACGAGCTCCTCTGAGCTCTCCTGGGGCTCGCTGACACGGCGGGCAGGGCGGACGGGTGAACGGCTGCGGCGACGGGTGCGCGAGGTGCGCCAGTACTCATTGGCGTCAACAGCCAGCTCGTCGGTACTCTCTGACTCACTGTATCGGCGGTCCTGTTGCTGAGGGCGCTGTGGAGTGAATCCCTTTTGAATCGTCCAGCTGGCTCTGCGGCGCTCAGCTTCATCATGTTCGGAGCCCGCTGCGAGTTCATCGGAGGACGATTCAGCGGGGGAGATGGCGCGAGGGTCGCGACGCCGAGGACGAGCCTTGGTTTTGTCCATTTTCAAGGATTGATGCTCGGCGCATCCAATAAATAAAGGCGAGTCGAGGCAGTGGTGCAAGCAATTGCTTCGCGTTGCGATGGGAAGAAAATCATTCGAACGCGTGGTGCGTAATAGGAAGGCGGTAGGTATACTGCCAGAGGGCGGTGGGAGCATGGGTATCAGATTGCGTCATAGGGATCTATAAGTCACTGGGTTAGAGACTTGGACACCGTCCTAATGCTGGTAACAATGGAGAGAAGACCCAAGACACAGATAATGTGCTGCATCTTTAATACCAAGGTTTAGTGTTTTCTTGGAAACTAGAGATCGGGCGCATCAGATCACTTTGACCTTCCCTTCAACCACTTTGGTCGCCCTGAAAGGCCTTCCCAAAATATTTCAAAAATAAGATGGTTATGATCTAGGCTTACCTTTTCTGTGGAGATGTTTTGATGAAACTAAAACCTACAGGCCATGAACAACATGGTTTTTTATCGGAAAAGTTGATCACTGGGTAATACGCATGTGTAAAGGAACCCTATTGATCATTTTAAGGACAACTAAAATCTCCTCGAAAAACATCGGCCTGTATTCATAGTGATACCACGTTGGTCTTTTTTTCTTTTCTTTTATCCGCCTTTGTCGTGGTTGTGTTGCTGTAGTTTCATAGAAGTTCGAAATATATATGTGCAGTACAAGAATTATCTAATGATATGATAGAAAAAGATGATTGCCATGTCCAACTCCTGATGCTAAGTTAGATATTACTAATAGTTATACTCGTTATTCAGACGTCCACTCCGTCTATTATAATGAAATTCAGGACTCGAATCCATTTCTATACACCACATCACATGACCGTAACGCTTAAGACCAAAATTACATCATGTCGAATCAACAACTTTCTACTCGACAACGTGAAGCTCACCACAGTCAATTCCAGGCCCAATGGCCCCATTTATTCCACCAGAGGCCCCTTCAAGCATTCGAATCCTTACTCTCAACTGCTGGGGCCTCAAGTACATCGCCAAGTACCGCAATGAACGCATGTCAGAGATCGGACGGCAACTGGCATTAGCCAGCCCGCCGCCGGAGATAGTTGGACTACAAGAATGTTGGACACAGGAGGACTTCGAAAGCATCCGTGACCAGACTCGACACATCCTACCTTACGGAAAATTCTATTACGGGGGCATATTTGGTGCTGGATTGGCCATTCTGTCAAAATGGCCGATTGAGGAGAGCAGCATGTTTGGGTACCCGTTGAACGGCCGACCAACAGCGTTTTTCCGAGGAGACTGGTTCGTTGGAAAAGGCGTCGCAAGCGCGAGAGTTCGATTTGGCCCTGGTATTGCAGATGTTGCAGAAGTGTTCTGTACACACTTGCATGCCCCGTACGAGCGCGAACCGAACGACTCCTATCTATGCCACCGGACCGCTCAAGCATGGGAGATTTCAAAGTTGATGCGCGGGGCTGCAGAACGTGGCCACCTTGTCATTGGTCTAGGCGACTTTAATATGCTGCCCTCTTCCTTCGCCCACCGTCTCATCACAGCCCAGAGCCCCGTCCGTGACGTCTGGCGCGTACTCCACCCAGACTCTTCCCTCGCAGCAGCAATTAATCCCATCGAAAAGGCACGAGGCCTGCCCATTCCTTCCGCCGAGTTTAACCTCACCGAGAATGGAGCTACATGCGACGGCTCCTACAATACCTGGCGCTGGACCGAGGCCATGCGCAAGCGTCTCGACAAGGGCGAGGAGATTGTCATCGACAAAGACACCCCAGATCCCCGTGGAAAGCGTCTCGACTATATCTTCGTCGGCGATGGTGGCTACCCGCCTGCTTTCCCACCTTCTCGCTGGTCCGTCGAGTCAGCCCAGATCGCCATGACCCAGCGTCATCCTAAACTAGGATGCTCTCTGAGCGACCACTTCGCTGTCGAGGCTGTAATCACTCGAGCTTCGAACAACTACCCTCCCACCCAGTCCAGCGATGACATGCCAGCGGATCCTGACTCTCCCACCCTCCATAAAACAACCTCAAAACAAGTCTCCCCCAACGCCGCTCTCTCCCCAGACACGTATGACCACATCATCGATATGACGCATACATATGTACGCCGTGAACGGTCTCAACGCCGCTGGCGCATGGCGCACTTCATTGCGTCTATTGTGATTACCATTGGATGCATGGTCGGTGTCTGGTGGGTTGGCAGCCGCACATACATTGGCTTTATCCTCATTCTAGTAAGCACTCTCAACTTTGGTGCTGGAATTTTGGATGGCCTGATTGGCGGTTTGTTCATGTCGAGTGAATTGCGTGCTTTGAAGGAGTTTGAATGGGAGGTCAGGAATGCCAGAAGCTTGGTGGTTGCTGCTGAGGGCGGTGCTCCTTCGGAAGGCACGGAGAGCAAGAAGGACGATTGATCGACGTACGCACTTTTTGCGTCGTAAAAGAGAAGGATTGTGCTATATGCTGTATCCATTAGTTTGAAGTTGATACTATTTACGAAGTTTGTACATACTATTCCAGCCAGTTGTACTGCAAACGGCCAAAACTAATCCATAATGTTGAACCAAGTCATTTACTTATTACTTTCTACATTTTGAGAGTGTTGTGCACAAACGAGTGTGGAGTGCATTTGCTAAATAGTCATCATCAGAGCTAAATGAACGTCCACCAAAACCATAATCATAAGCAAGCATAAAAGACAAAACGAGTGGACCGACAGGAGGTACGATTTTACTCAGCACACTCGCGCTTGCGGGCGTCGAAGACACTCAAAGTCTCCTCGGCAGCCTTCACACCGCTCATAACCATGGCACCGAAAGTAGGGCCCATACGGTTGAAGCCATCGATCTCAGACAGCTCCATACCACCAATGATGAGACCCTTAGCAACCTCACGGGTGTTCTTGACAATAGCGTCCTCGGCGGCGTTCATGTCAAGACCACGCATGCCACCGAGCTTCTCGATGGAGTTCATGGAGACCAGACGCTTAGCACAGAAAGCACCGAACGGACCATCGTGGCCGGTGGTACTGACGATGATCGGGGCGTTGATGGTGTTAGGGTCCATGCACGAGTGGTCGTCGTGGTGGAGGGTGACGAGGGTCCAGTTTACCACGACACCGGCGAGACGGACGTTGTCGCCGTCACGGCGGGTGATCAGGTCCTCAACGCAGGTGGCGTTGAAGAGCTTGACGTTGGGGAAGGACAGGACCTTTGACAGGAGAGTCGAGGTGAACTGGGCGGCGTGCTTGACGACCACGAAGTTGGGGTTGTTGGGCTCCTCCTCGAAAGGGACGCCGAGCTCGGTCAGGAATGCATCGGCGGGTCGGCGGAGGACCATAGCGGAGAAGAGCTGGCCACCCAACCAGGCACCACCACCTATAGAGGATGTTAGTTGAGGTAGATGTGGCTTCCATGTAAGCAAGACTAACCAGGCGACACGGAAGCCTCCAGAATGGCAATCTTCAGGTCTGGACGGGCCTTGGCCAGCACGTAGGCAGTGCTCAGACCACAGGAACCAGCACCGACGATGACAACATCGCTCTCGGCATAGTTATCGAGGTCCTGGAAGTAACGCCGAGTCATGGCACGCGAGACTTGGCTCTCGCGGATAGGAGCGAACTTGAACTCATCCCATTTGCCGCCGAACTGTTCCAGAAGCTTGGACTGGCCCTGACCGGTCAAGGTGGTGGTCACAGTCTCAGGGACGTTGACCTTACCCTTGATGCCGGTAGGGGCAACAGCGGGCTCAAAGATAGCAGCGGGAGGAGACATAATGGGTTAGGGATCAAGTCGAAGTTTTGACTTGAAGCCTTTGTTAGTTTGACTACTCAAGTGGGGGAAGAAGGGGAGAGTCATGATCCTTTCGCTGGTATTATCCAGATCAAGTTGACGCCGTATAATCTCAGAACGAACCTGCACCGATGATGACCGTTCATCTAGACATGATCTGGATGAAAGGATGCACCACCGACACAGGAACGAACACCGGCCCATGCTCAAGAGTTACCTGAGATACCTTGACCCCAGAGGGATAACGAGCCCAGCCAAAGATTATCCATGGCTCCCAAAGGAAGGGCAGTATGTACTTGTCCGTTTGGGATCTATATGAAAGTCAGCTCTGAAGGGGAGAAGGAAACAAGTAAATGGCGGATAATTACTGTTGTAGTTTTGTCAATGTAGATTGATGATGATGAAGAGAAGAAGAAAGAGGAAGATGAGGAGGGGCAGCTCGACTTTATACTCAGACCGACCCCACCATTGTAACGTCATACATGAGTACGTACTTCCCGTTTCGTGTTGATCTCTCGCCGCTTTTTGCTCTGCGTACAGTTGGGCACGGACCGGATAACCCTAACCTCAAAAGTATATAAATCTCAGTTGCAGAGATGCCTGAATGGGTTGTGCTTGGTAGAAATGACACTACTAAGGCAGCGATCATAATTGCTTTACGCGGTCTTACGCATAGTCTCGCACTGGAGCAACGGAAAATCATGTCTGAGCATGCCACACATGTGTTACTCTCATAGTAACCTGGTGAGGATGCGACAGCTACAACCGAGACTAGGAAACATAGCTACGTGGAATTACTGTACCAGATTGCCCAATTCACCTTGACTGGAAGCATCGACTCGGACTAATTGATCTTACATTTTACAACCATGTGCTTCCTTTCTTACGACAGAAATCGCTAGAGAGTTCTTGCACTAAAATGTTGGGTTTTCTCGTCACAGTCACTTTAATGCCATCTACGCAGAAGCTTTGGGGGTTCATTCATAGGCATATACTTCAAGCCATTCATCAACTGTAACCAAGCTCGGGACTTGCTTCTATACAGCACTACATATTTTCTCATCAAATAATAATTCCATAAGGCGTTCTAGGTTTCGAGGTAGGCAGTCTGAGGTCTACTTAACGAAGCCCAAAAGCGGCAGCAATAGAATACAACAAAGTACCAAGTGTAATACATTAACAATCCGACTCTCCCCGCCGGTGAGCATCTCAACTGCAGATCCAACGGACTAATGACGTTCCACGCTGTTCTGGCTCTGTTTGGCTTCATCGTGAGTGGACCGGGGCAGAAGGCTCCGGGCGCGCTGCCATGCCCCACGGGCAGTCAAGAGTATATATACAGTATCAGATGAAGAAGACACACATGAAGAGAGATAGTTCCATGATATAGGTGAGAGTATATAAACTCAATTGATTAACAATTCGTTTGCGAGATCGACAATGTCAAGTTTGGACAGTATAGATTTCAGTGTTGGTGCGCTTAGGAAACGGCGATCGCGGAGAGGGCCAAAGCAAACCTTAAGAGCAAATTAAGCGATCCACTTGTTTCTGTTACGCTCAAGTCGGAGGGCATCGGAGAGTTAGCTGGTTAGACAGATTATAATCAGTGACTACATGCACGCATGACCTTGTTCAGCATGAAAATCTGGAGCTTCCTGACATCATACATGTATCAATCATCAATGCTTCAAGCAGAGGTATATATGAAGCTATCCTATCAACTATGAAGAAAAACGGACTATACTGGAATCAGTATAATCCCCCTGTACTCCGATCACAACACGTAACGGTAATTAGCACCGTAATTATCCTCCGCGACATCCACCGATTTCGCCGGCACTTCCTCAATGCGGGGCCCATACTTCTTGTCAAGGCATTTGTTCTCCCACGCAAGGAGAACACGCAGACACAAAGCCAGGAATGTCGTGAAGAACATGAACCCTGCGCAGATTGCCATGCCCTTGACAAAGCGTGGAGCCTCCTCATCTGGGAAGATGTTTGTTCCTAAGAAGGGACCACATTGGCCGACTATGTTGAGTAGGATGATGCCTCCTCCACGGCGAGTATCGGATCCTTGATTATCTGTAATTGATTCCGTCAGTTGATTTGTTCCCATGTCTCTTCCAAGAGGTGAATGCCTTGGCAACGCCCCATTTATGAGACAGCTCTGGAACCTTGGAAGAATGAAGAAGGATGACTCACTCAAAACCCAAGGCAGGATATTGGCAATCGAGGGGAAGATCCCACAGGCCGCTAAGAAAACACCGAAATATCGGACACCCACTGATGTGCACGTAGCGCAGAGGATGTACCCCACGCCACCAACCAGTGATAACGCAGCGATCATGAGTCCACGCTGCTGAAGACGATCCGCCACCCAGGTCGTCGCGATCGTCACCAGGAATGATGCAAAGAACGGAGGCGCGGTGAGACCCTGGGCATTGATTGCTGTGAAGCCCATTTCCCTAAGGATAGTAGGCAAGAACACAGGCAGGGACGAGAAGCTCACATTGCAGCTGAAGTACATCAACTAGTTATTATTAGCACAGGATATTCTATTTCGCAAAGAGATAAGCTTTGCACTCACTGCTGTAAGCCATGCTTTCACGTCAAGAAGCGTTGCAGCCAATTCCTTCCATTTGACTCTACCCTCGCGATCAGGTTGACCGGATTGCTGCAGCGAACGAGCACGGGCAACAGCCTTCTCTTCCTCAGTAAGGAACTTGGCATCCAGTGGACTATCCGGGACAAAAAACCAAGCCAAAATAGCAGCAGCACAGACCGGGGCACCCTCGACCAAGAACAACAACCGCCAATTGGCAATTGAAGCATGACCCGAGGTGATACCGTAAGCCAAAGCACCCGCGAAGGTATTCGCCAGCGGGGCCGCCGACAAGAACATACCGCATCGCAGACCCAGCTCATGGCGCCGATAGAAGAATGATAATAGGTATGGAACACCAGGACCGAAGCCGGCCTCGAAGACGCCCATTAGAAATCGGAGGGCCATCATGCCTTGCCAGTTCTTAACCGCTGCCTGGCATGTTGCGACCAAACCCCTATCATCGCATCGTCAGTTTAAAATATCTTCCATAACTGTTCATGGAGGCATACCAGGAGAACACGACGAAAGCTGCCCATTGGTGTGGCTTGACGATTTTCCACATCAGAGCTTGGAATTCAAAGACTGTGTATGAGATGTAGAAGATAGTCAAGAGCCACGCGTAGCTCTTCCCCGTTAGACCAAGGTCCTCTTCCATGCCGGCGATTTTCGCATTGCTATACATCTCATCAGTTTTCGCTCTTCGGGTATATAATTATGGGACCGAGTCAACGAACCCGATATTACTTCGATCGAGGAATGCGAGAAGGTCTAGAAACGCAGATTATGGTCAGCGCACAATTCCAATTGACTAGCCATCTTGGCAATATAATTTGGAGCTTGAAAGGGAAGCCATACAGAAAAATCCCATCAAAGTAGGAACGCGCAAGTCCAATTTCCTCACCACACGACGCTCAAGCTCCGGATCGATGGCTGGGATATCAATAGTCGCCGTAGGTGGTTGTTCGACATGAGCCGGGACAGTACTTTTCTCAATATCTTCATCAGGAGCCGTCTGAATGACGTCCTCGGGCAATTCAGCCTTCCCGAAGAACCCCATGTTGATATAGTGTAGAAAGGATGCGCAGAAGAGGAGTGAAAGAACTTAGGGGGAACTGGGGGGAATAGCTAGAACGACCATGTGGACTATGCGGGGTGTGTGAAAAAAGAGCCCATGATCGGCAGAGACACATCGCATGGCTGGTTACATGAGGTTCTAAGTAAAATGATTGGATGGGACGCATGAATTGGAGTAGATTATTGGCCGCATCGGCACTTGGTCAAGCTCTGATTCTCCGAGATGAAGTGGAGAATGGGGAAAATGCGGAGGATTTGGCAAAGCTTAGGTGGAGCTGAGTCACTCGTTCTCTTTCTCTTTCTTTTTCTTTGTCGGTGTGTTATAAGAGGGCTGTTTCCTATGCAAATTGTATGGCCCAATTAAAACTTCACTACTTTCTTCACTACCCTAGAGACTATTTAAGATACAAGTTGGAAAAGACTAGTGCGATGAAGACATCACAGATCGCAACTAATAGAAGCAATAGTCAATTACTTTCATATTACATGCAATGAATAAATCACGAGTCTTCTGAATGGAATAACTAACTTAGTAATCAACTAATAATAAGTTGGTGCCTGAATAGTCGGGTGCTCTGCATTTGAGGTCTCTATTGAATGCCGTATCAAAAATCTCCCGCGTCAGGTCGCGTTGTCCGCTATCCGCTGTCCGCCTCTCCAGCGCCTTCCACTCCACCCCAATTCCTTTGTCCGCCCCATTCAATCTAGCAAATATCCTCTTGATTTGGGCCATCTGATATTCAAGATGGATGACCCCGCCGCTCGCATCCCGGGGCAGCTGGTATGACCTCCCATCCTACTCCAACTCCCCATTGCGCAATTGGTCAAGCTAACAATTACTGTCGCAACCATGATAGCTCCCCCATATGCACCTAATCTCGCGCAATCGCTACCCTAGCATGCATATGATGCCCACGGAAACTGCCGTGGAGTATCTGACAAGCGCACCCAGGATATGCCAAACCCAGCCCATGCATTGGACCTTCTTGGAGGCTCCTCCCGATGGAACTGTCATGCTCACTTGGCAGCCACTTGCTCACTTGGGCAACAACTTTGCCAGTGATGGCTATGTCTGGGCTGATGCTGAGCAGGCCTTCACCTTTGAAGCTCGCGGTTATGTATGACACTCCCCTATGCACCGCTTCCCATCTGAATCGCCTCCTAATATAACTTGATATAGACCGTCGAAATGTATCTCCAACGCTGCGGTCTCCACCCTCCAAATGAGCCCATGGCCACCCACTGTCGTAAGCGCTATCGCATTACTTCATGCAAAGTGCCGAACGCTCCCCAGCCTGATCCATCGCTATGGATTGTTCATTACTCTCGCGCTGCGCCAACAGACCACATCCCTGGAAACCGGGTTCCAGTGACACCTCAGATTCAGGCCACAATGGCTCAGCGACGATTCCTTCAAAGTCAGGGACAGCTGGCCCGCAAGGACTTTTTGCTCCATGATCGCAATAGCTGGCCCACTATCAACTTCCCCCAGATGGCTCCCCAGGGCTTTGCCCAATCCCCGGCTCCCTACCCCGGCCATCCTCAGCAAAGACCTGGCTTCTATCCTCAGGGCCACCCAGGCGCAATGGCTGCTGGAGTTCCTGTTGCCAAAGGGCCGCGCGGACACCGTGCTCCTTCTGCTGCTATGGGCGCCGCGACTGCTGATTTCGCCATTGAAGACGAGGACGTGTCCAGTGGCGACACTATGGATCTCCTGACACCCCGTGAAGTGAGCAAGATGCGTTATCAGCAGCACCACGAGTGGATGGAGGAGATCTTCGCATCACCTTATGCTATCACACAGATCACTCCCGTTTCGCTTGGCTTGGGCCGAAAGGGAGAGCTGGAGTCTCTGACAGCAGGCTTCTTTGATGCCCCTGTTGGAACATCTGGCGGTGAAGGCGAAGAAGCAGGCGACGGCCAACCGGCCAACAAGATGGAGCCCGCTAAAGCCGAAGAATTTGCCGAGCGTGTTTCCAAGAAGGTCGCTGATATGACAGCCGAGATCGAAAAGATGAAGAAGCAACACGCGCGCCGCATGCAGCGCTTCAACCGTACTTCATTACTCAAAGATGCTGAAATCCGCCTTCGGGAGTCTGCTGCTGACCCGACTGAGAAGGGCCCGGAGATTTGGCGACTGGAGGGCCGTGTTGTCATTCCCACGGAAGATGAACCTCCCCAGCTTGACTACGTTGAGGACAAAGCTAAATACAAGGTTGACGACATTGTTCGGGAAGTTGAGACTGCCTGGAAGAAGCAGATTGTATCTGAACCCAAGGTCTCTTGTGTTGAAAAGGGTGGCTTGCTTGAAAAGATTGAACCCGAACACAAAGAGGAGCCTGACTCATTCACCAATGACATGGTCATGGACCACGACGATGCCCATCTTCTGAATCAGTTTGGCAGCCCCGGTATCGGTGGCACAGGAATGTCCAGTGTTTCTGTCAATGGGCAACCAATCCCCGCTGGCATTTCAGCCGATATTGACATGGATTTGGGTGACCAACTCCACGGTGCTCCTAACGGCGAAGCCAACGAATGGGTGATGGTAAATGAGCAGAAAGACCACGGTCCAGTGGGTGGAGAGTTCGACTTCACCAACATTGACAGCGCGGGTGATGCTTTGGCGGCTTATAGCGAACAGAACGACGGGCTGGATCTTCCTGATCTGGACAACTCGGCGTTCGGAGACGCATTCCATGCGTCGGATAATGAACATTCGCACAACCCTGATGCGGATGAAATGTCATAAAGTGGCCAGTACCTCTCGACTGAGGCGCTTTTTTAATGAATGATTCCGCGGATCATGAATCTTTCAGGTGTTGCGGGTTCTATCTCTATTCAACTGCGGTTATGGGGTTCGGATTTCATGCAGGTTCTTTGCTTTACGGTGTAAAATAAGATTGCCCAAGGGAACTTCCTTTGGTACTTCGAGTTTCATTTTTCTCGAGCTTGTGATGGGCGATGGGATGTTTAATTATCATATCCCTATTTTATGATACTGCCTTTTCTCAACCTTATCTTCAATTTCTGTACTCTGTAAAACTAGAAAGCAAGGGGCTTCCCACTTATTAGGTGTGATCTATGAGTCTTTAGCTGGGGAAGAGATGAAGATGGCTTGTTTCCCGATTAGGCAGGACCCGTGGACTTCAGAGCCTAACGAAGACACACATTGTCATGTCGGATCAAATTAGCCTTTGCGACATCGAAATTCCTGCCAATTGGGTCTTTGCCCTAATCCTCAAGTATCATGACATCCATGACCGTGGCACTTTGATATCGGGAAGCCGAGAGTGGAGTATGACGATCAACCGGTCAGTCGACAGTTCTCAGACCCTAATGACCAGTTACCAGCAATTCACACTAAATCTCTATGTATGACACTACTCTTTTCTGCAATCGGAAAAGATGTCAACTTCCGCGCATCCCGTCATGACGTCAACCGGGACTACACTTCCTATGGGGAAGAAGGAATAGGGTTCGAGCATCGTCATCTACAGGAAGCCGCCTGCTGTACTTCTTTCCTCCTCATTTTCTCTCCTACATACCTCATATTCCTTTTCCACATAGGCACTTTGAGAAGTTATTGAGTATTCCACAATGTATGTCGTCCGCTATCTCTGTACACATTATAGCTAACAACTCCAGGAACCGTAACCTCTCATTCCGATCGCGCAAAGAACCCCCTGCCAACCGGCACCGGTTCAGCATCTCGACTTTCCGCGGGATGCAAGCGCCCGAGCTGAGCAAGAAGATGACCAAGCTGATCAAGAACGAGAACTCAGCCATCGGCGCTCACGAAGCCGCCGGCCGCGAGCGCAGCTCGATCGCCGGCCAGCTCTCTGAATGGGGCGAGGCTACTGACGATGACAACGTCTCCGACATTTCCGACAAGCTCGGCGTGATGCTCGCTGAGATTGGCGAGCAAGAAGACGTTTTCGCGCAGAATCTCGAGGACTACCGCACTATCTTGAAGCAAATTCGTGACATGGAAGCGTCTGTGCAGCCATCCCGCGACCAGCGCCAGAAGGTCACCGATGAGATCGCCAAGCTGAAGTACAAGGATCCTTCGAGCCCTCGTCTGGTTACCCTTGAGCATGAGCTTGTTCGTGCTGAGGCTCAGAACTTGGTTGCCGAGGCCCAGCTGTCCAATATCGTACGTCACCATTCTGATCTTTTTTTATGTTATACAGTCAGATGGAAAGTATAGTTGCTTACCATTTTTCATCTGTAGACGAGACAAAAGCTGAAGGAGGCCTATGATATCCACCTCGCTGCTGTGATCGAGCGCTCTGAGAAGCAGACCATCCTTGCTCGCCATGCTCGTCGTCTCCTCAACTACATTGATGATAGCCCCGTTGTGCCTGGCGATGCGCGCCAAGCATACGACCATGAACTCGAGGCACGCCAGATTCTCGAGGATGCCGAGAACGATCTCCGCGCATGGGAGCCCAGCGTTGAGCCCATTGAGTCTTCTGCGGCCCGTGAGTCTCGCAAGAACAGCTACAGCAACAATGTCAATGGACTCAACGGCGTCGAAGAGAATGACCAGGAATCGGATGTTCTGGAGCAGACCTCTGCGATGGAGACCGGCGGTGTCACTGCCCCCGTGGATAGCGGCGCACCACCAGCAAAGATGATGGTTGAAGCTGTGTAGTGGACAGACTCTCGAGGTCCGATTCAGTGGGCCACTGTTTAGTTTGTGGACATACTGTAATGCTGTGTAAACTCAACTCTTCTCTCAGATTGGGCCGGGGCAAGGGTTTTCGGACCGGCGTTGGACATGCGGGACTATACTAGGAAATATGCAAATTGTGCATGATAAGTGGTTTAGTTATTAATTGTCAATTGTATCTTTCAAGTTGTTTTCTTCTTCCAAGTTTGTCTGTTCTCTATAGTGGCTGCACGTGACCGCAGGCGCCAGAGTGACGCGGAAACCCGAGCTCCAGCGGAGCTTCAACCATCGCCGTCTCACCACACTTCCTTTGTCTTTCCAGCATATTTTCTCTACCGTCTTATTCCATCCCATACAACACATCATGGATAAGCTCGTCGCTCAATATTCGCGCCCTCCCCATCAGAATGAGCTCTACAACGAGCAAGAACAGGAGGACCTCTCTGCGAGCGTCCCTCCTCTCTCGCTGAAGTTCTCCCTTCCTCCCGTCGATAACGTGAGTTTCAAATGAATCTATAGCAGATTCTTCATGGCTCAGATGGCGCTTTGATCGAGAGATGTTCCTCTATCCTGACGTCAAGACAACCTGCGGCGCCATCGTAGCTGTCCGAGATTCACAGCCTACCTTTCCTCTCATTGATGCAAGTAGAACCATGTGCTAATTCTTAATCCTCGTCTAGCGATCTGCTTTCCTGCGTGCCATGACCGATGACCACTCCAACCCCAGCTGCCCCATCAAGCTCGCCCACGGAACAACAACCCTCGCCTTCCGATTCCAGGGTGGTATCGTACGTTCCCCTTTGCCTCCATAATACCCGGTATCTATGACTTTGGGTTCAGTTGTACTGAATTATATCTTGGTTAGATTGTGTGTACCGATTCTCGAGCTACAGCCGGCAACTGGATTGCCAGTCAGACAGTCAAAAAGGTTATTCCCGTATCGCGGTTGAGCCGAGGTGAAGACAAGCCTTCAAATGACCCCACGCCAGGTCTTCTGGGAACGATGGCCGGTGGTGCTGCTGTAAGTTGGATTGAGTGATGGTAGGTGATAGGCTGGGCTGATGTTTTGAATAGGATTGTCAATATTGGTTGCGGTATTTGAGTCAGCAATGCACTCTGCATGGTAAGCAGGAGCTTTCTCCCGCCGAAGAAGAAGTTTGCTGATGAGTTCTCAGAAATCCGACACAAGCGCCGTATCACTGTTGCGGCTGCCTCGAAGATTCTCGCCAACCTCACCTACGCTTACAAGGGATACGGACTTAGCATGGGAACCATGTTAGCAGGAGTACGTTGCATACACTATAGTGAAACTGAACTGAGACTAATGATTCCCAGGTGACGCCCCAAGAAGGACCCGCTCTCTACTACATCGACTCCGATGGCACTCGCCTCCCCGGTAACCTGTTCTGTGTTGGATCTGGTCAGACTTTCGCCTATGGTGTGCTGGATGCCGAGTACCGTTACGATTTGACTGAGCAGGAGGCATTGAACCTGGGTCGCCGATCCATTCTGGCTGCTATGCACCGTGATGCCTACTCCGGTGGTTTCATTAACTTGTACCATGTTAAGGAAGAAGGATGGGTGCACCACGGCTTCGATGACATGAACCCTATCTTCTGGAAGACGAAGCTCGACAAGGGCGAGTTCTCCAACGTTACGTCTGAGCTGTGAGCGAAAGGAATGTGTGTAATATTGATATCGATATGTCATTGAATTGGATTATGCTAGGTTATGGGATTCACTGTGCAGTTAGACATGATACATCTGCTCAATATTTCTGATTCTGGTATATAAAAGTAGCGGGCTTCCTGCAACGGCTAAACAGCCAACTGCGAAGCAACCTCGATATGTGAAAACCTCGCCCGAATGACCCGAAACTTATCCAACAGAATATTCTTCGACATGACCTGCAAATTATGAAACGAAAGAACAACACCCTGCATGAAAACAATATCATCAATGCGACAAGTCGTCTCCTCACGCGTCGCCTGCGGAACATGAATCACAACATCAGCAATGGTATTAATAATCTCCAACAGCTTGCTAATCATCGACGAGCCATGCACGCGAATAGTATTCTGCGAGATCTTAGTCAAAAACCCCCTGAGCTGACTAGACAACTGCAAAGGCATTTCCAGCTCCAAAGAAGGACACGAAGCATGACTAGACAACAAACAATTCGACATGGCCATCTGCCAAAGCAAAGTCCGCATCCACTGCCTCGTAACAACAAGATCAGCCTGCTGAAGCTCACTCAAGGTTGAAACCTCCAATTCCCAAAGCTTATCATCAAGCTCACGATGCTTAGCCTCCACCCAAGACGCAGTAACCTGCGACCGATCCCCAATCCAAAGACTAATAAACGAAGCATCAAGCATACAAAACGTCTTGATAACCTGCGTCCAGCCTTGCTGGATACCAACGCCAAGCGAAAGCGAGACAGGATCTTCCTCGGGGAACTGCGCGTGCGGAGGCAATGTCACAGGCGAGAAGTATACAATCGACATGAAACGCTCGTGGATGAAACATTGCCAGTAGAGACGTTGGCGGCGAGCGCGCTCTGTTATGTCCAGGTCGGAGAGGTTGGTTGTTTTGTCTACGCCTAGGATTTGGATCATTGTTATTGCTTCGCGGAGGTAGAAGAAGCCTAGGTCGTAGTGGCCCTGGCTCATCGAGCACATTTGGATGAAGATGCTTGTCATGGCGCGTAGGATTGAGGGGCGGAAGCCTATTGAGAGTGGTTGTTGGGATTCCACTGATTGGCGGAGGAGTTCGGAGATTTGCGTTGATGTTGATGTTGTTGAGGGTGGTGAAGCACAGTGGGATTGGGATGCCCGTGTTAAGTCCAGTGTTACTGCTGTGAAGGCGTAGACGAAGGCTGCATGTTCTCTTTCTGTGTCCATCTTGTTGATGGAATGGCGGACTTCCGTGTCCGTTATTATTGGGCTGAAAGGGTATACGTAGGTCATGTAGTCTGGGATCAGACTTGTGAAGTATGAGGGTGGGAGTCGGGAGGTTGTCAGGGGTAGTAGTGGTGTTACGTTTGTGGTTTTTGGCGTGCCACTTTTGTAACTTGATATCACTGCACCTCGACGCAGAGCATTTTTTCTTGACCGCGCTGAGTGATTCTCTGTGTAGGTGCAGAGGAGGTCCAGATGTTCACATTGTTGGCAGCGATGTTGGCCATTGCAGCGGACTTTACGGCGGTTGCAGGCATCGCATGCTTTGGGCACGCGCTGAGATCTCGGACTGGCCATAAATTTCGTAGAGACTTGAGAGTCAAGGTGAAGATGAATCTCCCCCGCGTTTGAAGTTGATGTCTTGGCATTTTATACTGTTTTGGCGTAGTTCGGAGCCTCCTCCGCAAGTTTGTTCCATGTGAATTGAATTTATCCAATAATATGGTGAGATCGCTTATTAAGACTTGGACTGAAATTAATAGTATATGTACGTCGGATCATTTTGGCCCTAGTCAAAGAGTGTGGTCAGTACAAGCGGTGCATACAGTCAGGCCATAGGTCCTTTCAACCCCCCCTCCCTGTCTTTATATGACCGAAGATGATTGGGCCGGAGTCCTCGAGAATCTAAACTAAGAGTGGCCAAAAAAAAACAGAGGTAGAATTAGGACATAATTAACAAATAGAACGGTTTACCGATAGAGACTATCAAAAACTTCAAGGGGGCCCTGTTGTAGATCGAGATATACATTGCATCTATCTATGCGGTAAGCTATAAATGTAAGACAATATAATCCCATGTGCAGTCCCATGTGCAGTTATATAGCCGAAAGGTAGTGTATCCAGCTCTAAATCAAAATCACCCTTCCTTCAAACGCGTGTAATTCCTCACTAGGATCTTTGACATTACCAACCAACAACTCCCACTTATCACCCTTCAATGTATCCGGGTTCTCAAACTTCTGTGGCTTATCTGAGAAATTCAGAACCACCAATAAGCTGTTATTCTGACCCTTCTTGGTATATGTAAAGACGCTCTGGTTCGGCTCGTCGACGATCTCAAATTCTCCAAAGACCATGGCGTCGGCATACTCCTTGCGTAGTCTGGTCATCTGTTTCCAGAATGATAGAACGGAGGCATTATCGACCTCCTGAAGCTTCACATTAAGCTCGGGATAGTTGTCGTGCGGACGCATCCACGGCTTCGCGGAGGAAGAAGGCGAAAAGCCTGCGTTGGCGTCAGCGCTCCATTGCATGGGAAGTCGAGAGTGATCCCGAGCCAGGTGTTGCAAGGAAGCCATTGCATTTGACAATTCGACGGGGTCATTATTCGTGATATTGCTGGTCATCTGATAGTAGTTGGTGCTATCGATGTCTTTGTATTCGTCAATTGTCCATTCCTTCGGGGCGTTGACCATTCCAATCTCCTGGCCCTGGTAGATGAATTGAGTACCAGAAAGAGTACTTTGCATCATGGATAGCATCTTTGCAGAACGCACCCGTAGCTCAGGTGTCTTGTCCGAACCAAAGCGTGTGACCGACCGGCCCTGGTCGTGGTTTTCCATAAACACCGTCGTCCAGGCATCGGTGCCTTTGATGATATCCTGGGTGCTCTTCACTGCTGATTTCAAGTCTCGTAGTGTCCAGCCAGGGAAGTTAGTAAGGAACTTGTAGTCTTTGCCCATGCCCAGATCCACAAGGTCAAATTGAAAGACCATGCTCAATTGCTTTTCAGCTGCTGAGACATAGCGAAGCACACCATCCAGTGTATGTGTATTGGGACACTCCCCAACAGTCATGGCATCATACTTGGAAAGGACATCGTTCATCTCACGAAGGTACTCATGAATGCGAGGACCGTTGCAGAACTGCGAGAAGGCAACCTGCGTGTCGGATTTCGGGTCAAGAACTGGCGCATCAGCAAGACCAGGCTGCTTGCTGTACATATTGACCGTGTCAACACGGAATCCATCAACCCCCTTCTTCAACCAGAACTCCATCGCAGACTCATAGATTGCCCGACGAGTCACGGCATTCTCCCAGTTGACATCGGGTTGCTCAACGCAAAACAGGTGGAGGTAGTACTCCTCCGTGGTCTCATCCCATTCCCATGCAGGACCACCAAAGATACTGCGCCAGTTATTGGGAGGTTGACGCTTTTCGTTGGCATCATACTTTGCCGGTCTCCAGATGTACCAGTCACGCTTTGGGTTGGTCTTTGAAGAACGGGACTCTTGAAACCACTTGTGCTGGTCGGAGGTGTGGTTGACCACCAAGTCGAGAATGATACGTAGTCCTCGCTCGTGGCATGCATCGATGAGAACTTCCATATCTCCCACGGTTCCGTAGGGCTCATACACCTTCTCATAGTCGGCCACATCGTAGCCCATGTCAATCTGGGGACTGTCATACATGGGACATAGCCAAATCACATCAACGCCGAGACTTGTGATGTAGTCAAGGGATGAAATGATGCCTGGGATGTCGCCAATGCCATCATTGTTGGAATCTTTGAAGCTGGCAGGGTAGATTTGGTAGATAATGGAGTTCTTCCACCATTTTTCACCCACTCGAGCTGGAGACATGGTCTTTGGAGGCAGCGAGGTGAAAAGAAGAATAACACGACGGAATTGGAAAAGAAGAACTGTTCAATGAAAGGACAGGCAAGCTATATACCCCAAGCAGAACCTGTTTCAGATCATCAGTGCACCATGGATGATCGAGTCCAGAGCCCTGCGAGGTCATGCTGTAGGGACGGCATATACTGTGATTGACTTGATGTCGGCCCGAGTTAGCGAATTGATTCCACTCGACTGCATGCGGGGGGGTTATCAGGCGAATGGGGGCTGGTGAGTCGTGTCGTTGGCGAGTAACTCCGAGATTGCCCCAGAATTATATCAAAACCTGGAGAACTCTTCAGACTCGGCCATCTTTGACGCTTCAAATTGACATTTAGACTCTGCAGAAGACGTTCGATGAGGGGGAAAGGCGTATGTCGGCCCGACGGTTTGCCAATGAGACGGCGGTGTCATGTCCCCTCTCTCTAGCCCCTTTTGGGAGAAGTTGCAGCCCTTCACTCAACACAAAACACCAAGTGGCCACAACTGGTTCAAGATGTCTGTCTCCTTGCCATTCCGGCCCGACATCAGTCTAATCATTCAGTTCCCTCAGACCCCACGAATCCGGGGGTTAGTGGGCTGATCACCGAACAATCTGGGGAAAACTCTCTCTGCGCCACCGGCCTCGCTTGAAAAGTGGTCTCAGCAGCCAATAGAGTCCCCGGCCCTATGCTCGCTCAGTATGGACTGCCCCAGAAAGCCGTTAGACAACTTGCACATAAATGCCCAGGGATTCCCCACACGAATAGCTTATATTCTATTCATCTCAACAGCCAGACAGTGACACAAATCCAACATCGTCATTGAGAATCCAACAATGGCTTCTGAAAAGAAAGCCATGGCCGAACATGTCGAGAAAGAGACCTCGATCGACCATGCATCCCACTCCGAGGTCGACCAGACCGACCTCAAGACAAGCAATGAAGCCCACGCAGCAATCGAAAAAGAACACAACATGACCCCCTTGCAAGCCGTGAAAATCTACCCCAAAGCAGTTGGCTGGTCCCTCCTCCTATCCTGCGCCATCATCATGGAAGGCTACGATGTAGTCCTTCTAAACTCATTCCTCGGCTTCCCCGCCTTCAACGAGAAATACGGAAACCTCATGTCGGACGGGACCTACGGTCTAACCGCATCCTGGCAAGCAGGCCTAAACAATGCCATGGCCTGCGGTCAGATCATAGGTCTCTTCCTCAACGGTATCGTCTCCGAACGCTACGGCTACCGCAAAACCCTCATGGCCTGCCTCGCATCAACAGTCGGCTTCGTCTTCATCCTCTTCTTCGCACCAAACATCTCAACCCTGGTCGCCGGGGAACTCCTCATGGGTATTCCCCTTGGCGTTTACCAAACCCTTACCGTAACCTACGCCTCTGAAGTCTGCCCAGTCGCTCTGCGCGCCTATCTGACCACATACGTCAACCTCTGCTGGGTTTTCGGTCAGCTCATTGCCAGCGGCGTCCTGAAAGGCCTAGCAACACGTACGGACCAATGGGCCTACCGCATCCCGTTCGCCATCCAATGGGTATGGCCCGTTCCAATTTTCATCGGTGTATACCTCGCACCTGAGAGTCCATGGTGGCTGGTCCGCAAGGACAGACGCGAAGACGCAGTCAAGTCCCTGAAGCGTCTCACAAAAGCAAACAGTCCTGGTTTCAGTGCCGAGGAAACAGCCTCAATGATCATCTACACCGATGCTCTCGAGAAGCGCGTCGAGACTGGTACCTCGTACCTAGACTGTTTCAAAGGTATTGACCGCCGCCGCACGGAAATCGCATGCTGCGTCTGGGCCGCGCAGAGTCTCTGCGGTGCAGGACTAATGGGCTACTCAACGGTCTTTTACCAGCGTGCCGGACTGGCAGTTTCGCAATCATTCACAATGTCCCTGGTACAATATGCCATCGGAGTGATTGGAACACTCAGTTCATGGATCTTGATGACCTACTTCGGTCGACGAACCCTCTACGTAGGCGGACTATTTCTGCTTGCAATTGTCCTACTGGTAATCGGCTTTGTATCAATTGCACCATCAACATCAGCGATATCCTGGGCGACGGGCTCAATGCTGCTCGTTTATACATTCATTTACGACTCGACTGTTGGACCAGTTTGTTTCTCGCTTGTGTCTGAGATGCCGTCGTCTAGACTGCGGACGAAGTCGATTGTTTTGGCGAGGAATGTTTATAACATTTTCAATCTTGTTACTGGAATTATTATTCCTTACATGCTTAATGTTGATGCTTGGAATTGGAGGGGGAAGTCTGGTTTCTTCTGGGGTGCGCTTTGTATTATTTGTCTTGTTTGGGCTTTCTTTAGGCTCCCTGAGCCTAAGGGTCGATCTTATGCTGAGTTGGATATTCTGTTTGAGAATCGTGTTCCTACTAGGCAGTTTGCTACTGCTAAGACTGGATTGGTTCAAGAGGATTTTAAAGGGGATGGGTCTGCATGAGGGCTTATTTTTACAAATTGTTATATTGGATCTAGTATTGGCCATGTCAATTGATAATCTATCTTGTTATAATAAGATATTATAGTACACTGCGTACCAGCTGCTAATTCCTTGAGCAGTCTTAGTCTATTTGCTGAATCCGCTTTGACTGGGTTATAACAGCTTCTATTCTAAGAAAACTGGTATGACCGGTCTACTAGAATGGCTCTTTTGAACACTTGATTCTGTTGTATGCTGTTCGTACACGAAGAAATATTTGCAATAAAGAAACAAAAGCATCCGAGTATAATCATTAAAAAAAAGACCAGGTATACGCCACCTATGACAATCAAGCAAAAAAGAACATTGATTTTTTACTCCAGCCAGAGAGAGAGGCTGGTGTATCAGTTATCCACCCAGAACTTCATGCGGATACCCATAGCAGCCAGCTCAACATCCAAGTAGCGGAGGACACCAGGCACAGCAACAATAGTGACATTGTCACCGCCAACGAAGCGCTGGCCATTTCCATCCTCCCAGATCTCAGCACGGGAGTCATCGAAGACAGCCTCACGGGCACAACGACGACAACGCACAACACCAGCCACACCACCAACAGCACCGACAGCACCGGCAGAGTGAGAGTGACTCTGCTGGTTAGGCGCGGCCTTAGCCGCGGCAGCAGCAGCACCAGGGTTAATAGCCGCACGAGAACGGGAAGAACCAGAGACAGCAACTTGGGTGGACAGGAAAGAACCACAAGAGCGACAGATCCAGGTATGCTGGGCGTCGGAGCAGTTCATCAGACGATCTTGAAGGAGGAAGGCGGCACCGTGAGCAATCAGGGAATCACGCTCCATCTCTCCGACACGGATACCACCACCCTTGGCACGACCCTTCACGGGCTGGCCGGTGAGGGCGTTGACGGGACCGGTAGTACGCACTTGGAACTTGTCGTTCACCATGTGACGCAGACGCTGGTAGTAGACGAGACCCATGTAGATGTCGGCGGAGAACTCGCGACCTGTGATTCCACTGTACAAGGGCTCGTTTCCGTAGTAGTTGTAGCCTGCTTTGCGGAGCTGCTCACCGAAGTAGTCGGTTGCGGTGTTTTCTTCGGAGAATTGGAAGGGTGTTGAGTCTTGAGGGAGACCGTGCATGGCACCGGCCTTACCGGCCATAGACTCAATCATCTGGGCGATTGTCATACCTAAGTTTTGTTAGAGATGATTTAGAGCGATGTGTGATGAGGAACTTACGAGATGGGAAAGCGTGAGGGTTGATGATCAGATCGGGCTGCATGCCGCTTTCGGAGAAGGGCATGTCGACCGCAGGCCACAACTGTGACAAGACACCCTTCTGACCGTGACGAGAGGAGAACTTGTCACCAATGACGGGCTTACGGGGAATGCGGTACTTGACACTGAGAGATTGCATGGGCTCGTTGCCGTTCTCAGATCCCATGATACGAATGCTGTCGATATATCCCTCCTCGGCATCCTTGTACTTCATGTAGTGAGTGATACCGTCAACGTTGACAAACGAGTCAGAGGCAGGATCGAAGCGGACGTTGTGCCAGGCGGCGACCTTGTCACCCTCCTTGACGCGGGCACCCAAGTGAGGAAGTCCATCCTCGTCGAGGATGGCGCGCACCTGCTCCTTGATCTCGTCGCCGGGAGCGAAACCAAACAGCTTGGTGACATCGCGCTTGGACTTGCTGCGCTTGGAGTCGCCCTCAGCCAAAGTGTGAACCTTGGTCTTGTAGACTGTACCGTGACCGAAGCCGCGCTCGTGAGCAGACTTGTTGATAATCATGGCGTCGTCCATGTCGTATCCGGTGTAAGAGATGATAGCAACAACCGCGTTCATGCCGTTGGGGAAGTTGTCCAGACCGTAGGCGTTGTACAGAGGTGGGCGGACAATTGGCGTTTGACCAGTCTGAATACGGTACAGCTTGTTGTCTGTACGGTATGCGATGGAGGTACCCGGTGTACCCATGGTCTGTTTGCTCATCTGACACTGGTACATGTTACGGGGAGATTGGTTGTAGTCGGAGAAGGGGGTCATGTTGGCGACAATCGACAGGATGTTGGTCGGGGTGAACTCGATGTGTGTTGAGAGACCAGGGATCAGATCAGACTCAACACAGGCAATCTCCATGAAAGGCTGCTCGAATGGACCCACGTAATCTAATTTGTCGGAAGCCAGATACTTGACAGGCCGGTACATTCTTGCGGACTGAGAGAACATGTAAACACCCGGGTATTGTCCACCGGCGGAGTTAGGGACGTATCCAACTTCCAATTCACGGGGGATATTGTGCTTTCCTTCGACCTTCCAGTGACGGACAGTGTCGGCGATTCTCTGGGCTTGCTTAGGGGAACAGTACCCGATAATACGGCCATCCAATTGCACTACCACACTTTCGTCAATTGCCACAGAGGACTCGGACCGGATACCAAGCTGGACCAAAAGTCGGGGGAGATGGGAGACTTCCAAATCACCTGTAGAAATCAAACACTTGTGCGCCAAATGGTTAAGCAGACCACAAGGCGATCCATCAGGGGTGTGCACAGGACAAAGGAAGCCCCAACTCTCTGGTAGCAGCTTACGGACGGTAGTAGTCTTCAATTGGGCGAAGAAACTACCACGGTGAATCATGCGGAAGTGACTGATGAAACGATAGAAGTTGATCTTCTCGGCAATAACGGTATAACCGGAGGTCTGTTGCAAATCAAGACCAGTAGGACTGACCAAGTTACCGGTGGAAAGGAAGTATTCGAGCGCATTACCAATGTTCTCGTTGGATCGTTTCACGATCTTGGACAGGAAGTCACGCTCGAATGCGGAGTCTGTGAATTTGGCGCCGTTGTTGCGAATAGACCAGTCTCTGGCGATAGGTCCGAATGATCGAATCCATTCCTCGATACGCTCCTTGAGGATCATACCGTACAGGAATCCACCAAGCAGAATTTCCTGGTTGGAGACGGCATCGGGGTTGTCAGGAGCACAGTCACCTGCAACGGTGGAGTACAATTTCCGGATCATGAAGGTGATCATCTTGAACTTGTCCCAGTCTTGAGACTCGGTGACATTCTCGTTTCCAAGGTGAGGGAGAACGACCTTGCGGAGGAACTCTGTGCCAACCTCCTCATCGGGCATGTCTGCAGGAACACTGAGAACAGGGCGGAAAGCCTTACCCAAGTGGGAGCGGCAGTCGTACTGGCTATGCTTCTGGTAGGCGTGGTAAGTTCTCAGGAGAAGCTCGACTCGGTCAGTGACGAAGGTGTTTTTCATGCCCTTGGACTGGGCACCACCGACGATAGATTCGAAGATTTCGCGGTCGTTAGTCTCGGCGAGGGCCTTGAGAATCATCATCACGGGAATGAGATATTCGTTCTTGCGCCATGAGAAACGGAAGGTGACGTTTCCATCGGAGAGGTAGTGGAGCACATTGGTCTGCGAAGTCTGATCGGGACGAACTGAACGTATTTGAACACCGAACTTTGTGTAAGACTGACCACGCTTCACGAATGAACCACGAATAATGGACATGGGGAAGTTGCGCTTGCCGACGATCAGCATACGAATCAGCTTCTCGTTACCGTTAACAATGTAAAAACCACCGAGTTCCTCGGATTCCTCCTTGTGGCGCACAAGCTCCTCGGGAGTGGCCTTCTCAAGGTGACACCGGTTGGTGCGCACCATGATGGGGACATTACCGAGCTCACGAACAGACTCCATCCAGTCGCCGTTGTTGACCTGGTACTCAAGACGAGCACGGAGCTTACCACGGTATGTCGCATGGCGCTCTCGGCATTCTGAGGGGTAGATTTCACGGTTGCGGGTTGCGAACTTGTTTGTGGGGGGCAGGGTGGGCTTTTCGAGGAAGATTTCGCGCACGCGAACGTTCAAGCGGTTGCGCTTGGGTGGGCGGAGACCCTCGGCCTGACGGGCCTTCTTCTGTTCGTATGTCTCGAGCTCTCCATCGAGGAAAGTCTTGGTGCCGATATCCCTCAATCCTGCCTCCATAATCTTGCTATCCTCGAAGAGAGCATTGAAAGAATCGATATGCGGCCGAATCGACTCGGCCAGCGACGGGTAGGCAGTTTGATCCGTGGGGGGATTTTGGAACAAGTTCTCCCGTCGCAGGGTGTCGTATTCCACCGACCACTTGGTGTCTGTGGCGGTAGGAGCCATGGTGGAAATTCGCAGCTCTTGGCTGGTATGGTATAGATAAAAACCTTGCAAAGGTCACGATAATGGGGGAGATGGTAAAAAAGTATCAGGGGAGCAGTTCCGCAGTCTCCCAAGAGTATAAAATGCTTGAACCCAAGGGGATTGAACCGACAATGGCAGCTGCCAGACGACAGAGAGACTAGTCCGTTCTGCTTGGGGAAATTTTTCGAGGTGGAACCCATTATCTTCACGTGGTGATATGAAATGTGGCCTTACAGTTCAGGTCACACTACCCGTGACATCAATACTAACGTTAACTTAGTCTCCTCGTGTTCCTTGCCTTTGGATTCATGTGCCTGCTTATGTATAACTTAGTTTATTTTCCTTCAAGTCTTAAAGCGCCCGTATTTTCTCAGCCCCATATAAATTTAAAATTTATACTAAAGATAAATGACGAAATAAGAAAATATGCCTAAGCGCCTGAAGTTTTCACCCGCGGGCGGTTATGTCCAAACCTCATCGGCCTCGACCCCACCTCTTTCATAAGCCTCTCCGCTGCTGGCAGCTGAGCTTGTTTGGTTTACTTCTCTTTCTTTTTTTTGTATTTCACCATGGCTGCCATTTTCCGCACTATCTATGACTGGCTCCTGAGGGTATTCTGGTAAGTGGCCGGCCCGTCCCAGAAGCCTTAACATGCTAAGTATTCAGGGCCACGGAGATGGATGTCACCATGATCGGCCTCCAGAATGCCGGCAAGTCCTCCCTGCTGCGTGTATTGGCGGTATGTCATCCCTCATTCTAATCTGAAAAGATCCCATATATGTTCCGTCCGAACAGACTTGCTGACCGGTGCGCAGGGTGGCGAGTTCACTGTCGAGTAAGTGATAATCATCCCAACCTGTCAGCTGTATCTCATCACAGTTTACTTGACAGCTCGATCCCAACAATCGGCTTCAACACGAAAAGAGTCCAAAAGGGCCATGTGACCCTGAAATGGTATGTCCCTCCACCCCCAACAACCGACATCACTAATCTCCCTCTCAAGCTGGGATCTCGGTGGCCAGCCCCGGTTCAGGCCGATGTGGGAACGGTATTGCCGAGGCGTCAACGCGATCGTGTAAGAGCCCGTATCTATTAGTAGCTCCCGGGCCTCCCCAGACACACTGACGCAAAAGATACAGGTACATCGTGGACGCAGCAGACCGAGCCGCACTACCTGTAGCGACAGAAGAGCTGCACGACCTAATGAAGAAGCCCACGCTGGACAGTATCCCGCTACTAGTCCTCGGGAACAAGTCCGATCTCCCGGATAAGTTATCCGTGGATGAGCTGATTGAAGCGATGGACCTGAAATCAGTCACTCATCGCGAAGTAAGCTGCTATGGAATTAGTGCCAAGGAAGAGACCAATCTTGATGCTGTTCTGCATTGGTTGATTCATCGGGCTAGTCGATGAAGAGCCGGGTTGTTTGGGGGTCAGCTTTCTATATTCTGGACTTTTTTCGACTCACGATATCCCTCTTGTACGTTATGCGCTTTTGATGTCTTGCATTTTTGGATTGTTTTCATATCTTGTAGACTCTAGCGTGATTCTGTTTGATTTTGATTATGATTTTTCTGGCTTGCAGCGGTTATAACGATTTTGACAATGTAGTCTGGTTCTTTGTGATTTGCATGTTGATAATGATACACGTTGGCCATGTTTCTCGTTCTGCTTCGGATTGAAGTCTGAGGGGAGTAGAAGGGGAAATTGACAGATAAATAAGTTGAAACACGGGCCACCCTGCATGGATGCGCTGGCAGCCAGCGCATAAGCACATAGACGTTAACGTATATGCCTCGGAGGGACCCCGTCTCTACACATGCTACGCAATATCACGTTTTTTTTCAAATGAGAAATCAAATGGCATTAGTCGTACACAAAAATATCTAAGATCGGTTTTGTTGGCCAGAGCAAGTGTGCCCATCCTGTCGCGCCCTAGATAGCGCAAGAACGCCCGTAAACATCAAATCAAACCAGATTAACAGGACTAAGATGTGAAAAGGTGAGCTTATTTGCAACGCTTCTCCACGATGTTAGGTCCATGTTCCTCGTACTCCTTCTTGGAGATCCACATCTGGTGGAAGGTTCCCAGGCTGGCCAAGATACTTCCTCCGATCCAAGATCCGAAGCGACGCTCTGAGGTGTTACCAGGGGCGGTAACACGAACTCGGGGGCCAGGGAACATCTGCATCAGCTCATGGTTCAAACGGTCTGTAAAGCCATAGAGCAAGCTTGAGCCGCCGGTCACAACGACATTGGCCAGCAAGTGGGGACGGATATCCACATCAACGCCAGCCAAAGAGGCCTTGATAAGTTCTGGGATGGTTTGGGCGGGAGTAGGGGGAGCGAAAGAAGATTCGGGATCGGGAATGGCAGCCTTGGCATCGAACAGCGATTCCACCACGCGGAAGCGCTCGACACCAAACACCTGGTTGTATCCATCGGGGAACTCGAAGGGACGGCCGGGCGAGGTACGGGCCATATCCTCGTTGGAAACGCCCGTGGGTCCAAGGGCAGAGAGTCTGGTTGGCCCGGGCCACACCTGAACGACACATTCTTTGAACTCGCCGAGTGTACGCTCCTCGAGAAGGGCGCGGTATGACGCATCAGGTGCCTTGTCGGCAGGGAAAGTTTTGTATTTCGCCTGGGGAGCTTGACCAGCTTCGACGGCAGCCTTTGCGCTGATAAGGTAGTGTGGCGTAATTGTAATCGGTTGCGGAGAGTTAGATTTGAACAATGCGTTGATCTGCGACGAAATGTAGTCACCTCCAAACGGAGAGTGTTGCACACCACGTTTCAGGATCATACCGTCGTGGATCGGAGTAATGGAGATGTTAGAAGCGCCAATGTCGACAACGAGGGCAGAAGCCTTGCCAGAAGCAAAACTACAAACAAGTCAGCGAATAACCAGCACAGCAAATAGAGTTGATACATACGCAGCAAGAACACCTGTGCGCGCCAGGTAAAAGGCTGGGGTATCCCATTTCTCCATTGCGATTTCAATGGTCTTCTCACGCGCCTTGGCCGGGTTCCATCCAGGCTCCGTCATCAACAATGGGCTGTCCGAGAGAGGCTTCTCCTCCGACTCCACCTCCATCTCTGTTGGGAGCTCTTCGCTAGGAATGTCGTTCAATCCATTCTGGAAAGGGTTGCCCGGTTTCGTTCCGGTGAGTCGCGAAGTGAATGAGTGCTCCCACACCTTCTCTGCCATATCCCAATCCTCGACGATTCCGTCCTTGTTGATAGGGTTGTGGATGGACAGACCAGGTCGCGGGGTAACGAAGATATCATCGCCGTAGATGAGCTTTTCTTGTCCGTCGGCGTTGTACTTTCCGTAGTAGGTGGGGATCAGTGACTTGGGAGCATCTTCACCTGCGAAGCCTGCGCGAGTGGTTGCGTATCCTGGGTCCAGGACAATTGCGGACACCTCGTCTATAAACATGGGATTAGCATCTTGTGGGGCGGTGCTTGACCAATTATCCAGATCGCAATCGGCGCAATTGACGGGCCATTTGAATCACGTACCTCCGCCATACTCGGCAGCTTGAGGTGGGTTGGAAGGGTTCATTGCGTTTGCGCAGGGATGTTGAGGGCTTTGGTCGCGGTCACGGTTGTCTTATGCAACAATATTATACGAAAGGTCCAAAGGGTCGTTCGCATGCGAAAGCGACGAACAATGGAAGGGGCTGGTTTGAGGCAGGGAAGGGCCGTCTTTTGCGGTTGTTAACTTCCACTGTCTTGTCAATTGGCATCACCCGAGAGCTTAGTCATCTGTATCAACCACGTGACTCTACATCAGCTTCAATGTTTGCCATTCATTCAAAGATATTGCATAAACTGCGCTAATTTGGCTGTCAAGTCCTCGGGTAAATGCTGTAGGCTTAGTTGCATATATTTTATGCTGTTGGTATTCCATGAGCCAATATCTGAACTCATTACATATATATTTACTCCATTAGGACAAAACCAAGAATAAGTAATTCAACTTGTAGATTTGATATTCTTACCAAAGAATGCTATTTAGAAAGAGAGCATAAAATATATGGAATAACGGAATCAGTCGGACGAGCTAAGTCATCGGTTCTAGCAAAGCAGCCATTTCCCAGGACAAGACCAGCAAGGCATATCTGAGTCCACCAATAACCCGGAAGTTTTGCCATGTCTGTAAATAGTCTCCATGAATCTAGTATGTGGTTGACAGGGAATCAAAAATTATGTAATATCATGATGGTATCTTGTAGGTATTAAGTTTTAAAAAATACATGCCACATCAGAGACATTAGAATCATACAAGGGCTCGTTCGCCCGCAAGGACCATGAAAATCATTTGTGTCCTGGTTTCGTCTGTGTTTCCCGCATAGCAGCTCTGGCACTCCGACTGCCTCCCAGCTTTGGTCCACGAGGCCCCTCAGCAACCTTGGGTGCTGGTTTTGCCGTCCGGCGACGGGTCTGAATCGCATCCATAAAGTCACGTCGGAATTGCTCAGCAATTCGATCATCAGCAGCTTGGTCATCGAACTGTGTTTCGTCCTCGGGATCATCATAGACATCCACTATAGAGGTACGAGTTAGCAAAAGATACTCCACAATTCAGAGTGCCACATACATTTGCTTTCGCGTAGAACTTCCTCCACAAGGCGATCTCTTTCAATGTCCGCATCTGCCCTCTGCTTGCGGTTCCGCCAAGGCTTTCCATCCGGACCAGAGCGACACGTCCCTGGGGCTGTGGTTTCTCCCGGTGCCGGTTCATCTTCATCTCCTGCAAGTTTCCGAGTCGCAGCTTCTGTCCGCGCAATGTTTCGCAATGTTGCTTCCTGACCGAGATCGATTTCATGAAGTTTGCCAAGTGATGCAGGTTCGCGTTGTTTATGACCGGACACTGATAACCCGCCAGCTGTTTGTTCATGGTTTGATTGACTGGCATCTGCATTCTCTGCCTGGAGTTCAGGTTGGTAGCGCTTGGCCATTTCAGAATCTATGTATGCCATCCTTATCTCGTTAGCCCACATCGAACAAATCGGATATCAATTGTAGCAAGGGTTCATACATGTGCCTGTCAACATCCACAGTCTGGCCGGTATACCCTGTGAACCGTTCATTCATAGCTTGGATCTTCTCTTGGTCGGGATCACCAGATACCGGCCCGAGGGCCTGCTTTCGTGTTTGTTCATCTCCTACTCGCGATGTGGTAGAGAACCCAATCCCACCCTTCCGAACTGGACGTAAGCGCCGGGTTGCTGCAGTTTTCGTGGTACTGGGTGCATCGTCCTGCGATTGCCTGTCGGGACCTAAGTTGTTTTGGTTTGCGGGACTGGACGCTAGATCGGCATCGGATGCTTCTGGTGTTTCATGATCGGGACGCCGGCGCGTAAACTTGCGCTTTTTTGCTGGGCGAAAGAGGGACTCATACACAACATCTTGTTCTGGATCCATTGTGGATTGTGGCACAAACTTGGGGAGGCGACAAAGGCAAGATTCCCGGAAAGCAATGTGAGGTCATTGGGAAGAAAGTTTGTTATTGGTTCAATTACAGACCGCTCTACTATTCTGCCCGTCTGGTATCAGATGGATTCGGTTGATGATTGGCCAATTTATATGCGACTACCTTCATTCCACAGATGCTATCTGTGACAGCAGAATGGACAAGCCTTTATGTTGCATATAGGAGAGGCCTGCTACGTGCCACTATACTGGAACCCTAGTGGGGCGCCCGTTTGAGCCTCTTATAAAGGCGCTCAGCCTCATCCTTGGTTAGGTGCTTGTTGAGATGCCTCCTAGTTGGTGTCTAATAGATAAAGCTCCACTATGTGCCCTAAGACTTGAGGCATTGATGTCCTAGTTCGAGGTTCCATCCAGACTGAAGTCAATACCCAAACACGCGCACACGCAAGCTGGAAGTCCAGCCTCGTTGACAAATAATTCAATCTTGTGATATGACTATGCGTGGCCAGATATAATCTACCTGGGTTCAACTTACAAGATTTTCAATGCTGGCAATTGAGACTTTTGGATGGGTAACCCATGGTGGGAATAAGGGACGACTACGAGGTATACATATATGCGACTTGGTCACGGTCAGGTAGCTGCGACGACGACCTCGTCCCTGACCTACTATTTAAATATGCCAGAAAGATTCTTGCCTATTACTGTCTATTTTAAAACTGTGCTTCGGAGTCTACGGATAATTTCTATGACTTCAAGGTTATGGTTCGAAGATTAGCTAGGCTGAAACATGCCCAGAACTTTCTATTCGAGACCAAGATTCAATAAAGAGCTTAAGCCCAGCATATATTCACCCCAAGTTAATCATAGACTATTCACACACATGAATGTCAAAGATGCGATCAGTATAGCGTTTGTCGACTGACCTAGATCTTCAGATCACTACTGTCATATGCCAACCACTTTTTGTTTAATTACAATTTTTGGTAATAGAATTGCACCTCCAGGATGTCACCTCGTTGGTAATATACGAATTGTATATACGCGCTTTGCTAGGCACCGTCTTCCTACGCGGTGATTGAAAAAAAAATTTGAACCAGTCATGAATCAAAGTCATAAGACGAGTCGACATTGAAGTCCACCATTTGAAAGATATTGATATATTGGATGCTTTGGTAACGCATGAGACGATTTTATTTTGTAAAGCACCAAGGGGAATTGCTTAATAGTGGCAATAGGTTTCGGATTGTCTCGAGTTTGAATAGTTGCAAGGATACTTAGGTTTTGTCAACATACGGCCATAAACTTAAACCTTGCTCCACACTGCTCTAATCATACTAGCATTAGAGCTAGAGTTCAGGCCCGCGACACATTTAGTTATACGCATTCTGGCAGTGTACACCATCACTATCCTAAGGACCAAAGAGGTCCTACTACCTCTAGCATACGCACGCCAAGATACTACGAATGTGCGGCCCAAGCTGCCCACCCCTGGAAGGATTAAGAGTACGGATAATATCGGAGACATTTCTGGATAGTCACGAGTTCAAACCTGTATCGGGAAACCATTTTCCAACATGTTCTCAGCCCGAAGTAGCCCAGTAACGAAGGCTCAACAAGGAAATTGTGCCGGCACTTTTTCTCTTTCTCTTTCTCTCGTTCTAGCTCTCCCTTCATCTTGGCAGGATAATGCCGTGAAAAAAGAAGACTTCATTCAATATATGTGGACAAGAGGCGTATGTGAAATTCGCCTGTCTTGACAGGCGCCGAAATCATTGTGCCGAAGAATTACTTCCAATCCAAGGCTGCAAACCGCGAGAGAATGCCAAGAATAGACACGTTGGACTTTACATGTATGGCTATACCTACTTAGGCAGGCTCTTTGGGAAAGTAGAAGCCGGGGTATCTGAAAGAATAATGCATTCAATTGGACTTATGCTCACCCTTGCACCGACGCGTAGACAATATAAACTGAAACCGAAAAGTCTCGAACTTCGAAAAATGGCCATCTTATCGACGCCGTCTCCGCATGTTAAAAAAAACCCTTTTTGTTTCTGATATCCACTCGCCTCCGCGCTTAGAAGACATCGCACGTCATGTTGGCTTAGGCCCAGGGTCTCCCGAAGGGTGATGTCGGAAGCTCAGCTCCAGATGTATTAGATTGATACGATAATTGGCTTAGAATCCCATTGAGTGACTAGATGAGCGGGAATACGTAGGTTAAAGGAATGGAACCCGAAAATAACCCGGGGAACTCGGCGGGCTGGGGCAATCAAAATGTCGAAGGCAAGCCCCGTGGGGGCCAGGATCAACATTTGCGGAGATCGGACATTTGGAGACTCGGGATGAAGCGAACATTGGCAATGTCTTGGTATCGCTCAAGGAGGTACTAGGATTGGAACAAAGCGAAGTGATGTGGCTTGAAATATTTTCAAGCTTTAAGCCCTGGTGAGTGTGGTACGGTAAAGGCGGTGACACGATTCGGGCCGGAAGAATCGGAGTTCGAACCCAAACTTCAATATCACAATGGTAAGCCGAGATACAGCTATGGCATTGACAGGTCGTAAAGGGGACCAGTGTTCTATCGCGACATCAACCTGGGGCCCCGGGATGTACCCCATCTCCGAATCTCCAAATCCTCAAGTCTCCACTTGAGATGAGGTGGGTGACTCGAGACGGACACCTGTTTCGTTTGCGCAATTCGATTACCCAACCTCATGCCATTCGCTATTACCAATCACTATCATTTCTCACACACGGAAAGTGACCGAGCCGGTGGGGATTTTGTAGGGCTTTAAGCCAAGCCGCCAAGCGCGTCTACGTTGTCTGGGGCGCAGGCACACCGAAATCAAGCCGGAGACAAGCCTTGAGAGCCTCCGATATTTGGCCCGAGCTAGGCAATGACCGACCGAAACCCCACGCTTGACGCCGAGAGCCAAGACACAAGCTGCGTTTCCCCGGCATACGATGTGGTCAACGGAGAATATTTTCCACCTGTATCCCGGGCCCCCTCCTCAAGGAGATGTTAAGGAACCTATGCGGGATACCTCCGATTCTCGCAAGATGATTTGACCGAGATCAGCCCTCCACACCCCTGATTCTCGGTCCCAACCCGTAGATCAGGCGGTATGTTGGCTCGGGAGTGGCAAACCGGCCCAGTTCTCACCGGGGATCAAAAACTTTACCGTGGAGTCGGCGCTGTGACCGAGTCACAGTCCAGTTTTCAAAACCTGACGAGCAGCAATGGCTAAATTGATCCACTGTGGACTTCGTCCTCCCACGGCCAGAAATTACAACGATTACATGATGCGGGGTCTCCACGGCACCAGCAAGGAAAAAGGGTATAAACCTGTAGGCGAGACCTGCCTTGCCTGCCCTCGATTATTTTCCCTACCAGAGTGACTTTACTATACTCAGCTCTCCATCTCGGTCATGTTGTTTCGAGGTAAAGCCCTGCGCGTAGCGCAGGCGTTGCTTATCGTTGCACCCGCCTTCATTGTTTTCGGTTATAACCAGTCTGGCTTGGGACCTCTCGCTACCCTCCAGAGCTGGGTGAAGGTGTTTCCCGAAATTGACACCATCGACACCGAGGGTGCTGTGCGTGCCACAAACTCTACAAAGAAAGGTGCTGTTATTGCATCCTTCCAACTAGGTGCTCTTGTTGGAGCTCTATCTTGTACATGGTTCGGTGAGCGTCTCGGTCGCCGCTGGACTATCTTCTTGGGTGCTATTCTCACTATCATCGGCCAAGTGCTGCAGACCGCAGCCTATGGTATTCCTCAATTCGTCGTCGGCCGTGTTATTCTCGGATTTGGTGTTGGTCAATTCAGTGTTGCCGTCCCTGTATGGCAGTCTGAGTGTACATCAGCCAAACATCGTGGACAGCACGTTGTCGTGGATGGTATTTGTATTTGTTTAGGTTATGCCCTATGTAATTGGATCGACTTTGGTCTTAGCAAGATCGACGGTTCATTGGAATGGCGTGTCCCACTGGCCATCTCTTTCTTCTTCTCTCTTGTTGTCCTTGTCTCGGTCTTCCTCCTCCCCGAGTCTCCTCGCTGGCTCGTGCGCGTTGGCCGCATTGACGAAGCCACCCATAGTCTGGCTGCCTATAAAGGTTTGTCCGACGACGACGAGGCCGTTCGTGTTGAGATCTCCGGTATCGAGACCTCCCTCGAGGTTTCTGTCGACAGTGCCTCACTCATGGACATCTTCAGCTTCAGCAAGCCGGACGAAGAGCGTCTGCTATATCGATTCTGCCTCTGTGTTGCATTACAGTTCTTCCAGCAGATGTGTGGTGGTAACCTGATTTCCACCTACGTGTCAACTATCTTCGAAGAGAACCTCCACATGGACAGCGACTTGGCTCGTATCCTGTCCTCGTGCGCGATGACCTGGAAGTTCCTGTGCAGTTTCATTGCCTTCTTCGCCATTGACCGTCTCGGTCGCCGAAAGATCTTCATGATATCCGGTGCTGGTATGTCTGTCTGCATGATGGTTCTCGCCATCACCAACAGCTTTGGCCAGAACCACACTGCCTCGATTGTGTCGGCGGTGTTCATTTTCCTATTCAACTCCTTCTACCCCGTTGGATTCCTTGGTGGTAACTTCCTCTACTGTACCGAAGTTGCTCCTATGCGTCTTCGTGTCGCCATGTCCGCTATATCTACTGCGAACCATTGGCTGTGGAACTTTGTGGTTGTCATGATCACCCCCGTCGCTCTAGACACCATCGGTTATCAATACTACATTGTGTACACCGTTATATCTGCCTTTATCCCTATCTCGGTCTACCATTGGAAACAGAGTAGCAAAAACCCGAATTTCCTCCGACCTGTCGGTAGCATGGTGCTCCCAATCAAGCTCTAGCGCCGCTTTACCAATCATGCCCGCCATAGAGAGCGGCACATACTTCCTCGCCAGACAATCATGAGGCCCCGCCCCGAACACAAGCCAGTTCTTAGTCTTGGACTCGGCATCCCCGGATATCCAACGCTCCGGATCGAACGTGTCGGGGTTGGGGTAGACATTCGGGTCGTGCAGGGCAGGGTAACAAGACGGGATGATCATCGACCCCTTGGGGACAGTGTAGGAAGGTGTTACGGGGAAGTTCTTCGTTGCTAGATAGGGGACGAAGATGACGGGTGGTCGGTGGCGGAGGAGTTCTTTGATTACTGCGTTCGTGTAAGTTAGGGACTCTAACATGGGCAGGTTGAAGGGTTTGGTCTTGTCGCCGTCTCTTGCTGCGAGATTCTCTTCGCGGAGTCGGTTGAGCACGTCTGGGCGTTGGGCGAGGATTTGGAAGAGCCATGTTGTTGCGCTGCTTGAGGCATCTTGCGATGCGAAGAGGAAGGTGAAGAGTGTTTCACCAATTTCCTCGTTCGTAAATTCGCGGATCATGTTCGTTGGCTTTTCGGCGTCTGTTTCACCTGCGGCCAATTTCTCTTGGTATTCTTTCGATTTAATCATGTGCAGTACCCAGTGGTCAACGATGCATGTGGGTGTTGCACCTGTTGCCATATTTGTCTTGCATACTGCTGCGCATTTTGCAAATTCGGCGTGCACTGCATCCGCTGTTCGCTTTCCTAGCCAGGGCTTGGTGAAAGGGATGTATAGTGATAGCGGAACATTGACTAGTTCCAGGGCAGCAGTCGCAAGGTAGAAGTCGTCTGCGATCTTCTTCACCGCGGCTTGGGAGATATAGTCACCGAAGAACGTCCGCAAGGAAAGAGCACAGTTGATCTCGCGGAACATGGACATGAAAGGAAGTGCCTGTCCCTTGCTCGCATCACTAGTGGCGACGAATTTGTCGAAGTAGTCGGATAACACCTTTTCTTGTACCGGGAGGTAGGTGGAAATGGCCCGGTTTGTAAACAGAGGCGTCAAACCTCGTCTGTACTCCGCGTGTGCCTTTCCTTGGAGGAATACCCATGCTTGATGGCCGAGGATATCTTTCGCAATCGGTACAATGCATGGTTCGGCGTAGGAGGGTGATTTGAAGACCTTGTGGGCGATGTCCCGGTCGGAGGCTAGTACGACAAACCTGTAATTGAACATGTCAGTACATGCAACGGTATATGATTGCTCTCCATTTAAATTGAAGTTGTGACAAATCTTACTTATGGAAGACAGATACACAACTCAATGGACCACTAGCCCACTGTTCAAGATATGCCTCGAACTTCGGATGGAGTGCCTGGATGAACGGACCCATGAGTGGGATCTTGAGGGGAGGCCCAGCAATAGAGCCTTTCCGTTTGATATACATCACTAGAAATATCAGCTGGCTGACTTTACCACTTGAAGGAAATATCCGAAATTACCTTGGTCGTAGACTAACACGGCAAGTAGAAAGGTCAAGATATATTGCAAGGTAGACCACCCTGTAAGAGAGCTCAACCAGCTTTCGACATGATGAGATGGATTAAGAAGTAACGTCTCTGACCCAAGCTGGGTTATCGAACTGTTAGAGATATCAGAATCCATCTTGGAGACCTTGGACTCTTCTGAAAGATACGGGAGTAGAGAAAAAAAAGGGTGACAGACCGGCAGCAATTGAACTAAATAAGATGGAGTCCCCTAGCATGTTAGTACGGGCACAAGAGTGAGGATTCCTACAAAAGAGAGACAATGACTGCTCGTTGTATGGCCCCATTGCAGTCCGACCATGTAGGGCTTGTCCTAATTAGGACTAGACTCCGATGTCAATCGGGATCTAGTCCTTTTTAGGTTAGTGGATGTTTGGCAAGTATATGCCGGTGTGTTGCACTGCGAATTCTGATAGGTACGAAATGTTGCTAAGAGGAAATTAGGATCCAAGTCAAAGCTCCCTTTTAGACATGCGGAATGTTTTCTTTTAAGATTTGTTAATTTATTGCTCCGGAAAATCCGACGCGTGAAACACCTCGATGGCAAAGGCGGTGTGCTATAGGCTGGGCAATCTATTCCGCTGACACTCCTGATTTTAATGGCTCGATCCCACGAAGTCTCGTAGCTTCAATATGCCCCAATCGCTTCGCCGAAGTTGTGCGGCTTGTGCTAAAGCAAAACACAGCTGCGACCTCCGTGCCCCTCGCTGCTCTCGCTGTATTAAACGTAAAGTCCAGTGTGTTTATGCAAACATACCATGGACCGTTACGGCAACGCCCGGTCTGGACGACAGACTAGCCAGTGCTCTCAATACAACCAGCAGTTTGAACTGCAGGTTTGGGTCTATCGATCCATTTGATTCATATCCTCAGACTAGACTTCCCCGAGTCCAGGTCCAACGCCTCATCCATAGCTGTACGTATGTCTCTAATCCACGTCGATCAATACTGAGACTTCATGTACAGTCCTCCATAAAATCGCATTTCAGTACTACCCGCTTGACCTGAACGCAACTTCAAATCCATTCCTCATTTCCTGGTGGCCACTGGCTCTGGGTGACCCAGCCTTGTTTCACGTTTCGCTGCAGACGGCATGTCTCGACGAGGAGCTTCTTGCCCAAAAGGGCTTTCAGTCTTCTGAAATACTCATGGCAGACTCCGTGTCTCTACTCAGATCCAAAATCGACGATATGTCCCTTGCCGTTCAAGACGGGACTATGAACTCCGTCATCACCCTGGCCACGATCGAAGTGAGATGCTCAACGCTTTACTAATTTCTTTGAACCGACTACTGATCATCAGTTTCTTCAGTTTGGGAAAGGAAACACGGAATTCAGTGAAATGCACGTGAATGGGGTTAGGAGACTAGTAAACATGAGAGGCGGCATCAATTCAGTGAGACAAACCAGTCCACTGACCGCCCGAATGATTAGCTGGTAAGATGGCATTTTCCCAAAAGCTGGGCTTGCTACTGATGTTCTTCCAGGGTATCTATGCTTATAATGGGTCATCCCCAATTCGCGACCCAGGATGACACCGGCATTGGAGATGGCATACCCCCCATTCCTGAATGGCAGCTGGGCTCGACCGCTCTATCCGAGAACCTTTATGATATCAGCGACCTCAACATTGGCGAAGAAGTCAACAATGTATTTATCCGTCTCCGCAACGTCTTTCAATGGGCTCAGCAGATACCATTAACAAGTACCAGGCTTCATGATCTCACCTGCTTTGTCGTACATCGACTGTTACTGTCAGCACCAGGCACAGACACAGCAAACTCATCCCCCATAACTGAACGCATTCGCTACGCCATGATACTTTATATGTTCCTCGTTCAAGGACCGACGTATTACTCGCATGCAGTAATTATGAACACCATCGTCACTCGGCTGCTGGGTCATCTAAATCAACTTGAATCGACACATCGGGTATATGATTCACTCGATATCTGGGTTCTTTCAATTGGTATGGTCGCATCAACTGGTACAGCGAACTACCCATGGTTTATGGAGCGGGCGGGCGTATTGAGCGTTTCTCTACGGCTGGATAATTGCGATGACATTCTCTTTCACATAAAGAGAGTCCTTTGGCTGGAGATATTGCAAGGCGAAAAACTGTTTCGGCCTCATTGGGACACGGTATTTGGCGATAAAAGTCCGCTCGACTCGTCAATCTATGCAATTTGTGCCTTATCCAGCCGTACTTTACCGAGCTGAGCTGAGCAAATCACGCAATCTAACATCGTGATCAAGTTCTTTGTCCAATCAGACAAAGGGTAGAACCTGATGCTTGGCAAGGATGTTTATTTGATGGTTCCCTTTGAGGGAAAAGAACGCCAATCAGATAACCTGTGCCCTTCACCGAGAGTCAGGTTCGGGCAATATCTCTGACCTCATGTGATTCCAAATGCCCGACCAGTGGACCCTGTCGGAAGCCAGGATGCAACCCACCAAATCAATATCGAAGTGTAGGGTCGAAAACCACATGGCCTCAGGGCACGCCATGGGCTCCGCGATGGCATGGGCTCCGGGTTGCATGCGAACAACATCTTTCCGCTTTTCAACATGGCATCGTGACCCCCTGCACGTTAGTTGCTTTCAAGTCTCTAGCGGCTATTCGTGGCACGAGGAAGGAATTTCCAGACAGCCACCAAGCCATACGGAAGGACCTCCGAACAGGCGCGATATCCATTCCAGTGAACTTCTAGAATCTCGACTTTGTGGCTGGAATGCGGGGTCTTGAATGTAGGGCGCTACATGCAAAGAAATGAGGAGCCTTAGTGGCCACCCATTGAATGGGCTGAAAGAGATTCAGAAAATGCTTCTCGCGTCAAGGGAGACCACAACAATGATCATTTGTCTTTTCACATCGCAAACCTCATATGAGCTATTTGATTCACCCGAGGGTCTCGATAATGGGCATAGAAGAGGTGAAGGAGATGGAAAGGAGAGGCCAACTTATGGCTCAAACAATGCCTGAAATGATATACCCATTTCCACGACTTCGTATGGAAATAATCTAATACTCCACAGCATTTTAAACAGTTCCGTGGCCCCTGTTGTAAAGCAACGCGTTGCATACCCTAAGAAAAAGTGGCTTTCAATCCTAACGGAGGCGTCCAGTTCACGCGGGGTTTGCAATGCAATAGAGAGATGGCGCGATAAGGAAACGCTTTCCAGCCGAAATGGCTTGATAGAGTGAGCGATAAGACCACCTCAAACACACCAATGCAAGGTCAATGTAATTTTATACCTCGCGTCGATTGTCTCTGAAATCGACGGTCGCACCCGGGCGCGGGGAAGGTTACAGTGGAAGCATGGCGAATCCTGGCGTTATCGTTTATCTGAATAGAGACCTAAGACCAAGAATTCTAATCACTTGGCTTTTCTTTGGGGGACGAATAGAAATCGCCAGAATGTTGGCCCTAGTTTAAGTGTGGCGCTGGCCCGACGGAGCAATCTTTATACTCCGTCCCGCATGGACGGGGTTTCCAGGTGGCATTGAATCGGACAGTATATTCTAGAAGATAGGTAATCGACTTGAGCTAATTTGATCAACACTTTCTGTGTTTAATTGGCCTACTGGTCTCGTTCAAAATGCCCCGGTCTCATCTATGAGGACCGAATTAAAGGTTGGGGCCGAGTACCAAGCGCCGCCTTACCTTCAACGCCACAGGTTAGCACCAGCGTCTAGCGCCGAAGTACGCTAACCCGCTAAATTGTGGCAAAGATACGCTCAAATATTGTATGCGTTATCGCTGCAATCGGAAACATCATATTGGTTTACACCCATAAAAAAAGCGAGATAAACCGTAGGGCTTGGAAACCGCGGGGCTGGACAGGGGCCAAACTGCAATAGATCCGTGTAAGAATTTATCTCCTGAGACATTTCATAATATTGACCTTCCAAAGTGGGTAAGCGTGATGGCCTCATTTTGGTCCTTTGTGGTATCAGCCTGGTTCATATAAGAAGCACGAGGAAGTATCAGTCCGAAATGCATTCTCGAGTTCTCTGGACACAGTAACTGAACATGTCACCAGTCCTTGCCGAGTCTACGGGCATAAGCCTGTCAGACTCCCAGGATTCTGTTCAGGAGAAGAAGACCGCTGTCACTGTCGCTACTGGGGACCCGTCAAAAGACAGTGAGAATGACATTAGCGGCCAAGATGAAAGCGACAATGAGAATGCAATTATAGTTACTGGTGCAGATGCCTCTCTGCATTTGCTACCACTACGAGATGACTTTGACAGTGTTTTGACTTTTCGAAGTATCCTCCTGGCCTCCGGTCTGGCTTGTTTCCAGGCTGTGATGTATCAGATTTATCAAGTGAATGAACCTTGTTTTCCGTTATAACCCCCGAAGTTTCTGACAGAGTTTCCCAGTTTAAACCTACTGCCATCACTATCCAAGGAACCTTCATCGTCCTCATCGCTTACTTCTTGGGAAATGCCTGGGCGAAGTTCCTCCCCCGCGGCGATAAGTACGAGGCTCGCTGGAGGGAAACAGGTGGCCACGGACAATTGCCCTTGTGGATTAGAGCTCTCAAGGTTCTCAATAATGGAGAATGGAGTCTAAAGGAGCATTCAATTTGTGCAATCACTGCAACCTCGGCCTCAAATGCTGCTGCATCCACGACAGTCTTTGCGGCGCAAGATCTTTTCTACAACGTTCCCCTTAGTGCGACTACTGTCATTTTGAGCACTATCTCTATTGGTCTGTTTGGGTATGGTCTCTGCGGGATTATGCGTCCCATCGCTGTGTGGCACGTTGAGGCTGTTTACTGGAGTACTTTGCCGACTGTAAAGACCCTCCAGGGTCTTCATTGGCAACAAGTGAAGAACTCAAAGCCACTCAGATACTTCTGGTATGCCTTCTCAGGAATGGCTATCTATGAGGTTATTCCTGCCTACATCTTTCCGTGGCTGAATTCTGTCTCTATTCCGGTAAGTGGCATCAAAATCAGTCCAAATGGTCCGTTTTGCGCTGTTCTAATATATCTACAGTGTCTGGCCGCACAAAAGGCAACCGGTAGCAAGGGCGCCGTACTCAACAATATCTTCGGTGGCTCTACCACAAATCAGGGCCTCGGTCTCTTTTCTCTTTCTTTCGATTGGCAGTATGTAAGTAACATCTTGCACGGCTCTGTTTTGACACAACAACAAAGCTGACACCTGCAGATCACGTCCTTTCAAACATCCCTCCCTTTCAAGCTGCAGCTTCACCAGGCCATAGGTATTGGCAGCTGTTTCATTGTCATGATCGGAATATATTATGGAAATGGTTGGAATGCGCAGTCGCTGCCTTTCATGTCAACGAAGTTGCACATGGCCAACGGTACCACCTACCCGACAACGGAAGTATTCCCCGGTGGTATTCTTGACGAAGCCAAGTTGTTTGAATTCGGTTTGCCGAAGCTTACAGGAACATTTGCCTTTGCCCTGTTTATGGCAAATGCTGCAGTATGTTTTACTATCGCATATCCTGTTTACACACTGACCATGCTCTAGATCGGCGCTCTAATTGTTCATTGTATTCTCTTCTGGGGCAAGGACATTAAAAAGGCATACCAAAGTGCCAGACAAGGAAGATATGACGACCGCCATCATACGTACATGATGAACCACTACAAGGAAGTACCGTGGTGGTGGTATGCTTTGATTCTTGTGGGCAGCTTTGTCCTAGGTATCATTGTGGTCACAAAAGAGCACGTTACTCTGCCTGTGTGGGCATACGTGGTTGCCTTAATTGTTGGAATCATCATTTCACCTTTCGTGAGTACCATGCACAGCTTTTATTGGCTTCCTCTGACAAGAATTTTCTCTAGAGTACCATCCTGTATTCCCGTTATGGCAATGGAATCGCTACCAACAACCTGTCAAAGATGTTAGCAGGGCTCATGATCCCTGGACGTCCAGTCGGCAACATGTATTTTGCTGCTTGGTCGCACAATGTTATTAGCAATGCAGTCAATCTGTCAAATGATCTGAAGATGGGTGAATATCGTAAGTGGTCTCTGCGTTCGACTTTGATTCTAGTCTTGAGCTGACATTGATTTCTACTCAGTCAAAATCCCTCCCCGAATTATGTTCATCACCCAAATCTACGGCACAATTCTTGGTGGCTTCATCAACTACGCCATTATGATTTCCATCGTGTCAAGTAACCGAGAACTTCTCACCGAGGGCAACGGAAATGCCTCCTGGAGTGGTGCGACTATTCAAGCTTTCAACAGCAATGCAACGTCGTGGGCTCTTGCGTCATATCTATACAGGTCTGGACGTCAGTACTCCATGGTACCTATTGGCATAGCCATTGGCGGAGCAGCTGTAATTGCTCATCGCATCTTTTATCAGGTATGGAGTTCCTCAACCAAATCTCTCACACATTGAAAGCTGATGCATGTTCACTGTCTAGTTTGTACCAAAGATTGGGAAATTTGATATCGCAGAGATCAACATGGCACAATTCATTCAATATGCTGGATACATCCCATATAACCAAAGTCAGACCTGTGTGCTCTTCAGTTGGATTCTCAGCGGCATGTATGTTCAGTACTATCTCCGGAACTACAAGCCCCGCGTCTTCAAGGATTATTCATACCTCATCACTGGTGCATTTGATGGTGCCAGTCTGACAATTCTCTTCATTCTTTCATTCGCTGTCTTTGGAGCTGGTGGAATATCCCATCCATTCCCAACGTGGTGGGGGAATAATGACCAAGGCAACTACGATTGGTGTCCGGTGGAGTAGTGAGAGAGCGGTGGATAGGGCAGTGGGTCGATCTTGACGGAGCTGGTGATGCATCGATTCATTACGGCGATCTTATATACAATCAAACAGATCGACGGTGCGTTTGATAAGCCCATAGTTTTTACGGAGACGTTCGTTCTTCAACCTATTCCGGACCAACTCGGTGGATTCTTTATCTATTGCCAGATCTTTAGATTGATTTTGGCATAGGCAAGATAATTGCTCCGTCAGTTACGAATGTTCTTATCAATATTGGTATAGCACAGAAGTCTTCAACCGCATCATGAAGGGCTGGATGGATTTGGCAGTTTTAATTCTATTATACCAGTTATCTCATCATATATGACTTTGTTTGAATCCTCGCATTAGATTTGGCGCTTGAGGTTTGGACCGTAGACGTCGTTATGGGAGGACGAGGAGTATTGAGATTTTGATAAAAAGCTTAAGAAGTCTACTATGAATGAAATTATATTGGAGCCAAAAGCCATAGCAGAAATTCGTGGTCTAAGATCAGGACTTCTGTCATCTTCTAGCAAATTTTCCAAACTTTTACGGGCTTTGAACTTTGTACACGTGGTAGTTATCGCTTTGAGTCACCAACGGTCTATCCCTCGCCCCTGCAGTTTTGAAAAGCTCCAATCGTAGGACCAATAATAGACCAAGGTTGCCTGCCCCTCAGGCCATCAAAGAACGCCAGTTTCTGCCAAGTGCCTCCATTCCCAATCAAATCATTCTTATGTCGCACGGTCGGGACCAAGCCACGTTCCTACAAATGGGGACCAGCCCAATAACATGACATTTTCGAAAGGAAAAAGAAAAAAAAACATCATCATATTAATGGTGATTATCAATATGGAATCTTCTCTACGAGTGGATCGCAGTTTCGTGCAAAAGATCTGGACAGAGATCAATCACCGTATCAAGTCTCATACTCTGCTCTTTTTTCTCTTTCTGAGTTTATAGTATAGCTATCGAGGTTTGAACTACGGATTCCATGTAAAGGTGGACTTGAATGCAGGTGCGATCACAATATCGAAGATCGCGGGGTTTATTTGAAAGCCTGCACATTTTGTGGAGGCTGACTGGCGAGGAGTATAGAAGATAGGCTACTCATGCAACTAATAAATAGCTCAATGCTGGAGGCCAATTGCGTAGCAAGATGCGTATTGTTTCCGTGTACTCAACTACTACCAATGCTAAGACCAAGAGATCAATATAGGATGCAAGAGGTATACGTGCGATATTGAGCCACATCCAGTAGTCGTATGTATATTATTTCTCATCGTTCAATTTGAATTGGAAAAACATTGTTGACATAATTCATTGTGCCAGGGGGAGTCAGGGGAGAGCCAGGGGCCATCGCTTGCGATATAATACATTCTTAGGCGCAATCAGGGCGCAATCATAAATAACACCAATGGCAGGGAGCGATGGCGCACTTTCAGTGTCTGAGAGCAATGGGAAACAAAGAAACTGTGTCGCTTGGAGAAATCCTAATCTCCTAGGACTTCTAGCGTCGTAGTAGGGTCTTGTCAGATTAATTCCCGCGAATTAGCGACGACGGGAATTAGCGCTACACGAGGAGGACAGCATCTTCGAGTTAATAATTGGCGATAGAAATTGACGGCGCGATATGTTCTTTGTTTGGATTTCTAGCTCAAATTCCTCGAGGTCGAAATGCATAGCGGCCGGTCCTGCCTTCCTGGGAATTCTACGAAAATCATAAAAGCTACACGTTTCCTGTAGAATTCAAGTCATTCTTCATTATTAATTCACTGTTATTATTCCCATTATGCGATTATCGTGGGTCTTGTCGATTCTAGCTCTTGGTGCTAATGCCCAAAAAGCATCAGAATGTCCCCTTCAAGGGCCAGCATTCCCGGCACCCACTGCCCTGTCAAAATCCAGGGTCTTCCTCAAGGCGGCAGAAAGTCTAACCTTGCACCTCAAGGAGGCGATTCATAATGGAAGCCTCCCATCCACCTCATTCTCGGTGCAAGTTTTCAGCGGCCAAGAGAGTCATTCAGCGTTTACTTTTTCGCATACGGATGATGGAGTTGCAAACGGCTCAGTAGGTGTTCAAGAAGTGACTGAAGACTCTATTTTTCGCATTGGCAGCATATCAAAATTGTGGACTATGTTCCTTTACATGACCTTGGATGGAACAAAATACTTCCACCATCGCGTGTCCAAATACGTTCCTGAACTGCAAACCAATCACAAAGAACAGCAAAATGCAATTGACCATGTACAATGGCATGACGTGACCATCAGTGAGCTGGCCAGCCACCAGGCTGGTATTTTAAGAGACTGTGAGTTGTTGAACATGCAATGTGATCTGTAGACTAACGAATCGCAGATGCATTCGGAGACCTCGGGTTCCAGTCGACTACCCTCCAAGCGCTGGGATTACCCGCCCTCCCTAAATCCGACCAACTTACCTGTGGAAGTACCGTTGCGTGTGATAGAAAGGGTGAGTGCTTGATCCACCTGCTGTTATCATGCGTGATTGACTGATGCACTATTATCAGAATTCTTTGAAGGCGTGCTCAAAGCGCGTGAGTAAATAATATCGCGTGGATTCTGACCTTAGTCTAATGGGGCATTCGCTATAGATCCACTCACTTCAAACTCTCACACACCTATCTACTCTAACGCAGGCTACCAAATTCTTGGATATGCATTGGAGGCCATTGCCAAGGCTGACTTCGAAGACATCTTGATTGATCGTCTGATCAAGCCACTCAACCTGACTCGGTCTGGGCTTCAACCAAAGCCTGAATTTGGGGTTATTCCTTCCAACGAGACTTACAGTTGGTTCAATCATACGGTTGGTGACGAAAACCCGTAAGTACCCAAGCAGAGCGTAGTGCGCAAATAACTTACCCTTTACTAGGGCTGGGGGGGTGTTCTCGTCTTCAAAAGACATGGCAACCGTTGGTCGGGCTATACTTTCAAGTGCGCTGGTTAAGCCTGCCATCACAAGAAGATGGCTAAAGCCTGCCACACATACCTCCTCCTTACAACACTCCGTTGGAGCACCATGGGAGATTTATTCTTTCTCGACAGATGATCGTCGAGTTGACATATATAGCAAAGCTGGGGATATTGGAGTCTACTCAAGCTTTATGGGTCTTTCTCCGGACTATAATGCCGGGTTTACCATTCTACTTGCTGGTAATAGCAACCCGCACCAGCTGACGGCGAATGTTGCCGAAATGATTGCAGACATTGTGCTCCCAGCGCTCGAAGAAACTGCCAAAAGTCAAGCGGCGCAAAGATTTGCGGGGACCTATTTTGTGGCGCACGATGGTTCCAACTCTTCGATTACCATCACGGCTGATGATGGCCCGGGGCTGAAGATCACTGAGTGGACTAGCAACTCGGTAGATATGCTTGAAAGCCTGATGTCATTGCAAGGGTTGACCGACCGTTCGAAGCTAAACATCCGTCTACAACCGAATGGTCTACAGACAGCCGGACGAATCGCGTTCTCGGCTGTCAACCTTGTTGCTAACCCGGCAATAAATGGTGGACCCATTGTCGGCTCATGTTTGTCCTGGATCCTCCTTGATTCATTTGTATACGGCAACATTGGCCTCACAGAGTTCGAGTTTGAGCTGGATAACAACGGATATGCCGCAGCCATATCCCCCCGCGCACTACGCATTACTATGACTCGGGCCTAGCGTGCTAATGGCCAAGGTCGGATTGGGTTACGTGTAATGCATGTTATTTCTCAAATCTTGTTCTGAGAGACCGTGGTGATAGTAAATAAGAAAGAATGAAGAAAAATGTTACAGTGTTGTGATTCAAAGTGAGGATTAGAGCGATCGAATCTGACAGAAGGTCTGTCTGCTTGAAAGGTCAAACAAGGGTTACTTCGATAATACAGTAGTAGGCTGACATGAAGTATCTCATATGCAAGGGTCACGAGACTGAATTTAGTGTTTCACTTTTCTCTCCACCCATGGATGCAGTTTAAGCATATTCGAGCCTAACCTAAGCCCACTAATTTGAGATTTGTTCCTCCTAGATTCATGGAATTTGACGTAATTCTTTGGCATGAGTGCAAATTCGACTAACTGACATTCGCGGATGAGAGCTTAGTCGGCTGTAGGAGAGGTCCCCACATACTGACTGACCGGTCGGCCCGGAAGACTGGACTATTATGGGGTCAGTGCCGACAGTTTAAAGTGGAAATCTGGTTCGAGGGTATGATGTCAGCTATACGGAGTAGGCACTATTATTCCGGCTTCTAGAAACGTGGAATGTGGGGTGACCCCAGACGGCATTAGTATACTAACTCCATGTGTGCGCATAAGGCTACGTGGTTATGACGCGCAACTATTGCGATAAATTCACATTTGTGCCGACATCACAGGAAGGGGAGGTCTGTATAAGAGAACGCCAAGTAACGCCAACCCCGGCCAAGGAAGGTTGTGGGTAGCTAAGACGGCAAGTCTGAATGGAGAGCAGGTTCGGATAGTGAACGGCATCGGAAGGAAACAGCCAGACCCGGTCGGTCCCATCACGAATCGACACCGAAGGCTTCGGGCCCGAGACCGGTAATATCTTGGCGGCTATTGGCTGTTTGACACAGGCCAAGTCAGAGTTGAACCACGTCCCTACGTGCTATGGAGTTACTATCAGATTTTTTTCTAAGTCTTATGAGTTTTTAGCTGATTGAAGCCATTCCGTTCTGTGGACAGGTGTGAGTACAGTCCCCACCAGTCACTAATGGGAAGTTATCAAACCAAGCAAGGGCCCCTATTGATGCTGGCCGCTATACTTGCCTGAAAGAATTAAAGGCATGCCAGTGGCACCTAGGCCATTCCGGACTTGGGAGGTGATGAGCAGACAACAACGCTCGGACTTTAAAAGGGTCTGGCTTACGGCCGATCAATGCTAAGCGAATTCAGTTTATGCCCGGGGATCTCCCGAGCTAGCCTCATTGTGGTTGGCCCGAGTGGTCCCTTTTTGTCCTCGTCGTTTATGGCGCATAATCAATCATGTATGACTTCATTTCCTGCTTTCATGCCCGTGCGACTCATAGTGAGCACGTTCTATTGAGATACAATGTGACATATGATCAGAAATCAATTCCGAATATGATGCCCTTGAAAACAATGAACACTCTAGCTGGTCGCCGGCGAGCTAGTCCAGGATTTTGATCGCGCAAAGAGACTAAGATGAATACAGAGTTATCGGCTATGTTTCTCAACCCGGTATTGACGTCAGCGTAGAACTCGGCTGTGGGGCACGCCAAGGAAGCATAGCAATCCCTTGTTCGGTGATCGCCCTTGGCATGATATGACGTAGAACTTGCTGAACAGGAGCCAAGTCTAACGAACATCAACTTGTCCCTTATTCTTAGCACCTCAAATGTCACTTGAACTTCTGCTCGAGATCTTCGTATAAATCTTAGCGCTATCTAGCAGTAGATCCCGAACAGCCACCCTTTCATTTTTATGCATAGTTACGCCAGGGGGACCCACTATTTGAACTGTGTCGATCCACTATAAATCAGGTTTGAGAGGCAAAGTGAAAACCGAAACCAAAATTCGAGCGCGTGTTGTCCGAGGTAACATGCAAATTCTGCGCAGATATAACAGCTGGGGAAGGTCCACAAAATTTTCTCCTTTGTTCAACTCCTTGTTTGCTCCATCCGCAATCCCCCGCATACCAGGATGTCTCCCCCAGAGCAACAAGAAGGTCAGCCTCAAGCTGCCCACGAAGAGAGCAGACCAGTCTCTGCCAATCCCAATGGCACCGACAGCGACTCTAGCGAGCCCGTCGATATCTCCGCAGAGCTCGCCGAGAAGCCAAGTGAGCGCTCGGACGGAAAGCGCGAGCTCAAGGAACAGGATTGCTACGAAATCCTAGGCTACTCATGGCCGCGATGGAAGAAATGGACTTACCTCGCTGCGGTCGCGTTCGTCCAGGTTTCTATGAACTTCAACACCTCGGTCTTCCCCAATGCTATCAAGCCCCTTTCGAAAGCCTTCAACATCAGCAACCAACATGCCCGAACTGGTCAGATGGCCTACCTGGTTACTTACTCAATTGGTTGTGAGCTTTGGGCGCCTTGGAGTGAGGAGTTTGGTCGCTGGCCTATCCTCCAGCTCTCGATGTTCTTGATTAACATCTGGCAAATTCCTGCGGGACTTGCTCCCAACTGGGGAACTGTTGTCGTCGCCCGTGCATTGGTCAGTATTTTCCAAAATTATCACATTGGAATGATGAACTGACTCTGGATATAGGGTGGTATTTCTACTGCTGGTGGTAGTGTTACTCTCGGTCTGATTGCCGATATTTACGAACCTGAAACGCAACAATTTCCTCTCGCCTTTATTGTCTTGTCCTCTTGTATCGGTACAAGTATCGGTGGTGTGATTGGTGGACCCATTGAGCGATGTAAGACACTTCTATACGACTTTCCTTCAGGCTGTGAGATATATACTAATTCATTTATTAGTCCTTGATTGGCAATGGTTCTTCTGGATCCAGCTCATCTTTGGCGCTGTCACCCAAGCCATCATCTTCTTCATGCCCGAGAGTCGGTCGACTATCATTATGGATAAGGAGGCCAAGCGTCGCCGTAAGACAGGTGAAGACCCCAACATTTATGGCCCCAACGAGCTCAAGACTCCTCGTATCTCTTTGAAGGAAGCCGGCAAGATCTGGATGCGTCCTTTCTACATGCTTCTGAAGGAGCCTATTGTGCTCTGCCTGTCTCTCCTGTCTGGTTTCTCCGATGCTCTGATTTTCACCTTCCTCGAAAGTTTTGCTATTGTGTACGAGAAGGGATGGGGCTTCGGAATTCTTGGTCAAGCCTGGGCTGTTATTCCCATCAACGCTGCTTATTTCATCGGTTACTTCAGTTACTTCCCTTGGTTCTTCCGGGACCAGACACTTCGTCTCAGACACGGTGATGCGGCTATTCCTCCCGAGCGCCGTCTCAAGTGGCTCCTATTCCTTGCCCCACTCGAGCCTATTGGTCTGATGGGCTTTGCTTGGACATCCTTGGGACAAGAGTACAACGTGCATTGGATTGGATCCATGATCTTCTCTGCATGTGTCGGTATTGCCAACTACGCCATTTACCTGTCCTCGGTGGATTACATGGTCGCTTCTTATGGTGTCTACTCTGCGTCTGCGACCGGTGGTAATGCCTTTGCTCGTGACCTTCTGGCTGGTATCTCCGCCATGTATGCGACGCCCATGTACGAGAACATTGGCGACAAATTCCATGTGGAATATGCCAGTACCATTCTTGCCTGTCTGTCCTGTCTTGTTGTTCTTCCCATCTACGTCTTCTACTGGAAGGGACCTCAAATTCGCGCAAGGAGTAAGTTCGCTTCTACCCTTGCCAACGACCGGGCGCAAAACCAGGGCCGTCGTGTCAGCAAGATCAGCCACGAGCCTTGATTTGCGAGTATGAACATTCATATGCATATGAGAGAGTTGTGATTCAATGCGTGTATATTTGTCTGCATATCTGTATATATGACCCCTCACGAGTTGGACGGATAATTTCTTCATGGTTGCCTTTATGTCAACCCCATGGGGTTTTAATTCATGTTGAATTTTGATTTACCTTATATACCGCCGTAATTGTCAGTCCATCTGATTGCTACCTTATCACTAAAGTCTGGGGCTACTAGACTGATGGTATCATCCAAGGGCTTTCTTGTATTGACCGGTTAGGCTTGGGTTTCCTATATTTAGGTAGTTTTGAGTTACATTTATGTGATCCTCTCATATTGATTATCTTTGCTATCCCACAGTAAGGCAGAAGAGATTATCGGAACCCCCCAAAGACGTCACCATCGGCCCCTTTAAGGCATGTAAGCCTATCTGCAGCCACAATGGACGCTAGCATGGATCTAGCAGGGATGTGCACTTATACTAATTCCACGCTCTGTCTCCCTAGTTTTAAGTAATCCCCTCGCCCGCGCCTTCGACCTTTCTGATTGCTACCACCGACACGATGATTACCAGCACGATTGAGATTGCCGCTCCTCCCGCGAAAGTTCGTGATATTGTATGTTGCGGCCCAGTGTGAAGTCGTGGCCAAAATGAGGCACTAATCCACCTCCGATCGCAGTTGCTTAATTTCTCGGCATATCCCGAGTGGCACACGGAATGGCTGAAGGAGATCAAGGTCCAGGACAGCAACAAGACCCCCCAAACGCTCAGCGACGGAGATAAGATCCAAGTCAACATTGAAAACTTCAAGTTCGTGGCTGATGTCAAGGTAAACAATCGAATTTCAACCCATAACCACGAAAAATATGCTGAAGATTACTTTTCAGGAGAACACTGAGAACATATTCTCTTGGCAGGGCCCGCCTGTCTTCACCATTGCTGGTCTGCATAAATTCCACATTGAGCCAGCTGACGATGGTGCATCCACTGTTTTTACCCAGACTGAGGATCTCAAGGGTCTTCTTGCATTCATCATGAGCCCTTCGCTGCTTGGAAAGAAAATGGCTGCCCATTTCGACATCTTCCACCGGGATCTTAAAGCTCGGGCCGAGCAAGCCTAATTTTGGGGACAATCTTGGATGGGGCCATTTGCTTATAGGCACGGCTTCGTCGATTTATATGCACGCACTGCTATTTTGTTTTCTATGACCTTTATATATCCTGCCCCTTTTATTGTTCAAGTATCGTGAAATGGAAAATGAATAATCTATGCGCCTATTCCGAACCAACCTCCCTGTGTTTATCCGTAAACTCGATCCACGAAACATACGCTTTTCGTATCCGGTAAATGTCTCTAGACTGAATTCGCCAACCAAGCAGCTGTTAAGTCGCGCAGTGCTCGACGAGAAGAGGGAGAACGTGAGCAAAAGTTATTACAGTCTTCAGGATGGCCGCCCGGTTTACACTGCATTCACCTCTGCCAAGCTTCGTTATCTGTCAGAGTGAAGCCCAATTGTTTCAGATACACGAAGCTGTGCGCTCGCAGATCATACATGATGTAGATCGTCCACTACTAGTACTGATCTGACCTAATCGTTATTTTCTTTCGTATCTTTGCTGTATTAGAGCTTCTAAAGCCTAGCATCGACACCATCCTCCAGCTTATCGGTGGCGTCTGAAGTTCCAATCTTGGTAGGAACCCATCCAGGATGCACAGAGGTGACCGAGGTGCTCTTGAACCGCCTCGCCACCGCATTAGCAAGAAGCATGACATGGAACTTCGAATCGCAGTAGGCTGGGAAATCCTTGAATTCGGTTTCCCCGCGCTCAAACCAGAATATATCCTTCAAGTCCGTATTAGCCTCTCTGTGTAGGACAGAAGCAATAAAGGTAAGTCGTTTGGGGGGTGTCAAGAGACAGGTAAGAATATAAGGTGCGAGAATATTCACGAAAACCATAGCTGGCACGCCAGTATCTGGCGTCTTGCGGAATGGTCCGTAGAGTAATCCGGCATTAAGAATGACAGAGTCGAAGGCACCAATCGTGTTTGCTTCCTCGGCCATTTTGCGCGTCTCTATCACGCTTGTCAAGTCTGCAATCAGGACGCCAGCGGCTCCAGGGCATTTTGCCTTGGCATAATCTGCGCGCACTTGGTTACGCGCATGAAGATAGACTGTGTGACCTCGCTGAACCAGCTGACGGGCAGCCTCAAGGCCAAAGCCATCCGTAGAGCCTGTTATCAGAACACGGACCATTCTTTAGCAAACGGTACAGTTGAGATGAGAATAGTGGTAGAAAGATGTATCTGCAAGGGCCTCAACAACAGGGCTGACAAAGGAACTTGATTGGGGCGAACTCGCGTCCAATTCTGTGAAAGAATATATTGCAAAATGTGGAAAATTCTCAATGGAAAAAGAAAGACTTGCTCATTGACAAGTGGAGGAAATGGGCTTCATAAGTTTAGGTCGGTGGAAGGGGGCAGAATAGAGAATTGGCCCCCATCGGGGAGGTTTTTAGGAGCAGGGTGAGACATTAATCACGCAATCTGTCTCCGGTCCATTCGAAAGATCCCGGCTGTATGTGGCCGGACAAAAAGACATCTGAATTGTGGTTTTATACCCGAATCAATCACATTTCCTTACTAGGCTTTTCTCACCCGTCCCCTTCAATAACGGCCAGACACGATACGATTTGGAAGAAAAAGAAGGCTTCCCCGTCGATGGGCTGCCACTGATTATCTCTCCGTATGATATCATGCAGCAAAACGTCGGGATTCGGAGACGGTTGTAGGTGCCGCAGAAATTGGGTGTCATGCTGGTAATGAATCTGAGACGGCCCTTGAACCCAGGTATTTAATGTTTTACTAAATTCGTTTCTATGATCGGCGAGAGCGAGCCACTTTATTTTCGGATATTTCTCTCGGATCACCGCTAACATCTCCTGATAGGAAAAGTAAACAATCTCTGGTGAGGTCAATATTTGGGGCTGCGACGACAGGTCCACCCCGTCCTTGGGCATGCAGTACAAATTCCGCAGATTGCAGTACGAATTCCGCAGATTGCAGCGTTCCGTAACACTGATCCGTAGGTAGTCATGCTGGTGATGAAGTTTACCCGTGAGAAATTCCGAGAAAGGCTTGATGGTAGGTTCGTCAAAGGATCGCTGACGCCAGGATGTCTAAGGAGGGGTACTGGTCAGATTACGTGATTGCCAAGGGGGTTCATAAGGACCTACAGAAAGTACCTCACTTGGTATCTAATGCAGAAGAGGTTTTGATAGTGCGATGAGCCCGAAGATTCTGAGATAGCCGAAGTAGGGATACTGTTCGCTTCGTGAATTGATGCTGGCCCATAGTTGAAAGAAGGGGTTTCTTTATCCGAAACGAGATAAGTTACTGATAGAAGTAGAAATGATCGCAGCCCAAGCAATTCTCAGCATAACGAGGTCTGAGCGCAATTCCAACGCATCATGCACTTGTTATTCCAACCGGACGTCAAAGCTAGATTACATTTCTGCTGAACAACAGATTAGTTAATGTCCAATCATTGGCACCCTTTGTACTTCTCAAAATTGTTGTATAATGAGCCACCAATCACAACTAGGACGGTATCAAGACCCTAGAATAAATCAATCGGTCTGAAGAAGCGATTTGTTCTTCGTCCGCCCTCAGCAAAAAGCTGCGGCTTAATCACAAGCGGTGAATTCCTCTTGGATGGAAGATACCCAACAGAATTTGTCAATAGTCCTTCACATTATTCTGAGAGCAAGGGGTTTCCATATCCATGCCAGATAGAATCATTTCGAGGAATTAAGTTTCAAAAAGGTCAAGATACTAGCTGGGGCTTCCTCCACCTCGCGTCACCTAAATGAACGGGATTTACCTGTCAAAGCCGATCTCTGCTTAGTATCTCGAAAAGTTGGGTACTTGTTTGATTTTTGTTTGATTTTTAATGTATCCTTTATTTTCATTCTTATCTTTCAGGCATAATTCTTGGATTGACATGCACCAGTATTGTGGACTAGTTCGAGTAAAGTCATGAGGTCATGGCAATACTTAAACATCATTCCTAGGCCACCGCACGAATCTCACTGGATGTGGTCTAAATCTGCACCGGAACGAATTCCTATGTGCCGCTAGGGGTACCTACCGGAATTTCCCACTCCCAAAAACGTAGCATGACTGACATAAGAAGCTATTGGGCACCCCTTAGATGATTGCCTCTCAGCCAAAAGACCACGATAACATTCACAATATCGTACGGCTTGTGATACATTCTACTTTACTATTGATCCACCATGGAGTTGTCAGCTGAACTGGATACCACCAATCGTCCTGATGAGTGGAAGATTGAACAGGGCATGGCCGGCGACAAGCTGCCTATCCTGGACCAATCTGAAAGTGAAACTGTCCACCTTTACCCTCCCCCGGTGTCAAAATTGATGAAAGATGAAGAGGCGATCGCATCGGTGGGTGATCGCGCCAAGCTTTTCACCCGCGAGCGTGATGGTTGGAAAGGGTATTGCTGGCCCAATCACATAAAACACCATTCTCGTGACCATTAAGCTAATATATTGTATGGGAATATAGATACGTAGAGTGGGAAAACTACCCCGAGAAAAAGGCCAAAGCGAAAAAGATCCTCAACTCGCAGACATTCGACCCATGCCCTGATTTCCAGTTCGGACCAATCCCAGGGACCAACCCCGTTCTTCCGGGCGATGATTTCAAGGAGTGGCATGCTGCACTCGGAGGTGAACTCGCCACTGTTGCAGATGATTCCTGGAGGTGCGTTCTTCGTGAGAAACATGCAGATATGCTGCATCTCCTTCAGTTCCCTTACAATGGGGAGCCGCCCAAACGCCTGGTCACCTCGAAAGCGATCACCCCAAATCCACTCCATTTCGTCAGAAATCACGGCGGCATTCCTATTATAGACAAGGAAAAGTGGGATCTGTCGCTAGATGGGCTGGTGAATCACCCAAAGACTTATAAGTTCCATGATCTCATGGATGAGACTAAGTTCCCGCGCATGGAGAAGACGGTCACTATGCAGTGCTCCGGAACTCGTCGCATTGAACAAATTTCCTTATATGGTGGTCAAGGAGATGAGGTTCCCCAAGCACCGTGGGCTGAGGGTGCTATTGGGACAGCTCGGTACGTCGGTATCAGCTTGAAGAAGCTGATCAAGGACTGTGGTGGTCTCGTCAAGCCTGCGAAACATCTCGAACTTTATGGCGCTGAGACCTACGTCAAAGATCTTGAAGTAGGAAACTATGTTGTCAGCGTCCCATGGTCTAAAGTGAAGGCCAATGAGGTTATCCTAGCCTGGGAGATGAACGGTCAACCTCTACCCAAGATCCATGGATATCCGTTACGGGTGGTGGTATTAGGATATATTGGAGCTCGAAGCGTCAAATGGCTTTACCGCATCAAGGCAATTGAGAATCCATCCAGCGCCCCGGTTCAGAGCAGGGAATACCTGTACTTCAACCAACAGGTTGGCAAGTACAATCTGCGACCCACAGATGGCATCCAGATCCAAGAAATGCCAGTCAGCTCGGCTATCATGAGCCCATGGACAAAACAAGCGGTCGTGCACACAGGCAAGATTCGATGCAAGGGCTGGGCCTACTCTGGTGGTGGTCGATGGCCTGAGAGAGTCGAATTGTCCGCAGATGGCGGTTTCAGCTGGTACGATGTGCCGCCAGAGCGTCTGTCCAAGAAAGGAAAATGGACCTGGCGCACCTGGGAATTCGACCTACCTTGTGATGTCGAAGGATGGATTGAGATTGTCTGCCGATGCTGGGATAACTCCCTCAACACACAGCCGCTCAATGTTCGCGCGGCGTGGAACTGGGGTCTGCATGTTACTTCTTCGGCTCATCGTATCAAGGTATATAGCATCAACAAAAGCCGGGAGCTTACGAGGAAGCGGTTGGATAAGTATGAGCAGCTCGGTATCCCTTTGGCTCCTCTCACTCGCTATGAGAATGTCTCGGGTCAGACACCTGAGGAGTACGAGCAGTATTGGAAAGAGCATGATCCACGGGATGTCGATGAATAGTTCTTCTCAACTGCAATTGTTTGACTATGCCTGAACAATTGACTGAAGGACTCTGGTGACACGATAATACCTGTGAGAACCTCCAATTTGTGAGCTAAGAGGAGTTAGAACGGAATGTCGTCGAACTCACAAAAAGCACGATGATCAAAGAGACATATCCAGCAGCCATTTTTAGGTATCTCTCTATCCTGAGCAGCCCCCAGAAGAAGATACACAATGACCAACAAGAACTGGGCTGGAATAGTTCTGCCGTTCACAATTCTCTCTCTCGCTATTTTCGAAGATATAGAGCCATAAAATTGTGCAAATATACGCCAAAATGGTAGCACCAAGACTGAATTTGGAAGGCAGGATGCTCGGGGCAATAAAATGGGATGAAGTTCTCATATCTAAAACGTGAACTCCTTGAGTTTGCTACTAAGAACTATATAATGCGACTGTATCTGGTCGATGAAATGAAGCAAAGACTTCTGCTCATGCTTGGAGAAGAATAGCGGGAGAATCATGTGGTGAGTTCACAAAACCCTTCAGCTAAAGAGATGGGACAAGGAATGGGGTTTTTTTTTTTTTTTTTTTGGTTTTACTCTCGAACTGGTCAACATTTCTTGTGTTGCTTCCAGCGTAGGCATTCCTTCTAGTGCAGGCATATCTCTCTCTGCCGATTGATATATACGCTGCATAATCGGCCTCATCTAGTACAAGAATAAAATTTGAAACTAAAGTAACATTCATCGCTATACAGCATTCCAAGAAAAGTGGACATCTAAGCGTAAACCTCATAATCTGTACATAAAAAACAGGCTACACATGCAAGTTCTCTTCAAGCCGAAACAGGGGTAATAGTAGTAGTCTCCTTCAGATCCCGACTGCTAAAACCAACCCGGAGAGTGAACTCGCCCTGAGGAATGAGCCACTTCTGTGTGATGACATCCCAGTAACTCAAATCACGACGCATCAACTCAAAGCTGACATCACGCGACTGACCAGGAGCCAGGGAGACCTTCTCAAAGCCGCGCAGCTGCTTGATTGGTGTTCCCTCAGGGGCACTGTCAGGGAAAGTGACGTACAGCTGGGGAACGGTTGCGCCCTTGACGTCGCCGGAGTTGGCGACTGAGACGGTGACGTTGTAGAGGGTTTCCCAGAGGGCGGGGTTGCCACCTGGCCTGATAGGCCGCTCTTCGGGGATGGAGGTGATAGAGTCTGCGACGGCTTCGGCTTTGATGTCGGAGATGTTGAAGGTGGTATATGAGAGACCAAAGCCGAATTCGTATTGAACGGAGATATTCTGGGCGTCGAAGTAGCGGTAGTCAATTTCGAGCTTCTCGTCGAACCAGGATTGCCAGTCATCCGCGCCCTTGGTGGATACACCGGTGGTGGGAGGGGCGTTGTAGTCGCTGCCGTTCTTGGCGATTGTGTAAGGCAAGTGGCCGGCGGGGTTGACGTCTCCGTAGAGGACGTCGACAATGGAGTTGCCGGATTCCTGGCCGGGGTAGTGGGCAGCGAGGATGGCAGTGACATTGGGGTTGCTGGCGAAGGGGAGAGTGTTGATGCCGGAGGAATGCGTGACGACGACAGTGTTGTTGCAGGACTTGGCGACAGCCTCAACGACGGCGTTGCCCTCGTAGTCGATGGTCAGGTGCTCGCGGTCAGCACCTTCTTCGGCCCAGGTCTTGAGGAACACAAGGCAGACATCCGGGGTGGAAGTCCAGAAGCTGCTGACAGTGGCGGTGGCAATATCGGTGTTGTTCAACCAGTACTGAACAAGCGACTTGTCTTCCTTAGCGCGAGACTTGACAGCCTCCAGAGGGGAGACCAGGTATGTGAAGCGTCCAGTTCCTGAGCCACCACCGGCACCGAGAGTACCATACTCGAAAGTAGCTTCGTTGACAGGACCCATGGTGTTCTCACCAGCATCGTTACCAAAGACAGCGATGCTCTTAGGAGCATTCAGAGGGAGAGCACTGTTCTCGTTCTTGAGCAAAACAGTTGCCTCAGCTGCGAGGTTGCGGATCAACTTATGGTGGTTTCCACGGACATCACGGCTTCGCTCGCCAGTAAGGTTGAACTCGCGCAACCAGGTCGAACGAGGCGAGAAAGTGTTGAGATCGGCAGAGGAAGGATCCACACTGGGGAAACCCTCATCCTGGCCGAGCCAGTAGTAGGGTGTCATGATACGAAGAATCATATCATTCACACGAGACTCATCCACGGTTCCGTTCTGGACAGCATAGGTAACATTCTTTCCGAAGAAGGAGCCGGCTTCAGGGACCTTGCCATAGGCGCCGAGACCACCGGGCATGTTCATATCAAGACCACCCTCGATAGAGGCAACTCCCGAGTGAGTACCACCCCAGTCAGACATAACGTAACCCTGGAAGCCAAGCTCCTCCTTGAGCAACCCATTGAGGGCCTTGGAGTTCTCGCAGGCATAGGAGCCGTTAAGGCGCTGATATGAGCACATGAAACTGGCAGCTCTGGCGCGGACTGCGTTAGCAAACGGCCACAGGTATAGTTCATGCATGGTTCGGTCATCAATGTTAGAGGAGACGGCCTCCTGAATGACATCTGTAAGTGTGCCATTGGAGTCGTAGGTAGGGTTGCGCTGTGTCTCTTGCTCGTTACCGATGAAGTGCTTTGCGGTGGCTTGCACGCCGGCATCTTGGTGGCCACGGATAGTTCGCTCCATGGCAACACCTGTCAGGTAGGGATCAGCCGCGAAGCCTTCCCAGTTTCGGCCTGCGTAGGCAGAACGTCCGAGAGGACCAGCCACGGGACTGAGGGCAATATGAGCACCCTTGGCCTTGAACTCTTGGCCCATGGCATATCCACGTTTGTAAAGCAGATCTCTATCCCAGGTGGATGCGACGGTTACACCGGCGGCGAAGACACTGGCATAATCGGCTACTCGGATGGCCAAGGGACCGTCCTGCAAGCAAAGACCGGGGAAGCCCAGACGGGGGATGGCGACAATGTTTCCCACACAGGGGCCTGGCTGGCCGGTGACCATATCAGCTTTTTCCCCGATAGTCAATTTGGCTACGAATTCTTGAGCTCTGGAGAAGGCTTCATCCCAGCCGCCTGATCCGGTAGCATTGGCTATAGTTCGTGTTAGCATGCACGATTGAAATGGGGATTGACTAAGAAGAACATACGTGAAGGAAGGACGGCAGGAGAGTGCCCGTAGGGGCCCAAGATGGTGGTGTTCTTGGGCTGAACATAACTGAAAGCATCCTCACTTCGAGATGTCCCATCGAATGATTGGCCGTTAACCACTGTGGCAGCCAACAGGGCCGAGAGCATAAGTTGACTGATGGCCATTGTGTCGATACTGCTTGCTGAAGAGGGGATTCATATCGGGGATCAACAGTACTACTTATAGTCTCAGTCTGTATCAAAAGTAAAGAGGGAAATTCGACTGCCGGAGTTCTGCCGTAATTTGGTCCGGGGTTCTACCGGGCAATTTCTTAGCGTGGGGACCCCACAATCTCACATTCCCCCCAACAATCTGGGGATACATGCACACTGTCTCCTGCATGCAATCCCCATATATGACGCATTAGTGCCTTTCTCTTCGGTTCTGGCGTCCCTGAGCCATCGGTCCAGGCGGTTGCCAAGTGCTGGCCACTCACTTCGTCGGCTACCCGGACTTCGACCCCGTGAGGCATTTTAAACGATCACCATCTTGGCACCTGCAATAAGCTAGCCGTGGTCTTATTCCGAGAACTTGATCGAGGAGAAAAACGCTAGTAATTGCCAAGGAACGTAATTTGTGTGCACTCCGGCATTACTTCGGATGTCATGCCAAAGTTTCTGAGCGCCACCAGGTCACTGCGGGGAATATCACGACTCGTAGCAAATTCATTTGACGGCCCGATCTCGGATTGCCTCCGTAGAGTCATTTCTCAGTGGCCGGAAACGCCGTTTCCCACCGAAATTGACCACTCTCGCGGATTTTGAGCACGGTTCTTCGGTGTCGGATACCTTCATCGCCGGTGACCTAACTGCACTTGGACAGTCTACCGAGAAATAATCTCGGCATGTCGCAGCAACGTCTAAAGTTGAATAATTAGAGATGGAGAGTATGAAACAATCACACCCCCACAAAACCATTGCTGTTGAGATTGTCACATATCAAGGGACCAGCAATCAGTGTTTTCTCCCGCAACTTCTGTCTCCATCTAATCAAGGTTCACTTTCTTACATTGATCCTCTCTGTTTACGGATCTAGGTGCTATCCCATCGGGTTCGAGTAGATGGATTTCGGGTTCTCGACTGTGGGGAGTTAAATTAGTGAACTTGTACACGCGGCATAGATCACCCTAATTTCCGGCATCGAGGTCATCACCAGACCGTGTCTTCTCGGCACTGCATGCCCCGACGTGTTGTGGTGGGGGCTAGCAAAGAAGTTGCGGAGAAGTTGTAAATAGCGTGATTGTTGGCAACATTGAGTGTGGGACAATAGTGGGTATTGTGTTAGAAATTTCATGTTCAGGCACTGTTGGAACGTAGAGGGTCTTCCTGGCGAAATAAGAAAGCATTTCGGTATTGAGACCTTCCTTTGGCGGAAGAAGCGAATATGTGGGGAAGGTAGGTGGGGGTCGGTCCGGTTCGTCCAGATAATGTAGACATAGAAGAGCATTTACCACAGTGCTGGCACCTAAGCTCCATGATTTCTCCCATTTAAACAGTCGAATGATGTGTGATATCGGTATGTTCAGACAGCCAGGGTAAAATATGGTTCATGTCTCCCTTGGTAGGACAAGCAAGGTCAAACTCACATGACACATAAAGAAGCGGAATTATTATAGAAAGGTTTAAATTAACCCGTGTTAGTAGCCCGGCCGAATTCGCATATGGCCCTGGCCGGTATCGCTGGGACTCTGGAAAGCGAGGTAGGCTGCTTCGCCGTGGTCAGCATTGCTCCAGAAGTCAGGCCAAAGACTACAAAGCAGAGAACGCTAGAAAGCATGAATGTAGTGACAAACTCATGAAGACTCATGTTCGAGAGAAACTCGGGTGTTGTGAACAAATATCAAAAAAGAGCAGGCAAGGAGACATGGCTTGGAGCAAGAAGTCGAGACTGAGCCATTCTGGCTTTTTCTTTTTCTTTCTTTTTTTTTTTTTTTTTTGCTTGCTATAATGGGCAAGTTCATCACTTTGAAAGAATCCTGTTGCCACAAATTTTTGAAAATAATGGTGTTATAGTGGTGGTACAAATCTAATAGTAAGATATAGATATATAAGGGGACGAATTGTCGTTCAGCAGCGAGTCGATCTGCTCCACAAGTTGTTATTGCTCAGTTTTTCGTCTTGATCAAGCCCTTAATCTTCTGAATAAGCTCCTGAGTACCGTAAGGCTTGTGAATGATGTCATCCATTCCAGCACTCATCATTTCCTCTTGTTGCGCCTCCCTCACATTCGCTGTCACGCCGAGCACTGGAACATGCCCTCCAGTCTCCTTTTCAATGTCACGAATGACTTTCGTTGCCGAGTTGCCATCCATCACAGGCATCTGTTGGTCCATAAGGATACAGTCAAATGCAGTGTTCTGGCTCATATCGAGTGCCTGCTGGCCGTTGCATGCCTCAGTGATAACAAATCCCTGTGCAGTCAATTTGCGCGACACGATTCTCCTATTGATGAAGTTGTCTTCGACAAGAAGAATGCGCTCGCCGGAGCCTTCTTTCTCCATGTCGAAATCACCTGGTGTTCTTAAATCATCACGACTTAACTGATCATCGTAGACCTCACGCGCGATATTCTGTGTCCGTGTTGTTCTTTCGTCATCTGGCGCGCCCGTTTCTGCCTCTGCAACCTTACCGACTGGAGGATTTTCAGAGATGTCAGGTTCTTCGGTAGATTCGTTGACTCCGTTCATTTCATTGCCGAGCATTTGAATGTCTGAAGATAACTTGTCCAGCTCGGAAGCATGAAGCTTGCCGTGACCTTCCTCAGTTGTGTCGGTTGTCCGGCGGACCTTGAAAAAGAAGCCGAAAGTACTTCCGTGTGCTTCCTTCGAGCTGACTCCGATCTCGCCTCCATGTAAATGGCAGAGTTGCCTGCACACGTTGAGACCGAGCCCAGAGCCACCGTAGATACTCTCAGTTCTGGGAGTGGCTTGATTGAAGCGCTCGAACAGTCGCTTCTGGGCCTGGTCCGTTATCCCGATACCGGAGTCCTTGACGGCAACCATGATATATACAAATTCACCCTCTCCCCACTCGGGTGTGTTTGTTGCGTCTTTGCGGAGTGCTGCTTCACCAGAATCAAAAAAGACGACATTTGGAGGGTAGGAGGAAGGGCGGTCGATGGCAGCTCCCATGGAGACTCGCAGGGTTCGTTCATTTCCAGATTTGGCGGTGAATTTGATGGCATTTGAGAGAATATTAATGAGCACCTGGCCCATGCGATCAAGATCAGCCATGACCCAGTCAATCCCGCAGTTGCCATACGAGACATCAACCTTGTATTCAAACTTGATTCTCTGTTTTCTAATTTCGGGTCGGAAAATGGAGAGTGGAGTGGTCAGGTGTCTTTTCGGTTGAACTTTGTGGGGAGACAAGGAAAGCATAGAGGCGTCGAGTTTGGAGAAGGTGAGAACATCGTTGACGATTTTCTTTTGGTGCGTGATGCAAAGACTAATAGTCTCGGTAGCTTCGGTGATGTCAGATAATGAAATATCCTGTCCCTTCTTCTTATATATTGCTTCCTGAATGTCTTCCGTGCAATGAAGTATGGCGGAGAGGGGGTTTCGAATTTCGTGACTGATCATATCGATAAACCGCTCTTGTTGCTTCTTGCGATCCTGTGCCTCCCGCGCAGCCTGCCTCTGGACAAGCTCAGCCTTCTTCTCAGGTGTGATATCCGCGATTGTACAGATGAATAGTCCATCCTCGCTCAAGCCGAAGCACTGCACATCTTCGTTGTCCAACGGTTCCAATGTCATGACGCACCACATCGAATCCGGGTTATGGCTATGGTATTCGATCCGCAGGGGCTTTTTTGATTTGGCAACTTCTTGGTACTCAGTGGAAACTCGTTCATAGTCATCTGTATGAACCGATTGCAGCCAGCATTCGGAGAAGTTCGCGCTCGCACATGGTATCAACCTTCGGAATCGACGGTTTACGGAGATCAGTTCGTATCGATGGTTTAGGATGGCGACCCCGTTCGGGAGAATATCGGCCAGCTGTTGTGCCGTAACATTTCGATCGAAGTTGAACGTCATTGATTGTCTCGGAGATAACGGATCGTGCTTCTTGTAGGGATGAGGCGAGACCGTTGCTGTCAGGTCTTAGATGGCCTAGTATATACTGCCCTCAAAAGATACAGCTGACTCGCATTTCAGGCAGAATGGCAGTCCGTGGACGGTAACCGAGTTCGAGTTGAGGTTCTCAACCGGGACGACAAAATGGGAAGTATGACTTCAGGATTAATTGTATCACAGTCTCATTCCAAAGATTCACAAATTTACAGGAGGTGACTTTAGAGGTCGTGGGGATATACTATGGTCGCTTGACTCCCCTCCGAGTTTGTCTTATACGTCATTAATGTGGAGTTTGAGACTTCGATGAACTTCCAATTGCACTTCTGGATGTAGAGCTCCATGAGTTGTTATTGGACGGGAAAATTAGCCTGAGTGCCCAATAATTCAGGCAGACAGTATGACGTCAGTGTACCACTCCGCTTTCGGCAATTTGTTCTGTTTGCCTCGTTCCTGACCCTGGCCATTCTCAGCCATCGCACGCTGCAGTACTACTCTCCTTTTCCTTCCAGTCCAGACTCTTTTGATGCTCTGTTTCATTGTTGTGCCACTCATGCATCAGGTATATGTGAGTCTAGCCCAAGAATTTAGTTAGCCCTCGGGCATTCCGGTATGAGACCCATTTGGGCCTGAATGAATGTTTCTCCTAGGGAGGAATATTTGCCAAGTATCATTCTTGAGACATCTCGTAGGGAGAAAGCAGACCAAATGAGCAATTAATGCACTATGCTTGCACCACAAGACTCAAAAACCCACCGTATGACTCAATTCCCGACATGAGAAGTGTGCCTGGGGTTTGAGATTTCCTTGCACGTCTTATCATATCTTCTCTCGCGATTAATCTGCTTTGGTTGAGTTGTACGTCCCTACATGTCTGAGCGACTTGTGGTGTACCACTTGACAGTGAGAGTCTTGATCGTCGAATGGGAATTTGAAGCCTCCACTCGTGGGTGGAGTAAGTCGGGAAGAGGGCGGGGGGTGAATGTTGGACCCTGAAACAGTCTTGAACTAATTTCAATCCTACCAAGCTTGTGACCTCGCGCAACCAGTATCATAGTATGTATTTCAGCCTTGGGGATAGGAGTGAAATACTAATGGGTTCTCTTAGCAGCAAGAGGAAGATGGAACATTGCTTGCGCAGAGTGGCTGATATTTTGACAGCGATATTCTAGACTGCATGATAAACAGAGCCCAAATTGAGATTACCGGAGCCCAAAATTAGTGTCAGTGAGCCACGTACATTGATTGCTACGGTGAGGCATTTGTCGAAATCATAAGAGTCTCGAATCTATATTTTGAGCAACAAAATACCCTCGCCGATGATCACCGACTTCCATTGCTTGCGAGGTAAGCGCTGAAATGCGAAACATGTTGAAACTGCAGGACAAATGCACTTCGTGCATATGCTTATGCAACGTGATAGCCCGTGAAGCGTATCGCAGGTTAGTATTGGCGAACTGTGTTCAGGGCAAGGCTCAGTCCACAGATCTATGCACCTTAGACAAGTATTTGACAGATGAGGTGAGTATTCGACATAGTTCTAAGATCTACGGTTGAAGATCAAAGACCCAATATAATATTCTCACGGAATGGTGCTTAGATCTCGCAATAATTGCCGATCCTCGGGCGGTTGCGGATCATTTGGTCTAGGCTTTGATTGCGTTCGGCAGTTTGGCAAAGCTATATAGAAGGTTCCCTCAAAATATAGACCTGAGTGAGGCTTCTCTGGGTTGTTTCAGAGCTGTTATTACTATGACAAAAGTCAGAGCATTCAGACATTATCGATAGCTATGCACAGCCAGTGGGGCATCAGCCGTCGGTCCACCTCAATGCAGAATTTAGGAGGGCTGTGCGCAAACTGCTAAACGCAAAATCGGAAAGACCTTGATTGATCGGAATTTTTGAGAGCGGAGCAGACAGTACTCCACTAGCCCAGGAGAAGAGTGATCTAGAAGTCTGCCAGGGGCGACACGTCTGGGATGAGCTGTCGAGACGGGAAGAAAAATCAGCGTGGCGAATCCCGTCGAATCTTTACTTACAAACCAAAGATTAGTTATTTCAAATTTCGAGCTATTGAATCGAACACAATGAACAGGAGAAAAAGAAAATAGATTTTAAGACACATACAGAGTCAGCATAGTTGAGCATATTTTTTCGTACTTGTAAATGCTTACGGAGGTAGAAGCCCTAGGAATTTGGCGATGTGCGGGTAATTTAGCCCTACCACCGGGATCCCGGACCACAAGAGTTCGGCCCGATAACATAACGCTCGGGTGCCGCAAACTAAGTTTTTTAGGGTAACCCTACAGTCAAGACACTATGTCAATAGCATTTCTGATGCATCGGTTCATATTCGTAAGCTTTAAGCTACAGATAACCTCGATGCGAGCACAAGAATTGGGCTGAACATACACAATGCGTTATCAATGCACGTTTTTTTAGCCCAATCCATAGATTTATCTCGCATGTGTGAGCGACGGCTAACCAGTGGATCATCTTATCCACTCCCCGTGGGTCGTCATCTTCTCAAAATGGTAACCCGAGTATCTTGCTCCAGTTTAAGATGTTTCTCAAAAGGGTAATCCGAACAACTTCAATCCACTTTTTAAATTGGAGCGATTGAAGATTTTGATTTTTTCGACTATAGTAGATCCTATATTAGTATGGGAGTAGATGCCAGTGCTACCCAGCACATCCGTTTTCATCTTCATTCAATTTTCACATCCATAATGGGCATTGTTGACTATTTCAGTCGACCGCGTGGCCACCAGGCACAAGATGGTGATGGTACTATCACCCCAAGCGAGCCTAAAGTAATTGAGCCTACCATTATCTCCAGTCCTGAATCTTCCGGCACTGCTACACCTGCGCTTATGCTTCCCTCTCCTGCTGGCAGTGAGGACCCTCTTATCTTTGAAAACATCCCACACCAATTTGGTCGTCTCGGTTCTTGGAGAGGATGTTTGATCTTGCTTGTCACTTCCGGATCTCAATTCCTCGATAATGTATTCATGACAAGCGCCAACATTGCTTTGTCGTCAATCCAGCAAGATTTCAAGGTTTCCAGCACCGACCTGCAGTGGATGATTTCTGCATACACTTTGACATTCGGTGGCTTCCTTCTGCTTGCTGGCGCTTTATCTGACCGGTATATCTTTCTGTCTTTCTATTTCTCAGTAGAATATTCCTTTTACTGACTACCACAGATACGGTCGAAAGAAAATCCTCTGTATCGGTCTCGCCTGGCTATCTATTTGGACCCTGGCCATTGGATTCGGTCAGTCCTTCATTCAACTAACAGTCTTCCGTGGAGTTCAGGGAATCGGAGCAGCACTTACTGTCCCATCTGCTATTGGAATCATCAGCTCCTACTTCAGCGGTGTCGACCGCACCCGTGCCCTGTCAATCTATGGAGCATCTGGCACCCTGGGATTCTGCACTGGGCTCATTTTCGGTGGTTTCCTGACTTCCTCCTTGGGATGGCGGTACATCTTTTATCTGATCGTCATCATCACTGGCTCATTGGGGATTCTTGGCTTCATTGTCCTGCCTAGCGATGTTCCCTCTCAAAAGAAACACGAGCGTATGGACTATGTTGGCGCGGTGATGTCTACTGCTGGCCTCATCCTGCTTCAATTCGTCCTCTCAAGTGGCGGTACCTACGGTTGGGATCAGCCATTTATCATTGTGTTATTGATCATCGCTGTGGGTCTTCTGGTTGGATTCACCATCCTCGAGAAATATATCAGCAACCCCATCATGCCATTGTCCTTGTGGAAGATTCGCAACTTCGCTGGCCTCTGGGTTATTGGTTTCAGTAAGTCCCTTCATACATCAACTTTATGCCTGGGCATCGCTAACAATCACTAGCTGGCTATGGTACCTACCAGAACGTTATCTATTACATTGTCCTTATCGCGCAAGAAGTTGACAAGCTTAACGCTGGCGATACTGCCCTTCGATTCTTGCCCATGGGAGCCATTGGATTCATTGTCTCCCTCGGCACAGGCAAACTTCTGGAATACATGAATGGAAAGCACCTCCTCATCGTTGGTCTGGTTCTAGCTGTGGTCGCTCCCATCTCCAGTGCTTTAACTTCGAGCCCGGAAACAAACTTGTATGTAAATCTACATTGTTTGTGAAAGAGATATATTAACGGTCGCAGCTGGCTCAATGTTCTTCCCACATCACTTATCAGTATCTCGTCAGTCTCATTCATCTTCGTGACGACTAGCACTGTGGTGCTTACGAGTGTACCCGTCGAAGTCAAGAGCTTGGCTGGCGGAATGGTCAGTTCTCTTATTCTCGATAATTTTGAATGCAAGTTACTGACAATGTGAAACAGCTCAACACTGCATTCCAAATTGGCTCCGGAGTCGCATTGGCCATTTCCGCTGCCGTCACCGACGCAGTTGATATCCAGAAAGGACATAGTCTCGCAGAGCAGTACGCTACCGGCCTCTGGTGCTCTGTCGGACTCGCTGGCTTTGGACTCATAATCGGATTCCTTGCAGTTCGACAGAAGGGCATTGGTCCGAAAGACAGACTCGGGGCCGGCCCAGTCGCTATCTAATATCGTTTCAATGGCTTTTTAGATGCATATTCATAGATTTTAGACGATAGATTATTTGTTTTTGTGGTGCCCCGTCATGTGGACTTGTCGCGGATCAGCGTTTGTTAGGAAGGAAAGGCGGATTCAGCATGCGGTGTCGTTTTAATATCATTATCAATTGCTCTTTTTACTTGGACAGTGACCGTTTGATTCTCCCGATGAAGTAGTTCAATACGTCCATGTACAATCTATTTGAAAAATTCAGACAGAGTCCTTACTCCACTTCCACCGTGCCTGAATTTGCCTTCCCTAAAAGAAGAACAGAAAAGGAACAGTGATCAATAAGGCAGCAAAACATCCAAAAATCGTGGTACCCCACACAACGCCAATATCACGATGCATAAGCATGATGGATAATGGGAATGCACTTTCAGACATGGGCCTTACGAATGTATTGGAAGCCACAGCACTGGTACTAAATCGTGTGATAATGTCGACCAACTAGTTAATTGCAGCCTGGAAGATACTCATAAATATAAATCCGGTCAGACCAATACCTATAATTAAAGGCGAATAGTTGATTTTAGGTGACGATGTCACTACCAGGAAAAGCCTGAAAGTAGTTTCCAGAGTGAAGCTTAAATTTCAATAAAAATAACGAGACCAACCGTAAAAGAAACCCCTCCTACCATCATGGGTGACAGACCTGCTTCTGGAACTGGTCTGTTGCCATTCGCCTTGAACTGTTCGAAATAATATTTGGTGTTATAAATTTTGACGCCGGCCGCAAAGAAGATTCTAATCAGCAGGGAGATGAAAGGAAGACTGCCAAGAACAGGGCGCCAATGATGAACTTGCTAGAGTTCCAAAAGTTCCAGGTAAGAAAAAACTTATGTGAGCACAGTCCGGATGTCTTTTGCTGTGGGTCTTTTGAATGAGAAAATGGCAGCAACGAAGTAAAGCTGTATATAGTCAGACTTTTGAAACGATACACCATTCAGAAAGACGGGGAAAGCCTACTAGGATAACCACCCCCCTTACGACCGTATATTTCACTCAGAGGTGCCCAGACCAAGGACCCGAGTCTGAACCCGAACTTGAGCATACTGATACCGGACGCTGCAACCTCGTCGCTAACCTGGATCTTCTTCGAAACTTGTACCAGCACTGAAGCGTGAATGGCCGGTACGAAGGTTATCCAACAGGTAGTGAATCTGTACAATACTGCTGTGGTGACTTTCTTGCAAAATGGCCAATTCATGGGACGGTAGGGGCCATCTTTGCCGTCGAAGTCAACTAAGACTGTCTGTGGTATTGCATCATATAGAAGGGGATGAGATAGGTTCTTGTGTTCCAGTTTTGATTGGCTTTCTAGGACTTTTTGGTGCTCAATGGACAACTTGTTGGCACTATCTTCAGATGCAGAGGCTGATGAAGGGCTGTATTGTATCTCCGTGGCGAAAATATGGCTGAGCAGTTAGATGCTGAAACATCTGGTATCAATCCTGTGAGAGATTTAACAGACGCAACTGAGTGAAATTGATCGAAGTGCTGTCTCAGGAGCCTGAATGATTATCTCACAGCCTCGCCAAATAATGTTTACCTTGATTCGATGAGAGCAATAAAACAAATGTGTACCAAAGTGTCTCCCAAATTATGCCCAGCCAATTTTTTAGTACTGTTTGTTTCGCGGACCCATAATCAGAAAAGAGAAGCTTTGATCAAAAAGTAGAAATACGGGGAGAGACAACCTCTGAAATTTGAAAACATGGTGCTCATTCACACATATTGGGTGGCCATTCTTGGCTACCAGCAAAGCTTCACTTTTAGATAGGACGTTAGTTTTTGCACGAATAGCCAATAGACGCAATAATCTCTTTTTACTTCGTATTACAGTAGCCTGAAGAAACCTCAACTTTCGATGTAGTCTTCCATTTAAAGCTATCCGTCAAACCTTCTGGGATACCTTTTTTTCCTAATCGGGACTAGTGATTAGCCGGAGATGACCGGAATTCCTCGACAAGGTGAACGGCATGATAGAATGGAGTTTGTATTTATTGTGTTTAAGTTTTCGCTGTCCTGATCTTCTGACCACGCTGAAAAAAATAGTTGTTAGTATTTGACTACGAGGTTTTTTACTTTCGGGTACTACAGGAAAGGGGCTGGCGTATCATTCCATCTGAAATTCCTCGCCCCTTGGCAGCCATATATAACCAATCAGGTGCAAACCTTTGAGCTTTGATACCCTACTTCCTAAGGTAAAGCTCGGTTCAATTTGCGTTTTAGTTCCGGCCAGATTAAGGTTGCAGGGTTGTTCGAACCTAGACAGGGGTAGACCCGTTAGTCTACCATGGTTGAACTCTTCGTAGCTTCTATTCAATAGTGGCGCCCTTGAACAAACTTTCATAGGTTCTCGCCTTCGAACATAAGTTTCATATCTTACGTGCATAACCTTAACACTGCTCTATCAGTCTAAAACTATCAAAGCCCCGGGTGACTCCAGTATCAAATTCAACCCCTGCGGAGGATAACTTTTCTCTAGCTTCTAGCCATTTTGACAAGGCCCCTTGCTTGGTACTTGAATGCCTGTCAGCTCCCCGCGCTCATGCCCGTGGCGAACAGAAACAAGCAGTCCAGGCCCCTTTTCATTTTCTGGTCACTAATCGTGTCTCCTCCATTTGTCTCCTTTTAGACATTCTTAGACTTAATCACAAGTGCCACCCAATTTGGCTTTTCTGCGCCGGACAGGTATGTCTCCGAGTCGCCTGGCCTTCGAGTGCCCTGGCCAGATTGGTCCAGGCCTACATGTTTTCTTTTTGGACATCCACGCTTTTGTCATTACCTCGCTGAGGGAATATTGTGCAAAAGACACGGAATGCTCGTACGCCCGCCCCAGCAAGCCGCGTTAGCCGGATTTCATGCACTTTCCGATGTCTTAAATATCGGAAAATTCACTGATCTGACAGCGATTTATACTGTGATTTCCACTGAAAACATCCTCATCGCGTGGATCATTGTCGATCACGCCGATCTTGCACTTGTCAATCTAGTGACGCGTACCTTATATCTACCAGGCGTACCAATGACACGATATCTTGGCCTTAGGGGCAATAGCCTCAATATTGCAGCAATACTGGGTGTTCTTATGCCTGGAATTCTCACAGTTGGCTACAATGCCTCATCACTCGGAGGTGTCCTAACTCAAAACAACTTCGAAGCCCAGTTCCCGGAGATCGATATCGTCAATGCCGAGAACCAGTCGCAAGCATCAAAGCTCCAAGGCACTGTTGTAGCTGCCTACACAATTGGAGGATTTCTGGGAACACTATCCTGTATCTGGGTTGGTGACAAGTTTGGCCGTCGCCGCACCATTATGGCGGGGTCGATTATGCAAGTGATTGGGTCTATTCTCATGGCTGCTGCATGGTCACTCGCTCACTTGCTTGTTTCCCGGATAGTCCTTGGTTTTGGTACGGGCATTCTTCTTGCCACAATTCCTCTTTGGCAATCTGAGATCTCCCCAGCCGAGAAACGTGGTGCACATGTCGGCATGAAAGGAATTTTTAGCGGGCTTGGATGCGCTCTTGCTCTATTTCTGGACTTTGGGATGTCTTTCACTCGTGGAAGTGTTGCCTGGAGATTCCCATTTGGCTTTGTGGTGTTGCTTTCCCTTGCTATTTTTGGCTTCATCATCCTGCTTCCGGAGTCCCCTCGGTGGTTGATCAGAGAAGGCCGCATCTCTGAGGCGAGCGAAGTTCTAGCGGCTTTGGAAGACACTTGCGTTGATGACCTATCCGTTGAAACAAAGATCAAAGATGTTCAAATGTCTCTTGAGCTGTCTGGCAAACCGTCCATCGGGCAATTCTTCCACATGGGTCCCCAAAGAACCTTTCATCGGGCTATACTTGCTGGTATGGTCATGCTGTTTCTGCAACTTACAGGTTCCACTGTGACCACCTTTTACAGTACGTATATATGCCTTGAAAATTTTATAAATGGAACAGTTCGGCTAATTCTATACGCGTTCAGCAACTGCGATTTTCGAAAAGAATCTCTCACTTGGTAATTCAACATCTACCGTTCTTGCGGCGGTTTACCAGCTTGTTGGCCCAATTGGAGGTACCTTTTGCGTTCTCAAAATTGAAGGCTTTGGTCGGCGGGTCCTACTGCTAGGCAGTGCAATCGGAAATGCTGTGTGCTTGGCCATGGTAGCCGGTCTTGGAACCCAAAGCGAGAACCCGCTCGCAATGCGCGGTGCCGTCTTTTTCATTTTCCTCTTCCATTTCAGTTATATCATCGGGTTTGGTGCGATACCATATCTCTACGCCACAGAGATTGCACCCTTGCATCTCAGAACGACTATCAACAGCTTCAGCATCAGCATTTCCTGGGCCGTCAGCATCCTCATCACTAATGTCACGCCACTCGCCTTCAATACTATGGGGCAGACATACTTCGTGATATTTGCAGGATTCAATGCGGCTATGGTTCCTATAATCTACTACATGTTTCCAGAGACTGCAGGACGCAGCCTTGAGGAAATGGACAAGATCTTTGCCCTCTCTAGGGGCATGTTTGATGTTGTGAAAGTGGCCAGGCTTCTCCCCCATGGGCAGCCAAGCGATCTTTCTATTGAGAAGGATCTTGTATCCGAACTCAAATATCCAGAACTTCAGCTCCGGGAGGTTCACTCAGTTTGACACTATCCTTGACAGAATCGGAAGAGGTACATAATGCCTTATGAAGCAATGAGGAACACATTAAGATATGAAATTCTAGAAATGCTACTGGTTGTATCAATGTCACATTTCTTCCTAGTTGAATCAATTGATGATGAAAGATTATCAATCTCCACAGCTTCCACCGGAGTTACTCCCTTTCAGGGTAGTAGCATTCCAGAGCCCGGGGCATATGTACCGCCAGTTTCCACCGGATGGGATCGCCAGGCTTCATATAGACATTCGCTTTGCACCGAAAGCATGAGATCAAAGAATCGATCAAAGATCCTTTCGGGTCGGACTGTCTGTTTCCCGGAGAAAATAAAGCTGAATTTTTGATACGATCAATGATGACCAACTTCAATAACTTGTTGGACATAAACTGGTTCAGAAATCTTGCTTGATTCCGACTTTTGTCAATCTACACGAGTTGATAATTCCATCGTCAATCGATATCTCGTATACAATGCAGTCAAATTCACTCTAACACGGATTGCCCGTTTTCCCCCGGGAACAGAATAGGCCGACTGCGTTCTAAATGCTACAATTTTGAAAGATCTCTGAAAATGGGTACCATGGCGTACCTGATTCGGCTTTGTCACCTTCCTGCTTTCGTGAAAGAAATCTCTCGCACTTTTCTTGGTTACTTTGGAACTTTGCCGCAATGCTTTCATGAAGAGGTCTGAAAAAGCAGGTTACAAAAGGTAGCTTCGAATATGTCGGGGAGGGGGGAGGCAATGATGCGGGACTCACGTTTCAGGATGCCTCTGGCGCTCCTATCGAAAGCAAGTCCTCATTGCGATACTCTATCGGACCCATCACGATTTCCTGCTCAATATCACTATGATGATTGGTGCTAATATCTATTTCACATGTGAGTGCGACACCCTCATGCTGAGCCTGACATCGCCAAGCATCATCTATTATGGCTAGTAGTTGTTCCATTGGCTTCAGCGGACAATATGCAGGCAATGTGAGCTTCTGGTACGCTACATATGCTGCTGCAGGTATTAGAATATGAGTGAATTCTTGTCCCTAACGACCTGCTTAGGAGTCACGAGGGCTGCAGGTGGGACACGATCTTAATAAAGAGCGGGTAGATCCTTGACTTTGGGCGCCGATAAGAATTGCCACATCCTCTCTCTCTCCGGGCCCACTTAAACCCCAAGATCCGTGGTATCTATGTGCAAAATGTTTCTTGGACATCTCCTCTGCATGCTTTTTTGAAGAGGATCAGAAATTTCAAACCCCCACAACAGTGAATAAGCTAGTGGTTACCCAACCAACTACTAACTTACCGGTGTGTGGCTTGCATGAGGCCGATAGTCGAGTAGGTTCACCTGGATAAGTTGAGATTGAGAGCTACTTTGCGGTCGCACGACCAGGAGTGAAAAAGTGAGTCTTTTATTGACGTAGTGGGCATCAAGGCGAGAACCCCATAAGTTGCGCGACTACCGCACTATAGTGACATTGTAGCTTCCTCACTTCGTAGCATAGTGCTACAAAGAGATAGGGAACAATTTTCACCGTGCGCGTAGCGTGGCAGTGCAATTAAAGCTTTGGATTCTGGAGTGGGTCAAAGCCTTGGTTAGCGATTAATTTTGCACAGAGGAAAATATTATCATGCGGCTTAGAGGGGCCTCTTCTGGGCATGCATATCTAGCAAGGGCTTGAAGGGTATGAGAATGTGGATAAGGGCCATTCTCAATCGATGGTAGTGATAGGGTGCCACGTCTATCCCGTGTCTCTAGCGGATCATCGTAAGCCGCTAGCCCGCAATTAGCTCCATTCGCTGCCAAAAGGACAGGCAAAATTCATGCCTATCGGGCTTCGTGCAGGGATTCTTAGCGTGGCAACCGTGCGATTTCGGAAAAATTGCCAATCAAGGCAAATGCTATAGACTACTAAAGTAGCGTGCTTAGCAATTGGGAATACCTAGTGAAAAGACGGTCTAAACTGGTCCCACATATAAAAATTCAGGTTCTCCCTCAAGGTGACTGACCGATCTCTGTTACTTTTCAAGATGAATTTTATCGTTTTGTTGAGTTTAACGCTGGGATTCACTGTCATCTATGCTGCTCTTAACTCAAGGCGTAGAAAGTCACAGCGGCTGCCCCCGGGGCCCGCGCCGATGCCTATCGTGGGCAACGTAAAGGATCTTCCACCCAGTGGCAAACAGGACTGGGTACACTGGTTGAAGCACAAATGTACCTACGGTAAGCTGATCCACGAAAATCTATGTTGCCGAGGACACACTAATTCCAAATCCCTGACATATTTGTAGGCCCAATTAGCTCGATCACAGTATTGGGACAAACTATCGTGATCGTAAACAACTCGAAAATCGCACTGGACTTGCTGACAAAACGTTCATCTATTTATTCGTCGCGTCCCAGAATGACCTTCGCGTCTGAAATGTGAGACTTGAGCCACAGAAAATGAGGGAACATTGTTAATTCATTTCTTCGTTAGGGTGGGATGGGAAAATGGACTTGCATTCCAAGGGTACACCGAGCGATTCCGCGCCTATCGCAAAGCCATTCAGCCAAACTTTGGCTCGGACTCAGCAGTTGCGCAGTATACGCCCCTGCAAGAAGTGGAAACCCGCCGATTTCTTTTCCGCGTGCTGCAAGATCCTACAAATCTTTTGCAGCATGTCCAAACGTGTGTTTCATCCCGAGTCCAAACTTTTATACGACCGGAGCCCTGACACAGATCACAGTGAGGCCGGAGCCGTGATTCTTAATATCGCCTACGGCTACAGAGTGGAGCCTTTTGGTCGAGACCACTTGGTCCATATCACCAACGAGGCCCTCGATGAATTTGGCAAAGCTACGGTACCTGGTGCCTGGCTTGTGGATATCATCCCCGCATGTATGCTATCATCAATCTTCGCAGTCCAAAGTTCCTGTAACTAACCCGAACAGTGAAATATGTTCCCAGCTGGTTCCCAGGAGCTGGTTTCAAGCGGACTGCCAAGCTTTGGAGGGAGCATCTTGTCGGTATTGCCGACAGACCCTATGAATTTGTGAAGCAACAAATCGAGAGTGGAAAGTACACGCCGTCCTATCTTGGTGATATGCTTAAGGACGGTTTCCCTGAACCGGGGTCGGAGAAGGAACTGGTCGCGAAATGGACCTCGGCCTCGCTCTATACTGGTGGCGCAGACACTGTACGTTATCTGCAGCCGTTTCTTGAACATTGCTAATAGATACAGACCGTCTCTTCTATCAACTGCTTCTTCCTCGCCATGGCTTTATTCCCAGACGTCCAGCGTAAGGCACAAGAGGAAATTGAGCGTGTGGTCGGACAGAATCGCCTTCCAAATGTGACGGATCGTGCAAACCTCCCTTATATCAACGCCGTGGTGAAGGAGGTTCTCCGCTGGCATCCTGTCGCCCCAATGGGTCTTCCGCATATGTCGAGCGTCGATGATAACTACGATAACTACTTTATTCCGAAGGATTCTATCATTTTACCCAACATCTGGTAAGATACCCACTACCCCCAATGTGTGCCAAGGTCTAATTGATCATGAAAAGGGCTATGATGCACGATCCTGATGTCTACCCGGACCCCATGGAATTCCAGCCCGACCGTTTCCTCGGCGAATATCCCGCGCCAGACCCCAAAGTCATTGCCTTTGGATTCGGACGTCGCGTTTGTCCTGGTCGTTTCTTGGCCGATAAAACGGTATTCCTGACTGTGGCCCAATCTCTTGCGGTTTTCGATATCAGCAAGCCTGTACAAAGTGGTGTGGGTGTCACGACACCGCACTTCGATCCTGGCGTTATCAGCCACCCTTCCCCTTTCCAGTGTGAGATCAAACCTCGCACTCCAGAACTTGAGGCTCTCATTCTGTCTGTTGAGCAGGATCATCCTTGGGAGAAGAGTGGTGCGGCTGATTTACAGAAAGTTGGGTATTGAACAATAGGCTGCAGCTATCAATCAATCAATCAAAGTTCTATTAGCCTGTTGCAGCAGATATTACCTTTGGCGTATCATCATATTTCTCTGGCGACCCGCATGATGAGGGCATAGACGGGAGCGAACGAAACATCCGGCGATCTCTCAGGACGGGTAGCTTGTTTAGCAGCGTCTGGACCTTGGATGAAACCTCGCTGGTTGTGGATGGAGAATGGGGAGACTGTACGCTTCTTTTCCCATTTGCTGTCTATGAGGCAAAAAAGAACCAGTCATCGGAGATCACTGTGAGAATGCAACTGAAGCTAGCATTCAATGCTTATCCCCAGATGCTGGATAAACTAGTTCGACAACCTGGAAAGATGGACGAGTATCATTCTCCTTCATCGGCCGCATTTCCTATTTTCGGATTTACATTTAGTGGAAGTACCTGGCGAATAAATGTGGGTTATCTGCCAAATTACGTCACGGATGACTCCGAGGACGATCCATTGTTCGACGAAGATAGTGTGGGTACTGAATCTACTCTTCTGCAAAGAACCAATTCAGCTGATAATCCGCCTCTAGCATATGAAACTGATCTTGTGGGGCAATTTTTCCTGTCGCCGGGATGCTGGGGAGCTTCTAGCTATGGTAGACCAAATCTATGAGTACGCACTTACCACCCATCGTTCTTTTGTCGCCCATCATCTCAAAGTATGGGAAAGGTTCACCAATCCTCGGCAGATTATGTGTCGTGAGAGCCCCCACAACTCCATTTCGCCAACCCAGGAGAGAGAGCTTGAAGACTGGTATTCAATCAAATGCAATGGTACCCAGGTCAGCAAACTGCTGAAGGAGGAAAGAAAGCGCGGTGTCTTACGGATGATGATACCAAGCCAACCACTCTCGAGGCCCGGCTGAAAACATGGGACAAAAGGAGGTCGAGTTTGACAAGTGCAAGCATCCGTCGACGAGTGAGACCGCAAATAGCCATAAAAGCAAAGTCGAATTAGACCTTGACATTTCCCTCGGGACTCCCACCATGGGACTGTCCAAGGGCTCCTATAGGACTAAATTTTGGTCCCGTGAGAGTGAGACCACAGAACTAGACATCTATGGGAATTTCCACGGCTCTCGGTGGCCCATCACTAAGTTGCGGCCCCTCAATTAGTTGGCAGCTACAGGGATGGTAACATTTGTCTTAGGGCAAATCCTTTAGTGGTCTTAAGTTGCTTCGGAGTTTTCTTGAAGTCACCTAACTATAGTGGATGTATCTTACTCAGGCTTTAATTTAGCTCCTATGTGACTCCGAATCTCTTTTGTGGTTTTCTCGGATTTGAATTCTATTCTACCTTGTTCCGCTATCCGATTTTTGCAGAAATCGGTAGTCAGGTTTCATACTCATAGTGTTAATCACTACGTAACCTTTAGTAGGTTAGTGGGGTATATATCATGTAACCCGCCCTATTTATCTCCCTTCCTCCTCCACTTACTTTTCTTCTTCTCTAGTACCGAAAATATATGGTTTTCACACCAACCGTTTTCTACCTTATACACTCATGACCCACACTACTATTCACTACCACCTCTACTACGTCCCCAGTTCATTTATACTTGTCGTTCTTAAGCAGTGGAATCTACGTGCCTCAGCTGTGAGGTTATTCAAGATTAGCTGCTGCATCCCGAACCAACTCACCTTGCTACACGCCGCACTTCACTCGTCGACTCTTTTTCTTACCATCATCCATGAAAGTGACACCCATGTCATTAATGACAGCTGATAAGATGTCCTGGTCTTGCTTGCCTGCAGAGATCCGGGTTCTGGTCCTAGAAGCCTTACTGCAGGATGATGGCTGTAGCCTGGCTGGCTTCGCTATAGTGTCTCGAGAGTGGCAGATGACTATTGAGCTGCACAACTTCGCCCATATCAACCTCACACTGTCACGCCTCGCAGATTTCGGTCCAATGATTCACCGCAATCGGGCTCTTGTACGCTATATATGGCTTTGCTTGGAACTCCAAGAATATGATTGTACCCAATGTTCACCTCATGGTCTGGAAATGATGGGGATCAGCAGCACAGATAATACCCTAATTACCACAGCCTTCCAGGATTTGTTCTCAATGCTCAGCACATGGGAACCAAATAGCAACTTGCTGCTTGATATCAGTGTTCACTCTCCTAGTGACTCCGAGCACTGGTTCAAATATCTAACCTTTGAGCCTGATATCACCTCTGATGAGTGTGGTTTGGGTCAATACACTGAGCAGTCAATACAGGCCAAATTAATGACCACCAGCATGGTTGGATTGCTGGGAGTCAAAATTCGACTCCATCTAAAGCTGGTATCCACAAGGTTTTCGATGAAATCATGGGTGAAGGACCCTTTAATAGTGGTGAAGAGGAAGACCAGTGGTGGCAGCAACTACCGTTAGTCCCAGAAGTAACAGGTGTGCTTCTACGTCAACAGAACTGCCAACGGTGGAAGCCAACTGCATTAGCACAGATGTTTGCCCGTTTCCCCAGACTCCAGGAGATTTGCTACGAGCCTTGGAGAGAATGGTGTGATATCCAGCAGGAGTGGACAGATCAATGTAAGTACCGCTATTCCAGCTCATAATTCTCTACCATATATACGTTTATTGCTGTATTACTTATCACGGATCTAGCTTTCCGATCACTTTTGAATCGCTCGCTACTAGTAAGCTACGAAGACTCATACTCTTCGAGAATTTCGCTCAACAGTACGCGATACCTTTTATGGGTGGTTTTAGCGGTTGCAGTTCAATTAGCATCCCGACCTCTGATGTCAGCTACGCAGTTGCCAAAGCCAGTCTCAAACTTGAGTGCCTCTCAGCATCATTTATTGTGGGTACCAGCTATTTCTTCAATGCCTGTGACCCTCATTGGAAGTGGCCCAACATGACTTCACTTACGCTGACTTCTCATCTGCTCACACCTGATGAGAGCCTAATTGAGATTGATAACATGCTCCAGAAAGCGGCAGCAGTGGCCATGAAAATGCCAAATCTTACATCAATGGAGATATGGAATGGACGAGAGGGATTGGCAATGCTCTTCAGATACCAGCCAATTGGGGAAGGGCAGCCTGCTGTGTTAACCTGGAGAGGAACATGGCAATTCACCCTGCGAGCTCCTATTGTTCAGGCTTGGGAAGCTGTGGCGCTGAAGCATTGTATTCACAAATCTATTATTGTCGAGGAGGTGCTGGACGCTGGTGTTGTTGTCAAGTCTCATGGTGATGCAATCCACCATTTGAAGTTTTTAAATCTTGTGATTCGCCCCGTTTCGTTGCACCAGATTCGGATGGAGCACAGAATTCGCGAGGGAGTACATGACTAATGGCACATTTTCTGTTATCAAGTAACAAATTTTAGGAATCGATCGCTCGCCTCTCGCTTCCCGAGCTGGAAGGGGTTCCGTACATAGCTCTTGTATATAGTTGATTGCTAAAGAGGAACCCCCCCCCAACATGGGCAATAACACTAATGAATTATCTGTGTATCGGTCCATGTCCGGTACCTTCTTTTCCAGTCTACCAATTATCTCCCATCTGCGCCGACAGGGTTGCTATGTTCCGTACCGCTAACGACTGACCATCGTTCTACCCACAGCCCATCATGCTCCCATAACGCATGACCGATGGGACTAGACGTACGCAAGGGGAAACCGAGGGGAATGAAGTGATAGATGAAATGATGATCATGGGCGCTCATGGCGATAAATAAAGGAGAGAGAATGATGATAGAAAGTGGGAATGGATGACGATGAAGAGAGGAGATGAAGTGTTCGGAGATGGCTTAAGAGTCAAGCCCGAGATAGATGCCGAAGTCCGATGGACCTGAATCCTCAAAGTCCGCTTGGGAGGAAACTTGGAAGTCGAATGGGAGGTTTGACAAATTAGGGCGACGGGAATACGACTCGAGGTTAGCCATTTGGGTAACTCACTTCAGCGTGGGTCCACTGCCTACTAACCCCGTCGCTTATCCCCGAACTATGGAAAGAAAGAGTATATCAATCGACACATTTTGGACTTTCTGATCTTGTATCCAACCAGTTCTATCATCTAGATCAACGAAGATTACTCAAGCTTCCAAATCAGATCTACTTCTTGCGATCGGTCTTAAGAAATACGTAATGTCCGCCCCTCTTGAGAGAGTTGCTATCGTCGGTGTAAGTGCGCTGCTTGATCTCTCTTTCACACTATTTCTGACATATTTTAGGCCACCGGTCGCATCGGAGGTGCCTTTGCTGAAGCACTGGTTAAGACGGGGAAGCACACGGTCACAGCCTTAACCCGCCCTGGTGGCAAAGGCAAGATCCCAGACGGTGTCGACTCCGTTGAGGTGAACTACGACGACCAAGCATCAATCATCGAACCTCTCAAAGGCCAGCAGTTCCTCATCATCACCCTCGCCGTGAGCGCTCCTGATGATCTTCATGCCCGAATTGCTGCCGCTGCAGGCAAGGCTGGAGTCCCCTACATCATGCCCAATGTCTTTGGGTATCCCATCGACCCCAAAGAAGTGAAAGATGAAGACCGGTACAGTCAGTTGATCTTGAGCCGAATTGGCGATGTCGAGAAGACCAACTTCTCCTCCACAATCAAGATGTCTTGTGGGTTTTGGTACGAATGGAGCTTGGCGCTGGGCAACCAGTGGTTCGGCTTTAGCATCAAGGACCGTAAGATCACCTTCTTTGACGATGGCAAGCGAACTATTACAGTCAGCACGTGGGACCAATGTGGTCGGGCGTTGGCAGCGCTGTTGAGCCTCCCCGAATCTGATGGGCCCACCTCTGTTGCTAGCTTCAAAAACAAGGATGTTCTCATCAAAAGCTTCCGTGTTTCCCAGCGCGACATGCTCGATAGCCTCCATCGAGTACTGGGTACGACAGATGCGGATTGGAAAATTGAATATGAGCCTACTGCAAAGCGCATGCAGGATGGGGCCGAGGAAATGAAGAATGGCGTTTTTACTGGTTTCCCTAAGATGCTTTATGGTGGCGTATTCTTGACTAGCAGCCAGTTCAGTGATTACGCAGCTACCATGCCTTTGGCGAATGAAGTGCTAGGCTTACCCACGGAGGATTTGGATGAGGCGACGAAGAGGACGGTCGATATGGTCGAGAGTGGCTGGAGACCCTTTCCTCAACTTTAATAGAGGCGGTGCAAGAATTTGAGAAGTGATTCGGATTTGTTGTGGTCAAGCTCTGTATATTATCTATTGCCATGGGATTTTCGCAGGCAGAATGCTATAACAATGGAGAATCTGACAGAGTACTGAGACATTAGTCGTTCGCAGCAATTGTAATTGATCATTGATGAGGACTAACTCAATGAACACCTTAGATTTCAACCAGAGAATGGAAGCATCCGGTGTTCTTAGTGTGAGCATGGGATCGGGGCTCTCTCTTAGTCCGTCGCTTGGTGGGGGTTTCAGTCCGTGGTGGGATTGACGAAAGGCTGGTGGCATATTTAGCGACGGCGAAAGCAGTGGCCTTTGAATTGATCAAGAATGCCTCATGGTTAAGATTGGTGGTGTTGTCCCCGGCAGCATGATAATTCACATCGTAGGAGACATTTGCTTGACCTCCGAAAAGCTTTGCCTCCTCGACGGTCTTGATACCCTCCGCGCCTGTGAAAATACCACCGGCAGGAATACCACGAGAGATGAAACCATCGTAGTCGGAGCGGCCATCAAACGCGGTTGGAATATATGCCAGCTTCTTTGATTTGAAATAGTTCTGGAACAGGGCCTCGATCTCGGCAGAGCCTGCTGGCCCGGTCTGGTTGAAGGCGTCTCCGTCGCCATCATAAATCATGAGCGCATAGTTGGGTGAAGCAATCATGTCGAAGTTGAGGTAGAGCCTTATTTTCGCTAGTTCCGCAGAGCTCAGGTGTGAAGTATAGTATTCGCTCCCTAACAAGCCGAACTCTTCACCAGTCCAGAAGCAGAACCTCACGGCATTCTTCACAGAGAATTTGGTCAACGCCTTTGCAACCACGAGGTTACTGATGATCCCAGAGCCATCATCGTTGATTCCCGGGCCGGCTTCGACTGAGTCGGTGTGACCTCCCAATGAAACAACGTTATTATGATCACCACCTTTTGTCTCTGCAATCACGTTGAAGGTCGTGCGGTTCTCGACTTTACTATCAATCTCAAGAGATAGAGTCACAACACCGCTGGCTGCCGCACTGAGCAGAGTCTCGCCGTTGGCCTGGGAGATGCCTCCAATTGCAGCATACGCATCGGATACTCCACCCAAAGTTCCACTCAGAGAGCCTGCAGCGTTATTGTAAATAATCACTGCAGCTGCATTCGCCGTACCAGCCAGCGTCGCCTTCTCTGCGAAAGTGCATTCTCCACGCTGGACCAGGGCGATCTTACCAGCCACCTCGGTTGGGTAGTCCGATGCAGTACACCCGACGTTTGAAACCACAGCCACCTCTGCAGTAATATCAACGCTGGGGCTGTATGTCATCGAGGTAATCTCAATGGAGTCGCCGTTGAAAGAAAGAGAGGCTTCTGCGCTGGTCCATGTGTGGATCTGTGGTTGCTTGTATACATCATAATACCCGGTCTTCTTCAACTCGCGGTAGAGGAAGTCAACAGTATCATTGTGTGCCTTGCCACCAAAGACCCGGTTTCGCTCAGGATGCGCGTAAGCAAAGTCCTCGAGCTTTTGCGTGCCCTTCAGAAGGTCTTTCAGCCGGATCTCAGAGGAGAGTTTATCCTGTTAAGTCAGACTATCTGGCGGCGACGATGGAGACAAGCCATGTGTGCATACCGGTGAAACAAGGTGCTTTGGCCGGTTAGCCAAGACCACAGAGATGTAGTTCAGCAAAAGAAACAACTTCATCGTTAATCACTGCAGGATCTGTTATCCCTTCATAGCCAGCGGCAAGAAGGGGATTCTTATACCCATGCCGCGGGCTATCGGTGTCTACCTGCATCACGCGATAACAAAAGCAATGGTGTGTGATTGGCACGGTCCTGATGGAAAACCAAGAGGCTGCCTGTTCTTGGCAGAAGAGGAGGCAATTTCATAGGGCCGGCTGGTGTCCGCAGCCAAAAGCTCAGGCGGGACTCCGACGGTACTTTGGAATGTGAGGGCTGAGGTTACAGTGCCAAGTACGGTCTTCCGCTGCTTGGCGTTAGAAGAAGGGCAATTAAGGTGGCAAGATAGTCGGGACAAGTAATACTGGTGCGGGGTTGAGTTCAGTGCCCTGACTCTAAATTGTTCTCGAGCAGCATACATCAGCAGTTCCCATAACTGAACAGGTAGCGCCATCTGAACCAACCTCCAAGATAGACTGCATCAACACAGAATCTAGGCCCGAGGCAGGTTGTGGATATCGGCTACTTTAAAAACGGCTTATCATCCAAATGGATAAGCTTAAGTGTAGATTGAGCTTGGTTGGTGCCATGGGTGATTTCGCCATTAGTAGATTAGCTCGAGGGGGAATGTTGGGACGTGCACTCGTGGCAGGTAATAAACAAACACAATCCGGTATTGCAACAGACAAACGCCAAGACATCGGGGTTTGCCTAGGACTATGCTCTGAGCAGATTAGTGACTCTTGTACTGAGCAATCATGAATAATACTCTAAAAAAGGATCATATCCTAAAGGCGAAGTATTAGAATGTCTGAGTTATCATAAAATATTCATGATTTTCTGTTTCTTTTTTATGCTGAACGATGCTCATCTTAGTAGTTCTTTTTGATGGTGGGTGTTCAGACATATATTGTGAGCCATGAAACAGAAATACTCAGAGCACAAGAAGAATAGCAATATCTAAGGAAAGTATTTTATAATATACGATACCTCATTTCCAGGCTTTTTGATCAATGAAACAGGAAATATATAGAGCCTCAACGACGATGTAGACTCTAAAGAATTGGACGTCAGCAGGATGTTACATTAAGTTGCAATTGGAGCGTTCTTCCAATTGAAAGGAAGGATTGAGGCTCACATTGTCTTCATTCGGAATGGTTTTTGGCAAAGTAAAATTAGTCGCTTATATTAACGAAGTCCTTTGCACATATTCAGTGTCAGCTGCAAAAGAGTAGCAAGTTATCCGGGAATATACTGTTTGTCGCAAATCGATGTCTTGTAATTGACAGTTGCTGGTCACTGCGGAGGCGCGGTCAAAGCGCCGCTAGCCAGCAACACCACGAGCTCGCTTCATATTTGTGTTCTTATGAACATTCTGAGCATTCCACAGGCTTTGAATTCTCCCGTAGCTTTGTTTAGACCACTGAGGAAGGATAACTTCAATAATGGTTTTGAGTTATTCCGATGATTCTGACTAAAGACAAAGTAATTACAATACATGTTACTGACAAGCAAAGCGTTTCATTCACCTTCTCCTTTCAAATCTTCTTCCTCTTTTCCTCATTTCCCTCGTCTTCTTCGCTGTCTTCTTCTCCGTCTTCTTCTTCTCCTTCCTCATCTTGTCCTCCGTCACTTTTTTGTGTTTCCTCCGGGAGAATATCTTCCTCCGCCGTCGCCCTCATCCTCTCATTGCGTCTGCGATTGGCCCAACTATACATGCTCCAATTCTGCAAAAAGACCGATGCCCCTCTACTCTCGATACATATCACCGGCTGACCATGCCTTAGACTGAACCAGACCCGATCGTTCATATCCAGAGCTGCTGCCGTCCCAAGTAGACATATCCAAGTGTGTGCTTCGGGGGCCGTTCTCACCCAGGTATCCATGCTCCCCCGTGATAACGCATATTTCAGCTTCCGAACGAGGTGTTGAAGAACAGTCATACTAAATGAGGCAACATACTCGTCGTCAAGAAAGAAATACCAGAATATTAAGGCCGCAGTCTGACAAGCCTTCGTTATTGCGTCGGCGTCTGACTTGATGGACCCATCATCAGTATTTTCCTGAGTTTGTTGGTAATCTATGGACAAAGAAAAATCTTCCATTTTCGCTGTCCATTTGGCTCGAATGTCCACGGCACCAGGACCGTCCGGCAAAACATGAGTGATGAAGTCAATATGTTCAAAGATCTCGATTACTTCGTGAGAGAGGTTGTAGTAACCTCCCTCTCTATTTGCTGCTCGACGGAGGACGGCAGATGTGAAATATGTTGGAGGCATGAGAGGGGTGGGAGGGATATTCAAGAAAGGTATCTCGAGCGCCGAGTCCATGATGATGGCCTCGGTGAGAACGCATCTATGACCAAGAAAGAAGATGAGATACTATTCTTCGCTAACGATTGATCTGATCGAGACTATACGCACACTGTGATAAGTCCTGAGAGAAACGCGCCCAGGGCAAGATGCTCGAGACCCCCTTGTACTTTGATCATTTGCATCAATGCCATCTTATGCATTTTGGATAACCCTTTGTCGCCAAGAAGGGCCTAATTTAATCAGAAAGTGCTCAAATACTAGGAACTACAGCAACTTACTTACCGAGAAGAAAACTAATGGTGCAATACAAGCCATGAGAGACTCGCTGAACATCGCTTCCGAGTCATTTATTCTCTCCTGAAGTAATTGAAGTGCGATTGTGTGGTGGTATAGTGTCATGTTCTTATTTTTGACTCCTCGGAATGCGTCTAAGTGGGCTGATGCAGCATAAAGGGTGGTGTGGAGCGCACAAGGGTCGGACAGGGCTTGTTGAATCCACGACGCTCTTAGAAGCCATGCAAGACTACTACCATCAACAGGGAGCGGTTCCATTCCAAAAGTTTCAATAACTACCGAACCCACCTTCAGTATACACCCCAAAGCGGAATTTCGGAGGGTGTACGTACAAGAGTGAATAAGCATAGGCATATGAGGCCGTGACTCAACTGGCAACGGCACTGTGACATCTACCCGGCTGATCTTAAGCGAACGAAGGAATGAAGCACCGGGGCTATTCAGCACAAGAGCCTGCTTAGGATAGACACAGTCTGTGTTTTGTCTACCAGATTCTGTCAGTCGTTTGGGTACGTTGGGAGCTTCCCACCGGGCAGTGATACCTTGAGCATCGGTTGCAAGTCGGCAATATTTTGTCACACTTTCTCTTTTTTGCGCGGCACTGAAGACATGCCCCGACAACCTTCACTGCATCCGAGGTTAATGTGAGAATTGCTGTCTGACTGATACTGTACTGCGGGTACATAGATCCATCTAGGCCTCGGTCTGTTATAAAACGTCGCCTGGGAGAGCGGCTAACGCTCTGCTGTGCCGGCATGGTGGAGGATGGTGCATACCAACATTGTCGCTTTTGCCTATCAAGGTCAGCCTGGACATAGAGCCAGCCAACACGATCAGGGCACTCACTTGACACAGGCTGAGCATAAAGGAAGAAGACGATCACATTTTCTCTTTTTCTGGGCGCACGATAAGCAAGCATGACCAGCCCGAAGGGTCATCTCGAGCACAGCAAACGCGGGTTGGATTTGGAGATAGCAGATCTTCGAAATGCCGATGTATACACATGCATGTTACGGGTAGAGCGTTTGAATGTTCAGCAGAATATACCAGCAGGGCATACCCAGAACCGAGATTACTCGATAAACACCCTTTCCATCATCCCTTCAGATGCAGATTTTGACCCTTTTCCCCCCTGACCGATTAAACTTCTGTCGATTGCCGTGTCCAGTTCGGTTAACAGATACCCCCGCCGCTAACCTGATCTGGCTATTGTAAGTCCGCCAAAAGGATCACATTCAAACCGAGCTAATCTTATGAGCCAGTTTGTTGCATTACACTTACAATGTAATGCACTTGATATACTTCTAAAATCCTTCTTAAGTCCAGGGCTCTTTGATAATTTTGTGACGTGAGAAGGGACAACGTCCAAGATTAGGGCTGACAGTTTCCCCAGCCGAAGGAGGTTAACGACCTCTTACCGGTGCATAGATCTCAGTCAGAATTTGTTGAATTCGGCCGCTGATCATAGAATAATGCCAACCCTGAAGTAAATTTGGCACAAGGACAGAATAATTTGGATTGCGGTAGGTTCGTTTCAACCGCCAGGCTTCTAAAACTGCAATTCAAATAATCAGAATCTACGACTCCATGATCTCTCCTGCATATTTCTGAGACTAAATACTTCATATAAATAATTTTCATCGAGATGCTCGTACCTAACAACGGGTCATTGGACAACAGGAGCTTGCTCACAACATGGTCACCAAGGTCAGATTTTAGAGAGCATAGCACATTTGATCCAGGAAAAAAACGTAGATCTTATCACACGGGCCAGGGTTTTTTTAAAAAGACACATTGAAAGAGGAATCCAAGCACTAAAAGTTTACGTGCAAAATGACGCGTCCTCATCCTCGACGAGTCTCACATTCTCACTACCTCGGATAGTAACCTCAAGTTCCCCAAGAAATGATCTCGCCAATCATGAAGGCATCACACTCTATCCCGAGGACTCGTATATTAATTGTACGTTTGGTATCTATCGGTGTAATAAATCTTTGAGTGAAGTCATGTCTCGTTCATTTTTCATGCCTCGTACTAGATATGTGTCCGTTTGACTATGTCTGCAATCGGACACAGCCGATGATGTAAACGCGAACACACCCTCACTTTGAAATTGCCTTTGAAGAGCTCAAGACTGGCGGTTTATATATTGAATTGATATTTGAGCCGCTCGTATGCCATGAAACTAGTGGCAACCATTGGAACTACTTTGATATATCCAATGCTCAATCCAACCCAGAACCCCCGAAACCCCCTTTCTGACCAGATCTTTTGGCAAGTTCTTGCAATCCCTGTACCTCCCTCGCCCTGCATTGCCCCGCTAGCTTGTATGCGGCGCCGAATAACCTCAAGGGGGTATGAAGTAGTCTGAGCAATCGTGCCAGCGAGCGCCCCAGCCGTTAATTGTGCCCCAATTTTAAGTGGAGGACGTTGTGATACCCCGTCTTCGGTAATCTGTGCGACTGTGGTGTGCTTGGCAAGCTCAGGGCGCCGTAGCCAATCACTCACAGTGTCATGGGTGAAAAAGGACATCCCAGCGTAAGGAAGCATTCCGAGCATGGTCGGACTAAAGCCACGGTAAAAGTTGCAGAGCTTGGATAAAGGGAGCACTTTCTCAATGGCATTAGAAAGCGTAGTGTTGATTCCTCTTACTGCAATACCATGGGATTGCAGAGCACCATTTTGTTCGTGGTATATCTGACGGCAAATGCTCTTCAAGGATGATCGATGTGATCGACTCTCAATGGCTAACCGTACTCGCACAAGATCAAGCGGGTAAGTGAAGAAAACGGACGTAGCACCGGAAAAACTGCCGGATAAAAATCGACGGAGCGGTGTCTCTTTTTCAGGCGATGAGATAAAGAGAGCTCGCATCTGTTCATACATCAGAAAATTGATGGCCGCGTAAGGGAACTTCTGGAGGAGGGTCGCGGAATGCCCCTTGAACAAGCCTCTGAATCCCTCATGACTGTTGATTGATGAAAGAGCAGACACAAAGCCTTTCCAGCTGCCAATGTATCTCTCGTACGCGGGAGTTGATGTCTGGAACAGAATCTTGACGCGATCAAGTGGTGCAACTATCGTTTTTGCCTATCAAAACTGTCAATATTTGTTTTAGGCAATCCGGGTTACATTTGACCCACTGCACATCCCGCCAGTCCTCCAGCTAATCCGCTCTTTAGCACATATTCGAGGCTTCGCTTGTTTTTGGCTTTGCCCTGTATTCCTTGCTCGGCCTTTAAAGTCATAGCCAGCACCCCTCGCCCTACCACGCAGTCAGGGTCACGCGAGGTCGTGATAGATGAAGCAGGGATATCGGGAGAATTCGCGTAGTCAACAAAATCTACGGAGTACACCGCCTTGGCGTAGAAGTCAGATTACCTTTAGTTTGGGGCCAAAGCTTGCCAAGGAATGTGTTATGATTTATCTCCGGTGCGCAATGGCTTATCTCCGGGTCTGCCTCGGTCAACGGCGTTTGTTTCGCGCTCAATCGAAGAGATTTAAATTGTTCCCAGAGAAAAAGAATGAACATTCCTTTTCTTTCGAATATACTTTCAATTATCTTTAGAAGTCCGTGATAGGCTTTTTATTCGCTTGGAATTTGATTTGAACTATGAACGGGAAAGATCCCACTCATTAAAGGTGCTTTTTCAACGCACTTCTTAATCGAGGAGAAGACCTTCAAACATTCAATTGCATAATAAGAAATGCGCTATTTGGTCTAGGTGTTGGGTCTTTGCGATTTATGTGGAGCGATGTTCACCGACGGGAGTAAATATTTTCTAGAACTGGATCTAGCCACTTAATCATATTCCAACCAATAAAACGTGAGTCACCACCCGTCCACGATCAAGTGCTCCATCGCAGAATATCTCATCGAAAAATTTGACGCGGAAAGCACCTGAAATACACGACCCTGTCCGAGCACTACCATCTCAAGCAGTGGCTGGTTTTCAAAGTTTCTGGCCAGGCACCTTACTACCGCCAGGCGTCCTGGTTTATCAAGATGCAAACCGAAAGGATCCAGGGTGCCATTGACCGGTACCATAATGAAATCTATCGTGTGTGCATTGTTCTAGAGTCTGCGCTCAAGTATCGCGACTGGCTTGTCGGCGATATGTGCACCTACGCTGATCTTTACTTTATCACCTGGCAGCGTTTGGTCCCTACAGATATTGGCAGGGATATCTCTGCAAAGTCCCCTCTTGTGGATGCGTGGATGAAGCGGATGGAAGCTCGGCCCTGTCAAGAGGGTCTATGCAGACCAGGATCGTGCCATTGCTGACAGTGAACAGAGTAAAGATATTGTGCTTACATGTCAATGTTTCCACAAGATCAGTGTAATTAGACCGCAAGAGCATACAGCTGAACATAAACCGCCAATGAAATGTTGGTGATCCAGTGGCCACGCAGTGATTATGCCTAAGGAAATCGACCTTAAAATACTTCTCGCATTGGGCCTGCGGCTTACTCGCTTGGCGTATGCAGCCTCACTGTCAAGGAGAACGGCTTTCCATATCCCGAATGTGGTAAGATCTTGATTTGAGTCTGGAACCAGTTGACTTCATGACGTTCAAATCCTGTATATGCATGCTATTCCGTAAAGGACCGAGTCGCGTGCCCCGGTTTGTTAAAACGGTCAGCAGGATCTGTATCTTGGAATGTCGAAGGATCGAACTCAACATCAGAAAAGGGAATGAATATCAGACTCAAGTATCTGGTTGGCAAGAAAAAGAACTGCTCGTTGATGTGGACTAATTGAAAAACTCTTTACTGGATAACAAAATGTAACTAAGGATAGCTACGCCCAGTGGGACGCCTGACAATATAGGTACTGTACCACTGTCCTAGCAAGAAGTAGTGGAGATTGGACTGCTCTACCAAGCAAATCTAACAGAACATAGCATTGTAATGTTTAGTAGCTACGAGGAAATTTTTTTCAAGTATTGAGAAAAGCGTGTCCCGTTCGCTCCGCTTCGCAGTTACTTGGACTTTTGGCCAATAGGCTTGCCTCAATATCTCTGACACAACAGAGCGATTGAAGTCATTTTTAAACTTGAAACCGAGGACGGTGGCCGCTTAGAATAACGATATTGCCGTCGTTATCGATTAGGTGACTTCGTTCATAGTGTCGGGTTTTGTTTACGCCGTGTTCATCCTGGTTGCCCAAGTCAACGAAACTGCCAGATTGCATAATGATCAGTATTTTACTCGGATTAGGTATAGAACAGATGATAATATGGCCAGAAAAGAAGTAAATGCTCGTATTTGCGCAGCTTGATGAGAGCGACTGAGAATTATGCATCAGGCCCACTGCGGGTCGGGACGGGACGAAGGTCAGTACTATGGCGGGGAGAGGTCTGTTTGCCACTCAGGTTTTCTGAAGTTCATGCAGAGATCATCCTTCAGGAAACCTGATATTGATCACCGTGCGAGATGTTGTCGTTTACGTAAATGGACCCCTAGCTGGACCCCTAATCGGCCCATGAGTTGCTTAAGCGTCAGAGGGAAGGCGTTGTACTTTTGTAGCTTGTCCAAACACAGACCTGAAAAAAAAAAATATCTTCTAACCTATGAGCTGGTTCTTCAACTTGGGGGCTATGCAGCATCAGCGGATTAGGCGATGCAATGTAACCTCAATCTAGGTGCAGGTCAATGTGAGCCAGTCAGTCAATAGCTTCAATGTATGAATTCACTTCCTAGGCGTCCAACTCTGAGAGACTCCATTCTACATACCATGCTACAAAGATACTCAAGGTAATTGCTGTAGTCTTGAAAAGGGGTATAAATACATCAAGACCTACCCTCCAGAAAGTCGTATTCTCAAACATCAAGCTTTGCTGAACAATCAAATCTTCGAAAAGAACGCCTTTAGCAACATGAAGTTCACCGCACTCCTCTTCACTCTCATGGCTGCTGCCACCGTCAGTGCTTCACCGGCCGACGACCCACAAATTCTGGACGTTTGTGGCTCCGGCTACGGTGGTGACCAAAGACGTACAAACAGTGGTTGCCAATCTTCAAACGGAGACCGACACTTTTGTGGTTGTGACAGGACCGGCGTGGTACGCTCGGCATATCTATATTAAAACGTAAGATCATGTTTGCTAACATGCTTTTTCTACGAAAAGGTCGAGTGCAAGGGTGGAAAGTGGACGGAGATCCAAGACTGCCACAAGAGCTCCTGCCACGGTAGCAACCAAGGTGGAGCCGTCTGCTAAATGGAGAGAAACAAGTTTATTGAATGTTGTTTTGGGGTGGGGATTTTGCCAGTCTCTTGCCGGAATGCTCGAGGGCAGATGAGGGATTCAACATCTACCAATCTGCTCTCCTGTCTCTGGAAATATGTTTAGTGCCTGAGCTTGATCAAATTCTTACTTGTCGCTCGTTACTCATGATTTTGTTTACCTGGAAACAATGATGGAAGTCGTCAAATACTGCGAAATGCTCTCATAGTATTCCTATTCCCTGATACATGATTAGTGGATTCAAGCCATCTATCTGTATTTTGCTTCTTTCTCGGGCTCGAGGAATTAGTAAAACATTTTTCATGAAATTTAATGTTTCTGTTGATGCATGCTTGACAGGAAGCTGAGATAACGTAAGAATCGCATGGTTTTCATTATGCTTCGTGGCCGCTATTTAAACGTCTAATTACATAAGCCACTTGTCTAGTCCTGGCAATTGGATGCCTCAGGAATGAGGCAGCAAGCTGACTGATAACCTTGGCAAGGGCTCGGGACCTCAACGCGTGTCGTATTTGATCACGTGAAGGCCAAATGGCAGGAGTAAAATGAAAACAAAAACTCAACTCCAGAAATCACGACATAAGCGGAAGTCAAAGTTCTTTGACAATTATGGTGGAACTCCATTTTACTGTGGTAAAACCAAGCCTTCATCAGTAATTGCTTTTACTGACCATCTGCTTCCACCACGGGACGGGGGAAATACCATCTGGAGGTTTGTGCATGGAAAATGGCACCTGAATAATGTTTCAACTTCAAAGCTGACTCACTCAAGGCTTTCACGAATGGCATACGCAAGCTTGTCAGAAGAAGAAGACAATGCCTTCAGTCTTAATATACGTAGGCAGTGCATATATGTAATCACAACGAGCTAAACACGTACATCAGGGCTCTCATTAGTGGGGTATTGTATGTGTAGCTATACATATGTTAACCCCAGATCTAGGTGGAGAAAGGTTGTTATCACGCACCTTGTCAGCCGTGAAGCTAAAGGTGGGGGTCATTGATGTTTAATTCACAGCCAAACCCAATCCCCCAAGATTTTTCTCACCTTTGGCCTAGATTCGTTCTTGAATTTCTCAGCATTGCTTGTCGAGGCTTTTCTTGTAAGAGTGGGACACACACTCCCGTCTCTATCGTATCTGTTACGCGCCGTCACACCGGCTAAATTTGAGCACCAAGAGGACTTCCCTTGTCTTTACCTAACTCGCGTGTGATGAGAAGAGGACGAGCTGCGCATTTATCGAATAAACAGTCCAAAACGAGCAAAGCACGTTCCTGTGAGGCTTGTCGGCGGTTGAAAACGCGATGTGAGACGAACGGATCTGATCGATGCCATCGTTGTGATGTGCTCCGGTAAGAAGGATGCCCAGAAACTGCTTCATCTGGTCAAGGCTCTGAAAACTTGCTTTTTGCTTTTTCAGGATCGAATGCTCTCTCCAAGCCATGGCCAGCAAACATCACTCCTCGAGTCTAAGAGAACCTGCATCTACATTGAGCTCCAATGATTATAATACCCGGTGAGCTCATTGATGACTTGACAACATGATTATTTAAACGTTAGCTCATGATAAAGGCTTCGCGCTGTCGAAAACACTCTAATGCAGCTACAAGCGTCAATATCTGCTAGCAGCCCAGCAATCTCCCACGAGAAAGCCGAGGTAAGTCCCACGGAATGGTAAGACGAATAAGACAGCTAATCGTCAACTTGAGAACCATTTATCAAGTGTGGAGCGAACAGCTCGTGATGCGCCCATGAGTCTAATTCAGGAAATCAGAGACAACATCACCTACGAAAACCAATCCAACACCGAAGACTGTACGGAAGATATGAGATTCCAGGGCATTGTCTCCGAAGATCGGACACAGGCACTTCTGGAAGAGTAATTGTCGTTCTATGGGTTTCGTCAACGTGTTTTCTGACATTACATGTTTAGGTTTTTCAAGTTGTCGAGTCGATGGCTATTCATGAGTACCGATCCTGTCCAACTACGCACCAAGTCGCCACTCCTTTACGGAACTTGTCTTCTAGGTGGTCTTCGTGCGATTCCAGCTTTACATGGATCCGAAATACATCAAGCATTGTATCGCCATGTTCACGGACTCTTGGGCCAAACTCATCTATCTTCCGCTAGCTCGCTGGATACGATCCAGTCAATGTTCATTCTTTCTATGTGGGACCTGCGACCCACTCTGGGTCATGAGCATGGGAATTCATGGCTGTTAAGCGGAACAGCCGGAATGCGAGTGATGATGACGACTTCTTTCGAGCAACTGTTGAAGCCAAATAGCAGCGAACAAGAAGCTCGAGCACAGGAACTGATGCGTACCTGGAACTTGATTTGTCTCTGCCAGCTACAGTAAGTTAATTACCTTTTTGACCCGTTTAAATTCTTGTCTTGGTTGTTCTCTTATTCGTCGCTGTTTTCAAAAAATGCAATCCCTAACTGGCACGCAGGTTCTCTGTCGGTTCTGGTCGTCCGCCAGTTATCTCCGGTCAGTACTTTGACGAATGCGTTAAAGTTCTTGGATTCTCGTCATATAGTGCGCGCGATGAGCTTGTACTAGCTGGTGTCAGATTGTATCAAGTCCTTTGGGGATTGATGAGTTCAGATGGCATTCAAAAGACAAGCCCTATTTGGCCAGAGATTGATAGTTTGCAAAAATCCCAAGAGAATATCTACAGTGCGTGTGTCATCTTGAACTTCAATCTGACCTTTGCTCATATTGAATCCAGAGCTTGACTCCTCTGAACCCCTTCGCTTTGCATATTCTTGTGCCTATTTGATGCTGGCGCGTCGGACGCTCCAACACATAAATCACACCGAATCCAGCCAATGGGATAACCCCGGAGTATCATTTCAGACATCTGCAGTCCAGTTTATTGAGTGTTCAATTCATCACTCTATTCAAATACTGAACCTCTTCCTATCCATGTCGGAATTGACCGCTTACATCCACCCTGCCTATGAGAATCTTCTATGCTCCTTCGCAATGGTAACATTAGCCGAGTTCGTCACTCATCTAGCTGATGTTGGTCAAACAATGCTTCTGATGGAACAAGCCTTTTCACATATCCAATGTGTGAGCAAGACAGAGCCAGTGAGTCGATGGTGTCTCAATATCATAAAGCGACATTTCGTGGAGCATCATGGCCCAGTCCATTCTGGACTGGTTGGAGCAAATGGATCGGAAACATTGATATCGCAATCGGTTCAAGATTTCTCGGAGCCTTGGGATGATAATGAGTGGAGTATCCAACAAGAGTTTCCGTCGCTTGAAGACATGCTCTTTGGGAACGTTATTTGATAGAAAGCCTATTGACAACCTTTGTCATATACACCACTGCTTGCCAACTTCAACTGTGCAAATAAAAGCAAAAAGCGCCCTTAAGCGTGATTCCTCAGTCTGATACCCGCATAGCACTCTTTGGGTTTCTTAGAAAACCCCTCGTGAGACTCCATCGTCGGTTGGTACAAAGCAAACTCATATCGATGAAACAGAGTCCCAATAATCAGTTGCAGCTCCATGATAGCAACATTCTGCCCAACACATGCTCGAGGACCATATGAAAATGGATTGAACGCGATCTTCTGTTGGGGAGTAAGATTCAACCAGCGATCAGGTTTGAATTCGTCAACATCATCGCCCCAGACTTCCTTCATATGATGAATTGTATATGATGGCACTGAAAGAATCGTTCCAGGTGGTAAGTGAAAGCCTTCAAATTCAACACCTGCACATGAATCAGCTATCAGACGCGGTAGACCGATAGCCGAGGTCGAATGCAGGCGCATTCCTTCGTCAATGCATCTGCGCAAGAAGGGAAGGTCTTTGACTTGTGAGTAATTCACAATATCTGCGTCAGAACCAATTGCTTGATTGAGCTCTGTTTGTAACCGAGGGATTATTGTGTTTGGTGCGTTGCGTTCCCCGTCAAGTATCCAGTAGAAAATACCACAGGATGTGTTAGAGACCGTATCAGAGCCAGCGATCAGTTGCGTCAGTGCCTCTGCAATGAGCTCATCCCGACCCATAGGTTGTCCATTTGCATCTTTAGCTTGCAGCAAACGCGACAGGATATCATTGCGAGAGTCTGCGATCCCTTTCTCTGCAGCATCCAACCGAGATGCAACAGCAGCGATAGCAATTCCAGTGAGATTCTCCACTGCCGCGACTCCCTTTGTAAAGAATGGATCGGGGAGATATCTCGCCCATGGCCGCAATGCCGGAAGAAGACCTAAAGTTGAAGAGATCTCACCACGTCGATTGATAGCCTCAACCGCCGACGCGTAGGAAACAGGCCCTCCTTCCACAAGTTGTGTCTGAGTCTCGTCTTTTCCCCGGTTGACCATGCCAAACGGAGATCCAAATGCCAAGTCTCCGATAATGTCAAATGCAAGATAGCTAAACCAAGGCATCGCATTGAATCGGCCGAATTCCTCCTCATTGATTTGGGGTCGAGATGCGGCGATCCGGTCCAATTGTACAATCCAACGCCGCAAATTATCAGCCATGTGCGGTTCAAAATCCGCAACTGATCTTGGTGAAAAGGCATGGGAGATGATCTTTCGCTTGCGTGTATGCTCTGCTCGATCGCGTACGTTGAACATGCCTGGTGTTCGTGCGACAAATGCTTCGTAGTAATAACTGAGGTTGTTGTGTTAATGACCGTCGCTCAACATATCAGGCTCATCTCACATACTCTTTCAAAAACCCATTTCCGTGTCCGTAAACAATATTGAGTGCAGATTCATCTGCAATGGACACATGGTTGAACCCTATACGCACAACCTTGCCGTATTTTCGGTGTGCCGAGTCTACCGCGGCGTATTTCTGGCCACGTCGGGCACTTGATCCGACCCAAATATTGCTGAATTTGGCAATAAAGGGCCCCGGGACAAGGTGTAATGAGCGATACGTCACGTAGTAGGGATAAATGTAATAAGTGGATAGCCACAGCGGAATGATCCCAACAATGGTCCATGGCGAAAGTAAAAGATGAAACAAGGCCATCTGGAAGAGACGTAATGAACTAGGAACTGATTCAACAGGAACACGAAAAGGAATCACCATTCCTGATCTCATTCTGTATGTTTAAATGTATTCCAGAACACTGGGCACAGTTCCTATCACTCCGACGGAGGACATGCAACACCGTCGGAGACGAGATAAATGGCCATAATTGGGGTTGGTTGATGTGCAGTTAACGTAGAACCCCGCAAAATGGAAGATAAAGCAATCAGAAGTTGTAAGGATGGAATAGACCTATCTTTATTGGGCTTAGATGTACCTTATTCGGATTTCTTGACCTTTTGACGGCTCTTCGATCAAATCCGAAAGATTCTCCCCACTGAGGACTCCCCATTGTTGTACCGCGTAGGAGGTTATAGTGCCTTCTTCTAGCTGTGGTCAAATTTGGCTTGGTTCTAGTCTTTATTGCCCGTGGTGTAGTCCTCTGCGACCGGATGTCGCTTTGTGCACACTATGTCTCCAATCGCGTAACATACGGACGTAGGAAGACTCGGTGTTACCTATTCGTGATCAAAGAGTACTCGACCCTTCAATCAGTCTACCGGAATCACATTTCGTCTTCCAAAAAAAAAGAGAGGCTGATTAGGTATACAATAGCAAACCTTGACCTATGCTTTAGATATTTTTTGTAGCGTGACTGTTTTCTGTTATAAATTATATGACATGATGATTTCTAAAATTCACACATTTACCCTAAGAATCCCAAATCTATCACTAGAACACCAAATATCCTCACTTCTCAATCCAACAGCGACAACATGAAGATCCCTCATATCCAACGCGACAATGGGAAATAAACTCTCCAGGAGGCCTTCAATGGCAACATTGAAATACCCTTTGAAGTCCTGCCCGGCAATATCCTCTTCTTCGTCTACAGGTGGCAAAGTCCCAGTAAAAGAAGCAATAGTAACAACAAACGGTATCCTAGACCGTTCGCGACGGGGCGCAGAGGACGGCAAAGGCGACTCTAGAACAGATTTTAAAGCCGGTCGGGTAATAGCCAAGCAGACACTATGATTCAAGCCTCGAGATGGGGACATTTCCCTGTATCGTCTATTTCTCTCGATATCAGTCTTGCATTTCGACAAAGTGACAGTTCCGCAGAAAGGAAAGATCACTATAACAACTTACGTAGCTATTTCTGCCGGAGATGCCCCATCCAAAGCGGGATCCTCAACCCACTGAAACCGAATCAGGTCAATAGCTTTATCAACGCGCGGGTCATTGCCACGAAGTGGGGCAAGGAGATCATCCATAATCTCGTCCCAGCGCAGTCGGCATCGTTGCCATTCGTCCTCATGTTCAGGGCCATAAGCTGTTGTGCGGAAGATGACGAAGCCCCATTCTTTCCAGGGAAGGTTGAATCGGAAGACTTTATCGAGGATATTGATGAAGGGGGCCATGATGTATTGGACGAATCGCTCCTCCTCGGTCATTTCGGTTGATTGTGGATCTGTGGTCATGTTGATTGTGGTTATCGAGAGGAATTGGCAGCAGTGGTGTTATTTGTTGGATTCAATATGACTTTATGTTTTGAGGGTCGTGTTAGACATGAAGTTGGAGTTAGGAGACAGGACGTCTGCGGATAATTTTGTCTAGGCTGACGTTAGGCCTGAGGCCGCTAGAAAATAAAGTTTTGAACTGGATGTATTTACATCAAGACCTCATTTGAATAAATGTTGATTCCCAGATATTCTTCCTGGATCTTGGCTAGTTGGGGATTATATCCCATTGTTCAGTCGTGGTGAATCACATTGGTCACGCTGTAGCACCTCGGGTATTTCAAAGTCTTGATCACCATACCATGTCTATGTAGACTATTGAGTAGAGTGTATTTATCAAGTCCATTGTCCTTGATGCAATACCATCATAAAATCTCAACCATGAGCTCACTTTCTGCCTTGGAGTCTCGGCCGGATGATCGTCCCCAACGTCATTGTAACCCTGATTTGAACACCAATTCACACAATGCCCCAATGAAACCCAATACAAAACCATTGGCCATTCTGCAAGACTATGAGAGGAAGTAATTCAAAATAAATCGGAGTTTGGATATTTGCGTGTACTCCTAGAAAATATGAACAGAAATTCATAAAAGAACCCACAAGACGACCTCGCGCCACTAGATCCGAGGAAGATAACAAATAAAAATCCAACCTATAATATCGCTTTTCGTCACATTCGTTTGCACCTTACTTACACTCATACTCTAGTTAGAGGTAGAAGTGTAAGCAACACCAGCCTCGTTGAGAGCGCTGTTGGAGAGCAGGTAGTTCTCAGCACACATGAAGTAAGAGTAGCGAGTGACACCAGCCTGCGAATCCAACCAAGGGATAACCTCGTTCAGGAAAGCAGTGGTAGTAGCCAGATCAGCAGAACCGTTGGCATCAGCAGCGAGAGCGAATTCAGTGATCCAGACCTCGGAGAGGTTGTGGTTGCTAGCAGTGCTGATAGCCTCGGTGACGAAAGACTTGAACTCATCGGCAGTGTTGCCATACCAGTGGACGGCCATGCCGGTGATGCCACAGCTGGAGCAGGAGTCCATGAAGGAGTTCATCCAGGAGAGACCCTGGCCGTCGCTGGTGGAGGAGCTGGTGGCGGGGGTGATGAGCTTGGCCTGGCCAGAGTACGGGGTGATGTAGGTCTGGTAGTAGCTGGCGGCATCGGAGGGGCTCATGTTGGCCTGGGACGCGATGTCGGGCTCGTTGAAACCGAGGATGTAGTTGCTGCCGCTGGACAGAACGGTCTCGATGGTGGTGACCCAGCCGCTAAAGTCCCTAGCGCCCCAGAGCATGGGGATGAACTCGACATCGCTGGGAAGGGATCCGGAGAGGGATCCGGCCCAGTTGTAGGCCCACGAGATGGTGTTGCTGCTGCTCAGAGCGGAGACGGTGGTGATGTCGTTGTAGGCGGCACCACGCTTGCTGGAGCTGCTGCGCTTAGCCTGCTGCTGCTGCACTGGGGCGGCGATGGCAGAGGTAGCAACGAGGCCGGCGGTGAAGAGCTTGGTGAAGGAGACCATTTTGAAGATTGAAGAAGTCACAAAGAAGTGGACTCTGTGGCTAGATAAGAGAGTGAAAGAGAAGCCTGTTCTCGTAAAGAATGTATAAAGCGTGAGCTTGAAAGAAAGTGAGGACTTCGACCGTGCACGGCACAGGTGATAGACCAAAAAGCAAAGTAGAATGAAGGACTGTGGATGAAGAGAGAGCAGAAGAAGAAGGAAATGAACGAGGCGAGGAGAGGGTTTAAATGCTTTCAGTGGCACAATGCATGTCAAAGCTACCATTCAATGCGTCGGGCTGGAACAATTTGAGCCACACAGTAGATTTCTTCAAGTGGAGTGAATGGGACAATTGCCATTGGACATTCGGGTGTCATGCGTGGTGGCCATATATCATAACCATGTATTCTGTCAGGGCAGCAATGCCTGCAGGCTCTCATTGGCAGTGAGGACCAGGGGGAGGCGAAGGATGGGGGAGCCGGTATGGGACGGTTGGCAGCCACAGGAACCACGGTGATTGGGTTGAACCGAGCGTTCTGCGCATTTCCAATGAGAATGAGTGTGCAGACGCCAGAAAGAGAGAGATTCGCATCTCGTCTTACTCCACAGCCAAGATCGTAGTCCGCTTCTAGTTCACTCCACAAGAGCCTGGACCGCAATGGAGTATCTGTTACATCGATTTTCATTGTCCGATAGTCCAGTCCAATTTTGGGGAGACGCCAGAGTCATTTAGAAACTCCATGGTGTTTGACAAAGCGCCAACGAGTCGATGGGCGTCAAGAAAGGTTATCCATAATTGACTTACCCCTGACAGGAACAAAACGAGAGAATGAATATCACACTTGAAGTGGAGAATATGAACCACGGTTGTGCTTGCGTAGACAGTGGATGTCCATGCAGTTACAACGCAATTCCCTGGTTGCCGGTCAGGGCATCATATCTGATTGGTTGATCCGGGATACATCATAGCTGGATCCCCGAGCAGCCAATCACAATACTTATCTTTTGATCTAACCCTAGGTACAATTAATGAAATAAACATTACACACTACACTAGGTCTCACTAATTTTTGAGGGTTACATTATTGAGCCCTAGAGAGATAATGAAGAACTACGACTCCGGAATGGTCGTGTATATCCGCCAGATCGCATTTCAAATATGACACACCGCACAAGCGCCACAATGGATCACTAACAACCACTCAAAGCGATTCGGGACAACTACCGATCGACGTGTTTCACTAAGGATCAGCCTTCATCTTTTCCCAGTCCCTCCTTGCTGGATCAACCGGGGCCAGTTCCTGGGCGTTTGAAACCAACCTCTCTCAGCCCCTGCCGATCGATGGAACCGCCCCAGCAAGAGGGTAAAAACGGCGTGACAAGCCTTACCGGACTTTCTACCGGTGTTTCTGCTCGGTCTATCACCTTCTAGCCTTCGGTGGAGTTCTAGCGTTCTTTGGTGGTCTCTGCTATTCGCCGGTGTTGACCAAATGAAGACGCTGGGCAATGGAGGCGTGCAAGATTCTTTTTTACCGGGCTTTTTTCTTGTGCCGCCGAGATCTCGTGTTGGAATCCTTTGAATGGGGACTGAATGTATTCCCGGGTTCCCGATAGGTGGGCCTCCGAAGTACAGGTATGATGTGGTTATAGTATGGCAGACAGTAAACCAAATCTCGGTTCGCGATTAGAATCTCAATCTCAGTGAATAATAGTGTACTCCCCGGGTTTGCCATGTTCTTTGGGTTTCCAGCACTCGCATTTTCAGCATTTTCAGGAACCCGCCACAAATTTATGAGATCACAACTCAGTAACCCCACCTCATTCGGATACTATTCCGAACAAATGCTGCGAGTCTTGATGGTTCTTGTTCTCTGAAACATGAAACACACTATAGTCCTTTGTCTGTATTCCCTGCAGTCCACGTGGATGTAGACGTAGGCAAGGACGAACCATGATGTCTAATTTGACCCGTATCAACCCTATAATTGCCGAAAGAATTTTTGTCGAATTATAAAGTCCGAAAATGAAAACATCATTAGCCTTGGGTTGTGCTGCTTCAATTACTAACGTGGCTCTGCACTCGCCTCCCACTAGCGCCCACGTCATCCGACAATTCGCTTCACGGAAGTGAACGGAGAGCACTTTCTACGTTCTCAACCAACTCCTTTCGGTGTTCCATTTCCATGCAGTTTTAAATATCCAAAATTCCTCAAAGCCCCGAATAGTCGAATAGTCGAATAGCCCCCGAGCTTCCAGACACATGCACTGACACTATTGAGCACCATTTTTAGATTAGCACCGCGCGGCCTATAGCCTTGTCCAAAGACGCCTATGGCACCACTTTCCACATCATCGGGCAATGCGACTTTATTGCATATCTGTCAAAGGTACGGTCGCCGATACGAAGACTGGAAAGTCGCTGTCGTTGTCACTGTCGTCGACTAAATCGAAACCGTGCCAGCGCATGATGTGGCAATGAGTGATTGCTTTGTCGCCCGATCTTATCACCAGGTCTTTGTCGCTGTCTCATACTTTTAATACTTTTTTTCGGCTCTTGAAACAGAGACAGATGTATACATCATAAATTGGGGCCAATAATGCAGGATTGGGGCGGGTGTCGTTCTTGTCCTCGACCTCGGTGCCGGGGACCAGGCTACTATGGGCTACACTTGCCTACGCTTGGTCTGTGTCCTGCATATATTGATTGTTATTCTAATTATAGGTCTTGAGGAGCTATTGCCTAGCTATTCTCCGAAAATACCTTCCTGCTCGGCTTCGCCGTAGGATGGATCCTGATGTGGTCTTTTGGGCTAAATTCCTCGAGCCGGTGCTTCAAATAAATGTAACAGGGGCAATTCTTGACTTTGGGGGGTCATTCAAGACTGCTTTTGCTCCAACTGTTTCTCTTGGATAGTATGGCGTCCTAGACTCGGAGTCTTCGTTCTTTTGTTCCATGCCCCATACTTTATCAGCTATTGTCATTCAACATCCTGAGATATCATATCCTACTTAATACTCAAAGATCTTTTTTCGAATTTAAGATCTTCATTTCGAAGCATGAGATCTCAGAATATGTTCCTCTCTGCCTAGATCTACACTTAGTGGTCCGCCGCAGGCAGTGTCCCCAATTGTAGCCCAACCTCTCATATCAAACATGTCTATAAAACAGCAATCTTGAACCTGACCGTATTTCAGTAGACAATATACATCTCCACATATGTACTCCCAGCAACAAATACACTACCGCATTGAGCGAACCGACACTGAGTTTATACCTCGCCCAATCAGAAATACTGCCCATAATCAGCCATAATAGGAAGGCGGTGATACCGATGATGTAAATTATTCCCTCTCCACATCATCATAGCTCGACCTGCATAGCTCTCTGCAACAACTCTCTCCACACATCTGAACATTCATTCACTTGTTACTCAACAACAATGCTTTCCCGCGCAGCCCCCAGAGCTATGCTCGTCACTCTGCGCCCATCCATCCGCACAACAGCACCTACCAGCTCAGCACTGCTCTCGCAAACCCGCCCCCTCCGTCCCAACTCCGGGTCACAATTCACACGCTTTTTCCAATCTTCTCCGGTCATTCGCAAGGGCATCCACCCTGAATCTCAAGACCCTCCTGCTCCTAACCCTCAATCTGCACCCGTTGCCGGTGCCGCTGCTCATATCACTGAGCCATCGCCGTTGACAGCTGAGGAGTACTACGAGTACTCCGAACATTATTTCAATGTGCTTCTAGCCGAGGTGGAGAAGTCACAGGAGGAGGGTTCCGATGTGGAGGCCGAGTACAGTGTATGTTTTCTATTGCAATTACCCAAACCGGTATCCCGAATACATTATCTACCTTCATTCCACCATCCCCTCTCCCCTCATTTACCAAACTCCCAGCTCAAACTAACACCTCCACAAAAGGCCGGCGTCCTCAACATCTCGGTCCCAGCAATTGGCACCTACGTGCTAAACAAGCAACCACCAAACAAGCAAATTTGGCTCAGCTCCCCGATTTCCGGACCAAAGCGGTACGACTGGATCGTCGAAGGCGACTATATGCACGAGAAGCAGGATTCGCGACCCTTCGTCAATGGACAATGGATTTACTTGCGTGATGGATCGAATCTGACTGACCTGCTCAACTCGGAGTTGACGTTGCATTTGCCTAAGGACATCTACAGTGAGGTTATTGAGTAGATTTTTCGTGCTAGGCATTTACCTTGGGAAATTAATTAGCATTCAGGCAAGATTATGATAGGTGGGCTTTGGTCTGCTTTGTTGTCTTTTGTTACATAACATATTGTATGTCTAGATTTATCGCAATGCGATTGCATTTGTGTGGCTTCTTCGGTGTGATTTCCTGTATGAACAAAAGACATCCACTACCAGATAAAAAGAAGAGCTCTGAGATATGCTAACGTATGTATGAACAGTGGGTATCATTGAATGCAACAGCCGGGTATAAATTAGTCTCATGTCCATACATGCCGAGAATGCGAAGGAATAATACAGATATATCCCGTTCAAAAGAAGGGTAAAACAGATGATCAAATTTGCTTGTTGTTTGTCTGTCTAAAACAGACACAGAACAGCCAAAAGACAGTCTCAGATCGAGTATGAAACCATGTCTCATGTGTTGTCATGTATATCCACGCCCTCGGCGCAAGACTCGACTGAGACAACGTCGACGGTATCCGAGGCAACGTCGGGTATGCAATCACGGTGGGAAGATTCAGGCAGGATAAGAATGTCTGCTGTATATGTATTCATTTCGACAAGAGTCGGGTGCACGGCGGGTGTGCTTGGCGCAGGATTTTGAACCGCTGCGCAAAGGCCATGTTCACAGTGCTGAGTCGCATCTAGCAGATTTAGCAGGCAATGCACTCAGCACCATCCATACCATCACCGATGACGACAGCCGAGGGTGTTTGCGGTCGATCGAATGCCCGATGTCCTTTGCGCCGAAAGGATTAACCTGCAAGTCGCAGCCGACCCGGAAAAGCGCCGACAGTCGATAACCATCGTAGTCGCGGGTGTTGTCGCCACGTCCCCAGCTATATCCTGCACAGGGTCTCCCCATACCTGTCATAAAGCTTGCGCCAGCCAGCTCACGAAGCTTTAGGAAGATCGGCCTACCAACCAAAGATTAGCCAGGAGCTACGGCTACCCAAATCAAAAAGTATCATACCTCGTCAAAGATAACCCGAATCATCAGGCTACAAGAAGGACAAACACCAATATCCTCCCCATCCCTCAAATCATCAATAGCAATCTCGAAGCGATCGCCACACGGGCATGGATAAGTGTAGATCTGGAGGTTTGGATCGAAGGTCATATCCTCGATTTCGATTTCGTCGTAGATGTTTAGTCCTTCGTCGGCCATTTTGAAATCGTGGATGAAAAGAGTCGAAGTGTGGCGAAATGATCGTATTGAAGTCCGTGAATTCGATATTGACTCTTTTTTGGTGGCGTGGAAAAGTTTGGATGGTCATGTGATCACGGGGATAAGGCGGGGTTTAGATCTGTGTACTTCCATCTTCGTTCTTCGTTTCCACTATATGTCTTCTATGAAGATTCATTGTGAACGCGGTGTATTGAGTGTAATCGTAAATGAGCGAATTATTTTGGGAATGTCTATTAGTTAAATATTCGAGGAACAAAACGAACGGCATATGAAGAGGAACTCGCCGAGTAGGGATGTATGCTTGGACTACTGCCCAGGCTGAATAGCCTATATAGATGTAAGCTATTGGTCCCTGTATATCTTACTGGCCTCTGATTTCAATCATGCTATCCCCACTACGTACGTATGTACGCAACTGAGCTCTGGATACATGTACCTGGCACGCAAATATGCATCATTCGCCAAGCCGGGCGATTTCCATCTTGACGGTTTGGACGTCTCTTGCGAGAGCTCCATACTGGCGAGCAATCTCCGCCAGAGTACCTCCATCCGCAGGAATATCTCCAGCTGACCCAGACACCTCCTTATCTCCATACGTCTTCAACTCCTCAATCGCCATCTCACGCGAATCGTCCAACCGCTCCTTCGTCTGCCTCAGATGCAGCTTATACCTCGTAAGCGCAGCAATAGTCTCAGGCGTATAGATAGTAGCCGCAATCTCAAGTCTCATGACCCTGCAACAAAACACCGCGTTAGCAAATCCCAAATCAACAGTAGAAGATCAATCAAAGGAAGGGAACAACATACTCCAATTTCCCCTCAATGCCTTGCGCAACCGTCGCTAAGTGATCAGCCTTGGCCCTAGTAGCCCTAGCCAAAGCCCCATGCTTCGCCCGTTCAAGGATAACAACTGTCCTCTCCAGCACCTTCGCGCGCACAGCAACAACCCCTGCCGCCGTAGCAGCCAGTTCCCTCCGCGCCTCAGGCAACTGAGACAGTTGGATCTTGCGTAGCGCGCGAAGCCGCTTCCCTAGTTGCTCTGAGAGGAGTGGGACAGGTGCCATAGACGTCCGGACGCGACGGTCACGGGCTCGAGCGCGGGCATTGTGATTTGGATGTGATGGGGCGGATGCCCCTGACCCTGAAGCTGGGTCTTGGTCTGTGGGGGAGTCGGCTGTTGCGGCTAGGGCACGGGCATCATGGAGGGATGCGGAGAGGAGAGTTGTAAATGGTAAAATGAAGGCTGGGATGCTAGAATAAAAGGTTTCGAAGTCGGCGGCTAGGAGGGAGAGTACTTCGTCCTGTTTTGTGTCTGTGTTTTGATCTTCGGGGTCTGGTTTTGGCGTGTCGAGTTCCAGAGCGCTGCGGGGGGTTTCGAGGTAGAGGGTTACTATTGCGAGGTTATCGTGGCACTAGATTTTCGTCCATTGTGAGTCCGTGTCTGGTGTTGTTTGCGCGGGGCTGTATCGTACTGACCTCCGCGGGTAGGCCGCTGTCTGGGGCAAATGCTAGCTGGCGTAGTGTTCGCTCTTTGATCCGTTTCTTTGCGCTTTGGGTTTGGCATTGTTTTAAGTCCTGGTGGGCGAGTGTTAGAGGCTTGGGTTCATGGTGAGACTCGAACTGATCTCTGGTGCGTCGGCGACTTACTTCCACAACAGCTGTGCGCGCTGAAGTTGCGCTTTGGGAACGCGTTGAGCCATCTGGATCGAGAAGATTCTTCGTTAAGTTTTCATATAGTCGTTTGAATTGAGGATTGTGCTCAAGAATGGAGGGGTCGCAGGGAGGAATCATGTTGATGTTGCTGGAAGGGGGAGGTCACCGCCGGAAGAGAGCCGCGCCAATTATAGAGCAGGCTGCATACAACTACAGATTTATACACAATAGAGTTATATGAATTACAAGGTAGAGTACATATTCAGTTTGCATTTGCGCGTTTCTTTCGTAATCATACAAGATGAAGCTCGAAATCGAGTTTCGGGTCAACTCCCGTTTTCCACCTGCAACCTCGGAGAAAAGAAAAAAAGCGGCCTCATCCACCAGGAGTGAAGTGACCATTTTGGAGATAAATTGTGCACTGGGGCATTGGGGAAAGTTCAATCCAGTAAATGGAAAATGGTTCGGGGAAATTTGAGCAAGAGGTTCAACGGAAACAGAACCTTGCCGAATCCAGGGTTTCAAAGTATGTACAGACGTTGTCGGTGAGTTGCAGAACAAGTCACCAATTTCAGTGTGATTGAGAAAGAAGGGGAAATATCAGAAAAGCACAGGGGAAATCGACGCTTAGAACGCAAATCAACGAAAGGCCACCTTTGACGGGAAAGAATGGCAAGGTTTGACGGAGTATCTACTCCTCCTCGCTCTCTTCCTCGGAGGAGTCCGAATCATCGTCGCTGCTTTCATTGTGTTCAACCGAAGGCATGGGCTCAGGGGAGTGGCCGCCACCACCCTGGAACCGGGAAAGATTGTTCTGGAGCATGTTAATCTGAGCCTCCTGCTCAAACTTGCTCATTGGTTTGTTCTTCTTGGGCTTGGGCTGCGCAACGTTGCTGCTGGCAGGGGTGTACTCCTCTTCGAGGTCATCGCCGAGACCAGGCACGTTCTTCTTGACAAAGCTCAGGAGCAAGAAGAGGACGTTGTTAGGAAGCTCATCAATGTCGAGCTCAATCTCGGCTTCGTTGGTACCCTAATGATGAATTAGTAAATTGTAAAAGACGCGAACATGTCCATGAAACTTACCTTGAGTTGAGGAACATTGTTCTGGATCAGCTGCAGGGCATCCTGCATCTTCTTGTCTGGAAGACTACTGATGCCCTGGGAGATGAGCTGCTTTTCAGCGTAGGTGACAGGGCGAGTGCGTTCGGGCTTAGCACTCTTGACCTTCTTGTCCCGCTTTCCGGAGGTGCTCTTGCGGGAATCTTTCTTGGATGACTTTGCCTTTCCAGCCTTCTTAGACGATGGGGGTGTCTTCTTCTTCTTATTGGTAATAGCCTCAACCTGGCGGGACATCTCAGCGATCTGCTTCTGGAGCAAAGTAAGTTTCTCGTCATCTTCCTCGCTCTCCTCTGCATCCTCGTCACTATCCTCATCGGAGTAATCGCTGTTCTGCTCTTGTTGGGGTTCGTGCGCATCGAGATAATCCGACTTCTGGGCCCACTTCTGGTTGAAGATCTCTTCGGCTCGCTGGCCGCACACATAGGTGGGATCACCAGGAATGTTGAATCGGAAGCAATTCTTAAAAATGAGGCGAACATCGGTTTCAAACTCCTTGGCGTTCTCGTATTGACCAGTCTTCAACTTGGACTGGACGGTGGACAGATCCATGGGCTTCTTGATCACGCTGTGATAAGTGGGGATGTTCAGAGCCACTGGGTCGACCGGGTAGTAGAATGGCATGATCCAGTTGTAGTGCTTCTGTTTGTACAGCTCATCCATAACTTCCTGGCAGAAACGAAGCTCCCACTGGAACTTCTTCTTCTTGGGCTTGGTTGAGTAGGGCAGATCGCGCTTCGGGGGGTGGATCGAGCGCTTTGGGCGACCATCAGGGTTAGAAGAATCACGGCGAATGACAGGCAGTCCCTCTGGTCCCAGTGCAAAGGTCTGAGCCTGGGGAGACGCAGCCTTGGTGCTTCCCAGCGAAGTCCGGGGCTCCCGGCGGGCAGCCGAGGTCTTCTCAGTCAGCTTCTTGGGCTTCTTTTCTTCGACGTCTTCGGGCTTGGGGCAATTGGCCATGAGCTTCTCAAAGGTCCCCTTCAGCTTGATACCCTCTTGAGTGACCAGGTGGTCAGGGCCATTGAAGATGGTCGTGTTTTGGACCATGAGAGCAAAGTCCTCCAAGACAGCCTGGGGGGAGGAATATTGGCTAGTCTTCAATTTCCTGTCCATGGTTTGCAGGTCCATGGGTTGGGTGATAATAGTGTGATACTGCGGGATATTCAATTTGATGGGATCCACAGGCTCGCGGTAGAAGCGCGAGTCGTGCAGGCGCTTAAGGTTGGTGAGAGTCTTGGAGATGAATCTGTGTTGCATCTTAGTGAGTCCATTCTGGCCGGTGTAAGTGGAACCTTGGGATTGGGAGTCGGCGGGAGCCTTGGTTGTAGTGGTTGGAGTGTGGAAATCGGAGGCCTTGAACTCTAGCGGTCCAGTGTCCTCGCCATCAACCTTGGTGCGCTTTGCGGCTGGCTCCTCGCTGAGGTCCGCGTCGCGTTGTCTGGAGATTTTGGAAGGAGACATCGGAGGTTCCGGCGCATCCTTCATCTCCTGGTCGGCGGGCGCAGCTGGATGAGAAGGGTGGGTAAGATCCGGGGTAGGGTGGTGAGGAAGTTCGGTCTTCACAGCAGTTGAGACACTCTGTGGGGTATCGACAGCCATTTTGTCACTCGCGCCGTCAGTCGCACCAGTGGTGGGCGCAGCAGCTGGAACCTGTAGAGTGGGAGAAGCGGCCTTCTCAGTACCGACATCGGCGGCAGGAGGAGCTGCAGGAGCTGTGTCCTGAGACAACACTGGATCCTTGCTGTCAGTCTGCTGGGTCTCCGCGGGAGTGGCAGATTCGGCAGTAGGTGTCTTGTCCTCTTGTGAGGCGTGGTCGGCAGGCGCAGGGGCGGGGGATTTAGGAGGGGATGCAGCGGTGCTTGTGCCGTTGGTAATTGATGGCGCGGGACCGTGGCCGTTCAGCGCAGGAGATTTGGCCTCGGTATTGGCGGCGCTATCGGATTTGGGGACTACTGCATCTTGGACACTGCGCACATGTCAGGTCAGGTTAAATTAAAACAAATCGCTTTCAAATCGCTTTGAAGGCGCTTCTGAGGAGCTTACCTGGCAGGCGCGACATCAGGCGCAGAGAGACCAGTGGGAGACGGAGGAAGCTGTGGCTTGTCCTCCATTGGAACTGGAGGTGCCTCGGGAGGCGGAGTCGCCATTGAGGTCGCGTTGGATGAAGAATACGAGGGAGGCAAGTGAGACGGTGGGAGGTGGAAGAGGTGAGAGTCGCGTTGTTTGGAAAACGAGTGACCAACCGAATGCGCTATCACACTTTGACCTCGAGCGCGTCACAATTTGATAAGATGATCAAGCGTGTCGAGCTGGAATCGAAGTGATTTGATATGGAGCTAAAAGACGGGAAATAGAAAGAGTGGAGAATGCGATCGGAGAGGAATTTATACTGCCAAGAAGGCGGTATGGGATGAATCACGTGAGTTGAGAAGTGAAGCGTGCCTGAGGCCAAGTGAAAATAATTATGGGGTAATAAATAATAAAAAAGATGTTTTAAAAAAAAAAAGGGGGGTGACGCGAAGACGCGTTTGTTATGTTTGAGGGAAGGGGCGGTCAGAGGAGAATAAAAATAGGAGAACCAGGAAGCAGAAAAATGCTCGGGGGAAGAATCCTTAAGTACAAACGGCCGCCTTGCTCTTGTCCTGCCAGTTCCACCAGCCACACTAGTCCGGATTCTCCTACCTTTCCCCCTTGTTGATTGGTTCTGTTCCCACCCCTGATTGGACTGGATTTTCTTCTTTTCTTTTCTTTTCTTTCCCTTACTATGCCAGGAATGATGCTGATTTGTTATTTTTCAATATATCGGAGTGTCATTGGGATATTCTTTTCTTTTCACTTTTTTTTCCTTCTTCGTTCAGGGTTTTGATGTCCCAAGTCCATGGGTCACGGATGACTCATAACCCTAGGGTTCTGGCCGATTCCGGGTGATCGATCGAGCCCGACGTCACCACTGCACGTGACCATAAGTACACGTATATTTAGCTGGCCGACTACTGAGTAGTGATTACTACACAGTTTATGTTCTATACTTCAGGGGTTCCCAATCGGCTCTTTGCCTTTCGACTGCCAATAAGATATGCTGCACCTGGACCCTTACAGATTAGGCAGAGGCACGTCTATCACATGATTCGCGCGTCCGACCCTGCTACATTTGGCGTCTAATATTCGCCCAATGATGTTTCACCCTACTACAAGTATGGTTTCTTAGTGCCTGATACTTTTAAATGGCTCGGGCTTGTTTGAAGTGCACCCAGTCGACCCATCTGTCTGGCTTCGTTTTGATTCGAACCAAGCTTCCTTACCTGTACATAGTGTCCCGTCGCTCTACTCAACCTTTTTGATTCTTCCATACACATTCTGGGCCTCCGTTGGGTGTACGAAATTCTGTTGTGCAACCTAAGAGCAATAGTTGGTTCGAAATCAAGTGACCTCCAAGCAAGTAAGGTTGATAATAGGCACCAAGATATTCCACGATAAGCAGGTTATCAGTTAATGCGTACAGTAGATCGCTTCATTGTGGAAAGCCATATGGTTGCGGGAAAGGAGTTCGTCCGTCTGGTGGAGATATACTAGTCGATCCACGGATATGGAGATCACTGATATTGTATCTCTGTACATATTTATAGAGGGATAAGCCACACTGATACAGGCACAACATATTATACTTCAAGGTGGAACACTAGTTCAAGGTTACTCTAACTCATGTAAGGGTCTGTTAGCTATAATGTCAAATGCATTTCATAGGGATATACCCAAAACAAAAATAGATTCGGCAGACGAAAGATACAACCTCCTCACTGGTAACTGTCAACGCATCAAACGCTAAACTTGTCTCCCGACTAGCTGACCCCACGACCGTTTGCTCTTGTTCCTTCGAGCATTTTGGCTACATATTACCGAATACCACAGCATTATCGATCCTGAACAGACACGCTCTTTTCAAAGTGCATCTCATCATCAAAATCATCTCATCCTACTATTATACTAAGTAAACGACTAACTCTACACATACAAGTTACCATACAAAGTTGAGCCTCGAGTTCTGACTAAGTATACCTCGATGCCGCCTATACCATTTCGGGACTAGCGTCTCCAGTCTCCACCCGAACATTTTTTTTTCCTTGTCGGCATCAACTGCGCAACCAACCTCAACCCCAACTGTTTTCTTTAGGGGAGAAAAATACGGTCATTTTAGGAATCTGCTGTCTTTCTTTTGACTGGGTTCATTGAATTAATTCAACCAAGCCTCAGCCCCGAGGTCAAAAGACTATCGCCAAGATGGGAAAGAAGTCGTCTCGCCCGTCGAGCAAGGTCGCCTCGGCCGCCGCATCGCCAGCAGGCGGTCTGATGCAAGCTGGAACCAAGTCGTCTATCTTACGAGCTGCTTTCTCGCCGTCGGAGTACCAATTGGCCCTGTTTGCGTCCGTCATTCAAGGTCTCGATGCGCAGCATATCCGAATTCACGACACAAACACAGGACGTCTCCAGTGTGAGCATGCTTTAGGGCCGAAGGAAACAATCACTTCTCTGGATTGGGGATACTACGGTGGCTCTGGAAAGGGCCGTGACCTGTCCAAGAAGAAGCGGAAGCGTGGCTCCGATGTCAACGGAGCTATCGATGGCCTGGACCAGGGTGATATCGTGGTCGCATTCGGTACAAGCACATCGGACATCCGCATGTACTCGCCCGCCGAGGACAAGATTGTCGGAACTCTGACCGGTGCACATGACAAGGGAATCAAAGATTTCAAGTTCACAGCCGACCGCCCTGGCCAAGAGGCATGGAGTATCGGCGGTGATAACAAGCTAGTCCAGTGGGACCTGCGCACCGGACAAAGCATCAAGTAAGATTGTATCTCCGTGAAATAATTGGGATTCTGAACTAATCATATGCTAGGACCATTCACCTCCCTGCATCCTCCGTCTTCTCTGCTCTCTCCCGCCCTGTTCCCTCGAGCCTCCCTCTTATCTGCGCATCCCAAGCCCCGTACTTAATAGATGCCGAAAACGCCGACGAGTCTCCAGTCCAGTTCCCTGCTATGCGCAACACCATCCACACTGTCGTCTCCTCCTCTACAGTTTCTGCCGGCGAGGGTTCTTTCCTCGCCTCCGATGGTGACCGCTTCATCAACGTCTTTGATGCCGCTACTCAGAAGCTTGTTCGGAATCTTGTCGCTGAACAGGAAGTTTCGTCCATTTCCCTGCACACTGATGGCAATGCCACCCCGGAGAAGCAAATTCTTGCTGCCATCACCGAGGATGGCACTATTGAACTTTTCTCGAAGCCTTTTGTCCAGCCTCAGAATGCGCCCGCCGCCAGCGCCAAGGCTAGCCGCAAGCAGATGACCCAAAAGGCGAACGCAGCTCTCAAGATCACACATAACGCATCTTCGAGCGCCTGTGTACCAGTTGTTTCTACCATTTTCCAGGGCCCCAACCTTGTTGTTGCATACTCTGAGGGTGGTGTGGTCCCCGTTTTTGAGCGCGTCAAGCTCATCGATGAGACCTCTGAAGAGCTCGCCTTTACTGGAACCAAGTCTGTCGTGAAGACCAAGTCCAGCTCAGCACTTTCCTCGGTCACCACAAATGGTGCCAAGGACTCTGGCGAGAGCCGTGTTGATGAGAGCCGCATGGTCGTGGAACAAGGCAACCTGGTCGATAACGATGTGGAGATGGAGGATACCCGGCAAGACGCCGATTCCGAGTCTGACAGCGAGGAGGACTCTGACGACGAGGACAATAAGAAGTCCAAGGCTTCTACCGAAAAGAAGACTAAGCCCGCCAAGCAGGCCGTGGCAGCTGAGGATGTTGAGATGCAAAACGCATCCGAATCCGAGGAAGGGGAGGAGGAGGAAGGCGCCGAGCCATCATTTGGAGAGCTTCTCCGTGCCAATTCCGGCCAAGAAGTTGATGTTGAGGCCGAGCTTGAGGACGATGTTCTGATGGGCGCATTGGTTCCTGGCAAGCCCAAGGCTGCCGTGCAACAGATTCCCACTGGTGTTTCGCTCTCAACCGTCCTCACTCAATCCCTCAAGACCAACGATGCTGGTATGCTCGAGTCTTGCTTCCACACCAGTGACACCACCATCATCCGCACTACCATCCAGCGTCTCGATTCTTCTCTCGCTGCCAACCTGCTCCAGAAGCTCGCTGAACGCCTCGCCTCTCGGCCCGGTCGCTACGGCCACCTTCTCGTGTGGGTGCAGTGGACCTGTGTCGCCCACGGCGGTGCCTTGGCCGGTCACCCCGAACTGCTGAAACGCATGGCCACTCTTTATAAGGTTATGGACCAGCGCTCCTCGAGCCTGCCTTCCCTGCTCCTGCTCAAGGGTAAGCTTGACATGCTCGATGCTCAATTGGGCCTGCGTCAAGCGATCCGTGGCGGAGACGAGGGTATGGACAGCGAGGACGAGGAGAACGTCATCTACGTCGAGGGCCAGGACGACCTCGAGGACAGCGAGACTGAAGCCAAGACCCCCCGCACAAAGTCAATACGCGACCAGGTATACGATGAGGACGAGTCCATGATGAACGGCATGGACGACTCCGAGGATGAGGAGGATGGCAGTGACGACGAGGACGACGACGAAGAGCCCGTTCTGGACATTGAGGCCGCAGAGTCCGTCGGCTCCTCTGATGCCGAGGAGTCGCTCGAGGAGAACGAGGATGATGACGATGACGAGGTTGACAGCGATGGCTCAATGGTTGACTTCATCGCCGATACCGAGGACGACGAGTCTGACGACGGCGCACAGGCAGCCCCGCCACCAAAGAAGAGCAAGACATCCAGCAAGAAGAGCAAGGGTGGCAAGAAATAAGCGTGTCTTCACTGTACGAATTTAGAGATGGAAGGGTAACGGTCTTCAAAAGAACATATTCATTTTTTATCGATGCATCCGACCAACTTGGTCTGCATTTCCTTTTCTTGTTTTATCTATTATCCACTGCTTTGATATCTATGCGTCTACCGAGCGCCTCTGCGTCTCTATCAACCATTTCTATTCAATTGATCGTCTTCAATCTCTTCAACATTCTCGATCTAGCTCGATATCGAGGTATGATTGCTTAGTCCAGCAACTCATCTCCCTGACACGCTCCTCCATGCAGCACGTGATGATTAGGAATTCCATCTTCCCCAAGAGGAATCTGCAAAGCAACAGTCCGCTCTTTAGAAGGGTAAACAGTATAGTGACCCAAGGCACTGACATCAGCAGTATCAAGCGCTAGAAGTGCACCATTCTTCCCACCCTCAATCCAAGCCTCGGCGGTCGAGTTGGGCAGAGTGATATGCGCCAAGCCAGAAAGGAAGACAACCCATCTATAAACATGATCAGCACAGAACAGGCTCAGCCAAACAATACATCCACCAATGCAACCACCAAATCAACCATGAAGAGAAAGAAAAGAAAGGCTCACTGCAAAGCAGGCGCATTATGCCGACCCCCATCAAATCCTGCCGCAATAGCCGTGAAGGAAGCATTTCCAGTCGCAACCCCCATATCCAAAACCGAAGAGCCCGACGTGCCGGCCTGCGCCGAAGTCTCAAAACCAGGCTGAAGAGCCCAGCATTCTAGCGTGGAGCGGTTGTGGCGCGCGCCGAGTACTGTTACGTTCAGTGTGGAGCCGAGGGTTGGATCGGCTTGGCTGGCGGTTGATAGGGCTGGGAGAGTTAAGAGAAGGGTTAGGGAGAGGGGGGAGAGGTGCATTTTGGAGGTCTGATGGGAGAATCAAGGGTAGGATTGGAATTGGAGCTGAAATTGGGGGGAGTGGAATAGCTAGATTCGGGTTGTTGGAGCTTGGTCGATGGTGTGGAGTGCGATCTGCGGTTTTGGGATCTTTGGCTGGTGCTTGGTGAAGACGCTAATGTATGTTGTTGAGATATTGGATTCGTGCAGAATTGGTGGAATGTGGATTTGTTGGTTTGTTACGGTAGAATATGCCTGAGCTAGGTTGGTGTGTTGTTTACTTCGCGGGATTCTGTGTTTTTATGTTTTGGGTGCACTAGCTATACTTGAAATTGTGTATATATAATCTGGTGTTAGATATAGACATTGCTCTGTGTTTTTTATATCGTGTGAGGATCGAAACCCTTACATTCCAATACACTTAGGCGGGAATATATACTCTCCATCCAGACCTTCTTGTACTTGTATATCGCTACAGTAACATGAAGAACAGTGTTCCCTCCTGCATGAGATGCACCAGTATATCATGCAACAATTACGTACTGCACGACATCTAGTGAACGGAAATTATTTCCCACTGGTTACAGAGCTGTCGAAACACACACGTAGTGAAAGAAAGTAGGTTCATTCACCGGAATATAAAGAGATAATCCTCATAGCACCCAGTCTCTACGGCAAAGCTTGTAAAAATATAGGCTGCCAATGATAGTGTTGTCTCCCAACGAAAGGAGAAAAAGTACTAGCGAATGACTTCCTCACCAGACTTCTCAATGCCCTCCGCGCCCTCAAGAATATCACTGCCCCCAAAAAGCCCACAAACGGAGCTAGTGCTTATCCTGCTTCCAGTCCAGACCTCGTGAAACTTGACAGTCTGATCACTAGACGCCACAATGATACACCCCTCTTCCATGGTTCTTGTACACCACATTCCACCTTCTTTCTCCTTTGGACTCACTATCCGGGGCTCGGTCCTGTGCCCGCGAGATCGAGGAGGTCGAGTCGGAGATCGTGACCGACTCAAAGAAGGTGACTGTGAGGAGGATGGACTAACTTGTCTACCAAAGGCAAAATCCGGTGGATGATGGAGTCTTCCTGGGTATCGCACTGCCCACAAGGCTCGTCCGCAATCGCTACTAGTAGGTGGATCAGATCCATCCCAGCTGGCCCCATAGGGACCCCAGGGAATGACAGCGACCTGTGCGCAGCTGGGCCAGGCAAAGACGGCAATTCGGAAAGGATGATCGGGCTGCGAGTAGCCAAAAGTAGCAGCAATCTCGCGCCGAGTTTGGCTCCAGATCAGACTGGTGACTTGTGCAAATACGCTGATAGTTGCTAGACAGGCTCCGCTCCGTGTGTGATAGAAGTGGATGGCGCGATCATTCGTGCCTCCCCCGGTTGCGAGAAGAGATGGCTGCCATGGCGCAAAAGCAATTGCCTTGACAGCCGCCGAATGTAGCAGGCGATGCTTTTGACGATTGAAAGGGACCAGAACTGTGCGTCCACTTCCAGAAATCAGTGTCCCCGCATTGCTCAACAGTGGAGTTCTGACTGGAGGTTTAATAAGAGGTTTGACCCATGATGGGAGAAAGTGATTTATAGCAGGCCGTCTGTGGAATAGCCGTCTTGTAGCTGTACCCAGGGCGAGATAGGGGAAGGCGCCAAGGCTGAACTGACTTGGAGAATCAAGCGGCGTCACGGGTGAGCCTGCATCGAAAGGCTGTACTGGAACGATCTCGCCCATTTCAAACAAAAGACAGCTATTGTCATTACCGCCCGTGGCGAGGTATCTGTCATCGGGTGACCAGGCCAGTCCACAGATCTGCTGGGTATGGGCACAAATTTTAGCAAGTAGAGTCATGGATCCATTCCATTTCCACTCTTCTCGGTTTTCGGCGTCAGGCCACTCAACCGAGTAGTACCAAACGTTGCCGAAGTCATCACCAGCGGCTAGCTCTTCAGTCTCGACTTCTCGATGGATGAATCGCTCTGAATGTCTCCGAGATGTCTTTTGCTTGAATGCCACGCATGAAATACTGTTGGGGTGGCTGATCTCGAATCGAATATCCGCCTCATATGTACTCCACAAAGAGAGTTGACCAGACCGACGAGCCACCGCAAGGATGCTTCTCCCACCAATATCAGACGAAAATGACAAAGAAGTCACATAGTTTGAGTGGTGCAAGTCTGGAAAGGGCGGATAATCTACCCCTCGGCCTTCTGACCAAAGAAAGACCTGATGCCCAAGGCCTACTGCCAGGATGCCAGATGTAAATGAGTATGCCAGTGTACTGCAGTAAAAGTCATCTCGAAGAAAGGGAGCATCCAGTATGCGGAAGGGCTTCGGTGGAACGACCTCTTTTTTATCACGGACTGTAGGCCCTGTGATCAATTGCAATGTTAGTTTTGCCTGTAATTAGTATTTGCTATAGGAGAGTTTGTGAATTTTGCTTATTCCGTTCCCAAGTATGGGCTATTATGTTATAACATGAATGTTCCTGTTAAGTGGTAGTATGTCCCGAAGTGACGAGGGCTCGGGGATGGCAATTGCAAGTGCATCGCTTACAATGTTGCCTTTCCACTTTCTTCCAAGCACTATCCTTCCAAACGAACGGAGAGAGCCTTTCGTAGTGCAGAGACGCTGGACTGAGTGGCACCTCGAAACATGGTTGGGTAGTACCGAGCAATCTGGTGATTGGATCTATATCCAATGCAAGCGCAAGCCTCGATTCATGCCTTTCCTCTTCGTCAGGCGTCGGCTTTTTCGGCAGAAATCTGGCCACATAGTTTGGTGCAGCTGGTCCATGGCCCGTGGCGATGGATGTATCGCCTGGGGCTGTGGAAAGGGGACCTCCACGGACTGCAGATGCTCCACCCACGTTCCAAACTGCGCCAGCACTGACTTGTCTCAATGTTGCATCCGGAATATTGCTCCCTGAAAATGCAATTCCGTTGACAAGATTGGGTCGTTGACGAGGAACCTGCTGCAATCGGGTTGGTTGCTGCGGTCTGGAGACAATTGGAAGTCTGCGTGTATTTGGTGGCAGAAACGGGTCATTACCCGGTGGGCATCTTCGTAAAAGTTTCTCCCGAGGTGAAAGACGAAGCGGATGTTTGGCCACGCGGAATGCTGCTGAGCTAGACTCCGCAAAGTCTCGCTTAGGGATGAATCTATCTGGCGAAATTGAGCCACCGAAGGGACTTCGCACTGCTGGTGAATTTGAAGCACATCTAACTCTGCTGCGTCCTCTCTCGGGAGACGATACTCGATTTTCCTTGAAACGAGGAGCAGGTATGGCAAAGACCGGGGCTATTGTTTTGGACAACAATGGAGAAGTAGGTGTTTCAAAGAATGGCAGATTTAGCGTGGCAGATTCGGTTAGCCTGATCGACCCGTTGTCCCTGGAGGACTCAGATCGAGAATGTGAAATTAACAGGTTAGTGTGAGTGCCTGGAGAGGGTTCCAGGAAGGATTGACATGGCGAATCCACCATAGTTTGGATGAAGATGGATAAGTAGGATAATTAACGACCTTAAGCTAGGAAATGAGTGTATTAGAAGGCCTCTTCCAAGGCACAATAAAAGAGAAATGGCGATGAAGCAGTTGAAGTACAAAAGTAGAAAGAGACCGCCTGGTCACGTGATCAAACAGTGAGATTATATAATCCGTGACGAGTTCCGCCTGAGGCAGCACATGATTCGCTCTGCGACATAGATGGGACTAACCACACAACTTCATACTTTGCTCATTTCTTGATATTAAAGTTGAACAGTATTGAAAATGCCCAGCGTGCGCTCATCCACCCTATATATACTGTGACACTGGGCTAATGATCCTAGCATGGTGTCCCGCGGTACAAACCCGTTGAGAAGTCACCTGAAGCACGACAACAAGAGCAGGAGAAGATAGCAAAATACCAAGATCTCGAGCACTTAGTCTCCAAAAAGGTGCCTATCTATCACACACCGGGAACGAAGCAAGACTGACAATATAAGGTGGCCGAGCAAGAATACACAATCGACACATTGCAGAAGATCTCTGAGCTACTGTCCAGCAACCCGGAATATTATACGGCCTGGAACTATCGCCGGAAGGTCCTGCAGCACCAGTTTTCTCAAGCAGGAAAATCAGATGAGGCTCCTGATACAATCACACAGTTGATCAAGAACGATCTACTATTCCTGCTGCCCCTCCTCCGTAGCTTTCCCAAATGCTACTGGATCTGGAACTACCGTCTCTGGCTGCTAGATGAGGCACGTCGCTTACTATCTCTCCCAGAAGCTCGGCAAATCTGGCAAGAAGAGCTCGCCCTTGTGGGCAAAATGTTGACCTTCGACAGTCGAAACTTCCACGGGTGGGGGTACAGGCGCTTCGTGGTTGAGACACTGAAGGAGCTTGGCACTGCAGAAGAAGCAAAGAACATGACCCAGAAGGAATTCGAGTATGCAAAGAAGATGATCGGCGCAAATCTTTCCAACTTTTCCGCGTGGCATTACCGAACCAAGCTTATCCAGGGGCTTCTGGATGAGCAAGGAGCCAGCAATGACGATCGAAGAAAGATGCTAGACGATGGTTGGTCGATCGATTACCAGAATGCAGGATGGGATGCTAATGAATTTATAGAGCTATCACTGATCCACCAGGCTTTTATCGACCCTTATGACCAGTCGCTTTGGTTTTATCACCAGAATCTCATGAGTGTGTTTGACCCGTCGATGGCTGAACGCACTATGGCGCCAAACCTGAGTGCCTCCGACCGGTTGGAGTATATCAGAAATGAGATTGAGGAGCTTCAGGAGATGTTGGATGGGGCTGAAGACTGCAAATACATCTACCAGGCCTTGATCGACTGCACCCTTCTTGCATCTAAAGTGGAAGGCAACTTATCACAGGAAGACCGAGATCAAATTCTGAGCTGGCTCTTAGAAGTGAAGAAATTGGACCCATTGCGACGCGAACGATGGCTTGATTTTGAAAGGGGCCTACAGGGGTCATGAATCTGACCACAGTAAAGTATTAGACCATATCTATACGAGATTAGATGCTTTATCTGTTCCCTAACTTGAAATCTCTTCGCCTCTCTTGTCCATTTTCGAGTGGTTCGGGCGAATCAGCCAGATCTGACCCCTGTACAAAGGAGCTATACAGTAGATGTGGTTGTTTTTACATGCCCCTTGACCCCTTTTATTAGATCGTGCCACCTAAACCCAGGAATTTAATAGCATTACAAGATAAGACATAACATAGTGTATTTCGAATGAAATAACTGAATGTAAATGTATGCACATTCCAACGTCCGATCGACAGCTCCGCATTTCTCGGGCGCCAATCAGCATTTGTGTACTTGGCCTCGAATTCACTTGAAACTGACAACCCAAATTCCCTCCACTTCACTTCATTCCTCCTACACACCTCTGAGCGAGTTGAGCCTCCGTTTCAGTCCTATGGGTTACATCTTCTGATTGTGAGGTCACCGTCTCGAGAAAGAGCTATATCCGAGATGTCTACCAACAACCACAGTCCAACTGAATACGAAGGGGTGAGTGATTCATGAGTATCCTCATTTATCTTGGCATGAGCTTATCTACCATTTCTATAGGAGTCATTCGACAACGCCCTCGAAACTGCCCAAATCCAGGAGAACCTCAATGTCGACATCCCCAAGTCCACCTCCACGCGATCGTTAACCGACAGTCCACCAATCGGCACAGTTACATCTCCGGACACGACGGAGAAACCTCCGTTGTCTTCTGAATCGCAGGACGAGAAGAAGAACGAGGGTGTCGATCAGAGTGGCGAGGAGGGCCAAAACGACAACAAGAAGAATAATAAGAAGAGGAACAAGAACAAGAAACAGGGGAAGAACAAGGACGAAGCAATTGATGGGAATGAAACCAACGATGACGCAAACACCGTGACAGATGAGACCAACGATGCGGACATGCCGGAGCAAGAATCCGGGGTTGCTCAAACCGAGGTCGGAGAGGTAGACAATCAGGTGGAACGCGATGAGATGGCTCCCCAAAAGTCACCTCTACTTACATCCCACCGACTCTCAACTGCGTCGTCGCTGGACGAAGTCAACCTGATGAACACCAAGGAAGATGAATCGTCAAACAAGGGGCCAAGCTCAGGAGACAAGATGAACTCCCCGCCGGTACCTCCCAAGGACGACACAGCCCCAAGCTCCGGCTTGATGGGATTGTCAGGAAGTCTTCCTTCGCTGCCATGGGGAGCACCTCCAGTAAACAAGAATCCTCCTCCCGCACCGCCACCGCCTCCTACTCGCAAGCCCAGCGGCCCATTTGCATGGTTCTCTCGAAGCTCGAGCGGACCAAAGGACGTCAAATCGCCTCAATCGGCCGCTAGCCGACGAAACACTGCGACATCCGTATCGACCCTCGCCAGCAACCTTGAAGGTGGCGACGACGTGTCGAGCGTCGGCTCCAAGAAGCCGAGAAGGAACAGCTTAAAGGATCAATTTAAGATGTTGCGCTTGCGCGAGGAGAACCATGTGCCCGAAGTCGACGAGACGAGCTTGCGATCTGGCAGCATCAGCCATGCTGGAGCCAGTCCCCCGATCATTCGCGAGGAAGGAGAAGACGGCATCCTAAGCGCTCCAGAAGAGCCTCTATCAGCAACATCACCTTCAACACTGCATCCTCGAAAGGGATCTGTATCTGATGCTTCTACACCGGTCGATTGGGAGATGTGGCAGCAGCTCGTGAACAACGGAGCTCAAGCACTCGCCAGCTCCGAGGAATTGAATGCAGCCATCAAGCGTGGTATCCCACAAACGATTCGAGGAGTGATTTGGCAGATTTTGGCCGATTGCCAGCCCGCCGAATTGGAGGATGTGTACCGAGAGCTTGTGGGACGGGGAACAACACAAGATAAGGACGGACGAACATTAACAGGCGCCGAAACCACGTCCTCGCGTTCGTCAGTTCGCTCTGAGTCTGGGTCACGGTCGAGCAGCGCTGCTCCTAGCCCATCCCACGAAGCGGACCCTGATAAAATGGCCAAGGACCAGGCTGCCAGCGAGGCCGAGCGAGCCAAGAAGGCCAAGAGCGACGTCGTTGCCTTGCAGAAGCTAGAAAAGGCCATTCGGCGGGATCTGGGTGCTCGCACAAGCTATGCGAAGTATTTCGTGTCGCAGGGTAGTCAGGAGGGTCTCTTTGGGTTGTGCAAGGCGTACGCTTTGTATGATGAAGGTGTTGGATATGCGCAAGGCATGAACTTTATTGCTATGCCCTTGTTGTTCAACGTGAGTACCGTTGGTTTGAGTATCGTTGGGATTGCTGACTAACACGATATACAGATGGACGAGGTTGATGCCTTTGCAATGCTCGTAAAGCTGATGAATAAGTACTCTCTGCGAGATATGTTCATTCAGGATATGCCCGGGCTTCACCGTAGCCTGTACCAATTCGAGCGACTCTTGGAAGACCTGGAGCCTGCTCTTTACTGCCACCTCCGGCGCCGCGGAGTACCTCCCCAGCTCTATGCCACGCAATGGTTCTTGACGCTGTTCGCCTACCGATTCCCACTGCAGCTGGTTCTCCGCATCTACGATTTGATCTTTGAAGAAGGGCTGGAAAGCACAATCCTCAAGTTCGGCATTGCAATCATGAAGCGAAATGCCGAGACTCTCCTCGAGATGAAGGATATGAGTGTGCTCACTACATTTTTGAAAGAGCGTCTCTTCGACGCATACCTTGACAAACAGCCATCTACCTCATCGATCCTGGAATCAGGCTTCTTCGGCAGTTCCGGTGCTGCTGACAAGGAGGTCTACCGGTCCGATATCCTGGTACAAGATGCCTGTGAAATCCCCCCTCACTCCCGAGATGCTTGCCACATACACTATCGAATGGGAAGAGAAGACACGCACCGAAAAGGAACGTGAAGTCGAGCTTGAACATCTCCGACACACAGTCAGCACACAAGGCGCACGTGTCCGACTCCTGGAAGAACGCGCCGAAGCATCTGATAAGGAACATGTGCAGCTAGCCTCGGAGCTGGTGCACGTCAAGGTAGAAAACGAGGAGCTGCGCGACCTCACTGATGCCTTGAAGCTACAAGTCGGCGAGCTCAAGAACGTGGTCGACAAACAGCCCGCCGAAGTGGAGGAGAAACTCCGGATGGAAATGGAGCGGATCATGAAGCGCAACATCGAAGTGCAAAACGAGAACCGCGCTATGGAGGAATCAATGTGCGAGATGGAGAAGGAGTTAGTAACGACGAAGATGAAGTGGGCAGAGGTAAAAGAGCATCCCATCCTCACTACATGGAACCTGACACCTAACATTAATCAACTCCACAGATCTCCGAGAACCACGAGACCCTGCGCCAAAAGTGGAGCGACCTACGCCGCGCCCTCGACTAATACCTTCACTTCATTCCTCCCCTCACCGGATAAGAACCGGATCTGTATATTTGCAAATGTCCACTTGACGGAGGGTCTGCGATCCCATCTAGTCGACATTTGACCTCGTCTTACTGTATGGGCCGGATTGTCTTGCTGCCTTTGCCTGTTACCCATTCTGTACGTTGCTTCTCGTTTTGAGCCAATGTTATGATTTGCGTACACTCCCCTGTTTTATCACCACTTTGGCTTCCACTTCCATTTCCACGTTCCTGTTCTCCAAGTCCAGCATGCCATTTCTAGACGGCATCGGTGTTTCTGTGTGTGTAATCATGTCATGCTTTAGTGTCTTGTATGTCCATGTATACCCAAGTAACATTAGGGCTGGGCCGGGTGAGGCGGACATACTTGATGTATGCAGTGTACATCAATTGATAGTTTTATCCCTTTCCTTCTCTTCATCGTCTGCCTTGTCTTCAAGAGTCCTGGTAGCACGTCTATCCTCTACGATTGCTACGATTGCTACAACACGCGTACAATCCCTACCCAACCCAAGAAAATAAAGAAGTAGAAAATAAAGAAGTAGAAAATAAAGAAGAAAATAAAGAAGAAGAAGAAGAAGAAGAAGAAGAAGAAGAAGAAGAAGAAGAAGAAGAAGAAGAAGAAGAAGAAGAAGAAGAAGAAGAGAAATGTAACAATTCAAATCAAATCAATTACAAGACAGACTCATAAAAACTCGTCAAAACATCCTCCTTGACAGGCCCAGCAACAGCCTTAAGCGCCTTATGAGCCTCACACTCAACATCATAATATTTCATATCCTCCATCGAAGCAAAAGTAGTCTTCACAGAGAGATTGAAGCCCTTATTCCTGGGGTCCGGGAAGGACGCGCCAGCTGCCGCAGCGAGGATGTATGGCTTGCCGTCCTAGACAGAAATATCCGTTAATACCCGTTCGGCTGGCATCGGATCCCGCTCAAGCAGAAGTGAGGAGGTAGCTAAGTGGGTGTTAACTGGTAATATGTACATACCTTCGTGGCAGTCTTCGCAAGAACCTTGTACTGCTCCAGGACACGGTCCCGATCTGCCTCGTTGGGGATCTTGAAGAGGGTGATTCGTTCGATGGGCGCCATTGTAAATGGGGAAGTGTGCAGAGATCGGGGGTGCAGGGTCCAGATTGTTGTAGAGAGGCGGGATATGGACATGGGGATGGCGGGCTTTAAGTAGAAGTCCGAGGTCTAGGGCGGGGAATTACGTGGAGAGACGGAGGGGATGTTTCTATTCGGCTCGGATGTGTTCTCGGATTGGTTGGATGTGTATGAGGGTTATGGTATGTTGGATTACTGATTCGCTGTTTCTATTGTAGTGACTTCTCACTGTTTCTGCTCTCAATTGAGGGCATATTTTTGTTGTAATGCTTGAAGATAGCGCGGAATGTGTATGTTGGAGAGCGCATAATTCCGCACGGGGGTGAGATTAAATCCGAGGGCGGAATTGCTTCGGATATCTTGATTTATACTTCATTTTCCATACTTCATACTCTATACAGTTCGATTTTAGATCCAATATAGATCCTTGGTATAGTCTGCACTTGATGCAAGATCACGAATTCACACGCAACGCCTGCTCCCTCTCAAACGCTTCAGACAAGCTCTTGAAATTGCCAGCTCCAAAGCCATCAAACGAATTTCGCTGGATGACCTCCGTAAACACCGTCGGTCGATCTCCAACATGCTTAGTGAAGATCTGAAGCAAATAGCCACGTTCGTCGAAATCATGCCCATCAACAGCAACAATGCGCGGCTCAGCAATAGCCCCCGCGCCTTTCTCCACAGCCCGCCTGCAAACAGCATCGATATCACCCGCAACCCGAAACGCAACATCCTTAACCCCATCGCCATGCGTGGAGGGATACTCATGGGTCTCAGCTAACGTGACGCGCTCGTCATCCGAAGCGCAGCGCAAAACGTTGTCAGCCACATCCCGCGGTGGACTACATATCGGTCCCGTGAGAATGAATGTCGCAGCCCCGTTGGACACGACATAGCTGACCACATATGGAGACCCGTTCTCCGGATCCCGATATGCTACGGTTCGAAAACCCATGCGCGTGACCCAGTATGAGGCAGCTTATTTTGGATTCCCGACATACCAGTGGATATGGTCGAAGCCGATGTATTCAGGACCCAGTTTGGGAGTGATGATACCTTCGTTTTGGGAAATTGTCATTGTTGCGGTTGTTCAGGATGTAGGTTTTCGTCCATCCAGTTCGAAGGCAGGTCAACGGGAGTGGAATTGCGGTCTGAGTATTTATGCGCAATTTGATGTGGGCGGCTTGTTTCAGAGGGAAACCTTGGAAGGAGGAAAGTAGATTGATGGCATCTCTGTCAGACGTGTCACATTCTTTGCCCTGCAGCTTTGGATGGAGTGTTTTTCTATCTGATTGCAGGCATGAGGCAATGTTGAAGTCATCCATGCACGTCTGTGAACATGGACCCCTCCAGTAACCTTTGAAATCGTTGCCCAAGAGGGGGTAAATGCTGTTGATCCTCGTAGGAAAAGAATAGGGCGTTATGGCTCTGCCCGAGTTCTCTAATCGAGGGTTGAGGCAAAGGACAGCCAGGCTCTGTGGCTTCAACACCAGGATAAGGAACACCCCCAGATCCCTTCCTTCTGCACTTTGTGTACCCTAACGGATTGAAGATGTAATCTCAATCCAATCCCAAAAATCCACACAGTCCTCAAACATCATTAACAGGCTCAGGTCGGCTCTTGAAGAAAATCTTATACCGCACAATCTCAACAACCTCCAATTCCTCCCCACCCCCCTCGCCCTGATGTCTCTGCAAAACAGCAATAGGACGGGGCAATTTCTTCACTTCACCAGTCATACGCTGGTACCGGCCAACATAGAGATACGCGCGCTTCATCCATTTCGTGTCATCCGGGTTGTGCACGGAGTAGTCCGGGAACATGAGTTTTCCAATTGGGGTTTCGAAAGTTGATGCTGGGTTCGGGGCATTGGGATTGGGGCTGTCGGTCATTTCATCTTCGTTTGAGGTGGGGACATTGATTGTGCCTTGGAGTTCGAGGATGGCCAGGCCTGTTGGGGTTTGGAGGAGCGATGGGAGGGGGTTTGGGAGGGTTTGGGAGTTTGGTGCTTTTGCTCTTGATGAGCCTGAGGAGGGATGGAGTTTTATCGAAGGCATTTTGGGTTGGTTTTGTGTGTTGGACCGTTGACCTGTTGGAGTGTGATTAGTGAAGAGTAAAGTGGTGAGGCGCGTCGGGTCGCGTTTCGGTCTCCACTGCTTATCGGAGTATCGATGCGACTTGAGTATATGCGCTACTCTAGGCATTTTACACTACTTGTACTCTGAAATTAGAGTGATATGGGGTATGTAGGTTTTGATTATTGAAAACTAACCGCCTTTTACACCTCGTAATTCTCTGCACTGAGCCAATGTGTAAGAGGTCAAGCAGTCCAGGGTCGATACATGGGTGACCAGGTTGAATTGAAGCCAACAGATTTTGAGCAGCATGGACTTGGACGACGGGAGCGTGGGGTGAGGGCATTGAGCTATTCCCGGAGTTTGACTTGCACCCGCTGCAGAGCGACACTAATGTTCCGGGACATCCATCTCATCTAGCATAGATGGAGATGAGTCTATTTGTCAACTGAGGCAACAAGGCCAAAGTAGGCTTGACGGATGGGGCATTGATAGTGCCAGACAATAGCTGAGGTTGACAAGGGGTAGCGCTTGTGAAAAAGGCTTGGGATTGAAGCACACATAACTTGGGTGCTTGGTTAGGTAGAAGCTGTATATAGATCAGTCAAGGTTCTTCAATTGCCAGATCAAAACCACATACCTGCTTTCTTCAAAGAGATTACTCAACACTTGGTGCAGACACGTAACCGGCGGTTGATCAAGACATGCTATGCTTATAGCAAGAATCTTCCAAGTTCTGCAGACCCTTGATAGCCTCATTGGCCATATCATCAGCAGTCCCAGCTGGACCCTGCAATTTGCCATAACGGAGATCACTCATATCCCCAACAGTAGTAGTAAGTTGAGCCAAGATCCCCGCCGCCTCTCGGTCAATGGCAGCAATTTCCTGCTCAATATTGGTGCTAGCAGTCTCCATTGCAGCCAGCAAGCTATCCACCGAGTGATAATCTTCCGGTGCGGCAGACTGCGTCTGACCAAACAGATGAAGATCCATGTCGACCTCGCGCTGCTCATTGTTACTCGAGACCTCGACTCCAGTGGCAAGATAGGCTTTGCGTAGCTCAGCTTTCTGCTTGTCACTTTGCTTGATTTCATTGTCAATGTTTTCATTGACTCTGTCCATATCCTGTTCGCGAACTTGTTGTAGCTCCCGGTACAGGGTCCTGATGTGCGGGTGATTGCGAAGGCGCTTTGGAAAGAGTTCTGTGAACTTCTGCAGCGACATCATTGTCGGCAGCGGTGCTGGCGAGAGCAGGAAGTTGCTCAAGATGGACTCTTCTGTTGGTGCCATGATGACTGGAAGTTTCTTCTTGTTCTTGATTAGAGCAGTATTGAAGTCTGAACACGCGCACCACAGTTGACGCGAATAAGATTTCACGTGCAAAATGGGCAATACGATCAATGGAACATCAATCGTATAGATCGAAGAATGAAGTTATCGTGACAAGCGTAGAAAGTCGAGATGGATGCGCGTCGATGGTTGAGCGTTCCCGCCTTTTTCTTCAAGGGGTCGCGTTTCCTCTTCCAATCTCCTCGCGACATCGTCAGCCTCATTTCCCTCTCCCACCTAATCATCTTCTCTAACTTTGAGCTGGTCTCTGGTAGGACACGGATTGTGCACTACATTTTGACTTAATTTGTATCGACATCTTGCTCTACAATTGTCACCGCACCTGTTCTCTTCTTTTTGAACACGCAACGACCAATCAATCTCTAAAATTAAACAGAAAGTGCGTCTACGGATTTAGGCCATAGCAAGCTTTGACCGCCAGCTTCCACTTACTTTCCTGTGAGATCATCGCGAGATTTGCGCGAGAAGGCGAGCGTTTCTATTTCGCGAGCATTCGACCTCAGGGCTCGGAATCATCGCATAGATCGCCTGCACCTCCAACCCTTCTATCTTCTTTCTAATTCATTTACCATGGTTGTTTCCATGTATTCCAAGGACGAGAAGGTCCTTTGCTTCCATCATGACATCCTCTACGATGCCAAAATCCTGGATGTCCGCCACAAGGACCCCAACGACAAGAAAAGTGCCTTTGAGTACCAAGTCCACTATAAAGGATGGAAGAACACGTAAGTCTGACTGTCTCATCTGAAGTGCTCTCTGAATGTCCATCAACGGTCGTGGCTGTCGAGCCTGTCGAGCCTGTCAAGCCTGTTGCGCATGTCGTCGCCACGCGGGATGACCTGGAGACCTTGACCTCGATCTATATCCGCTCCATCCCATGGGCAGCCCCCTGCCTCTATCTACGTGGAGCATGCTTCCAGATACATTTCTATGTATATGACAAGCTCAGTAACTGGGATCATCATACTGACATTGACTAGATGGGATGACTGGGTCCTAGAAGACCGTCTGCGCAAGCACACAGAAGACAACCGTGAGCTAGCCAACAACCTACGCCGCGAAGCCGAAGCATCAATCCGCCAAAAGTCCACCAAGGCAAGCGCAAAGAAGCGCGCCGCTTCCGACCGTAGCTCTGTGCGCGACAGCGAAGAACGTGGCAACTCGGTGCCGGGCCGTGGCACGAAGCGAGCTCGCGACAATGACATCGAAAAGGTAAGAAAAAACTACTCCAATCAAAGCTGACTCCATAAGAAAAACAAAAGATCTCTTAAACTTTGAAGTCCGACGGCTAACAGCCCCCCCCAGGAAGAAAGCTTCCACATGCGCCCCTCAGTCCGCATCGTGATGCCAGACAATCTCAAGTCCCTCCTAGTCGATGACTGGGAACAAGTAACCAAAAACCAATGCGTGGTCTCGCTTCCATCCCAGAGCCCCGTCCGCCAGATCCTAAAGGACTGGTACGAGGAAGAGCAGCCGAAGCGAACCAGCTCAGCAGCCGACCAGGACGTGCTTGAGGAAGTGATTGCAGGACTCCATGAGTATTTCGACAAGTGTCTTGATAAGATCCTCTTGTACCGCCACGAGCGCGCGCAGTACCGCGGTCTGCGGAAGAAGTTCGAGGCTGTCACCGGGGAGTTGGCTAATAAGGGACCTATTGATGTCTACGGTGCCGAGCACTTGATCCGTCTTTTCAGTAAGTTTGCCTGTTTAATTCGAGTCTTTTGTAATTTCCCGCTTAGATTGGTTGGGTTCCTTTTTCTTTTGGATTTTTTGCTAATCTTCTTTTCTTTGGTAGGCACCATGCCTGAGCTCATTGCTCAGACAAACATGGATATGCAGGCAACTAACCGTCTGCGTGAAGAGATTTCTAAGCTTGCCATGTGGTTGAGCAAGCATTCTGAGAAGTACTTCACCACACAATATTTGCCGGCGGAGGAGACTCACTGAGTTCTGGGTTTGATGTTTTTGCTTCATGATGGAGGGTGACTTTCGCGACAATTGATATCAGTTTGAATTGATTATTTAGATTTCAGCATTCAATTTTCTTTTTACTTCTTCGCCAGACAGCCGAGGTTTGGATCTTCTTCTTTGATTGTCGTATTTTCGGAATTCGTCACTTCTGTTCGTAGCGACGGAAGGTGTAGATAGGAAACAACCTTGAATGGATAAGAATCAGGCAAACGCACTATTCATCTACACAATGAAGAAAATATCCAACATCAAGAAGGAAACGTACGTATTCTCAACTGGATGTCTCAATGAAAACGTAATGAAGCCACCACGACCATCACAGAGCCAGAGATCAAGACCTTTCCCCTCAAATACAGTATCTCGAATGCAAAAAAATCCAATCCCACACAATACACAACTAAAAGAATTCACAATATCCACAACCCAGCTAAGCAACAAGCTGCCTAGCATCATCAACAGCACACCTAGCCGCTTTCTTAAGCTCACTCTTCCACTCGGCCTCACGCCATTTAGCCCAAGTACTCAGTCCCTCCGGCGGCTGAATACTCAAAGTATCATACCCCTGCCTGATAATCCGATGAACCTCGCGCGGACTGAGATTCTTCTTCCGAATAGAAGGCAAAGGCACAGAAGCCGGTTCATCGGGCTTAGGACTTGCAGCAGCAGCAGCCGCCGCCGCATCACCGCCCTCCGAATGGAAAAGCAGGGTATAGAAATGCGTCGAGACAGATTGGAGTGTATCAATAGCTGCAACAGTCTGTTCGACACCGGGCTCGGCCCTGGATGTGCTTGAACTGGTGAAAGCATACGCAGCGCGGAACTTGGAGATGATGGGACCTGTTTCGACGAGTTTGTAGAAGAGGTCGTCATAGGAAGATGGGTCTGGGAGGAAGGTGTCGCCGCCTGAGACGCAGAAGGCGATTAGATCGGCCAGAGAAGATGTTAGGGTTTGGATCTTTGGGTTGGTTGTTAGGTCGCTTGCGTAGGTTGTTAGGAAGCGCATTAGAGAAAGAAGGGTGCGCCAGAGTTCGGACCAGTGGTATGTTAGTCTGATTTTGTTTTTTGAGAGGTGGGTTAGGAGCCGGAGGGTTATTGCGATTGCGTGGCTGGATTTGTTAGTTTTTGCAAACAGGGGCATGGAGAAGGTGTGTTCACCTATAGAGATTGACGTCCAGACGTCGACGGAGGTTGTGGGTGATTGTATCGATCATGATGTCGAATATGATTGTTGCTAGGACTCTATCTCCGCTGACTAGAGGGAGGTAGGGCTGTTTCTGTCTGCATATGCGGACTTTTCGTTTGCCATCTTCGTTGCAAATGTGTTTGCAGATTGTTGGGTCCTCGACTAATATGCGCAGAGTAAATAGGGTGAGTTCGGCGTAATGTCCAACCCGTGGGGATCGGTACGCATGTTGCAAAAGATATGAGGTCAATGAGAGGAAGCTCGAGAATGGCGATTCTTCCTCGTTCTTCTCGGCTTTCGAATGAACAAGATGGTAGCCGAATAGCTTGTTGGCGTTTGTGAAGTCGTATGTTGCCATGAGAATTGCGGCTTCTTGGGCAGGACTGGTATGATGTTAGTCAAGAATAGCAAGTGATATTCGGAGAAGACTTGCAGTTCAGCGAAAATTGCCTTCGCTTCTTCCGCGGTAGGAGGATTGGCCTTTTCTCTGGCACCGGGTGCAAAGGCTCGCAATCCAAAGAAGATCAATGTATTGGTCAAGTTCCAGCCCTCTGGGATGTCATCCTGTACGGCAATGTAGCCGTTACGCAGACCGCCACAGGCGAGGCCGACGCCTTTGGCAATCTTTTCAATGCTTGACTCGTTGACAAAGTCGTCAAGTCGAAGCTGGTAGGGATTTTGGAACTCAAACTTGTTGTAATTTGCCAATAATCCCAAAAGAAGAAATGGGTCAAAGACTCGCATTGGGGTATCAGATTCGGATACATACTAAGTGCTGTTAGTGATCCATTATAATAAGAATGGAGAGACTAAGTACCTTCATCAGTGATGGGAAAAGATCTCTGTGCGTGAGATAGGATACCAGGCTGGTTTTGTAGGCCCCGCTGGTCATTGCGACGGCTGTCCTGATGGCTTTGGGCCGCACATCGACTAACAAAGTTAGTTTCATATATTCAAAATCACATCAGACAGGAAGCTCACAGCTTTTGCCACTGCGGATAATCCCATCCAAGACGGCCACAAAGTCGGAGATGACATGGTCCACTTCGTCGAGTCCTGCAAGAACGGTGATGACATCTGAGCTAGGGTTTGTGTACTTCTTGCCCAGGATACTGGTCAAGAAAATTGTCAAGGTCTAGAAAATTGAGTTAGAGCGCCCCTTTAAACATTCCATCAAGGACACTCACATCCAATGCATAAGAATCCGCAGGGGCAACCCCTGCAGCTGCCTCGCGAATGGCACGGGTGAATAGCAGCTGAGTTTGAGTCTAAACATTGAGTTAGCCAGGTAATCTCCGTGGCAATGGGTGCAGCTTGCCTGTAAGCTTAATATATCATCTGGACTCAAATGGTCTAGAATGGCATGCAGTTGGTTCCGATCCGGGGGGAGCAAGAAGAACTCCCTCCAGAAGCCCTCAGAAGGGTCTAAGTCGTCTGCATTCTAATTATCAGGGCTGAGTTAGTATTGCAACTCAATTGATGTTCTGGAGTTCATACTTTGAAGAGGTTCTCATAGAGCTGCACAATCTTAGGCTTGAAGGACTCAGGTCGACTCTGCAGGGTCAAGGGAGAAGCTTCCATGGTTCAAACAGAGACACGGGTGATCTGCAGTTGAATCACCAGCATCGGCAGAAAAGAGGTTAAATTGCAGAGTCGAGGTCTATTCACGAGCTTGGAGTTCATTGAGCAACCGTCTTGGGCACCAGCCACTTTGTCAGCAGATCCAGCCACATGTCCTTTCTACATTGATACTTGGCATTTACGAGTGTTATAAGAGGTTTGAATGTAAAAATCTAGTATGACGGTCTAGGGGCATGTCTGGATAATCGTCATATGCACTTTGATGCCAATCCCCGCCACTTAGCTGCATTTGGAGCCCTTGGGGGCTCATGAGGGGTGAGCCAGGCACTCCGAAGAACGGAATGCCCTGTGCCTGGTGATGACTCAGCTTCCGAAAAACGCAGAGTCACTCTCACCTGATATATTATGATCTCACAGCAAGTAAGAGGTAAGATATGAAATGTAGCCAGCCGAGCCCTCCAAGGTTGTCGTACTGTCAAGGTCCCCACGGCTGAGTCAAACATTAAGAGAAAAAGAGCAAGGCGAACAGTGGCGCCATTGTGTGTAGAAACATCTCAATGCTTATTGGTCGGTTCTGCGTCATGCAACTGGTTTAGGTAATCCACCCGGGGCCACGGGGGATTCTCAAAACAGTCAGAGATTCTTCTTTCAACTTTGGTCTTTCACACTACCACATCCACCTTTACTTTCATACAGTATCCTATGAGTTTATAGCATTTCTCTCTGAGACGCTTTCTCTCTTCACATTGCTCCGAAATCATGAGCTTCCACACCATGCAGCGCTCAGTGACATCATCCGCCACACTCCTCCGACGGGCAAAGCCCTCGGCTGGACACCTGCGGACTTTCTCATCATACGGAAATGCACACCTCTCCTCCAAGCGGGACATGCAGACTGCAACAGCTTACCGTCCTCACACCCTTCCCTCCTCTTTCCCGCCTCCCCGAAGTAGCGGTGGCGCCGACACTTCCATCTCCGCTGAATTCCCTCCCTCCGACTCAAAATCATCTCAGACTACCTTTCAGAACGGTGCATCACCCAATGTGAGCCTTCGGGAAGGTGAAGCGCAAAAATCGAAACCCACCTCCGCTTCCCCGAAGACTTCCCCGAAACCCCGTCGGCCACTTCGGCCAAGGAAGGCAGCTATGAAATTGTCCGCGGTGGCCACTGAGCAACTTCGGAAATTGATGGCCCAGCCTGAACCCAAGTTTATTCGGGTCGGTGTCAAGAACAGGGGCTGCTCTGGTCTTGCTTACCACCTGGAGTATGTGGAAAAGCCGGGCAAGTTCGACGAAGTCGTTGAACAGGACGGTGTCAAGGTCCTCATTGACAGCAAGGCCCTTTTCAGCATCATTGGCAGTGAAATGGACTGGCATGAGGATAAGCTGAGCCGACGCTTCGTTTTCCGCAACCCCAACATCAGTAAGTGGCCCGTGCATCTGCCATCCCATCATTTTCAGTACTAACCTATCACCATAGAAGAAGAATGTGGATGCGGTGAATCCTTCATGGTCTAAGCCTTCATACATGTTTCTTTTACGGGTTCCTCGGCGTCTTCTTACCAGTGCATCGGATGGCGTTTTCAAAGGGGGTTGGGATACAATCACTCTTTTATTTCAGTACATACGCTTGATACCAGTCGATACATTTCACGTTTCCATTTATTTCGGCATTCTCTCTTTCACATTTCAATGGCTCTGGCTTGATTCGGGTACTAGCGGGCTTTTTCATAGAGACAGGCTCCATCGCTATTGTTTTCTTTTGTTGCTGGACATTCTTTCGAATCCTGCCACAACAGCCATCGGATATCACTAGATATCTTTATGTACAACGCATAGATTAGTCTTAGGACAATGATGACATGTCATATACACCTGTTACATCCCACCTTTATCTGATCTAGATGATCAATCTGATGGACTCGATAATAGGCAAAAAAGAGGCCAAAGAGAAAAACAAAGTAGGTACCGTAGGCAATATCAAGAGTCGTATAGTCGCTCTGCAGCTTTCGTATAGAATCGTCCAGTAATTTATGGCATGATGCACACTTATGACCTCGGTTCAAAATTCCCATACTGTACCTCAATACGTCATCTCTGGTAGATCTATTCACTTTCAATGTCCAAACTATATTTATATCTGAAACAACAGCTTATACTGGTCTAGGTATCACATGACGTGATATTCTGGGGTCCGAGGCGCGGAATGGGGTAATCACCGCATCTCCAACATCAATTACAACCGCATCCACCACAAATACATTCTACGGTCTATCTACATGACTGACATCCGACTACCATGGCTTCACCATTCCTATCCCCCTACACATCAAGCGACAAACCCACAGACCTCCTAATAACAGTCCGCTTCTCCGCCTCGATCCCCGATCTCCAACTCGACGTACCAGACCCGGAAATTACAACAGGCGCAGGTCTCAAACAATTAATCCGCGCCGAGCTGCCCCCAGATCTCTCACCACACCGTCTCCGTCTCATCTACGCTGGCCGGGGTCTAGAAGATACAACCGCCTTAACAGTCTCACTCAAGCTCCCGCCATCCCCAAGCCGCAGTCCAGGCTCTATATCAGAAACAGAAGAACAAAGCGAAGCCACAACCGACAGTGTCAAAGGCAAGCAGCCCCTACGAGACACACGACCGCGACTTTACATCCACTGCTCAATAGGCGATATCGCACTCTCCGAATCGGACCTAGCAAATGAAGCAGGAGTAGCCTCAACACACCTCCTCCAAGAAAAGAAAAAGAAAGCCTCAAAAGATGCAGTCTCAACTCTCTTCCCGCGCTCCGGCCAATCCAACCTCCAATCCAACTCCAACTCCCAACCCACACAAACCAACACAACAACCCCCGCACCACGCGGCTTCGACCGCCTCCTAAGCGCAGGCTTCACAAGCTCAGAAGTAACAGCCCTGCGCTCCCAATTCCTGGCCGTGCAATCCGTCTCCCACACGCGCGATACAATGCCCACAGGGGATCAATTACGCGATTTGGAAGATAGATGGATGGACGAGGGGTCGACGGCGGCGGGTGTGGCGGGTGGTAGTGGAGGGGGTGTAGCTGGAGGAGATGATGATGGGAGTATTGGGGCTGGGTCGCGCGGGGCGATGGATGATATGTTGTGGGGAGCTGTTATGGGGTTCTTTTGGCCTGTTGGGTGTGCTATGTGGTTGAGGAGGGAGGAGGGGGTTTGGAGTTGGAGGAAGGGGGTTGCTGTTTTTGTGGGGGTTGTTGTTAATGCTGCTTTTGGGATGATGAGGATTATGGGGTAGAAGAGGTGTATAAGGGGATCTGTGGATAGGTTGTTCTTATATTTTGGTTTTGTGTTTACTATGAGATACCCCCATTTGAAATTATTATATTAGGTTATGCAATGGTCATCAGTTCTTTCGCACATCCATATTTATATGACCTGGATCTTTAATTTGAGGCTTCGAAAATAGATAAAGAGAGGCGGAAAAGAGAGGGCAAATGTGTATGGACTGTCCGAAACTGAATGGCACTTGTTCTGTTGCATGGACTTGAAGTGTTGTCACTTGGTTTAGATATCGAGTGTTGAGCTAGAGACCAGGCAGTGAAGCTGTATCAAGTCTCGCCGAATGCTATCATACAAATGGCAAAGATGCGACAAAGACAAAAGAGTCTCGCATAGAAGAGAAAGAGACATAAACATAAAAAACACCAGTATACAAAACGCCAGCTTAACCCCAACGCTAATGGAATTTGCTGTAAATAACGGCGAAAATCAACAGCACCAAGACAGTAATGATAGCAATAGTAATCATCCGATTCGTAGCCATCCTACGTGGACTCGGCGTCAGCAACATGCAACAAGATCAATCAGGGAAGGGCGAACAGGGAGTCAGTACCTACGGGCCATGCCCCTCAAAGTCTTGATACTAGTATCAACATAACCCTCACTCTGCTGCAGATTGTTGCGCGCATTAGTGATCTGCTCGCGCTGCTCGTACAGCGTGCCGAGCGTGCCGCGCGCAACATCCTCTGTATCAAGCGCCATGCGCTGACTCTGCTGCAAGCGGGCAGAGCTGCGTTCTAGCCTGTCCGTCCCGGAGAGCAACTGCTGTCTTTGTTCGAGGTGCTCATCCTGCGGCTCGTCGGTGTACCTATCTCCGAAGAGGGCCTGTCGATCATCCGAGAGGGACTTGAGCTTGCGCTTAACTTCGTCGATGTCTGTTGAGTAGTTGCGGAAACGGACGTTTACTTTTGACCGGGCTGATGAGGGGATGTTCTGCTTCTCCATGCGTAGTTGGTCGAGCTATTGGGGGGCGGGTCAGTTAGCTTTCCGGCTTCGTTTTTGGTCCACTGGGACTTGTTCCCTTGCGGCGCATGAGTGCCTTCCTCGGGTACTGTGCACTCACCAGTTCTGTCGCTTCGTCGAGGACTTGCTCTGCATTGGCGATTGCGGATTTCCGTTGCTCGCCGCTTGCCTCGGCGATCTGGTCCAGCTTCTGGTTCAGGTCGGCTTGCACCAGCTTCAGCTCGTTTTCGTAGCTGGCGAACATCTCTGAGCCGGCGTCTGTATCCATGGTGTTTGCCATAATGATTGTGAAATATGTGTCGGGAGAACAAAGGTGTCAACGTGGTTGATGTTGATGAAGGCTCCACCTTTATCTGGGGGGCGGGTGACTTTCAATAGCGCTGAGTGGCGGTTCGGTCAAACGTGCCAAGACTGCCCTTGGTGATAACAGAGTGAACAATGGCTTTCGCAAAGAACTAGAAGCAAAAGACTCAAATTGGAAGAAATATCAATGCGATAGGATTAGTTGGGACAGGAACGGGTGATGATGCCGAGTCACACGTGATCCCGATTTGGGTTGCATCGAATAATCTCTACTTTTCTATGTGCTATCCGACTACGTCGAGTAAAGAAATAAGTAAAATGAAATTTGATACATAGCATTAGCGTAAACCAGGCCCACAAAGCAATTCGCCTTTTCCATAAACATCCAACATACCCCAACGGTATACAAGATCATAGAACTTCAAATGTGACAGCCAGTCATGACAGGAACTTGTCGCTATCCTGGCCGACAATGATAGCACTTCGCTTGGCATCCAGGAAAAGATCCTCACACTCAGCAACATCAGCCTCCTCGATGCCACCGGGGCGGCCGTTGACGCGCGCAAGAATGCTGGCGGGGGTCAACAGCTGCAGAGCGTAACGCAAGCTGACCTTGCTGCCATGTTCGGAGACCTTGTTGAGGGCAGGTTCGGTGATATTGAGACCCTCAATCTTGGCGCGCAGGCGGATGATGGTCTTAATCTCATCAGGGGTGTAGGGGTTGGTGGGGATGATGAGAAGGCGGGCAAGGAGATCGGGAGGAATGCCGTGGGCAGCGCTGATATCGTCGGTGCCACGGATGACTGTGTGGCCACGGTTGGAGGCAAGAATGACGATCGGGGAGATGGTCGATTCAAGAGCACGGTTCAAATATGTGAAGCACTCAATGTCGAGCATGTGAACCTGAATGTTGTTAGCTACAGTTTACGATGAATAAAAGATATTGGCTTACCTCGTCAATGAACAAAACACCAGGAACCAACTCGGCGACACCCTGGTCAATGTACCGGTTGACAACCTTGTTGATCTCCTGGCGTAGTTTGTCCGTAATTTCCGTCTTCTTAGGCTTCATCAGCTGGCCCATCATGCTCATCACATCCTGACCACCCTGTGGCCGGGCGTTGGCCATATCGAGATCGTGAAGAGTCACATCCTGGACAATCTCCTTCTTCTTGTGGACCTCGCCCTTGGGAACAGGCACATACTCCTCTGCCTCGAGATCGAATTCAGTCGCATAGGCATCGGATCGGCCGACACGCTTGCATGCGCCGGTGTTAGCTTCAATGTAAATGACATCTCCGACGGTAACACGCTCCTTCTGGATGGCCTCATAGATGCTAGGATCCAGGCGGAGCTTCTTGCTGCCCTTGGCGGACTTCAGACCGATGACCAGGTGGCTAATTGTGCGTCCATATCCACCCAGAGGGTTCTCGGTCTCTTCGGGGGTAAGTTCGGTCACTTCACCCTCGTACACTTCCTTGGTTTCGCGAACACGGAGACCTATCATGGTTAGCCTGCTATCCATACTCGCTCGGCCTTGTCGCATTCATACCGATAGCTCTCCGGAAGTTCTCCATCAATGCCTCGGTCTTCTTGACCTCTGCGGAGTAAATTTCGCTGCCGACGATGGGACAAAAAGGAACCTTGGTTCCCAGCTCCTGTGATACAGCAAGAGCCAGAGCAGTCTTTCCGGTACCGGGGCCACCAGCAAGCAGAACAGCACGTCCAGCCATCTTTCTCGCCTTGATCAAGTCCACCACAATACCGCATGCCTGTATCGATCGATAGGGTTAGCTATCTTTCCTGCACCAAAGCCAATGAATCCAGTATTGCTTCCTTACCTCACGGGCAGCTGCTTGTCCCACGAATCCATCTGCAGAGGTTTCCGAAGTACCATCAGAGCGCAATCCAAGGCCCCGAATGTGTGTATGCGCCGCGGTTCTGTTCTCGCGCGAGTTGCCCTTAACTTCACTGATCTGAACCATGATTGGGAGAGGTGTGACCGCGTGAAGCCACAGGTATCAGCGAAAGTTGAATCAATGGGTTGAAAAGTCGAAAAGGAACGAAAAGCAAAGCTTCGAAGAAACAAGACAGATAGAAAAGGGAGGTAACGCGATGAATCTCAGAGGGACATGCTTCTGGCCGAAATTCGCGAGCAAGGGATCGTCAAATGAGAGAGCCGCGCCAAAGGCGGTGAACCACCCCAAATTCTTCCCTGGCTTCACTTCATCTCCGCTTGTTGTCCGACGGCTTATTGCACTCTCGACGACCCAGAGTTCAATCTCCGATCACAATGGCAGGCCTACTACCACGATCTGCCATGGTGGCCCCATTCTCCCTGGCCGCGGCCTTCCGAAGCCTTTCCATCGCCGCTCCAAAGCGAGCTTTCTCAACGACACCAGCAACGCAATCAGTCCCCAAATTGCCTGAAGATGCCCCCGTCTACCCCTACGGCCCCAACCGATGGTACAAGCAGTCCAACAGCGGTCTCTACGGCGGAGCCATGATCCGATTCGGTAACAAGATCTCCAAGGGTCGCAACGAAGGCAAGACACGACGAAGCTGGAAGCCCAACGTTCGCCGGAAGAAGATTCCCAGTGAAGCACTCGGCGAAGAACTGTTCATCAAGGTCACTCGACGCTCATTGCGCTCAATCCAAAAGGCAGGCGGTCTAGACAACTACCTGCTCTCTGATCGCCCGCGACGTCTCAAGGAGCTGGGTCCGTTCGGTTGGAGCCTCCGACACCAGGTCATGCAGACGCCATCTATCCAGGCACGTTTCGATGCGGAGCGCGCCCAACGGAACATTCCCAAACCTCCCACTTTTGAGGAGTTCCTCGCGAGCAAGAAGACGGAAATGGAGCAGAAGATGAAGGACTTGGATATTGATGCCCTGACCAAGCCTCGTCCTTTCGGTCGTCAGTTCAACAACGTGCGCACGAAGGAGTAAGCTGGACGGCAGACGATTGAGTTGATTCCTCGCATGTCGGGAATGGATAGGCGCTTGTATCATTATCCTAAAGAGCGGCGGATGATTTCTTGAGCACCACGAATTTTGTCATCTTCGCCCTATTCATTTCTAAGAAAATGATGGTGAGAAAGATTTCGCCTGGGTGCAGTGTTTTTTTTATTTGAATTTGCATATTGGGTCTTCTATGTACTTATACTCCAATCTTACATCGTGTTTACTATTAAGACCGTGATCAGCTCCAGGCCATACCTAATACTTGGATTATATTGAATATTGCTGCAGCCTTCTGCTTGCAAGCATGTCAAAACTCAGCAGACCCGAAAAGAAGAGGAAACATCAAAGTCTCATCATCAACCCCAAATCCACCCCTAATCCCACCCTCGAGCGGATCATACCCCGGAACATCAACAGCAACGGGCGCAGCATGACCAGTCCCCCGAAAGAAGGGACACTCAACAGAACACAAATGACCCCGAAACCCACCAGACAAAACCTGATGGTGCGGCTCGGCAAAACCACTAGGGAAATCCTCCGTAACCATCTCACGAATCATCCGCAAAACTCCTCGATGCATGATAATGGACGTAAGTAAAGGCATCTGGGACTTAATGTATGAAGCAGCCTCCACCGAGATTCGTCTCGGTGCATCATCAACGACCATTCCATACACTGGGATTTCCCGTGCTAATGTATCAAACACATCACGCAAAGGCTCAGCTTGGGTCCATCGCTCGGCGAGAATAGCTAGTGCGGTTGAACAGGCTCGTAGTGCTTCGGGGACTTCGCGAGATTTATATGCTGGTGTTTGGTGTTGGAGTGGTGTAGCCCAGAAGCAGTAGAGGAGTGTTATCCCTACGGCAACTTGGCTTAGAAGCTTGATGCAATAATTAGCATATGTAAGAAGGGAGGGATATGGTATCTAGTACATACGCCGGGCCATAATTGAGCTGTCTGTCGATCTTTCTGAAAAGTCCTGAATGTCAAGACAATCTGAACACAAGCCGGGACGGAACGGTCTCCAAAGCCGTCGCAGACGTTTTCTTTCGTGGGCTGGTGTAATAAGAGGATGGTATAGTTGTATGCCATACCGACCCATCGGTCACTCGTGTAGCTTTTCGATGCTACATCGCTCAGTAGACGGAGTTGGGATCTCCAGGCATCTAATTCTCCGAGCATGTGCTCTCGCCATGTTGTTGAGGTGTTTATCTCTTCAAAGTCAGACCGCATCATTGTACTGATGATGCGGGATTGGATTCGCCTACATCGGAATAGATGTAGAGCGGGTGAGACGTGGGTTTTCTGGGATGGTGTTTCTATTCGGACGCAGCTGTCGTCTGAGCCGTGGCGGTGGAGGTCTGCGTCTCCGACGTCTGAAAAGAGCTGTCGTTGTTAATTCAATGAAAGAGCCACATTGAAAGAGCCATAGGGGATAGGGATTATGACGGTACCTCCACGCTGATATGCTCGTCGACGATATTGTTTGGGATATGATAGATCCAACTGATAAATCGATCCAGAGCATAGGCAGACCAGAATACTCGACGGCGGGTTTGGACCTCCAATGAAAATACTGGATTCGGGACTTTCGGCTCGCTCTCAAATAGGTGGAGCTGGGCCATGACACAGTACCTCATCGTTGCGGATACCATGGTGATGATCATTTGCGATGAGGGTGAGTGAAGTGCATGTAGTGTTAGGAGTAGATACGCTTGTGCATGCAGGATTAGATCAGGCTGCGCGAAGACGTAGCCGAGGTATTGCAAAGCAGTATTATATAAAGACTGAGCAGTCAGGTCTTGCTCTTAGTTCTTTCGGCTTATATAATTCGCACTTACCTGAGACGTGGCGATATCACTTTCTGACACTCGAGGCGTCAAAAGTAGGGCAACAGCATGCACCTAAGAGGATATTAGTATAATTGGATATGGAAATAACCCCAACATACTATGGTAATGAAATAATCCTTCCATAGACCTTGCTGATGCCTAACCCTATCCAGATGTGAATGAGCCTTCCACGACTCATACCAGCCAAGGAATGTATCGCGATGAAGGAAAGGATATCGTGGGTTGACTCTCTCGAGGTAAATATGAACCAGTCGATCAGATGCTTCCCTTGAAAGGCTGATTGGACGATCTGATTGGGATATCTGATCTGTGAAAGGAGATGGTATGCTGACGTCCGGGGTTTTAGTCTGTGCAGCAGAAGATACATAAGAATTGGAGTTTGCCAGTGTGGCTAGTATACCGATCAACAAGCTTGAGTGCCCGCATTGGCCTTGTGGAGGCGGTAATGTCTCTCTCGCATTCGAGGATGGTAACGGTGGTGTCTGGCGTGGGCCAGTGGATGCTGGGAGAGGAACCTGAGCCGCTTGGGGATTTGAAGATGATCCATATTGGGACAAATTTTGATATAGTCGCCGTCTTGAAGCACGAGGATCAATGTCTGATTCTGGCTCTGAAATTGCGCGCTCGAATGTCCTCTTATTCGACAAAGACCCATCGTTTCTCGAGCGTGGAGTGTCCTGCGCTATTCCCTGTCGGCTGACTGGGGAAGTATGCTCTGATACCCGTCCTGCCTGGGATTCGAGATCCATGATCCTCTCCTCGAGTGCTTTGGCATATCTATAAACAGATTAGTAGTAAATTCCGCAACAGACTGGTGGATCTTACTCGGCACTGACACGAGCCCTGCGTGTCACCGGATCAGTCGATATACATTCTATCAGATATCAGAGAAGTGCTAATTCCTCTTGCATAGTAGAGAATCACCTTCGCCCGCCGTTGCACAGTTCTCACAGGGTCTGTTGCCAGTACACTAAACAGGTTAGTCCGCAATGGCATCCTGCAGTCAAATAAGCTTACTCTTTGCTTCCGAGAGCGACACCTTTGACAGGCCAATGGTTTCTGTCTCTTGGCTGAATGATCTCCCTCCATCGGCACTTGTCGGCATCGAAGTAGATGCATCGGAGAATGACATCCGACTTTTCTAGAGTATGAGTGCACGTGACGATGACTCTTAACAAACTATTAAGGAAAGTAGACGACAGACTTTCTTCTTGCTGTTTCAAGCGTTCTCTCTCAGATAGTTGGTATTCCAATAACACAGAGCGCTCTACTCAAGCATCTAAACTCCATGTCCGAGTGCCAAGAGTAAAGTGCCGAATAGTCAGTCTATCGGCGTCTAAAAGTCCGTCGGGGGTTAGATGTCCGACAAGAACCCCGGATTAAGTACTTAACAGATGAACCGTTATAAAGGATAAAATATCTTCGCCTCTTTCTCTCTCCTGCCTCCAAATCCTTACTCTAACAGAATCAAACAATGCCTCAAAAGATCACCGTCGCAGTGGCGCAAGCCCGCACACTCTCTACACTAGAGACAACTCTAAATGCCCTGAAGCAAGTGACTCAACACGCAGCTTCAAAGGGAGTACACCTCCTCCTCTTCCCAGAAGCCTACCTAGGAGGGTATCCCCGCACCTGTGATTTTGGCACAGCAGTAGGCGCCCGTGAACCACATGGTCGCGATCAATTCCTGGAATATTTCCGCTCCGCAGTCGACCTGGGCGATACACCTACTGGAGCTGGTGATGACTGGGTTGAGCGGAAACTACCAGTGGCAAAAGGGCGGGATTATCGAGGTGATGGAACTAGAGAGTTTCTTGAGAAGGTGGCGCGCGAGACTGGAGTGTTCATTGCTACTGGGTTGATTGAACGGGCTGGAGGCAGTTTGTATTGTTCCGCTTTGTATGTCGATCCCGTGCGGGGTGTGTTGGGGAAGAGGAGGAAGGTTATGCCCGTATGTGACCCCCTTGTTGTTGTCTTTTTTTGTTTTTTTTGTTTTTGATGATATTTGGGAGACTGACAGTTACTTGGTACTGGAAAAGACTGCCTCGGAGCGTCTTGTTTGGGCACAGGGTTCGCCTTCCACCCTCAAGGCTATTACCACTGAGCTGAATGGTGTCAAGCTTACCATTGCTGCTGCGATCTGCTGGGAGAGCTTCATGCCCATGCTTCGGCAGAGTCTTTATTCGCAGAATGTGAATCTCTACCTCGCGCCCACGGCTGATAGTCGTGATACTTGGTTGCCTCTTATGCGCACGATTGGTGGCGAAGGTCGCACCTTTGTGCTCTCCTGCAACCAGTGTGTGCGCTATAACGAGCTTCCTTCTTGGATTACCCAGCAGGGCAATGCTTCCAAGGGTAAGACACACCGGTTCTCCAGATAACTTGTAACACGAACCTGACTGTCTCTAGACATCCCCGATCACTATATTTCGCGCGGTGGCTCTTGCATCGTGGGACCCCTCGGCGAAGTCGTGTCCGAGCCCATTTGGGAGGTCTCCACTGATGACGCCGACGGTTCAAAGATTGGAGATGGGCTTGTGATCTCCGAGATTGACCTCGAAGATTGTGAGCGTGGTAGACTTGATCTGGATGTCGCGGGAAGCTATTCGCGAAATGACGCGTTCAAGCTGTCGGTTGAGGGATTGGATCTGAATCCTCCTCCGTTCTAGACGTGTGGGGCCTCGGGCTTATATAGTCCTGTATGCGTTTTTATATAAAATTCCAAATCTGTATATGTTCTATTTTAACGTTCTTGGGTTTTCGAAAGATAAGTTAAAACCTTAGCAAGTTTAAAATCATAAGTGTGAGTCGTAATTCGATATGAAGCCAGGAACGCGATGGATATATATAGAGGGACACAGGTGCACTGTATACCTCAAATTGAAAATGATAATCAATGTAATCTCATTTGATTTCCGAGTATAAAAAGATAACACAAGTAATAAGCCAATCAGTCATAAACCCTGAATCAATTACTCTCTGGATGCAGATGGAAGCCCGTTGGAATGCAAGTGACGCATTCGGAGGGAAGCTCGGAACGGGATCAACTTCGGGATGATCTCCCTCCTTCACACTCCAACATCTCCAACTCAAGTCAACAGTATTATGATTTGAACCTGATACTTGATTACCCTTCCAGTCTGGCACTGGGGAGAATGCAATTCGCCGTACCTCCGCGGAGGAGTCCGCTCCCAATCGCACGATCATCGCGAACACCCTACCGAAGAAAGCAGCTCAAGACAATCGCTATCTTCAGCTTCGCAATCCTCTCCCTCCTCTACCTCTTACACCACTTCTTCTCCTCAATCTCGACATCCGTCGCCGCATCAGCAGGCACGTCAGGCGTTGTCATCGTCACACTACTTGATCGCAAACAATTCAGTGAGAGCTATGTGAAGAAGATCATCGCAAACCGGGAAGATTATGCAAAGCGCCACGGTACATATCCTAACCCTCAAACAAAAACTAAACTAACTCCACACACAGGGTATACAACCTTCTTCGCCAACACAGCCGACTACACCGAAGCAATCGGCGACGCCCCACAAAGCTGGACCATAGTTCCAGCAGTGCGCCACGCACTAGCAACACACCCCAAAGCAGCATACATCTTCCACCTAAGCCCGCACTCCCTAATCATGAACCCGAGCAAATCACTCAAATCCCTTATCCTCGAGCAAGGCCGGTTGGAATCGCTCATGTTGAAGGATACACCCGTCGTCCCACCAGACAGTATCATCAAAACATTCACACATCTCCAAGAAAAGGACGTGGATCTGATCCTCACGCAAGACAAGGAGGATCTCAACCCTGGCAGCTTCATCCTCCGGAATGGAGAGTTCGCTAGATTCTTCCTTGATATTTGGTTTGATCCGTTGTATCGCAATTATAATTTCGCCAAGGCGGAGATTCATGGGTTGGTATGTTTATCTCGCTTTCCTGTGGTGGTGTGTTAGAGATTGTTGGCTGACTTGGGGCTTGCTATTTAGGATCATATCATGCAATGGCACCCAACTGTCCTTGCCCGCACTGCCTTGGTACCTCAGCGAACATTGAGTTCGTATGGAAAGGATTCCCCGGCTGCGTCGTTGGATGGGGTCTACCAGGATGGTGATCTTGTTGTTCATTTCCAGGGCTGTGAGGATGCCGAAAAGGGCCGTGATTGCGTGTCCGAATTCGAGCCGTATTATAAGTTATGGCTTAAGAAGGTTAAGAGTGACTAGACTCATTGTCTTGACTTTTGATTCTTGACTTTTGACTCGCTTGCTTGCATGATGGAATATGAGTGGCGTCTGGGATAGATGGGATTGTATTGATAAACTAGACTGTTTGATTATTTGTAGGATTGGCGTTTGTGGGATATTTCTTGTATAATGTTCCGGGTTTTGTCGCCATTTGGTCGAGGGCTTCAACATATAGCGGTTGTCTTTGCTTTTACATTGCATATGGTCGAATGGTGCACTATTATCATTTTCACTATTTGCTATGTTCCCTATTTTGGAGTAATACATTGCTTGATGTTATCAGCAATTGGTAAATAAATCTTTTCTCGTGACCATCGATGTCGATCGATAGCCTGCTTGAGAGATGACCATCTCTCGAGTCCTCAATTAAGACACTTTGATGCCTTATTCCGGTCCACAAAACTCAACTCGACCTCTCATCACAATGCCACAGACATTAACCATTGACCTTGGAAGCCACTAAAGAAGGCCAGGCAGGATAACACAGCGCTTCTTCTTATACTTATCACCAAACTCCTTGCGATAGCGCTTCTCCTTCTTCAAAGCCCAGCCCCACATCTGCAACCCACCAACCAGGATAAAGAACAATACACTCCAGTTGCACTGACTGACAAGGTAAACACCAATCCAAGCCATAATCTCAAAGAAGTAGTTGGGGCAAGTGACCCAGTTGAAACCAAATCCAGAAGGAATACCACGCTCAGTTGTACCCTCACGACGAAGGTTCCGCAGAATCAAGTGCGCATTCAAGTTAGCCAGCTGACTGAAAGAGAACAGACCCAGACCAGCATACACAAGAGCATCGTTGGGTGAGTCAGTCGCAGCAGACGAATCCGGGCGGAAGACCCAGTAGGAGATGTTGAAGCCGGCCAGGGCCCAGTAGTGGGCGCTGTTCTTGACGATGTTGCGGGCGGGCATGGTTGCGTTGCTGAAGCGATGGACGAAGAGGGTTTCGAACTCGCGCTTGAGGAAGTGGGCGGTTAGGAGGGCGCAAACGAGGAGCTGCACGTCTGTTGGTTCCGGAAGGGGCTTGTCATAGTTAAAGTACAGGAGGGGGCGGAGGGGGAAGAGGAAGAGCGCGGGGATCAGGAGGGGGCCTAGGTATTCGATGATGAAGACTGTGCGCCAGGCAATCTGGGGGCCTGTTTTATTGGACGATCGGTTAGCTTTTTTTCGGGTTGTTGAGTTCGGGGGGTTGTTTGATCTCTAGAGACCGCGGGGCATGGGTATGGGCATGGGGACGCACCGAGATCCTTGACGTGAATGACGCTGGAGTTGCGCAGGCCTGTTTCGTCAATGGTGGTACCGTTCGAGTTTGGTACCACGCTGCGGTCGCTACCCTTGGTGATTCTCATCCGGTGGATTGAGCATCCGGAGGCTGCGGAGAGCGCGGTATGCAGTTCTTCTGTCGAGGCATTGAGACTGATCTCAACCTCCTTGGGGAGCTTGCGGATGGGTTTGCCTGTATAAGAATTAGCTATGTGCTTTGGGCGCTCTCGGTTGTTTCGTAGAGCTTTGGGAAATAAATAGGAGCTTGCTTTGCGTACCCCTCGGCTCAACGGTGAGCGTGATGTTCGACATGACGGATGGTTTAGTCCAAGCTACTGTAAGACTTGAAATATGATGCTAGATCAAGCCAAATCAACTTGCTCAGGTTGCAATTGCACTGGAAATTGTGCAGTCCCAACATACTCGGCAATGGGACCTCGGCCGACATCACGTGTAGACACCTGAGGCCAATAAACTAAAAGTCTTGGCAGCTGACTGAAGAGAACAGCCTTGTGCACAGGTCCACAGGTGGGAACAGGTGGACATTTGTATTGTCGCACAATTGTTACTTAGTTCACGCATGGCTCGATTTAGTCTTTCAGATAAACTCGGAGTACGAGGGCCATGCGACTGAAATAAGTAGCTCAGATGGGCATGCCTCCTTTCTCCCAGGTTTGAGGCTCCGTCAGCTGGCCCCCAAAGTACTTTTTACAGATGCACTACGGGACAATGGCAGTGCACAGCTGAAGACTAGTTCAACGGGCAACTCCTATCAAATCAGAGGCAAACGATATCAATGGACGGCCCCGCTGGGTCTCAGCTCGAACGGCTAGTCCGGCCGACATCGCCAATCAACGCCTCATCCGTGACAATTCCTGGTCTTTTCCAATCAAATTTAGTCTGACTGTGATTATGAACACCTTTTTCTTTTCTCTTCCCCCCCCCCTAAGAGGCTATAGTTAGCCTGCGGAGCCGAGACTCATGCATCGCATATCTCCGGGTCTGTTTAGCCGCCATCAACACTCCAATCACATAGTTCAGACCATATCGTGTCAAGAGACAAATGCATGTTGCTCCCACACTAGGCCCTCGTATTTGATTCTCGAGCCGTCAATGGCTCGTGAATACCAATAGGGATCTGACAGGGACATAGAATTCACGACTCAGCAATGTCTCATTGCTCAACGGTGGGGCGTTCGTCTGTCATCTCAGAGCTAGAATGCGCTAAGAATGACCATGGAGGCACGGCTGGCCTCATGTGGGTGAGTTCAGCCGTACTGCTCGGCTGATGGGCTTGCGATTACTCTGCTTTTTTGTTTATATTCTGTCACATTCCCCCCGAGGAATCGCATGTTACTTTAATGCTTGACTTCTTCTACCTCTTATTTTGTCTGTCGGTGGTGCTCTTACTCTGCTGTCTCTTTCCCGTGTACATCATTGCAACGCTACCCAAGTAGTTCCTCACGACATTTGCTAGTCCCCTGCACGTGGTAATAGGCTTCTTAATTTTCACATTCCCTTTCATCCTTTACATCGCTTCACACACACACACACACATTGAACCCCAAACTAACTCATTGCAGTTATCACCCGACCCTCTCGCACTGCTCTTCTTATCCTGTACTATATATTCTCTCAATTGAAATGGGCGAGAAAGACTTTGCCAATGGCAACAAGATTGCCCAGGTCGAGCAAGTCGTGGCAGCTGCCTTGAGGCCACTGCCTACCCAGACCGGTGATGGCAGCTACATCCAAGCGCCAACCGTGACAGGTCTCGCCAAGGACCTGCTCCATCTTGACCTGAAAGATGCCAAAACCCTGGCAGAGGTCGCCAAAACAGCCGTCACTGGCGAGGCTGTCAATGACAGAGACTACATCATGGAGCGTGTGATCCAAGTTTGTCAACCCACAAAAGATTGACGAGAATAAACTAACCATTTACAGCTTGCTGCTGGCTTGCCCGCTACATCTCGGAACGGCAAGGAGCTGACCAACACCTTCTTGAACCAGCTGTGGGGGGATTTGGAACACCCGCCTATTTCGTAAGTTGATTCACTTGGACCAAATGATCGTGGGTACTGACCATCAATAGCTACCTTGGGCGTGATTCTGCATACCGCAAAGCTGATGGATCTGGAAACGTATGATTTACCAACCTTGAGCCTCATGAACCCAGCTAACCCAACCTAGAATCCTTTCTGGCCCCAAATTGGATCTGCTGGTACCCACTATGCCCGGTCTGTTCGACCAAAGACCATGCAGCCAGCTGCTCTTCCAGAGGCAGAGGCCCTGTTTGATAGTCTCTTGGCCCGCAAGGAGTTCAAAGAGCACCCGAACAAGATTTCCAGCGTGCTGTTCTACCTTGCTTCTATCATTATCCACGGTATGTGAACTTGGTCTGTTGGGCGATGAATGGTGAAACTGACAGCAATAAGACCTGTTCCAGACCGATCCCAGGGACCAGACAAAATCACTGTGTTCTTCATATCTTGACCTGGCTCCCCTTTATGGAAATAACCAGACGGAGCAGGATGCAGTCAGAACCTTCAAGGATGGAAAGCTGAAGCCAGATTCCTTTTCTACAAAGCGGATTCTCGGATTTCCACCTGGCGTCGGTGTCCTTCTCATTATGTTCAACCGATTTCACAACTCTGTTGCCACACAGTTGGCGGCCATCAACGAAGGTGGTCGGTTCACAAAGCCCGATGTGTCCAACACTCAGGCCCTTGCTACGTGGGAGAACGACCTCTTCCAAACAGCACGCTTGGTCACTTGTGGACTTTATGTTAACATCATTTTGAAGGATTACGTCCGAACCATTCTTAATGTTAATCGGACCGACAGTGTGTGGAGTCTGGACCCTCGCGCAGATATCAAAGATAGCTTGCTTGGCGATGCTGCTGCCCAGGCTACTGGAAATCAAACATCGGCCGAGTTCAACTTGGTTTATCGCTGGCACTCATGTATCTCGGCTAGGGACCAGAAGTGGTCAGAAGATCTCTACAAAGAGTTGTTCCAAGGCCAGGACCCAAGCACAATCTCCATGCAGGAATTCACTGGAGGTCTCAGACAATGGGAGACAAAGCTTCCAGCCGATCCCCAGGAACGCCCGTTCGCTGGACTGAAACGCCAAACAAGTGGGTTGTTCGACGACAATGACCTGGTCAAAATCTTCCAGGAGAGTGTCGAAGATCCCGCTGGAGCGTTTGGTTCTCTTAATGTTCCCGAGGTTTTCAGAAGCATTGAGGTCCTCGGCATCAAGCAAGCCCGTTCTTGGAATCTGGCTACCCTGAATGAGTTCCGCCAATACTTCAATTTGGCTCCATATCAAACCTTTGAAGAGATCAACTCCGATCCGTACATTGCTGATCAGCTTAGACACTTCTACGACCACCCTGATCTCGTCGAGCTGTACCCAGGGCTGATTGTGGAAGAAACCAAGCAGCCCATGGCTCCGGGCAGCGGTCTATGCACCAACTTCACCACCTCTAGGGCTATTCTTTCGGACGCAGTTGCTCTCGTCCGGGGCGATCGCTTCTATACTGTTGACTTCACCCCGAAGCATCTCACAAACTGGGCCTTCAACGAGATCAACCATGATAACTCCATTGATGGTGGTCAAGTCTTCTACAAGCTGGCCCTGAAGGCGTTCCCCAACCACATCCGAGGCGACTCGGTTTATGCCCACTTCCCCATGGTAGTGCCTGATGAGAACTACAAGATCCTGAGCAGCCTTGGCACGGTCAAGTCTTACAGCTTCGACCGGCCTTTCTACAGGGCTCCGGCCCTCTTCATCAACTCTCACTCTGCTTGTGAAACCATCATCAAAGACCAAGAGAATTTCAAGGTTGTATGGGGCGAGAAGATTCAGTTCCTCATGGAGAATAGCGGCCAACCCTATGGTCGAGCCTTTGCCTTGTCGGGTGATCTTCCTCCCAATGCAGGCTCGCGGAAGATGCTCACCGCTGCACTGTACCGGGATAAGTGGGAATCTGAAGTACGATCCTTCTATGAGGATATTACTCTAAAACTTCTGGAGCGCAACTCATACAAGGTCGCTGGCGTCAACCAAGTTGATATCGTCCGCGATGTTGCCACTCTCGCTCAAGTCAACTTCTGTTCCAGCGTTTTCTCCTTGTCCCTGAAGACAGAATCAAACCCACGAGGTGTGTTCAGCGAGCAGGAACTGTACCAGATCATGGCTGTAATCTTTGCCTCCATCTTCTATGATGTCGACGTCTCTAAGTCTTTCCAGCTTTGCCAGACTGCCCGCAAGGTTGCGCAACAGTTAGGTGAACTGACGTTGGCTAATGTCGAGCTTGTCTCCAAGAGTGGCTTTATCTCTGCCGTGGTCAGCCGCCTCCACCGCCACGATATCCTGAGTGAATATGGTGTTCATATGATCCAGCGCCTGCTTGACAGTGGTCTGCCGGTTAAGGATATTGTGTGGTCACACATTCTCCCCACCGCTGGTGCAATCGTTGCCAACCAAGGCCAGCTCTTCTCCCAGTGTCTTGACTACTATCTCTCTGATGAAGCGGCCGAACACCTTCTTGAGATCCAGCGCTTGTCCCGAGAGGACACCCCCGAGGCTGATGAGATCCTCGTGCGATAGTAAGTCCTCTGATCTTTTCACCCCAAGGATACACCATACTGACTGCATCCAGCTTCATGGAAGGTGCTAGACTGCGTTGCTCTGTTGCATTGCCTCGCATCGTGTCAAAGCCAACCACCGTTGAAGACAACGGCCAGTTCGTCAACCTGAAGGCCGGCCAGGAGGTCATCTGTAACTTGGTAAGTCCTTGCCATCTCCTCGACTGACCCCCATACATGCCAGCATTCGGATCTAACAAATCTCAAATTATAGGTTGTCGCAGGCCGTGACCCTGTCGCCTTCCCCGACCCTGACAAGGTCCGTCTTGATCGTGACATGAGCCTGTACACCCACTTTGGCTTTGGTCCCCACCAATGCATCGGAGTTAGGATGTGCCCGATTGCGATGTCTACCATGCTGAAGGTTCTGGGTAAGTTGGACAACCTCCGTCGGGCTCCTGGCCAACAAGGTCACCTGAAGAGGCTCGACGGTCTTGGTGGAATCGCCATGTACATGGATGCTCAGCACAGTAGCTTTTCTCCATTCCCCATGACCATGAAGGTTCAGTGGGACGGAAATCTGCCTACCAGAAGTGAGTAAAAGAGATTGACTTGCACTGATTTGTGTACGAAGAGCGAAGGTGTTTTATCTGTATGGTGTGATGTATTGTTTCTGGGCGTTATTTTAGCCTGATTTTGGCAAATATTTTTTTTCAAATCTGATACCTAATTGAGTCAAAAGCCGAAATAATCAAGTGGTAGTCCTTAAACCTCAATGCTGTAGAAGATAAAAAATCGAATTGACATCATATGTAAAACAAGAGACCCTCAGGCACGAGAAGTGCTGCCTGAGGCCCAGCGGGGGGAATCAGCCAGAGCCGCCCTTCCATCTGCCGGACCAGCTCCATTCAATCTTCCCTTTGGTCTTCCTTTTTCTCTTCTCTTCTATCTTCACCTTTCCCTTTTGACCTCCTTGGATATAGTATCTGCGTCAGAACTTCAGGGCCAACGACCTGCACCCGTTTTCCCTGACAGCTTTGACCAACCGATATCTCATCCTTCAGCTCTCAGATTTGAGCTCTCTCCAAATCGCCAGCTCCCCCACGATTGAACAATAAATTCAACCCAGATTCCCGCCGGTTGAAATTATCTATCTGACCGACTATTGACCGTGGGTCTTTCGTGTTGATTCCATTCGCTTTTCGTTAAGGCAGAGCGGCACCAAAAACGTCATAAGGCATTCTCGCGCTTGCTTCCGCGACACTGGTCTTCACGACCTGCCCACCCCACCTTCTAGGGGATAAGCCTCCTGGAATATCAACACTCCCTCATGTGTGACTGTTGATTCGATAGTTATCATGGGGAGAATTAAGAAGGTAGCCAGCCAAAAGCATGAGGCTACAATCGTGAGTTACCCTACGGTAGCCTGATGTGCAACCCAACTAAAAAATTTTCTTCTCTCTACAGTCACCTTTTTTGCAAGAATTCATAGGTCGTGCTACGAGTCTTCCTATTTCCGAGCTCCCGTCCCTTTTCAACACATTCCCGAAGCTATGGCCATTCCCGCGCGGTGATCTCTACCACTGGATCAATGTATTGGACCGGTTCGACGAGATTCTGGCCTCGGCCGTCGAGAAATACTTCCTCAACACTGGTCCCCAGACTCAGTCATTCACTCGGAGTGTTTTGGAGGATTCATACTCGGCCGATGAGAGCAAACAGCCGACAGAGGGAGTTGATGCCAAGTTGAATGCTCTGGGATACGGCCCCGACGGAGACCGAGAGCTTCTGGAAGCAATTCTGGAATTCTCACGTCTTTTGCTGGAGAAATGTGGTAACCGCAGTCTCTACAGCAGCAGCGATCGCCTGGGTGACTTGTTGAACACAACTTCTTTGTCTCTTCTCCAGTCTACCTTGCGCCTCTCTCTTTGCCTAGCTCAAAGATATCACTCCCGCCAGCGTGGCGCTCACCAGCAGTCAGTTTTGCAATCTCACTATGCTCTTGACCTTGAAAAGTTGCAGAAGATCGCCGCACCTTTCCCACGTCCATTCCTCGCTGGTAAAGCGCAGCCCACCTCTTCTCCTGCCGTTTCCGCCAAGGGCAAGGAGAAGGCCGTTCAAACGAAGATCAATGCAAATGAATTGGTTTCTCTTGTGCGTGACAGCGAGGGTTGGGAGGAATGGGCCGATGTTCGCGTTCTCTATTATCCCTCTGGGTCATCTGAACAGACGAGAACGACATCCGAATATGGTCAGACCGAACATGGCTCACACATCCCAACTACACCCACTCCCTTGCGACGGAGTGCAACACATCCCGCTTCTCAATTGAGCCGCACCGATGATTCACCAGCTGCCCCAGCCACAGGAGGGAAGGCAGATGAGGCAACTCGTGGGGGCAAGGTCCTAGAACTCACCTACTCAAAGGTCTCTTCTGCGAAGTTGGAGGACCTTCTTGCAGCTAACCTCCCCCACCTGCCCCTTGAGTCAAAATATGAACTGCTTCACAAACTCCGAGTTGCTCAGGCATTGACAGGCTCTCGTGCCACTCGCGAACAGATTCTATCCATCAAGGCGCTGGCTGTGACCAATCTGGCCCATGTTCAGCCAGAGAGCTCTTTTCAACAAAAAGTTCTTCAATATGATATGGAACAACCGAAACGCCTTCAGCTTGCTTACCAGCTGGCCGAACTGGTTCATCTCGGTGCTAGTGGTGACCTCGAGGTCTCCCGACTTGTACAGACTTTGGCGATCCAGACACTGGACTCATTGGCGAAGCACAAGTCTCGCGCCGTCGATGTCTGTGCAGCTTTGAGTGTCAACGTCAACCACGGTGTCCTCATGTTCTTGACCCGAAAAATGGTCAATGAACTTAGCGCAGAGGGCGAGGACACTGATGCTGCATACTATGACGAATGGCGTGATGCTTTGCTTGCACTCCTGCGCACTCTTCCAAGCTCAAGCACACGTACACCAGACACACTGGTTGCAGCTGGTTTGATCCCCATGTTTGTCGACATCCTAAATCTGCGAAACGAGAAATCGCGCCGCGTGTATTCCCGTATTATGGAGTTTCTTGATACCTTCGTGCATGCCGTCCGGGATGCCCTGGGAACATTGACAACCTCCAAGGGCTTTGACGCCATGTCTGATCTGATTGACTACGAAACCAAAACCGCCTTTGAAAAGGTCAACCGTGGCGAGGGATTCCCTGCTCAGTACAAGAACCCATCGGTTGATTATCAAATTCCGTACTTCCAACAGCAGACCCTGCGTTGGATGTTCCGTTTCGTCAACCACATCATGCAGCACAATGGTGGAGGCTTCGATCGTGTGCTCCGCAACCTGATCGACTCCCCTCAACTGCTGACTTCTCTCCGCCTTGTGTTCGAAAATGCGCGCGTCTTCGGTTCGCATGTATGGAGTACTGCTGTCAACATCCTCAGCAGCTTCATTCACAATGAGCCCACCAGCTATGCCGTCATTGCCGAGGCTGGTCTCAGCAAGAGTCTTCTCGCTGCTGTTATGGGCCGTGAACTCCAGGTTGACGAAAAGCCTCCTGCCGTGGAGCCCGAGGGTTCCGCAGCGGCAGGCGACTCTGCTTCTCAGCCGCCCACCGCTGAAGCTGCTTCCCAGTCCGAGGATAAGAAGAAGGACCGCGAATATGCTCTTGTCAGGCCGAAGGGTACTCCTCTTGCCCCTGGCATTATGTCCGCAGCCGATGCTCTTGCTTGCATTCCCTCTGCATTTGGAGCCATATGTCTGAACTCCTCCGGTTTGGACCTTTTCCAGTCTTCCGACGCCCTTGAAAGCTTCTTCGAGATCTTTGAGAATCCTGATCACGTCAAATGCTTGAAGGACGACCCCGAACTTGTCCGTTCTCTAGGCACAACTTTTGATGAGCTTGTTCGACACCACCCGGCATTGAAGACCTCTATCATGTCTGCCGTTCTCGTCATGGCTGCCCGTGTCAATGTTCTTGGTCGCACTAAGGCCTGGGAGCAGGGAATGGGAACCAAGATGTGGACTCAGGATGCTGATGGCACCAAGCGCCTTTCCGGAGATATCTTCTCGTTGTTCCGCGAAATCGGCACACCCGCTGATGCATCCGTTGATGACCCTGCAACCTTGGGTGCTCCTCTGCTCAATTCCCACGACCTCCCCAATGGCGCCAAGTTGGTCGTTGGTGACCTGAGTCATGTCCTTCCTTCGCCTGGTCCCGATTTCGAGCCTCAAGACAAGGATGAGCATGGTCTTACTGCCACTGATTACTTGTTCCCGGCTATGCGTTTCCTGGGTGCTTTCTTCGAGAACCAGATTAACTGTACTGCCTTCATCCAAGCTGGTGGTGCAGAGTTCCTTTTGGATCTCGCAACCCTCCAAAGCTTGGCGTTCGATTTCCACAACACCAATGCTAACCAGGAGATCACCGTGCTTGTTCACATGCTTGCGGAGACAAAGCCTCACCTTATCCTCCCTTCTCTCCTTCGCCGCGCCCAGTCCGCAGTGGAGAATCTTTCCGCCTTCTGGACTGCACCTAGCGGATCTGGATTTTTTACGTCGTTGATTAAGCCAGCGGACTCAAAGGACCCAGCTCTGGAACCTACCGCCGCTGCTCAGTCTGGAACATTCTTTGTCAGACATTTGAATGCCGTTCTTCTCCTGACTGATGTCCTTCGTGAGACCTTCGCGTTGCCCTTGTACCAAACCCGACCTGGCCAAAACACTTCCATCTTCAGCCAAGTCAACCTCGCGGATCAATATTGTATTCTGATCAACTCGCTGAGCAACCTTCTTGCTTCTTGCGTGTGGGAAGGCATTCTGCTGGAAAAGAACATCCCCGAGAAGTGGCTCAAGGCTACACAGGCCAATGCTGATAAGTCCGCCTCTGGGAAGTCCAAGACTACTCCCCAAGAGCCCCCAGCAACCCCTGGTACTGATTCTCGACCCCAAAGTTCCAGTGCTGCAGAGGCAGGCGCCCCAGCTCAATCAGGCCAGGAGCCCAAGGAAGACGACACTCCCGTTGACGAGGAAAACGTCAACTTCAAGAATGCTCGCACACTTCGCTACCTACTCAGTGCTTTGCCCGCTTCAATCACAGGATTCTTGCACAACCTCGGACTTGGCCTTATCGGCAAGCGCCGCATGGATCCTCTCCAGAAGCAGAGACAGAATGGTACCTTGGTTGCGGAGGCCATCGCTGAGGGTGTTCTTCGTCAGTTAGAGTTTGAGCCTGCGAACTCCAGTGACAGCCCCAAGCATCGTTTCGCCTATCTGATTGTCGTCCTGTCCCACTTCTCTCATCTTCTTTACGAAATTCCCACAGAGCGTCCCAGCTCAAACTACTTGACATCGGTCCTAATTGCCTTCAAAAAGAACAACGGTCTCAAAGTGTTGAAAGACATTTGTGACGTTTTCCTGAACGACATCAAGTCCCTTCCCTCTCCCGAATCCATTCCCGACGAGGACAAAGAGCTTGCTAACCGGCTTGCATCGGGATATGGTGGAATCAAGATTATTCTTGGGCTTTTCGCGGACCTGACTACTGGAAAGTACATTGTGGACTCTAGCCAGACACAAGCCTTGACCAGTCACCCCGAGCGCGACCGTGACCGCCCTGAATACTTCCAACCAGGTCAATTCCTGATTGAGCTTCGTATGGAAATTTTGCCCTTGGCTCAGGATATGTGGAATTCGGACTTTGCTACCCAGTCGTCGAGTCCTATCGTCAGATTGTTGATTGACATTCTGCGGGCATCTTTGGATGGTGAATACGAAGTCAATGTCATGAAAAGATCAGAGGTGCGGCCTGTTTTGGCAGAGGCACCCAGGAAGCCTTTCGTTGTCCACAAAGACCGAGCACACACCCTGGTCGAGAAAGGATTCAAGGATGTTGACCTCAACAAAGAAGCCCTCTATCGTTGCAACAATGTCTTGAATGCGGCCGAAGAATACTGCAAGGCACAGAGCTGGATCCGAAACCCTCCTAGGGTTCATCCGAACCCCAATGATATCCAAACTGGTACGCCTGAGGTCGCTCCTGGTGTTGACCCCCTTGAGGATCCTGGCCTTGGAGATGGGATCTCGCCTTTCGCCGGCGGCGACCTGTCTCGCTCTGCTCTGACCATGCTTCTGGCCCAAGCGACCGGTGGGCCATTGCCCGAGTCGATGCGCCGCATTGATGGAATGGTGACTGGAAGAGATGCGGATGCTGACCGGCCAGCTGGAAGCATTGGCAGAATCCTCGATGGAAATGACATGGAAAGTGAAGATCGCGCCGGGTCATCGAACCAGAGTGCACCCGAGACTCGCCCTACCGAGGGAAACTCCTCAGAAGAACAACCAGCAGTCCAACACCGCCAGGTCATCACCATCGAAGATCTTGAAGATGAGAGGGAGAAAATTCGGTCCAATCTTATTGAGCGGGCCCTGGACATCCTCAACGAACATCATGATGTCTCCTTCGAGTTGTCTGATCTGATCTCGTCAGCCATCAGAAAGCACCCAGAGCCTGAGAGTTTCCGCCGAGACATTGGAGAGACCCTTGTGCAATCCTTGGTTTCCCTGCAGATGGAGAACTTCCAGACAGCTGGCAAAAAGATTGCCGCCTATGCCCACATCCTAGCTTTAACTCTTCAAGATCGTGAGATGTACACCGCAACTCTCGAAGAGCTTAAGGATTGCTTCTCGACTTTCCTCGGATTCATCAAACTCCCAACACCCGAGAAGGCCGACCAGGAATCATTCCCTTGGGTTGGACATGTTCTGCTCATCCTTGAGAAGCTGCTGTCTGATGACTGCCAGCCACCCCAGATCTCCTGGACCCAACCAACAAGCGTGGACGATCTCGTTGGCAACGATGAGCCCGCCAAACTCGAAGAGCCCCTTGTGTCAGCCGATGAAAAGACCCAGCTCTTTGAAGCTCTTGTTGAGATCCTACCCCGAGTGGGCAAGGATGACACACTGGCCCTGTCTATTTGCCGTGTTCTTGTCATTCTTACTCGTCAGCGTAGCATCGCTGCCCGCTTTGGCGAGAAGCGTAACCTCCAACGCCTCTTTGTCATGGTCAAGCAGCTTTCAAGTGCTACCAACGACAAGCTGCAAAGCGCGTTCATGCTGATCCTCCGCCACATTGTTGAAGATGAAGCTACCATTCGCCAGATCATGCGGAGTGAGATTGTTGCCAACTTTGAGTCCAAGACTTCACGCCAGGTTGACACTACTGGATACGTGCGCCAGATGTATCACCTTGTGCTAAGAGCTCCTGATATATTTGTGGAGGTGACCAATGAGAAGCTGCGGTTGCTACGCTTCGACCCTCATTCTCGCCCGCAAGTTCTTGGACTCAAGGCCGACAAAGAACGTCAAGATCGCGTGCGTCAAGCCAAGAAGCCGGAAGAGAACAAGCCCGAGTCATCTGAGACAGGTGAGGCCGCTTCTACCGAGGACAAGGACACTGAGAAGGACAAGAGCAAGACCCCAGCCAAGAGTACAGAGATGAAGGCGCCTGTTGTGGAGAACCCAGACGGTGTCATTCACTACCTGCTGTCCGAGCTCTTGTCCTACAAGGACGTGGATGACAAGGAGTCTGCCCTTGAATACTCGGAGCAGCCCGCTGACCAGCAGTCCGACACTCAAACCGACGTTGAGATGGCTGGAGATGAACCCACCCCCTCCGTTTCTAGCACCGCTGAAGCACAACCCACTCGCGGCTCGAAGAAGGGAGAGAAGCCCCAATTCAAGGCAGATGAACACCCGATCTACATTTACCGCTGTCTGCTCCTTCAGTGTCTCACTGAGCTTCTCTCTTCCTACAATCGGACCAAGGTTGAGTTCATCAACTTCTCTCGCAAAGCCGATCCTTTGGCCACTACACCTTCCAAGCCCCGGTCTGGCATTCTCAACTACTTGCTGAACGCTCTTGTTCCTCTTGGTACCATGGAACATGATGAAACCTTGACATTCAAGAAGCGCAGCATCACATCTACATGGACTATGCAGGTACTCGTTGCTCTTTGCACCAAGACTGGTGAGTTTGGTGGTGTTGGCCGACGCCGCACTGAGCCCAAGTATGAAGAAGACGAGCCGGAGCTTGCTTTTGTCCGCCGCTTTGTGCTGGAGCATGCTCTCCGGTCCTACAAGGACGCAATGGCTTCAACTGAGCCCCTGGACGCCAAGTACTCCAAGCTCATGTCTCTCGCCGACCTCTTTGATAAGATGCTCAGTGGCTACTCTTTCACCAACGATGCAGGCTTCCCAACCTCCACCAGACAGCTTGCAAAGACTATGTTCGAGAAACACTTCATCCCCGCCCTTACTGCTTCGGTTGCCGATGTTGACTTGAACTTCCCGTCATCAAAGCGTGTCATCAAGTATATTCTTCGTCCATTGAACAAGCTTACTCAAACTGCCGTTCTTCTGAGCGAGAATTCCGATATCTCTTCTTCCCTTGGCGAAACTGAGGACGATGAGATCTCTTCGGCAACCTCCGTTTCTGACATGGAAGATGAACGTGAGGAAACCCCCGATCTTTTCCGCCACTCCACTCTCGGTATGCTAGAGCCTCGCCACGAGGAAGAGACCAGCAGCGAGGAGTCCGAGGGAGAAGACGAGGACATGTACGAAGACGAATATGAAGAGGAGATGGACTACGATGAAGACATGCCCGAGGATGATGGCGAAGTCGTCAGTGACGAAGACGACGATGGCGTTGGTCCAATCGAAGGCCTCTCTGGTGATGCGGTTGAAGTCATTCTCGACGAAGATGATGATGATGAGGATGACGACGATGAAGACGACGACCACTCGGACATGGATGACGACATGTACGCTGATGAAATCCCTGGAGACCGCGACAATGAAAGTCTCGAAGACGGAGAGGAAGATGAATGGGAGAGCGAGGAGATGACTGAAGACGAAGAAGAGGTTGAAATGATGAACCAGTACGAGGATGAGATGGCCGATATGAGACAAAACCGTGGTCACGGTGATGAACACCGCATTGGCGACCTCTTCCGCGCCCTCAACGAGGCTGCTGGAGGCGTTGATGACCTCCACGGAGACGGTCTCGGCGGTGACATTCACGAAGAAATTCTCGATGACCTCGACGAAGATGGTGCGCCACCCCTTCCTAATACAGGACCCCCTATTGTAGAATCCCTATCTGCAGGATTCCCAAATGCAGGACCTCCCATAGCCTCCGCTACAGCCGTCACTGCATTGAATTCTGCAGTCATCCCTGCTCTACACCAACTTTCAACACTGTTGCTGACCACCCATCTAGTTGAGGATGAAGACGAAATGGACGAAATTGAAGAAGACATCGACGGTTTCGACGGTGAGGAAGGATCCTACGGTGATATGGAAGGTAACGCAGCATGGCTCAGACTCTTCCCGGATACTTTGCTAAATTCCTTCGCAGACGACGATCTTCTTGAGCCATGGGGATGGGAAGGCGATGAGCCTCCTATGCCTCGGGCAGGACACCACCACCATCGTTTCCGTGGCGGTGCACCCCCAGCCTGGGCTGCTGTTACTGAAATCATGCCCGGCCGCGGCTCCGGCCTCGTCCCTATCCAGCCTTACCAGCGTGTCCACCGAACCCAGATGCCCTCGCGTGGTGACAATGACGGAACTAACCCCCTACTTGTTCGAACTGATCGCCCAGAAACCGCCGTTCCATCCCGTGGACCCAATGCTGACCCCTTCGGTGATTGGGGCCAGTCCATGGATCAAGCTGGTGGCCGAGTTGTTGCAATGGACAGCCCCATCAGTTTCATGAACGCCATCATGCAGGCTATCGGCGGACAAGCCGCTCCTGGTTTCGGTGTGGTTACTCGTCCAGACGGTATCCATGTCCATGTTGACAGGCGTGCAGTCCTACCCGGCCGCATTCAAGACATGCTTGGAATTCCACGCGGATCAGGCCCTCCAGCTCGCACTCGTGGCGACGACCCCCACACTGCCGTCAAGTTTGGTCTTGGTACCACCCGAACCCGCTGGCAAGAGGAGGCTCGCATTCTCTTCAGCAGCCAGTATGTTGAGAGAACTCAGCGTATCGTCAACTCCATCATGAAGTCCCTCGTTCCTGCTTCAATGGTTGAGGAAAAGATCCGCAACAAGCAGATGGAAGAGGAGCGCAAACGCATTCTGGAAGAGCGCGCCCAGAAAGATCGCGAAGAGCGCGAAGCCAAGCGAAAGTTCGAGGAAGAAAATGCTCGCCTCGAAGCCGAGAGGCAACAACAGGAAGCTGAGCGTCAAGCTGAACGCCAAGCCGCTCAAGTCGATGAGCCCATGGAGGATGTCCAGCCAACTGATCCTCCTGCTGAGGCCGCCCCAACTGCTCCCGCTGACGCCCAGCCCGAAGCCCAGCCGGCCGAGCCTGCTCCTCGGGTTCACACCAACATTAGAGGCCGCCAGCTCGATATCACCGGTCTCGAAATTGACCCCGAGTATTTGGAGGCTCTGCCCGAGGAACTCCGCGAGGAGGTCATTATGCAGCAACTTGCCGAACAGCGATCCCAAGCTGCCGCCGCTGGTGAGGAGCCTACTGAAATCAATCAAGAATTCCTGGAGGCTTTGCCTGCGGAGATCCGTGAGGAACTTCTGCAGCAAGAAGCTGCCGATCGTCGCCGACGTGAACGTGATGCTGCCCGCCGACAGGCCCAGTCTGCTGGTGCTGGTGCTGGTGGTGCAGCTCCTCCTCCTGCTCACGCCGAAGACATGGACGCTGCTAGTTTCCTTGCTACCCTCGATCCTTCATTGCGCCAGGCCGTCCTTGCCGATCAGCCAGAGGATGTTCTTGCAACTCTGGGTCCTGAGTACTTGACCGAGGCTCGCGCTATGGGTGGCGGTGGCCGACGCATGGCCCAGTTCGGTGACATGAGCGCCGTCGACCGACAGAGAAATGAGCCTTCCGGAGACCAGGAGCCAAAGAAACAGCAGAGACGTCAAATTGTTCAGATGCTCGACAAGGCTGGTGTTGCAACCCTCCTTCGACTGATGTTCATGCCTCTCCATGGTAATGCTCGCCATCAATTGAACGACATTCTTCACAATGTTTGTGAGAACCGCCAGAACCGCAGTGAGGTTATCAGCCTTCTTCTGTCGGTTTTGCAGGATGGCAGTGTTGATTCTACCGCCATTGAACGCAGCTTCTCTCACCTTTCCCTGCGTGCAAAGGCACCAGGAGCACCAAAGACACCCCAGGCTGTCAAGCGGAACATGGCTATTCAGACTTCTTCCAGTGTTAGCAGTGATGTGACCCCGATCATGGTCATCCAACAATGTCTTGGAACACTCTCGTTCCTGTCGCAGTTCAACCCTCACATTGCTTGGTTCTTCTTGACTGAGCATGACTCCGCCTCATCTGCTAAGCTGAAGGCATTCCGCAAGGGCAAGGGCAAGGAGAACAGAGCTAACAAGTTCGCCCTGAATGCTCTGCTCTCTCTCTTGGATCGCAAGTTGATCATGGAAAGCCCTAACTGCATGGAGCAACTGTCTAGTCTTCTTAGCAGTATCACTCAGCCACTTACTGTCCTCCTTCGCCGCGAGAAGGAGCGTCAAGAAGAGAAGGGCAAGAAGCCTGAGGAGGCGCCGGTCGAAGGTTCTATTGAAGAGCCTGCTCAAGTTGATGACTCTGGCATGGATACATCTATGACCGATGCCCCCCTGCCCACCGTGGAGACCACTGAGATCACTGGCCAGGAGACTACCGAGGGCGGAGAAGATGAAGACAAGAAGCCCGCCGAGGATGAGAAGCGCAAGAAGCGTTCCATTGAGCCTCCTGTCGTTCCTGACCACAACTTCCGTCTGGTTGTTCACATTCTTGCTGCTCGCGAATGCAACGGCAAGACGTTCCGCGATACCCTTTCTACCATCAACAACCTTTCTGCTGTTCCCGGAGCTCGTGATGTGATCGGCAATGAACTGGTCGCTCAAGCACAGGCTCTCAGTGATACCATCTTGGGTGATCTGGAAGATCTCCTCCCTCACATTCACCAGGCCAAGACTGGCACCGACATGCAAGGTCTGGCTCTGGCCAAGTTCTCGCCCGCTAGTTCAGACCAGGCGAAGCTTTTGCGTATTCTGACGGCTCTCGACTATCTATTTGATCCCACTCGAGTCGATAAGTCCAAGGGTACTGAGCCCGAGTCTGCTCCCAAGGAGGATGTGCTCAAGAGACTTTACGAGAGCGCAACCTTTGGCCCCCTGTGGACTAAGCTCAGTGACTGCTTGACTGTCATCCGGCAAAAGGAGAACATGCTGAATGTGGCTACTATTCTCCTACCTCTCATCGAAGCACTGATGGTTGTCTGCAAGAACACTACACTTAAAGATCAGCCCCTGTCTCGCGGCAGTCGTGAACTGTCTGTGAACAGCGCGCCGGCCGACAATGGCCTCAGCATGGAGAACCTCTTCTTCAAGTTCACCGAGGAGCACCGCAAGATCCTCAATGAGCTTGTCCGCCAGAATCCTCGTCTGATGAGCGGCACATTCTCTTTGCTGGTCAAGAACCCCAAGGTTCTGGAATTCGACAACAAGCGCAACTACTTCACCCGTCGTGTCCACTCCCGTGGTGCCGAGCCTCGTCACCCTCATCCTCCTCTCCAGCTTTCCGTACGGAGAGACCAAGTCTTCCTCGACTCTTTCAAGTCCTTGTACTTCAAGAGCGCGGATGAGCTGAAGTATGGCAAATTGAATGTGCGATTCCACGGCGAGGAAGGTGTCGATGCTGGTGGTGTTACCAGAGAATGGTTCCAGGTTCTTGCCCGTGGCATGTTCAATCCTAACTACGCTTTGTTTATTCCCGTTGCTTCCGACCGAACCACATTCCACCCCAACCGTCTCAGTGGCGTCAACTCTGAACATCTCATGTTCTTCAAGTTTATTGGACGCATCATCGGTAAGGCCTTGTACGAAGGCCGTGTTCTCGACTGTCACTTCAGCCGAGCTGTCTATAAGAACATCCTTTCTCGATCTGTGTCCATCAAGGACATGGAGACTCTCGACCTGGACTACTACAAGTCACTCCTCTGGATGCTGGAGAATGACATTACCGATATCATCACCGAGACTTTCGCCATTGAAACCGATGACTTTGGTGAGAAGCAAGTTATTGATCTGATCCCCGGTGGTCGCGATATCCCTGTCACCCAGGAGAACAAGGAGCAATATGTCCAGCGCGTCGTTGAGTACCGTCTGGTGGAGTCTGTCCGCGAACAGCTAGACAACTTCCTGAAAGGCTTCCATGAGATTATCCCCCGAGACCTGATCTCCATCTTCAACGAACAGGAGCTGGAACTTCTGATTTCCGGTCTTCCTGAGATCGACGTTGACGAGTGGAAGAACAACACCGAGTACCACAACTATTCCGCCTCGTCGTCGCAGATCCAATGGTTCTGGCGTGCCGTTCGCTCATTCGACAAGGAAGAGCGTGCCAAGCTTCTCCAGTTCGTCACTGGAACCAGTAAGGTTCCTCTCAATGGTTTCAAGGAGCTTGAGGGTATGAACGGTGTGAGCAAGTTTAACATTCACCGCGACTATGGCAACAAGGATCGCCTTCCCAGCTCGCACACATGCTTTAACCGTAAGTTTACTCCACCCCATTATTACGTGCAATTACTAATGTCTATTACAGAACTAGATCTTCCTGAATATGAAAGCTACGAGGATCTACGCCAACGTCTCTATACGGCCATGACTGCCGGAAGCGAGTACTTCGGATTTGCATAAACTGGTTTTCAGGTGCTCGACATGACGATGGTTTCCAGCGAAAGCATTCCATGGCGTTTCTCTTAATTCTTATGGGAATCTTTTTACTGGGGATGGATGAGGAGGGTATGGAAAGATGCTGGCATAGGCCCGTGTGGAGGAATTTCTTTATGAGAAGATGAAAAACAGAGACTTCAGAGGATTCGGTTGAAGTGCAGGTCAACCTTGTCTTTTTTGGAGATTCTCTCTTATGTCTGTACTTAGATTGCTGCATGTTTATCTCGTTTTTGTAATGACTTTACAAAAATTCCTTTTCTCTGTGTACCTCCACAAGTAACTTAGTACCGGTAGATATCGGACGTAATCACAGGCGGTGAGCCCGTCACGGGACTGCAAAAAGTCATGCGGGGCCGTGAGGCGGAAACGATTTTTTGAGCCGAACACGGTCATCGCGGAGAAGAGTGTGTTTGTGCTTCCTTGAATTGAAGATCTTTCTCTCTCTATCTCAGAGGACCCATCCTGCAATATGTCGACCAACTCCATCAAGCTCTTGACTGGCAACAGTCACCCGGAGCTTGCCAACCTCGTTGCTGATCGGTATGTAACTTGCAGAAAGTGTACCCAATGTCAGCCAACTAACCTTGAAATAGTCTCGGCATTGAGTTGACCAAGATTATGGTCCTGCAATACTCCAACCAGGAGACCAGTGTTACAATCGGTGAAAGTGTGCGAGACGAAGATGGTACAGACATCCCACTTTTATCCCACCTTAACTGAAGGATCCCGACTCACATGTATATGGTATGGCGCAGTCTTTATTCTTCAATCGACGAAACCCAACGACATCAATGACGGACTCATGGAGCTCCTGATCATGATCAACGCATGCAAGACTGCCTCCGCCCGCCGCATCACTGCCGTCATCCCCAACTTCCCCTACGCCCGCCAAGATAAGAAGGACAAGAGTCGTGCTCCCATTACCGCCAAGCTCATGGCCAACATGCTCCAGACTGCTGGCTGCAACCATGTCATCACCATGGATCTCCACGCCAGTCAGATCCAGGGCTTCTTCAATGTCCCCGTTGACAACCTGTACGCCGAGCCCAGTATGCTCAAGTGGATTCGCGAGAACCTGGATGTCAGCAACTGTGTTATCGTCAGTCCTGATGCTGGTGGTGCTAAGCGGTAAGTATATTCAGAATTGATAGGTCTGGACCGGAGACAGTACGGGGACTAATGTGGATTGCTTCTAGTGCTACTGCCATTGCCGATCGTCTGGACCTGCAATTCGCTCTCATTCACAAGGAACGTGCCCGTCCCAACGAGGTCTCGCGCATGGTCCTTGTCGGTAACGTCAAGGACAAGGTTGCCATCATTGTCGACGATATGGCCGACACCTGCGGTACGCTCGCCAAGGCTGCCGACACCGTCATGCAGCATGGTGCTCTCGAGGTCAACGCCATTGTTGTCCACGGTATCCTGTCCGGCAAGGCCATCGAGAACCTGAACGGCAGCTGCCTCAAGCGGTATGTTCACACTTCAGTCCCAAGTCAACCAGTAATATACATAGCTAACATTTCATAGCATCATCGTGAGCAACACTGTTCCTCTGGGTGACAAGCAGGAGCGCTGCGATAAGATTAAGACCATTGATATCAGCCCTACATTGGCCGAGGCATGCCGGCGTACACACAACGGCGAGTCGGTCAGCTTCCTGTTCTCGCACACCGTGGGGTAAATCACAAGTCCATGAGACACAAATGAATGATTCCATCAATACCAAGACGGAGGATCAGTCCACGGGTGCTTTGGTGCTTCTATTGAATGTGCACTAAACCGTGGGGTGAGCGGGAAACAAAAAATACGATTTTTATGACCCTTTTTTATTAGCCCAACGAGGATTTTAGTCCCCGAGTGTTTTATTATTGTTCTACTATGCTTTTCCCTTTTTGTTCCTTTCGAAGAGAGGCCGGCTTTCAATGCTGGTTGTGTCTTTTCTAGCAGAGGTTGGTTGTCCGTGGGGTTCAAACGCATTTTGCATCTGTTGTACTTGGTACTTTGTGCAGGCTCTGTTATTATGGGTTTCGGTCAGATCAAAGAGACCTCGCTGGTCATTTACTTTTGAAAAAGATATGGCGTATAACTCTTGAATTGCCGTATGTCTGTAATAGTGTTGGAAGTCATCATTTGATACAACACGTGATTGGTATAAAACCCCAGGCGCCCAGGCGAAGACTTGACTGATGACGATGATAACATGATGATTGTTGTGGGGGAATTAGAGTGCGTATATTACTAAACTAGTGTATGCCATAGGCAAGTAGCACCATGCCGAAGTGGATTCGCACAAACAAGTTACGACCAATGTATACAATGCATACGAGACTACGCAGACTCTAATCTACTCATTTGCACAGCAAAGTCGAGCAGAACAAGAATTGACAGAACAGATATTGAAATTTGCATGCACTCCATTCAAAGAAAAAGGGTTGTCAAAAAAGGTAGGTTCAACACAGATATTGCATCGCCACTCCCGAGGCCCGAAATCACCGTAGCCAAACACAAGGGAGTATCAATCATTCGCCTGCTTTGTACGTTTTGAAACCTGTTCCCCGTCTCTTTTGTGTCCCTTTTCTTTTTATCAGACATGTCACCTTCGCGCCCCTGAGAGTGACTTCGTTTTTTGTGAATCTCCCTCATATCATCCCAGAGACGTGAAGCTCCTCCATTAAACCCCATCGCCGCAGAACGAAATCATAAAACCGCGGGTGTGGAAGTTTACTTCCGCATGGAGGAAGCCCTCCGCTTGCGGAGCTCGTCACGCTTGGCCTTCTCCTCGTGGACACGGCCGGCAAGGAGCTTGGCGTAGTCGTTGCTAGTAGATGTTAGTTTCAGTATACCCAGTGAACGAAGGGAGGGAATCTTACGCAGCATCGCGGGCAGCCTCAGCGCGGCGGCGCTTGATGGCAACGCGTTGGCGCTTGCGCTGGAGACGCTGGGGAGTAACCAGACGCTGGATCTTGGGGGCCTTGGTGTAGTCCTGCTTGCCCTCCTTGGTGACGGTACGGCGGATGACGAACTTGCGGACGTCGTCCTTCTTGTCGAGACCGAAGAAGCGACGGATCTTGGTGGCACGCTTGGGGCCGAGACGCTTGGGGACAACGGTGTCGGTCAGGCCGGGGAGCTCGCCCTCGCCCTGCTTGACGATGGAGAGAGCAAGGACGGCAAGGTCCTGACCGGTGATGGCACCACGGACGGACTTGCGCTTGCGCTCACCGGTACGGCGGGGGCGGTAGCAGCTGTGGCCGTCGGCGAGGAGCAGACGGGTACGGGTGGGAAGGAGAACTGTAGAGAACCGATGAGTATGATGCGTTTATGGTGTGTTCCTGGGGATGATAATTTTTTGTTATTTCCCCAGGTGTTGTGCGGTCGTGTACGTACCACCCTGCTTCATAGGGAAACCTATAATTTGATTGTCAGCAATTTGATTCTTGTGTGCATCCAGTCTCGAGGAATCCAGAGACAGGGGAGTGGTTGCGTACCCTGCTTGTCGTTACCACCGGTAATCTTGAAGAGGTAACCCTTGAACTCATCGCCGAGAGCATCGCCGGCAACCTATTCGAAAATAAATCCCAATTAGCCTGTTGTTCTCCATCGTGTGCGTGTATTCTTTTTCAAGATTCCAAGTTGGTCGTCGTGTCGGGGAATGGGATGGGGAGTGCTGACTTCGGTGCCCATGCGCTTCTCCATGAAGGGACGGAGCTTGCGCTCATCGTCGATCTCGATGATTTTCTGCGACCCATTGGCCGGGAAGGAGATGTTGAGCTTCATCTTGACGGAGGCGGCGCGGTCAAGACGGTAGCGCGGGTGTTTGTCGACGGATGAGGTTGTCGTCGAAGGGATCTGTATTGTGGATTTTTTTAGTTCGGCGGCTTTAGCGAGCGATTGTGGGCGGGTCACGTGTAGAAGTACAGTCACGTGGGTATAGGGCTTGTGTCGCTTGCTGGTCATGTGATGAGTCATGTGACAAATACCGATGGTTGTCTTTCCTTCGACATTTCAAACTCTCTGGTTGCAACAATCATCACAGGTGGAACAAGGTGGAATAACCCACGATTGCCTCCATGTAGGAGTCTTGATCTCGATTTAGATTTCAACTAATATGAATGCTAACAACAGATCTGTAATTACCAAGCATTGTCAACTATCACCATTATTCACGGCTAGATACTGACACAGTGATCTTCGACCAAACGCCATCACCTCTTTTTGATATATCTTACGCAATTTCTTTTTTTTGGACTGAGACCGACTAGGTCGTCAAGCGGAATGAATGTGTGTTTCGGCTATGACGGTGTCCAGCCGAGACATAGACAGATATTGAGCTTGGGCATCCGTACATGGTCTCGAAGTTGACTTACATTGTTCGGAGAGCTACACGACCGAAGAAGAGTTTTGGGTGTCCAAAGCGGCAGTGAACCCTAATTAGCCTTAATCCTGGCAGGACACTTTGTTTCCTCATCAAGATCGCATATCTATACTTTTCGGGGTAACAGTATACAGTTGGTATAGGAAAGGCCATGAATTATACATATCCCTCCATCCCATACAGCCCATTGTGATTCTTATTCAATGTCTTGGCAGTCGCATCTCGTACAGTTTGCTACATCAGACCAATAATTCGCAGGATCAGCCACAAAATACCAGGTGGAATGCCAGATGCGAGACATACCAATGTAGCTTTAGGTTCAGCCAGTTCAGACCCAGAGTTCAATCCCCACTGTTGAGAATAATCAAGAGCAGACAATTATCGGAGCAAGCAATAGTGGCACCCGTCTAGACGCTTAGACGTCCAAATTAAGCCGGCGCACGCGATGATTTGCCCGTTCGAAGCTTAGTCCAATCTACTTCGCCCTAGCCACGCGGCCATACATTCGCATCTGTTCAACATTAGCGGCAGAGTTATTTCCTCTAACAACATTGTATATTATCCGCATTGGACACAATTGAATCTTAAATCTGTTCCATTCTATTTCAGTGGCCCCGCCACCTCCGAATTTGCCGGCTCTTCGATTCCGAGTGGAGCATCTCGTCGTAATCTCTGGACGATCCTCAGCAAAGCTTGATCATCTTTTCTCCGCAGAGATTGAACTGGAGAAGGCGATCTGTCGCATTGCATATCACATCATTGAAAGTATAGGTCTTCACCTGTCATCGGAGGCCTGGTGGCGATTTCCTTTAACCTCCGACCAAGACCCACAAGATATAAGAGACCAGAGACGACACTTCCGGCTGGCCCTAGGTGTCTCATCTAAGATGGTCCGCCTTTTCACCCGATTCTACGCCCTATCCGCAGTCGCAGCATGCACAATTCTACCAACGGCCTGGTTCTTAACATCCCGCCGCTTCCCCGACATCATTCCCCTAGCATCCGGGCAATTCGAAGCAGCCGCCACATTCGATCAGCGACTAGTTGTCTTTGGAGACGCATGGAGCGACAATGAAACAAATGAGCCAGTGGGCAAAGTATGGACAGACTGGCTCTGTTCAATGGTAAGACAAAAACCAAACCCAGAACCCAGAACCCAGAACCCCATGTCTCGGGGAGCAATGAAACACCATCCGTGAATAATATAGCATGTCTGACCCTTCACAGTTCACCTGCCACCAAGAGAATCTAGCCCAAACAGCCAACCCTCTCCTCCGAGGCAAAAACGTCGGCGCTGTAGTCGACAACTCAGAACTCGAACCTCTAGACCGCCTGTCTCAAATCCGTCTCACAGACTTCAAGTCCCAGCTCGCAGCATGGCTAGCAGCCGAGTCGCGCGCCACAACCGGACTCACCAGCGAAGACATGCGCACGCGCCAAGAAGCTACTATTTTTGTGGTTTCCTTTGGCGTGTGGGATATCTGGAGTTTGATTAACAAGGACTACGACACAGCCAAGGAATCAGTGGAACGACGTATCGCGACGATCATCGCACAGCTTGATATTCTTGCTGGGCATTGGGATTCCGAGTCTGAGCTTAAGGTCATCTTGACGCAGGCGGTTGATGTGACTTTCTTACCCGGCTATGAATCTGCCGCTGGCTACAAGGATACCGTGAAGATGGTGGAGCTATGGAATAACAGGTTGCGCGAAGCAGCGAAGGCGTGGGAAGGTGGGCCTGTGTACCTGTTTGATATGAATGGGTGGATGGTCGATCGGATTCGGGATTGGCAGCTCTACGCGGCCGGTATTGAAGAGGAGAATGGGCTTGGGAAGAACGAGCAAGGCTGGACGAATGTCGTGGAGCCGTGTATCGAAAGCGGGTTCCGGGTCATGATGTCAAAGGGAAAGAAGGAGTGTGAAGAACCTGATCGGTACTTGTTCTGGTAAGTGATGTTTCCACATTTCCTTGGAAAGATCGGCATGATCAAATGCCTTTTTGTGCTGACCGGGACTAACATCTGAGTATCAGGGACGAGATGCATTTGGGTCCTGAGGCTCACCGGCTTCTGGCTACGGAGGTCTACTCTGGGATTGGGGGATTGTTGAATGCATCGCGCCACACCCGGGGGTTTGCATAGACATTGTCCAGGCTTTACAAATACCAAGCAGAAGAAAAAAGAAAAGAAAGTGAATATGACGTCTCACAAGGGGTCTGTAAGCCCGTACCCGTTCAAACGACGACTATACTTGATGCGGATATGGCCATGTTCCAGAGAGAGTGGGTCTTTTCTTGGAAGGACACGGTAGTATGCCCAACAGGAATACAGATCCTGAAAAGTTCGCCAGGGGAAAGGTGGTATTGTTGAAGTTACAGTGGAGACGGTCGCGATCAAGGTATATACTCCGTGTACACGGAGTACAATAGCTCAAGTTTGAACAAAGCGATATAAATGAATAAAATAAAATAAACCCAGACTAAGCTAAACCAAACTGAACTGAACTAAACAGATAAATCACAATAAAATAATTGTTTGCCGCCATGTTTGCGCATTTCTTTGTGACGGGGAACCAGCAATGGCTCCCGACCAATAACATCAAGTGATGAACAGCCCGATCAAGCGGGTCGCCGCATCCGGAGACAAAGAAAACAATAAGTCTAGCGTCGCCCTAATTTTGAAGGTTACAGGTCTGTTGAGATCACGGATGACACCTACGTATAGTATAGAATAATCGAAGTAATGGTGGTAGTTAGTACCTAGCAGTTAGGTGGTAGTGGTAGTATAGTGATAAATTATAACCCTAACTCACCAACTCATCTAGATCTCAATCGCATATCTCGGTTGGCTCGGTCAGAATAGCAACTGCAGTCTGGAGCTATTGTCAAAGAACAAGCCACGAACAGGGATTCTGGGGGATAAGCCAACAAAGACTCCAAACGCCCATATACCTCGCTTTGTCTGTCCCTGGGGGGATTGCTCTGGATTTATTTATTTGACTCTCTTCTTTGTTTCGCCCTTTCTCCCTTGTATTTCTGACGACTCCTTTCCACCATATTATCTCGGCCTTCTCTTTCATCGTTTAAACTTTTGGTTGCCTTCTTTGAGATTTCCGTAGCCCTTTCATTGAGAGGGCTCCCTCCCCCTTCCAAACTATTAAATGTCTTACGATCGAGTGCTTCCCAATCCCGTTGCTCTCCGCTATGAGTCTGCCCAAGTCTCTTTGCCCAGACCGAGCGACTTACTCGATCACAAAGTCATGAACGGCGATTTCAAGTCTATGGGCCGGTATCCAGATGGTCCGGTCGGGGATGCACGATATACTGATATCAAGTCGAATGGTGTTTTACAGACCCATCAGCATTTAGCTGTACTGAATAGTGCCAAAGATTCTCTGAATGGCTCTGTCAAGCCCCCGGGCCCAATGATCTCGACGAAAGAGTTGGCTCTCCGGGACCGATCTGATCGATCATCGTCGTCATCAGCCAGCAGTTCCAGCCCTGGCAAGTCACAGAAAGAGAGAGCTATGCAGTTCTGCCTCTGCCAGCCGGATCCGAAGATCCCCCGGCCTCGTAATGGTGAGTCGATATTGTCCGCGCCTTCAGACCTTGGCAAGTCTTTTTCGATTGTTTCCTTTTGGTCTTGAGGCCAGGTCTGATCTGTCGAACCCCGTTGAACGTGGCTAATGTGGTTAAAGCATTTATCCTATATCGTCAGCACTATCAGGCCATGGTTGTGGCTCACAACCCTGGTCTGGCAAATCCTGAAATCTCCAAGATTATTGGAGAGCAATGGCGGTCTCTGTCCGGAGATGACAAGAGTAAATGGAAGGCACTTGCCGAGGTAAGACAGCCACTTCTTTGTATGATTCCAGAACTGACAAAAAAAACCCCAGGAAGAAAAAGCTCGTCATCAGCAGCAGTACCCCGACTATCGATACCAGCCTCGACGATATGGCCGGGATGGTAATGCACGAAACGCTGCATCCGGGATTGGTCACAATCCAACAGGCTCGTCCACCTGTAACCGATGCGGTGGTCGTCTTATGAATGCACCCGCTTCGCCCATGACTCCCTTTACGCCGAGCAGTACCACCGCTGGTCCTGGATATAGATCATCCAGTTTCTCAGCTGCCTCACCACACCCTAATACGATACCAAGAAGTCGAGAGAAAGACTCACATCCAGTGCAAAAGCCCGTCAAGATGGATCAAAGTGACTCACGGTCTCGCCCGAGGCAATGGGAAGAACACGGTGGTCGCTCCCCTCCAGAGAACAAGCGCCGCAGGATATCCCACGCCCATCCCCCAGCACACGCCCCATTCAAGCCAAGCTTACACTCCTACCGAGACCGGAGCCCCGAGTCTCCAATGACTCCATGGAGTGCTCGGCCAGACATGGCACCACGTCACCTCCCCATGCTTCAACCCTCACGCCAGTATAGCAGCATCCCAGGCACACCGCACCCAGACCCAAGTCTGAAACTCCCACCACTCCAAACAGCAACAACACCAATCATGGCCCCAATGACGCCCTTCCCGCAAGAAGACACCAGCGTTGAAGCCACAGTCATGACAATTCCCTACCTGAACAAGATCAAAGTCCTCGCCAAGATCTCCCCACCCCTGGTCCCCTCCTTCCGCGAAGGCTTCCCACCAGCCCGCGGCCCGGTCATCGCCATCGACGGCCAAGACCCAGACCTCGTCCAATCAGCCCTCGAGTATCTAGACAACCTCCTAAAAAAGGAATCCAAGTACCAGGTCCGCGTCTTCGACGGCCCAGAGATAAAAGCACCACGTCCGACCTCCGCCGACGCAAGCCAAGGCCAAATGGGCGATGCAACAGTCGACTACCTCAACACCATCTCCGCCTGGCACCGCATCTCAGACGAAGTAGTCGGTTTTGTCAAATCGGTCTCAAGAGCCGGCTCCGTTGAGGCCCACTCAATATCCACTGACGAAGAATCCGGTCCCAACGTCTCACCCAGAACCCTCATCCCAAAGACAGCAGACCTTCAAATTGAATCACCCGTCCAATCCAGCGACCATGGCTCAGAGGGCAGCGTCGTCTCAGCCGCTACGGCAAGTAGTCATTACTCTGTGCCTATTGCGCTGGTACCACGCTACCAGCTCACAACAGCTGATGCGTTCGCGTGCTCAACACCCATTGGTGATTCCTATGCACCGCTTGATCACTGGCAGTGGATGGCGTCGCTATGGCGGGCATGTGTTGGGCCTGATATCACGGTTTATGTACGTGAGTGTAGGAAGGAGGAGATTGATCGCATGGGGGCAGTTGAGGTGCGATTGCAGGATGCGCGTACAGTTGTGCTGCGGAAGGACAAGGGGAGGGATATTGAGGACAAGGTTCTTCGGCGCATGGGCTTTGAGATTGAGGACTTTTTGACCCAGTGAGCGTGAGCGTCTGCTTGGGAGATTGTAATGCTTTGTGATAGATACTTAGATCATTGAGATTGAGGTATTCAAATATTGTGTCATTGAGCCTGTAGTGAGTAGATATACTAATGGTAAATGAGCAAACAAGAGAGTATGTGAGGTCTAAAGAGATCAAGATGCAAAAATGTAAGGAGTTAAGCACGAGCCCCAACTCTCCACTTTCCGCTTTCTCCACCCCCAGAAGGCGGTGACGTTTCTGCCATCTCCAATTATCCGCCGTCAATGTCTCCAACGTCTCTCATTTGAGAAAGTCTCGAATCGTCCGAGAGACGATGCAAGCCACAGCTCCAAGGAGCATGGCAAGTCCACCATCAGGGCTTCCCCACCTGTCCCTGGCACCGTGCAGTCCACCTCGAGCCGGCACCGGAGATCCACCGAACAATATCCCGCGTGAAGCCCAAAGAGCCGCTTACAACTGCACACCCGAAATTCCCGATTCATACATCCCAATTGGAGTCTTATGGAAAACAACAGCAGAGAATGAATACCCCGTGTCAGAGTTAGCTCTGCTACAAGCACATGACTGGATCCAGACCAAGCCCCGAAATGAAAATACACAGATCTTCATCTTACCAGACGACGCCAAACGCGGGACGATCTCGCGCTCGAGCAATAAACTTAGAGCCGCACTGAAAATAATTATGTCCAAAATTGATACCACCCGGTCAGCATGGAATGGCGTTTCCTGTTCTCCCAGCTCGGTTTCCAGTCCATCTGATAGCGCCGAGGATGAGTCGCTCTGGTATATCTTCAATACCCTGCAGAATCCAAACCCGCAGGTGAGCATCATGCGAGATCCGCATGCGCGCCAGGCTATGGAGGATCTGTTGGATGGTGAAGATGCCCTTTTGGGTCTTAAGACTGCGCTTTATCCTTATCAGCGCAGGTCGGCTGCTGCGATGGTCCAGCGTGAGGCGCAGCCTGCGATGGTCCTTGATCCGAGATTGCAGGCCTGGAAATGTCCTGACGGTTCAGATTTCTACTACGATAAGGAGGATGGGAGTATTGTCAAGGAGAAGCGGATGTATTCAGAGGCTTGTGGGGGTGGGTTGTGTCTTCGTGGTGTCAATATTGGTTCCTCAATTGTGTATATACTAACTTCATAATAGGAATACTTGCAGAAACAATGGGCTGCGGCAAGACTCTGATCAGTCTTGCCGTTATATTGGCTACTCGTGGCCACTTCCCTCAAATTCCCATCAAGTACCAAGCGACCGACATTCAGCCGACAAGGAAGGAGACTGGGTCTCTGATGGAAATGGCGGCTGCAACTGCTGGCCGGTTATCCGTACCCTGGAAACCGTTTTTTGAGAGTCTTGCTTCTCAGGGGGAACACTATGACCGATGCATCAAGGCTTGCAAAGATCACTGTGGCTCCTACGAGATCCCACCTCATCAGACTCGCTATCAAGGCCGCAACAGTTCCTCTTATCCCCGACCACCAGCGCAGCGCATTTTTCTTTGCTCCGGTACTATCATTGTCGTTCCACCTAACTTGGTTGATCACTGGGAGCGTGAAATTGCCACTCATACCGTCGGCCTGAAAGTGCTGATTCTACGAACACCATCAGATCTGACACCTTCGGTCGAGGAACTTCAGAACCTTGATATTATTCTCTTTTCCAAATCCCGCTTCGAAAGGGAAGTGGGAGAGCCAGTTCACAAACGTCGCATGATCATGCAGCCCGCCCAAACCGAATCAACCCTTCTTAAGCTCCACTGGTTGCGAGTCATCGTCGATGAGGGACACAATGTTGCCGGCCATGGGTCAAATATGGTCCATATGCTCAAACAGCTCCACTTTGAACGCCGCTGGATTATCTCTGGAACGCCTTCCACCGGGCTCTATGGAGTAGAAGTGAGCCTTGCCTCACAGGAAGCGAACACAAGTGATACAGAATCGCCCGAGGAGATCACAGCTGCAGTGTTAAAAAGTCGCAAGAAGACAGGGAATGCGGCCGATAATGAGCTGAAAGATTTGGACAGGATGCGTCGCATCGTTATCGAGTTTCTTGATCTCAAACCCTGGTCTAATTCACGTGCCGATGATCCTGCAGATTGGACAACGTACATCAAACCCATGGGGGCAGATGGACAACGCCGCAAGTCGCCATCTCTGCGTGCGACTTTGCAAAGCTTAGTCGTGCGGCATCAGCTTCACAAAGTGGATCGGGAGATCACTCTCCCCAAACTCTACAACAAGGTAGTCTATTTGGAACCAACATTCCACGATAAACTTTCCATCAACTTGTTCCTGTTCGGTCTTGCAGTCAACGCGATCACTTCTGAGAGACAAGGGCCGGACTACATGTTTGGCAAGGAGAATCGCAAGCATCTTAATCAAGTGATTAGCAATTTGCGCCAGGCTGGCTTCTGGTGGGCTGGCTCTAGCGATGTTCAGGATACAGCCAAGCATGCCCTCGGCTACTTAGAGAAGAACTATGACAAGATGACACCAGCGGATATCAACCAATTGACCCAAGGACTTGTCATCGCAGAAAAAGCAATCAATTCCCCCAACTGGCATGGGTTCAAGAAATACCACGAGCTCGGTGTCTTCGTGCAAGATTTCCCAGAGCACGCTCGCAGTCTTTGGGCTCTTGACTCAGCAAGTGCAGACCATGAACCACTTCTCCTCGGCATCACTCAAGCCCGCCATGCCCAGCAATACGTCACCAAGCACCTCCGCTTCCGGGACCCTGCCGAAGGTCTGCCAGGTGCTGGTATCAAAGTCCGCCGAGAACTTATCGAGCGTGACGAGAAAGCCGCACCCAGAGGGGCCCCAGAGGGAGCCAAACCAGCCCCGGGCCAGCTAGTCCACAGCGCGAAACCTCCAAGCAACAAATCGCCCAAGAAGACATTCACGCAGAACAAATTCCACTCTTTACCCGAGACGTCCCCTCTGAAGAAAACCAAATTGGTCGGGGTATCCTCCGCAAAACTCCGCTACCTCCTCGACGAAGTACACAAAGTGCACAAAACCGAGAAAACAATCATCTTCTACGACAACCCGAACACAGCATTCTGGATCGCCGAAGGTCTAGAGCTAACAGCGATAGACTACCGCATCTACGCCTCTACGTTGAAACCGGAATTGCGAACGAGCTACCTCAAGCTCTTCCGGGAATCCGAAGAGGTCCGCGTCCTCCTTATGGACCTCCGCCAAGCCTCCCACGGCTTACATATTGCCCAAGCATCCCGCGTATTCATCGTCAACCCAATCTGGCAACCGAATGTGGAAAGTCAGGCGATTAAGCGTGCCCACCGCATCGGGCAGACTCGGCCTGTCTATGTGGAGACCCTTGTGCTACGGAACACGCTCGAAGATCGCATGTTGCGACGCCGGAAAGAGATGTCCGAGGCGGAGATGCAGAACGCCGAGAAGAGTCTCTTGGATGATTTGGCAATGGCTGATATTATTCAGCATGAGCCGTTCTTGGAAATGGGAGAGGAGGGGCTCGACGCTATTGCACCACTTCAATGTCAGACTGGTTTCTTTGATGCGCATCGCTTGCCTATTCCTGATGATGAGGGGGTTGCAATGCGTAGTCCGTCTAAACGGAGGCATTTGGAGGGTCTGGAGGATATCGGAGCTGATTCTGACGTGGATGTTGGGGCGAGGGGAGTTGTTCGGCCGGTTGGGCCTTCTGTGCCTAAAAGGCCTCGCATTGGGTTTGCGGAGGGTGTGCATGCTCGTGGTGTTGGTGCTGATGCTCGAGCAGATGCGGGGGGAGATGTGCCGCCAGGTGAGCTTCCTGTGCCTAGTCGGCCTCGTATTGGGTTTGTAGTGGATGTACAGGTTCTCGGTGATGCTGTTGAGCGATCGCCTACTCGTTCTCCAAAGATTGAGAGTGGAGATGATGCTGGTGGTAGACGTGTTTCCCCGTTCGGGCCATGATATATATCGTGGTCCTGTTGCATAGTTTTGCGAACTAGCGAGGTGTTGGGGGTTTCTTTTTCATGTACACTACAACATACCATATAGTTTCCATGGTTTCCAGATTCTTCATGCAAGAAATAGAACAAAGAAATAACCAAAAAGTACATCAGCTTCACTATCACATTTCTATACTTCGCTCAACCAAAGATAAGATAAACGATAAGAGATAAGAGCAAACAAACCCCTCCAACCTCAGCTCTCGACAGTTCTAACCCTCAATTCAGTTCTTCCAGAAACACCATGAACCAAGAACCGCCCCAAAAGGCAACTATAATCGGAATATCAGGCCCATCAAGCAGCGGCAAAACAACCCTAGCCCGCCTCCTCCAGCGCATCTTCTGCGGGGTGAATCTGACAGCCAATGGCGATGTCAACCTAAACACCTTTATAATCCATGAAGATGATTTTTATTTCCCGGATGATCAGTACGGATACCTTCTCCTATCCAACCTCGCCCTCTCCGTTCCCATACATTCCCTAACCCCAGCTCCCCCCCACCATCAACCACCAAAACCAAACAAATAGACTAATCCCCCATCCCAAGAATCCCAACAGTAACCCTCCCCTCAGGAAAACAAATCCAAGACTGGGACACAGCAAGCGCAATCGACATCCCCTTCCTCTCAAAAGCATTAACATACGTCCGCGAAAACGGAACCCTACCACCCCGACTCCGCAGCAAAGAAGATCAAAATGACGAAGGAGAGAGCGGGATTGACGATAGTGTTGTGTTTGAGCTGAGGGATATTGTCACTCAAGCACTATCATCATCTTTTTTAGAAGGAGGGATAATGCAAACAGTCGCATTCCTGGAAGGATTCCTCCTTTTCAGCCCGCCAGACACCACAAACAACCCACAGGAAAAGAGTAAGGAGCATCACATCCTCCGCCCAGTCCACAACGCCATAAACCTACACCTTTTCTTACCGGCGCCATATGAACTTGTGAAAGCGAGGCGGGAGGGGAGGAGTGGGTATGTGACCATTGGCCCTGCGCCTGATGTGTCTGATTCTACGAATACCGTGAAGCATGAGACTGGGTCTGGTGATATCGATCTTGAAGGTGAAGATGATCGTCCGCCGCAAAACTTTTGGACGGATCCGCCGGGGTATGTTGATGATATTGTTTGGCCTAGGTATGTGGGTGATCATCGCTGGTTGCTTGTTGCCGATGAGGGAGGGGATGGGGGTGGGTCTGGGGATGAGCTTGGGGATTTGGTGAAGAGGGTTGGGGATGGGAGAAGGGTTAGGAGGGATGTTGGGGTTGAGGTTGCGCCAGGGTGTGGAGAGGAGGGGATGGAGGTTGTGCTTAGGTGGGCTGTTGAGTTGATTTTGGGGTATTTGGCGAAGGGGAAGACCATGTAAGATTTGTGATTTACGTTGGAGATTATGAGAATATTTCTTTCTTGCATTAGTGGCATCTGTTTCTGCTCGAGTTTGCTGGCTTTCGTTCCTTCTGTGTTAATGATGCTATTTGCTTTCCTACTCTGGATATCGGATACCCTCAGTTCTTCTCAAATTGGTCCTCTCCATCCCAGGAGATAGTCCACGCGATCACGCATGGACAATAGAGAGGAGATGGTTGGCCCAGTCTTTGTCTGAGTTGGCTCAGGCTGAACAGTCTTTGAATCGACTGTCTCCGACTCAATGAACTCTGTCTTAAAGTCTTCCACCTGTAATGTTTCCATCACTGGCCATTCTTGAGGAGCGAAATTCACTGAAGCAGCCGGTATGTCGGGGAAAGACCGTTGGTGTAGGCAGTGAAGAGTGTAACCGCCGCTGATTGGAGACAGGAAGCCAGGGCTTTTCCGCAGGGAGCACGAGTAAATGATAGTGAGAGATGCCATAATGACGATCAGCTGGAAAATAAACGAGGTGATATCCCATATAACCCACAAGCCCTGCACAATACGAGATGAGTTTGGTTTCTTGTGCTCGACAAATCTAACCACAGGCTCACGATGAGGCACAACATCCTGGATAACAGGGTTGGCCTCCTCGACCTCCTCGACCTCGCTGCTTTCGGGCTTAATCTGAGCAAACTCAAGTTGAAGTTTCATCTCTGCCTCATTGGCCAACGAGGTGGTCTTGATCTGTGGCGTCCAGCTGACGGCTGCGTGGTATGGCAAACTGGTTTCCCAGGCCAGCATAAACATACTCAGACACGAACGGGGGCATGTGACGCGGACCTGACAGTTTCCAACGCACATATCGGTACATGTATCTAGCTTAATAGTCTGGAGACTTGTTTGATCCGGTAGGAGAGTGCCGGTGTACACGCCGTCTGGGCCACCATGAATATAGAGATTGAAGCTGCACTTTTCCGCCCAAAAGTCGCGTTGAATCAATTCGATGGAGCACATGGCACGGTAGCTGACAATGTAGGACAATGGATCAATATCATTCTCCTTCACTTCGCTCTGGATGAGATGGTTGACCTTGAAGTCCTTGAGGAAACCGTAGAACTGGGCGTCGCAAACTCGAAACGGGACGACGAGTCTCTGCGTCACCATGAACTGGGCAATCAGGTAATTTTCAGCTACCTTATTTCGCTTGAATCCAGTGGTGCGGAATTCAATTCCTTGGCCAAGAGGAGTTCGGAAATACAGATATCCATACTCATCGGGACGAAGTCGAGGCAGTCCAGTTAGAACCACCTCCCACCAATCCTTTTGTCCCTGCCTCACTTGGAGGGAAACAGTGACTGACAACTGGTATATGGCAGGCGAGAGTGTAAGAGAGGTTTGCACGTAAAGAAGATTGCCGATTATGATGAGCTGGGCTCCTGCGTTGGAATCGGGTACGGGTGAGATTCGTGGAGTGAACAGTCGAGCCAAAGGGACTCCGTAGGCATCCCCATCTTCGTGACCGGATGAGCCGTCGGATCCATAAGTAACAGCGCTGTCTTGCTTCCCACCGAAACGTGAAGAGTTTCCGGGTGAAACAATAGTGGAGAAGGCATCTAGCTTTTGCTCTTTCTCGTCAGCCAGTGGAGTGCGCGTGGAGTAGTCCTTGTCATGAGGCCCAAGAGAGGCCCACGCATCGAAGACACCCTCTTCATCATCCTGTTGAGCATCTTCCTCAGGAGCATCTTCTCTAGGCAAAACCTCATCCCAGAACCAAGGCCGCCTCTGAAATGGAGCACCACCCTCATGCCGACGAAACTCCGCCGCAGAAACAGGAGCCGAATCAGTTGGCAACGGGACATTCTCAGGCAAGACACCAATATCATCAAGACTAGCCTGACGAGGAATGCGAATAGGCCGAGGAAGACGCGAGGGAGAACTATTGTAGCTGTTATCACTGGGAACCTGAGCCACAAACACATCCACCGAAGGCACTGAAGGTCTCGGCGACGCTCGTTCCGGCTTAACAGGCCTATGTCCATCACCATCACCATCATACCTCACATCACGATCCTCGTCAGGAATAGAATCAGGAAGCGAAGCAGCTTTAGCCGTACGCTTACGTGAATTTGGCAACTTGGAGGGTGTCAAAAAATCCGAGAGACTTGTATTGGCCTGGGTATAGAGGACGCCAATATCAACCGGTTTGGTGAGTTCTGGCAATTCAGGACTGAGAATGAGGCTTTCTGCACCGGAGAATGCACCACTGTCGCCATCTCTATCGAAGAGCCTGTCAAACTTGGAGCTGGATTTGGAGTCTGATTCCGCTTTCTTGCCTTTGCCTTTGCCTTTTTGCTTGGCTGGATGGGTGGGTGTTACTGGGGAATCTGTGAATGGGCGCGTGGTATCGGAAGCGCCATCTGCGCGTGCGCCTGTATCTGCATCGGTGCGTTTGCTTTCGCTCTTTGGGTTATTCTTTGGGACGATGGAGAATGTTGGTCCGCCTATCATGTACGGAGAGTGGATGTTGAAGACTGGCAGGCGGATGTTTGGGGTACACCAGGCCTGAGATGGAAGTGATTGAATTAGTGACTGCTCGCGTGATCCTGGGTTAGTGGTCAGTGGTCAGCGGTGGCGGCTTACCTCGATGGCGATGGAGACGTCCACTGCATCATTCGGGTCTCCTGTCCAGTCGCACCAGATGTCCAGGTTGCTGAAGGGACTTGTCCCAACGGCTGCGGGTGCATTGTTCATCGTTGAAGTGGAAGGATGTAGTATCAATGATCTGATGGATGAGTTCAAGGACTAGAATCAGTGTAACAAGAGCGAGGGCTATGAGAATCTTGGTCTCATGTATCAAAGTCTCACGGCTCGGATTCATGGTAGAGTAAGGTTGGTGAGATGAAAGGGTGAAAGAGGAGAAGAAGAGAGGGGAGAAAGTGAAGTAAACAAACGCAGAGAGAAAGAGAAGGAGAGAAAGAGAAGGAGAGAAAGAGAAGGAGAGAAAGAGAAGGAGAGAAAGAGAAGGAGAGAAAGAGAAGGAGCGAACGAGAAGGAGCGAAAGAGCGAGAGAAAGAATACGGAAAGAGCGAACATATAAAAATAAGCCATTGCATTTCCTCCTCATACATCGTCAATTAAAAGAAGACCCAAGGGGTTGTAAGGAAAGAGGTATATACAAGAAGGGCTTAAGAATAGAGCTCTCCAACCCAAAAAAAGACCTCCCCTTTTATATCCGCCAGCGCCTGTAACAAACCATAAAACATAATAAAACACTCTAAAAAAGCCAGAACCTCAAGTAATCATTGAGGTGTTACATTCGCAGAGTCGGGATCAAAGGCTGCTGGGCCGGCCACGGAGCCAAAACGATCGACCATTTGAGAAGGAAGAATAGGGGTGGTCGCTTCTGGAGGTTGCTCAAAATAACCTCGAGATCCATTCCCCATGTCGCGATTGCGCTGCAACGGAGGAAGAATAGTAGAGCTAGCGGGAGGGTATCCGGTCCGGGCGTATCCCTGAGCCATCATCGCTCCAGTCGAATCCGGAGTCTGTCTCAAGACCACCTTTAGCTGGGTACTCACTGGTTCGCAGAGGGGTGTCGTACAGGAGTGCCAGGCTGGTTCATTGCCATCAGTTGTCCCACAGCGGCCTGCTGGCTGGATCGGCTTTGACCGGAAGGATCGGGCATCTGAGCCATTGGGGCTGACGGTTGCATACCGGAGTACATCTGGGAGGGGGTTAGTGAATGGTAGATCTAACGAGCTTCTGATACGGACCCCGTAGTCAGGCACCACCTGGCCCACCCCACCCACCTGCCCTGCGTAGGACGGCATGGCTTGCGTGGGATACGTTCCTGGTTGACCCGCGTAGATGGCCGTTGCTGGCTGGCCGTACGCATCCATCTGGCGAGCCATCCGACCATCTGCGTCGTAGATGCCCTGTCTGCCATAATCGACCGAAGTGCGGTGACGCTTGACTGGAGGCGCACCGTAGTACGTGTAGTCGCGGGCTGCCGCTGGATAGCCACCATAGCCAGTGGTAGGAGGAATTGGCACAGCCTGACGCTCCGGCGATCGAGGAGGAATGCTTTGGTGGAAGTCATCCGGTCGTGGAGCCGAGCGTTTCCTGGAAGCTGTCAGCTGCCTCAATTCTCAACGGGGTTTCAACAGGGTCTGCCACGCACATCATAGTCCTGGGCTCCTTGCGAATACGCAATTTGACACCTTGGTCCGCAAAGGACCGGGAAAGGAACGTTGACTCCATCATTCCTGGGAAGCTCTTTGGAGGAGACACTGCAAGCCTGGTCAGCTCCCATTGCGCCACTCTTGCAGAACTGATCTTACCTGTGAACCGTTCGGAAATGATGGTCTTCAAATAGGTAACTTGTGATCTGGCAGCTAGTTAGCTTTCGTCTGAATCCTGTTCCCGACCGTGCAACTCACTTGCGCATTTCGAACAAGGTGAACTTGAGGCGAAAGTCGCCCTCAATCTTCACTGAAAGATCGCCAAAGACGAAGAACCCTCCATCTGCAGACGTCAGCGAAGCTCTCTCATCCTCAGAACAGTACTCACCGCTATTGTCCACATCCTTCAGCCGGTGAAGGGACGATACCAGGGTTCCTGCCAAAGCAGTCGAAGGTGCTACAGGCACCGGATGATCTTCAGTGGCATCGTACAAGCTGCAGCACATGAAATAATACGGGCTTTGCAGGTAATGCCTTTTGCGAGTTAGCCAGCTCTTTTCCCCACCGTTGAATGGGCACTTACTGTGCGAGGTAAGTACCCTCCTCTCGCACCCGGAGCTGAACAATCGGAGGCGGATCGATCGGTTTGCGCTCTTGAAGCTATTAACCACGCGTCCCAGCCAGATTCCACGAGCTTCACGTACCTTTCTCCTTGCCCCCCGCCACGCGGGCCCGATTGGGCTGCTGACGAATGGTCAAGTCAAAGTCAGAACTGGTGTTCAACATAGTCAGTGGGAAGCCCTGGACCACAGCGTAAGAGTTGCGACCCTTTCAAAAGAGGCGGGCAAGAACGAACCTCTGGGCTTCGCGCGAGAGAGAGGAGTCGCTATATGTCGCACTCATCAAGACGAGGAGGGGCAGACGGTTAGAAAGGCGGAGAGTACCCAGCAAAGTTCCAGGTTAGGTGAACCACCGGATAGTGCGGCGAAGGAGAGACCAGGCAATGGTGATCTGTGGTTTACAAGAAGAAAGAGAAGAGATCTGGGTTGGACCAGGATAAATCTCAAGTTGGCTCGTAGAGATAAGGAGTGGAAGGTAGAGTGGTAATAGCTGTGGGGGTGGGTTAAATTATTGCAGCCAATGTTGGAAATGAAGGTGGGAGAGAAAGAGAGTGTGAGGTTGAAGAGACGAAAACGGCCAAGTGGTGTCGTCAGTTTGCAAGCGGAAACCAAAACCTTGTGATACTCTCAGTTAGAAATGGAAGAAATAGTTTGGTCTTTAAGCCCATTAAGTGCCCCGAAAAAAATTCAAAAAAATTCATTGGACCACAAGCGCCCGAATCTTCCAGTCAGGAACAAATCAGATGGGAGAATCGACTATTTCTGAGCGCACATAAAAAAAATAAGAAACCAACTAACCGGAAGTGAATGGAAAAAAAATCCAGTAAAATCGCTAAAATTCCCAAAGAATAAATGAATATTCTTCACCAATTCAAATCCCAAGGTAATATCCAAGGTAGCAGTGAAGGACAGCTGAAGTGGAGTCCCAAGACCGTTGGGAGGAAAAGACTTAAGGAAAAAAAAAAGTGGAAAGGGTTCAGCTGTCCACGGGAGGCAAATGACGATCCGGATGATGCGCACATCCAGTCCTTTCTCTTCGTTTTCTGCTCTCCAGGAACCCACTACCCACAAGGTTGGCGGCTATGCAGGTGATTAGACCCGGTTTTCTTGGCTTAAACGCCAGGACTCGGGGTCCGCGTCTATGTGGATATATCATTGAGAGCCCCCAGGGAACTAGTGAAGAGTTAGCTCTTTGGTTTCTATAGATCGGAGAGCGGCAGTTGAAGCCGCGCAGGATCCATGGATGGCAAAGTTCTTATGTCATCACTTGGATCCCGTGCTCAAGACTTCCGAAAGGGGAACACCACTCCACAAGCAACAGGGCAACATGGACATGGATATGTACAGGGGAAATACCTTTCAAAGAGCGACGCTCTCCGGCGCTTATGGATGAGGCTTGTGGGATTGTCGCCTTTAAGCCTCAATTGCGGGGTTAAGCGCGTGAATCGACGTGACCGGTGAGACCCAGGCCAACTGAATCAATGACTTAGAATAGTCGCGCGTTTCGAGATCAGACCTCGCTGAATGCGCAAGCGCTAGAGAAGACAATTCTTAGTGCACACAGCCCCAGAACCCGCGCACCGAAGCGCGACGCGACCGAGAGCGCAAACCGACGTTAATCCAACTGGCAAAGCGATACATGCCGTGTCATGGCGAGACGAGAAGAAGTGTCAAAGGTCAAAGTCAAGTCAAGTCGAGATAAGAATCGAGGCGAAGGAACAAAGAAATAAGGAGAAAAACCCGCACTGCAGGCCGGACGCACGGCGTTTTAGGGGGGCCACGACAGAGGTGAGCTGAGATGCGTCACATTAGCATCTAGCCATGCAGGTGGATAATCGGGCTGCAAGCTACTGCAAGTCGAGCCACACTGGTCGCTGGTTGGATCGCTGGAATCCTCAAAGCTATGACCTGGGTGCAGTAACACGGCGCGATCGGGCAGCGTGCATCTGCATTCAACAAATGAATAAAGCATGGCCTGGTGGGGCATGCTAGGGCGCGCTGCAGATCGGGCGTTCGTCAATGTTGGGGTTATGGACTACGGGCCTCGCTGTGCGCCACAATGTACCCTTGATCCTGCGGCTGAGGATATACGGTGGGAGTGGGTTTGCGCAAATCCTTGCAAACCTTTGCAAATTCCGGGCATTAATACTTGGGCAATGCATCTTATATTCCCAGAACTTTGCATCCAAGAGTTGGGACTCGGTCATCGTGGAGGGGATGCATGTCAAGTATCTCCATATCCATATATGGATAGTATCATGCAAGGGTATAGCGAATCAGATGCACAAAAGTCCCGACTGACATCAAAGCATTGGCCAGATGGGTCCCGAGATCTAAGTCAGCAACGTGAACTTCTGCGATTGGCCACCTCCAAGCCGGGAAAAAGGAGCTGAAAAAGAGAACAAATTCAGGCAATCGCTGGGTCTATCCTGTTCCTGAGAATGGGCCGAGACACTACCTAGGTAGAGGTAGAGATGCACATCATTATGCGATAAGCTGGACGCTGGACCTGTCACTTTGTTTGACTTTCGGGACTCGGTTCCGGAGGGAAGTGTGAACATGGGAAAAAGCCATGGAAAGCCATTCCGAGGACTAAAGACTCATGATGCGGTCATCAAACTCCATGTATTGAGAGGAAACAACCGGGCTAAGCAGCAGGGAAGGAAGGAAGAAAAGAAGAAAAGAAAGTTCCAGTGCGAAGATCGAAAAAAAGAGCGACCAAAAAGGAAGCGAAATTTCGAATTTTTTTCCCTTTTAAAAGTACAACGCACCCTGCATAACCCACTGCGGTCCCCAACTGGAAAACCGGGAACCCGTTAGTGTCCTGGTACACAGGGACAGAGACTAGTCTTGACAGGGTCTACGGCTATACGTGGAGACCTCAAACCCTGAAGAAATCAGGTAAATCAAGGAAAGAGAGAGAAAAAAAAAGGAGGGCGAGGGGAGCGGTATGGGGCGGGAGAGGGAAAAATTTAGGAGCCGGATAACAAACAAAAGAGGCGCATGTTTGACAGCGGCATACTCCATTCAGAACCAAAAGAAGTTGGGGCTATACAATTATGCTTAAATGGCATTCCGCTTGGGTTCCATGGTTGTGTCCTGACAGCTCTGTTGCTTTGACCGCCGATCTTGTCGATCTAAGCTTTCGAATTCTGAGTAACTGTACGGAGAATATGATATCATTTATTACTGTACTCTTTACAGAGTACAAACAAATCTGATCTGTACTCCTATATCCCCGGTTGTAGCCACTCTGTCCCGTGAACAAATATCAGAGTCACCTTCCTAAAAAGGGTTGGGCTAGGAATTCTCCGAACACGGTGGGACTAAGCCTCATCTCATCAAATAACTTAATATGTCCGTATTCCGCAAAGTGAAAAGTACTGTGTCCCAGCGAACTGAGCTACAGAATGTAACATTAATAACAAACCATATGCAATAAACAATAAACAAATGATATCAACCCAAAGACCCAAAATGCGTAACCAGACATGATCTCACATCTCGAATGCATACTAGCAAATAGCATATTCCCCTCGATAGAATACATCAGATAAGCCGCAGATCAACCACGCCCTCGGGTCCAACAATTGACTTTTTTTTCTCGTATTTCCTGCAGGTGCACATGGCCCTGTTGGACTGTGCTGACGTGGATTAGGGGCGTGTGTGGGAGCCTTAGTTCAGCAAGGGCCTTCTCTTTGTCAATTGTCATAGCGTTTCCCCACTATGATGTTCATGTGCCCTAAGACAAATAACTTATGGGTTACTTATACTAGAAGAAGAGAATCTATGTAGTCATTATAGGTGTGTGCTACTGTGCTACTATTCCACTGTGTTTATATCATATGCTGTTCTAATTGAGGTTCATTTAGATTTTCATTTTTGAGGAGGTCTTCTATACTACACAGCAATCTTAAAAGATGAGTCTGTACAAGCCTCGGCACGAGTCCTGCATGCATTTCACATGTCTTACTATAATATGCTTCTCTCGCTCCGTACATGTATATGTACTGAATACAGACTTTAACAACTGTACCTCGCGCCCTGAATCTGACATGTCATAAACCTACCTACCGTAGGTGTGACGCGATATTCAACTTGATGACACGCGACAGTGAATTACCGGTTAACTACATCACGTTACTGTATATCACGAATATGATCACGATACGTATTTGCAAGTTCCGAAGTGAGAAGGAAAGACTACCAGCAATTGATACATTGACACGGATGCTAATCACACACTGTACTAATTTCTCGCAACTAGATAGAAAAGAGAACACGAAGCAGAAAATAAGGGAGAAAAAAAAAAAAAAAAAAAAGAACTCCAGACACCCCCGCCCTGCTCCTTGCTGGATGAAATCCTCGAAAAGCAACTAGTAGAAAACGAAGGGGATCGACGACGTAACAGTGAGATCACGCGACCCATTGATATCGATAATCAACCCCTTTGAAGGAGCCACGTAAGACAACGTAGCCAGTATTCGACGCAAAAAGAAAAGAAAAGCGGAATAAGAGATTAAATCGACCGGTGGAATAGGAATGGGATATTGCAAGATCCGAAGACAAGACACGAAGGAAAATAAGAGGTGGAATGGAATGGGAACAGTGAGAGCAGAGCAATAAAGAACCAAATCCCATCATACAAACGCCCTGTCCACATGCGTAACACTTTGCAGGCAAAATCATCTTAATCACACTCGCAACCGCGAATCATAAAACAAACGCTCGAATCAATCCCAGAAGTGGTCATTATGTCTGCATCACGACGTCACCGTCTACTTCGTACTCGGCGTCCGCGTCTGCATCTGAGTCGGCGTCGATGCCGTTTGTGTTGACGGTTTTGGCGCCTTCGCCTTTGCCTTCTGATTTAGAGGCAGAGCCTGGTTCGGCGGGGACCATGACTTGGACTTTTTCGACGAGGGCCTTGCGGTTGACTGATCGTGGTGTTTTGGAGTTGTCATTTGCCCGGTGGGATCGGAGGGAAATGGCTGTCTCTGGAGACCGAGAGGGGTGTTTCATCTTCTTTTCGGGTGTCTTCAGGGGCTCGCTGTTCTCCTGGACATCGGCTGATTTGATGCCGTTGGTCTTGGGAGTTGCATCGGCGAGAGTGTCGCCATTTGCAAGTTCTGTTTCGACGGTTACATCGGCGTCTGGTACAGGGGTATCGTCGACTTCACCATCGGCGTCGGCATCTTCGTCAATCACGGCTTCATCGGCATCTTCTTCGACTACTTGACCTTGTTCCAATCCCAGAGCATTGATGTGGGTAGGAGTTGCATCGGCAGCGGGTGATTCCGCAACAATGGAGCTCCGGCCGCGGCGGACGCTGCCTCCTGGTGTGAACATTGCTAGTGCAGATGGCCGTCGAGGGGTGTTGCGACCACTGTTACGAGCAATCGAAGGCGTCAGGGATGCGCGATAGTTATCCTTTTTGGTACTGCCAAATGGACGGCCAGGCTTGCGTTTGGGTGCTACAGCAAGGACGGGAGGCCAGAGCTCAAACCGAGAGGGTGGGATTCCAGCTGCAGGGTTAACAAGCGGGGGTTCAGAGTGGCCCGCTGCGTGATGATGAGTGCCACTGTGTTGGAGAGCCATGGTGGAAGGCGGTCCAGCAGGCTCATCAAGTGCGTTCGGACCGGATCCATTCAAAATTGGGACATCTTCATCCTCGACCTCTTCATCTTCGTCAGGGTCATCTCTTTGGGCCACGGCATGTAGAGGAGCACGATCGAAGTGTGACTGGTTGCTACGGCCCATGATGTAAGGTGTCCAGAGAAGGGCATCTTCGTTCAGTTGAACGTAACCCTTGCTCTCCCAACCGCTGATTACCTCGTCGTAATACTTGTGGTCGAGTCGGATTGCGTAAGTCTTAGTGATAGGATCCCGCACAAGAGCCCGTAGCCCTTCGAGAGCAGAAACGATATCATCTGCCGTCATTCCGGTCAGATCAGATAGATCTGCAATGCTAACAGGCGTCTTCAGATCGCGAAGCTGGTAAGACAAGATGAGTCGCCAGTAGTTTCGGTAAGAGACCAAACCCATGTCAGAGAGTGGTTTCTCAGGAGATCCGTTCTTGCCTTCAATGCGAGTGAGTAGGTAAGAGAAGTCAATAAGAAGGTTTCCATAGCCTTTTCGCTGATGGATAGGTAGGGTGAGAATGCAGGAGACATTGTTTGCTGAGCTTGGACGCTTTTCTTTACTGAAGTAGCCAACAAAATGGCAACCTAAATCGTCGTACTCGGTCATGACATAGAATAGGAAGGGTTCGACATCGTAGTAAAGAGTCTTCGAGCCAAGGAAGAGCTTGGCGAGAAGGCAAAGGTTTTGACAGTAGACGGGGTTCTTTCGCCCATCGACCTCGAAAATTGAGATCGATCCATCGCGGTAAATCTCGTCCCCAGGAGGGTGCTTGGCAGGACACTTGAGCTTGTGGCGCCAGGCGACATAGTCCGAGTTCATGTACTTCAGACAGAACTCGCAAATGTACAGAACACGATTGCGACTGTATTCTTCCGGATAAGGCGCAGCGTACCACGTTTCGATCTCATAGCCGCCAAAGTTGATGTATTTGATCTTTGACGGAGGACCAGACACCTTTTGCGAGGCATGTGGTGTGTGCTCGCCATTGAGCTCAGCCTCTCTGACCTTCTGTTGCCATTCATCTTCTGCTTTCAGGCGAGCCTGTTCGAATCGTTCGCGATCGAACTGTGTGGGGAGTGTTTTGGAGGTGTCTTGCTCGACCTCGTTTAGGATGCCCCCATATGGTTTGGACTTGGGGTCATCGGTTTCTCGGTCGAACAAAGTGATGGTGTTATAGGATACAGGGGGGAGCGGAACAAAGTGAGCTTGGGGTTCTGGAGGCACGACTGGTGGCTTTGGGGCCTTCTTCTTCTTGCGCTGTGGTCGGGCCTGGGCGCCTGTGATTTTAGACATTCTGGCTTCGTCAAGTCGGAACCCGACGATCAATTTACCAAACTGCCTTGCTACCACGCGGCAGTGTTCTCGATCCAGAGCACGCGTGCGTCTAACACGAACAGAACGCGTCTGAGCAGGAGAGTGAAGATCGACCTCGGCAGCATCAATAGCACCATCAAGGGAAGTGCCGTTCAACCCAGGACGCTCGCCACGGAATGATGTTTGACGCAACCTTTTCCGAAGAACAGGTACGTGTTCTTCGGCCTCAACTGAAGATGCCTTACGTTTGCGTAGCGACCGAGAGCTGTTTAGCATTTCATCATTTACGCCCGTTTCGAAGATCGAGTGAAACCCTTCGTCATGTGTGCCGGCGTGTGCAGGTAGAAGCTCTTTGGGAAGAATCGAGGCTTTCCGTTCTGGCACCTCGCTCTCTAACGGGTCCGGTTGTAAATTATCACGAACGCACGTGAGACATCTCCACGGATCTGGATTTCGCGATGTCAGTTGCCGGGGTTCTCGATGGCAGTAAAGTCCATCCCAACTGGACGTTTGACGTACCTTCAGAATCATCAAACGCTTCTTGCTCACGAGCACACTGGCGATGGGCTAGAGATGTTTAGTCAGTAACGGCCGGTAATCAAAGAAGGGGGTTTCCTCCGGCAAACACAACATACAGTGATCACCACAGACAATGCAAGTTAACCATTCCTCGAAATCTTCACTTGGATCGTGTTCTTCGTCTTGACTGCAAAACCTATTGGTCCGTCAGTACCTGCATACTTAGCTGCGTTGCCTGGACCTATCCACTTACACGCAATTTGCGCGACTGCGTATATCAGCCTCTCCATCTTCATGATCATTGCTCTCTGCCTCCCAGTCTTCCGCTTCTGATTCGTGATCAGTGGACTCGGGTTCTGATGCGTCACGGTCGTTGTCTTCAAACACGGGGTCGGCATCCGCATCGGCTGTCTCAGACTCCGCATAGTCTTCTTCTGATGGTGCATCCTCATTGGGAAGCTTGACAGCACCAACAGGCTCTGCCTCATCATTGTCGCCACCATCTCCATTCAGACCGTTGGCGCCAGCACTTCCGTCCGCAGCTTCGTCTGGTCCATCTTCATCGGCCTCTCCGGTGTATGCTCGGTGAACAGCATCTTGGAGCTGTTGGTCCATCTCATAGAGGTCGGTTTCTTCCTCTCCCTCCGCATCGAGATCGCTGTCGGCCGGGTCCACAGGCGGGTGGATTTTGCCCGGTTCATCGTTTGCTGGCGGCATTGTCGCCGCCATAGTATATGTTACCGCGACAGCCAGGTTGAGCGCAGTCCTATAGTATGTGCCTGAGTGGTACAGATCCTTGGTAATAGAAGCTCAAACCGATCCGGTTACAGGAGCACCCCGCTGACGTCGGCGCTGATCCGGGGGTGCATCTGGATCCAACACGAGATTTGCGGCGTACTCAGATGGTGCCAAAGATGTTCAGAAGCACGAATATCGATCGGGATTGACCCTCAAAGTCGCAGGGCGCAAAGTGGGAGCTAGACAAACAAGAGATGTCAGTCCGCCGCTGGAGGTGGCTCGAGCATCGCAAACGCGTGTCGCAAATCGGAGAAAACTCACCACAAAGAAAATCAGTCGAATCTTTGAATTAAAAGCGTACCAGACGCGTCGAAGGACAGTCCACACACCGGGGCCTGTCTCTTTAGCAATCGAATGCGATTCGCAGCGGCCATCACGCCCCTTGTCCTGCCTGAGTGTCGTTGCAGCTTGATGACTCAGCGCGGCTAAACTACTTTGGGTGGAGGAGACCTCAAGCCCGTCGCCGTGCGAAGAGACACTCACCTCCACACTCTCCGCGATTTGTCCACTCTGCTCAATCCGTGAGAGACTTCGCGGCTCTTGAATTTACGCCTACATACCCTTCCGCTCAATCGCTCTCCTCCGAACCACACATCATGGGTGTTCCTTTCGAGGCCTTGCTTCCCTATGGAATCATTATCGGCGTGCGTATCATTGGTCAATCCCTCTTGGGCTACAATTAACCAATGCCACAGATGTTTGGCGTGACCGGCTACGGTCTTCACTACGTCAAGCGCTTCGCCAACGATGGCAAGAAGACACGCTGGAATCGTGACCTGTGGGACAGAGTGAGTCTTCCATGTCGGCTGCGGTCGGAACTTACCTAGAATGTTTGCTAACACTTTCACAGCAAAGTACGTTATGACCGAATCATTGATCCAGACTACTCAAACTCCTCGAAGAACCTGCAAACTGACAATTCGCGAATAGTGATGGAGCGAGACCAGAGAATCACAGGCGCATTCCGGGGACAATCCAGCAATCACCAAGCACCCCCCGGATTCGACGTCAGCAACCCGTGGAAGGTACGGAACGAACTAGTCCCCAATTTCTCGAACGCGCTAACTCGGAGTACAGATGGAGAAGCGGATTTACTAGACTCAAAATTGCAACCTTGTTTCCCACCATTACGCTCTATGCCTGCGCCTTCATTTCTTCCGTGATCATACATATCCACTGCAATTTATCTAGAAACGCTGTATCATATCCTATTCACATTTGAATTTCCCAGTAGTCCACCAAAGGTCTATTTGAGCTGCGAGGACAAGTTCCGAATGCCTTGAATCTCACTCGCGCGAAGGTGCATATCAAAGTACTTGGCCAAAGCCTCAATCCGGTCTTCTTCGTTCTGCATCACCTTCAACACCTCTGTCTGCCCGTGCATTCTTTGCTTAACTTCTTTCCCCGCCATGATGCATTGTCCTACGATCTCTTTCCCACTTTCGTCCATGAGGAACCGCACACAGATAAATCTCTGGGTGAACCAACTGGTTCGATTCTTGCTGACGGAGAAGTTCATGACACCAAAATCCTGAGGCAAGAATTCCTGTTCGGAAAAGCAGATCTGGGACAGCCAAGAGCTCTCGGGTTTGTATCTTGTTTGGTAGATCCAGACCTTCTGGGTTGGATCGGTGAATTCGATGAGGTTTTCCTTGACCAAACGCATCTCAGATGGCGCAATATGCGTGGCAGTAGCACCCTCCTCCAGCGGCAGTGGGGAAGTAGCACCGTTATTCCCAAAGCCGACATCAACCTATCTGGTCAGTGTAGCTCAGGAGTAAATTTAGGATATCGTCACGTACCATGTACCTCTTCCCGTCAATATTGACAATCAGAATCATATGCGCCCTTCACCAAAACAGTCAGCCCATCTTATGCATCCATTCGCACCAAACATCAAGACTCACACAGAAAAGAACAACCCATTATCAACACCCGTCTCGGCAGCATGAGCAACTCGACCAGCAGTAGGATAAACGAAATACCCCAAAGACCGTAAGATGACAAGGAACAGTCCCGTATTCTCCATGCAATACCCATCAAGCCGTCTCTCAACCATCTTCTCAAAGAGGCTCTCAGGGTCCAATGAAATAGTATGATGGCGCGAATAATGCAATTCCGAATTTCCCCAAGGAATAGCAGTCAGGTGGCGCCGCTGGAGATCACACAGTGTGGCATAGGCATCTTTCTCTATATTCCGGCGGACATGCTGGAGAAGATCTGTCTCTGCTCCTGTGGACTTGGAGTATGCAATGCGTTGGAGGTATGTTTCCAGTTGGTTCTCGGTGTATGTTGGTTTTGTTGCCATGTTGCTGGTTATTGCTCTAGATGCGATATATACAAATCTAAAGATTGCATGAATAGATAAGAATGAGTAACCTGAGAACCTGAGAGCCTGAGAACCTGGAGAGAAGTCGGAATTATTCCACGTGTGGATATAGTGGATGACCAATTTCTCTCCCCACACGGCATTTGGTTGCCACGACCAGCCGAGTCGAGATCTAGCAGATCTAACAGATCTTATACTGTGATATTATTGATACTTGACATTGTTGAGGGGCTCACCAATCATCTGATAGCCCGGCATATATCGTTCCTGCAGAGACCTGCATTGTCGGATCATCCTCGGCTATACCACGTCCGCGGGGAACCCCGCGATCCTCTATAGGTTTAGCTATGTAGGATGTATGCTATATAGCATTGAATTCCAAAACATAAAAACATAAATTCTAGATACAACCAGTTTCAATCAGTAGTCTGTACTATGTAACGCCATGTTCGGCAACCCCAGATCAACCGATGATGTATTTATCCGATATCCGGACGTGCGGACATGTGCTCGACGTTATTCCCCGATACTTTCCTTGATACTTACATATTCCTTCATATGACTTGTAGAGCATTTATCTATTCATACGTCAACTAACCATACTATTAACATCACCCTCACACTTTCACTCTGCGCACTATACACAATGGCCACGCTGAAAGAGCAACTTGCGACTCTGGTCGAGAATTACTCGGCTTGTGATGTACGTCGGACGAAGCCCGTTTCACATCTAGCAATATATCTAATACAGCAATATCGCAGGTATCAGACGCCTTGGTAAAACTCCAAAACACACCACCAGGAAGCACAGCAAGAGCAGGGTACCTCGCAGACCTAGGTAAACCACCTAACCCACCATGCAACCCCTCCAAAACCAGCCAAGAATTGAACATACTAAGAAATAAGTATAGTCCCATTCTCCCCAATAACAGGCCGAAACAACACAACCCCCAAAATCGCCGCCCCAGCGACAACATTCAAATTCATCCCAAAGAATTCCACCCCACCAAGTATAGCAACAGACCAACGCTCAAAACACGGCTTCGAAGCCGGCAAGCACTGGGTTGACCATGTAGGCGAATACGCGGCGGCAGACCCATCAGGCGCCGGGTCCATTGTCGTTATTGAACAGCCTGATGATCAGTTCTGTGCTGTTACTGGTGGTATTATGGCGACGAGGATGGTTGCTGTTGGGATTATGGCGACTGTGGTTGGTGGGAGAGTTAGGGACTTGGGGGAGCTGAGGGAGACTGGACTTCCGGTTTGTTCTATTCTTTTTCTGATCTGGGGTGATGCAGAAGATGGGTTGCTAATTGTTTTTTATAATGGGGCAGATTTGGGCAAGGGCTACGTCGACTGTTGGGACTAATGCTGAGGCGAAGGCTGGGGCTCGTGATGTGCCAGTTTCTATTGGTGGTGTTACTGTTTCGCCGGTGAGTTTTTATCTTTCCTTACATGGGAGTAATAATATGGTGTGTTTAGCTGATTATACGATAGGGTGATATTATCTTCTGTGATCCTTTGGAAGGTGTCGTTGCCATCCCTCGTGAATTGCTGGGCCAGGTGCTTGAGATCATGCCCAAGTTGATCGCGATGGATGACCAGGCTAAGGAAGCTGTTGCCAAGGGTATGAGTGTTACGGATGCATTCAAGAAGTTTCGTTCAGCATTGTGATTTATCACGGTGGTTGATGTGCTATATTGGGGAGACGTATGGCATATAAGCGTACTCTATACTCTATTCCTATTGCACCTAATGCACCTAGTAAATCTTCTAGTAAGCTACTGTTTTGTCTCAAAGAGACAGGATAAGCGCGTAGATAAAGTAGAGGTAAAGTCCAATCTCGTGGTATTCAATACATGACAAGAAATCCTTGTGTACAAGGGAAAGAAAACGTAAAATGCCAAATCGCTAGTTCAATGTACAATCGAAAGCATATGCTTCATTTATTCCGCAACCCAGACAGCGGCCATACCCATACCGGTACCGACACACATGCTGGTGACACCAATCTTCTTGTTTGTCCGCTTCAACTCAGTGAGCAGAGTGCTGACCTGGCGGGAACCAGTGCAGCCAAGAGGGTGACCGAAAGCGATCGCACCACCCTTGGGGTTGATCTTCTCTGCGGGAATGCCAAGCTCGTTGACACACCAGACGCACTGGGAGGCGAAGGCCTCGTTGATCTCGTAGATGTCGACATCGTCCTTGGTGATGCCGGCCTTCTCCAGAGCAACGGGAATGGCCTTCCAGGGGCCAACACCCATGAGGAGAGGCTTGACACCGACGACGCTGGCGGCAACGTACTTGCCGATGATCTTCTGGCCCAGACGCTCGGCGGTGGAGCGCTTCATGAGGACGACGGCGGCGGCACCGTCGGAGATCTGGGAGGCGTTACCGGCGTGGATGGAGCCGTCCTTGGCGAAGGCGGGCTTGATCTTGCCCAGGGACTCGGCGGTGATACCCTCACGGATACCGTCGTCGGCCTTCACGGTGATGGTCTTCTCCTCGCCGGTCTTGGGGTCGGTCCACTTCACGTCCAGAGGGGCGATCTCCTCGTTGAAGAGACCAGCCTTCTGGGCCTTGAGGGCCTTTTGGTATGAGTTGGCGGCGAAAGCGTCCTGGGCCGCACGGCTCACACCACGGTCCTTGGCCATGTTTTCGGACAGGACACCCATGGGAACCTTGCAATTGGCAGACTCGGGGTGGTTCTCGAGGAGGTCGGAGAATTCAGTCACGGCACCGGGCCTATAAAAAATGTTAGACAGGATTCAAAAAAAAAAAAAAAAATCGGACTCTACATACCCATATTGAGAGGACATGCTCTCAACACCAGCACCGATACCAACATCGATCATGCCAGACTGGATACCGTTGGCAATATCGGCGATGGCCTGGAGACCACTGGAGCACTGACGGTTCAGACTCTTGACAGCAGTGGTCTCGGGGAAGCCAGCCACGAGAGCAGCGGCACGGAACTCAGTAGCACCACCACCGGGAGGCAGGACGGAGCCAACAGCGATATCCTCAACAGCCTTGGGGTCGAGACCACTCTTGTCAAGGACAGCCTTGAAGACACCAGCGAGCAGATCAGCAGCAGCGGTATCCTTGAAGCCACCCTTACCACCCTTGGTGAGGGCCGTTCGCAGAGCACATGTCACGACAATGTCATCGGGGTGCTTCTCGGTGAGGGCGGCGGCTCCCTTCTTTCCGAAGTGGGAGGAAACCTGGTTCAGGCGTTGCTGAGCTAGATTCTGAGGTTAGCATACTTGTACTTCTGCACCAGCTCATCGCAACGGCCACCAAACCCCATATTCAGTCGAGTACGGTGTGGCTTGCACATGCTACATACCGGAAGACATGACGTCAATATAGGATGGAGAGGGGAGGGGGAGTATGGGGTTGAAGGAAAGGAGTCAGATGGAGTTTCAGAAGCTAGTGAAAGCCGGGGAAACCGTTCCTTTATAAAAGTTGAGTGAGATCGGTGATACTTCCCCTTTGAATGGCCGTTGCTGGCCGCAATCGCATATCCGTGAAAGTACCGAGGTCCATTTGGCCGCATCATCATTGATCCGGACAGAGTCACGGGATCCCCGAGCCACATGTGAATTGCATGTGCAACAACGTCATTCACTCGGTTATACTCTTTATGTATCAGGTAGTTATGTATGTCAAGTATACAATGCACGGGGTGATCAGTAATCAGAGGTACAGTGTTGACTATATACGGAGGACCTCTACATGTATACTTGTATCTTTGTGGGGAAGCTCGGCTGTCATCTGGTAATCTACTCTAGTTCAAATCGTTACTTTCCTTTTTTGTTTTGTGTCTGACAAGAAAACCTCGGGTTTATCACAGAGACTGTAAAAGTTTATAAACTGTTGAGGGCTGTCATGTGCTAATATCAAAAATGTTTACCAGTTTTGCATGCCCAGGATCACGCGCGACATCGTAAACCCTTCATCATCTAATTTAGTCCATTATGGACAGGGCTCAGATTTGCCCTAATAGACACAGCTTCGCATACTAACCTACTACTGTGATTTTATTAGGCTTGACACCACATTCGTTTCATTGTTCTAAATTTGCCGTCGCCTATGCAGAGACTGGCGTCAGCATTCCTTATTGGATGTCCTGGGGACAGATTGGATCTAACTTGCACTGATCAATTCTATTCTAGTACGCCGGCCTTGCAGAAGTACGATGCTAGAACACAGGGCGGCGGGGCTGGGGGGAAACTACCCATTGCAAAACGATGGCTAATGCAGCTCTGCAGAGCTCGGCGCTTACATCGAAGCCGAGCTTGAAATGAGCGTCAAGACGCTTGCCAGGCCAGAACAGCTCATAAAGACAAGAAAGACACAGTGTTATATCCCCCAGTCTTTTTAAAGGATTTTTCTCCAATTAATTCATAACTCAACCCTTCACCATGTCGGGTGTCGACATGCAACTCGATATGAGTACACTCTCACTCGCCGGCTTGGGAACCTTCTCAAATGTACTCTCAGTACTTTCAGCAGACGACATTCAACCCAGTGCAATGCTCCAGCTCGAACAACTGGGCTCAGCCTTCCCAATCAGTGGGCCACTCATGACTCGTATCCCCGACCAACTTCAACGGTGTGCAAGCACACGCCTAGATCGGCTTGGTGTGATGATCGGCTGGCGCAAAGGGGACGCAGCTTCACTGATGGCCCAGTCTACTGGAGGTCAAGCCATTTCGCTACTTGCAACCTGCCTGGAGAACATCTATGGAAATGCCACTGCGGGCTCGATTTTCTACCATCTTTCAAAGACTTTGCTGCCGAGCTCTGTTCGTCTCAGTAGCCCCAAGCAATTGATGCAGGCCACTAATATCCTTGCGAATAAACTTGGTGTTATTGGTTTCGGAACACATCTCGCAAAACATGTGTATCGTATCCACGAGGCGTACCGGCATCTACAAGAGAGAGCACCGACAAGTCTCTTGGCATCGCTGAGCCCCGATGGTATGAGTGAAATATTGTCAAAGTTCTCACAGGCTCTCAGAAAAGAGCGATCCATTGTTTGTGTTCGTGGATGTGCGAGCATGGGGTATATCTTCGCTCTCGCGGTGACGATGTTTCCAGATGATTGTATTGTTACTGTCGAGTCTTTGATCATCCATCAAGGATCTCGCTCCTCATCCATATGCATTGATATCACTGATCATCTGGGCGAGAAATTTCTCCAGACCGAGGTCAAGGGTAAAATCGATTCATTTTCAGATATCCGAGTCTTGCCTGGAAAACCGTCATCTTCGCTCAAATTTGTCTACCCAGGTTACTTGGCTGCGTACATGCAAATTCACTTACAGGAGATGGGCGTGGTCTGTTTGCACGTTGCTATAGAAGCAATGGGAGCCTGTATTCTATCACTTTCTGATCTGGTTCACGTCACCATTGGAGAGCGTGCCGGTGATCAGCCAATGGTCTCAGTCCATCTTTTCAGTCAGGTCTTCGGCGAATTTCCTCGAGTAGCTCTACACCAGCGCTGCGAAGAGGCTTTGGGAGTGACATTGCCGCTGAGGTGGCCTTCATTCTCGAAAACATTTACAACACTCCAGCATGTCCTAGCAAGGTCAAATGGAGTTGACCAAATCTCGCAGCTAGCCGATAATATAAGCCGCTATTGTGACCCGTCAACACTTCTTCTTCGGATTATAGATGAGGGTATTGCTAGCCTCGCCGTTCATATCCACGGGGGCGCTGTCTGGCAGGAGCGCTCTGATCCCAGAGTTTGGAGTCCATCCACCAAGATACAGAAGCAGGTTGCGAAGATCATCATTCCGCCTCAGGGGGTGTTGTCTCAGCTGTTCTCTTGGAATGATGTAGATCTGGTTGTCAAGTCAGATGGCACGACAACATTGGTCCCAGCCGGTATCTCCCAGATGGGTAGTGATCTCTCTGGTTATAGGGGTCTTGAACTCTTCGACGGCGTTATTTACCACGACAATCGATATCACACTGACATATATACCGAAATCCCTTATAACAACCTGTCTCGGTCCCTGAATGAACAATTTCGTGCTCCTAGCAGCGAGATCTACCCTACGATGGAGGGCGTTCATTCAGATCTATCTCTGACCCTCTCAGAACAAGTACGCGGCCTTGCATTGGAGTGCTCTGTCCAAGTTTCAGGCCAGCGTCACTTGATCAATCTACGAGAATGTGTAGATCACTTATTCGGCCTCTTCAACGCAAATCCATGTAGACATACAAAGAAGACTCAACTCAAACAGGAATATGTGGGAATGATTCAAACGAACTCCATCCTAGAACCAGATGCACGGCAAGGGGACCAAATCTCAATAGTCCAAACAGCAGGCAATCCAACAGCGCAATTCCTCTCCCTAACAAAATGGGACCCAGCCCTCCTCTGCCACAAAAGCTGCCTGAATTGCGCTTACGAACAAGCCCGTGATAAAGAGATCTACAAGATCATCGTCGCATGAAACGAATTTCGGTTACTGTTTACTTTCTATTTTACTTTACTGTTTCTCCAGCGGGCCGAGCCCCATAGCGCAATTGACCAAATTCCGATATCCGATTATCCCAAACAAAAAAAGTAATTATACCCAAAAGGTCCCAAAGTACCCAACCCAACGCTATGTTTACCCCTTTTTAACCCAAGGTGTAATCGGCGATGAAAGCCCGCTACCAGCGCCGGGCTCCCTCGAAACCGTCACGTTAGTCGTATGCATAACCTGAATACCACCACCCCCATCCCCATCCGCATCCCCATCGCCACTTCCACAATTCGACAAATCCCGCCGTAGATGTAGATTCTCCTGCGACTCGGAAACATTCGGACTACCAAGCGGAATAGCATCATCATCAAGCTGAGACCAAGTCGTCTCAGGATTCTTGTGCTGCCGTTTCATCCACGGTTTCGTAAAGCCGCCAGAACCAGAAGCAGGACCAGACCTCGGACCGGATGAGTTCTCGTAGGATGGATCGCTGTTCTTAGCGCGGCTGTCGCCGAGGGCGCGCTTGACTCTGCTGGGTAGACCGGATTCCATGATCATTTTTGAGAGGCAGGGAACGCTGAAGATGAAGAAGCCGCAGGTCATTTCGCCGCAAGCCCAGAAGAGGAGTGGGCCTATTAGGTACATGCTGTCTGATTCGTTGGCGAAGGTTACTGTGTGTGAGAGGCGGAAGCAGGCTGCTACTGAGGCGCTGGGGTTTGTGAGTTTTGTGGTACGGCTTGGGGAGATGGTTGGAAAGGGGGTTACTGACAGTATACCGACGCCGAAGATGATGGATACACCTAGCTTCTTTTGCCAGCTCATCTGTAAACCCCAGATTATCTTTTGTGGGAGGATGAACATCAGGATATCGGATATAACCTGGATGCTAGCAGATGCAAGCATGACTTTTGGGAGGGAATAGCATTTGCTAGGTAGGTAGAACAGCCAGATCGCTTCGTGGGGAGTGCATTGCATGTTCAGGAGGATGATGCAGGAGATTCCCCAGGTGCACTGGATGAAACTGACGAACATGCATCCCCACCAGAAGAGGTTCCTCGACCGGTCAACGGCGACGAAGACTCTACACCAATCGATCAGGATGGCGGTCTTGATTAACGGGAGGACTGCTGAGTAGCTGCAACCATAGACGAGAATGAGCTGGTCAGGTGGTTGTTAGTTTTTGTCAGTTGTTATTGCGAAAGAGTCGATCTTACATAAAGAGGTCGGATGAGGTCTTTGTTGGTGAGGTTCCATGTGTGCACGTAGTAACCGGGAGTTGAGATTAGGGCATAGCCAGCGTAAGCTGTACCCCAGTAAGCTCCCTATTAGAGTGATACGGATTAGATTGAGATCTCTGGCGCTAGACTGAACAACAACATACGTATGCACAAATCATCATCACTGCCAAGAAGAAACCAGATCAGCAAGTGTCTTTCATGCATAATGGGGAAATACTCATCGACTGACCTTCTTCGATGCGAATCCTCTTGTCGAGCCATAATCGAGCATAGACACGCAGGAAAAGACATAGCGTCGCCACAACCATACAAAACGTTGTCACAACCCAGGCGAGAGTGTTCTTATTAGGCGGATTATCGAAGTCAGCTGTAACACCAGATGGTGGCGCAAGAGCCGGTGCAGCCAGCACTTTGGCCAGGGCTTCCTGCGACAACATGGAGGCCAATATCTGAACTCGCACGAAACACACGAACACACTGGGGAACAGGGGGTCACTGTCACAGATGGGGGATATTCATATAATAACCCAACTGTCAGAGTCTGACAGATCCATAAGGTCGCGTCGATCAGGTCAAAATCGGTCGATCTGCCAGACTTCACGTCACAAAATTGAGTTTGATTATAGCCCCATTTCCCGCGAGCTTTCCAGCCAGACGATATCAAATCACATTGTTCAGCAGTCCTGCATGGCAAAGATCATCAGCTCACATATTGATCCGGAACATCTTCGGTGGATGTATGGAGTCCAAGCCACAAGGATCAAGCTAAAGCGTCAGGGGACGACGCTAGTGGCCCGAAGAAACAACCCGCGGCTTGGCTGTGATTTGACGAGTTTGGAATCTGATGCAGGGAGTCCACGAAAAGAAAATAAAAATATTGTGGACAATGCACCGGGGTTGATAGAGATCATTTTGGGGTCGACGCCCTCGCGGCACAACGGGTGTGTTTAGGCCTCTGCCGACCTGTCACTTCTGTCACTTGAACTCTCTTCGATGGACCCAGCGCCCACGTAAAGGCGTAAAGGCGTAAATAAGATGCTGTGCCGTCTTAGGCCTCGTGGTTTCCACCGGGGAACGTAAGCCGTCACACTATACTCAACAAGGCAGGGAGGGGTCGGGGGGCCATCCGTGATATCTGGCTAGTCTTTATATGGTCATTGGTGTGACAGGCTCAGGGGAGCTGTCGACTATTTCCTTTCGCCGCCTCGTATTCTTCGTCTTTCAGTCGCGATCATGGCTGCTAGTGAGTATCGATTCACGGACTGCAAGCCTGAAACCGATCACTGACATGCGATCAATAGACACAGATACAACGCATAATGAGTTCCCCGCGCGAGTCGACCTCCTCGATATGCTGGCGCAACAGCCACTTCCCCTCCTCGCCCCCGGGCTGATGGATCCAAGTTCGATGGCCGGCGATGAGCCAACGAAACAAGCTCAGCTCGTGTTGGATCGCCTCAATGCTGCGGTTGCTGGGAATGACGCCGAAGCTATCGAGAGCTGTTTCGTCGCGGACAATGCGTATTGGAAGGATCAGTTGGCACTGACCTACCACCTTCGTACCTTCAGGACACCCGGTGTGATTGCGGCTAGTCTGTTGGAAACGAACAGACTGAGAGCCATTAAGGGTGGCATAGCAGTCAATGGTGCTGCTATGTTCATGCCTGCTACACCTGTTCTTGTGAGCGGTCTAGACGTATAGATGTGGTATCCGATAAAGTGTTGCTGACTCTTGCAGCAATTCATTGACTGTGGAATCACTTTCCAAACTGGCTCGCCAGTGGCGACATGCAGCGGAAAGGTGGTGCTTTTGCCGATCAAAAGCGCCAATGGGAGTATTGAATGGAAGATCTGGGTTCTGAGCACTATTCTTGAAAGCCTGGATTTGCAGAAGGAGGAGGAAACCTTGCTTCAGTTGCCTGGAAGACAGCTCGATGGCACTGAGGATGTGGAGACCGATGTCTTTATAATCGGCGGTGGAAATGCGTAAGACGACTACCAAGTCCGTAAAACGACCTGACTAACCTAATCCGATGATACAGTGCTGTCGCCCTCGCTGCGCGCCTCAAGGCTCTGAGGGTCGAAAGCGTCATGGCTGAACGCAATGCTCGGCCAGGCGACAACTGGGCCCTCCGTTATGACAGCATGCGATTCCACATCCCGACGACGTTCTGTCAATTGCCCTATATGAGTAAGTTGTACCTGTCTTCAACACGAGGCACACTGACAGTCAAACCAGACTATGAGAAGAAACCCGACCTTCTCTCTCGAGAAGACTTAGCGTCGCAAGTACGACGATACGTAGCAACGTTCAACCTGAACATGATCACCTCGGCCCAGATCCAATCGACCCAATACAATCGATCAACCAAGCAATGGCTCATCAAGTTCCAGACACCCGCTGGCCAGCGCACAGTTATCTCCAAGCATGTTGTCATGGCCACAGGCGTCGGATCTCAAAAGTTGCACCTCCCATCGATAGCAGACAAACATCTATACAAGGGTATTAGCATGCACTCAGTACAATACAAAAACGCCGAACAGCTGAAAGCAAAGGGAGCTAGAGTAAGCCCCAAACCCATTCCAACACCCCCCAACCCGTCTGAGATCCATATAGCAACTGGTATTAACTGAACAACCCCCCATCACAGTCCGCCCTAATCATCGGCTCAGCAAACACAGCCTTCGACGTGCTAGAAGACTGCCACGCCGCAGACCTCAAAACAACAATGAACGTCCGCTCCCCAACATACGTTGTCCCACTCGACTATGTCTGCCACCCAATGAGTCTAGGAGCGTATGACGCAGGCGTGGACTTTGCGGACAATCTCTTCATGACACTCCCAACAGCCATAGACGCCCAACTAGCCCGCAACCTCTTCGCGCACTTCGCGTCTGAAGAACCGGATCGCTATAAAGCGCTGGCGGAAGCGGGATTCCCTGTTTTGGATAGCGGTAACCCCAATTGTGCGCTTATGCAGAATCTCCTTGAGCGGGGTGGGGGGCATTATGTTGATGTTGGTGGTTCCAAATTGGTGGAGGAGGGTCAGGTTGAGATTAAGGCATTGGTTGAGCCAGTCGCGTATACCGAGACTGGGCTGCGGTTCTCGGATGGAAGTTGTGTTGATGCTGATGCCGTGATTTGGTGTACTGGATTCGCGGATAAGAATGTTCGTGACGCTGCTCTTGAGATCTTGGGTGGTTCTGAAGATCAGGGTCAGAATAGTGAGGGTGAAGATGGGAAGCTGTTTGGTCCTGAGATTGCCTCTCGTCTTGATGCGACTTGGGGTGTTGATTCTGAAGGTGAGATTCGAGGTCTTTGGAAGAGGCAGTCGCGACTTGAGAATCTCTGGGTTATGGGTGGTTATACTCAGCAGCATCGCTGGCATTCGCGGACTTTGGCGCTTCAAATCAAGGCTGCGTTGGAGGGTGTGTTGCCCCCGGCGTATCGGGAGACTCCTAGTCCTGCTGTCACATCGCGTTGTGTTATTTCTTGATGTTGTGTTTGATGCTTAATGCTTGATGTTTGATGCTTCTAACGTGAAATTGAATATTGTCTACAAGGCTCATGATGTATTCTTGTTTGCCCTCCTTTGGCCACTTTTGTCACCTCTTGCCTATCTTCTAGTTGGACTAATTGCCAAGATCATACGAAATTAGGTGTGAGAGAAGTTCTGTTGCATACTCGATGTAGTCTATTTTTAGTGGGTGAGATCCACCAACTCATCTTTCCATCTCAAGTGACAAGTATCACTTCACAATGTCTACGGTCGCAGACATCAATCTCATCTCTGAGTTCCTCAGTGACAACCAGCAAGATCTCTTGCCGGCCGACTGCATCGTGATCTGCGCATCAGCAGTCCTCCACAGTGCCGAAGTCCTCTTCAGCACTCTGCAGCAACAACCATCTCTCACCAAAGCCCTGGTGCTCTGCGGTGGAATCGGCCACTCAACCAAGCTGCTCTATGATGCTGTGAAAGCCCATCCTACATTTTCTCGCATTGCCGATGAAATCCAAAATCTCCCAGAAGCAAAAGTCCTAGAAAGAATCTTGGACGTGTTCTACGACCGATCTCTCATCACCAAAGAGGGATGTCGCATCCTTCTAGAGCCCAACTCGACAAACTGCGGACAAAATGCATCTTTCTGTCACAAGGTCCTTGATGAAGCGGGCCTCCAAGCTCCGAGGACGTGTATTGTCATTCAAGATCCGACGATGATGCTCAGGACTAAAGCTTCGTTCCAAAAGACATACGAAGATGTGCAGTCCCCGACTTCGATTACTAGCTGTCCGGTCTTTGTGCCGCGCATGCAATTATCTCAGGACGGTACTCTAGAATTATGCCCTGTCTCGACAACCTGTGAACAATGGTCCAAAGATCGATTCTTGGAGTTGATTATGGGGGAAATTCCCAGATTGAGGGATGATAAAGACGGCTACGGGCCCCAGGGACGAGGATTTATTCCTCATGTTGATATTCCAGATGATGTTGAAGCCGCTTGGTCTCGATTGGAGATTATGGTAAAGAGATCTAGATAGCATAATAGCATAGCTCAAACGTGTCACGAAGTGGAAGTGTAAAGCGTAGATGGAGATAGGCGGAGAAGCCGATCAAATTATTCTCCGCGCGGCCTCCAACTTCACGCCACCAACCTACAGAAAACAGGGTCTCTCTCCACCGTAACCCTCCTCATGTTCCGACAAGCATTAACAGCCACCTCTTCGGTGCGCTGCATCCCATCGAGCGCAATCGCATCCGCCTCAAAATTTCCAACCAGCCGCGCACCATGGCACCTCGTACGAGACCCCAAGTCACCCAAACCACCCTCACCCAAACCCCAAAACCCTTATTCTTAGCCTCTACAATACGCAACACACAAACTCCTCCAATAAAAACAGCACTAACCAAATCCCAGACCACAACCCTCCAACCCCCAACGCAGCGCACCTTCACAACAACATCACCAACACCCTTCAAACCAACCCTCTCAACGCAAGAATCCCCCTTCCGAATGTCAACAACAAAACCAACAAACACCGCACCCCCCTCCTTCGACGACATCTACTACAGCCCTTACCAACCAAAGCGCCAATGGCCACCAGACATGTCCAAGCTCTCCCCGAAACACCAATTCCGCCTCGAGCGCAAGTACCGTCGGCGTGCGGCGCTCAAGTATGCCCGTCCTAAGTTTATGAAGGCTGTTACTCTGGGACAGTGGGTTGTTATTGGATGTGAGTATCGCTTTTTGCTCTTGAGCATTGGGGTTATGAGATATGAGATTTGAGATATGAGGTTTGATGGGAAGCATACAGGCTAATGTGTTGTTCAATCGATAGTCGTTCTCATCTATGCTGTTCTATTTATGGAATGGCAAACTGAGAATACGCCTTTCCATGGGGTATGTACTTCACATATACAAACCATGTACAATAATGCTAATGCTTGTTACAGATTCGAGAGGCTTTCTTCGACGGGCTTAAGGCTATTTTCTCTGCGCCGCCGGCTCCGGAGCCTAAGAGGGAACGGAATGAGTGAAGTGGCCATCTTGTTGCATGTGAAGTGAGGTAAGGTGGAGTGAGGTTGACAGCGTCCTTGTATATTGATCTCTGGCATTGGCAATATTTGTATAATATGGAGATAGATTCCCAACTTGTATGTTAGTACGGTACCCTTGAGGTGTTTCACGAGGGAGTAAATGGACAGTATATGACAGTCAAAGAAGTAGAGAGAAATGCAACTAGATTCAAGCAACAGGCACCTACGCTACCTACCAAGCTGACGGAAAAAGTAAAAGTAAAGAAAAAGCAGTGACTATTCATTCAATTCTCATATCTGTCGTTTTGTCATGAGGAAATCCAGTCGGATGAACAGGCGTCGCTGTACCCATGGAGAGAGAACAGAGCAAGAAGCAGGGCAACCAAACAGGAATAGAAATCATACAGATCCCATCTGGCTTCGCCTGCCCAAAATCTTGCTCCATTCTCCCCCCTCGCCTGTGCCAATATGAGGCTTCTTTACATCATGTCCGCAGGACTTCTCTGGACAAGCAAAAAAAAAAAAAATAACAAAAAAGGAAATGCAGTAACAAGAGACCAATAACACCAAGAATGCCAGAAACGCCTATCGAAGCAACATCGAAGCAACAGGCCGTGAAAGACACATAACGCACAACTCCGAAAGTCAGGAAGATCAAGATAAACAGAAGCCAGCAAGGTAAGATAAGATGAGAGGGGGCAGGAGCTGCCCGAACGCCGGGTCATGATAACGTGTAAAGGCAAAGAAAAGGGTTAGGAAATAATGACAAAGAGGAATGGAAATTCGTTAAAATGGGAAACCGGGGGTTGCGCACCCGGTTTCTTAGAGCCAGCTGCGCAGGTCGCTTGACGGAGTTGACGGGCCTGGAGCTGGACGGTTGTCAGAGAAGTCCAGGGCTAGCTCGAGCTTGGGTGGTCGTTCGTCGACTAGGCCCTTCCTTGGGCTTCCTGGGGCTGACTTCTTTGGAGATTTGGTTGGGGAGCCGGGTTCGCCTGCCCGAGGCGGGCCTTCGCGCACGAAGGTGTAGGGCCATCCATCATCTGCGGCGGCGGCAACCCATGTGCGCAGGCAGTCGTGTACGGAGGAGTAGAACTTCTCCTTGCAGGTGCGCAGGCTGCCACCCATGACTTTCTCGAAGCCGGAGGAGCGGAGCTCAGCGCGGAGTTGGTTACGCTCGTCTGGGGTGGGAAGCGAGGCAATCAGGCCATTCACAAGATCGAGGTGTGCGGCGAGGTAGTTGGTTGCATCCCACTCCACTCCACCAACATATGGAGCAGCTGGGACTGGAGGACGAGGGGGTGGGAAGTGACGTTCAACATAAGGGCGAGTATCTTCTGGTGATTTTTCACCGAAAACGTCCTCAGTCTTGGGAAGTTGAACGACATTCAGATGGTGAAGGAAGATCCAGAATACCTCCTTGGTAACGTTGGTGACTTCCTTGCACCACACACGGTATGGCCGCGATTGGTAGATATTAGCGATGAAAGAGAGCGGCTGGTTGTCTTCTGGTGGCGCAGGGTCCTGCAGGTAGCCGAGGATCTGCCTGGTGCGCTTGACTGCCATTTCACCAGCAGGGGCGGTAGATAGCTGGGTGAACAGGAGATTGGCGATAATACCTCGAGTGGTGAACTCGCTAGGTCCCTTCTTTTCCTCGTCAAATACCATCTTCAGCAAGGCCGGGAACAGTTCATCTTCAATCGAAGAAAGATGAGCCAGTGCGACAGATGTGGTGCAAAGAGCCTTCAAACAAAGCAATGCCTCGTGCAGAAGTGTATCCTCGTGGTCCTCTCTGTGACAGTGTTAGTGGCAAGTTTAATAAGACAGCCATAAGAATACGCACCTCCAGGTCATGTTCATAATGCGGTAGAGGAGCTGCACGATCTCATCCATGCCTCCTTCGATGATGAAGCCATTAACCCAGTTGACGGTCTCGTTACGAAGAAGAAGGCGCAATTTATGCACCTTGCCAACTTCAACCATCTCCGGTTTCTGGATCTCTCGTAGATAGTGCACAAAGTCAGAGGGATCAGCCGCAGTATCAACAGCAGCTGCCTCCGAAAGGGATGCAGTGGAGGCCGCAGCTGAGAGTGTTGTGTAAACACCAACAGGCTGGGACAGATCTACCGATTTCGGGCGACGGTTCGAAGCTTCACTATCGCGTCGTAGTTTCTTACCAGGCGAAGATGGACCTTTGGTCAGCGTGAAGCCACGGCTTCTAGACCGTGAGCGCGAGCCCTTCCGGTCTTGAGTTGGGCCATCCTGTGACTCCTTTCCACGGCCGCGACGACTGTCACCGGTTCCGGCGCTGAGAGGAGTGTTCTCCGTTCGATCTTTCTGAATAAAGTCCGCCTTGATGTTGGTGTCAAGTGAGCGCATCTTGTCTCGCATGTTATGGGGAATGTTTCTCGCATCCTGGTTATGTGTTAGCGCGACCATCATAGTACACTTTTGCATGACATAGACTTACCAGCAACTTTTCGAATTCACTCTCGAGGTCCTTCGAGTTCAGGTGCTGATGCACATCAGCATCCCGCTCCTTCGCGTTGAATGCGGAGATAGCTGCCTGCACGCGAGACAACCGCTTGGGCTCCTCTTTAGTCGGGGAAGCTGCTTTCCGAGGACTTGGAGGTCCTCGACTCTTGGTGGAAACGTTATCATATTGCGCAGCAGGCTCGTTTTCCCTCGATGTTGCGCGCTGCAGACCAAAGAGGTCCTTCACTTTCCGATTGCCGGTGAGAATATCTGACTTCGGGCGAGGCTTCGCGTCGCTGCCTTTCGCGATAGATGGTTGATGGTAGTCATAGAAGTTCCGTTGCTGCGACGGACCGTACCCTTTCGGTGTGTAGAGGGAGACCTCCTCGGCCACAGTCCGTTGGGTGTCGGTGGTCGAGGTTGGCCTCAGTCGACCGGGCTCTCTATGGACGGATGCTGAGTCTTGCGGCCCATCCCCACCCCACATTGGGGACGGCATATTATCGATAAGGTCGGTTGGGCTGCGGTTCTCCTTGTCGCGAGACTGCTTAGATCCATCGCCCTTGCGCCCACGTTGGGATCGCTTGAGAATGGCTGAGAGACTGGTTGATGATTTAGCCTTCTTGGGAGACAGCCCCTCTCCTTCACCAGTTGGCTCCTCTGGTTTGCCATCCTTCCGCTCCATGTAGCTTCTCAACGACTTCAGAGAGACGGCACTCTTGGTCTTCTTATGCATGGGCCCTTTGGGCATCTTGTCCACCTTTGGAACAGGTACTCCGTTATCCCCCGCATCTCGGTTTGGGATGATCTCACTCAACGGGTGGCAGCCGCCATGCAGAGTCGGCTCGTCACCAAAAGGATAAGTGTTCTCGGATGGCTTGCTTCGCTGCAGAGGTCGCGGGGCAACGGCATCATCGGCTGATTGGTTTCGTTTATGGGTTTTGGGCGACATTATGGCCCGGAACATGGATGTCTTGCCGGGTGATCGGTTCGCATCATCGAAGATCTGGGGACCGGAGGCACTGGCAGCCATTGCTATCCTCTTTGACCAGCAACTGCAGAAGTTAGCAAAGAAACCAGACGGCCAGACGGGTAGTTGCAGGACTCACGGGATGGGAAACACACGCAAGAAAGGGCAACGCGGGAGAAAAAAAGAAAACACAAAGTGGAATAAAAGCAGGGGCCTGTGGGGGATATGAAGAGTTCCGTCATCGACCATCAAGATGGTCCTCGAACTAGGCCAAGCCGATCACTGGGGTTGGAGTAAACAACGTGCGGATAGGCAGGTTGCGAGGGGCAACGCGTCGGCGGTGAACGCGGATTTGGCCATGTCATATTCCATGTCATCTTGCATTTGCATGTCAATATGGGAGTAGACGATAATTGACTGTATCATGCTTAGTTGCATATAATCCTTGCAGGTGGTTGAGATGTTTGTGTTTGGCCGAATGCGGCATTATATATACTGAGTACTCTATGAGGGAACATATACAAACTATACCATGCAGCACATTATAAAACCACATTGCGTTAGTAGTTACTATGCACATATACGCTATAGTTCCTCTTTTTGAGTCTAAATACCCCACTGGTTATTCAATCAAGTGAGCACATAATGGTCACAAGACCAAGTACAACTCGCCTTTCCTGTTTCCCGGTGGATGACTCGGCCAACACACCCCTACTCCATGCATGTACATAAACAATGCCGGGAAACCCCTCAGTTCCAGATCTTCTATCATGCACACTGTACATGTCCGGGTCTTTACCGGACTCCTGTGTCGGTGAATCGTGGAATTCGCCGATCCACACTTGAGCCGTTTGCGCTCTTCGCTCTTCCGGCATCAGGACAAACAAGTTCAAGGCGAAGATAAGTGAACATCGCTATTGCAATGCTCATCAAATTATACTAACGCTATCACATTAACGTGAACTACATGTCCATGCATGCACAGTGCCTGTATAGACCCAGACGGGAACGACACCGGGCGCATTCGGGGTTCCCCAACAAGGTTAACGCGGATTCTCGTGTGGCTCCGATGAACCGGCCGTCACCCGATCAAAGCCAGAAAACAAGCTTCTTGTCCCTCAGATCTTGATCTTCATCTTCATCTTCATCTTCATCCCCATCCAGCATGAATTGCCCCTCGCGGACAGACGATACGCTGCAGAATCCAAGCTGGAATCAGAGCCCACCGCCATTCAGTCCAGACACCACAACTCGGAATGACTTCAATGGTCTAGCCAATTCCCGGGTTCATCGCAGACATGCCAACTCTGCCAATGCAGCAGGGGAGGATACGTTATCCATTGATGAGAGACCGCACAGTGTGCACGGTCGGGATCCCGAAAAAGAAAAGGTCCCCAGTGGCGAAGTGACCACTGCTCTCTCGGGAGGTGATTCACCCCTGAGGACCAGCGGATCACCTCGCCGTCCTTTCTTAAATTATTTCAAAGATTCGTCTTTGAACTGTGCCCGCAGCTTGGTCAAGTTCGGCCGTTTCATTGGGCCTGGTTTCCTCATTGCTGTTGCTTATATCGACCCGGGGAATTACGCCACTGATGTCGCTGCTGGTGCAGATTTCAAGTATGCTTTGCTGTTTATCGTCCTTGTTTCCAACCTTTTTGCTATTCTGCTTCAGTCCCTGTGCATCAAGCTGGGCTCTGTGACTGGCCTCAACTTGGCCGAGAACTGTCGAGCTCACCTGCCCAGATGGATGGTGATTATTCTTTACATGCTGTCCGAGGCGGCCATTGTTGCTACTGATATTGCTGAGGTTGTTGGATCGGCGATTGCCTTAAATTTGCTTTTGAATATACCCTTGGTGGCTGGATGTGCCATCACCTTGGTTGATGTTCTTTTTATTCTCATCTTTTATCGTCCCAATGGGGCGATGTGGGGCCTACGATTGTTCGAGTTCTTCGTCATGGCGTTGGTCTTAGGTGTTGTTGTTTGCTTCTGCATTCAACTTTCTCTCGTTCAGGATCAGTCTGTCGGTGAAGTCTTCCGGGGTTATCTACCTTCCTCGGCCATCGTTCAATCAGAAGGGTACGCATCACTTCTTTGTCTTACGAAGGCCACCACTAACATATGTCTAGTCTCTACCAGAGTTGTGGAATCCTTGGCGCCACCGTGATGCCACACTCCCTTTTCCTGGGAAGTGGAGTGGTCCAATCTCGTCTGAAAGACTTCGACGTCACAGCCGGTTACGTGGAGGCTACAGTTCCACTGGGCAGCACTGGCGGCGAAGTTGAGTACCGTCCTTCGATTCATGCCATCCGGGGTTGTATGAAATACTCGATCATTGAGCTCGCTCTTTCACTTTTCACTTTTGCACTGTTCGTCAACAGCGCCATTCTCATTGTTGCGGGAGCTGCTCTATACCAAGTCCCTGGCGGTGCCGATGCCGACCTCTTCGGTATTCACAAACTACTCTCTTCGTCAATCGCACCAGCCGCCGGATTAGTCTTTGCTTTGGCTTTGCTGTTGTCGGGTATTTCAGCTGGAATCGTTTGCACGATTGCTGGACAAATGGTCAGCGAGGGAATGCTCAACTGGACTATTCGACCTTGGCTTCGAAGGCTCATCACTCGCTCTATCAGTATCATTCCCAGTATTATCATTGCTGGGGCTGTTGGAAAGGACGGTCTGAACAAGACTCTGACTGCGAGCCAGGTTGTTCTGAGTGTAATCCTGCCATTTGTTTCTGCTCCCTTGATCTGGTTCACCTGTCTCAATCGCTACATGACTGTTAAGACCGAAGAACCAAGTGAAACAGAAGGTGAAGTTTATGTAGCTGAAGTTCCCATGCGGAACAATCTTGTTACTTCGGTCATTTCGGTCATTGTGTGGGTTATCATCGTTGTGATGAACGTGGCCCTGCTGGTTCTACTGGGCATGGGCAAGGCATCTTAATCAGGATGAATGTTCCATCATTCTAAGCCAGACTGTGAATCCTCTGCCTTACTAAACCAAAACTCCAGTCCAACAATTCAATATAGTTCATATGGGCGCTTGAATAATAGTGATCACATAGTGCAAGCTAAAGAACCACCCAATAAACTCCACTGCCAGAATCCAGATAGACGTAAAAGCACGCTGCACGCTGTAAACAACTACCCAAGCCCCCCAGCAGCCTCCTTGACCTTAGTCTGCTCAGGGGGCTCATCGATGAACGTCGGCGGCGCAACCTCATCCTGCAAGAAACTAGGCATAGCACTCTCACCCATCCCACTCTCAAACATAGACTCCTCACCAAGGGCCTCAAGCTCAGCATCCAACTCAGCCTCATCAACATCCTCAGGAACATCATAGGAACGTGAGATACTCTCGTTAATCTCATTCCCAACCTCCATCAGATCAGCCATCTCATCCTGCATCTGCTCGATCTTATCGATATCGACTTTGCCATACTGCTTTTTCAATTCCTTCGTCGTAGTCTTCATTGCGTCCACAGTCGTCATGACGTTCTTAAGATTATCCTGCATCATGCCTGCCTGCTCCATGTTCCAGCTTTGTTGGGAGAGCTGGTCGCGCTGAGATTCGTATTGTTTGCGGCGTTGGAGGACTTTCAGGGCTTTCTGGCGTAGCGCGTTTTTGCCAGGTCCGTCGCGCATCTTGGCGATCTTCGATTGGTAGGTTTGTAGTTCCGAGTTTAATGCTGCTAGTTTCACGTCTATGCTTGATACTCGGGTGTCGACCTGGTTGTGTTGTTAGTGGGGGTTGGAAGGAGGGGTGTGGCTTGGATTGGGGAATGGGGGATGTCTTCGTACATTGGAGATGGCGCCTTCTAGAGACGGCTTGGGGGCCGTACTCTTTGTGCCGAACAGTCGATTCATGGTGGCTTGGGGATTGTAGATGTTGGGATTGGAGGGTGCGGGTTGGATGCAGAAGTGTGGCCAAAGCTTGGGATCGCGATCGGTGGGCCAAGAGGGTACAGTACCCGAATGCTGAGCCAAACGGGGAACAATAGCTTAATGATGAGTGCAGTGTATAACGTTATGTATGTGTTTAATGCGGAGCAACGTCAGTGGGGGCCTAAGGCCCAAGGCATTACACGTGATGTTTCAGCTTCAGGCTTCAACAACTGACCAACGTCAGATGATTTCTCTTCGTCAGCTGAATTTACAGCGTAAGATCAACGTGGGACAAGACCCGGCAGGTATTGGGTACTTTCTTCAGCACACAACTCTGGCGGGGAGGGGCTGTACCTAGTACCCACTGCCATGATGCAGTCCTGCAGACCCCGAGATCAAAATGTAATGTCACAGAGTAAGTCATAGAATCAGAGACAAAGTTAGATGTCAGCTCTACAGTAGACAAAGTACGTATAGACCATGTTGGAGATTACTTATAGTCATATCAAGTTAGTTCGTGGTCCCGCACTGTGTGTGTTCCGCCCTCGGGGATCAGTAATCGATCACAGCTTCACCTCTTTCCTCCTCCTCACTTCCCATGGACAGGTGTTGAGTCGCCAGTCCAGCCTATTTTGAGTCTACTCATTTTGACTCTCCAACTACTATCGCCATTTCTTCCTATTTCCCGTCCCCCCTCAAACCCACAGGGAGGTCTCAATTTCTCTCTTTCTTCGTCACTCCCTCATTGCTCAAGGTTGAAGGTAGGTATGAACTATCAAGGGTGCTGGCTCTAGACCCAGCGCCTTGCAATTCCCTGGTCTAGTCCCTCGCATTCCGATATCGTCGCAGCCATCCCGTGAGGTCCAGCCTCACCGGGGTACACCTCATCGGGATTGCAGGTGATGCAGGTGATGCAGGCATCTGAACCCGATCGCTGATCTCTCTCCCTCACACAGCGCTAGATCGCCTCAATCTCCTTTCCTTTCGCAACTTCCATTGCTAGTCCCTTCTAGGTGACGGCCCCCGACATACCCCACTCGACCTGCGCGACCTGGCCTCTGTGTGTGGACACCACGCTTACCGGTGTATCGCCCTGTCGCGCAACTCCTGAGAACGCCGTCCGTCAGCCCCTTGTACCATAGATCGCTCCGTTACGACACCTCGGAGACGAACGAAACGAAACGAAATCATTCCATGAATCATTGTCCTCGGCGATATACTCCATCATGTTTTGGCGCTTTGGGGGATATGCGAGTATCTCCACCATCGATACCCTGCTCGACAAGCCCGATGTCACGCTCGAGGATCTCCTGGATGAGCCGGAGATCATTCAAGAACTGAAACAGCTTAATACAAAACTCATAGAATACCTGCGCGAGGATCATGTCTTGAAACGCCTTATGGACTATGTGACCGCGCCCAGTCTTGTGAATGATGACGAAGACGACGAAGACGATTCCAACGCGAAAGATGCTTCCAAGAAGGATGTCGATGCGACGGAGGAGACTGATGCCGAGAAAGAGGAGAAGGTGTCGGATCCGTTGAAGGGTGTTCTTGATCAAGAGGATCTGGACAAGGTTGAGAAGAATCGCTTGAAGCATGCCTACATTGCTTGTGAGGTTCTCTCATCAGAGACATGGTCCATTCTCGAATCAATAATGGCCAACCCTGGGTATTTGCGAGACTTCTGGGGCTTCCTGCGACGAACCCCGCCTCTTGATTCTCTACAGGCAAGTTATTTCACGAAAGTAAACGAGACCCTGCTTGATAAAAAGACCGAGGAGATGCTCGAGTTCCTCAAGTCACTTGATGGAATTGTTCCCGCACTGTTGCAGCACGTTGATAACCCGATGGTCATGGATCTTCTCCTGAAGATCATCAGTCTGGAAAAGGCTGAGGGTGGCCAGGGAACCGTCGACTGGCTCAAGTCCCAGGATCTCATTCCTACTCTTCTCTCATTCCTGTCACCTGAACGTCCGGCCTCTGTGCAAACCTCTGCGGGCGACTTCCTCAAAGCAATCATCACCATCTCAGCGAACGCAAGCCCGAATGACCAGTCATGTATTGGTCCCAATAGCTTAACGCGCCAACTTGTCTCGGCACAATGCGTGCAACAGCTGATTGATGCAATGCTCAAGGGTGGAAACCCGTTGACTGTGGGTGTTGGTATTGTTATTGAGGTGATCCGCAAGAACAACTCTGATTACGACCCTGAGAGCCTTGGCGGACCCGATGCCATGCTCACCACTTATGACCCCATCTACCTGGGAACATTGCTGCGCCTCTTTGCTCAACACATCCCCCAATTCATGGCTCTCATCCAGAGCTCCACATACACAATTCACGATGGCACGAAGCTCAAGACCGTTGACCGCGGCAAATTGAGCTCTGCATGGGGTGCCAAGATTGAACCTCTTGGGTTTGATCGATTCAAGACGTGCGAGTTGATGGCGGAGTTGCTCCACTGCAGTAACATGGGTCTTTTGAATGAGCCCGGCAGTGATGAGTACATCCGGCAAAGAGACGATGAGCGCGAGAGGTTGATTCGCGAGGGAGTCTTTGATCCTCACCACGATGAGCATTCTGCTGTTGATTATAATGATACCACGGCCGATTTCACAAACGCATCTGCCTTTGAGTCTGGATCTCCAGAGGACATCAAGATTACAGAGGCACCCAATGCGGGTGAAGAGGAAGGCTTCGAAGATGTCGGTGCATCCGATGTTCTGGTAGACGAGAAGCCTGCCGATAACACCGTCGACGCGGTCTCGGAGCCCAAAGAAACAGTCGAAAAAGTGACTAGCACTGAGGAACCCAAGACAGAAAAGGAGTCCTCCGAAGGAAAGACAACGGATGAGCCGCAGACCTCGAGCGAATCTACCGACCCATCATCACCCTCCATTGGTCTTCCTGACCAGGTCGATAGCATCAAGCTCGACAATGAGCCTCAAGGTGAACAGGAAATATCTGCAAGCGATAACAAGCGGCCCGAGGCCGAGGCCTCGCGCCCTGAAGACGTGCCGCCTCCTCTCTTCTCCTCCAATGAACAACCCGCAGAGTCAACCGAAGTTCCTGCCGCTGAAACTGTCCAAGCACAAAGCACTGCCAATGACGGCGGTGACGAGGACTCAGCTGAGCAATACATCCAACTTGATACCGACGGTCAACCTGTCGTTGGTGATTACTTGAAGATAATGTTTGTAGAGAACAAGGTTGTCCCAACAATTCTGGTTAGTATTTCTTATCTTTGACGACGATGTCGCAGTGCTAATTGAGTTAAGGGATTTTTCTTCCGCTTCCCATGGAACAACTTCCTTCACAATGTTGTCTACGATGTAATTCAACAAGTCTTCAATGGACCCATGGAGCGCGGCTACAACCGTGCTCTTGCCGTTGATGTCTTTGACACTGGTCGCATCACCACCGCAATTATCGAAGGCCAGAAGCGCAGCGACGAGACCCAGCGCACCAAGCAGATTCGTCTTGGTTATATGGGCCACCTCACCCTCGTTGCAGAGGAGGTTGTCAAGTTCAGCGAGCGACACCCACCAGAGCTGCTTTCGCGATCTGTCATGGAGAGCGTGCTGAACCCAGACTGGATCGACTACGTTGAACAGACTCTTTCCGAAACCCGGGAGCGTGACAATGCCATTCTCGGCGGTGTCCGCCCCGACATGTCCGTCGGGCCTCGCCAGACCAGCCTGAACAATACCAGCTCGAACCAAGGCTTCTCGAGCTCTTCTGCCCTGGCAGATGCAGGCTTGAATGGAGGGATTGGAGGTTCAACCTTCCAAAGCTTCGACCTCAGCAACCACGGAAGCGTGTCCGGTGGAGCATTTGGTGGTGGCGGCACATCCCTATTGAGTGGCTTTGCTAGCTCAAGTGATGATGATGAAGATGAAGAAATGGAGGACCAGGACGACAGAGACGCCGGCAATGCCGATCAAGATACTGACAATGTGGGTAACCCTTTCTCGAACGATATGACGATGCGCGATGCGTAACGGATCTCGTGTGCATACCTTCCCTTACCCCGTGTCCGGACATTTGTCGATGAAATTCAGCATGGAACCTACATAAATCGAACGGAACTACAGGGGGCGACCCATCAGACATTTACATGGTTGACCAACAATCTTCATGCATTGGATGGACGTCGACCTCCTGTACTCCTGTTCTGATATTACCTATTTGGTTATACTTTGTACTTTCGTGTTTCTGAACGGGACTGTTCTCCAGCCCGCATATTCTCAACATCATCTTCGAGCTGCATCTTGTCAATTTTTCAACAATGTTCACCATTCATTTGTCTTCGATTTTCTCTGCATCATATCTCCCCGTTTACTTGTTTCCATGCTGAACCGGTACTGGTATCACTCAGTTGCCGTCAACACACGCAGGCTATCAAGCGTTTTGTATCTTTGCTAACCTGATTTACTAGGTGTCATCAAACTCAGCCAGCCAGCCTATTCCTATCCTACCCCCACCACCAGCCCCCTTGAGCCTCGGTCCATCCCGGGCTCGTCGCCAACTAGCAGCACGCCTCGCAGCCCAGAAAGAAAAATCCGAAAACCAAGAAGGTGACAACGAATCCAGAGGCGAAGAGAATGACGACCACGAATCAGACTGGCCAACAAACCCCTTCGTAATCGCCGGCATCGACGATGACGCCGAGGGCGGCAACTCAGCCTTCCCAAACAGTGACTTCGGTTCAGCAAACGTCAAGCACTCTCCGACATTCCCAGACTCAGGATTTAGCCCCCCAGACTCCCTATCAACCAATTCATCCGAGGACGAAGGCGACGGCCACGCTGCCTCAGTAAGACGCCAAGTCCGCGTCCCACTCGAAGTCGAAGACGATGACGACGATGAGATGGGCGAAATGGTAGGACCGAGTAGTCTGGGGATGATCGACTCCGATGACGAAGACGAAGCTATCATCAACGAATCTCTCGGATATTCCAACCTCTCCGGTCCAGGCAGGTACAGTGGATTCCGCCGGTCCAGGGCTGTAAGCTCGCATTACGACGATGAGCAAAACGACAGCAGTGACGGCGAGGACGATGGCCTAGTGGAGATCCTAGTCCCCGGTCGGAAATCCTCGACTTCGAATTAACGTCAGCTTTAACGTTATCGGTTAGCGTGGTCGTGGGCCTTGTCTTCAATGCTATTGCATGTTACGCTGCATGTCCAGGTAGAGCGTTGATGCCTCTTTCTCTTCTTATTTAATTCTCGATATTGTGCTACGGGGACTTCGACAATCCAGATGCCTTGGTGGCATGGCGTTTGTATATACACTTTTCCCATCGATTCTTGAGTTTGTTTGTTCCGCATGGAGAATTCTTTTCTTTTTTCTTATTTTTGATCTGGTCTTCTTTTGCGTCTTTTGCATGTATTTCCTTTGTTCCTTGGGAAAGGCTTACGAGCCTATGGCTTTTGATCTGGGGGTTGTGGTGGTTGTCTGTGTACGATAGTTGTGTGAATTGATGTTTTTGTTTGATTTTGGTTGAGTGTCGTGTAGAGTAGAGTTATGATAGTTCCGATGTGAGTACTGAGTATAATTGTCTCTTTTGGTTGTATTCTAGACCCCTTTGCACAATTAATAGCCAAAGCAACAACCACAATTACAGCCTTACTACCATCTGCTCAGACACTGAATACTCAATACCTGTCTGCAGTTGACCTCCACGAAATCTATGCAAATCGACGTCGGACAAAAAAGCGGGCCCCACCATCCCGCATCAATTCTTTTCTCACTTCAATATAATCTCCATTGAATAGCCACCTGCAACACATCTGCAACAGGCAATCATCTATTTCAAGTCATTGCAATACACTCGCCAATCTGGAAAGATGGCGATCCCCTCCGAGTAAGTATTGCAACCCGCTACGTCATTGCGCAAACCTCAATATAAAAATCACACTAACCAACTGCCACAGATCAGTCGACCCATCACTAAAAGCCCACACAGAGCTAGTAAACTGGTTCACCCAACATGGCGGCAAAGTAGACAAAAGCGTGCGCATAGCCACAGACGCCTCGCGCGGCGTCCACCTACAAGTGAAAAAGGACTGGCCAGCGCCAATTTCAAAGGAAACACGAGTAATCAACACTCCGATCAATGTGTCGATGTCCTGGTTCAATGCAATGAACTACAGTTCTCAGCGAGGCTCGTTCCCCAATCATGGTGTTGAGTTCTCGCGTTCTTGGATGGAGAGTGTTGGCCCCGAGGAGACTTCTGCGTTCTTTCTTATGGGCCAGTATTTGAGAGGCGAGGAGGGGTTTTGGTACCCATACCTTTGTACGTTGCCTCAGCCTGGGCAGTTGAGTACGCCGCTTTTCTTTGATGGGGAGGATGTCGATTGGGTTGTTGGCACTGGTGTTCCTGAGGCTGCTACTGAGAGGATTCGGATTTGGGTTGAGAAGTATGATCGGGCCATTGAGGAGCTTGAGGACATTGGGTTTGAGGGTGTTGAGTTGTTTACTTGGTGAGTGTCTTCATACGGTTTGGATTGTTGGAATGTGGTATGCTGAATTGGTTAGGGAATTGTATCTCTGGGCTTCGACTATTATTACCTCCAGAGCTTTCTCGGCGAAGGTTTTGTCTGGGGCTGTTCAGCCTGATGATCTCCCCGATGATGGTGTCTCGGTCTTGCTTCCGCTTATTGATTTACCTAACCATCGGCCGATGGCTAAGGTTGAATGGCGGGCAGGTGATGCAGATATTGGACTTCTTGTGCTTGAGGATGTTGCACCAGGCGAGGAAATTTCCAATAACTATGGTCCCCGCAATAATGAACAATGTGAGTGTTCTGCTTGTATACTTCGAGTCTGCAATTGGACTAACTACGAAAAGTGTTGATCAACTATGGGTTCTGTCTCACAAATAACCCAACCGACTACCGCATTGTCCAACTGGGCGTGAAGCCCGACAGCCCACTCAGCAAGGCCAAGGCCCAGCAAATTGAGATGTTCCCAGAATTGGCCAAAGTCACGGAAAACCACTATTACATCTTCAATCCAAACTACCCTCTCCTGGGCCCGGACACAGCCATGGAACACTCTATATTCTCACCGGCATTGTTCAATGCCCTGACAATCATGGAATCCAATCCACGCGAACGCAAGATGCTCGAAATCACAGAGGCCTCTATTCGCATCACTCCAGCCTACGGAAACGGCCATTGTATCTACGCGGCACTGGCCCAGATGAGCTTCGAGCTGATGGCCCACGCAATCAATCTAAAGGCCAGCGCAGAGGATCTCCCCTCGCAACCAAAGACACTGAACCAGACCCATGCAAAGGTCTACCGAGACAGTCTCATCACGATAGACGAATCTGCCTTGATCATAGCACTATGGACCATCTCCCGTGGTCGTGCTCACGAACGCGGCTCGAGCTGGGAAGATACCAAGGCTTTGATAGCTGAGCATGACGCTCGCATCCCAGCAGGTCTTCTCCCAGACGATGTCATTTCACGGATCCGCGTACGCATCCTCGAGCGTCCATCTATTATCACTAAGAATGGAGAGTTGTTCCGATTAGTTGAGATGTTCAACCTCCTCCCAGCAGAGATGCAAAGTCCAGCTCAGTCATGCTTCAACCGCATTTTGCAAACCACAGGCCCTGAAGTTCCGACTATGCCAGTGGACCCGACAAATCTATTCGCCACGTTGATTTGCTTGTTTGTTGCAACTTACAATTCGCCCGAAGCACGATCGAAATTACCATCGCGTGTTACTCGGTGGTTGGCGTTCTTGCTTGAGAATTATCCTTTGGCTATGGATACAGTTAACGACGTTCACCCTGATCTTGAAAAGTCCAGGGATACGCTTCGCTTGTTCCAGGAGTATATCAGTGCGGCACAGCCAGGCCAGTGCGCATATATGGATGGTGTCGATTGGCTTTCTGAGAACAGCGGGTGGCTGAGCCCGGAGTGGATACAGTGGTCTTGGACAGTAGCAAGCTCGGAAATGGTCATGCTTCCGCTTGAGCCATTGCAGATTCTGAAGATGGATGGGCCTCTGCGTTTGAACAAGCAACCTGTTCTTTATATCCCCCAAGAGGAGTAGATCTGATAGAATACAGCCTTTTTACACTCTCAATTAATTGTTTTTGAACAATCACAATTCAAAGCACCTGAAAATGAGCATATAAGAGGCAAAACCCGAGAGACCAAAGTAGGGCAACAACAATGCATGAAGCAGTACACTCGGTTTGAGGGCTCCATGGAGAAAATATCCAATGCTTTGACATTGACACTGAATACAAACTTAGCGTTTTTGTTTTATATAAGCAAATTAGGGGGATTGAATGATTTCAATTGCAGTGCCATTATAGGCCCGGCTTAGTTTTATACCCCGAAATGGTTAGCGTATATTCCTTAAACGGCATATTGATGCCCTATTTGTGAGGCTACAATACCGTCATCAGCGAATCGCGAGCCACTGACTCAGCATAAATCACGTGTGGGGCTACTGACCAATAAAATCCCGCGTAAAGGCGGATCATTCAGCAAGCGCAGGAATTGCCGTGAGCTCCACGACTCCCTTCCCTCTCCCTCCACGACCCTTGACCCTCACCACGAATTGTCAATTCCCGCCGTCATCATGATATCTCGAGCGGCGGCTCCCTCCACCTCCTCCCTTTCCCACCTCTCGACCCGCTCCCTCCGCGCCCAGGGAGCGGCCGCCCGCTCCTTCGCAACCGTATCGGAAGCACCCCCCGTGAAGCACTATGGCGGACTCCAGGATCAAGATCGGATCTTCACCAACTTGTACGGACACCATGGAGCGGATCTGAAGTCAGCAATGAAGTATGGTGACTGGTACCGCACCAAGGATATGGTTCTGAAGGGTGATGATTGGGTGGGTTGTCGCACAATTGACGGACTGGGAATATCAATTGCTAATTGTCCGCATAGCTCATCTCCGAGATCAAGGCATCTGGCCTCCGTGGCCGTGGTGGTGCTGGTTTCCCCTCAGGATTGAAATACGTAAGTGGCATGCCCGCGATTTGGTGAAATGCGAGTGTTTGGGGTCAACCGGGCTAACCCGCTACTCGACAGTCTTTCATGAACTTCAAGGATTGGGACAAGGACCCCCGCCCCCGTTACCTGGTCGTCAACGCTGATGAGGGTGAGCCTGGTACCTGCAAGGACCGAGAGATCATGCGCAAGGACCCCCAGAAGCTGATCGAGGGTTGCTTGGTTGTGGGACGTGCCATGAACGCCAACGCCGCCTACATTTACATTCGTGGTGAGTTCTACCACGAGGCCGCTGTCCTTCAGCGGGCTATCAACGAGGCCTACGAGGCTGGCCTGATCGGCAAGAACGCGTGCGGTACCGGTTACGACTTTGACGTCTATATTCACCGCGGGATGGGCGCTTACATCTGTGGTGAGGAGACCTCCCTCATTGAGTCCATCGAAGGCAAGGCTGGCAAGCCCCGTCTCAAGCCTCCATTCCCCGCTGCGGTCGGTCTGTTCGGTTGCCCCAGCACAGTCACCAACGTCGAGACCGTCGCCGTCACCCCCACAATCATGCGCCGTGGTGCCAACTGGTTCTCTTCCTTCGGTCGTGAGCGTAACGCCGGTACCAAGCTGTTCTGTATCTCCGGTCACGTCAACAACCCCGTCACAGTTGAGGAGGAGATGTCCATCTCCCTGCGCGAACTGATCGAGAAGCACTGTGGAGGTGTCCGCGGTGGCTGGGACAACCTGCTCGCCGTCATCCCCGGTGGTTCTTCCACCCCGGTGATCCCCAAGTCCGTCGCCGACAACCAGCTCATGGATTTCGACGCCCTCAAGGACTCCCAGACCGGTCTCGGCACAGCTGCCGTTATCGTCATGGACAAGTCCACAGATATCGTCCGCTCCATCTCCCGTCTGTCATCCTTCTACAAGCACGAGTCCTGTGGTCAGTGCACTCCCTGCCGTGAGGGCAGCAAGTGGACCATGCAGATGATGCAGCGTATGGAGACCGGTAACGCCCGCGAGCGTGAGATCGACATGCTCCAGGAGCTCACCAAGCAGGTCGAGGGTCACACCATCTGCGCTCTGGGTGAGGCCTTCGCCTGGCCCATCCAGGGTCTGATCCGCCACTTCCGTCCCGAGCTGGAGGCCCGCATCCGTGACTACCAGAAGGAGCTCGGCGCTGCCCCCTACGCCGGTGGCTGGCACCCCAACAGCCGTGCGGAGGGCAAGCTGATCTCCCCTGGCATGTAAACGCACCACTCCTCACCTCTTCCCTTTTCCCTCCACATCTTTTCCCTTTTTGTCATCCCAAAAAGAAGCAGGAACTGGTCCCGGGATGATTTCACATTCTAGACCTCCTTTATATTTCCCCTTCCCTGGCCGGTAATCTCTTTTTTTGTTTCTCCGTCTGGTCCGGCTGGGGAGGGAGGTGTTTCTCTTTTCTTTACTCTGCTCGATCCCCTCGTGTTCTCCTGTCGCGTCTAGGTTTCTCTTTCTCTGTACAGTCGGTAGCAAATTTGATGCATTTGATGTCTTCATTCCTTCATTCGGTTTGAGTAAAGTACACTTTTCCTCCGCTCGTAACATGATTATTCCCGTTCCTGTTCCTTTTCACGGTGATGTTTGAATACAAAGGCACAACAGAACAAAGCTTTCCGACCTTTATTTCAAGCGAGTCTTAGCCTCAGCAACGGTCACCGTCTGAGGATTAACAACAACTTCCTGGACATGGTTGTCCTTGTCAAGCTGCTGCTCATCATTATCGTCACATTCGACCGGGAGATCTCCAGCCTCCTTCCCCCTCTTCTTGCGCTCAATCTTGAGCAGCCTCTTCTCTCTCCACCCCATTCCATACACGCACTCAATCCAGAGCAAGGGTATCCCAGCGGCCATAACCAAGCCCAGGAAGATGAAGCACCAGCCCCATCCCATTCCACTAAGCATCTGGTTGATGACCGCAGCACCGACAGCACCGAGACAGCAACGAACAAGATTGCACGCTGCCGCAGCTGTGGCAGGTCTGTCTGAGAAAAGATCGACAAGAAGAGTATTAAGACAATTCAAGGATGCAACGAAGCAGAATCCAATGATGAACTGCAACACGAGGGGTACGGCCAGGTGTACCCTCTGCTGCAAGACCCAGCCATACGGGATGAAAGCTGCAATGCCGACGGCCATGACAGGAAAGACGGTATGTAGACGGGCACGCTCGATTGGGAAATTGCGTAGATTGTCGCCTTTCTGACGATCCACGGGGAGGCCGGTCTTTTCGGCTGTGCGCTTGTAGCTCCAGTCGATTACTTTCCCGTATAGCACTGCGCCGAGGCAAGAACTTACGCCGAAGGGTCTGTTTTGCGAATGTTGGTGAGCTGTGGAACTGAGTGAACTGGAGATGGGAGACTTACAAGAAGCAGAGACCGATTTGAAGCTCGTTGAATCCGTACAAGGGACCGAACAGGTTCGGGGTGCTGGTTAGCAAGGCAATATTTGCGAACATCACGAACCCGACGTATGAGATGATGATGAGGGCATCCCATTCAAGAAGAATGACGATTGAATGGAGTGGGTTGGGGAACTTCAGCTTCGTCTGCCGGGGCTGTTGTCCAGACTGTTGAGATCCTTCCCCGGTATGCTGTTGCTCATCCGATCTTTTCTGCAGACGATGTATTCTGGTCGAGAACCATTGAAGCACAGACATGCGCCACCACTCAGCTGGCACCTCGCTCCCGTTACCAACAATCTTACGCGCTGTCTCAGGCATGGCAATCACAAAAAAGATCAAATACCCACCACTGATGACAACCAGGAACCAGAAGACACTTCGCCAGCCAAGGAACTTGGCCAAAAGACCACCGATAACAGGACCCAGAGCCGGCGCAATCATCACACCAGCTGCCATGGGACCGATATACTTCCCTCGCTCAGCTGTTGTCGCCATGTCCGCTACAACCCCATACCCGAAGGCCACGGTGCCGCTGCTTCCTGCACTCTGAATACAGCGCAGTACCATCAAAGCTGCGAAGCTGTCCTGCAGAGCGAGTCCAATGTTGGCGGCGGTGTAGACGACGAAGGCAATGATATAGGCTGGGCGTCTTCCTCCCGTGTCAGCAAATGTACCCATGAAAGCTGGAGCCAGACCCTGAAGAATCATGTATGTTGTGATGGTGAGATTGATCAGTGCGGGAGTCAGCTGGTAGTTCTTTACCAAGGTTGGCATGACGGGGTAGTAGATTTGGCCGGAGAGAGGGGAGAAAAAGGATGCCAGAGAGACCATGGTCACAATGAATAGCTTTTGGCGCTTGCTGAAGGCAGAGAATAGGGTCTGAGGGTCTAAGGAGGCTGGTGCCACGGTTGTCTCGAGCTGAGCTTCTGAGACGGGTTCAATCGACGGTTCATAGGCGTCGTTCTCACTAGGAGGAAGCGCATCTGTAGCAGCTATTGGCTCTTTGTCCTGGCCATTCTCAGTAGGACTCGGTTGCATGTGACTCTCCAGAGCTAGATCATCCACCGAGTCTGCTCCGGCTGTTGTCGAATCCTCCTGACTTGCCTCGGCGATGCGCTCCAGCGCTATCTGTTTGGAAGCCATTGGGAAGATTGAAAGGTATGTTCCCAAGTCAATACCGGAAGATATCTAGATCAACGAAGGAAAACGAAGAAAAAGAGAGGAAAATAAAAGAGATGAAGAAAAAAGGAAAGTCCAGTATCGTTCCTACCATGTGCCAACACCGTGTGCTTCCCCTTCTCAATTTGTACAACTGTGACTTGACATTCTTCATAAATCTATCTTGTTTCTCACATGTGCTTATTTTCAATGCACCACTTCAAATGTGCAAACATCCTCCAGTTATACATCTTCAGCAGCAGATTTCCCAACGATAGTATCAAGATGCCCATAACCCTCAGCCAAAAACCGACGATAAAAGCTCTCTCCAAATCGTCGGCGCAGCAACTCATAGTCCTTGAGGGTCGACTGCGGATCGAAGACTTGATTGCCTGTACCGGAAACAAAAAGAATGGGCAGTCCCTCTAACCGTTGCAGATTTTCGTCTGTCAAAAGAGAGCGCGAGTCATTGTCCATGCAGATGCCTCGCGTGCCCATACCGACAACATGCTCCATCAGTTTTGTATGAGTACCCGCAAAGAACTGATGAATATTATCATGAAGGGCAGCGTCCAGATTGTCATGATTCCAAAGCAGGCCAAACGCAAAAGAAGTCCGATGACAAGCAGTGGAAGTACACAGATCTCGCGGATGCCCGACAGGATAGAAGCGCAGGAGAATATCAAGCAGCCGTTGGAACAGAGCACTCCCAGCGTTGCTAATTATTGGGAAATAATTACCCGCGAGGAGCTTATAAAGCTGAATCAAAAGCGTGGTTCTTCCTTTGAGTGAGTTCCAGTACCCAAAGACTTGATTCATGAAGACGGAGTTTGCAGTGATGCCGAGGAGGTCGCTGCTGGAAATAGTCCCGTCTAGAAGTCCCATACAGAGAGCTACCGAGCCCTGACAGTGAGATATCACATATGGCTTATTTGGTTCTATCTCACGGATGTATTTGATGGCGGCTGCAACGTCCAGGCGACAGTCGAAGATGGTGGCGTCCTGGGCGACGATGGGATCACAGCCCCAGCGAGGAGTTAGGGTGTAGCAGCGGTGTCCACGTTGCGTGAAGTAGTCTATCATGTTGCAACGTAGAAATGGCAATGCGTACAGATTGTGTATTGCGCCGATGCCAGTTATTCCAGGGAGAAGCAGGACCGGGGGAAAATTGGCGTCTCTTGGCTCGTGATTTCCTTGTTGAAGAAGCGGATCGTATACCTCGAGCAGAGTCGGCACACCATCCGAGGCACTTATTTTGCTAATCAATGAGGGATTCGGGCTCTTTTTGATCGGATCCAGAGGTGAAGTTCGAGGGAAGCGAACGGGAACAAATGGCATGAAGAAAAAGAGGCTGACATGATATAGAAAAGACAACAAAAAAGCTAATAGAGCGAGAAAGGAGCTTCTGTCAACAACTTTGGTCCGGAACGTTCTAATTTGCTTTGTGAACTCTGGTAATGAGATATGAAGGGCACCACTCCCAGCCTGTGTCCCATCCGGTCGAGTGATATTCACATTCACTGTCGTTGTCGCCTTCCATGTCTTTTTGACTGAGAAAGCAATCGAGGAATTGAGAATTTTGTGTCCTTCTAGATAATATTCCAGATCCTCAACTGAAAGGAGCTTCATGTAGTATGAAATGGTACACTCGGCACCTGCTCCTCCTGTAAAGAAATCAACTGTCCCCTTGATAACCCTCAGTGTATTCCGAGACAACGCATGACAAGAGACTGTTCCAGTGCATACTCCTTGGTATCGCGAGGGAGACCTTTGAGCCTTGATCTGGCAGATGTCTATAGTTAGAAACATGCGCATTGCGCAGGATGAGCCTTTGCCGATACTCTCAGAAAGTGCACAGCTCTTCAATCCTGGTGTCATACTTATATGTCCAGATAGAGTCTCCGTGAACTGCCATCCGATGGATTGAGGATTTTCATTCATGAGCTCTTGATAAACCTCGCCATTGCGAGTCATTTGTGGATTGCTGGAAGCATCTAAAGGACCGTTTTCGGTTTGATCGATGATCAATCCAGACTTCTCGGCGATTAAGCTGATGGATCGCTCTGAGAGAGCAGATATTGTTGCCAAAGGGTTGACACATGTTACGTCAGTATAAGATGATGATCATATAGCAGGTGTCATGAATGCCCTGTCATGCATTGCTTTTTTCTTATTTTCAAGTGCTTCGAGGTGATCACATAGAGCATATGAAGTTGGGTAATTCTTAGACTTACCAAGAGCCGTGGGTAAGATGGAGGCATCACAACACACGAGATCTTTGTATACCTCGTCACCAGGGCCAGGGCCAGCGAAGACCTGCCCAAGATGATTTGTCACCCCTCCGTGTGCCGTACCATCACTGCTCATGTTGGCACCTCCTATAAGGTGCACTGTAACCTCTTCTTGGTGACGGCCTTGACTCAAATGTGAGAACAGCTTTGAGAGACTTGAATATGATAAACGCATACCATAGAAATATGAGAACCCCATGTCTGCCCCTGTGTGAGCAAATAATCTTTTGACCATCCTCTTCATCGGCGTGAAATGCTCAGTCCGACCTTCTGCTGGCCCTCGCAAGCGTAGTGTATCATTCTCCAGAGTCAATGTGATCTCATTGCTATCATGAGACATGACAAGATATGTTGAAGTTCGCTGGAGAGATCCGCCACGTGCATAGGGACCGAGCAGGAGAGACTTAAAAGCAGCCATAGACTTTGATATCCCAACCCTAGGATTCGACAGGAAAGAAAAAGCTTGTGACTTTACGGTCTGTATTGTCAGCATTGCCAGGATGACCGGATTGAAGGTCTCAGGTATGCAGCCATCTTGAATCACGTATTTAGAAAGAGGATTGATCAGAGGATCAACTCCTCGGATATCAATCATGCAAGTGACCGTTGGACCAGGTGGACTTGATGCTCGCGAAGAGTCACCAGCTATTCCATTGACATCGACTCTTCCATTGTACCCTGTCTCAATCAGCCATGGAAACTTCGACTTGGTAGTTTCCATACCAAATACCAAATGATCACCATTCCCAGAGAGATTGCGTCCCACCAGGGGAGACATACTCAAACCACGTTTCCTTGACCGAAGCAAGATCTCAGTTGTACCTAAAGCCCCAGCTCCCAGGAAACAAAATTCCTTCTAAGAGAACGAGTGCTTGAGTATACGAATCCTCATTTTGTATGAAAAGGGAATACGTACTGCTTTCACCCAAAAGAGTTGCTCCTCGAAATGATCTGCAAAGACCGACCTTCCATTCCCATGCCAGGCAAAGAAGATAACATACCCACCTCCCTCCGTTTTCTCAATGAACCGCACCTCACATCCACAAAACATCTCAGCACCCCAATTCCATGCATCAGCCAGATAACTAGTCGCCACGGTATTTTTCGAACCATCATTCAGACCAGTACATTCATGTCCTGATCCGCGATTTGGGTGCATGGAAACACCAGCCTTGTTGCGGCCGCTGTGAAAGAATGTGGTAAGTGGTGCACGATAGAAGTGATGTTCTTGACCTAGCCACTTTGAACCATCTCGTAGGTGCTCTAATTTAGCGGGAATTGGATAGTCCTCTGGATATATGGACGGTTGCAGCATCATTTCTGCGTGTGAATAATCTTCTTCGATTAGCTGCCGATATACCCACCCTGCGCAATTTGCATATTTGTCAACTGGGAGTAATGTCTTACATTTATCAAGTCCTGACGGATTCTCCCGAATCTGTGATGGCCAGGAACTCGTCATTAGTGTCCCTTTATCGGCCCTGAGGAAGACACCGCAATTGATCAGAGATGTTCCTCCAAGTCCTATATGAGACCATCTTATTAGATGTTTGATAGCTGCGATTGGATATTACTTACCATGAGCAGCGAAAGTATGTTGCCCATCTCCAAGAAACAACTGAAAAAGCTTTGTAGGATCATGAGGTGAAAGCCATTTCGTGATGAATGCATTCTTCACAGAACTGCTCGAAATGTTCATGTCCTTCATGCACTGTGAGAACGTTTGTGGAAATGAACCAGCTGCATCGAATTATTAGATTGACCAGTTCATCAGAATAGAAAAAGATAAGAAATCACACATCTTCGTTCCCAACCAAGTTCCAAAACAGCAACACTCTTCCCAGCACGCGCCATTCGACTCGCTGCCACACCAGCTCCATATCCAGATCCAATGATCACGACATCATACTCTAATTTGATAAACTCAAATGGACGGCTTAGAACTGGGTAATCATCGGTCCTCGATTTAGAACTCGACATTGTCTCTTCTCGACTGTTGCTAGAATCTATCTGTTTCTCGCGAAAAAGGTCAAGTAGACAACCAAAAGTATATCAAGTCTCACGACAAAAAAAAAAAAAGAAGTGGCGATACTCAACTATAAGCGAAAGCAGAAGTCAAGCCAGAAAAAGCTTGCAACGCCAACACCCAGGATAGAACCCCCCCCCCCCCCCCAAAAAAGCGAAAGCGGGATTCGATTCGTGTACTAGTCCTAAAGCCCTAACGCCAACGAACAAGGCTTGATACGAGCCGTGCATGGCGCCAATCCGAAAACAACCAAATCCCCAACCGGAAGCAAGGCGGATAGATTTGAAGTTCATAATTGGATTTATGTATTGGCCGGTGGTGGCAATGTGCAGCCAGTCGACCCAGACTGGCATGGATGGAAGTATAAATTCCAGATATGGAAGTGTTGCCCAATAATTGCATACCTTGCTTTTGCCAGTGAGCCTAGTTGGTCGTGCCACACGGCAGGGGATGACTGTACTTGGGATATCGGTGTTGATTCGTTGTGGACGTTGAGTTCTGTAGCTTATGGTGGGGTGTGGGGAAGGTGTGTGCATTTTTTGATTTTGTAGTATCATTCTACTTTCTAACACATTGTACCGAGCTTTGCTGTTTAGCTGTAACCTTGGTTGTTTCGTCGCTATTGGGCAGGAATGTTTCTACTAGGCCTGCCTACTATATCAAAGCATGGATATTGAATATCGTTAGGACCCGTCGGTTTCTGCGGCGTCGCCAGAGCGACGATTTGTTGGAAGAGACCGGTAGGCCATGGTGGATGAACAGAGGCGAGGGAAGGTTTGTTCCCCGCTCGAAACGACAGAGAAGGTATACTTGAGCACATATCGATGTCGGGTGTCATGAGGAGGTCATCGAAAATGGCCACCAAGAACCTGACGAACAAGGCGCGTGTTGGGTAGGGTATCATTTTAGCCGAGGTGTTGTCTTAATCGTATACTTGATTGACTAGGATACCTGTGTTGTCTATATGAGTGAATGATGAAGCATGTGTTATGGCATTTACGGGAACTCTACGCAGGAAGAACTCGCGCTATGAACTACATTTGGAAGAAGCATGGGCATGGATGAGCAATCTAGTCGTAATTGACTGGTGCATACCACTACGCACTACGCACTACACGGTCTAGACCAGACCAAAAAGGAGCCAAATGGAATATGCAGAGAATAAAATAAGGCAATAGGGTGTAATAGAATACAGGTCATGGGAACCATACATAAGAACAAGGGAAGAACTCAGCGAAAAATCGAGGAACAAAAGAGAATAAAAAGGAAGATAGGGCAAAACAATGCCTTTGAAATATGCTAGATGCAAACATGTCAACTCCTTCCATTCTCATCTTTCGTTTTTCTCTTTTTGACTTGTGTTTTTGGAATTATGTTTCAACTTCTCAATGGCCACCTGCCATAATCACGCCGTAGTAGCGGCGGCTCATTTCTGCTGTTTGGGCGATGCGTGCATCGCCTGTAAGGGGGAGGCCAAGGAGCATGGATGATTCAACGAATTGGACATCCTCGTGTGTAATCCAGCCTGTGACTGCGCGGCTCATCTCCTTGAACGCGACGCGCTCTTCCAATCCCTCCATTCCGGATCCTTCAATGCGATCGCTCATTGTAACGAGGGCATTAACAAGGCGATTCAGACGGGTTGCGTCGCGTCGACCGCTGGGGGCAGTCACCAAACGCAGGAAATCTTCGTAAACGCCGCCGCCGGAAGCCCAGCCGCGCATCTTGCGTTCAGGTCCATCACCGAAGCCTGAGACCAGAGTCTCCAGAGTGCTGTAGTCACCCTCGATGATGGCGGAGGGGGCGACGATGCGACAGAAGGTGGCGTGGGCGTCGTTCCAATGTTTGCCGTGAATGAGACAGTCGACTTCGCGAGCAGCGTCGCCAATGTCGCGGGCGTAGAGGGCCTTGGCGACCCAGATCCAGGCCTCGGGGAGTTGGAGGTCTGAGACGAGGTAGTGCCATGCCGGGTCAACAGAGCCGTCGGCGGTGAGGGGCTCCGGGAGTTGGGCGGCGGAGCGGGCGAGGGTCTCTTGCACGGCGCGCTTGCGGTCATTGGCCTGGGAAAGGTGCAGAAGGACGAACAGGGCTTGCTTGAGATCTCCGCTTGCACTGAGTTCTGAGGAAAAGTCCCAGACGAGATGGTCGGCCTGGTGCTGGTTGACCGTGATCGCAGAGCTTTGTCCGACAGTCGCAGCAAGAACGTGGTGAAGCTGGAATGAGAGACGATTCGAGAGACGGTCACCGGAGACAGTTTCAGGGAGGAGAGCAGCAGGGAATTCGATAGACTGGGTCTTCAGTCCCTGGGTGGCAGAGTAGGCCTTGAGCAGAACCCAAAGTGGAGATTCATGACCAAGAGTATCAGAGCCAGGCTGGGGGACAGCACGAGGACTAGCTTCATGCGAAGGATGAGGGAAGGCCTGTTCCTGTCCGGTAGCCAGGTCCTCAAGGTATTTGGCAACAGCAGCTTCAATAGGCTGATCCTCCGTAGTGCAGTACCACAAGCGAAGACCAAAGGCCTGGAACCAGTTTAGATCGAAGCGCTCGGTGAAGCCGAAGCTGGAAGCACGGTCCTCAAGGGCACCGCCGGTCTTGCCCTCACTGCGGAGAGCATTTCCAGCAACCAGTTCGTAGAGAGCTCGCACAGGTTCACTCATTTCCGAAAGCACATTATTCTGGCGCCACATCTCAATCTGGTTCGCGATGTCGGCTTGGGAGGTAGCATCGCGGCCAATCTGTGCCACCACAGTAGCCAGATGTGGGTTTTGACTCTCCACCAAAGTGGTGCACGCTTCTTGAACTCGGTGGGCGCACATCAAATGGACAGCGCGCTCAACAGGTGATCGGATCATATCGAGGTTGGGGTTCTTCTCGCGGATGACGCCCTCCAAGAAACGAGTGAGACGATCCTTCTTGATACGGTGGGCAAACTTCTGCTGGAGTTTTGGTGGGACACCAGCTGAAATGTCATCTTCGATATCATCGTTGAACAGAATGTTGAGGAGTTGCCACACCAGGGCCTCATCCTCAGATTGGGAACGGCTGGAAGGAGACAAGGGGAACTGCCAAAGCTCGGGACTAGCCATACGAACGAGAGGGGTGCCATCGACACGTTGGATTGTAGATTGTTGTCGCTGGACGTCAAGCATCTCCTTTGCCTATATTGCGATCAGTATCTAGTCTGATTAAAAGAGTAAGAGAAAAGTAAACATACCTCGCTAGTTTTGTTGTAAGTCATGACTGCAACGTCTCCTCCTTCGCTGAAAACAGTAAAGTTCTCCTTCCAGGTCTGAGACACTTCTGAGATAGTTTCCTGCATATCGGTCTTTCCGCAGACAAGAGTGTCTTGGGGGCCCCAGCGCGGTTTGAAAGAGTCATGGAAGGCAATATCGATGTCGGACATTTCAGTTGCATCACCGGCGAAGGTTTTGGGTTGTTTGTTGTATGGCCACTGCAAGAAAGAGAGAATATTTTAGCTCAGTTACTGTCACATTGAGTCAACTATATGGGGGTGGACGTTATCGTGATAGATACATGTTGAGAGGGAACAAAGGAAATGACAAAGGAAATAACTATCAGTATGAACATAAGAAAGGAGTTCTAACCTCAATGCCTTTGGACTGTGCCTTGGCAGGCTTCAGCGGAGAAGGAGCAGCTCTCCTGCCCGGCTGTTGAAACAGAGAGTTCATCAGGTCAATGCTATTAGAGAAGCCCTTCTTGGGAGAAGCTGTCGCAGTGTTCGAGAGAGATTCGTCTTCAGCGAGGTCACGATCCATAAAGGCATTCGCCTGCATTTCACGCAACGCGTCGCGGTTCTGCTTGCGAGGACTAATGGTGCGCTGCAATTGCTCAGCCCAGTCGCCACTGAGATCAAGCTGAGGCTTAGCAGGGCTGCCGAAGTGTCTCATAGGGTGAGTGGTATCCAAGGCACCGTTAGTACCCTGGTAGTGGTCCCGCTCCACGGTACGATGAGGAGTGGGAAAGGCACCAGCCATATCCATTTCATCTGCCTCATCTGATCCAACTACCGAATCGCCAGATTGCTGGCTTTCGGTGACGACGTCGTCGTCTTGCTCAGTAGTCGAACCCGTGGAGCCTTCCTCTAAAAAAGACTCCGTCTCGCCCTCGGAAAGCATGTCATCATCCTCCGCAGCCATGGCCTGGCTACCAAAAGAGCCGGGAACAACCTTGCGCTTCTTAAAGTCAAAAGTATCGTCGTCGACACCGACCATGGAGCCAACGAAGGATTCATCGATGGAGAAAGTGGTGGACTGCTCGAAGCTCGCGGGGTGATCGTAGTGAGCCTTGGGGGTAGGATGGTCAGGTCCGGCGGCACTCATAGTGCTTTGGTCAAGACTCTCACCTTCCTCGTCCTCATCATAGTCAAGTCCGTAGGTAGTGAAGTGAGGAACCTTGAAAACCCAGGTACCGGTCTCAGTCTCGTAATTGACAAACTCAGTATCGCCGACTTTCTGGAGACGATCAATGTGCTTGTCGAAGAGAGGGCCGCTAGTGACAGGAGAGTTGCTCTTCCTGTCTCTGCCACGGGGCCAGGAGTTCTCGATGCGCAGAGTAGAAGGCACGTTCAGTCCCTTGCCCATGGGGGGCTTGATGGACTCATCGGGGTAGACGGTGATCTTGCGAAGGCCGATGTTGACAATGTTATCAAACAAGTGATCCACGTCAATGGTACTCAGATCAACCTCGCCATTGAAAGTGACGGATCCGCAGTTCTGACGTCCGACAGTGAAGTCGACGACGTGCTTCAGCTGCTCGCGGCTCATCTTGCTAAGTGAAGCGCGAGAAGGCTCCATCCAGTACTCACCGGGCTTGGGGTCACCACCAGGAATGAAGGTCAGACGCTTGACAGTAGCGCCGTTAGTAGTAGCTGGACCGTTCTCGGGGACAATGGCGAGATCGCGGCTGACAGACTTCATTTCAGGACGACCAGAGGCAGTGACCTCAACACCGTTCAGGCTTCCACTCTTACGGACAGAGCGAAGGAAACCGAGCTCCTCGGCAGTGGGCTCGGGACTTTTGGGCTCGACGGGGACGATCTCGGAACCAGTGGGACCAGGAGAGGTGGAATCAAAGCTGACCTTCTTCTTCAACTTGTCAGAGTCATCTCCGTTGGTGATGGGTGCAGGGCTCGCAGGCTTCTCGAAGAGATCGGATCTCAGACCACGATTGATGGTAAGACGCTTCAAGCCGCTTCCACTACGGGTGCTACCCGGCTGCAAAGCACCGGGAGAAAGGACACTGCTTGACTCTGGGTCAAAGGTATTGCGAAGGTTGCTGGTGGAGTAGCTCTTGCTGAAGGTGCGACCCATGCTACCACCATTGAGACTGCCACGGAGACTGTTGCTTCCGCCACCCAAGAGGCTGTTGCCCAAGCCAGATGGAGTACCGGTGACGCTAGAAGGTGAACCATAGGTGGAGTAAGAGAAACCGTATCCACGCTTGGGGGGCGTGATAATACGACTGTTGGAAGTCGAGGTGGCCTTGTACATGGGCAGCGGAGCTCGCTGCTTCTGTCTCATGCTAGAGGACAATGGGGTAGCGAGGGGACCAGGAGACGCGCCATTTGGTGCAGGGAGACCGGAGAAGATCGACTGACTTCCGTAAGGGTTTCCGTCGAGAAGAGAAGCCTGGAAACTTCCAGGGGCCGGTTGAGATTGCTGCCCGGACTGCGAGTTTCCGAGGAGACTGCCGCCGAGGCCACCAGTCTGTTGTTGTTGAGGCTGACCGCCGCCGAACATTGAGCCGCCGGTACCAGTAGTGCTCTGACCACCACCGAACATGCTTCCTCCAGCGCCGCTGTTTCCAAAGAGACCACCGGGCTTTTGCTGTTGCTGCTGGTTCTGAGTGTTGCCGAACAAGCCACCTCCGGTGCCAGTGCTTTGCTGAGGCTGAGTGTTACCAAAGCCTCCGAATCCGCCTCCAGTGGTGTTGGTAGCAGAGGACCCGAAGAGGCCACCGGGCTTCTGCTGCTGCTGGTTCTGTCCGCCAAACAGCCCGCCGCTAGTGCCGGTTTGCTGTTGTTGCTGCTGTCCACCAAAGAGACCACCACCCTGTTGTTGAGGCTGTTGCTGCTGGGTGTTACCAAACAGCCCGCCGCCACCTGTGCTGCCGGTAGCACCGCCTAGGAGGCCAGTGCCAGTCGACGGCTGCTGAGTACTTGTGCCGAAGCCACCACCACCCCCGAACAATCCCTTGTTTTGAGTCTGATTCTGGGTCTGTTGGTTTGCGCCACCGAAGCCTCCGAAGGCACTTGTTCCTTGCTGCTGAGTGTTTGCGCCGCCGAAGGGGGATGCAGTAGCAGTGGAAGCTCCGAATGGGTTTGCAGCAGTGGTAGTTTGGGTGCTTCCGGCCCCGAAGCCACCGAAACCACCGGTTCCAGTGTTCGTGGCACCGAAGGCAGGCTTGGCCTGCTGATTGTTGTTACCGAAGAGAGAGCTACCAGTGTTTCCGAACCCTCCAGTTCCGGAACCAGTGCCAGCATTGGCGCCGAACCCGCCAGTGGTTTGAGTGGAGTTGCCGAACATGCCGCCTCCCGAAGTGGCAGGAGTGGTCGTGTTGGAGGCACCGCCGAACAAGGAGTTTGCTGGTTTAGCTCCTCCGAACAAGGGGTTGGAGTTAGCGGCACCGAATCCTGTGCCTGTAGTTGGGGTTGATCCAAAGGCAGATGGTGCGCTTGTAGCAGCGCCGCCGAATGGAGTGGTGCTTGCACCGAATCCGCCGGTTGTGTTGGTTTGAGGCTGAGCACCGAATCCACTGCCACCAAATGCAGAGTTGCCGAAGGCACCAGCTTGTCCACTTCCGTTGCCAAATCGGCGTCCCTGTTGATAATCTGCTAGGCGTAGTTCCTCGAAAGAAAATTTGTTGTATGGTTGCTGAAAAACGATACTTTGGTAATGGTTTGTAGCGCTCGAGGTGGTATCCTTCTCGGTGAAGGCGTTGAATGGGGTGCTGGCTGTGCCTTCACAGGCACCAGTGCCGCCCTGGAAAGCAGAGCCGGAGCCGCCGAAGCCTGTAGCTGGGGCAGCAGTGTTGGTCGCAGTCGATCCGAAACCACCAGTAGCTCCACCAAATCCAGAGGCCGTAGTTGAAGCACCGAATCCAGTCGCAGGTTTGGCAGCACCGAAGAGTCCTCCGCCAGTGTTTGTGTTTGCATTTGCGCCGAAGCCGGTGCCGGTGGCGGATGATCCGAATCCTGTGCCGGTACCACCGAAGCCAGTGGTGGCAGGAGTGCTTTGAGCGCCTCCAAAAATAGATCCACCGGTGGTGTTATTGGAAGCACCAAATCCGGTAGTGGTGCGGTTTTGACCGCCGAAGAGAGAATTAGGTTGGGTTTGGGTATTAGCTCCGAATCCTGAGAAAAAAGAAAAAAAGGTCAGTAAATGTCAACAAACGTCCATTCCTGCGATAAGAGAAAAGTTTGAAAAACAAAAGAACGGTGTTCCCATGTGATCCAGCGAATGTCCAGAAGAGTCGCTATATGGTCGAGTCCAGTAGAATCCAGGATCACTCATTCGGAAGAAATGAGTGTGGAATCCACGTGTGAGACCGGTACAAGGCTTCTCAATCGCGAGTCGACGTGATGCGGCGAAGGACCTCTCAAATGAATCCGGAAGGAACAGAATCGCAAAGCTCTCGAGGAGCACGTACCTCCGCCGGTGCCGGAAGAAGCTCCGAATCCAGTAGATGTGTTTGTTGAGCCACCAAAGGCAGGCGTGGTGCTGGCGCCAAAAGCGCTAGGGGTTGAGCCAAAACCTAGATAGCGGGAGTGATCGTGGTCAGAGGGACTGCGATTCAAGCTGTTTCTAGCTTTCCTTATCTTGTCGGGCTGTCGCTGGGTGTGCCGAATGGCGCGCACCATCTCGCTGTCGGTAGCACGACGAATCTCATATTCGGGAGACATGCTATTCGCGCGCGGGATACCGCCGTAGTACGACATGAGGAGCAGCGGTTGTTGTTGAGATAAAGAGAAACCGAGGATGGGAGTACGAGGGGGGAGAACGACAAGTTCGAGAAGGCAAGAAGGGGACGATTTATGGGCAGCATTAAGAATTAAAAAACCTACCTCCACCAGTGCTGGCATTGGCCCCGAAGCCTGTGCCTGTGCCAAAGCTGCTGCTTTGGTTGTTCTGACCGAACCCTCCACTTCCAAATCCGAAGGTCGACATTATGTCGGTTGGAAATTGTGGGTGTTCACGCAGTCATAGGTCGATTTCGAATCTGAGGCGAAAGCGAAGGCGGTCGAAGTTGTGGAAGGAGCGCGTGTGATGAAGTCTGAGAGGAGGAGAGGACGCGACAGAAAAGAGAGGATTTGCTGGCCAGGCAGAGCGATTATGTCAGCCCCGGGCCACGATGCTCCGTCACGTGATGCTAGCTGCCTAAAACGGCAGTCCAATGAATGCTTCAATAGGAGATGTCACGAGCTATTGACGGTTATTCTGGTAGAGAAATGACTCATTGATCTTAGATGCAGCTTGATAATGTAATTTTGAAGTAAGATTACGAGTTTTACGAAAATGAAACGGCGAAATAGTATTGTTGCGACAAACACGAGATCTATACAACGGTCTCCGCCTTCGTTCCGCCCTATAGTTACGCAACCATCCACGTTCCTACCAAAATGGAGCAATATGAACGCAGGTAACCTGGCTACAAGAAGATATTTCAAATGTCCTTTTCATCTCTCAAAAGAGTTCAGGGCCCCCAATGTCGCAATGTTGCTCAGTCGTTCGCCTTTCTGTCGAACAATTGCTATTGTCAGAGTGGTCACAATTGCCCTCCGTAACCCGATATGCATGCAATACAGGCCATTGTCTCCGGCTTGAATTAGGCACTAAAGACTTGACCCGAGAATGATCGCTTTACAGTCAGGGACGGTCCTCTTCCTATTGTAGTTCACCGTCAAGCTCTTGTGTCAAGTCAAGGGCTGAGCTCGGGAGCTATATACCAGGTAGGGTCCACCCCCAACGGTTTTTGCTATATTGTTATGCCAAGATCTAATTGTATTAAAATGGCCAGTCATTAGGTCGAGCTTGCATTTGCACTGATATTTTCCTTTCGGAAGCACATAGTTAGTTGGTTGCTTGGTTTGAAATATATATTTTGGTGCTGTTGAAGAAGTTTCCATAGTGTGAACGTTTGCCCTGCGGACACGCTGACAGAACCATATTAAACAAAGAAATCAATCAAAAGAACAGGTTCAACTCTTCGCCTGCTAAAGTTTCCCCAAAAGATCCAACCCTGGAACAAATGAAACAAGGCTGTAAGCTTGATCCAGCAACCTAATCTAGGGGCACACACTACAAACAAACCAGCTCACTCAATTCCAAAGACATCCCTTCGAATTCAGGCTACAACCCTACAAAAAGAACCAAATATCCAAAGCAAGATACTATTCACAACGCTTCGGAGCAGATAAGGGAATCTCAAATACAGAAGACAAGGAATCGGAAAAATAAGAGAAAAAAAGGAACCAACTACCCCGACATTTCCAGGTCCAGGAAAGGGAAAGGGGGCGCAAGTCAAAAAGCCAACTATCAGATCCATAGAACGATAGCACAACGTATGATGAGAAACAACACTTTTCTCCAAATGATATGTTTCCACTAGAAAATTTCACCCACGTTCATTATCATCAAAATCGTAGACTTGTACTTTACTTCTGGCGGGCGGCGTGGACTGTGGCGATGATTGTGTCCACGACACTGGGGTCGGAGAGCTGAAAGGTTATTAGTTTTTGGTTTATGAGAGAGATGGGGGAATTGGTAGACTTACCGTCGAGGTATCACCAAGACTGTCCTCCTCGCCACTGAGAATCTTCCGCAGGATACGGCGCATGATCTTTCCACTGCGGGTCTTGGGGAGGTCATCTACGACGAAGACGGCCTTGGGGGCGGCGAAGGGTCCAATGGACTTGCGGACTTGCATGGAGAGATCCTTGCGAACCTGGTCGTTTGTCTCGTTGCCATCTTTGAGGGCGACGAAGGCGTTGACAGCCTGGCCGGTCAACTCATCGGCGATACCGACGACAGCAGCCTCGGCAACCATGGCTGTTCACAGTTAGCTTGGGGTCCATGGGCAGGTAGTTTGTGGTATACTTACGGTGCTCGAGGAGGGCGGCCTCAATCTCGGCGGTGGAGAGACGGTGGCCGGAGACGTTGACGACATCGTCGACACGGCCACGGATCCAGTAGTAACCGTCGTGATCACGACCGGCACCATCTCCGGTGAACTGATACCTGTCAGTCTGATTGCTTCAATGTTGGAATGCAGATACATACGTAGTAACCCTTGTAGACGTTCAAGTACGTGTCCATGTAACGCTTGTGGGCACCCCAGACAGTGCGGGCCATACTGGGCCATGGCTGCTTGAAGGCAAGGACACCCTCGACATCATTACCAAGGATCTCCTCTCCGGAGACAGGGTCGATAATAGCGGGCTCAATACCGAAGAAGGGTAACGAAGCACTACCGGGCTTGGTAGGGGTGATACCACCAAGGGGAGTAATAACGTTAGAACCGGTCTCAGTTTGCCAGTATGTCTGTAATCCAAAAAAAATTAGCAATTGTTCCAAAAACCGCAGAGATGAGACGAACATCGCAGATGTGGGCTTCTTCCTTTCCGACAGCCTCGAAGTACCACTTCCAAACCTCAGCGGCAATGGGCTCTCCGACGGAACCAAGAACACGCAGGCTCTTCATCTTGTGGTGGATGTGCTCACCACCGGCGCGCTTCAGCAGACGCAGGGCGGTAGGGGCAACGTAGAACTGGGTGACGTCGTACTTGTCGATGACATCCCAGTAGCGAGAGAAGTCAGGGTACGCAGGGGTACTTTCGAACACGACGGTGGCGCAACCAAGCAGGAGAGGAGCGTAAACGACGTAAGTGTGTCCGGTAATCCAGCCGACATCACCACCGCAGAAGTAGCGGTCATCATCATGAATATCAAAGACGTATTTTCCGGTCAGGGCGGCACCGAGAAGGTAGCCAGCAGTGGTGTGCATCACACCCTTGGGCTTACCGGTCGAGCCGGAGGTGTAGAGAAGGAACAGAGGGTCCTCGGAGCTGACGGGCTCGGGGGCGAGATAGTTGGGGTACTTCTCGACCTCCTCGTGCCACCAGATATCACGACCGGGGGTCCAGGGGACCTCAGCGCCAGTGCGCTTGTAGACGAGAACCGTTGTAACGTCGGGGCACTGCTTCATAGCCTCATCGACAATGCGCTTTGTGCCAATGACCTTGCCACCGCGCTTACCCTCGTCGGTGGTGATGACCACCTTGGAGGAAGCGTCGAGGACACGGTCACGGAGAGAGTCTGAGGAGAAACCAGCAAAGACAACGGAGTGCACAGCACCGATACGGGAACAAGCAAGGAAAGCAATAACAGCCTCGGGAATCATGGGGAGGTAGATTCCAACGGTGTCACCCTTCTTGACACCGCGCTCCTTGAGAGTCCAGGCGACGCGGGAGACCTCGCGCATGAGCTCGCCGTATGTGATCTTGCGGCCCTCATTGGGCTCGTCGGCCTCGTAAATAATGGCCACCTTGTCGGGGTTCTTGAGAGCGTGGCGATCCACGCAGTTGTATGAGGCGTTCAAGCGACCCTCGACGAACCAGGCATTATCGCCGTTCTCGAAAGAGCCGTGGTGCGTGGTTTCGAAGTCCTTGTCGAAGGTGAGGAGCTCGCGGGCCATGCGGGCCCAGAAGGTGTGGGGGCTCTGGATTGATTCATCGTAGAGCTTCTGGTACTCGGCCATGTCCTTAAGGTGGGTTCCGGTGGGATGCTTCTGGTGGAATGCCTTGGGCACGTGGAAAGTGTCGACCTCGTGGGCCTCGAGCACCTGCATCGATTGTTAGCTAATCCTGCAGGGCTGCGAGCAAAGCTCAGCACGAGACCAAAGGACTTACCACGGAGGGCTTGGGCGGCGCAACTGGGCCGTCCGACATGATTGCGATTCTCCGGGGGTATCAAGGAGAAGACTGACGAAAGTTAGAAATGAAGACAGAAAGAAAAAAGAAAAAGAAAGGCTCACACAGGGGGGTATTAATGTAAAGTAAAGAAAAGAGTCTGAGAGCGGGGGATGGGCCATTATGTATTTCCCCGGGTGGAGCGGTCCCAATGCGGCCTTGTAAAATACCACTCTAAACCCATTTTACCTGGAACTGCTTACCCTGCTTCCGGTACCATTACTTTCCAACCCATTCAATTCACCATTCACCCACCATTCACCACCCACCATTAACCAATACAATTACAGAGCACGCCAAGGCTTGGGTTTGGGTTCGGTCATGCGGGGGTTGACATCCTTCCGTTGCTCCGGGGAAATGCCCCTCCACGAAAATCATGTCAATTGGGATCAACCGACCCCTGTTCCCGTACCCTTTGACCGAACCCCGCCTAGGGACATCGTGCCGACTCTAGTAATACGGATTGCATATACGGATTGCAGGGCTAGATCCTTTTCCGTCTCGAGGGATGCGCGTACATGTACATGCCCAGGTGTACCTATAGTTGCCTGGTTTTCCGTACTATGTACTCTATCCCTCGAAGATCCCTGCAAGATCACAGAGATCACAGAGATCTCAAGTCTCAGATTCTCAGATCTACAGGTTCTGGAAATAGCTGTGTCATGAGGTATATGATGTCAACATTGAAGCTAAACGTCAACCTTGGAACTGTATGTTCAAGCTGGGAGGCGGACCGATGCCTCCTTGGAGAATAGTGCCGCCACTCATCACTCATCTGCCTCACAATGGAAGTTTATTGATTCTTGGCATTTTACAAGCTACAGACAAGCCATGACAAGGTGGTTATTTATTTCAGTTCACTTGCATTGTGGATAGCCTGGTTTGGATTGTGGGGAGTGTGGGACAACGCCTGTCTCGCTAATTTGTTTCCTCTTTTTCTAACAAAAAAACGTGCTATACCATTATAGCGCACTGGGGACAGAAACAATAGCGAAATAAGCACCGTACCTGGTTAACTTAAGCATAAATCCTCTGTTTCCCCTGAATGGTATATGTTGCATCCGACTGTCACCTAAGCCCCTCCTTATTGCGACTGCAACTGCAACGCGAAGATCAGACACGGCAAAGAACACACCGAGCAACACCGCGCATATGCAGAAGAAAAGAAAAGGTTGAACTAATGCACTTCAGCTCCACCTCTCCCACTTCGCGTCCCAACAAAAAAGGGCCATGCAGCTTGACCTAACCGACCTAGGAAGATTTTCCAGCCGACAGCGTGTACACTGTACAGCCAATACCAGCGGGATGAACCCGAAGATCCCCACCGGCCCAAAGTCCGACACAATTGTGGGATTGTGAACCATTCTTTGAGATGTTGAGTGGCCGAGAAAATACCGTGTTATGTCCAGCTTATGCCCAGGTCATGTCCAGATTTTGTCCCAATTGTCTGAAGCCGAAGGATCGACACTGGATAAATAATGTTCCGCGCCGGTCCTTTGAGACATTGGCCATTTCAGCATCCTTGTCCAGGGCCGACCTGGGAGACTGATTCGGGATGGCGGATCTTCGGAAGATCTGAGATATATCGGGGGCCGTCGCAATGCCGACCCGACATGGACAGTCCGTTGATTGACCCGGCTGCTCGACTCGACCTTGTCGGCCTCGAGTGAATCTGTGAATCAAAACCGAGATGGCATTCGATTTGCTTGTAGAGACTGGGATCGGATTCTGTCAGACGCCCATCATCCTTGGAAATCTGGAAGAAACATTCGAAGTAGGTCTTGCCCGGCATGTCAGATCTCAGCCTGGCGATAACAGGTTCATTGCGCAGGAAGCACGGCTTCAATATTCCAGTAGATGCATCTCAACATCATGCGTAGCTTGCGTTTTCAGTTGCGCCTGTCCGTGTCCCCGGGAGATCTCCCGATACTCCCCAGATTTTTCACTCTCCGGCCAACCATCCAACAGGGCAGAGTCAAAGAAGACGGATGAAGGGGGCAGTCCGAAGCCGCGGGTAGAAACACACTTCCAGCATCCTTCATCTCGGTTCGACATCAAATCTCGGGACTGCAAGAAATGACGTTCAACCCGATAGAACTCTTGAGAACCTTGGGACGGTCGGTTAGGGCTCGGAAAGGCCAACTTCCATATCGGACGAGCGGGGTATCCCATGAGCCTCGGTGAGGAAACATAGTATTTCGTGAATTACCTACATAGGGTAGGTATTCTTCTGGTCCCATTGACTGGCTCGGGTTAGTAAACCCGTGAGCTGATTCGGTTCAGGTCATTCCTTGAGGCCCAAGTTCCATTTCATCAACTGCGATTTGTAATGTCATGAAATGATTCGGTTCAGTTTGACCCTTGATGCCGTTACGAGAAGATTTTCCTTGCCCGGCAAGCAGTCAGGGGTTGTAAGCTTATGATCTGATTCGGCTCAAGTCGTTCCTTGAGGCTGTCACCAGATATACCCAATTCTTTGGCCAAGAAAGTCCAGGTTGGTAAAGCTATGAACTGATTCGGACCAACTAATTCCTTGATGTTTCCAGAAGGCGCGGGGTGTTATCAGTCATCGTAGTCAGCTATCAATATTCACCGCTAATGACAATGAAAAGATAAACAATTTGACCTCGCTCAATGGCCAGTATATCGTTCTATCAATTCAATTCATGTAATCAAAATGGGTGTCAGCGATGAAGTCGAAATGTCCAGCGAAGTGGTTGACACGAGACCCCTATCTGACAGCACCGATTTATCGGACGAAGACTACCCAGAAGGAGGTCTAAAAGCCTGGTCTGTTGTTCTTGGAGCATGGTGTGCAATGGTACCTTCGATGGGACTGTTGAATAGTCTCGGTGTTCTACAAGCCTGGACGAGCACACACCAGTTGAAGGATTACTCCGAATCCAGTATTGGTTGGATTTTTGGCTCTTATGGATTCTTTCTATACATCGCCGGAGCGCAAACTGGTATGTACACACACCATATATAGGCAGGATGATGCTCACCATGTATAGGTCCGATCTTCGATACCTACGGTTCAAAATTCGTGATCATTCCAGGATCAATCGGGATAGTGCTTTCCATGGTGTGTTTCAGTCTCAGCGAAGGTCACTCCATCCAAAAGCCACCGAATCAAATACGTTACAAGCTAACCACCAAACAGAATACTACCAAATTTTCCTCTCCTTCAGCGTCCTCGGCGGCCTATCAGCCTGCACACTCTTCACACCTGCAATCTCAACAGTAGGCCACTGGTTCAACCTCCGCCGCGGCTGGGCAACAGGCGTAGCGTGCACAGCGGGAGGAATCGGTGGCGTGCTATTCCCCCTGATAATCCTCTACGCAGCACCCAGGATCGGGTTCCCATGGGCAATCCGGATTATCGCTCTTATTTCTGCGATATTATGTGTGTGCGCGTGTCTATTGCTCAAGACACGACTGCCGCCGAATAAGAAGGCTGGGGCTTCGGTTGATTTCCGTGCGTTGAGGGATCTCAAGTATGCTTCTACGACTGCTGCGGTGTTCCTTGTTGAATTTGCGGTTTTCATTCCTATCACTTATATCGCTTCTTATGCTATTTCTGTTGGGGTGGATGATACAATGTCTTATCTGCTGATTCCGTTTTTGAATGTTGGCGCTATACCGGGTCGATTTCTGCCTGGGTTGGTAGCTGATCGGGTTGGTAGGTTTAATGTGATGGTGTTGACATCTTTGATCTGTTCGATACTCACGTTAGCGCTGTGGACGAAGGCTGGTGATGATCTGACAGCGGTTGTTTGTTATGCTGTTTCCTTTGGATTTTGGAGTGGTGCTGCTATTAGTCTTACTCCTGTTTGTATCTCGCAGGTTTGTGCTACTGATGATTATGGGAAGCGGACTGGGACGACGTTTACTATCAGTAGTGTTGGGACTCTTGTTGGGATTCCGATTGCTGGAGCTATTTTGGAGAGCGATGGTGGTGAATATGGGGGGCTGATTGTCTTTGGTGGTGTGCTTTATTTAGCGGCTACTGTTGCGTTTGTTATTGCGAGGGGGATTTGTGTTGGATGGTCTTTTGGTGTTAAGTTCTAAATGATGTGAAGATAGAAGGGCAAAGAAAGAAAGAATGAATGGAAGGAATAAACAGGCTTCCATGGGATTGACTTAACGTACCGTCATCATCAATGCAAGTGTCCATGTGGACAGATTTGCTCTCGGGCGACTCTCATGCGACACAGCCTCGCAATGGACTCAATTAGGTAACATTATTTAGCTCAATACGACATAGCTATGCATTGACATGCTCAATGAGGCAATTTGGCGCTATAAATACGCAGCCACACGTAGCTAGATGGCCACTCATGGGGCTCAAGTTGAATCGGTGAACGTAGTTCGAATCTGAATACCCAGGAAACAAGCTCCATCCATCATCTGAACATGTAGATCAAGAAATATTCTACCAACCATTGTGACCAGACAGTATGAGATCTACCAAGATTGTGCGGTAGTTGAAGGACTTCGCCGTCCGCCGATATTCTCCGCCGGGAATCTATACGATGTGTCAGGTCAACATGCAGATCGGAATATGACACCCGAGGTCAGTCGCGAAGGATCGAATATAAAAAGGAGACATTTCCCCAGGGTTTCAAACATCGAGAATCTCAAGAAAACATCCAAGAGTCTCTCTGTTTCGTGTCAAGCATACGATTCAAACCAATCTCAAGCCAATCGCATCAGATCATAAAAGATCCAAGAACAAACCTCAAGATGTCGGGCAAAGAAATTAGCAACAACATCAAGACAAAGGTCCGATCCATTCTGTCAACCGACGGTGATGCTAGATCGAGAACAAGCAATGAATCGAGAACATATCCGTAAGGTGTTCTCCGTTGTGTGACGTCATTTCCTCTGACCTCGCCGCAGTAATTCCAGAATGACTTGTTATACTACTTCTGCTCCTTATAACGGTATACTCCGACCTTGTGTGGCCTTGTTCGGAGATATTAACTGCTACCAGGAGATCAATGTTTTGGTTCTTGTTGCCGGGGTAAAGGGTATGCTCGGTAGGGAGTTTGGGATCTTTTGATTTACTTTAACTTTTGCTTTTTACTTTTGTTTTTGGTTGTCCGATATTGGTGTTGAAAGATACCCTTTCCCACAGGCTCTCAAGGGGGGATTTTGGGGTCTTGTCCGGGGTGCATGTATTTGGTTTAGTTTGTGCCTACACACATTCGCTGCTTATGCCGTGAGGTAGCCATGAGCTCTAGGTCATGACAAACCTGATCACTGAGATCTTCGGCAATAATGCTGATGCGACTTCACAGAGCCGTTGGTAAACTATGAAAGATATATCATTTTTCATGATAAAAACAGCTTTGCGCAAATTTGAATTTTTCCTTTGCATTTATTTCGGAATACAATATGCGTGTATCTCGGAGACAAGGTTTCTTTTCCCGAAAAGAGATTCAAGACGGTCTTTCCACCCTTGCTGTCCTTGTTATTATTTGCTCATGCCTGCAAAGGGGCTTCTTGTCGCACGGCGATGTCCTAATTCGACAGGCCAGGGCTTTGCTCGGACATCCATTCCCCATATTCCCTTCGCATTGATCATCAAACGGTCGTGGATCAATTATTCAGCCGCGAATCCCGCCAAGTACGCTTTCAGCGACTGTCGGTGCCTCAGATTCAGATTCAATCCATCTTGGTCTCGTGTATGGTGGCCCGCGAGTTCAGTTGAGCCTGGAAGCTTTCCGTCTTCCTCTGAAATGACCGCATCTTCAATGGACTAGAGCGCAAGGGAACTTGCACATTAATAAGCCGAGGCCTTTTGGCTTTGGGATTCAAGCGAAGCAAGTGTGATATTCTCAATCCACTCATGGATATCCTCCGTGTACGTCGACAAGCCTTTGTCGAGGGAGAATACCTTCCGATCATGCCAGTCTGAGTCAATAAGGTACGAGACATATTTCAACAGCTCCCAAGCGCGGTTGAGATGCTCCTGCTTACCATCCATTCTAGATGGTCCGAACTGGGGAAAGGTGGAATCAAATTGTAAGTCGTCTTGCTTTGTGCAGACCAGCCCAAACTTGGCCTTGAAATTTTCGCGGGATTCAAGATTCTTCGCCTTCCGCTCGGCGGATGACTGGGCTTGGTAGATATCGAAATACATCGGCAAGTGAAGCAAGCACCAAGCCATCCTCTTGGACCGTATTATCTCATTGCTATTGTCCCATTCATCCCCCATGGGCCATTCTCTCTCTGGGTTGACAATGGCCTTGATTCTTTCACGGGTAATCGGCGAATGCATGATCTCGAATGAGTGTGTTTTTTCAGTATCCCCTCTAAGTGGGTGGAAAACAGTCAAGATATCGAGGACTGGCCAGGAGATTGCCAAAAACCGAAGTTCGGCGATAAGGACAAGGCCCAGATAATCTGCGAGCTTGGTTTCATCGCTCTCGGGGCACTTCACCCATTCCTTGACACAGGAGTTAATGTTCAGCGCGAATTGAAAGTTGGCGGGCTTTCCGTATGCTTTGCTCTTGGCAACTCTTCCACCAGAAACTGGGACAAGGCCTAGAGGAGAGATTGACAAAAGTCCAGAGCTGGGAACCTCGTCACCTCCCTAGATTTTGTATTAGTTTGTTCATATTGTGAAAGCTTTGTCTTGGGCGTACCATGACGTTCTTGGGAAGTGAAGGAGCCATTTGCACGGAGGAACGAGACAGTCGATTGCTCTGAGACAAAAGACGAGAAGGCACCCTAGTAGATGAGAGATAATGTCAGCAAAATGCGTCGAGGATTAGAGAAGAGAAAGTGGGATTTGGACGGGAGGAGCAGCTCACAGTACGATTGACTGGACAGAGAAACGTTGAACCAGATAGACAGCAGTAGGGGGGCCCAAGCTACCAGATGTGATACTGAGGAGAGCCGAATATCTCCCGTGGGAGAGGAGAAGACGAGCTCAAACGACCAAGAAAGACTATCAGGTGAGCGTGTCCTGCTGATGGGAGATGGGAGAAGAGAACGCGAGAAAATAAGAGCCCTTGGGCGAGATGACTGACTTGTTTAAATTGATAGAGAGAGACGTCTAAGTTGGCACCTGCTACCAGTAGACGTCTTTAATCCCGGTACAGGTTCGCAGAGTTGCCGTGACAAGAGCGCCATGCACGAGTCGAACGTCAGAACAGCACCTAGTTGCAATCTGAAAGATTGAATGGCTTATACAGCTTTCTACCATGATAGTTCTGGTTGTATATTGCCTCACTCAGAGATAACAACAACTCAACACGCGTATGGTCTGGTTCTCTTGTCGCTGTAAGGGTGTGTAGAGAGTTCTCGAATATCTTAGCATCATTGCAAATTCTGAATTGTTAGTATGCATCATTCAGCCAAAGAATATATTCATGGCGTTAGAAGCACGTTTACACAAGGTTTTCATTGTCTTTTGGGGTTGGGATCTATGATGTGTTTTATACTCCCACACTCGCTCGGCGTACATAACTCCATAACACGACTAACATACAGTGAACAACGCATCCATTCTCATGACTAAGTGCCAGCTTCGCTTCTCCATACATTTCTCTTACTTGTATCAAAATTGTTCTCAAATGCGAAGTGTGTAGTTATCTGGGGCAGATTGTCTTGGCAGAAAGAATCTTAGGGGTTGTAGATGTCGCGGGAAGGCGCCGTTTCCCGCCATGAGCCGCCAACCTGACATCGGCCGTAGTCCACCCCATACTTTGGCTAATAATCTCAAACGTTCCGGTTACCATTGGATTAACATTTTCTTACCTCGATACCCACAGCTGTTCAAGGAAGGCGCTGCCAGAACTATATATCAGTCCACCCTAGTATCCCTTGATACACTGCCATTACCGACCTGGCTACTGTATCGAAAATCTCTATATAAGCCCTTGGTGTGCTAAGCCTGGCATCTTTCAAATATCAAAAATTTCCAAAATTCACTTTTTGGCACAATGTACAGCACAAAAGGCGCAACCCGCGTCCTGTTCTCCAACACACGGCGATTCTCGACTGGCACCCAACTTAGAGCCCCCTCAGGCCTCAAGATCAACCCCGATAGATTATGGAACACACTACACGAGACCTGCGAATGGGGTGCTGCTCACCGCTATAACGAGTATGTCTCAACCTGCCTCTGATAAACCAAGACTTTCGATCTAACTGCCAGCAGTGGCCCAACCGACACGGGTATGGCTCGTCTAACCCTCACGGACGAGGATGCCAGTGTGCGCAAATGGTTTGCCACGGAAGTCCAGAAGCTGGGATGTGCTCTTGTCGTTGACCAGATGGGCAACATGTTCGCGCGTCAGTCAGGTCGGCTGAACTCACCCGCTCCCATGATCGCAATGGGAAGTCATCTGGATACCCAGCCTCGTGGCGGTCGGTATGATGGTATTCTTGGTGTTATGGCTGCATTGGAAGTTTTGCGGACCATGAAGGAAAGCGGATTCCAGACTAACTATGACATCGGGATAGTTAATTGGACGAAGTATGTGCTAGCTCACCGCGTGAAAGTAAAATGCTTTCGCTAACAGCGTTCTACAGCGAAGAGGGAGCGCGGTTCCCTAAGTCCATGTGCTCTTCAGGTGTCTGGGCTGGAGCAATCCCTATCCAAGAAGCTTGGGACCTACGTGATATTCACGATTCCAGCGTGACCCTGCGGTCCGAGCTTGAACGACATGGATATCTCGGCGACATTACTTGCTCTAGCGATCCGACGACCGGATACCCCCTCGGAGCTCATTTTGAATTGCACATTGAACAGGGACCGATTTTACCAGAGACCGGTCGATCAATCGGTGTTGTTCGTGGTGCTCAAGGCTATAGATGGTTGACCATGACCGTGCACGGAAAGGATGCTCACACTGGAACAACGCCTTTCAGTGCTCGCCAAGACCCATTGCTCGCATCCTCTAGAATGATTGCTGCTTCACACGATATTGCCAAGAAGCACAATGCGCTGGCTTCTACTGGCATTATCAGAGTTCCTTCAAACGCCTCCACTAACACCGTCTCATCGCAAGTGACCTTCACACTGGATATCCGCCACCCGCAAGACAGTGTGGTGCATGCTGTGCAGGATGAATGCCTTAAGGCCTTTGATACTATTGCATCACAGGACGGAAAGGGTGTTTCGTTTGACTGGACATTAGACACTGACTCTCCGGCTGTCAAGTTCGATGACAACTGTGTGGCATCCATCCAGGCTGCTGCGGACCAGCTGGTTGGCCGTGAGAAGTCTATGCTCATGACTAGTGGTGCAGGTCATGACACTGTCTATACCAGCAAGCATTGTCCCTCGGCCATGATCTTTGTTCCTTGCAAGGATGGAGTCAGCCACCACCCCGCTGAATATTGCAGCCCGCAAGACTGGTAGGTTCATTCCAACATTTGTATTGGATGTAGAGTCTAACTTTTGCAGTGCTCTCGGAACCCAGGCACTTCTCGAGGCCGTTGTGCATTACGATCAATTCCGGGCGGAGAGTGAAGGACCGAAATAGTCAGTAATGTACTTTGAGCATCAAAAGTTTTATCTAGACTTCTCTGCGTGTACAGCTTATACAATCCTATTATATTTTCCCCCCCCCCCAATATCTGGCGACCCAATTCATCGATCCATGCAAAGCCCCAGAAAATCCACTAGATGCTCTGCGCCCAAGGGTATTGTCAGCCGACATTTGCAACTAAGGTTTGACCATATCATGTTATTGACACGATGCAAAAATATAAATTACAGGGCGTCAATGTTAGCAGAAGGCGTCCCCAGCAACTGTAGATTTTGATGCCCCACCGGACCCATGTCGCCAGAAGGCGCGGCATCCCCAGAACACCCCCAGGAGAAAGATTACAAGAAGGCCATATAAAATGTAATAAATAAGTAGAAAAGCCCCCATTAAACAAATCACAACAATCAACATACACGCTCAAAATGACATCGCGACGACCAATCTACTACAACCCCGCAGCCTTGAACGAGCGCATCACCTCCCCTCGAATAGAAGGTCTCCAAGCCTTCCACCAATCTTTCCCAGACTATGCCCCAACACCACTAGTTCAACTCCCACAGCTAGCAGCCGAGCTAGGTGTTCGAAATGTCCTTGTCAAAGACGAGAGTAACCGCTTCGGACTACCATCATTCAAAGTACTAGGCGCGTCATGGGGATGTTTCCGCGCTATTGCGGCGAAGTTGGGCTTGCCTGCTACAGTCTCGCTTAAAGACCTTTCAATCCAAGCTAAGGCAGAATCAATTGTCCTGACGACTGCTACTATGGGAAACCACGGCCGCGCAGTCGCGTTCATGGCTCGACTTCTCGGGATTGAGGCTCGGATCTTTGTTCCTGAGTGTATGGACCAGGGTACTCGAGACCTGATTTCTGGAGAAGGGGCCAGGATTATTGTTGTGACGGGTAATTATGACAAGGCTGTTCAGAGTGCTTTGGATGAATCGCGTTTGAAAGAGGGTGTCCTTCTTATCCAGGACACTGCGTTTGAAGGGTATGAGGATGTTCCAGCTTGGATTGTGGAGGGGTATTCGACTATGCTGAATGAGGTTCACGATGGTCTTGCTGAGCTTGATCTCATTGGCAATGTAATGATTAGTCCTGCTGGCGTGGGAAGTCTCGCGCATGCGGTGGCTAAGCATTGCAAGTCGCAGAGTTTGCCTTTGTCTATGGTTGCTGTGGAGCCTGATACTGCTGCTTGTTTGTCTTCTAGCTTGGCTGCTGGTAAGATGGTTACTACGCAGAGCTCGGAGACTATCATGGATGGCATGGATTGTGGTACTGTTTCTTCTACTGCTTGGCCGGATTTGCAGCGTCTAGTCGATGCTTGTGTCAGTGTCTCGTCGTATGAGGCACACTGTGCAGTGCAGTATTTGACATCGAACTCTGTGGCAGCTGGTCCTTGTGGAGGTGCGTCGTTGGCTGCACTGCGTCATCTGGCGAAGGAGGAATCTGCAATTTTGAACAAGGATTCCGTCGTTGTCCTTCTCAGCACTGAGGGTGCGCGTCAATATTCGATTCCCAGAGATGTGTCTGTCGAAGATGCAGTGGGCTTGACGCAAACCCTCACCCAGATCAACTCCTCCAACCCTACCTTGTCTCTCACGGATGGAGTAGGCGAAACCGAAATTGCAAACTGGCTGGCCTCCTGGTTTGCCCACCGTGATATTGAATACCACTGGATCGAAAAGGTCACAGGACGGCCATCTATTGTTGGTGTCTTGCGTGGCAGTGAAGACGGCAAATCCCTCATGTTCAACGGCCACACAGACACCGTCAGCTTATCCAGCTACGAGGCGGATCCCCTCTCGGGCTCCATTCAAATTAGAGATGGCAAAGAAGCTGTCCTTGGAAGAGGATCTTTGGATATGAAGGGTGGTCTCGCCGCAGCACTAGCAGCACTAGCAGCAACAAAAGCCACGGGCCGTGTTCCTCGTGGCGACATCATTATTGCTGCAGTCTCAGACGAGGAAGATGCCTCTCAAGGAACCCAAGAGGTGATCGAAGCCGGCTGGCGCGCCGATGCTGCCGTTCTCCCAGAACCGACTCAAGCTGGCATTATCACTACCCACAAGGGCTTTATCTGGGTTGAGGTTGATATTCTAGGAGTTGCAGAGCACGGCTCCGATCCTTCAGAGGGAGAAGATGCAATTCTGTACGCCGGATCATTTCTCCAGGCATTAGAGAAATACCAGTCTCAACTCCGCATCGATGAAGCTCTCGGTCAGGCATCACTGCATTGTGGGTTGATTCGTGGCGGCGAGGAACCATCGTCATATCCGGATAAGTGCACCATCACAGTGGAGTTCCGTACCGTGCCTGCTCAAACGGAGGAGTCAATCTTGAATGATATGGGCAAGTTGTTGAAAAGTATTGCTGAGCAAAATGCTCGAGTCAGATATGCCCAGCCTCGAATTACCATGTCGCGTCCTACACAGAAGATACCTGTTGATCATCCTTTCGTGCGGCAGAGTCTGGCAACTGCATCTTCTGTGCTAAAAAGCGAGCCAGTTGTCAAGTGTGGACCTTTCTGGACTGATGCGGCTTTGCTTGGTGCTGTTGGTATTCCTTCTATTGTGTGGGGTCCTGCCGGAGATGGCTTGCATGCTAAGGAAGAATGGGTTGAGGTTGAGAGCCTGAGACAGTTTGAGAAGGTCTTCACGCAGTTGGTACAAGACTTTTGCTATTGAGTGATTTGTACATATATGTATATAGACAAATAACTTCAGTTGGATCGAATGATATAAATTTTGTTACAGATCTCTGGTAGACATCGGTGATAATTTGATAGCAGGCTCAACGTCTGCGTAAACACAGGAGAGCTTTTTCTCCAAGATATGCAAAATCAAATGCCAAGTATGACCTATTGCTATACCGGATGACACAGTCTGCCGTATCTTCGAAAGGTGTCACTTTAGCTGCCTCTAGCTGAAAGTCAGCGCAACGGTATCAGTAACCGTGATTGTGGGACCACAGGCAGGCTTAGTAGAAGCAGCCAGCCTATGTTCCCCATTCCGACTGCTCTTCGATATGTTCACCCCCCGCGTGTTCCCATGATGCTAGAGAACATTAAAGATCAAATGGGTCATGTTGGCGTTTGGAATGGATATATATTTGATGTGAAAGGGGATTTTCCCTGCCCTCGTCTTTTGTTAAGCTGCCAGACTCGTATCTATAGAAGGTTTTCATTCAGGTCACCACCAAACAACGTGGTATGTACCGGCTCAGGGGACTTATCTAGCGTGGAGAGATGGACATGATCTCTGCCACCGAAGCTCTTTGTCATTATATTCAGTCTGGTATAGTGAGTGGCAGCCTTTGTTAGCGTTTTGGACATTTTAGCGTTTCCCAATTGCTGATGAAGTTAAGAGGTTGATATCAATTTCTTGACAGGCAGGTGTTTGCATTCATTTCTATATTAGTTAAAGAAACTATTATTGCCTGAAAATACACCAAATGCGAAGTTAGTAGACGACGTAGAGTGGAAAGTGTGCATGGCCACGGAAGAGATCTTATCGGCACGGGACTGGATCGACGTCGAGACATCTTTGCCTTCCTCATCATCCCACTTCCACCCACATCTACACCTCACGACATTTTCAACTCAAATCTGGGATTTGTCACAGTAACTCCACAATGTCCGAAGAATCCCCAGCTCAAAGATCGGCCCGCCTGCGGCGTGAGCGCCGCGAGGCCAAGATCAAGGAAGGAGGGTCAGCACGCCTGGACAAGATCACCAGTCTGAGCGGACGCACACCACAATCCGGTACGAAATAAAAAGCCCTCCATCATATTCGCGCTAAATCTCGCACCCTGCGACATCAAAGCCTCAAAACCATCACGGACCCAGCTAATCTCAACCCCAAAACAGAACGGGAAGAAGCCTCCCCATCACCATCCCCCCAACCCTCAATCGGCGCCTCGCCATCCCCAGCGCCCCCAATGCCCCAATTCCGCGCGTCGCCATCCCCACAGACAGAAATGCAATCGCCCGAGGACCAACGCGCCCAACAAGAAGCTTTCCTCGCCATGCTCCAACAATCCGCCCAGAACCAAGCCCAAGGCCAACAACCCGACAGCCAAGCCCGAGCCCTCCAAGCACAGCAAGACGCCTTCCGCGCACTGCTGCGCCAATCAGCACCAGAGCAAGGACAGGAACAAGGACAAGGCTTCGGCCCACAAGGCAATGACGCCGAAGACCCCACTATCAAACTCCTCAACTCCCTCCTGGGCGCTATGCCCGGTGGTGATCCTAACACGCCGCCCGGTGCACCACCACCTGCTGGCGCAGCCCCAGGTCCTGGGTCCTCGCTTGCGGCTATGGCTACTATGGCGGGTGTACCGCCCTTCCTGGCTAATATGCTTGGTGGAGCAGCTGCGCCGACGGAGGCGGAGGCCAAGAGTACTCGGATCTGGAAGACGCTGCATACTGTTTTTGCGTTGGCTGTTTCGTTCTACTTGCTTTTCCTGATTGGGACTTCTGTGTCGTTGTTTGGAAGTCCGCCGCCGAAGCCTGCGACTGCTCAGAATCCATTTGCTATCTTCGTTACGGGTGAATTGCTCTTGACTGGAGGGAAGGTTTTGTTCGGTGGGAAATCGGGCGGAATAGGGATGGCTGTACAGCTTGGCAAGGATATCATTCGCGATGGGAAACTTCTGCTGTTTGTACTGGGGCTTGCGTCTTGGTACCAGCCCGAATGGCAAGCTTCGGTATCAGCATAGGATACTGGTTTTAGTTTGATTATAATATGAGCATTTTCATGGCATTTACTAAAGCATTCATTATTTCATCATTCGTATCTAAACGTAACACAAAACAATTCTCTGCCTACATTTAAGTAGGCGAGTTCAGCGCACGCTCAGAAGGCAGTATTGCATTCCGCAAGACACCCATAGCCATTGAATCCAGTCCCCATTCCCCTTCCCACTGAAACATCCTCGAACGATTCTTAAAGTGCTCAGCCAGATGATCAGCTCTCGCCGTCCAGCTCGAAAGCCGACATCCACAGAAACCACAGCTACTCTCGACATTGCCGCCTGAACCGCTCCAGACATCAAGATTAGAAACGGGCATTTTCGTACAACTGTGAAACTTGCGAAGATGCTGCCACAGATAATCCTTCCGGCTGAACAATCGTTCAGCCACGGGTTTTTCGGTACAAATGTGGAATTCATGTTCTTCCATATGGGCCGGCAAGGGATATACGACATCGCAGACTGGGCATTCAGAGGGATTGAGATCGAATGATTGTTGGAGGTCGTTGAGGTTTGGTGTACAAATCCAAGCATCAAGAGTCAGATGAACGCTCTTCTCATGGCGAGTCCAGTCATGCTTCTTCTTGAAAGATCGTATGCAGAATGTGCACTGGTAGATATTGTTTTCCGAAGCGCCCTGTGACCGTTCTTTGATGCGTCTTGGTTTACTTTGTTTCGGGAGGAGGGGGAATGGCAATCCTGTATCACCGGAGGAATGATAGCTCCACGCTGAAGAGCCACTGTCAGACGTCTCTGATGCTCTGCTCCCGATGCTGGAAACGGAAGATGCAAGGTGTGAAGAGCTTTCGTCGAAATTCAGGAAATCCATGGCGGAGCTGTCAAGTTTGAATGGATCGATTGTACCATCTGATTCTATCAAATCGGAGCCAGAGGCGATGGCGTTCTGAATTGCTGCTTCAGGGACGGGCTCGTCTTCTGGTGGTGATGCTTGCCATCGTTCCATGGGCGTCATGGCGGGTAATGTGCTGGTTATCATTGGAGAGCCTGCGCGGGTACGAGAACGCGAGGCTAGCCCTGATGATTGAATTTTCTGCTTTTGGCGACGACGGGCGTTTGCGAACCAGGTTGAGATTCGTTTTTGAGAGAAGCCTGTGTCTGTGGACAGTTGGTTCTTTTGTGCGTCGGTTGGGTAGGGATGTTCCTGGTTTTGGTAGAACCATTCTCGGAGGACTCGGGCTCCTTTTCGGATGAATTGCTTTGGTTCTCTCCGATCGCCTCCATCTGTTTTGTTGAGATGGATGGCGGACGATATATTTCCATCTTCTGGCACGCCGTGCAAATGTCCTAGAACCGGGGTCATGGTTTCAAACCCAGCTGGGAAGCGTTTCTCCCCTTTGGCGAGACTGCATTCTCGGAACAAAGCAACACAGCTTGAACATGAGGTCTTTGGATTCGGGTTCGCTTCCGTGGTCCGGATAATTAAACATTGCAGTTTGTGTCTGCGACAATGACTGCATGGGACGGCGGGACGGTATGCTCCATCTAGCCACTGTGAGACATTGTTCAAATTTTGCTGCGGTAAGAACTGTCCGGTCCAATTTGCTGGCAGAGGTGAAACGCCGTCGGTTAGACCACCCGAGAGTCGTGGTTCACCGTGATCTTGATGCTCAAATTGCCGATCTGATATTGGTGACTCATGACTTATCCACTGTGCCCACTCCAGATCACTGGGGTCTGAGGGATGAAGATAGAAGTCATTAAAGGCATTTGGATCGAAGGCTGGATCATTCGGTTGCCAATGATCTTGCTCAGCAGTCGGTAATATGGATTCTAGTCCCGATTCCTCGACAGAATGTGGCAACGGCGGCCATGTCGAGGAGTCGATGAGCTGCTGTGGATTCATGCCATATAAAGATGAGCAGAGTTACCAGATGGTTTGCTGTAAGCCCACTCCTTGAAATGTATAGAATCAAGCCTAGAATCTATCGAGCCTGTGAGCGTGCCTCCATTTCAGATGTTCGAATTGCGGGTCTTAAGACCTAGTCCACATTCGGCTAGTTCAAATCGCTCCTTCCAAAGACATCGATTACTAATAGGATTACTAATAAGATATGAGTCATGTGATCATCGGGCCCATGAGCTCCGGAGATCGTCGCACCTGCCCACTTGGGCAGGTCAATGTTTGCTTGGCATCTGCGAGGCCCGCTTTTCATGCATGAACTGAGAGATAACTTGGCGTTTCTATACGCAGTGACACATTATACTTGCTATCTACCCCGGAAATATGTTGCCTTTTATGGGGATGGCATGATTCATGCAGTTTGTTTCAGCCTTATCGAATAAACATTTGTGAAGGTTTTACTCATGGTTCATGCGGAGCCCGAGAAGGCCGGTGTCTTCAGATGCATGAAAGATTTAGGAGGCTGAACTATAAGATTCATGTCCCTTGATACAGCAGTCAATATCCGTGGATTGTACTGAGATTCCCTGCTCGTATGATTCGTTCAACTATAAGAGAAAACCTTCGGCATGAAAATCCAAACAGTGATTCTCAAACGCCTCCGAGAAAATTCAACACCAAACCAGACTTTTTACCGACCTTTCCGGATGATATCGTGCCGGAACAGTGACCTTGATGCTGATAGGACACAAAGAACGACCTAGCGACTTTCCTTGTCCAGCCACAGGCTTATCATCATTAAGGTTATCGCGCATCAAAGATAAAATGAATCAAAATCAGCACGTGTCACACGGAAACTAAAACCAAACAGGAAGAATTGAACTTCTAGAAGAACCGTGGAAGAAACCAGCTGTCACGCATAACGGCACGAAGCGAAAGTTTATGAGAAGACGCGCACGCTGTCCAACTGCAGTACAGCGTCCATACTGTACTCCGTAGAATGGGAAATATTAGCGCCGTTATTATGGAGTGGTGCCTAAATTAACTGGTGGACACTCCGGAGTTCTCTCTCAACTCCCCAGTCTGGTGGGGCTCGTTTGAGTTGCCACCCCTGCATGGCCGGTGAAGGCAAAATTTTTTAAGTTGGGGCGTAGAAGGCCGAGCCGAAGCCCGGGCCGCCGGTGAAGAGTTTAACGCATGTTCAACATTCTACGTGTATACTGTACAGAGCAAATTGAGTGAAATACCCCAGATCCAAATGAATAAATAGATTAACCATAAGCGGCGATCACTCAGAGTCATGATCATACAACAATTAGGTTTGGGAGTTGGGGAACGTTACAGCCGGCCAGTTTCTATCACCAATTTTAATGAGTCAGCAGCCCATTCCCGCCAACTTGATTGGTCAGTCCGCCGGACTCGGACCGAAGTATAACAACGATTGGACCAGGCATCGTCCGCATCGGGGCTTTGGTGGGTTTCCTGTGGATCGATATGCCCATGGGGCAAAATCGGCACGCGAACAATAAGATGGCCAGATTCCCTTCCTTCCTGGATCGATTCCTTTACTCTCCCCTCAATTCCTCACCTCTCACACACCTCCCCTCTTCAACAAGTCAAACATGGAGGTGACACCCGCACCACCTGCTTATGAGCAGGACAAGATTGCTGAGAGGTATGACCAGCCTCAATTCGAAGAGGAAGGTCAGCTTAAGGGCGAGGTTCATGATGCCTTTGGTAACGAGGAGTACGCCGAAATCAAGTACAAGACTTTGAAGTGGTGGTACGTATCATTCCTGACTCGATCTTTTACTGGAGATTCTGACGCGTGATATCAGGCAATGCGGTCTGCTCATGATCTGTGAGTCAGTGTCGCTGGGTGTGCTGTCGCTGCCCTCGGCTGTCGCTACCCTGGGTCTTGTCCCAGGTGTGATCCTCATTGTTGGCCTCGGTCTTCTCGCTACCTACACTGGCTACAATATCGGCCTATTTCGTGAACGGTACCCTCACATTCAGAACCTCGGTGACGCCGGTGAGATTCTGCTGGGCAAGTTCGGCCGCGAACTCTTCGGTATCGGTCAATTCCTCTTCTGTATCTTCGTCATGGGCAGCCATATCCTCACTTTCCGCGTCATGATGAACACCATTACCAACCACGGCGCCTGCTCCATCGTGTTCTCTGTTGTCGGCATGGTTCTCTCTCTCGCCCTCTCCATCCCCCGTACCATGAAGGGAATGACCTGGATCTCCTTCGCCTCCTTCCTTAGTATCTTCTCCGCCGTTGTGATCACCATGATCTCCGTGGGTGTTGAAAGCCACCCCGGCCGCATCATCCAGGCCACTGTCGAAAACGACCTCTACACAGCCTTCCAGGCCGTCTCGAACATCGTCTTCGCCTACTGTGCTCATGTCGCCTTCTTCGGTCTGATCGCGGAGATGGAGTCCCCTCAAGACTTTAAGAAGTCACTCTTCATGCTCCAGAGCTTCGAAATCTCCCTCTACCTCACTGCTGCCGTCGTCATCTACTACTACATCGGCACAGACGTGCACTCCCCAGCCCTGACCTCCGCTGGTCCCCTGATGAGCAAGGTCGCCTACGGTATCGCCATCCCCACCATCGTCGGCGCAGGTGTCGTCAACGGCCACATCGGACTGAAGTACATCTACTTCCGCCTCGGTGCCAAGTCCGGTTTGATCCACCAGAACAACTGGCGCGCCATCGGTCTCTGGATCGGCCTGGGAGTCTCCTGCTGGGTCGTTGCCTGGATCATTGCCGAGGCTATCCCCGTTTTCAGTGACCTGAACGGTCTTATCAGTGCCCTCTTCGCTTCGTGGTTCTCTTACGGTCTGTCCGGTATCTACTGGCTGCACCTGAACAAGGGTGCATGGTTCTCTTCGCCTCGCAAGATCGCGCTTACCATTCTGAACGTCTTCATTGCTCTGTTCGGTCTGATTCTGTGTGTTCTTGGTCTCTATGCTTCTGGTACTGCTATCCACAATGATACCAGCAATGCCAGTTTCACCTGTGCTAACACTGACACTTGATTGAGTGTTGGTGGTTGTCTTTTCATTTTGCATTATTCACGTTTTACTAGCATTGTACATAATCGCATATAGAACATGCCTGGGCGCACTGGTTGGCTCTAGAACATAACGCATATCATTACATATATTAAGAAATATTGTTTATTCTCAATTTCTATATTCCACGAGTTAAGACAAGCGTTCACATTTGAGCATGCAAAAGGTATTCTTTGCACGGATGACAATGAGCATGAAATGAAAGGCCGCTTAGACTGCTAGGGTTGCTTAAAATATGCAAATTCTATCAAAAAAGCACAGTGTTGTCTGATCCCGTTGTTTTTTCTGCTCGATATTGTGCTGTCTTCGAGTAAACGGCGGTATGTGCTTGTGTTAGCTGGATAGACGAAGTAGTGAACCGATCATTGCAATACAAGGGTTCTGACCTGCCTTAAGTGAATGGTAGACCCTGTTCAACCAAGTCACGTTGATTTACCGCTCCATCTTCGATCTGGCATGGGACCAACGACAAAGTGGATAAGAATGGCTTTCTCTGGCAAGGTCAACGCTACTGATCTACTGTCCTTGCCTCAAGTTCCCTGAGAAAAGTTCAGGGATTGCAGTACGAACCGAGTACTTTCCGCGCCCCTACTACACATTGTTTTCCTGTGTCTCGTTTCAATTCTAGATGACCAGCCAAAGGCTCGATTTGCGAGACTCTCGTAATCGTCGCGTGGGCTAGCTAAAAGAAAGGCTAAAGCAGAGGTGAGGGGTTTGCTACTAGGAGAAAACGGAGCCAACCCTATGGTTAAAATAAGTGCTATGTTCCAACCCCGCCATTAAGTTAGATAAGGCTCAACTTCGTTCCGCTCTCCATCGCCATGGCCAGGAATGTAATCATCTGCAGTAGAATTACCCTGGTTTGATGAATAAAGGGGAGCTCTAGATATTTCCGCTAGTGGAGTCGTCTTCGAGTAATCCGTAATAAGACGGGGCTTCCGTTTCTCTTAGTGACGCATCTGGTCCAACTCTTGAAGGTATGTCGTATGCTGGGGGGGGGGGGTTTACCAGACTCTCGGATTATTACTATCCCTCTTCCCTCTTTTCATGTGGCTTCCTGGCTAGGGGCGTCTTTCCGTCGATAATTCTCTTGTTTATAACAATGGGTGGTCAAAAGTGCCTAGGTAACACGTTGTAATGAGCAAGAGAAATATAGACGAAAAGACTCGACCCGCCCGACAGTAGGGATCGAAATTCACGGGAAAGTGTAATTCGTCCGGTCAATTTGTACACAAATTACGTGACTACCATGGGTTGTCCGTTATCCCAATAGATCACCCATACGACCTTGTTCATGGAACAAGGTCCCGGGGACTCTAAGTGCTACATTTTCTTATGCTCGAGATAAGAGATCATGCAAATCTGGTTCTGGTTTCAACCAAGAGATTTACTACCGGATGAAAATAATTTGCTGGCACCGCTTACCTGGACGTTCATGCGGGGCGGAACTTGGTCTAATTCCTTCGGAGAGTACATCAAAGATGAAAGGCGTCAATGGGGGTTGGTCATGTGGGATGCTGCTCAATTTGACAACACAGAGCGCAAAGAAGATCTCTCGAATATTGTCGAAGAGCTTGGTGATCCGAGAGAGATCCATGAGTACATGGTCGATGCGTGAAATAGCATCGACCTCTGACGCAGATTGTAAGATGACTCGTGAAGCTTGACAGCGCACATGGATATAGCCACATTATCTTGATCAATAACACGTTCAATCTTCTGAGCAAACCGCGCTATACAATAATGATAGGCAGTAGTTGTGACGTGTTATCCAAAATGGGTAGCTAGGGACTAGATATAGCATGCAGTTCCGAGCCCAAACCATCACGTAGTCATGACCTGTACTCCGATGGCTTGGTCTGCCCTGATAGGTGCCAACGAATCTATGCAATATCGTTTCATGCAGAGTCGATGCATCCAAAGAAGTTAATGTGTACAACTTGCTGTGGCAGATACGTGTGCGAGACTTCACATGTAAGCGGGGGTCCAGGCAGCTTCACGCAGGTCAGACATATAAATGCTGTTTGTCGCACCACCTCGATGGTATGGTCCCTCTAGCATCTATCTCTCTTATCAGGCCTCAATCTCTAGCCTCTCAAACATGCCTTGTCCCTACTGTAAGAGAATCCACTGCGAATGCGGTTCTGATTCCAGCGATTCATCTGATGAGGATTGCCCCGACGAGTAAACATATGACCGGTACATACCTTTCTCTCCCATTTTTGCTTTGATTTGTCTCGAGTTTCGCAATTACTGTGCGCTGGGCTGAGAAGTCACAGGATCCCATGGGCGAAACGGGTCAGCCGACTCTATACGTGGACCTCTCCACAACGAAGAAATGCTTTCGCAATGGACTTGATGAATAATTTTGTTATGATTGGGTGTATGCTATAGTGAGGATTTCGAGTACGACTCCCGATGGGATGAAAAATGAGACAAATATATGTTTCGACACGCTCCATGAATTTCAGTCCGCCAAGCTCCAATTATATATTTCGCAAATCGACCCTGACAATTAAATCTCAACGTGAGGTTCAAATCAATAAGTGATCGTCACATTCTTGTTCAGATACTTCGCATCCAGGTGCAAGACAAGATTCTCAGCCAGCCATCTCCCCGCATCCTCTCTGGAGATAGTATAACCAGTAACCTTGGACTCAACACCCGTTTTGGGATCTTCAATGCCAACTCGAATAGTCTTGTCCGACTCCCCATCAACCAAGTGACTGGCACGCATGATCGTAAATGACTCCCCGCTCTGCGCGAATCGATCTTCCATGACCACCTTGTCAGCGCCCGGAACACGGACGAACATAGCGTAAACGGGAATCATGACAAAAGGGATATCGCGACCAAACCGCGAGAAACCGGCTGTCCCGCAAGCAATGATATGCGGGCTGCCGGTGATGCCTTTGCTTCGGAGATCAGCGAGCGAGTCGAGGATGGCGGCTGCGCCTTTCTTGCAGACATCTGGATCGTCGACGCCGAGACCAGAGGGCTTCGCGCCGATGGTGGTTACAATAGCGTCGACGATGGAGCCGGCTTCGGTTTGAAGGCACCTGGACACGGCAGTGACATCGTGCGCATTCCCTTCAATAACTTTGAGGTTCGGTGTTGACTCTATTGGGAGGATAGCTGTGAGTTTGGAGGGATTCCGGCAAAGAGCTATGCACGGATGTCCAGCGGCAAGGGTGTGCTTCAAGGCGGAGAGCCCGACGCCGGTGCTGGCGCCTAGGAAAGCGACGACTTTGGTGTTGGAAGTCATTGTTTTGGGTGGCTGGTGGATGTTCAGGTAAGGGGGTGCTATGTTGATACAGTAGCGTGAATCCTTTTAAGAACTTTGATTTGAAAGATACGGAAGTAGTATATTGCAGATGTAAGCTGAGAAGTCTTTGAGACCGGATCGCGGTGCTCTTTAATACATAATTTGGCTGATGTGAAGTCAAGAAGTTCAAGCGACACAATGCCGAAGGGCGCGAACTTTCACGACAGCGAGCATCTTTGGTTGACAATGCAGTCAGCATCTCTCGCCCGTTTCTCGCTCGACACACGGGGGCCAAATCTGCTGAAAGGCGAAGAGGCGGAAATGGGCGTCTCTCGTTGGTTGTCGCACCCGCTATGCCCGATCCAGACCGTCAACCTTCACACTCCGAGTCATCGTTCAACCAGCATCAGGCGACAGGATAACGCGACCGGGGTTAGTCGCCATCTGAAGAAGCTTAACGGAGTCTCTCGTTAGGATGTCCGAAGAAATGCCCAATACTGGGGCTGAGGGGACTTCAGCCACTTTCGCGTCGGCCTCGGATGCCGAGAAAAGCGCGAGATTCGACACCTCAGGCCGAAATGCAGCTGCACCAAAGCCGCGCAGCTGTGTGGTATGCCGAAGTCGCAAAGTCCGCTGCGACAAGCGGGCGCCCTGCTCAAACTGTCGTCGCGCAAATATTGCGTGTGTCTTTCCTTCTTCTGATCGTCCACCGAGGTGGGCCCGTCGCCTCGATCATTTCAACGGAGCGTTATCGAACCCACAGGCGTCGCATGAAGCCGGGGCGATCGCTGATGAAGTGATGGAAAGACTTCGAACCTTGGAGAGCCTGGTAAAAGATCTCACTGGTCAATTGGAGCAGGCAAAGTCAGCCACGGGAGGGTCGTCAGGTGTTGGCTCGCCTGAAAGCTCCACGCATGCTCGAGAGTCTGCGCAGCCACCGCATATATCCCCTGCTGGGGCACAAGATGTGCAGAAAACGTTTGGAAGACTGGTACTCCGCAATGCCACCCAAAGCCGCTATATAAGCAGTGGATTCTGGTCACGGGTCAATGACGAGGTAAGCCTGATTCGTGCTGTGATGATTTATGAAACGCGAGCTGATTGTCTGTTTAGATCAATGGCCTGAAGATGGACATTCACAGTCTACCCTTGGGAGTCTCTGATACATCGGATGACGAGGAGTCGCCGGGAAAGGCCCCGTCTACGCAGGAGCTTGAACAGACGCCTTCGGACCGTCACGCATTCTTGTTTGGTCACAACTTGAACACATTTTCTCCCAATATCACAAACCTTCATCCGTTACCATCACAGATCCCCTTCTTGCTGGATGTGTTCGCTGAAAATGTGAATATCATCCTCCAAATTGTTCACCTTCCCACCATAAAGGCAATAGTTCGTGATCGGCGCAACCGTGAACCGAAGGAACTCACTCCAGCCAACGAAGCATTAATGTTCTCGATTTACTATGCCGCCGTAACATCTATGGAGGAAGACGATGTACGTTGGGGAACTGGAGCAAATGATGGACACATGAAACTTACCTTTGGGTGCATTTAGGTTATGATGAACTTCGGAGCCCCCAAGACTGAACTCAATCTCAAATACCGCCAAGGTTTTGAGCATGCTCTTGCTAAGGCCGATTTTCTCAACGTACCCGACCTAGTATTGGTCCAAGCATTCGCCATCTTTATTGCTCTTGTTCGCCGACACGACAGTCCAAGGTTTGTATGGATGATGACGGGTCTAGCTATCCGGATGGGACAAGCTCTGGGACTACACAGAGATGGATCGAACTTTGCACATCTGGAACCATATGAAGTTGAGATGAGGCGGCGAACATGGTGGGTGCTATGCCTATTGGACGTGAGAGCATCCGAAAATCAAGGGTCCGACTACACCATCACAAATGCTAGTTTTGACACCAAACTACCAATGAACATCAATGATGCTGACATTGCTCCGGGATCGAAAAAAGTGCCGCAAGAGCACTATGGTTTGACCGACATGTCAGTTGCGCGTGTCACCTTTGGGATATGCCAGGTCACAATGCAGATGATGTCCCACGGCTTCAAGGACAAGGCACCGAGCCTGGATGAACAGAGCCGCCTATTGCATCAAATTTACCAGACCCTTGAAGAAAACTTTCTACAATATTCAACTGACTCTGTAAACATCACATATTGGGTGATAGTTATCGTGGCGCGCCTTACCATGGCCAAGATGACCTTGCTTATCTATTTGCCTCTGCTTTTTTCTGCTGTCGAGGATGAACTTGCCGGAGAGCTCCGGACAAAATTCTTGATATCGGCAATTGAAGTTGCAGAATACAATCATGCTCTGAACAACGAAGAATTGTGTCGCCACTGGCGATGGGCGTTTCAGACCTACACACATTGGTACTCCATTGTCTACATGATGATTGAGATCTCGCGGCGCCCATGGTCGCCCATTTCCGAGAGAGCTTGGGTGGCTCTTCACAGCGTTTGGCTTATCCCCAATCAGTCCCAAATGAACAAAAGCCTCAGAATCTGGGTTCCGCTGCGAAAGCTCATGAGCAAAGCAAGACAACACCGAGACATGGAGTTCGAACGCTTGAAAACTGACTATCTCGCTGCCGAGCAGCTAAAGAGGGAGTACCGAGATCTACCATTGCCCTCGAGTACCGGGCCGTTCCCACCCGGGTCCAACTCGGCAGATCTGTTCCTTGAGCGATGGCGCCAGCTTGCTTCAAACACAGTCAACGGGATTGATAAAAATCCACGGCTTAGCTCTTATAGCCTGCCCCAAACAAGTTCGGAGTCCATAGCCGCTGCTCAACGCGCTGATTCCAGTTCCGGACTAACCCTTGAGCCAGATTGTCTTGGTAGTGGCACTTACTATGCCGAGAAAGCTGTGCCAGGTACCACCTCTCATGGACTCACTCCGGACATGTTGCAAGATACAAACATGGGGACTGAAGCTGAGCAGCATACTGTCTGGGCGCACAGCTCATTTACACTGCCCGAACAAGTGGCAGCGGGTGCGGAACAGAACATTAATCCTTGGCTTTGGTCCGATGGACATGCAACTTCCGAGTCTGGAAACTTCCATGCAGACACGGTTGATATGAATATTGATATTGATGGAGAAGTAAACTGGTATAACTGGGTCGAATCCGCACAGGAGATGGGTTTGGACGGAGAACCTGGTCGTCGCTAATAAACTACAATTCTCTTGCCTCTTTTCTTTCAACCTAAAATGTATGTGCATTGTCTGCCTTGTCGATCATACTGGCTGCAAACAACTCCATGCATCAAGCATGCATCATGGTCAACCAGGGAACTGAAAGCCTTATCTATTTCGGGCCGACCCACGTGGGGGCCCGCCCTAGGAAAATAGGGGTTTGTCAAGGTCGCACAGCCATCCTGTGCCGCAGTTCAGATTGACTGCAAAAAAAAAAGGAACAACCTAAACAGACTCGATTGTGTTACGATCAAGGCTAGATCCGCTAAATGTTCTCGCGTCAGACGCCACTAATCACGGATTGGTCATGCACTCCTGAACATGCAAGCCACCACCTGAAAATGGCAATGATTAGTCTCTCGATCCGGAATGGTGTGCTCAGTTCTCGTATCAGCCCAAAATGGCCCCCATGCGACAAATTATAGCTCTGCGCTAGACATCCTCGTCGCCCAGGTGTCAAATGCATCAGCCTCAGATGTGTCAGCAGGATAAGGAGGCTTACTTTTTCTGCACCTATTTTGAGCAGCCCCCCGGAATATTTTGAATCTTCGTCTTGAATTTTGCGAAACTTACGAGATCTCGCGGGACTCGTCCCTGTGTATTATCATGGAGATGAGGCGGGGCACAACCCAGCTTATTTCCCTCACGGGAGTAGCTGTTTTAGTCTGTGTTTGGTATCTGCATAAGCGTCAATTGTCGCGTGAAAGTACGCGCAGGGACCTTCAGCCAAAGATATCAGCACAAAAGAAATCGGTATGGGGAATGTTAATTCCAAAATTGACGCGCAATCTAACATCCGCACAGAAAGTTGGAAACCGACCCGCATTGGACATTCTTTATCCAAACTCGGATAGCCCCAACGCGGAAGATGCAGAAATAGAGTAAGTTTCTTAAGAAAATCAACCATATCTTAATTTGCTGATATGACTTGAAGCATCGTCGCAGTCCATGGCCTTGGCTCCAATGTGGATTGGTCGTGGACCTGGAAAGATGACACCCAGATAGTGGACGGCAAGCCACGCCTCGTGAACTGGTTGAGTGACAATAACATGTTACCAAAAAAAGTGCCTAGGGCACGAGTTCTGGCCTACAACTACGAGTCGAGATGGCATCTTGATGCTGCCACGACTCGGCTCCAGGTTTGCGGTAAACACCTGGCTGAAGCGATTCATGAGTTCCGAGAAGATTCTAGTGATAGACCGCTCATATTTATCGGACACAGTCTGGGTGGAAACGTCATTCAACACGTAAGTGGAACTCTTTGTGCCTGTCATACATCTCCTGATCAAATTTACAGGCTCTTTTGTACGCAGAAACCGAGCAAAGTTTGAAATACTTAGTCGAGCTTACCGTCGGACTTATATTTTTGGGATGTCCTTTCAAAGGCTCAAAGATTCAGCAGCTGGCAACTGTAGTCATCCAGTCTTTGAAGCTAGCTGGAGCCGACGAGGGAATTAATGGATACCTCGGATACGGTAGCACTGTTCTGCTAGACAAGGTCGATAGCTTCCAGCGACTCATGGAAAGAAATTCGATCCCTTTCTGCGCATTTATTGAGCAAAGAAAAACAGACTATGGGAACAAAATTTACATCCCAGGACTTATCAAAGATCTGGTATTTTTTCAATGCAATTTTGCTGCCCGCCCAACAAAGCTAACTATATGAAAGGTTGTTAATGAAGAGTCTGCTGGTGCGTTGGGCCCACACAAAGTTCACTTGAACACGGATCATTTCAAAATCAACAAGTACTCTGGCCCGCAAGATCGTTCATTCTTGAGTGTCTCGGCGAAGATAACCGAAATGTACAAAGGCTGGCGACCATTAATTGCAAGCAGAATGTCCGGACCCGAATCTGGCGTACAGAGAAAGCTTAAATTCAACAAAGAGCGACACGAACGCATTGTGAATTTCCTGGCAAAGTTCGACTTTTCGGCGCGATATAGCGATGTCTTTCTCAACAGGCACAAGAATACCGGGCAATGGATCTTGGAGACCGAGAGCTTCCAGCAGTGGCTATTAACTGCCGGGAAAACACTTTGGTGTCCCGGAATACCTGGAGCAGGAAAGACCACCCTCTTTGCAATTGCCGTCAATTATCTTCAAGAAAGGTTCTACAAAAAGGAAGACGCGATTCTTTTTGCATTTTGCGACTACAAAGACCGCTTGAATCAAACTGCACACAATATTTTGCTCTCGCTGTGGAGGCAACTTATGCAAAATCGCATCCTCACCGAGGCTGAATGTGAACGACTCGAGACTACGTATCTTAAGAGAGCCGTGATTCCAACAACAGACACCGTATTGAACATGTTATCGGATGAAATGAGCAAGTACTCCCGGGTATTCATCATGTTGGATGCCCTTGATGAACTCACGACCGAATCTCGCGATGAACTCCTGTATCTTATTTCAAACCTGCCCAAAAACAAAAAATTGTTGGTCACATCCCGTGTTCCAAAAGAGAAGACTTCACCTTTCAGCGATGTTCCTCAATTGGAGATTCGAGCCAAGGAAACGGATCTCACAGAGTACATCGATGGCCGGCTACAATCTAGCAGACTTGCCTCGAAGCTGATGCACAACAACAAGCTCAAACGTGACATCAAGGATACGGTCATAAAGAAAGCAAACGGAATGTGAGTAGCATTCAGCTTCAACACAGAAGTTTGACTCTGACAAGGTGCATTAGGTTCCTCCTTGTTAAGCTTCATCTCAACGCCCTTGCAGACCAGCACACTACAAAGGGTATCCATGCTAGCTTGAGACGCTTACCAGAGGGTGAAAACGCCATTTCAAGAACATACGAAGACGCGATTTCTCGTATCTCTGATCAGCCACAGAAAGATCGGGAACTTGGCGAGATGATCATTCTGTGGATCACCCATGCCCAACGACCCTTGAGCCTGAAGGATTTACAGTATGCCTTGACTCTACAGGAAGGCGATGATGAAATCGACCCTCAGGATTTGATTCCAGGAGAGTTATTAACTTCAACTTGCGCTGGCCTCGTTACCATCGAGGATGTGTCAGGCAGAATCCAATTTACCCACTCCACTGCCCAGGAATACCTCGACTCAATCAAATCCGCCAAGTTTCCTAGTGCCGATGCTTACATTGCCAAGCGTTGCATTCAATATCTCTCGTTGTCCATGTTTTGCACAGATACCAAGGAGATTCACACGACAGGCTTCTTTAAGACTATTGCCAAATTCCCATTCCTGGAATACGCAGCACTTCATTGGGGGCTACATGCGAAAAAGGCCGACGATAACGAAACAAAAAATACGATCACAAAAGCAGTTCAGTCATTTTTCAACCTCAAGCTGCAGTCTATCTTCGCGGTGCGCACTTTGCTGTGCGGGATTGCCGGTGTCGACGGGGCTGAAATGGGAGACAAGTTGGCGAGGACTGAGCGATCTATCAAGCTGGTCAACATTGCGGCATACTTTGGACTGGATTTTCTGATTGCAAACCTCGTAGTCAAAAGATCCGAAGTTATTGTTGAATCATTTGATGATTTCGTCGGCAATGTCTTGCACTGGGCAGCCTTCGGCCAGCATGACACCACGCTGGCGTTACTTCTGAATCAGCCGTCTATATCCCAAATGCTGAATCAGAAGGGATATTCGCAGTTTACTCCCCTGCACATGGCTTTGGTTCACAGGCGCGACCATTCGGCCGAGATCCTGTTGGACCATGGAGCCGATGTTACAGCGAGGGCGCATTTTGACCATACGCCTTTGCTCATTGCAGCATTAAACGGCAATGGAGCGATGATTCCGAAAATTCTCTCAAAGGACAAAGGAATTGACACCCTGTTGGTCCAGGCACACGGAGGAACTACACCCTTCCGTGCTGCTGCAGGGTTGGGACACAAGGATGCGATGGTTGAACTCTTGCGTGCCCTAGACAGTTACGAGCTAAGTGAAGACCTTGACGAGCTCAGGGACGACTTTGGAAGAAATCCACTTCACATGGCCGCGGAACATGGTTATCTCAACATCTGTGAGGTTCTTCTCAAGTCAAAGTACGGACCTCAACTTGCTATCAGCGTGGACTGGTGGGGTGCCCCTCCAGTAGCCTTGTCAATTCTTCATGGTCATGTCCAGGTCACGGAAACGTTCCTCACCTGGAATGACGGCGCCCTAATGAAAGGCGAAGAAGGATTTGTTTCAGACGCTTTGCTGATGGCTGCGAGATGGGGACAACCCTTCGTTGTTGACATGCTCTTGAAACGTCATCCAGAAAGCTATTTGATGGATTTCCAGAGCCAGACAGTCCTCCATCATGCTGCTTTTAGCGGTTCTTTGGATACCGTGAAAATTGTTCTGAGGCATTCCGGGGGACGCGACATGTTGGAGGTGAGGGACAAAACTGGAAACACAGCTCTACTTGGAGCGTGTCGTAGAGGCCTTGCTGAGATTGTGGAATACCTGATTATGCATGGGGCCATGATGGACACCAAGAATGATAATGAAGAAACAGCTCTTCATCATGCCTGCGAAACAAATGTTCAGCAAGTTATCACAATTCTTCTACAGTCTGGCATCGATTCCGAGGCTAAGAGATCTGATGGACAAACGGCACTCGATGTTGCGATTGTAAACGATGCGTTAGAAGCGATTCAAGTGCTCCTGAACGCAGGAATCCACGTCCCAGAAGGCATCACTATCCCTGAGATCCCGCCTTGGAGAAACATTGCAATGGTAAAAGAATACCATCCTGAGACACCAAAAGACCAATTCGAAGCATATTTCTATCTCAAAATGGCCGCATCTGGGAAGCTGTCGTCTTCTTTACTCTCGCACATTTTTGATCTCGCTGAATACTGGCTAGTGAGTGAGACTGAGCGAGTCGAATCAAAGTGTGCTGCAAGACAACATGGCGATACAATGGTCTACCTACGCAGTGCCCCAATATTCGGAAATCTACACCACCCTGTCCGACGAATCGACTACGAAGTTATTAGCCACGACCAAGGTTATAGCGGGGATAGCCACCTGCATGGACAATACGATGGCTCATATACATGGTTCGATGCAAGCCGCGAATGCAGTCCGGGCCCATTCGAACAAGCAGCCCGCCGGATTCCTGGACCAGAAATCTTGCGAAATGTTCATGCAAGTTACGCCTGGCACAAACATCGTGTTATTTGGTGCTCGACTACTGGCGAAAGCTATCTCCACGTGCGCACAGATAAAGAAACAAAAGAAGAGATTGAAGAGCCTGTTGCAACGGTTCGCTACGATCACCGGCAGCCAAAACCAGTGCCTCTCAAGTGGATATCTGAGATCAACCCTGGAGATCGGCTGGTCATGAACGCCATAGCTATGTTTCCAGGGTGGGAGAATCATATTCAGAGAGCCAAGGCCATTATACATACAAGCTGCCTTAAGGCTAGTGCGCAAACATGAGATTGGCCCAATGTACATTAATATGACAGACAAATGAGAACCCAGGAAACCATCTGCCTCTCCGCCATCAGCCTTCTTCCCTATCTTTCCTAGGTTAGCGCACTCACTACTGAGATCTGATTTGCAACAGATGACCAGTCAGACCTTGAATTGAATACAGACTGCGCACCTTCAGGCCATTACGATCGAGGGATATTTTGTTTGAATAGAGAGTTGTAGTCAGGGGCCCGAGGAGTATGGCGATGCGTTGGTGAAATCCGACTCACTGAAGACTGTTCTCTACTGACACCTGGAATGCAGCATGCAGTGAAATCCATGTGACAATAAATTAAGAAACAGGTTCGTTCCGACTTGCATAAAGCAAGGGCTTCCTGCGTATACATCAGGGGTCACAATCCTGTTCTCGGTGCTATGAAGTATTGGACAAGTCCTTTTCCATCATCCAAATGAGTGTACAATTTTATGCATTACTTGTGACCGAACTTAGGCTCTCTTTTTCGCCTCTTTTCCACCGATTTTCAAGTACATCGGGGAAGTCCTTCTCATATATATACGGAATTGTGAAAATGCTTGCCATTAGCAGTACAAAAATTCAAACACCTTTCTTGCTGAAAGCCATTAAACGCCACTTGTAATTGCTTTCTCAAAAAAACCCACTTCGGAGGGAGCATTCAGGAAGAGATTTCTGCGGCGTCCGCGGCGTGAGATCTATTACAAGAGACGTAGTCTAGAGCCAAAGCTTGACTTACAACTTGTCTCTTTTTTTGTTGCAGACTCAATCCAATTGCGGGACCTGGCTAGGCTGGCAAGCATGGCTCCTGACAATGTAGAGACAATCACGGGGATGGGAATATGGAACTTGGCGGCGGTCCTCGTTGAGATTCATTCTCTATCACTCTCTTCTGGAGCTTTGAACTGTTCGTGTAAAGGCCTAGTCAGCCAACAACACCCTCACTGGGCATTCGGCTTGAACCATGCAATCAATCGGTATAGTGGGATCGCATAGCATATGAGCTTGGACCGGTCAGCCCGCGCGGTGCTCAGGTTGTTCTTCCTCCTCTTTTCTTTTTCTTCAGGCGATAGTGTGTTGATTTTGATTAGTAGCAACCCTTCTCCTTGAGGAACAATGCCTCCTTGCGTGTTGGAGGAGGCGGGGGAACTCGCGGCCACCGGGAACAGAAGAGGTCTAATATGTTATAGAAGCACTGGTTAGCGTTACACCTGTGATTGGAGAATTGAAGAGATGCGATGCCATGATGTTCAATCCAAGGCAGAGTGTTGGAAATCCGATCCACACGGGTCGGAACCCGAGACGACATGAGCCAAGGCGTTCTCGACAAATGCGATCAGAAACTTCAAGATCAGGTCCTTAGAAGCTAACAATAGGTTCTACCCCTTCGTGATATTATCAACGCGCCGTTTGACCCCATCCACGCGTCCAAACGGCCCTGGCCAGCAAAGACCTCTCTCTCGTACCATTCCCGTCCGTGTGCGTTGCAAAGAGAGGTGTAGGAGGTATCAGTGTCTTGAGCCGTGAGATCATTTTCTCAGCAACGGAGAGTAACGATGCCCTTCAGATGATCGAGGTTGTCCCCCACTGACATGTAGCTCTTTTGAGTGTCTGCAGTTTTCTCGGGAAATTCGCCTGGCCATCTCTCCTTTCCTCGCTCACATACACTGTGTTTTCCTTGTGCTATTCGACTCGCCACGAAACCACCACCATAGCCGGAGCTTATCACGACCACGTCATAAGAGTCTCGCATCAACTCGACAGGTGATGAGATACAGCCGAATTGACCATTGTTCAATCCGGTGCTTTTTGGCTCTACAATTCTCTCTATATGATCGCCGTTTGAATAATGACTTTGCTACTATTTGAGAAGCTGGGTTGGTAATACCGTTCTCATTCTTACCGTTTGGAGGTGTAAGATCGTCCACTGAATTGCGCTGTGATGACCGCGGTCACTTTGACAGAGATGCAATCAAATCTTTGGGAACGAGAGTGACTCAGTGACAGTTATCTTTGGACTTTAAGTAATGGGTCCCGACAGTTTCAAGATGCTCGTGTTCAGGCACATTGGCCTTGGAACGATTACGGCGGAAATGACATTCCAGGGCGTCCTATTCGGAGTCTACGCTTATCTTTGGAACTCGGTTTTCGTTGGCTTCGTTGAGGCTTAGTGCAATCCCGAAATCATTTTTTCACGGTCGGGGGCCTCGTCTGAGCGATTTGAACAGCCTCAGCCAATTGCCAAGCAATAATCATGGCTATACGAGGTGATCTGTCCAATGACCCAACAAGGGATCAGACTTTGTCTGGTCCGAAATACTGGCAGCTGAAAATGTCCTCAGCTTGGGTGTACCAGAGGATAAGAGCATGTGAAAATATGCTCCAGACTTGAGGCCCGAAGTCTTGGATCATAGCCATGGCTGAAGTACACCATCCCCACTGTACACTTGGTCGGTTGAGGATGCCACCTCGGACTTTGGTTTTGATCAACCCGTCATTGACGCCCTCGTATTCCTAATCTAAGCAAAGTATCCATGATGCTTGCGGTACTCTCGGCCCTCTAATCTTTTCTTCTGGGCCGCCGGAGTGGCCGCGAACTGATAGGACATGCTATTTTCTGATCCTGATAATATAAATATGGCATAGTTTCCGTGAAGACCGCAGAAAAGAAGACCTGAGTACCCCAGCAAACACTTGCTCAACATGCCGAATAAATCTGCGGAAGTCGTGAGCCCCCAGGTTGGTGAAGATTTGGAGGAGGTACCGAGGTATACGGGGTCACCATGGCGTTTGTTCCTCTCTGATGTCCAGCTTTTCTTTCGCAATATACTGTACCTCCCCTGCATATTCCTACCCGTCGCACCATGGCCGTCTGGCCCTTTGGATGAGTTATATCCTTCGCTGGCTAATGTTTTGGACATTATTCTGCACTTCATTCTGTTTTTTGTGCAGCTGGGATTCCTGATCTCACTACCTTTTTTGATTTATATCCCGTTTTCACTGTTTGTGTCGTATGTCGTTGGTGTTATTTTTCTGAACCTGTTGGTATGTGAGCTCCTCAATCGAGGAATTCCGAAAGATGGTCTCAAGTCAACCGAAGACGACCACTCACGAAGCTGGAGACAACATGATGACGAGTATTGGATTTTCTTGAATGGAATCTGTGTCGGGTTTGTCCCCCTTATCATTACACTTGCACTGTTGAGATCTGTACTAACCATGTTGTGCAGAAAGAACTGGCTGCAAAACAATGTTGACCGTCTTTCCCGCACGTTTCATCGTCCAATCATTGGCGTTCACAATAGAACGTAAGAATATGATGTTATAATGGAAGAAACTTTTCTAACGCCACCTAGATCCGGGGTGGTATTCGACATCATTCAATGCCTCATTCAAAGATCCCTGCTTTTTGCTACATCCGATGTCAGAGAGTGCTATATTTTGGTAAAGAAGGCACTATATAGAAAGGGAGTGAAGAAGGTAATACTCATACTGCACTCCCAAGGTGGAATTGAGGGCGGCATGATTGTGGACTGGCTTCTCAATGAGGTACCCCAAGACCTTTTGCAATATCTCGAGGTCTATACATTCGGAAATATCGCGAACCATTTCAACAACCCCTATCGTGATGCCATATCCCACGCGTCCGCCTCTGGTTCTCTGCAAAATGGAGAGTCTTCCAGCAGACCTCACAATCGTGCTATATCGCATGTGGAACACTATGCGAACAGTTACGATTTCGCCTGTAGATTTGGTGTACTCCACTTCACTAAGCAAGTCCCCAAGGATCATCTCGAGAACCGATTTATGGGCAAAGTGTTTGTTAATCCAAGAGCTGGACACCAGTTGAATCAACACTACTTGGATAGCATGTTCCCCCTGGACCCAACAAACCGATTTACAAGAGATCCCAAAGAGGACGACTTCATGAATTTGAATGTCACCATACATTCGCCACAAGAAAAGCAGAAGAAGTCACATGGTGTACGTCCGGAAATTGCCGTTGAAAGGCATGATCCTACGGGGGCCTGTGATCTTTCTCGGGAGGCTCCAAACGGAGCGAGGCCGACATCGAAAGTGAAGATCCGAGATCTCAGCAGATTGTGGCTGTATTGCAACGGCGGTCGTCCGGCCTAATATTGGATATTGAATCAGCTTTCTGCGAATCGAGGCCTTCTTCAGCATAGTTGTTACATGAGACAGGCCAGTCTTTGTTATCAACGTGGATGTTGCACGTAATACCTTCGCTGGAGCCTAAAAAAAACTCCTTACACTTTGAACTTACTCCTGAGTGGAGCATGGTAACTAGGTACAACGGTGGCCAAAAATCCTTTCCCACCTCCCACACTTAGGTGATATGCATGGCTCCCCGAGGCACTTAAAATTGGTCAAAAAAGAGGTGTAAAAAGAGGCGAAAGAAGAGAGGCTCACTATGGAATGGCCCCCTCGCTTCGAGAAATTTGTACAGAACCTTTCCAATATTTAAATATGAACAGACTTATGGTCCCTGTTGTGGATATCCAAGTTCTAAAGAGAACGGCCCGAGCTGCCAGGGTGTCGGCGAGTCTTTGGCCGTGACCCACCTAACTGTCGTGTCCTTGTCTGCCTGGGAGCGACCTCCGTTGTCAAATTGTCGTTAAATGCTGTCTATTAAATACCAAGTATTTATGGGTCATAAGTCCTTTGATATCCCTAGCTTTATCCTGACATAGATAATTCTTCTGGAGTTCTCGAAAGTAGGTACAACGCAGAGGCGGAAAATAATGTATATGTTGAAATGGGGATGGCACGATGGCAGTCTGACATAGCAGACGGGTCGATACTAACGAAGAGATCACACAACCGCTCCCATGGCCTGATGTAGACGTAGAGGGCAGACCCTGAAGGTGCAAATCGTACTGAGCCTGATGCTATATCATGAATCAAGAAGTTTTGTGAATAACTGTAGTCATATTGAGGTTGTTCGATCATGCCAAGCTCCCCCTGTAGGAGAAGACTGCATGTCTGCTAAGGCATTCGTGATACCTCGGGCCGCTAACATGCTACTGTCATGGGATTCACCACTACAATATATACATAAATCGGGACTTCTTATTTGGCCGCGACTCAACCACCGACGCAGCAAAAGATCGACCTTCCGCCCATGCTACAGCATCTTGCCTTGTAGTCATGACGCTAGTTCTTCATGTTGAGTATCATGTAACCGAAACAAGAAAGAAGCCTCACGCGATAAGAGTGCGCATAATCTGAATCTGATTGTAGCTGCCTTTCTGGCACTCAGTTCGAGGCTAAGGATAGGAGATGATCACATTTGGGCACTGTTGATTTTCTGTCGCTTGCAGCGCTTTTGAGAGTAATGCCACGGACTGCTGATTTGGATTCTGAATTATTTCTCTGAATTGTATCCTATTCCTGGAACTTGGATCCCTCATGCTAGTCGGCATAGGTGTATTTACTGTAAAATATGCCCCTCCCCCTCCGCTCCTGTCCTAAAGTGTTTGGGGGTTTTCGCTCACAGAACAACTGGGAAGATTCAGGTATCTCTTAATTAGCTATGCTTGAAACGCAACTCTGTGACGATATTCCTGGGGCTAGTATCGTCTGAATTTGAGCCGAATACGTCTGCTGGGGGTTTTGATGTTCTTATAATAATTAACTCTTGCTACAATCTTTGCCAATCTATATAGCTTATTTCATCTCCCGGTAACTAGCTCTGTCACTTGGATAATTTTAGCTGGCCTTATTGTTTCTGTGGTCTGAAAAGGTGGTTGCAATGCAACCTGGAGAGGGTTGAATGGAAAAACACTGGGCGAGGCATATGCAAGTTCAATTCAGATGAGGTATAGCCAGTGACAGGGTATCTATTAGCACTGAATCATCCTTCTGGGCAGTGATTTGCAACTTTTAAACGAAAAGTAACGGTATGTAGCTAGAGTAGTTGTACAGCCCCCCACTTACATGCAGAACTTCCTATTATGTTGAGTGATGACCACTCAGCAAATGCATGCACCCTGCAACGGCAACGTCATTCACTTTAAATACTTTTAGATCCAATCATTTTCTATGTAAATATAGCTCTGCAACATGACCCCTCTTTTCGGCGAGATTTATAATAGTCCGATCAACTACGCGGCCCCCTCCCGTACCTTAAATTTTCGAACCGCTCTTTGAAATCCTCAACCCAATTTACTGCCTTCAATGTTTCTATTTAGCCTGTTACTTGGGGCTGTGGGATTTTGTGTCATAGCCATATTGCGTGGTCGTCAAAAGCCAACTCTGCCCCTTCCTCCAGGCCCTCGACGAAAGTTCATCACCGGAAACCTAAGCGATCTCCCGAGTCCAGGCCAACAGGATTGGTTTCATTGGGCAAAGCACAAGGAGCTCTATGGTAAGAGCCTATCAAGTTTGATAGAACAGACAAGTCTCTAACACTTACTCGTCTCATACCAGGGCCTATAAGTTCACTCACTGTTCTCGGAAGACATATCATCATTCTCAACGATGCTAAACTGGCTACGCAGCTGCTAGAAAAGCGTTCTTCCATTCACTCATCACGCCCCGATCAGACGTTTCCCGAACTGTAAGCAAGTTAGGAACTAGATCTGGACCGGCAGTTGACTTTTCCAGGTCTGGCTGGGACAAGGTTCTTGGGGCTGCGAAGAACCCAGACTACGTCCGGAAGACTCGCAAATACCTAAGTCGGGAGATAGGATCGAACAAGAATGTCTCACGTTTTGAGGATATCCAAACAACAGAAGTTGGTCGATTCCTGCTCAGGGTGTTTGATGAGCCAGAGAAGCTTCAGCAGCACATTCGCAAGTAAGAGCATTGTCTGGAATGTACCACTTTTCTCATAGAGGATGCTCATATACTACAGAGAAGCTGGTGCAGTTGTCTTGAAAATGGCCTACGGTTATACAATTGAGCCTCATGACAGCGATCCGCTGGTAGATTTGGCCGATAAAGGAATGGAGGATTTTTCTTTCGCCTTGCTCCCAGCCACGTGGGCCGTCGAATTTTTACCAATACGTAAATATTTATCTTCAAGCAAACCCTCGCAGAACCTGAGATTGGTGACCTGACTTTGATCCCAGTGAGACATTTGCCTGCCTGGTTCCCTGGGGCAAATTTTGCGAAGACCGCCAAAGCCTACAAAGTGAGAGCTGCAGCATTCAGTGATATTCCATACGCGTTTGTCCGGGATCAAATGGAGAAGGGTACTTTCGTCCCATCTTTTCTATCCAATCTGTTGCAAGAACACCCAGTGAAGCCTGGTACCGAGGACGAGACCATTATCAAATGGTCAGCGGGCTCTCTCTACGCTGGTGGAGCAGATACAGTAAGTAAGCGCCACCGTTTCTGCTGAAAAGCTTCAAGAATATTGACCATATAAAAGACTGTCTCTGCCATCGCAAGTTTCTTTCTCGCAATGGCACTTTTCCCTGAAGTACAACGTAGGGCCCAGCAGGAACTTGACACCGTTGTTGGCACTGATCGGCTACCACAATTCCGAGATCGAGAGGATCTTATCTATATCAACGCACTGATTAAAGAGGTACTCCGGTGGAACCCAGTTGTTCCTGTGAACTTGGCACATGCCCCGACTCAAGATGATACGTGCGAAGGATATCTTATTCCCAAGGGATCATCGGTCATTGCGAATATTTGGTAAATTATTCTCAAGATTACATGCAGTCCATGACTTACTGACCACTGTTCAATACAAAGGGCATTTACACATGATGTTCTTGTTTACAATGATCCCATGGAATTCAAACCAGAACGCTTCCTAGACTCTCCTGACGGCTCTCCACCAGAGCGAGACCCACATATGCTTGTGTTTGGATATGGTCGTCGAGCCTGTCCCGGTCGCACTTTAGCCGACGCAAACGTATTTCTCACAGTCGCGCAGTCCCTGGCTGTCTTTAATATCGCAAAGCCGATTCGAAATGGTCAAGTCGAGGAGCTCTCGGTTGATTATCTCCCAGGTGTGATCAGTCATCCTACTCCATTCACGCTATCTATCAAGCCTCGGAGTATGGCGCACCAAGAACTCATTCAATCACTAGGGGAGCTCTATCCTTGGGGTGAGAGCGACGCGCAGAGTCTGGCCAGTCATAAGACTTGATTTGCATGTTTTAACAGATCTTGTTGTGTGAACATGATGTGCTGAAAAGGTCTTGTTCATGAAAGCCATTGCGGATTATTAGTGCCAGAAATTACAAATTAGCTGCAGCAACATAAAGTGAGATTGCATCTGGAAATGGATTTCAATAGGACTAGAGCTTACGGGGATAAGAGGAAAGTGAAAGTGAAAAAAAACTTCAAAGAAATTTTGAGTATAGGTAACCACACGAACAATATAAGCAGAGATGTATCTAAAAATCATTCTGAAGCTGGACTCACGCAGCTACTTGAGCCGTTTGCAGTGAAGTATTCAATCGGAAACTGTTGTCCACGGGCGAGTCTGCGGGAGAAGGGATAGCACTGGCAGTCTTGTCAAAGGGTCCACCAAGAGCCATAAGTACCTGCTCCTTAGTTGCATCACCAAGTCCGGCAGCCTTTAAGGTCCTTCCGTGTTCAAAGTAGTCAAACCCACTAACAACGGAAGCCATTTCGATGAGGGCCCTGATGGTAGGTGAAGTCAGACCACACTTGAGACCAAGCTCATACCAGGGAACCATTCCATAGAGGATATCCTCTAATAGGTAACGGTGCTTCAGGGTGCTTGGGGAGCTTTTGGTCTTGTTGTGGATTACAGAGCCAACAGCGAAATCATGGTAGTCACTGTACTCCCGGTCGTTGCTATAGTTTTGGTTCATGTATGTCGTGATGGGAACAAGGTCAAGGTCGTAAGCGTGTGCGATCGCCAGACGCTCCTTGTCAATCTTTTCAGTCACACGAGAGACAGATGGTGACATTCCCTGGGCATAGAAGTAGAAATCACCCTTGGTAGCCTCGATCCAGCCCGCGTTCATGAGTGCTGCTGGGCAGTGCACGACTGGATTGATGTTGTTCAATCCCACTTCGAGCAAGTTCTGGCACCACACCAGCTTCTGTGAAAAGATGGACTCGACCTGGCGTCGCAGACGAAGTTCTGCATCAGCGTTGAGGCGCTCGACTTGTGTGGTTGGTGGCTCCGCCCAGATGGCCAGGCTCTTCTTGACTCCCTTGACGAAGACTGTGTCGCCTGTGATACGGGTGGCGTAGGGGGAGATATCGGTTTCGAGGATGGCATGGGCGTTGACTTTTTGGCGAGCAGAGAGGTAGAAGAAGTTGCCGACGTTGATGATAAGGGTGTGGTTGTGCAAGTCAAATTGGCTCAGGAGGTGCAAGATAGTATCTTGTCCATACGATGGCACTGTAGTCACGATGAACTGAGAGTGACGGATAGCAAGGTACATATCACTAGTAGTCTTGATCTGGAATCTTCCAGTGACACCTCCGCTTGAGTTCAGCCACCCATCATTGTTTTCGATCATTGTAGTTCCGCCACGGTGATCAGGATGACCATACAACATGACTGACTTTCCACGGCTCGCCAAGTCCGCGGCAAAAGCACAACCACAAGGGCCCGCCCCAATGACAGTGACAGCTGAGACAGTATCCAGGGTTTGAGCAGCCATATTGTGTTAGTCTGAAGCTTGTTGCGTATTTTTGGTCTCTGGATGGAAGCTGAAGAGAATATGTTGTTTTGTAAATGGTATTCGGAACTTTTTGTCTGCCTGAATAGATTGGAGGAGAGATGTCGGTTTAAGTATTTCTCGCCGTGGAGCAATGGATCTATACGAACATTCAGCTCCGTATAATATTGTTGGGAACCGAAGGCAACAATTAGTCCCGCAATCTCTTGCCAACTCTCGCTATACCTCGAACATAGCAAAGATCGTCACAATGAAGCTTTATAGAGGCTTGCGTCATGCCAATCCTCTTGGCGAGAACCCTGAGTGTTCTTCACGTGTCGGCTGTCGCAGGTCTATGGCAGCAGATGAGTCCACGATCTTCATGGCGTGATCTGATACGCTGTTACAATTGTGTTTCCGTAGAATGAATGAGTGCGGATCATTCCCAAAACGTCGAAGTTGCGTTGAGACAGTTTCTATTCAGGGGACTTATTGGCTATATACTAAGAATTCATTACACAATTGATTCGCAGATCACCGAGAAAATGAGTCGATCATATGATAAAGCACATAATCAACGATCAGGAGCGCAAATTTTGAGTTTGATGCAAACTTTTACCTTGTTTGCCAATGGGGTCTTCAGGCTTTTTTCCTTCATGGGAAATGTATGCGGTATACGATGGGCGTTGAGGCTGATTGGTGCATGGCAGGGGTCTAGCACTTATTAGCTCATCTGGCTTAGTGCAGGGAAAGTGTGGGCCGAACGGTGAGCTTTTATCAATCGATCTGATAATCATTATATAAAGTCGGTGCTAGAATATTGCACTACATAGTACAAGCAATGAGGCGGGTAGATCAGGGCGGAACAAGCATCAAGTGGGCCACTAATATCAGGCCCTCCCAGCCACGAGTCTTCAGGGTCCCCCGATGACGGCCCTGCAGATCTCCATGCTCTAGCGGCTGACACCAACCGAGTCCAACGAGATCCCGATGTCTCCGTAAGCCCGTCTCCGTGCCGAAAGACGCGCACGCTGTAGTTTAACCGCGGCTAACCAACATTCTGGGAGTAATGATTTTCTCCTGTCTGGATAATTTTTGAGCACGTTGTCGATCACTATGTCGGGACTTTGTGAAAATCACATCATCAACATCTTTCTAACTATTGTAGTGGAACCGTTAGGCCGAATTCTACGTCAGCGTTTTCCTTTCCCCTTCTGATGTTTTCTTTTTTTTTTTCCGACGTATTTTTCACGAAGAACAAATGGAAGATGGAAAAAGGGGCACAGGAACCTAATTGCCATAGAAATTTCCCGGTTCACTCTTTTCCAGTCTGTGTGCCACATCGCAATCCATTCGGTTGACAATGAATTCAGACACGACTCTTTCAGAGATTCCCCGACCATACAGCTGTTTTAGCAAAGGAAAAAAGAGATACATTGTCTCTACAGCGGCTGGAGCTGGCCTATTCTCGTCTCTATCAGCGCAGATTTACTTCCCGGCCCTGAATACGTTAGCTGATGATCTGAATGTGTCTGCCTCCCTGATCAACCTGACTGTCACGAGTTACATGGTATGTAGGCCCTATAAAACATTTTGATATTTGCAAATAAAAGCTAACGACTCGTTTCGCCCGGGTAGATCTTTCAAGGCATTGCTCCCATGTTTATTGGCGACTTTGCAGACAGAACAGGCCGTCGACCCGCGTATATTATTTGCTTCATTATTTACATCGCCTCAAACATTGGTCTCGCTTTACAAGACAGCTATGCTGCTCTCATTGTGCTACGATGCTTGCAGAGCTCCGGTATTAGCAGTAGCGTTGCGCTATCTGCAGCCACCGTTGCCGATATTAGCACCAAAAAAGAGCGAGGATCGATGATGGGTTTCGTCATGGCAGGGAACTTTATGGGACCTGCAATCGGACCCATTATAGGTGGTCTGCTGGCTCAATATCTGGGCTGGCGATCTATATTCTGGTTTCTGACCATCGCTTCTGGTGTCTTTTTGCTCCCTCTTGTGATGTTCCTCCCCGAGACAGCGCGAAATGTCGTCGGCGATGGTTCTGTCCCAGCACAGCCATGGAATCGACCATGCATTCAATATTTCTATCGCCGGGGCTCAAGTAAAGATGCCGCATCTTCTAAGGCCTCCGATGAACGTCCAGATAGCAATGACTCGGACAAGAAAATCGAGCACAAGCTTCAATTCCCTAATCCACTCAAGCCTCTCAAACTTGTGTGCCATGTTAACTCTATCATTATCCTGCTGGTCACCGGGGTTATAATGGGTGGAAACATGACTGTTCTGTCGTCCATCACGGAGATATACACCGCACAATATGGTCTGGATGAGCTTGAGATCGGTCTCTGTTATATCACGCTAGGCACTGGATCCATCGTGGCCTCAGTTGTGACAGGCAGACTACTCGACTGGAATTATCGTCGCATGGGCTCGAAAAGGGCCGTCGAATCTACCCCCGGGCAGACATCGGAGGATCAGGTCCCAGTCGAGAAGGCTCGAAGCATGGTCACCATCCCACTTGTTGTCCTAGGAAGTGTGACCGTGCTGGCCTTCGGATGGGTGCTCAAGTATGGCGAGCCCTTGGCAGCCCCTGAAGTTCTTCTTTTCTTCGTCGGAGTCGGTCAGACAGGTGGATTTATTTCCACTTCTACCCTTTTGGTCGATCTGCACACATCAAACCCCGCCGCTGCGACCGCCGCTAACAATATGGTCCGATCGTTCTTCTCTGCTGGTGCATCTGCTGCAATTGATCCAATGTTAAGTGCAATGGGTCGTGGCTGGGCATTTACCCTTGTTGCCTTCATTCTGCTTGGTACTATTCCATTCCTGTTGTTACTGTGCGGAATGTGGCGCCAAGACAAGGACCCTGAGTCGAGGTCGGAGGAGTAAAAATATCTTAATAGAATAAAAAGATACTACTATAGATGACCGGGTAGATGGAGGCAAACAGAAGACAGACTTGAAAGTCAATGGAAGCTATAGATGACTTTCATTATCAATCTAAGCACAACATGCTCCTTTCGCAGCCTTACATGATTAAGCCACCATCTTTGAACAACCACAAGCTGAGGCAGTTGAAATGGTCAAAAATGTTGTGTAGCAAGAACAGTACAACTCCCTAATGTTTTATCAGCTTTCTTTGAACGTTATGCAGGCTACTAATTCCTTTTGCGGATTCCACTCGACGAGCTTTACCTTTGAGGGAAAAGATGGTGTCTTCGATACTTCCTCAGGGAGCAGTTAAACTTTCTCTGCCGAAACTTTGACTCTGAACCTCATCTACCCTATTATGACTATCTGTCTCTCTTCCATCTCACTCAAGCTTCCTTTTAGTTTATTTTGCTGAGACTTGCAATTTCCTAAAATCAAATATCAGCTGGTCAGCCATCTCGCACAACCTGATCTACGGCACCCATCATTAACACTAAGAAACGCATTTTCTCTACTGACATATTACCAGGCCAGGAGTCCAAGCGAACCAATAAGGATGTAATGCCTTTGCATGATTCTTTGGGGATATCATTGAATGTCATTTGAATATCGTGAAGTTTTCTTCTCTCCCTTTTCTGGTGGGAGAGATAATTACGACATGCATCTACCAATATTGGAAATTGGTCCCTAGCCTGCGCCTGTTCACATATCTTTAGTGTGGCGTTTGGAACATGCCATGATGAGCTGTCAATGAACAGGATCACGATGATCAAAATTCCCATGCCTCATCGTGTCATTGAACAAGGATCATGACAATCCGGTAGTACAAACCGGGGAGGCGTTCAGGTCATCCCAACGAACGTCAAGGTTCGGCGGTTGACCCTAGTTCCCGACTCTTTTACTCTACTCCCTCTGTTCTGTATAGCTGAGAACATCTTGATTGATATATATATGCATTCTCTGTGACTTGACCTATTGACCTATGGATTCAGCTCCCCATTCAGCTTCCTGTGATCGTGATCCACTTCGGCCCGATGATCTACCGCGGAAGAAGATCCGAAAGAGACCCGCAGTTTTTGGGAGTATATAGAGCTCCTTGACATCGGTAAGGTTCATCTGACGAGTCTCCGGATAAACATAGTAAAGTGCAATGCAGCTTTGTTTCTGATGGCGACCCCAGAGTGTCTTGCCTGGCTCTGTCTGTCGTAGCCAAGATCTCTCTGAAACCCAGAAATCTCCCGACGTTGACTGTATCTCACTGAATAATTGAATGGTTCGTGTGGAATCCATCTTTGAGAAACTCTTACTGCGAGTGGACTCTTCTGATGTCTTCGATCCGAAGCTGGAAGACGCAACTATCAGTTCAATTACGACTCCTCGGGCCATGGTTCCCATCCAGGATAATGCCCCAATCTTCTCCTTGTTCAGTAACTACAAGATCTGTATCCCAGTATAGGATAGGACTTATTATTTTTATCTTGCAAGACTTGCGCTGACTTTTCTACTTAGCTCGAATTTCGCCAAACAGATGCTGTCTCACCCCCGTCCACCAAACCTAGTCCGACCAACCGGGAATTGTCAATTATTTGTCGAAAGCTCATATTCCTCGTGCCATCTCCCAATACTCTTCGACTTATTTCTGATACTGATAAGATTGTCTGGTGGGTTACCCGGCCCAAGCTCTTCGAGGAATGCGCGGACCTATTTAAACCCAAATCCCGTGTATACCCTTTCCAAGACTCACCCGGATTTGATAACAAAACCCTGCCTCTATATCGCGCGCCTCCAACTACTGCCTTCGGGCTATAATCTTGCAGGTCTCGGCCTCTCATCAACACCAAAAGTTAATGTCGAAAAAACCTTGTCCCTGGTGGCAGGATTGTTAATTGCTGGCGACACCATTTTGTTCAACATTGATGGAATTGAAGCTTTGTGTCTGTACTGTGAAATATGGATGATGGGAGGAAATATGAGAAGTGCTTGGCTATTGAATCACCGTGTCTTGGAAATCTGTCAGATTCTTGCGTTCCACAGGCCTCCCAAATCCAGTTCACTCCGGCCGACAGAATTAGCACCCAGACAACTCTTACGCTGTTGATAGGGTTATGGCCTGTTTAGAGGATCTGTCAAACAACGACCCTACAGAAAGAATTGCAAGTTGAGGGTTCCATATTTACAAACCCTCAGAGAGGTAGCGAAAGGGAACGGCCATCCGGGATATCCTTCAGTTGACCCAAATGCTTCTGAGGATGAACGACCCAGCCAGGTATGCCATTGCTTATTTTGGAACGATCTACCTCGAACGTCGCATACCACTGACCCCTGCCGCAAAGCCTCAATGCACCTCCGCCTCCAATGACAATGCCTAAGCCGAATGTTGACTCACAGGTTCCATCGTCGGCGTGGATGAGTCTCATTCTAGATGATCCGCTAGCCCAGTCGACGAATCTGGACGCCTGGTCAAGTCACAGTTCTGTTTTAGACCCAACCGCCGAATTCTGGGCTCTAAATTCTGAATTCAACTTGCAACCACATTGCATGGGTTTCTTTAGCGATGACTGGGGCATGAGCTATATCCGAACTAAAGCTCCCCTTGTCCTCACCAATTTTGTGTGTCTTCCACCTTTATATCTCGTGGTCTGAAACATTGAAATACTTCGGCGGTTATCTCTTGGCATTTTCTTGTTGGGATATCTTGAATCTTAGATGATTGGGGAGGCACTAGTTCGTGGGAGTTGAAATGAAACACTAGCGCTATTCAAAATTAATCTCGAGGTGCATTCAATAATCTTTCCTGGGTCTTTTAAGGCACTATGCCCCGTCACTCTTCAAATATTGGCATATTAGTCGCCTTTGAAGGTAAACATGATATTGTACATTTGTTTTTCGTGTACCCCTTTCCTGTATCTCTTTTCTTATCGTCAGCTCCTATTTGAAGACCATCCCAAATAGAAACTAATTCACAATGATTCAACATCAATCCTTCTTCCAACCATCTATCAACCGGCTAAGCTTCCCACGCAGCTTTTCCTCTTGGCCTTCAGTGTGAAGGCTCTTATCTCTCCTTTGCTTGTCGAAAAGTGCAACAAAGCTGCTCAAGGCTATCAGGTTAAACTCATCACCATATGAAGCAACCATCTCCAGTATACCACAAGTAATTGAATCAGACGTCTTCTCATGAACAACAGCAACGGCGTTACCCGTCTCTTCGTCCAACAAAACAAGGCTTGAAGTTTTGATCCACTTGAAGGAGTGTGATATTTTTGTTGTGGAATGCTCGTCATTTATCCCTGGAGGGGGTTCGATCATCGCCGCGAAGCGATATTGCACTTCGCTAGGGGCATCGCAAGTCGATTTGGACCACCATGCAACAAGCATCTTCCTATGAGATTGATGTGACTTATTTGGCGCTTTGAAAAATGCGGTATCACACTCGATAGAGCTTGTCTTCGCTCCATATCTGCACTCAGCGATCTCTCGTCCGGGCATTCTGTTGCCCTTGTATATGGTGAGTTCTGGTTTTGTGATCTGATTTTTGTGGACTTCAATGTAGAACGCGAGTTTTTGATCTTCAGAAATCACTTGATAGTCGTTTATTGGACGATTGATAAGATAGAGAACCGATTTCGCTTTTGGTGTTGCTACCGTCCCAGCTGTCAATGGATCATTGGCTTGGTATGGAGGTAGAGATCCATTGGTGCCGCTCATTGTGAAGGGTTATCGATCGACTGTGGTCATATTCAGATGCGCAGCAGAAAAAATCGCACGCTTGCAAGTGTTTACACATTACGAGCTGTCTCTATCTCTATATACACTGCTTTTTCATCGGGGCTTGTTGTGACTCAACCAAAACAACGCCAATAGTGCCCCAAACCTTATTTGGATCCCGAGTCATTCGACTTAATCACGAGTTACGCCCCGTGCTTAAGGCAGACACTGGCTTGATATAGGGCGTGCGGGCACCCAATGTGGCTAGCTCCCCACATTCTCCCTGATCAGACATGTGTCAACCACGCATTTCGGAAACTCTAATTGGTCGCGTCTCAGTGCTCCGCCCATCAGGTGCAAACGAGGGAAAACATCAATGTCTGAGTTGTTGACGAATAAATGATTGTTTATGCCTTAGATCAAACAGGCTAGCATATTTTTCTAGTAGAGTGTAGGATCAAGGTCTTGGTGTTTTCAAATATTTGGAATGGTCAATATAACTCCACAGATATATACATCCTGTCCATAAGTATACAGATACAATCTCTGATCTTACCCAATCTATAAATGGCAAGTTAAAAGCAATGAGTCATGCGGACAAGAGTACCCCTGTGAATCAATTGTGAAATAAACAGTCAAGGTCACCTATACTTCGATCAAGAGTGTGTTCCAGGAAAAGCAACCAACTTCAGGAATCTGAAGCTGGGGTTGCATATTTGCTTGAAGTCGATGATTTTCGAATGGCCATTTGGATCGGAGATCACTTTCAGTTGAACCAGTCGTCCACTCAGAAATACCTACAGAGCAGCCTGACTCTGGTTTTGCTTGTTGGTGCCTGGTGGTCAGCCCACACGACCGACTTTCGGTGTCAACATCAATGATATCTTGATTTACTGGACTCCTCATAAAAGCAAGTCACCCTGCCACACAAGCAAAATAAGGGAAAACACACAGCATAGTTTATTTGTCGGTCAATTGATCTGCGACCACGAGATCTGATTCATACATATAGCTGGGTTCGCATCGATCGAGACACAAACATGGGGACTCATTCGACGCAAGTCCGTTGATTTACACCTCAAAAGACAGTTATTAGCTCAGAAAATCAATTTGGTTTCAAGATATACTTCTATAGTTGGCAAGGGGCGCCTTGGCAGAGGATGATTGAAGTCATTGATTATCACGATCCCCTATGACATCATCATAGGATGCGCTATCACATCGATTGACGATCGGTTTTTGCGCACTCGAACTAAGAAGAATGTAGCTCCTCCTAGATTAGATGGCCTGTTTTATATATTATCCGTTCATGTGGGAAAAGTAGCCAGTATCTTTAGGCCGCAAGCTAAAAAAACATCTGGATCGGGGTCAACGCCAAGACTAGATGCCAACTCAATTAACAAAGAAAGACAGCAAATCCTGGCCAGGCCAATCAATTGTGGAGTAAAAAAGTCGATCTCAGCTCAAGTCACAAATAGATGGGCGGTCGAGCTGTTACTATCGTCATACCATTTCCCGGGTTGAACCGATGACGTAGCCCTGGGGAAAGCTCCTGGCCCGCATCATCCCTCTTGTGTCTTGTTATTCATCCTCTGCAAATTATTTTGATCTATTCCTCTGGCTCCAGGGGCTGGCTTTGAAGGCATCTCATCTCCAACATTTACATTTACCCGCCCTTGAGCTACGATCAACCTGACGAAATCCACATCGCAGAACGCCCGCCCACCATGGCAGGCCAGGAATCGAAGGCTCCTCAGAGCCGGCGAGTCGGAGACCATTGGAGTGGCGCCAATCCTATCCCCACCATCCACCACTTCATGGAAAATATTGACGCCGAGAAGAAGGAACGGGATCACAGAATTGACGAAGAAAATCGGATCAAGAAGGAAGAAGCTGCTCGCAAAAAGGCAGCAGAGAATTCGGAGGAGAAGCCTGAGGCGACAGATGGAGATGTTGTCGCTCACAAGGCACGCGAAGTCTCACAGGCCAAGGTGCGCACTGTGACCGATCCGACTACGGGTAAGGATATCGGTGTGGAGGATCAAGATGAGACATCTATGGATACTGTCAAAAACCCTATGGTATGAGCAGGACCTTCTTCAGCTTTGTATATTTTATACTGATGGATTAACAGTTGACTGTCCCGAACGCCAATATTGGAAAGCCTACGGTAAGTCCCCCTGGTATGACAATATTGGCATCAAAACTAACAAACATAGAACGGAGTCCAAACTAGCGCCGACCAAGAGCTTCCAGAATATAAAGAAAGTCAAGATATTACAGCTCCTCCCGATCCAATTGCTGAAGGCACCACCTCCGATGTTCCCATTCGAGGAGAAAAGACGAACGTTCTGTTCCACCCTACACCAACAGTCTCCTACAAGCCTATGTTTGATAATATTGAGAAACGCGCTACAGCACTCTGTATTGGAATTCCCGTTGCCATCATTATTCTGGGTCGGACGTTTGGAGGTTCTCTTTGGGGACTGGTTCCCTTGGCCTTCTGTGTTACGAGCGGCGTGTGGTTATGGATGCAGGAAGTTATCCGGAGTGGTCGAGATATGGAGTGGAGTAGTGAGCAGCTCCGTGGTCAGATGGTGAGTTCTCCTTCATTTGTGCCTTATCAGAAACCATAGTATTGACAGTCAATTAGGCTACTGCGAACCTGCTCCCCGAGTCTGTGGAGTGGATGAACAGTTTCCTCGGTGTTGTATGGGGATTGGTTAACCCAGAAATGCTGACTCCCATGGCCGACACTATTGAAGACATCATGCAAGTGTCTGCACCCAAGGTTGTCGAGAACGTTCGAATCGCAGAAATCGACCAAGGAAACAACCCACTTCGGATCCTGAGCATGCGAGCTCTTCCCGATGAGCATGTTCAAGAATTGAAGGACAACATCCACGAAGAAAACATGAAGAACAAAGATCCACAGGAGGCCGCTGCTGCGGAGGAAGGAGGCAGTTATTACAACATGGAAGCCTCCTTCGCCTACCATGCAAAGCCATCCTCCCAAAATGCCTCATCCAAGGCACGCAACATGCACATGCAACTTGTATTCTATCTGGGTATCCGAGGACTCTTCGGTGTCCCTTTCCCTGTCTTTGTGGAGCTGATTGAGTTAGTCGGAACCGTCCGCATGCGCTTCCAAATGATGCCTGAAGCTCCCTTCATGAAGGATGTTACTTTCACCTTGGTCGGTATTCCCCATGTCAAGGCGGGCTGTATGCCTATGCTGCGAAAGGGAGTCAATGTTCTCAACCTCCCTCTCATCTCAAACTTTGTCAACTCCGCCATTGGCACTGCATGCGCCATGTTCGCAGCTCCCAAGTCCATGACCATGGATCTTGGTATGATGCTGAAGGGCGATGATATCCACAAGGATACTCTGGCTCTCGGTGTGATGTGGATTCGCATTCACCGCGCAGCCGGTTTGAGTAAGCAAGATACCCGTGGCAGCGAGGGCGGTGGCAGTGACCCATACATCAACCTCTCCTTCTCAAAGTATGGCAAGCCCATGTATTGTACTCGTGTCATTACGGACGACCTTAACCCTATGTGGGAAGAGACTGCTGCTCTCCTCGTGACACCTGAGTTGATCAAGGCAAACGAGAACCTGAGCATCGAGCTTTGGGATTCGGACCGTAACACCGCGGACGATATCGTTGGAAAGATTGAGCTGCCAATTCGTGAGATGATTCAGCACCCCGGCCGGATGTACCCCCAGGTATCGAAGCTTCAAGGTATGGACGAGGGCAGTGAGATGCCTGGCCAGCTGCATTGGGAGGTTGGATACTTCGGGAAGCCCAAACTGCGCCCCGAGCTCCGAAGCGATGGTAAGAAGAAGGATCTACCCGAGAATCTCAAGGGTGATCCCACCTTCGAAGACGAGAAGGGTGCTATCAATAACGAAGAAGAAGATGCTGTTATGCACACGCCACCCGATCCTATCTGGCCCAGTGGTATCGCACACATTGTTGTGCACCAGATTGTGAACCTTCAGATTGCGAACATCAAGGGTAGTGACGGTAACCGCAAAGGCAAGGAATATGAGCCTGCGAAGCCTTATGGCGAGAACACGGAAGAGCAGGGAGATGATCTGCCCACCAGCTACTGCAAGGTTCTGCTGAACGATCAATTGGTACGTAATTATAGATGCTCGCCATATATGACTTGACATGCTTACCAATATTCCAGGTCTATCGCACTCGTGCCAAGGCTGTGAGTTCCAAGCCAATTTTCAACGCTGGTACTGAGCGCTTTGTTCGTGACTGGCGCTCTGCTGTGGTAACTGTGACCGTTCGGGATCAACGCTACCGTGAACATGATCCTATCCTGGGTGTTGTTCCCATCAAACTTTCCGACATCCTCCAAACTAGCTCCCAGGTCACCCGTTGGTACCCACTGGATGGAGGTATCGGGTTCGGGCGTATCCGTATCTCTATTCTCTTCCGTCACGTTGAGACCAAGCTCCCACCCAACATGCTTGGATGGGATGTCGGAACTTTTGAATTCGCCGGACAGAAAGTCACTGCCAAGGACTATGGTAAACACACTAAGATCAAGTTGCGCACCGGTGGCAGCACTGGCAAGATCCCACGACACAAATGCCACTTGGATGGAAGCGATGCTACATTCGACACCTCTGATGAGACATTCCGGGATTCGCTCCGTATGCCAGTCAAGCATCGTTACCGTTCCCCTGTCGTCTTTGAATTCCATAGCCAGGGAAAGCGCGGCTCCGTGGCCTACGCCGTCCTGTGGCTCCAACATCTCGTCGACAATGAAGAAACCGACATCGACATTCCTATTTGGACAACCAAGATGGGTGCCCGTCTCACTCAGAATTATGTTACTGAGCAGAACTGGCGTGCCAAGCAGGTTCCAGGCCTCGAAGACCTGACTGAAGTAGGACGTCTGCAGTTCCGCTGCAAGTTCTCCCCAGGGATCGATGAATCCCACGAGCGCTTTGTGGTTGACAATGATTCACGCGAGACCTTTGAGACTTGGGAGGCGTGCATGGCACAGGGTGTCCGCTCTCGCAGCGTCGAAATCGAAGTACCTGCCGAAGTCCAAGAAAAGCACGAACAATCTCTGATCGACGGACGCGACGTATTGAAGCAGGCATCGCCCGCCGAGCGTCGGAAGTGGATTTCGAACGATGGCTCAGACTGGAGTGGTGCTTTTGGCCATGACCCACGTGCGTACACCGATTCTATCGGACGCAAGGTCGCCGAGCCAGGACGTGACTCGCCTCCCCACGACCCTGTCACCCCACCTCCATTGAAGGGACAGCCTTCCTCTAAGCCAAATATTGAGGAACAGGATCATACCTCTCCCGCGTCGGATGATGATACCTCTGACTCGGAGAGCCAGGAGTCGTCTTTGTCCCAGGGACCCTCAATTCTCAGTGGTAGTGCCAGCAGCAGCAAGGGCAATGCCGGGGCTTCTTCTTCGATGAGTAGCAGCCAGATCAACAAGGCAAACAAGCGTAGTGAGCAACGGCAACAGCGTGGTATGATGCAATGGCGCCCCGCTCGGAATGCTGCATTCGCTAAGGATGAGGCCAAGTTTGCGTTGCGGAAGATCAAGAAGAAGATCGGTGCCGGCGACCTCACGGGTCGCGAGCCTGATGTTGAGACGGAGACTTAACGAAGAATGACTTGTTTCGGGGCTGGAGTTTGGGGTACTTTTTATCGAGTTCACTTTCCTGTATATTAAAATGTCATTTTCATTTAGCTTTGAACAAAACTGATTCTGATAAAAGATATCGAGCCGTCATACAACATAGATACAATTCGCCTGATCACATTACTGTACACACAAGTCCTGCTGCAACAGCTAACTTCCCGTTAGTACCTTTTTCCAATTGCCCTTTTGGATGAGATATCACTTACCTCTCAGCAACCATACCAGATGCCACACCAGACGCAACGCCACCAACCGCACCCTTGAAAAGCTCGCCTTTCCGCCCATTGAACTGTTTATGAGCATCCTGAGCCTGTTCAACCTTGCGGGCATTCTTGACTTCTGTCTCGCGTTGTTCAACTTCATGGCCACTCCTCTCTCGTTGGTGACTATTGTTCGACCGCCGTGCCATATCTCTGCGCATTTCCTCGAACAATTGCTCCATATATTGCAGCTTCTTCTCTTTTGCCGCAAGCTCATGTCGAATTTCCCGGGCTATCATCTCACGTTGCATATCTCCAGGTGAGGCACAGTCCTTCTCTTGAAGGCTTTGCCGCCGAGCAACATCCCTGCGATCCTGTTCCATTTTTTCTTCGTTGTTGCGTAGTTCCTTCTCTCTTTCCACGAGCTTCTCTTTCGTTTTGGCAATTTGTTGCTCGTAATTCTTTGCTTCTGCTTCAACGAGAATTTTGACCTGGAGATCTTGAGCTTGTTGATCCACATCCCTGCGAGTTTCGTCCAGAGGCGCCTCCGTATCACGTAGTTCGTCTTCTTTGACGGCAATCTGCTTCCGGAATTGCTTGTCCATCTGCTCGAGTCTTTCCTTCCAAATCTTCTCCTCCCTGTGATGCAAATCTTGCATTGAATTTCTCAATGTATGTTTCTCTTGCTCAGACTTCCTCAGCTGTTTCTCAATATCATCCTTAAGCTCTTTTAGATTGGCGGCATATGCAGAATTCGTCTTGGCCAGCTCCCGCTTCATCTCTGCCTCTATCCTATGCAGGTCCTCTTCATATTCTCGTCTAGCTTCATGCATATCTCTTGCAACCGCAATACCCGCCTCCGTCTCACCAAGAGCCTTTCGTTCCTCAATGATCTCGCGTTGAAGCCGAAGTACCTTCGGAGCCCGTTGATCAGACTGGTCAACGAGATACGACACGATATCACGCGCGGAATCTATCTCGTCGATAGAATCTTTGATCCCTTTCTTGTTATAACGAAAAACAGCCGCTCCACGCGAGACAAGAGCACCAAAAAATCGCTGGTCACGCACAAGCTCAGCCTGTCGCTTCTTTAGCGCATGCTTCTCCCCACACAAAGCTGTAGTAGATTCAGGCCACATGGTCGTGGCGATGGCAAGATTATCGTAACAGTCATATCCACACATAGCTTTCATCATATCAATATTGCGCAGGGTGGACCCTGACATCCGATTACAGCTGATTGGATGTAGCATTATGATGCCGTGGATACGCACGCCGTTTGCATATGATGCGCCGAGATAGCTGGCGAGTATGCTTAGAGTATCAATGTCCGAGCGATCGGTATCGTTAAAGCCTGGTGTATCAATCAGGTAGATCCGCAGGTAATTCATTTTGAAGTCAAAGACATCTATTGAGTCGGTACCTAGAGTCTCTTATTAACGATCGAAGCTCAAACATGCGAGCCATTCCACTTGCAGGAGTACAGGCCATGGCCAACAGTGACCTCTTTCCCAGTGCATCGAAAAATGAAGGTGCTTTTGCCGGACCCTGTCATCCCCATCACAAGGATGAACCTGTTGTTTGGGTCTGGTTTGATGAGGCCGGTAAATACTGAGAAACGCCGAGCCTGATCGGCCAACTGCCCAGCTGCGGATTTGATATCCATGACCGCTGGAATTCGTATATCGGGTATTAACAAAGATGAGTGGGAAGGTGATGTGAATGTGCCCAAGAAATACGGTTTGGACTTTTCAAAAATTGTGAATCCTCATATGAAAGCCCCAACCCTTCTAGGAAAGTTGCAAATGAGCACAAAGTCCAACCCGCTGAGCCTCAGTGCTCCGCCCTTCCCCAAAGTCAAGATAAGGCGATCATATCAACAATAGGCTCTAAATCCCGAACGTCCTGCTGGGCTGATTTGTTCATCCAAAGAGGCTTATTTCCACAGAGACCAGCCTATCAATTCCTGCGCTAAGTGGCTCTTTGGCCTTGTGGCGTCTACGCAATTGATACTGTCATTACCTCGGCGCCTAGGTGCGAGATATCGCTGGCAGTGGCGCAGTCACGCATGGACTAGTGCTTTACAGAATCCTTGAAGTGAGGGTGTCATTTCATGCATTATTTGTGCTCTTATCCTCTATTTTTTCACCTTTTCCTTCACTTCTTTTTTATACATTTCTCAACTGCCTCCGATGGGCCATGCAGATCCTATAAACGCGGGAGTGTGATTTCCGAGGTCGTGCACTTTGACAGTTTAAACTAATGCAACTGGATGAGGGGGCTCGAGCATGCGTTATTTCGCCTTGTCAGTGAGGCTTGAAATGATTCAATCTCTTAGTATAATTCCTCTGGCTGGTATTTGGGCAAAAGAAGGCTACGAAGTGAATTTTATCTCATCGCATCTTTGAGAATTGTTCAGTTTCGACATCGACATATTAATTATACTGTGCAATTAATGGAACCACTTGGTAGGTTTGACTCTTATCATTGCAAGGACCAGCAACTAACTCGATTCATAGTGATAAGAGGTAGGAATAGGCATGGCAATCCATATCAATCAGTGGACTTTCGAGGTGGTCGCGCCCCAGGGTAAGCAGCTTCTTATCCAGAAATGGAAGTATTCAATTATATGATACTAAAACTCAGACTCAAGGCCAAATGATGTTTTTATCGCGGTGATGGGAGTAACAGGATCCGGTAAAAGTTCCTTCATCTCACTATGCGCAAGAAAGCGAGTCGAAATCGGCCACACACTAGGAGCCCGTGAGTCTAGCTCGACCCCTGAACATCAGATATCAACAGTATCTAACAAGATGCAGGCGCATCCGTCGTCGACGTCTACGCCTACGAGCTACCAGACCGCACAGTATACCTCATCGACACACCGGGCTTCGACAAGAGTCTGGATCGGTGACTGACTCATTGTGACTGTCTAGTCAGATGACCGTCCCAAGGATGCGAAAGGGATCAGGGATGCTAGCAGCCATCAGCGACGGAGAATCCCACGGAGGAGCATTAGCATGGATTGCCCGCTACAACGATGGGACTTGGGGTGAGAAATGAATCCAGGGATGACCACTTCATTATTTCTGATGATCAAATAGACACCAGCGAAGGCCTGCTAGAGCGGTATGAACATCTAGGCGAGCAGATCACATCTCGAGGCTTCCAGAAACTCGAGATGTGCGTTCTCGGACCAGGCAATGCATACTACGCCCGGTGGCAAGATGGTAGTTGGGCCTGTCATGGAGAAAGCGAATACAGAAACGCGATCAGGACGTACAGCAGCATAGACGATGGGTCGACGATCTTAAATCTGGCTCTTGGGTACGGGGGCTCATATGTGATTTCCTATGGGCGCCGTGATGATATGCGGAGGATCAAATCTGTTTGGAATCTGTGCGGGCACTATGAGCATCTTGCGAAATTCTTGGAAAATAACCACGATATAAGCATTGCGGTAAGTTTCCCGGTTGATTGTGGGGAGAGGAATCTGACATTAGCAGGCTCTTGCGCTTGATCCGACGACTAACACATCTTATGTTATCATCTTCGAAGAGACTAATAGTGTTGGCAGATGGCACACACGATGGTATGGGATCCGAAGATTGGAAAAGCCCGTTCGAGACTGGTGGCATAAAGCAGGATAAGTGTGGAGTTGTTTTGTTTGTTTCCACTGTGGCACTTATAGATCTCACCCATGGTCGGGTAGTTTTGTCTTACTCTTGCAGAGATGTGAGACTGGTGAAATCGTGTTCCTTAAGATCGTGGATATAATACTAAAGAAACATCAAATGCTAAAAAAAACCTCCTAGCCAAAGAGAGCAAATGCACTCCAAAACAGAAAACCAACCCGCGCCTCTATATGACAAGAAACATGATTCGTAAATGATATGTGCGTCACCATTAAGCATCAGGGAAAAAATGGTAGCCAAGAAAACAACCCATGTCGCAAATTTATTGATGACCGGAGTTAGCGGATGTCTCAGAGAGCCCCAACTCCGATGGGGGCGATAAAGATTGCACAGAATCATCTGCCCGATTTGAGTCACTCCCCACCGGACCCAAAGTCCACTTCCACTCCCGACGGCGCTTTAATCGACCTTGGTGAGGTGTCTGGGGCGTAGACGCGGCATACGGATCAGCCTCAAACCCATCCAGCAAAGCTACCGCCCGAACCTGGCGCTCTATACGAAGCGTGCGCCGTTTCTTGCGCTCCTCCTTCGTGAGTGAGATATTATTATCGCGCGCTCCTTCGTCAGCGCTAGTGTCATCGCCCGAGGCGCTCTCGGACAATGACGTACTAGAATCCGAATCGCTATTTTTTTCGTCTTCGTTTTCGGGGCTGGGGCCGGGGCCGGTTTCAAGTGGGGTCTTGTCTGCCTCGTTTTGGACCGTCTCCGCCCGGAGGAGATCTAGATGTTGGGCCGTGTAGCGTTCGGTGCGGATCTCTTCTTCCAGTGGGCACCGGTAGCTGACTTGTTTCTTTGCTGGGAAGAAGACTCGGCGGGTGCCTGCGTTGTGTCCATTGCCGCCCGCAGAAATGGAGCCTCGGCGCCTTGAGGCTGAGTCGAGTGGGGAGTTGCGTAAGATGCTGCGGACGCCAAGAGGGAGTTGGTAGGGATTGCGGTAGTTGAAGACATTATTGGGGTGGGTGACGTAGGGTGAGGTCGGTTTGGGGTTGAACCGGGAGGATTTCACGGGAGAGCTGGTGGCGGAGGAGGGGGATGCGACATCGTAGGCATTCTTGAAGGTGTTGCGGACGGTGGGAGAGGATGTTGGTGCCGCTGCGAAGGAGAACGATAGGCCGGTTGTTGAGCTGCCAAATGTGCGAGGGAGAGCAGTGGTTTGAAGGGTGAGTTTGGGTCGTGATGTTATCGTAGTTGCGTCTGTCGGAGGCGATAGACAAGACATGATGGATTACAGCATGAAGGAGAGTTGTCAAGAAGATCAAGAGTGTCAAAAGAAAGAAAAAAGAGCCAGTGGCGGGGTTGAACTAAGAATAGAGGAGGTTGGCGCTTGCGATCAGCACTTTATGATGTGATGGGAGATGCAGGATGTCACTCTACTGCATTCCAACCCCTAAATTCTGAGATGTAAGGTAACTTCGAAGAGTCAAAGTAACTCTGTGTTCATGGAGAGGACTTTAATATTAAGATCTACATCTAAAGAGATTTACTGATTCCAGAATGATTCCAGACTCTTGTGGAGGCCGAACTATCGACGCCACAACCAGACTATGTCTTTGCCGCTCTAAATCTGGCTGAATCTGGCTGAATCTGGCTGAATCTGTGCAGTCACAGTAGTCACACCAGTGTATTGTAGTTAACTTAACTTAATCTATCTTTGAGACATTGTCCTCCGTGCATCGACATGTACTTGCAATCCACGTTCTATTAAAAGATCGGTGGGTCTGGCGATCATGACTGTAGGTTACCTGCATTGCGAACGGTGGCGAATATGCTAAATATGGTATAGTACAGATTGTTGTTTAAATGGGCTTACAATCTTGGTGTGTGCTTCCACCTAGAATTTGACCATTATATTAGCCTAGACTTCGCTTTGCTTAACGTTGTTCTGGTTGTAGGCAGACATCTATATTCCGTTTCCATCATGATGTCGCATTGAGGGCCTCCCTACCACGTGGAAGTTCCCCTAGTGCCGAAATCCATCAAGACATTGATAACCTCCGTTGTTTCAATTTTGCAGGCAATCTCATTTGGGATTATGCCAAAGCGCAAAATTTTATCGCATATTTCTAAAGCCGTTGGCCAGAGCTTTTTCAGCGCTTCTCAGTCATTCCCAATGATGGCGCTGGATACAAGAAGCTGAGAAAGAAAGCGATCTGGGGTCTCCATGTTATCAATGAACTCCAACTTATGCGGTTCTTTGTCGGAGATTTCCTGGAATCCGCCTAGGCAAAGCGGATGAAACATGTCTTTGTTATTGGTTGCTGATCGCAACAGCATGAATTGCACAACATCTTCGCGTAGCGAGTCCTTTTTCTTCTTTGGTTTTTCCCACCATTCTAGGACATGTGTTGCTTCACGTACTATTCACCAGTCGTACCCTCAAGATATCCTTTCAATGACCATGTATTCACTACTTCTTGGCAAATCGGTAGTAGGATCTCGGCGGGCAAGTGTTTTTAGTACAACTTTTCACATTTTACCCACACCGATATAAGTCCCCATCTCCATACAACGTATCATAGACTGAGTTGTCCAAAAGACCAAAAATGACAAATTGACTCCAACAGGTATGTATGTACACTATCGTAAAGCTCCAGTTTCTATTTTAAGCAAGCGCCACACAAACACCCGTGCCACATCCACTAGCCACAGTGGCGGCCTGTTCCTGGCTCGACAGCTGCTGAGTACAATGCAACTGTTCAGCCTCAGACACATCTCAGCCCATCCGATAACTCCACTGATGGACCTAGATCATTTCAGGGTCCATGGCTGTACCCCCACGAAACGACGGTCGGGTCATTCTCCACCTTGTGAGTGTTTTTGTTTTCGCCATCGGAGCCAAGCTCATCGTGTCTAGGATTATGACTGCTTCTATGCATCAGTCTTTGAGGTTGAGCAGCCAGCACTGAGATCTCTGCCACTGGCTGTTCAGCAGAAACAGATTGTCGTAACATGCAACTACGAAGCCCGACGGCGGGGGTTGCATAAATTGCAACTCATCAAGGATGCCAAGCGTATCTGTCCCGATGTGGTCATTGTCTTGGGCGAGGACTTGACCAAATTTAGGAATGCATCGAAGGAGTTGTACTTAATTGTTCGGTCCTTCATTTGGGGTGGACGTGTTGAAAAGCTGGGGTTTGATGAGCTTTTTCTAGATGTCACTGAAATGATTGATTACAACACCGGCGTCTTGAATCCGAATGACTTGTCGAACTCGTTTTTTGTTCTTGATCGGAAAGACCCTACTGTCGGCTTTGCTTATGATGCCACTCGATACCAGGGATTGACCTTTCCGGCGACAGAGGCTGCGCCTATAGCTCAAAAGGATCCATTTTCTCTAGAAATGAGGCTGCTTGTTGCTTCTCATTTTCAATGGTTCTTGAGAAGTCATATGGAACATGAGATTGGCTTCACGGCTACGGGTGGAATTTCAACATCTAAACTGCTGGCAAAGTTAGTTGGCAATGTCCACAAACCCAACGGACAAACCACACTTCTGCCGCCATACACGGCGGCGGGGGATAACCCCAGCAATGTCACCCATTTCATGGATGACCATGAGATTCGGAAAATTCCTGGAATTGGCTCACGGGTTGCCGAGAGACTGAAGGCTCATATCTCAGGGGCAGAATCCGTGGACGAGAAGATCACTGTCCGAGATATCCGCCAGCTCCCGGGAATGGGGCCACCCTTGCTGGAAAAGATCCTTGGCGGACCAGGCTCAGCGAAAGGGGTCGGGACGCGCATGTGGAGCATTCTGCACGGGGTGGACAATACAGATGTGCTCGAGGGCCGAGACGTGCCCACCCAAATCAGTATCGAAGATTCCTACGGCCGGCTTGATACCCTGGAGAGCGTGAGGCGAGAGCTGGTCACACTTTCACGAAGCCTAATACGTCGCATTAGGACAGATTTACTTGAGAGGAGTGACGAGAGCACTCCCCAAGGGAGATGGCTTGCTCACCCTCGTACTCTGCGACTATCGACGCGGCCAAGGCCTCCGCCAGATATGGACACTACCCGTGCATACAATTTCAATCGCATTTCCCGGTCAGCACCTTTGCCATCTTTCATGTTCAGCCTGGATGAGAATATCGATGCCTTGGCTGAAAGACTAGTCAAAGAAAGCCTCTTGATTATGTTCCGAAAACTGCACCCTGAAAAAGCCGGTTGGAATCTCAGTCTGATGAATGTTGCGGTAACCAATATGGTTGAGACAGCCGGCGATCAGAAGCAAAGCAGTGGACGGGACATTAGCAAGATGTTTCGACAGCAGGAGACCGTGCTTAAAGACTGGACGGTTCAGGAACCTGAATCCCCGTCGGTATCTGTCCAGGCTTCCCGAGCTCCTATTGGCGGTTCGCCTGGGACTGAGCCACAGTCTGCCGAGGCCGAGGATGGCTGGGATGATGGCGACGAAGATGAACCGCTGGCTAGCAGTGGTGTTCTCTGCCCTATCTGCGGGGCATGCATACCTCATTTCGCACAGGTGGCACATGAGACGTATCATTCTGCTCCAGAGTAGTCTACGACCGTGGCGAGAATAGTCATTTCAAACGACACTTTCTACCAGGTCGTTTATCGTCATTCATGTTTCACTGTGTATACATTTGCCCCTTGGGCTCCGACACACAGTACTACCCATATGTCAAAATTATGCACACTGCAATGAGAGTCACAATATATTTCTGGCCTTACCAAGTGGTGGATTTAATAACCGGTTGGCGCCTTGGCTTGCAGCCATTGACGCGTACTCATTTGAACTATTGAATGCTGTGAATAGTGTAATTCGTATTCCTTATGAAAATATATTTGTACCTGAGGTTCCAGGGTTGCAATAGATGTGGCGTTGTCTCCCGTGACTACAACATCTTCCGAATGCAAATGTGAATCTAAGCCCTGCAGAGGGTTAAGCGCCAAGGGCATAGGCAGCATCATTAGAACAATCGAATGAAAATAGCCCACTCCACTTTAGTCGCTCAATCAGAACATGCGAGAGATGTTTCAGCCCGCCGTGCCAAGCCAAGGTCTCCGGGGCCCGTCACGGCCATTGGATTCCTCAGACCTTGGCAAACGGCTGTGTCGAACCCTTTGTGATCCCTCTGACTTCTTCATCTTCCAGTCACTCGTTCTGATATTCAAGTCATCTTTCTTTTGAGTTGACGCTCGTTGACCTGAGGTGGACCCGATCCCTTTCCCCATGATTGTCAGCCAGGACCCTTGAATCTCTTATCAGCCTCAAAAGACCCTGGACCCTCAGACCCTGGGCCTGAACTGCGATGAGGTTCTCCCAAACAATTCTGCCCTTGATAGGCGCAGTATCGTCGCTCTTTCAACAGACATACGGTACCGTCTCCTCTTTTGTCCGTTGCTGTGGCAGCGCTAACTCTCAACAGCACGGTCACAAGCCTCTGAGGCTATTCGCCATGTTACGCCAGTCGATAATGCCATCATCCGTACCCCCTCACACCAAATAGACCATCTGTCCAGCTTCGATGTTACCTTCAACCTACACCAAGATGGCAAGCGGATAAAGCTAGAACTCGAACCGAACCACGATATCCTCGCCGACGATGCTTACGTGCAATACCTAGGCATTGATGGTACGATCAAACATGGTGAACCGATCCAGCGACACGAACACAAGGTGTTCAAAGGCCGCGCACTGGTAGGATCAGGTACAGGGAGGTGGACGCCCGTTGGTTGGGCCAGAATCACCGTTAAAAGGGATGGCCAGGATCCCCTCTTCGAAGGTGCCTTCAGCATCGACCATGACAAGCACCACATTGAACTGCAGTCGAACTATATGCACAAGAAGCGCCCGATTGATGCCGATATTGAGCCGAGGGGCGGAGAGTTTATGCTCGTCTACCGAGACTCAGACATGTTCCAGTACACACACAATGAGCTGAAGCGGTCGCTTGACTCCTCCTCTCCCACTGGCTGTGGGTCAGATACTCTCGACTACAATGCCGATCTATCCAATTCTATCTTCCCATACGGCGTCGACGCATCTGACGGGCAGTGGGGTGTTGCCTCGCTGAACTCGCTGTTCGGCCTGAGCAAGCGTCAATCAGACACCAGCGGCGTGTCCGGAAACACGGGCGGTGTTAACCTGCAAACGACTATCGGTGATACCAGCGGTTGTCCCAACACGAAGAAGGTCGCTCTGATCGGAATTGCGGGTGATTGTGCATTGACCGAATCATTTAAGTCTAACAATGACACCCCCAAGGCCGCTGCTAAGGATTGGATCATTAATGTTGTCAACACGGCATCCAGCCTTTACGAAGAGTCTTTCAATGTGTCGATTGGCCTGCGAAACTTGACACTTTCCGAGACGGGCTGCACCTCTACAGGTGCTTCTGGTACGCCGTGGAACGTCGGTTGCGACAGCGGCAATGTTACCTGGCGTCTCAATGAATTCTCCAAGTGGCGTGCTCAAAATGCCGATAGCAATGCTTATTGGACTCTTATGACTGATTGCCCGACAGATAGCGAAGTTGGCGTCTCCTGGATGGGTCGGTTGTGTTCATCTGACTTGACCACCGCTGGTGACAGTTCTGTTACCGGTGCCAATGTTGTTGTTCGCAATTCTGGTTCCTCCTGGCAGGTTTTTGCTCACGAGACTGGTCATACCTTTGGTGCTGTTCACGACTGTGATTCGCAGACATGTGGTAAGAAATTGCAGGATTCATCTCAATGTTGTCCGCTGTCCTCGTCAACTTGCGATGCTGGTGCGAAGTATATCATGAACCCATATGCTAGCAACAGTATGACCAAGTTTTCAGAATGCACCATCGGTAACATATGTTCCGCCATCGGCAGAAACAGCATCAAGTCCTCTTGTCTCTCGGACAACAAGGGCGTCGTGACCATCAGTGGCAGCCAGTGTGGTAACGGTATAGTCGAATCCGGCGAAGACTGCGACTGCGGTGGCGAAGAGGGCTGCAGCGACAACTCCTGCTGCGATGCATCAACCTGCAAGTTCAAGGACAATGCTGTCTGCGATGACTCCAACGAGAGCTGCTGTTCCAACTGTCAATTCTCTTCAGCTGATACTGTCTGCCGCGCTAGCACAGGCGTATGCGATATCGAAGAAAAGTGCAGTGGAAACTCCCCCTCCTGCCCGGACGACAAGTACAAGGATGACGGCTCATCCTGTGGCGACAAGAGCCAGGGCCTCAGCTGCGCCAGCGGCCAGTGCACCAGCCGTGACTACCAATGCCGAACAGTCGTCGGCTCCCTTCTAAACACAAACGACACCTGGGCCTGTGAAAACACCCAAGACCCATCCTGCACTCTAGTCTGCGGCGCCCCCTCAATTGCCCACTCCTACGGCACAACACCCTGCATCAGGATGAACCAGAACTACCTCGACGGCACACCCTGCGACTCAGGCGGCCGCTGCAGATCGGGCCAATGCGAGGGCTCCTCAGCCCTAGGCTGGATAAAGCAACACGAGAAACTGGTGATCGGCGTCTGCGTCGGCGGCGGTACGCTTGTCCTCCTCGCCCTCTTCTTCTGCATATACAGTCGCTGCCGCCGCAGCGCCGCCCAGCGCAAGATGCGCAAGGCTATCCCCCCCGGTACATACAGGCGGTACAATGGACCCCAGCCCTCTGCCCGTCCACCCCAGATGAACCAGTGGCATGGTGTGCCCAATGGTGGGTATCAGAATGTTCCCCCGCCTGGTCCGCCTATGTATCAGAATATGCCACCGTCAGGCCCGCCACCGCGCTATGCTTGATTGCATCTCTTCGTTGTTTTCATATTTCAGTTTTTATGGGTTTAATATGAGCATCTGATCTTACTGCACTTGCATTCGGCCCCGTGGGGGCTTTTGTTTCGTTTGATTCTGGGGTTGTTGTTTGGCGTCAATGCGGATGAATAGTGCGGGCCTTGTTTATGATCGGTCCTTACATTGGCAGGTTGGATTTGGACATTCATTTTAGCTGTGGGATTGGATTTGGATTTGTATGGATTATCATCTCGTTAGATACAGTGCGAGGGACATGGATCTACAGCACCTAACTCATGTCAATTGACAACCTTGTACATGTAGTAGTAGTAATTCTCGGCTGAAGATCTTGAATCATGGGAGGATATCCATTCGAAATGCGATGCAAACCCAATCGATACTGTAAGAAGAGTAGGACAGCATATTCCAAAAAGAAGCGATACAAACAAAACAGAAGCAGGAATACAGTACTGAAAAAATGACCTAACACCAAGGAAACCCATGCACACCCAACGACAGAGCCAGAGAGAGAGAGAAGACCCCCAAGCTCAAGCCTATTGCCAACAAATCCCAACAAAAGCCTCACGAGTAACACCACCAACCCCCTCAAGATCAAACTCCTCAATCATAGCGCGTAACTCTTCCTCCTCAAGCCCTGTCTCACCCAATTCTCGGGCAACACGTCTCAAATCCTCAAGATCAATGAAGCCCTTAGCCCCCTCATCGAACAATTCAAAAGCGCGCAGGATCTCATCACGTGGATCCCGCTCAAGAATCTTCAACGCGGTGACAGCCTGGAAAGAAGATAACGGCATAAGCAGGTTGGACGGGTGTTGCGGGTTCGAGACGGGGCCCTTGTTTGACTGTGCGGCTTGCGGGTTTTGGGATTGGCCCGCGGCTTGTTGAGCTTGTACTTGCGGGCGTGGTACGCCGTATGTTGTTAGGAGAGAGATAAGCTCTTGTTTGCTTAGGGTGAATCCTAGAGCGCGGAAGGCGACGCGGAGTTCGTGGTAGTCTAGGTGGCGGTCGCGGTCGAGGTCGAAGAGGGTGAACTGGTGTTGGGTTTGTTAGCTTTATATGGGTGGTGGTTTGGGGGTGTCCAGCTTGGCTCTGGATCTGAAATGGATGGTGTGCCATCTCCAGTTGAATGAAGGTGGAGGGCAATCAAGCCATGAACATGAACAGCAAGACTTTGGGGATCCTTACCGCTTCATTAATCTCCTCCCTCTGCTCCTCGGTCAAACGATTAAGCGGATTAGCATCCTGCGCAGGCCCGTGAGACTGCGCGTTCGTAGCGGGCTGCGCATTCTGCTGATTTTGCTTGGGGCCATCGGCGAAATCACCAGTATTGGGATTGGCGAGGCCGCGATGCCGGGAGAACGATGAGGCGCTGAAGGGCATGGCGTTCGCGTTGACTGAGCGGTCGGGCATTTTCGTGCCAGCGTACGAGCGCGACGCGAAAGGTTGGCCGGAGGCCATGGCCAGTGGGTGGTGTTCAGATTTATTGGAAACAAGGATTGGGGATCGCCAGCATTGTAGAGGGGCTTGATGCTCTTGGGATGGAGTTGGGGTGTTGGGCGGTGGGAGGATTCTTGAGACGCGACGCGGGCGGAATGGACGCCCAATGCCGCCCGGTGTTTTTCTTTTTCTTCTATTTTAGGGGTTTTATGTTTAGGATCATTTTTGGGAGTTATATGATTTGGTTAACTCAGGTTATTGACATGAATGTATTGAATGAGTGATCAGCAATTGGGGTATCAACTATAGCAAAGCTTCCCATGTTCCTTGCGCCTGACTCCTTTCAGCACATGTATGCCATAATAAACACAGTGAAAATCCAAGAATAAATCACAACCACTTCGGTTACAGCAAGGCGTATGACAATCGAAGACAGAGAAAAAAAACAAAACAAACAAGCTTAAGTTGTGCTTGGACTTCAAGAGCAACAGCACTTGCCAGGGGAACATTCAGTGAAATGATGGCAACATCCTTCAGTGCCCTCCTCATGATAACAGGTGAAATTGCAACAGCTGCAAGAAGATGAGCCGCCACCGGATTCAATGGTCTTGAAAATATCATCAACTTCCCACTCCATACTCGGGTCAGCCCCGCGGTCTTCGAATCTAGTATCTGGCAGATCAGGTAGAGTCTCAGTTGAGTCCGTACTTTTCAGGGTTTCCAAAGAGCCCGAACGGGAGAGTATGCCGGCACCAAAGATTTGATCGGTATCTTGGAGCATATAGAGTGGGCCATTCAAGTACAAGTCTGCGAACGATGCACCGAGGAGACCGTCTTGTGCCATGGGGAAGGGTGTGGCAAATGAGGCACTCATTGTTACCAGTGCCTGAGCAGCATTCAAGAACACAGGAGATGCCGAGGAAGGAAAGTCATCAAACAAGAATGAAGCCATTGCGTAGCATGACTCTGGGGGACGATGGGGTTTCCCAAGGTCAGATGTTTCCCGTGAAAAGGCCATATCGAAGGATGGAGAAGGTAATTTCGGGATTTTCTTGTCGAAAACATCTTTGATATCGCATATTTTCATATACTCATCCGTGGGATAGGTATAATCCAATACGGATTTGATGACATCGCACATCTTGCGTATCTGACAGTCGTCACCAATAATTCTCTTGATGACTGGGTCGTCTCGCACCCTGGAGACCCCGTCCGCAGTTCGCTTATAGAGTGTCCAAGCGACAAAGATAGGATGAAGCTCCTGCTCCTTGCTCTGTTCCCAAGCCAACCTAGGCTTATGATATAGGGAAGCATATATGTCACAGCAGAGTTTCCAAGATCTGTTGGCTAGCCGTCTCACGCAGCGGACCAAGATCACAAACACAAGAAGCCTTCCAGACGCAACATCAGCTGCTTGTGCAAAGATGCGAGAACTTACCATACATCGGGTGACGATGAACAGCTTTGTCATTCCGGTGGCCGTTTCAACAAGTGAGTTGCTGGAGTATGAAGCTTCCAGTCCAGACAATTCAATACAACCAAGACAGTCGATAGCAATGTCAATAAATGAATCGATGACTTCTTGTTGTCGCATCAGGTTGTATCTGGATTCGGTGAAAATCCAAGTCCGAGATCCAAAAGTATCTTTTCGACAGATTCTCAAAGCCCCGTAGAACATGTCTGTCGTCGCGAATACGACGCGTTCCATTTCCTTCAACGCACACCACCCTTCCTTGGATGGTAAGTTTATGGCACCAAGCATGTACAGCTGCTCCGGTCCTCGAATGCAGATATGCCCCTTGAGATATGCCCCTTGCCACTTACGCAGTGACTGCATGAGCTGCAGGGCTCACATTTCTTCTTAGATCGCACGCACCACATACACGAACCACCGCACTTTCCTCTTTTTGGTTCTGTATCTGGGCCTGGGTGCGAGTGATCCTTTCGAGGGGAAACCTTTCAGGGCTGACCGGGTCCACTCGGATGAAATTGTAGGGTCCGGTGGGAGGAACCAAGGGTTGGTGGTTCATGGGTGAGATATGGCGTAAATCTACCAGCTGTTGCACAAACGGGAGCTGCTGCTTGGGCAATAGTTGCTGCATGAGCGGTAGCTGCTGCATGGGTGATGAGCAATACAAAGGTACCGCGCAGTCCATGACCCGTGAGTGATACTCAGGCCCAAGCATGAGAAGGGAGTCGGATGCCATCGCCGTATGGGAATACGCGCACAACAGTCCTCCTTCGACAGGCTTTGGCTGAGATAGATCTAAGACCGATGGAGCTTGACCCGGAACTAGGAGAGGAGCGAGCAGTGGAAGCGGTTGCTGAAATGATGATATTAATACTGATCATACATAATGTGATACCCCCTCGAGTAGATGATGAAAAGGATCAAACTCACGCTCATAACAGGGGTTGATATTTCAACACGTCTGCGCTTTAGGGGGCGAGGGGTATATGCCAGCCACTCTTGACCTACAGCATTTGCAGCCTGAGTTGCCATGGTTGCGCGTGGGTATGATAAGGCTAGATGAAAAGGAGAGAAAATTCTCAATAGCAAGGTAGAAAAGAATGAGGATAAATTGAGGATAGATCGAGGATGGGCTAAGTAAGATGATCCTCTTTGTAAATGACCAAGAATGAAGAAAGAAGTGTGAAAGAGCTTTCGAAGTATAAGATTCCAGGCCTGAGGAGTCACTGGCGCAGAAGCAAGTACGACAGAGTCATGTCATGGTTCCTGTCATTTATAGTTCCAAATAGGCCAAGTAAGGGCCATGCGTGGCGTATAATTTGTACTCATAAGGTATGATTTATACATGGGCGGTGAGGTTCATACCTCAGGCCATATGGATATCATTGTATTGAAGTATGACTCCATAGAATGAAGAACAATGAGTACAATCAGCCTCTTTTGGAAGTGTTCAAATCCCGGTCTCTCTGAGTGCCCAAGTCCAAGTCTTCTAAGAAGGTGCGACCAAGCAGCTGTTCTGGTAAATACTCTTGCCGTACCTTACCGTCGACATAATTTGGATTGTACTTGTACTCTGCACCATACCCCATCTCCTTCATGAGTTTGGTTGGGGCATTTCTCAGATGAACAGGAACAGGCAGGCCGGCGATCCCAGGTTCGTTTAATGCGGCAAAGACATTGTTCAAGCCACGATACGCGCGAGTACTCTTCTTTGAAAGTGCCATCGCCACGGTGGCATGCGCCAGGTTGATCCGTGCCTCTGGAAGACCGATCTTTTCGACAGCCGCATGGGTGGAGGTGGCCAGTGTTAACATTGTGTTGTCAGCTAGGCCAATGTCCTCCGAAGCGACGACGATCAACCGCCGAGCGATGTACAGAGGGTCTTCGCCCGACTGAATCATGCGAGCGAGGTAATACAGAGCGGCGTCGGGATCACTGCCTCGGATGGACTTGTGAAAGGCGGAGATGGTGTCATAATGCTGGTCTCCAGCACGGTCATACACCAGAGTCTTAGTTAAGGACTTCTTCAGATCTTCTTTGCTCATACCGGGCCGTTTGGACAGGTCCATGGCGAGCTCCAACAGATTGAGAGATGTACGAGCATCTCCATCGGCAAACTTAGCCAGATATTGGATCAGTTCCTCATCAACCAGGTCAGAGGGTGAATAACTTGGGCCTTCCACGCGGAGAGCGCGATGCAGAATGGAGTTGATATCTTCGTCAGTGAGCTTTGCAAGAGTGAAGGTACGGCATCGTGAGAGCAGCGCATTCTGCACTTTGAACGACGGATTCTCGGTGGTTGCTCCAATCAGGGTGACTTGGCCACTCTCTACAGGACCTAGGAAGACATCTTGTTGTGATTTGGAGAACCGGTGAATTTCATCACAGAAAATTATCGTTTTGCGGCCAGTCAGGCCAAGCTCACTGCGAGCCTCGCCGAATATCTTCTTGCACTCTGCGACGCCGCTACTTGTGCTGTTGATTTCCACGAAGCGGCTACCCACCAATGAGGCAATGACTCGGGCAATCGTCGTCTTACCTGTCCCTGCACTGCCCCATAAGATCATGCTTGGGACTCTATCTTGTTCGATGAGCCCACGCAGGACACCATTCGGGCCAACAAGCTCTTGGCCGCACACTTCATCCAGAGTCTTGGGCCGCATACGCTCGGCTAATGGTGCAGCTTTGTGGAAAGCATTGACCTTGGGGCGCTTGGCCTGTGGTTCCTGCGATTCGCCATTTGTTTGCTTCGGCCCACGTTCCGGTGTCTCCTCCTGGACGAATGATCTCTTGCCGTTGAGAGGTCGCGGGGTTGCTGTTGGACGTGATGGTGACTCTTTCGTGATAGTTGACTGTGCGGAGGCCTTGCGCGCGGATGCAGGCTGGAATATGCTTGGAACCGGGCCCTTCTGGGAGGACGACGCATCTCCCGGAGAGGAGGAGGGTTCTTCAATGAAGCTTTGGCAGCCAGAGTCTATGTGGTCGTTGATCTTCAGCTGCGAGACAGTTTTCTCACATATTGGACAGGAAACCATGATGTCAAGGTTTGTGGGAAGCTTCGAGAGTAGTTGTCAAGTACGCTATCTCCGAGAGTTGGAGACGCGTTATGCACGCGCCTGGAATTAGTAATGTCAGCTAATGTCAACGCCTTGGTGCCTGAACGTCAAATGAACATCCAATTAGTTCAAATTCGCCGTATATACGATTTCTCTCAATTTGAGTAATACCATGAAAACTTGATGTAGTTGTAGCTGTCACAGTATCAAGTGGCATTCGGCATGTTTCCCGAGGCCCAATCCGAGCACGCCATTTGCGGGCAACTTCGACGACTTCAACTTCCTTCTCTTCTCTTCAACTGTCATGATTCCACGTTCAGCTCTCCTCGCTTCTCTCGCCCAGTTCAAGAAATCTACCGTATCTCTTTTGCCCACCTTACCCTTACCCCGCCTAACTCGTTTCGGCGCAAGACCGATGTCGGCAACAGCTTCGCGACCCGACCCATTCCGCCCCGCTGCACGGGTTGCAGGACAACGACAAGATGTGTGGTATGGCATGGCATATGTGGAGCTACAGGAGAAATACTGAATGCAGATTCCAGGTCTGTCGTCAATGAGGCCGCTGCAGCTTCACCTGTTCAGCCGATCGTGAACATGGGCCAAGGGTTCTTGTGAGTCACCAAGATGTCAATGTCGCATTACTACAGGGAACGAATGTTGACAAACAACTGCTGTGTACAGTGGCTACAACCCTCCCAAGTTCGCTCTCGATGCCGCAAAGGATGCGCTGGACCGAGTCGAATGCAACCAATACTCCCCCACCAAGGTGGGACATGTCCATTGCCCCCGCGCAAACCGTACAGCATACTCACAGCATATAGGGTCGCCCTCGCCTCAGGCAAGCCATTGCAGACGCATACTCCCCTTTCTTCGGAAAGACTATCAACCCCGATACCGAGGTCTCGATCACAACAGGCGCAAATGAAGGTGAGCAATTGACGTCCGCTACACATACGGCTTGGGGCACAGACGCTGATACAGGATGAACAGGCATGCTCAGTGCCTTCATGGGCTTCATTGAGCCTGGCGATGAAGTCATCATCTTCGAGCCCTTCTTTGACCAGTACGATACCCCGCATTATAAGAGGATCGGCAGCTGCTAACTATGCGAACAGGTACATCAGTAACATTGAGATGCCTGGTGGCACTATCCGATATGTGCCTCTTCAGCCACCTAAGGATGGTGCTACCCGAACCTCTCCTGCATCGGAGTGGACTATCAACTTCGAGGAGCTTGAGAAGGCCATCAATCCCAAGACTAGGATGATTGTCTTGAACTCTCCGTGAGCAACCATGATCCTTGGTCTGAGAATTTTGCTGACATGTAAACAGTCACAACCCCGTCGGCAAGGTCTTCTCGCGCGAGGAGCTCGAGCGCATTGGTGACCTTTGCGTCAAGCACAACCTTATTATCCTGTCTGATGAAGTCTATGACCGTCTGTTTTACGTTCCATTCACCAGAATTGCTACCCTCTCTCCCCAGCTGTACGAGCGCACTTTGACCGTGGGCTCTGCCGGCAAGGCCTTCTACGCCACTGGCTGGCGTGTCGGCTACCTGATTGGACCCGAGCATCTGATCAAGTACGTTGCTGGTGCGCACACCCGCATCTGCTACAGCAGTGTTTCTCCTCTTCAGGAAGCCGCAGCTGTCGCCTTTGAGCAGGCCGAGAAGGAGGGCTTCTGGGATGAGAGCCGAAACGACATGAAGAACAAGATCTCCCGTTTCTGCGAGGTCTTCGATGAGCTTGGTATCCCGGTAAGTGACTATCTAGTCTACGGGTCTCCTCTTCATTCCAACCACTGACATGTGCCGCTCACAGTACTCTGACCCCGAGGGTGGGTACTTCGTCCTGGCCAACATGGCCTCCGTCAAGCTCCCAGCTGACTACCCCTTCCCACCACACGTTGCCAACCGTCCTCGTGATTTCAAGCTCTGCTGGTTCCTCATCCAAGAGGTCGGCGTTGCTGCTATCCCCCCGACTGAGTTCTACACTGATGCCAACTCTCATATTGCTGAGGACTATCTCCGCTTTGCTGTTTGCAAGAACGATGATGTTCTTGAGACTGCCAAGGAACGCCTCAGGGGGCTCAAGAAGTACATCACTCAGTAAACCAATCAATTATCTAAAATGCTGGGATGCTGGGGTACATGCTGAATGGTATAGATGTGCTGTTATGACGATATGTAGAACGATGAATATAAACATGCAGATCTATCACCCATTTAGTCTACTACTCACACTCTTCGGCTTTTCCCCTTTGGAGTGAAATGTACAATAGCGGTCATCGATAAAGTTATGATGCTTGGCCAGTGGAGAGTGGAGTCAAGCGCAAAATAGAAGCGCTTGACCAAATACAGTCCCCGCTATAATCATTTGTTTATCTCCCTTTTTTCTGTTGTCTGTCCTTCTTCCTCTCATCTACTTTGCCATGGCATACAGCAAATTTCGGCAACCACGCTTTTGAGTTCGAGTTCTTGGGTCTTGAATTCCAGCCCACCTTCCATGAAGATGGAGCTCCGTAGATCCCGAACTAGGTCTCTTGTCCAAAGTTTTGCAAAACAACAATGTCAAATATCCGCACCGTTACAATAACAATCCCAACACAAGTCTTTCAGAAAACATACGACCTCCCAGGCTATCATCCATTCGACGTCGCAGTATGTGGCAGTTTCGACGCAGTCAAAGCCCTCCTGAGAATCTATATAGCAGATCCAACGCTCCCAGAGCCCATTGACGTCTATCTCGTGCGCATTCCCTGCTCTCCGATGAACCGGGCCTGCGTAGCCGCAGCCAGGCAATCAACGCTCTGGTTACTAGACCACGATCCACCGCTGGAGACCTTGCATGGCGGGAGTCCCACGGGGAACTCCACGGTCTAGCTATAATTATGACCGCTGAGATAGTATACAAGTTACGGAGAGAAGAGTTAGCAATCCAGTGATACCATTATAACCCAATTAGGGCCATGCTGTTGGCTGTTAGCCTAGAGGGAGAGGTCACTTGTTCTTATAGAGACGCGCACGTATATATAGAAATGGGGATGGCACGATGGCAGTCTGACATAGCAGACGGGTCGAAGGCATCTTCAAATAAGTCAGAGCAAACAGTGATATCCCACCAATAAGAAGATAGAGTTACCCCTACATTATCGGCGTAGTCGAACGGTACGAACACAAGAGGTGATCACTTTCCCCTTTTGGAGCGTCTTGCTTCGGCGACCTTTCGTTTTTAGAAGATGCTGCTTCTTAAGACGGCATGGAGGGATCCATCTGCTTCGTCGTTCTGGAATGGGAATAGTGAACTTGCCTCTTGAAGCGTGACACATGAATTAAAGAGGGGTTGGAAGCCCCTGAATGACTGTGTACAGTGTGACATTATTGGTTCCAAAGGTCAAGCCCGTTCTATCGTTGCTGAAGGCAACGTCATCCTTTTCATATGTAACGGAAATCTGGCGGTACAACAATTTATGGGTAACCTCCGTGGTATTGCACTCTCTCTCTCTCTCTCTCAACTCTCTAACAAAAATGACAAAACCGCGAATTTAAGCAATCTGTGCGGTAACATGGACTTTTGTATGGTATGTCTGGTACCAGAGGTCACATGGTTTTATGGGGTTAAATACCGTGTCGCAACCATGTAAATATTCGACCTTGATTTTCGTCCGGTATATTGTTGGTGTTTTGGGAACGGTGAGACAATGCTCTAGGTCGTTTATAGAATCGCGTGCTTTCAAAGATAGAGACAAATCATGAATGTTCGGAGGGGAATTTGACTTGACTCCCGCTGGATGCGACCGACTAGCTTCTGAGTTAGGATTGTGAAAATTAGCACGGAGCTGAATGTCGGAGCAAAAGACTGGGCGAGGTAGTGCGGCCAAGGAGTCTTCTCTTTCGTGTTTACGGCGCGGATATTTATGATGCTAAGTACCATACCACCAAACTCCTGAGGAGGGCTTCTCGTAACTATTCTAGGCTTTAGCGTTGACTCCGCGGTATTGTTGTTTTGGTATTTGAATTTATGTCATTTCAGTGGTTGAGATATGAGGAACGGTATTTTATGAAATTAGCTTACATGACCTGCCTCACTTATATATATGAAGGGCCGTGGCCTTCTGACTGTGAACGAGTTATTCATACTTTCAAGAAAATTATTTTCCGTCACACTATTATCCTCTACTTGCTGATACTATGACTTCGTAAGTTGAGAAAGTCCAAGCTTCTTATTTCCATTCCTATTACTAATCGACAGGGGCGATCTCTTTAGTATTCCCTCAGCACAGTTTATTGCCTTAACCCAGAGAAGTGGGAAGCTTAGCGAGGAAGAGATAGAAAGCGTCTTTAATCAACTTGCGCCTCTGAAACCCGAAGCACTACACGGGGCGTGGGGAGGTGGCGGGTTTGATACTGGCCACCTAGCCCATTCCCAACTGCAGGATGTGAAATGGTGCGGCAAAACGTTTCATTCGGCCGATTCTGTGGACCCCGTCATTATTATGAAAGATGGGAAGAGGGTGTGTGAGGAGACATGGGGCCATGCTCGAGTAGGGAGCCACTCAACTTTTGCATATGCTTCAAATCAGTTTTGTGCTAACAAGACCCCGTTGATAGCTTCGCGAGGTGAAATTTCGTGGCATTGTTTCCGCTGCGATGATATATGACAACCATCCAATCATTGATCACTTCAGAGAGGTCAACGAGAACATGGTCGCCGGGGCAATGGACACTAATCAATTTGGAGAAACTGGCACTTACTACTTTTATTTGAAAAAGTAAGTCGCTACAATGGGAAATCCCATAGCGGGACCAAATTCTTTTTTTAGTCCCATGGGAGTGGGTCCGCGGGATTAGACCTCGGTAGGATTCCCATGGGACTAGCCAAAATCTAGTCCCATGGGAAATGTCAAGGTCTATAACCCAAGTTGGGGCCCCAGACCAGAATCCGGGCCAGCCCGGGTTAGGTTGGGCTCTACGGAAGTCTAATAACTGATCATTACGAGGTATTTTTGTTCATTCAAGGAACCGAGTAAGCGGGAGCAATATGTCAAGTCTAGCTAATGATCACTTCCATGATCTGTGATAGTCAGGGGATTTCCATCGTTCGCAAGTATCTGTTCCAAATCATATCCGATCGCTAAGCCGTTACCCTGCTCCTCCGCCTCGCGAAAGCCTGGCGCATAATCATCTACTAGATCGACCTCATCCCCTCGGTAGATTTCCACGAGGGGCCGTCGCATATCGACTCTAAGGACCGATTAATATATACTATCTCGTAACCAAGAATAGACAGACTCACGGCTCATCCTCCAAGATCTCTCTTGGATCTACATTTTTATCGCGGTCTTGGTATATTACCCGTGACTCGATGTAAATTAGCGCCTGCTCTATTGGGACCTGATTTCCCGGACCGATTTCACAATAAAAGTGGGCGAATTCCTCCATCATCATTTGAGCCCGGTAGGCTTTCGTGTAGATACCGTTCGTTGAGAATTCAACCCAAAGCCCCAGTCCGGTCTCAAGGGTCCGGTCATCGATAATGAGCTTGGCATAGCAGTCCCGGAAAAACACCGTTCCATCGAGCGCCATATGCATATCAAGGAAGTTGGGTCGCGCGACACTGATAGAAGTTGAATGTCTCGAGAATATCCCGTTGATTATCTTCCAAGGGGAGAAACATTATCATTTCGTCTGCTAGAAATCCCCAACCTTCTTCCCATGGGAATAAACCCAAGATACACTTGGCTAGCAGGGCTTCTTTCTCGCGGGTCAATTCGGTGGTGCAGAAGTAGACCATGCAGAAATTTTAAACGTCAGTTCCTCTCAAGTTTTGGTCCTATACCTATATTAGAATCGCAAGTCAAATAGTAGAAGATATTTCATACTACCAGTTCGGGACCTTCAAAAAACCTAGGCTCGTCCTCTAGTGCTCGGGATTGATAGCTCTGTCTTGGCGTTAGTGGAGAAATAAGCATTCTTCCAGATTAAAGACGTACATCGCGAAATTGTTGGTCTGCTGTTGCCCACCGTTCGATCAAAGCTTGTTTCTGTTGATCCGCTGCGTTGCCGCCGACCCACTGGTCACGAACAAAATGCCTCCATGCACGAGAGGCGGCATCAAAATTCGCCGGGGCCACGGGCTCTTCGTGTCGGCGAATAAAGGCGGGGATGCCTCTAGGCCAGTGGCTGTGCGATCGTATTAGGGACATGATCGAATGGTGGCATTTCCAAAGGTTGCAAAGAAGTGAGGAATACGAGGGACGGGTGTGTATTTAAATTGGATGAGGCCTTTACATGCGTCATTGGATTCACCACTACAATACATATCATATGTCACAGCATCTTGCGACTTATAAATAATTTCCACTTCCACAAGAGTCCATAACGCCACCAAGCGCGAAACAACAGCATGTAAGCCGAAGATATACCTGCGCATAGTCCGGCTTCAATGAAGTTCAAGTTCTAGATTTACATACATCAAGGCAACCGTTTGGTGGGTCGCAGAGCCTCAGCCCGGAGAAGGCGGCTCCGGGTGGAGCTAGACCATGCTAGGGAAAGTTACAGAGGTTCTCGATTTTGAGCCTGAATGCAACTTTGCATATAGCCGAGCTGGTCCGAGAGCCTCTAGACAATTGCGCTTTACGGTTTGCACAGAATGACCCGGCAAGCATTTGCTGACAAACAAAACCCATAGTGGCCTCAGCATACATGTAAGTCTTTTTCCGCCCCCAGCTGCAAGCCCTGCCAAGCCCAAATGATGTTGCAGCTACTGCAACAGAAATTGAGAGAATTCTGTACTTCACTGCCAATACAGACAAAAAGAAGCTCTGATTGTGGTCTATTGCTGGAACAAGATGAATATGTCCTGCTTTTGTTTTGAGATTTCCCAGTTCTTTGATCCCCGGCGTTCAATGAATGCCTCAAACACTAGAATGGGGTCAATGCGCTAATTAGGCAACTAAACCAAAAAAAGAAATCATGTCTCAGGCTGAGCAAACGCTAAACGAAGTTGAGCCAGTCTGCTATACGAACTTTTCCGCTACCTCTACTAGTGATCTCGCAGCCGCATGTTAGCTTTGTTCTGAGCTCCGCCATAGCGAGTCACGATCCAATCAGAGATGACTGAAGTGTGACTCAAGCCCATGGAAGAGCAGCCAAGAGGTTAACTTAGAGCTAATGTTGCCTCAATTTCCGCTCGCCATTAAGCGAACACAAGGATACATGATTAGTCTGGCCCCCTGATTTAAAAAGGGCAGGTGCCCAATTTGAACCGTCATCTGCATTTCTCCTTTGCAAGCGTATACCCCCGGAAAAAAAAAATAACTCCTCCCAACATGCGCACCTCAATTTTCCTCGCCGCAGCCTTAGCTGGCATCGCCAACGCCAAAGACTCCTCTTCTAGCACAATCGTCGGCTACTTCATCCCATCCTGGGCTCCAACCACCCAACTAGGCGGCCAAACAAGCACGGCAGCCAGCCTAGCAGGCATTAACGCCGAGGCAGCAACCTACCACGTCGGCTGTGTGAAGGACGCCCCGAAATCCGACTGCAACTACCCAAAGTCCTGGACAATCATCCAAGGCGCCTCGACAGTCAGCGTGACCGGCGAATACATTTATTCGACAACCGACAATTCTCAAAACTATGATATCACCGTCACGCAGTCTTGGGAGTGCTCGCTCAAAGCTTCTACTGAGTCAGCTAGCTGTACTATGAGCATTGGCATGGATGGGTCTTTGGACGGTGGGAAGTATCAGTCTTCTTCTTCTACCGCTGCGACGTATACCACTGCGCCTATCAGTGACACGTATTATAAGTTGACTGTTACTGGTGGTATCGATTCTTATACCGCTCCTGAAGCTACCAAGACTCCTGGTGCTGCTGCTGCTGGGCCTGCTGCTGCTTTTGTTACCGCTGGCCCCATGGTTGCTGCGGCTGTCGTTGCTTTACTGTGATCATGTTAAATATCCCATGTGGATTCTAATGAATACTTCTTCCTGACTTCCATACTCACCGGTACTCTGGCAGGGTGAAGGACCCGTCGAGGAAAAAATCTTGTATCATGCACTATCTTATATACCAAGCTCTATGTAAGGAACAATTTGCTGTAGCGATTTCCTCATGACGTTTTCACCAATGACTTAGCAGTTTAAAATTAAGTAAACAAATTGACATTCTCCGAACAGATTCTGGTAAAGATGAGGCCGATCATGAGGCTCATCTTCAACCTCAAACAGAGCCGAGGTCACCGATCTTCTATTTCTTGGCAATGTCGACTTTATACTTGCGTATACGTACTTCACATGTACAAACTACAATGAATGAAGACGATGGAATCAAAACCGGGCCACAGCCGCGGTACTCTTTGTTCAATTGAAGAACAAAGTTGGGGCATCACTTCGCCAACTTTTGTTTCCCTGCACATTGAGGCGTACAGGTACTTCAACATATAACTATTTACAAAAAAGGGCATCCTGGAAACCCGGCGGGGCTCATACACACAAGACCAGCACTAGAAGTAGTTCGCAACCACCCCCCAGGAATCAGGACCCCGATACAGGCCATATCCACCACACCACCCACCATCCTCCATCCTCCACCCTCCACACCTACCATTCTTATGGAGCACCGAGCCCATCCCAGCCTGCGCCCCGGTGCCAACAACACCAGCCCGCATTTCGGACACCCTCAAAACCAACACCATGGACTCGTGCCACCACATTTCTGACCGTAGGGTGGTAGGTTCGGTGTGCTCGAAGAGCCACGCAAGAGGCCTCTTCGTCATCGCACAGTCCGCCGATACCTCGTCCCACCTCTAGGTTCTTTTCTTGAAATCTTTGGTCTGGTGGCAAACAGAATCTATGGGTTGCTTCATCATAGGGTTTCAGGTCGGATCCATCCCACTCATGTTCCCGAACATCATGGCGGCAGAGTTGACCGCGAGGGAGGACGAACCCCATCTCGCGTTCAAGTTGCTCAACCAAGGTGTTCCCCACCCTGCGATTCCAAAGGTTTTTTAATCGCATCCAGCCCCGGATTAACCGGTAAATAACGCCAACGAGCCCACGATATTCAACCCCCCCTGAAAGACAGTTAGTGGATAGTTCACACAAACCGGCAGAGTGACAGGAAAGAAAAAAATATATGAAAGCTATGATGTGAAAGAGCGGATAAACTTACCAAATAGGCACATCGCCAACAGCCGACGGAAGCGATCTTTCCATAAGGGGTCGTCAAATCGTACCACGATATCGATATGGATTGAACAAGGGGGCCCGTGGCTGGCTGGAGCGCCAAACATTCGTGGAAGGAAAGGATCAAAATCCGCGAAGACGAAATAATCGCCCTGATTGGATGCGGAACTGAACCACAGCGCCTGACGATGATGTTCAGGGCTGTCCAAACCGTGAACATTGTGCAGCATGGGTGGACCCACGAGAATCTGCAAAGGAACCGGACCTGCCTGGCACTGGTATGTGAGAGTAGACTCACCACAATGTTCCCAGTGCATTACGGCATCATCCCACATATGCCTTTTGCCGCAGTAAAGAACCGTTGAAAAGGGTCCGCACTTAGGGCAGACAACACTCATTTCGTCCATAAGACTACAGAGCTTCCCACACCCCATGAATGCACAAGAATATGAGATCTCGGCAAGGGTTGGGACTCTGCCTACTTCAGAAATGAGGTCATCACCCTGCTGCATGGCTTTAGGGGATCCGGATTCCTCGGTGATTGTCGCGAGGGGTGAGTGGTGACCTTCTCCGCCATTGTCCGAAGGTGAACCAGTACCAGACATATGACCAAGTCTGTAAGAGATGTACTGATTGTCCTCCTTTGGATTCTTGTTCTTCATGAGACGGGTGCCACACGCGGAGCAGACTGAGTCCTGGACATCAATCTTTGCGAATTCCTCCTTGTCAGCTGAAAACCCCCTCTCAATCAGGTCAAAGGACAAGGCAGAGTCGGCCCCAAGGGACGAACGTGTGTTTCTCTGGAGCCCCTCGAACAGGCCTGGAGAATGAATTAGTATTCGTAAGCAAGTGAAAGAGATCTAATCCAATGTACATACCCAGTCTGACCGCATCGGCGGACTCCTCGCGAGGAAACTCCACGGCAATGGCCACCAAGCGGTAGTTGGTGTAGTCCTCGGGGTCTAAATGAGATAATGGAGTCAGTAAAATGAGCTTGTAGTGAGGATGTACGGGCATCAGTTAAACTCACCAGAGAAACACAGCCCGTCCCTTCCCGAAACAGGGAACCGAAGCTCACACTCAACCTCCATTGTTGGCGAAGTGAGAATCGGTTGATCACTAGGTGAGGCCAATTGCTCTGACTCTTCGCGCACATCCCCTTTCTCAGCCTCATCTCTACCCGATGGAGAAGTGATGACAGGAAAGAGAGGAGAGCTAGGGGAAGACGTCGGAGGTGAGAAGTGAGATCGGGCTGTCTCGGATGACAGTATATTGGTGGCCCGCAAAACAGTGGGAATAAGAGGTATCACGGGTACAGGGACTGTGAGCTTGCGGACGGTGGTTAGTCGTCGCCCAGTCAGAGCAATTGGATTACTCTTTTGAATTTGTACACGGTGAAAGGAGTCACCACGTAAGGCTGGACCCGGAGTATCTGCTTTGTCTTGAAGTGCAGTATCACCGCCATCACCGAACGTGAGCTCCGCCATCAAACCCTCAGTGCTTTTTTCAACGCCGGCATCGAGGTTAGAAACACTCTCCGCCAACGCCGCTTGACGGTCCACCACTTTCGAATGCTCCCCCTGACCTTCTGGGGCCTCCGAAGAGAAATTTTCAGGCTTCTGGGGACTGATGCTGTGCGCAGTGCTGGGGGTGTTTGTGGTCGACATCTTGCCAAACAGATCATTGCTTGCGCCGCCAGCCTTCTCCGCCATCCACTTTGTGCAAAGCCAGATACGAATTGGTACAGCCATGGCCTCTCCATATTCGGTCTATATATCGTAAATGTTAGTATTCATCTTGTGAGGCCTGTTTGCATGGGAGAATCTACCAGGTTTGACTGGGCAACACCACGGAAGTTGACATTGTCTTTGTTGATTGTGACGATGACTTGCTCATCCTTGTGAAGAGGTTTCATTGGCAGAAACTTGTATTTCAGCAGGGCAGGACTTTTGTCGTCGGTCATGGTATTGACATGACAACCAAAGACCGTGAATGAGTTGGACCACTTGTCGGCGCCCTTCTTCTTCGACTTCATGGTCTTGCTGACAGCATCCTTTCCCACGATGACCTCGGACATTCCGAGATCCTCAGGCGCTAGAAAAATGTCGGCCAGGTTATCACACAGTCCATCCATTCCGAAGGGATAGTCGTTCTTGATAACGAAAGTCACAACCATGTCCTGGTCCGTGAGTTCAAGCTGAAAGCCTCCTTTGGGGCAAACCTTGTTGGTTGTGCGCAGGTCGAAAGTGTACTGGTCCGACTTCCAGTTTGCGATGCGGAGTTCCATGACACCATTGCCAAGCTCATTTCTGGAGGACGCACTGTGGTAAGGATATCCGATCCCCTTCAGGATATTCTCGAGCTTCACCACCTTCAGCTCCTTCGGTCGGAGAGGGAGAGACATGGCTAGCTGGGTGATGCCCGATAGCACTGAAAATAAGATGGAATTATACTAATTGTCAGTCACTGTCTTTTCCATGAGGTTTCGGTCTCATAGACTCACGATGTGATGGAAGTTGCAACTCAAGCCTCAAACGGGACTCTCTGGAAAGCTTGATTAGCTCTCCCTATGGCCAATATCTGTCAGTATTATCGGCAAAAAAGTCAAAGCCACAAAGGCTCACGATGTCATGGAAGCCTCAACCTGAACATCAGGGCCGCATTTTCTGTTTTCCATGTCAATCAGTCCCTTGTTGATCGTCAAAGCAAATCGTGCGTTACATACTTGGCTTCAAATGTGAAGCGATGGCCAAGTGCTTTTCCTCGATCGCAGAATGATTATGTCTGCCCGCTGCTTTGCCTGTTAGCTCTGTTCTAGGACTTGTTATTCTGGTCCGACATGAGCAGACCAGAAGTGTGAATGTGGGACCATACAAGATGACTTGCATGAGAGCAGACACAGGTCTCACAGAGGTTCATGAAGAGGAATGACTGCAGGTTATGGGTATGAGGAGTGACCAGTGGTTCGAATTCACGATGCAGGAAGAGTTGCGAATACTCACAACTCTCGAGAGAATGGCTTTGCAGGGCACTGGATCAGCTCAAAGAACTTTGCATGTCTTGGTGACGATGCAAAAGATGGAAGGTTGATACATGAGCTGATGGAAGATGAAAGAGATGGAAAGGGAATAGAGGATGGTGGGGATGGTCAAGAGGCTTCCCTTTACTCGATTTGGAAGCTTCGACTCAATCAAACGGGGAGGAACGTTCCAGATATTCGCCACCCGACCTGCAGTCAAATGCGGAACTACTTCCGTTATCAAGCGCGTCCAAAGAGGCGCCTGTGGTGGTTTTAACCTGAAATGTTCAGTCTGAGCGCGACTGGTTTAATCATGCGGAGGTACAATAGCAAGAAGTATCGTGAATTGGGATAATTGATTCGGAGACCAAGAAGTTTGAACCTTTCGCAAGTTCCGAAATACGTAGCACGATAGTATGGGCAAGACGGTGTATAATTCGAGTCTCATGCATTAACCCTAGTTGAATCGCCGACATAAGCATTGGGCTCGCGAGACTACTCAAGCAGTAACTTCGTACTTGTTTATGGGGGAACACCCTAGTATCCTGAAACAAGTAGAACCGAGATAATTATAACTTATCTTTCATATATGCTTTAACTTTCTATGTGATTTTTTGAGCTATTTTCCTAAAAGTTGAAACAAATTTCTCGAGTTCCTCATGGCCCTACAAAACGCATCGGGTAACTCCATGACATAAACAACAATCATGCATGGATTCTCTACAGAAGACATGAAGGTTCACTTCTAACAGCAATTGAGATGCAAAGTTATTCGGGAAGATTGCCTCGCTTTGGGAACTCCTAAGGCATGTCGTTGTGTCTGCAATTAGGGTGTGTATCGTCACGTGAAACTCGATACAACGGTTCATGTGAAGACCACGTGATGGGTTTGTTTTGGCGCCGGTGATAGCGACTCGACTGGATTCTTGACACTCCTTCAGCGTGCTTGATCTGTTTGGTTTTTGTTTCTTCGACTTTTCAAATAAGCCCCTTTCAAATACAACTACAAGGTCTTCCACGAACCGAAATACTCCAGCGGAAAATGCCGGCCTGCACTCGAAACTGCGAGTCTGTGAATGGTTTCACACCAAGTCACCGAGTGGTAGGCAACTACAAAACATCCATATTGCTGGCCTTGTCTAAGCAAAAATGCAACTACCTAAATTATACACGGCTTGAATGCTTTCTGTAAACAAGTAATCAATGTTCGAGGTGGGAGCTGTGACGATGCAGCTATTGGCTCTCAAGTCACAAGCGGCTAAGCGCCCACGGCAGCTATACTTGTCTATTTCTGTTACCCCGGCGCTTTGGACAACAACATCAGCCAGTAACATTCTTTGCTGGTACCTGAAACAATCTCTCGTACAGATCCTCTGTCTTCAGGCTTTATTTTTATGTTTCCTTTGTTTCGACATGATCATGGTTCACTCTGACTGGCTGTTCCACCTTCACGGGGTTGACAACCGCTTCTTTATTTAACAAAATTACTTTTCTGGCAATGTCTTCTGCCGCCCAGAATGTTTTACGGCTGACAGTTTAGGTTCTCCGGCTGCTATATTTGACAGCTCTTTGTTCCATGTTTTATTCTGATTCTATTGTTCTCCTTTCGCCGCCCATTCTATTCATCTATTGATCTCCCATTCGCCTACCCCAGTAAGACATTATATACACCATGTTCTGCTGCTAGACTGGCCCTTACCTTTCTTTTCTTTTGCTTTCTTCACTCTCGACGATACCCTGTTTTGATGCAACACCTGCATAATCTTTCTTGAGTTCGATTCTAGTCCCAAGTCCTTGTGCAGATCTTCGCTGGACGAGATCACACCAAAAGCCATCACCAAATTCAATAATTTTGCATCAAAGTCAACGAAGATGCTATTTTCTCAGTCAGGAAGAACTATATTTCCTCTGCTCCCGCCGTACGGGGCTCACGACTCCAGCACAGGCCGCATAATCCCTCTTCATCCAGACGGTCTCACTCCTTACCTTGGCCTGCGGGCTCGACTATCCCAAGTATGGATCAACCGATGGACTATACTCCTGCTGCTTGTTCTCGTTCGACTTTTGATTGCAGTCGGCTCCTTGCAATCGGATATGGCATCCGCCAAGCGAGAGTCTTTGTCTGCGTGCACTTCAGTCGAATCTATGGGTAGTGCAATGGCCTCAATGCCCCACTATCTTTCCACTGGCGTCAACAAGCTGACAGCTTCTGCTGTCGATGATGCAGTTGATGCCCTGAAGACCATGTTGTTACTCACCATTACGGCACTTGGTGAAATCATCTATTTCGTCCTCAACATGATGTACTCGACCTATGCATGTCTCATTGCCGTTGCTGTCAATGGAACAATTAAAGCTGGTATTGAAGTCATCGAGTCAGCCACAACTTGGATCAATGGGACCCTCGTGGGAATCGGCGAAAGCATTGAGGACACTGTTGACGAATACCAGAGCGGACTGGACAAATTTATCGAAAAGTTCAATACTGTCGCTACCTATTTCGATAAGGACTTTGACAAGATTGATCTCAATAGCACAATCGATAAATTGGAAAACCTGTCATTGCCGTCTTCTGTCAACGACACAATCTCGAAGATAGACGAGCTTGTCCTGCCCGATTTCACAACCCTTCAGGCAGATGCCAAAAAGCTCATCATGCTGCCCTTCAACGAGCTCCGCGACCTGGTCAATGATACTTTGGGCGCATACAAGTTTGACTCTTCTGCTCTTTCAATCCCCGCAAAGAAGCAGTTGACATTCTGCGATGGAAACAGCGGAATCAACGATTTCTTTGACGGCATCACCAGCATGGCTATAACAGCACGCAAGATCTTCATCGCCGTTCTTCTCATTGTGGCAATTCTGGTCTGTATTCCAATTGCATGGCAAGAGATTCGACGATGGCGCTCAATGAAAGAGCGCTCTCAATTGGTCCGCAAGGAGGCACACGACCCAATGGACGTTGTATACATCGTCTCGCGGCCGTACACAGCAGCTGCAGGTATCAAGGCTGCAAGCCATTTCAGCAACAGCCGTCGCCAAATCCTCGTTCGATGGGCTGTCGCATACGCGACATCTCTACCCGCATTGTTTGTGCTGGCCCTTGCATTGGCAGCACTATTCGCATGCTTCTGCCAGTGGTTGCTTCTCCACCAGATCAAGCAAACCGTCCCCGAACTGAGTGCTGAAGTAGGCGAATTCGCAGATAAAGTCGTGGGCGCCTTGCAGAACTCCTCAGCTGAATGGGCCAATGATGCCAACGCTGCCATAGGCAAGGTCGACAGTGGTCTCAACGATGACGTCTTTGGCTGGGTCAATAAGACAGCAGGATACATCAATGGAACCCTCAACTTCTTCATTACAAACACATCCGACACCCTGAACTCGACATTCTCAGGCACAGTCCTCCAAGGCCCGGTTAACGACCTCTACTACTGCCTCGTTAAACTGAAAGCCGAATCAATGCAAAAGGGTCTAGACTGGGTAGTCGACCACGCCCACATATCCCTCCCCACATTCCCAAACGACACATTCTCCGCCGGAGCCTCAGACAGCATAAACAGCACCTCAAATCCATCAGACAGTTTCCTCGCCGACGCAGGCGACGAAACATCCAATAAGATAACCGAAGTCGTCATCCGCGTCGTCAACAAGCTCGAAAGCGCAGTGCGCATCGAAGCAATCATCGCAACATGCATCCTCCTAGTCTGGGTCTTGATCGCTCTTATCGGAATTAGCCGCGCGATGCTCTTATTCTGGGGTCGGGAGAAGCCTCGTGGGGAGGGCGGCCAGGGTCATATTCTTGATCCTGTTTCTCATGGTCCGCATGGTCATGGTACTCAGCCTGGTCGTAACTCGAATGTGTTTGATGAGGTTCCACTTACTGCTATGCCGCGGAGTATGAATGCTGATGGTCATGTTGCTCCAGAGTATACGGCTGCTTCGGCTAGTTCGGTGCCTGGGGCTGGTGGGCATGGCTATGGGGATGAAAAGGTTGGGTTTGCTGGGCAGAGGAATTATGGGAATGCGTTGCAGGTTGATGCTGGGCCTGATTTGAGGGGGAGCTTTCATGTTGAGTATGACGTGAAGCGATGAGGAAGGGTTTTCTCTCGTGGATCTCCTGGCTCAAGGTCTTGTTCTTTTTGTTCTTTTTGTATCATCGCATCCTTAGGAGTATTTGGGTGTATACTCAATGTGGGGCTGGCGTTGTATTATAGTGATTCCCAGCAACGAGGCAGTTTAACTTGAAGGAAATCAAATATCGTTTTAGACAGAATGATAACAGTACTTACTGTAGACGTCATACTCCAATATAACCTTTACATCAATATTTTATTTTACGAAGTGATCAAAACGAAGACAGGATGTATGCAGTCTCTCATAATAACAAAGCCAAAATGCAATATCCTCATACAAATAACAAATCATAAAGTCGTTTCGTTTAAATAGCAACAAAGAAACTCTTCTCCCCCTCTTTAGGTTGAACCCTAGCACGTTCAATAATCGGATCAGCACAACTAATGCGAATCCTCTCAGGAGTAGCCGGACTCTCGAGATGCAGCACATCAGTAACATTCCACTGCTTACGCGCAGCCTTCAAGGCATCACGTATAGCAAAGAAGACAGCAGCACCCATGAACAGCGGCGGTTCACCGACACCACGCGAGCGCTGGATAGTCCGCAGATTCTCCCACGTCACATCCTTAAGTAAACTGACATTGAAGATCTGCGGGATATCACGGAAGCCAGGGATCTTGTAGTTACCTGGTCCCCTGGTGAAGATCTGGCCGGAGGCGCGGTGCCAGAGACTTTCTTCCGTGGTGAAGAGACCCTGGCCTTGAATGTAGGCGCCTTCGACTTGGCCATAGTCGATTGAGGGGTTGATAGTGCGTCCGACGTCCATCTTAAGGTCTGCACGGAGGGGCGTCCAATCTCCTGTTAGTGTGTCGATTTGGACTTCGGCGGCTGTTACACCTTGTGTGAAGTAGAAGAACATCTGGCCGCTGTTTTCGCCCCATACATAGCCGATGTCTGGGGTACGGTAGTATCCTTGTGCTGAGAGATTGACGCGATCGAAATAGGCTGCATGCGCGAGGTCTTTCAATGGGGCGTTCGGCATCTTCTCGCGGTAGGGACGAAGGCGCTCGTTAAGTTGTTCACAGGCATTGAAAATGGCGTATCCGTTTAGATCGGAACTTGCTGAAGCCGCTGTGGAGGATGTGTTGGCTACTGTGTTTGTTGCTGTCTCGGAGATGAAAACGCTTGATTGCGGGACCTGTAATGCTTCGGCGGCAATCATGGTCATCTTTGTATGTAGACCTTGGCCCATTTCGACACCGCCGTGTGCCACAAGGACACTGCCGTCGTGATAGATGTGGACCAGGGCACCTGCTTGGTTCAGGAAAAGGGCTGTGAAGGAGATACCGAACTTGGTGGGCACGATTGCCATTCCACGTTTAGACCACTTGTGCTGTGCATTATATTCTTCAACAGCCTTTCGACGGTCATTGTAAGAGCTTTCCTCCATAACTTGCTTGTACATGAGCGGTACGTGCCAGTCCTTAAGAGGCTGGTGGAAATGTGTTGTTTCATCCGGCTGGTACATGTTAATTGCACGCACATGTTCAGCAGTCATGCCCAAATGATCGGCAATCTCTTCGATGTAGCACTCGGCGAAAAAAAGACCTTGTGGTCCACCAAATCCACGGAAAGCAGTGTTCGACACGGTATTGGTCTTGCAGATCCGGCCACGAACATTAACATTCGGAATTTTGTACACGCCATCAATGTGTGACAGGCTTCGTTCAACGACGGCGCCGGAAAGATCTTGTGTGTGGCCTCCGTTGGCAAAGACGTCGGCATCGAGGGCAAGGAGCTTTCCTTCCTTGCTCACTCCAACCTTCCAATGGCAAAGGAAGGGGTGACGCTGACCAGAAGTCAGGATATCCTCATCACGGTTTAGCATGCATCGGACGGGTCGTCGAGTCTTTGCTGCGGCAGTAGCGCACAATCCAGCCAGCTGGACAGATCGTGTTTCCTTGCCACCGAAACCACCACCAAGACGTTTCACGCGCGAGACAACCTTGTTTGCGGCGACACCTGTGACCTGGGCGACATAGGCTTGTCTGTAAAAAGAGTTAGTTCAGTATCATATTAAGCAGAGCACCGTGAACTCACGTCTCAGTAGGGTTCTGAGTACCACTCCAAATCTCCATTTGACCATCCTCTGGTAATGGTATAGCCACACAAGCCTGGGTTTCCAAGTAGAAATGCTCTTGGCCACCCATGCGCGAAACACCAGTGAAGACATGGTCAGCATTCTTGAAAGCTTCCTCAGTATCGCCACATTTAATGTAGCGGTAGTGCTCGAAGTAAGATTCGGCTTCAATGGCCTCTTCCATGGTAAGAATAGCAGGCAGGTCTTCATACTCCACCTTGACAGCCCTCATACCTTCCTCGGCAATCTTTGCTGAAGTAGCCAGGATCAAACCAATGGGCTGACCAGCTGTTGTAACCTCGTCCACGGCAAAGAAGAGCTCATCAGACTTGGGGGCTCCCCACCAGTTTGCTTGTGGGTTGGGAAGATCCGTGTGGTCCACGTAGTCCGCAACGCCTGGAATATCCAATGCAGCAGAAGCATCCACACTGAGGATTTTGGCGTGGGCCTTAGTAGACAGAACCATGCATGCAAACAGCTCATTTTGTTGCACTGGGATATCATCGGTGTATTGAGCCTCTCCAGTAGATTGCTTCAAGGCTGCGACATGGGGAGTTGCTCGTCCGAGGATCTTCTGCTGATAAGCGACTGAAGACTCGTGATCTTTCGCTCCCGAAGAAATGGCTCGTTCGATTTCAGCCACAACGTCTGGGTCTAAGTCTGAACTCTTAACCTCAAGTCCTGAAAGAACATCGTAGTAAAATCGATAGAAGAAGCCCATGGCCAAAGACTTGCGGTAGCTAGCCATGCCACCAGGAACACCGAATGGCAAATTGAAGTCTTGCTCCAATGCACTCATCACGCCCTCAAGTGTTCCGGGGTTCGTGAACTTCTTGCCAATCAAGAACTCCTGGGCGTTCTTTGCTGACACCGTCATAGCTGCCATGCCACCAAAAACGAGGTTGGCACTGACAACATCGTTGGTCTCAGACAGGGTCACACGCAATGCGGAGTTGACAATTGCGATATCATCGTCCTTGCGCTTAGCCTGCTTGTAGGCTCGCATATGTTCACCATGCTTCTGTGCAGCTGGAATGCGTAGGCTGGCGATAATTGCATTTGGAGCGAGGGCAGTCTTTCTGTACCCTTGGAAGAACTCAGTCATGGGAATCTCAGTCTCGCCCTCGAGCGACTTCGCCACGAGAATAGTGTTAGTAGCCACCAAAACAGGGTTGAGATCTGAGATGGGCGAAGCAGTAGCCAGGTTACCAGCCGGAGAAGCGACATTGCGAATTTGTCGTCCAGCGAAATACATCAGCTGCTTCTTGATCGCTTTGAATGGCTGACCCCGAGCATCGCCATATTTCTCGACTGCTTGGTCACAGATATGCTCAAGATCAGTCAAAGACACGTTGGCACCAATTTCCAGGTAATCATCGTGCAAGGTGAATTGCCTCAGTTCAGGAATGTCTCCCAAGTAAACAGAGGCTGCATAACGCATAGCCTTGAACTTGATCTCAATCTGTGTTTCGGTACTTCCGCCGATCAATTTAGCCTCCGGATGGATGTTCTTGATCTGCAACAATTGATCCACAGTCACCGGCCGGTACCACTTCTTCTTTTTGTTGCCATATGCTAACGGGCGATATTCGTGTTTGCGCAAAGCAGCAGGGAAAATCAACTCCGTGTCAGGACTGTATGGCTTGAAGTTTGGTGCAGGGAATTTGTAATCGACTGTTTCGATTTCGTTGCCGTTCGAGGGTCCTTTACAACAGCCACCTGAGCCATTCTTCTCCATACAGCAACCTGAGCCTCCATTGGCAGAGGCTTTGCCGCAGTTGTTTTTCGTGTTGAAACTTTGGGCGGCGTCGAGAATTGGTCGGTAGCCGGTGCATCGACACAGGTTTCCATCGAATGCTTCTTCAACATCGTGTTCCGATGGGGATGGGTTATTTCGGAGCAGGGCATAAAGGGACTTGAAATGGTCAGTTTTAACGAACATTACGTGGCAATATAGTAGGCCGAGGAGTCGCATGGACGTACCATCACAATTCCTGGAGTGCAGAAACCACATTGACTTCCATTGCCGACCGCAATTCGCTGCTGGATTGCATGGGGATCCTTAACGTTTCCAATGCCTTCAACTGTAATGATGTGTTTACCGTCAATACTGACTAGCGGAGCGATGCAGGCATTCACAGAGGCGTGGTAGATCTTCTTCGTTGTGGGATTGATATGAGAAACGACCTGTTAGACAATTGACCTTTAGATCAGTCTATTCCGAGACAAGAGTCTGCATTCGATATTTGAATCGAAACTCACCACAGTGCAAGCACCACAGCCTCCCTCAGCACAGCCAAGCTTGGTTCCTGTCAACCCAATACCCCGCAGGTATTCGAGAAGAGTGACTTCAGGGTTGACAGTGTCCACGGCGACCTTGGTGCCGTTAAGATAGAATCGAATTGTATCATCCCAGTCATGGGTCAGTGCAGCCAAGCTGGAGACCTTGCCAGCCGCGACCGCGGAGTCCGTTTCGAGGATTCCCGGCGCCATAGTGTTGTTATCAGGATGTGGCAAAAGCTAGAAACAAACAAACTTTGTTTCAAGGGCGACTCTGGCAGTACATCTCGGGTTTTTATAAAGAGGAGGCTCCGCAAAGACTTGCCTAAAGCTCTTAGCAAGATGAGGTTACAGAAAGTCAGAAATACGAGAGGGGAAGTCCAAACGACAAGGTGAGGGCGAGTATCATGTGCTCTTCCACCCCGACTTTGTTATCTTGCGGGGATCGCCACTGTCCGATTGCTCCTCCGGCTTGGCGCCCTATCATCGTGCCCTGATTACTTTCGCCTCCACTTGTTTTTGCCAAATTGGTGAAATTTCTATATATCCTTTGCGCCAATACAAAAAATATGCAAGAATACATACATGCTCATGTCCGCGAGCCAGCAAATGATCTCTCTTCTTCCTCCCACTTCTGGCGCTCAACGACGCTTCGGGCCCTTTAGTTTTGATTAGCAGATGAAATTGAAGAGTAGAGGTAAGAGGTAGTTTACTTACCGGTAAGCCTTAACGAAACGCCAGACCTCAGTGTCTGCAAGGTTCCAAGCCTCGACAATATCCTTGATGTTGATGCGGTTAGTCTCCTTGTCTTTAATAGTATCCCGAGCCTTCTGAATCAGCTCATATTCGATGCCAACTCCCTGCTCGCTCGGAGTCCGATCCTGCGCGCTTTTCGCGGTGTGCTGGTCATTCTCGGTGGCAGGGTCAATCTTGCCTCCGCGAGGAATCTTGAATCCAAACTGCCATTCAAACTCATCAAGAAGTTCGGCAGGAAGTGTTTGGCCAGCCTCCGCGGGGAGAGATTCCACGGTCATCCACAGAGAAGTGCCAACGGCATCCTCGCCAGCGACAACCTGCTTGAAGACGACTCCACGGTAGGAAGCACCCAGTTCCGGTCCAAGGTCCTCCTTGGTCACCTCCGACAGCCAAGCGTCACGCTCGGTTTCTCGGCGAATCTGGGGAATTGTAATCACATCCGACTTCTTTTGCAAGCTGACCAGAGTGTAAGGGTGAGGAAGCGTGCCGATGGTGAAGAGGAAGGTGGTGTTTTTGTAAGTCGGGGGTTGGCTGATGCGCATAGGCGACTTCGCAGAGTGACAAGAGCGGCAATCGGGAAGGTTGGGTGGGCAAGAGTCGGGAATCGGTGACTCGGGGCACTGAATAAGCGCCTTGGCCAAGCGGAGGGCAGGCTCCACTAGGGCAGTGGTGTGCTGGGGGAACGGTTTCAGCACAGCCAACCCCGCTGGGAAGGAGTTCTGGAAGGTGTTATGCAGATGCGAATTGATCAGCTGCACCAAAGCAAGTTGACCAGCCGCAGGGTTCTGGCCCATCTTCTCGTGCACGCTCGCGTAATGCGAGGTAATGGCCGCGGATTTGTAGAAGGCCAAAGCATTAGGTTGTTCAACCTTGAAAAGCTCTGGGGCAATCAAGTCCACAAAAGACGAGGTCTTATCCTCGAGCTTCTTGACTGCGGCCTCAACTGCCTCGTCGATCCGCGACTTATCCGCTGAGTAAAGGGCATTCTTGATATTTTCAAATCTTGTGATCAACTCTGGCATGCTACCCCGGCGGAGGTACGACAGCATCGGGTCATCATATCGCGCCATGGGGAAGCAATGGAAATCCGCAAGCATACCGGTTCCCATGTGTCCCCAGGCAAGCCAACCGAACACCTCATTTTCAACCTTAGGCGCAAGTTTCAGCCTCTGCACAATCTCGTAGTTGGGATTCTTCATCGCGTCTCCCGGGGTCAACACCACGGGCCGGAATCCTTGCGCGAACCACGCCCGACGCCATGCGAGAAGCAATTCCGCATCTGCACTCTGCACGTCCTTGAGATCCCTCCCATTGGCCTTGTTCGGGTTAAATTTCGTGTTATAGTAGGTGTAGATTGGGCGGCGTTCGCGAAGGGGAGGGAGGACAGAGCGATTCTCATCCAAGGTGATGGCGGAAGAGAATGGGTTCAACCATTCCAGGGTGCTGTACCATTTCGACTCGCCGTGGGTGCTGTTGTTCTGTTCCTCGGGCTGCTCGTGCGAAGGAGGGCGGAAGGACGGTAGGTGGAAGTTGCTTAATGATGGTAGTTTTGGTCTGGGCACATACTTGGCTGCGCCTGTGACCTCTTCCTCGGCGGTGGCATCAGGGACCGGGGATGACGAGAAAATAAATAGCAAAAGTGCCACAAAAACGATGACGGACAACAAAGCCGTACTCCGATGAGGAATCATCTTTTCCACATTCACACCAACAGACCTATATCAAGGCCTGTTAAGAATTGGATAAAAACACGTCAGGAACCGCGAGGCTACTCCTGAGAGTCCACCTTGAACGGGATCGGAGCCAATCAATCGAGGCTTGGCAGAGATGACGATGATATTAGGCCGACACAAGCACAATCCAATTTGAATGCTGAAGTTCAACAATTCCAGCACCTTGTTATTAACAAGGAAGCTCTAGCAATGTCAACAACAAGTCCACAGGTCACTCAAGGATGGGATGACTTTCTTGTAAGCCTGAGGCTGTGTGATGACTCAGCAAACTTTAATTACCTCACGTCATCAAGTATAAAATGCATATGATGCAGTGAAGTAGTAGCTAGTCTTTATAGTCTGTACGCTCTGATATATTCTTTTAATTGATGCCAATACAATCAAAGAGTAGCTGATTATATCAGGTAGACGTACGAGGTGTACGCAAGCAATATATCCTGGATATGTCTGCTAGCTCCAACATGTATATTGAGACAACACAGTCTATCACAGATATACAAGAGCTCCGTACGGCTCTATTAGTTTACCTTCTCTATCATTCTTTCAATATGCACAGAACAAGATGCTATACTTCGTACTCCATACTGAATGAAGGCGGTGAACCAAGCAATTTATTGTGGAGGACAGTCCCAACCAATCAACGGCTGAATGCATGGTGATCGCGGCGAAATCGGACTTTTCACCCCTCGGATATGGGGGGGTAATTTGACTCATCTTGTCTTTTTCAATTTCCAAATATTTTGACATACTGCAATCATGGCTGTGGGAATGGCCTCATTGCAGGACCGCCTGGAGACATGGGCGCAAAGGTTGAACAACCTGACTGTCTCTCCATTGACTCGTGACTATCCCGATACACAGAAGCCCGATAGTAAGAGAGCTATCGAGGCCTTTGAGTCTCTCCGACTCTCCAAGGAGACCCAATTGCAACTTCAGAAGTTGTCCGGATCATCATCTGGTTTCACTGTTTTCCTAACTGCCTTCGTCATTCTGGTGGCCCGTTTGACAGGTGATGAGGACATCGCTGTGGGGACAAGCTCGGAGGAGGATGGTCGTCCATTCGTCATCCGAGTGCCCATTGATGCCTCGGAGACCTTTGTTCAGCTCTACAATAAAGTAGACAAGGTATGTATAGCCGTAATAAGATCTTGAAATAACCACTAATAGCTTCGTAGGCATTCAAGGAAGGTAGCTCTCAGATCGTGCCCTTGGGCAGCCTTCGCACATACATGCAGGAGAAGTCCAAGTCAGAACGTATTCCCATCCTCTTCCGATTTGCCGCATACGATGCGCCAGCCGCCTCTCAAGATTACCCTGCGAACACCTTCGAGACTACGGATTTGGTCGTCAATGTTGCACCGGGCAACCTGTCGGATGGTTCGGCACCAGAAGTCGAGCTGGGTGCATACTACAACCAGCGTCTCTTTTCGAGTGTTCGCATTGCGTTCATTCTCAAGCAGCTCGCAGGTATCGCTCGCAATGCTGCTGCCAACCCAGAGGAGGCTATCGGGCGTATTGACTTGATGACCGAAGACCAACGCGCTCTTTTGCCCGACCCTACCTCCAACTTGAACTGGTCCAAGTTCCGTGGTGCTATCCACGACATCTTTTCCGCCAATGCTGAAAAACACCCCGAGAAGCTGTGTGTCGTTGAGACCCAATCGACCAACTCTCCTCACCGCGAGTTCACCTACCGCCAGATCAATGAGGCTTCTAACATTCTCGGTCACCACCTGGTGCAATCTGGTATTCAGAAGGGTGAGGTTGTTATGGTCTACGCTTACCGTGGTGTTGACCTGGTCGTTGCTGTTATGGGTATCTTGAAGGCCGGTGCGACATTCTCCGTCATCGACCCTGCCTACCCACCAGAGCGCCAGAACATCTACCTCGACGTTGCCCGTCCTCGCGCTTTGGTGAATATTGCAAAGGCTACCATTGATGCAGGCGAGCTTTCAGACATTGTCCGTACTTTCATCAACGAGAACTTGGAACTCCGCACTGAGATTCCTGCTCTTGCCCTGCTCAATGATGGAACTCTTGCCGGTGGATCCGTCAACGGCCAGGATGTCTTCGCCAATGAAGTCGCACTGAAGTCCAAGCCCGTTGGTATTGTTGTTGGCCCTGACTCTACCCCCACTCTGTCCTTCACCTCTGGCTCCGAAGGTCGGCCGAAGGGTGTTCGTGGCCGTCACTTCTCCCTGGCCTACTACTTCCCTTGGATGTCCGAGACCTTTAAGCTCACCCCTGATGAGAAGTTCACCATGCTCAGCGGTATTGCTCACGACCCCATCCAAAGAGATATTTTCACCCCCCTGTTCTTGGGTGCTCAGCTCTTGGTCCCTGCTCGCGAGGATATCCAGAACGAGAAGCTCGCCGAGTGGATGCAGAAGTACGGTGCTACTATCACTCACCTGACCCCTGCCATGGGTCAAATTCTTGTGGGCGGTGCCTCAGCTCAATTCCCGGCTCTTCACCACGCTTTCTTCGTCGGTGACATTTTGATCAAGCGTGACTGCCGTTCGCTCCAGGGTCTTGCCCCCAACGTGAACATTGTTAACATGTACGGAACGACTGAGACCCAGCGTGCCGTCAGTTACTTTGAAATCCCAAGCTACTCTAGCCACGAAGGTTACTTGGACACCATGAAGGATGTCATTCCTGCTGGCCGTGGAATGTTGGACGTTCAAATGCTTGTTGTTAACCGCTTTGACCCCAGACGTATATGTGCTGTTGGCGAAGTCGGTGAGATCTACGTCCGTGCTGCCGGTCTCGCTGAGGGCTACCTTGGCTCCGCTGATCTAAACGCTAAGAAGTTCCTCACCAATTGGTTTGTCAAGCCCGAGGTTTGGATTGAACAGGACAAGGCCGAGTCGAAGAACGAGCCATGGCGCGAGTTCTACGTCGGTCCTCGCGATCGTCTGTACCGCAGCGGTGATCTGGGCCGTTATACCCCCTCTGGTGATGTTGAGTGCTCCGGTCGCGCTGACGACCAGGTCAAGATTCGCGGTTTCCGTATCGAGCTTGGAGAGATTGACACTCACCTTTCTCGCCACCCTCTGGTTCGTGAGAACGTTACCCTGGTGCGGAGAGATAAGTTCGAAGAGCCTACTCTGGTCAGTTACTTTGTGCCTGATATGAGCAAGTGGGCTTCTTGGCTCGAGACCAAGGGCCTCCAGGATGATGATTCTGCTGAGGGTATGGTTGGACTGCTTCGTCGCTTCCGTCCTCTTCGTGATGATGCTCGCGAACACCTTCGCAGCAAGCTCCCCACATACGCTGTGCCCACTGTCATAATTCCTCTCAAGCGTATGCCTTTGAACCCCAACGGCAAGATTGACAAGCCTGCGCTTCCCTTCCCCGACACCGCTGAGCTGAGCGCTGCTGCACCCCGCCGCCGCTCCTCCGCCATGCAGGCCCTTTCTGAGACCGAGCTGGCTCTTGCTCAGATCTGGGCTAAGCTCATTCCCAATGTGACTGCTCGCATGATCGGAGCGGATGACTCCTTCTTTGACATTGGTGGTCACAGTATTGTGGCCCAGCAAATGTTCTTCGACCTTCGTCGTAAGTGGCGTGGAATCGATATCAGCATGAACGCCATCTTCCGTAGTCCAACCCTCAAGGGCTTTGCCGGTGAGATCGATCGCTTGCTAGCTCTTGAGTCTTTCGCTACCAGTGATGAAAAGACTCTTGCCGGAGCCGTGGAGGCTGCCAACGAGCCTGATGATGAGTACTCTAAGGATGCTCGCCAGCTTGTAGATGAGCTGCCCAAGTCTTTCCCTGTTCGTACCGAGTCCATGCTTGCCACTGAGCCCACAGTCTTCCTTACTGGAGCTACTGGTTTCCTCGGAGCGCACATCCTCCGCGATCTTCTTATGCGTAAGGAGCCTGTCACCAAGGTCGTTGCTCTCGTTCGTGCCAAGAGCGAGGAGCAGGCTCTCGAGCGTCTTCGTTCTACTTGCCGCGCATATGGCTTCTGGGATGAGGCATGGACTGCCAGGCTTCAGGCGCTGTGTGGTGACCTCGGAACCCCCCAGTTCGGTCTCACCCAGGTTGTTTGGGATGATCTCACCAACCGTGTCGATGCCGTGATCCACAACGGTGCTCTTGTCCACTGGGTCTACCCCTACACCACCCTCCGTCCCGCCAACGTCCTGGGTACCATTGATGCCCTGAAGCTGTGCGGCAGTGGAAAGGCGAAGCAACTCGCATTTGTCAGTTCCACCAGTGCCCTGGACAAGGACCACTTCGTCGAGGAATCTGAACGTATCATCGCTGCTGGTGGTAATGGTATCAGTGAGGAAGACGATATGGAGGGCAGCAGCGTCGGTCTTGGAACAGGTTACGGCCAGAGCAAGTGGGCCGGTGAACACCTCGTCCGTGAGGCTGGTCGCAGAGGCCTCAGGGGTACCATCATTCGTTCCGGATACGTTCTGGGTGACTCGCAGACTGGTACTACCAACACTGACGATTTCCTCATCCGAATGCTCAAGGGTTGCATCCAGCTGAATGCCCGTCCCAACATCCACAACACGGTGAACATGGTCCCAGTCGACCATGTGGCCCGTATTGTTATCGCCACTGCCTTCAACCCCCCTCGCGAAGCTGTCAACGTTGCCCACGTTACTGGACACCCCCGCCTGCGTTTCAACCAATTCCTTGGTGCGCTCGAGCTCTACGGATACAATGTCCCCCAGGTTGACTACGTGCCTTGGTCCACTTCCCTCGAGCAATACGTCAATGATGGCCAACACAATGACAAGGACTCCCAGCATGCCCTGTAAGTTTTCCTCTCCTGGAATCATCATTTGAAGTCACTAATTGTTTTTTAGCATGCCTCTCTACCACTTCGTCACTGCTGACCTGCCCTCCAACACCAAGGCTCCTGAGCTGGATGACAGGAACGCGGCCGCTGCCCTACTTGCGGATGCGGCCTGGTCTGGTATTGATGCATCAGCTGGAGCTGGTGTAACCGAGGAATTGGTTGGCCTGTACGCCTCGTACTTGGTGCAGACTGGCTTCCTCCCAGCGCCTACTGTCGCTGGAGCCCGTCCTCTGCCTACTGCCCAACTCAGTGAGGAACAGCGCAAGACCTTGCTGAGCATTGGCGGCCGTGGCAGTGCTGCTTGAAAATAAAACAAAATCTTCTATATCTGTTTCGGAGCATTATGATTCTCATGTGATTGCATTTGTATTTAAAAGAATGAGAGACGCTTATGCCTATGGCTTGACCCTGCGTATAGATAAAGTAGGAGTAGAAAACTGCCGGTTCGCCGATCTTCCCGCTCTCCCCTCGGGACTCAACGTTTTGCTCACTCCACACCGGCTGCCCCTCGTGTCTTTTCGGTATTTATATAGACTTTGCTGTATCCCTCTTTCTCTCCATTCTCTATTCTCTCATCGCATTCTATATCATGGCTTCTGAAGGTACGTGAGTGCGAATCTCTGTTTTTTGCGTCTTTCTTGGCAAACTTCTTCCCATCCCCATCAATTTTTTTCCCGCACCTTCTCTCCTGTCCCGAGTCAATTTAAGACCTTTCAATCAATCCGTTGAGTCTTGGTGAGAAGTGACGGTTGTTGGGATCTCTTGCCTCCCTATTCCTCTCACTCTCACTGCACCTCCCCGCGGACACTCGCGACTCGTCACATCCCACCTCTCTCTCTCTCCCTCTCATTCTCTCTCTCTCTCTCTTCCCCCCATGACTTTCACGAGGCTTGCCGGGCAAACCGGTTTCATTGCGCGTGCAGCGGGGATAGCAAGTGACTCATCGAGTTACGTGCTCAAGACTCGCTTGCGAGTATCCCCGACGAGTTTCCCGGCGCCTCGCACCGTCCCCTTCTCGACCTCCACTCCCCTCCGATGTGCCAATCACAAAAGCAGCGGCGCAGAAACACCAAGCGCGAACACGCCCGATGCCAAGTCTCAGACTGACGCTGGGGACCACACAGATCGGTACGCAGCAGCGCTGCGCAACAACAAGGAGTGGGCAGCCCAGACAGCGCGCGAGCACCCGGATCTCTTCCCAACCCTCGCGACCGGGCAAACTCCCCAGATTTTGTGGATCGGATGCTCCGACTCCCGCTGCCCAGAGACAACCTTCCTGGGCCTGAAGCCCGGTGATGTCTTCGTGCACCGCAACATCGCCAATGTCCTCCACCCTGGTGATCTTAGCTCGGCCGCCGCCATCGAGTATGCCGTGCAGTACCTGCGCGTGAAGCACGTCATCGTGTGTGGGCACACCGCTTGCGGTGGTGTCGCGGCTGCCATGGGCAACAAGAACCTTGGAATTCTGGACCCCTGGCTGTTGCCTCTGCGTCAGCTGCGCGAGCGCAATCTCGAGTTGCTGCAGACCCTGTCTCCCGATGAGGCAGCCATGAAGTTGGCCGAGCTGAACGTCCGCGAGGGTCTGAACATCGTCAAGCAGAAGGGTGTTGTTCTGAACGCCATTCAGGAGCGTGGACTCGAGCTCCACGGACTGATTTACGACGTCGGTTCGGGCGTTCTCAGCGAGCTGGACACCCAAGATTCGGAGGAGGTGATCAGGGCTCGTTTGACCGCTTTCAAGACCGAGTGAGCGTGAAAGCTTGGGATTGGGATTGGCCTATAGGTCCAGGCAACAATATCATCCGTTGAGAAGCAACATATTTTGGACTAGATAGCGCAAAATGACGATTTCATGAAATATTCAAACATTCTACCAAAAAAAAAAAAAAAGCTCGGGGACCTTCGAGGTAATACCCCTCCGAAATCGTATGGCATGATGTGTGGATCTGACCCCAGCACACATCTCCGTCTAAGTGGCCCATCACCACCGAATAAACCCAATCAACTTGAAACATGAATCTACTGCATATTATGGGGACTGGCCTGGAAACGTTGGTTGCGGCTCTTTTTGACTTTTGACTTGTGCATAAGAGTCATCGCAGCCTCGTCGTCGCCTCACTTTACCCGGGTATCTTTGCTCCTTTCGTTCCCCGAACAGCATAGGCAACAGTCTCATGCATGTCTGCCTTCGGATTCTAGTCTAGATGTAAACATGATGTAAACACTAGGTGAGTAATATTGCTAGGCAGTCAGCATATATTTGCTCTCTATATAAACTCCCTTTCCAGATAGATTGAATTGAGTATACTTCCTCCTTCTCTCTAGAAAGAAAGGATCGCTCACACTATATAGGTATGCTTTGAGCTCAAGACCGTATCAGACCGTCGTGTTCTTCTCTTGCTCACCCTACACCACAGTGTTTCTTTCGTCTATATCTATACATCCGTCCCTGTTTTCTTTTCCCACTTTTCAATTCCTTCACCTCAGTTCAAATCATAAAAAACCTCAAAATGGCGGTCACAAATGATATAGAGACAAAGGACGTCGAGACCAACGGCACTGAGACGAATGGCAACGGAGAAACACCGGTCTACGAACCGGTCGGTACAATCTGCGACGTTCGAAATCTATACCAAACCAAACCCGACGAAAACGAAAAAACATCATGGAGCAAAGAAATGCCAACAGACCTACCGGAACCAGCCGAAGACGCCGAGTCCGCCCAATACGTACTCCTAGTCCGCAAAACAAAATGCTACGATGGACGCAAAAGCCTCCAAATGCACTCCATCGTGATCCAAAGCGAGCCCTTGAAAAAGTTCCTAGGAAAAGCCCTAGGCAACTACCCGGGCGTGACAACCAGCCTCGAACGCCTCGAATTCGAAGCTCCTTTCAAGCCAATCGTCCATCGCTGGAAGGATATCACCAAAGCCCGTGATGAAGAGTCAGACCCAACAACCAAAGCGCACGTCGATCTCTTCTACAGAATCATGAACGAAGAATTGAAAGAAGTCATTGACCGTATGAACGACCTCGTCGCTAACGGCGTCATCACCTTCGACCTCGTATGGACGATCCTGGAACCAGAAGATGTGGTCATCTCTTCGCGCGGCGGATCACTACGCGCATACCAATTCTCTTCGCTGGTACCCACGCGCTGCGGATGGGCTGCAAGCGTGAACTACGTTGAATTCGACGGCTCGGATTTCGGCTTCAAGAGTGATGGTTTCAGCATTAATGCGTTCAATGGTACGGTGCCTATTACCTCTTTGTCCATTTGCCCGTTGAAACACCACAAAGACAAAGATGCTATCCGAGGCATGCTGATCGCACGTGGAAAACGCTGGGAAGAGCATAAGGGGTACCACTACAAGGCGTACGAAGGAGCGGCTGTCAGTCGCACCTGGGATGATCGCAACGGCGAAGAAAAGGAGACAAAGTACTTCGTAAAGAGTCGGGTTATTATTGATGCGGAGGGATACAATATCTTCCATCCCAGCACGTCTGTCCATACCAGTCATGATATCGGGAAGGAACTGGAAAGTGATGAGCAGCGGCTTTTTGCTACGCCTTGGTTGCATGGATATTCGCTTAAGGATAAGGAGTGGCTTGGGTTCCATCTGGAGCTGACGAAGGAGATTGAATGGGACGATGATGCGTTCAAATCCCTTGTTTTGCCAGCTGAGCAGGAGAACCTCAAGGATGTCATTCTTGCTGTTGCCAAGGCTCAATCTAAGAAGTTGGATAGCTTTGACGATGTTGTGCAGGGTAAGGGTCGCGGTATTATCATGCAGCTTGCTGGTCCGCCTGGTGTTGGTAAGACTCTTACTGCGGAGAGTGTGGCTGAAGTTATGAAGGTGCCGCTGTATGTTATGAGTGCTGGGGACTTGGGGATGTCTGCCGACTCAGTGGAAAGCAGCCTCAAGGATATACTACGCATGGTCCCCAAGTGGGGAGCTGTATTATTGCTTGATGAAGCTGATGTTTTCATGGAGGCTCGTGATGCGACTGATCTTGCGAGGAACGAGCTTGTTTCGATCTTTTTGCGCATGCTTGAGTACTACGAGGTAAGCTTACACACACACAAACACAAGGACAAGGTGAAATTTGAACATAAACCGGGTTTACTAACTTGATTTCACCTCAGGGCATCCTTTTCCTAACAACCAACCGTGCCCAAAACATCGACCCAGCATTCGAATCTCGAATCCACATTTCCCTTCATTACAAAGATCTGGATTCAAACTCCCGCCGGCATATCTGGGCCCAGTTCCTGGGTCGGTCGGCTAATACTGATGCTTTCACTGATGAGCAGCTTGATCAGGTGGCTGAGGTTGCTTTGAACGGTCGCCAAATAAAGAATGTGATCAAGACTGCTGGACTGCTTGCTTGGGCCCAGGAAGGTGATCTTAAGTACGATCATGTCAAGACTGTCCTCGCGCTAAGGGATTTATCTAAATAAGGTGTCCAACAGTGGTGGGTGGAGGATTTCGGAGGTTGATGATTATGATTACGATATTGCTATTTTTGGATATTTTTGAATTATATTTCACGTTGTTTTGTTGCGATCATGTTTATGTGCATGTACAATGCGCTGCATGTACTCCGTAGTCATACATGGATAGTCCGCCTGGGCACCATGTGTGATGGAACGTGAGGGCTACCTTCATATAATCTAAATGGCCAACTCGAGGCTCTCGAGAACGTGCAAGATAGAAATTGAAAAAGAGAAGGTCTACTAGACAAAAAATCAAATATCAACAGTATACTTGCCCTGAGGCTTTCGTATAGAAGGTGTCTCACCTACTAGTTCATAACACCGTGTACTATGCATATATTATGACACTTGTTGTATTCAAGTTAGGCAGCAGTCCACAGAAAGACTTGGCGTCTTCCTATGATTAATTTAGCATGATCTCATCCATGTACATCTAGAGGGCACATGTAGCCCTCTAGATCCCTGATCAACCCTCTGTGGGAACGTCGCATAGACCCAGAACGACTATCACTCACCCTTCCAGTATTGGTCTTCCTCCAGCTAAACATATCTCAGCTCTCATCAATTTGTAACAGTGAGACAACCACGTCATGTCTCGCATCTCGCTACCCGAGTACGAAAGTACGAAAGCGAAGCGTTAAACCCCAGCCAAGACCACCAATTGAAGCCAGCCGCGAGACACACTAGGCAGATGGACCAGACCAATCACATCAACACATTATAGCCCCCAACAAGCCACCCAGGGGCCGTCAACTCCAACCGTATTGGACCAGAACTGCGACAGGGGTCTGTTCCAATATCCGAGAGGCTCCGCGGGTCCACTCCGCCGCAATTTTACATGGCCCCTGGACGATGCATCTCAACCTTTGCTCATAAGGCTGTGCCGATCAGGATTAACCGGCAATATGGAGTTGGAGTTGGAGTTGTGCACAACCCCTACAGAGTACGCGCTCGGATTGGCCTTGTCTTGTCCACTCCGGCCCTCCGATGCGCTCTAGCATAGAACTATTATACAGATGTGGCGCCCTGTCACAACTCCGATCGCCTGTGGAGCACGCGAGCAGTCAAATTCTCAGTCTCACGCTCTGACTTTATCTCCTTTTCACTCTCTCTCTCTCTCTCTCTCACTCTCTCTCATTTTCTATCCTAGCGGCTTGTGATCAGTCCCCCATGTTGGTCACTGGCAGACCAGGATGATTTCCACGCGCTTCCACCATCCCCAACGCTTAATCTTAGCTGTCTTGGTGCTGTCGGGTCTCTGTTCCAAATTATTGCACATATACCAACACCGCTCGTTGCCCCTATATCTGCTCGCGTTATATTTCCCTACTTTCTTTATCGAAGAGGCTTTTCTCTTTGGCTTAGTATGGCTTTTATTGTATACAACCTCCGGTCGGTGGTCGGTGGCTGCAATTGTCATCTCCGCTATTCTCGCGTTCGTTTACCGTTCCTCTTTTAGTCCAATTACCAAGCGCGATTGTATTAATGCATAACCTCCAGATTGACTGATCTAGTAGCAACGGCATCGCAGGTCAGTTTCTATTCTTCAACCGGAAGCGAGATTCGATGGGATGCTGCCCGCTCGGTGGGTGCCAGTCGCCAAGGAATGAAATTGATCTTGAGTGGCATGGCGACTATGGTCGCCGCGGCGACTGTTATCGGCGTTGCATCGTGGCTTTCGGCCCAGGGAATCTGGACTTTGATGAGCCGGTGGCTATGCGCCTTGTTGAATATTAGAGGCGACACCAAGACAACGCCTGCGCAACAGTCTGGGCCTTCGGATTTGAGGAGTCTATACTACAATAGATCTCGCTTTTGGACGCTTGTTGGATGTGGTGTGACTCTCGGATTGTGGCTCATTCGACCGGCTATACCGTATAATCATATGACCGGGGCACTTCCGTTCGTCATGCTTGGTGAAGGCTCTCGTGCCCGTCAAATTACTGTCGGCTCGTTCCCTCTGCCGGAATTATTGGGTCCGGAATTCCACGAAGCTGCCAATGGCCATTATAAAGGATGGGCGCCGACAATGGACGACGAGGGTAATCGGGGGTACGGCAAAGATAAGCCTGCTTGGGCGCAGGGTCCTTTGCCTCTCGCGTTCGAGAGATGGATTGTCAATTCTGAAGCTAAGTTGACTGGGGTTACGGATACATCTCGAACGCAGATTTTCGAAAAAGAGAATCCTGGCAACCGGAATAAGACGATCGAACCACGACAATACTTCTATAACCCTAGCCAGGATCCCATGCGCATCACCAACCTCGATCTGGGTCCACTTGAACCTCTGCAGGAGGCATTGAAAGACCATGCCATCCCGATCAACCATATCGTCTTTGTGTTTTTGGAAAGTGGCCGGAAGGATCTTTTCCCTCTGAAGACCGACTCTCGTCTTTACGAACAGATCCGTGAAACATACGACATCTACTCGGATGAAGATGTAGAGGATTTACATGACAAGCTGTCTTTGATCACTCCATTCGCAGAAATGCTCACTGGAGAAGAATCCGGGTTTGGTCAATCTAAAGGTATAGACACGGAACGCGGAGGTATCAGCTTCGACGGGATATTGTCTGGGAGCAGTCTCAGCGCCAAATCTCGTCTCGTCAACTACTGCGGTCTAGGTCCATTACCGGTGGACTTTATGCACGAGAATGATATCATTCCCTATCAGCCGTGTCTGATGCACATTATGGATCTATTCAATCAGCGCAAAAACGCCTCATCCCGCTCTGAAAATTCCACCAATGATCCCCGCGAGCGTGAATGGCAGACCCTTTACGCGCAGTCTGTTACTGGAGGTTTCCAGGACCAAACTGAGCTCATGGACTTGCTTGGTTTCAATCAATCCTTGTACTCCGAAGACATCGACTTTGACAATGCGAAGTATTACCACGATGACATGGAGAAGATTAACTACTTCGGGTACGTTATTGCTCCCGTGATCCCGCTCGCTTGTCTATACTAACGCCATTCAGCTACGCCGAAACCGAAATCGGTCCTTACATCAGAGACATGATCAACGAGACCCTGTCTCAGAATAAGAGACTCTTCCTCTCCCATTTTACCAGTACCACCCACCACCCCTGGGGTACGCCCGAAGGCTACCGCCGCGAAAATTACTTCGGAAACAAACAACACTCACAGCACGAAGCAATGGACAACTTCCTCAACGCAAACAGCTTCGTCGACGCCTGGCTCGAAGAGCTAATGGAAATGCTCACGGAAGCCGGCATCGCCAACGAAACCCTAACAGTCTTCGTTGGAGATCAGTATGCCAACCCGTAACCCCTAACTAATTTCAACACCAAAGCTAACGCCAAACCAGCGGCCAAGCCTTCCGAGAAGACAGCCCAGTGACAGGAACCTACCAAAACCCCCACATATCCAACTTCCGCGTGCCACTCCTATTCCACCACCCCCTCCTACCACGCTTACACCTCAACGTGAACGGCAGCGCCATGTCAATCCTCCCAACAATCCTCGACCTCCTAATAACAACATCCTCCCTAAACGAAGCAGACACGACAATCGCCCAAGATCTAATAAACGAATACGAAGGCCAATCCCTCATCCGCCCATACCGCACTTCCCACAACGGCCGCGAAGCATGGAACATGGGCGTTATCAATGCCGGCGGGACGATACTTAGCGTTGGATCGGCTGCTGTGCCGTGGCGGTTGAATCTGCCGTTGAGTAACGATTTCGAGTATCGATTTACAGACTTGCAGAGCGATCCGTTTGAGTTGAAGCCTGCTACGGCTTGGTCTATGGGAGGTCTTGCTGCGGAGGTTTATTCCAGGTTTGGGGCTGAGGCTGTGGATTGGATGATGAAGGCGGAGAAGGTTGGGCTTTGGTGGGTTACTGAGCGGAAGAAGTTGTGGAATTATGAGGATGAGGAGGAATAGTTGTTCTGTCTTGCTGGTTCACTGCTGGCTGTGGATCTTTATTGGATTGTTTTGATGGTTGTGTATTGTATGATTATAGGGTTTGGGTTGTTTGACCTGTTGTATATAAAGACACGAATAACATGACTGTTGCTCTATCATCTATTCTTGGTGCTTCTATATTTCTTGAATGAGATACTGTTGGTCGACATGCTCGTAGATTAACAACGGGGTAATCAAGTATGAAATGACAGGAATACGGCCCGTTTGGTTTATATTCCCACCCGTATATATATCTGACACCCGATTTCAGATTTGAGCAATACCAGAGCAGAGGTTGATTTGCTACAGTTTCTGACTTTGCATTTATCAGAAATCTAAACAAATCTGACGAATTACACCGGAGCAAGACAAACTTCGAAGATTGTACCAAAGATGGCGGGATCCAAGCCACCAAAACCACGCCACAAAGCTTGCTCCGGCCGCAGATCACAATGCCATTAATGAAAGAGCCAAGAAACGGAATGGCATTGTACAAGGCTATCCCATCGAGTGCCCAGGTAAAACCGTGGTGCAATCCCTCTAAAATCCAGGGGCTTCCGAACGCCGATGCAGGAACCAAACCCAACCCAATATCTGGAACAAGAAGTAAAAATCAAGATAAGAAACGCAGCAGAGACCCATAAAATTCCCAAGACGGGGTTGGGTGTTTTGCTATTGGTTGACGGAAGCAGCTCCGTTGACCAGAGGAATGTAACTATACTGGCTGGAATGTGACCTTGGATAGAGTCATGATGTCGGAGGTGTGCTTTGCAAACTACTCCCGTTGCCACTTGTAGGTGACTTTGATCTTAAATTGGGGTTATTGGTTGCATTTGGTTGGGTAATTCTTGTTTCTTTGGAAGGAGCTTCTACGTAGGAGATGTGTTCACCCTGGTATACGTCGAGGTTTTTGTAGTAGATCTCGACTGTTCTTCGGCCATTTGACATCACAAGACCTATTATTCAAGAACTCGAAATTTAGATGATAACTAGACTACAGCTTGTACCTGAACTCTAGATTCCCCTGATCTGGTGGACCCCAGAGTTTTTCCCCATGTGGTAAGATCCACCTGTCAAAGTGCTACATGTACATGCACCAAGAATAGACACAGATCGTGTAGAACCTTGGAACCTGGCAAAGGATATCCAAGGATCCGACTTTTCTGAAAGACAATGTAACCGTTGAGCTCTGGTTTGGGGCTCAGTTGTCCTATATTATCGAGACAATTGCTCTGTTGGACTTTCAATCACTCCATTTGATCATTTCTATCCATTGAGACTCAAATCCTCCGGTTTCCGCCAAATTTGACTCTTCATTCGCCTATACTCATTGCCCAAATGCGTTTTATCACCACCAGCCTGCCTTTGGTGCTGGCTACATCCGCAGCCCTCGCCGCCGCTCAAAGCGCAACAATCACAGCCCCAAGCGGCAATGAGCAATGCACTGCTGTGCCGTAAGTACTCAATAACCCGAAAATTCGAAATGACAAGCATGCACTAACCCATCGAAGAATCGTCCAGAAATGTATCGCGATAATGCAAAAAGGACTCGACAAATGCGCTAAGGATGACTGGGACTGCAAGTGTTCAGGCGCAGCCAACATCTTCGGGTAAGGAGAACGACCATCAGCACACTCCCCCTCCATCTGATAGTTACATGAAATGCTGACATACTCCAAAGCTGTTATGCAGACTGCATCGGCGAAGACCGCGTCTCAGCCGAACTCCTCAGCGAACACGACTGCCGCACAGCCAACGCATATGACAAAGGACTATCCACTGTGGATGATGTATGGACAACCCCCAGTCCCAATGCTGTCGAGGCTACACCTACAGAAGCCTCTGCCGCTTCCGAGGTTACAAGTACCAGTGAGCCGACGAAGACTTTGAGTGAGGAGAAAGCGGCGGCGGAGACGTCGAAGGGTGCTGCAGCTGGGAGACCTGTTGGGAGCTGGTTGGCTCTTGTGGGACTTGGACTTGGTGTTGCTTTCTGATTTATGTTATCTTTTGGATTTGGGTGTTTGTTTTAATATATCATCATGGAGTATCGCATTAGAGCTGGGTAATTTGGGTTGGGTTTAGATTGTCTGGTTTGGTCTCTGAGGTACCCTAGCCCCGAGAGTTAGAAGCCCCTGCTACTCTTGGAATATGATAGCCGTTTTGTTCGTTGAGTCTTTTGATTTATAGATGGAATGCGCTTTATCTCAACTCTACTTTGAAGCTCGGGCATGGTCACGTGATCCAATTGCCTACATGAATACACGCCAAAGTATTTGCTTCTGGTCAAACCATAGAAACAAGAAGCTCAAACAGATTTATAAACAGTGAGGAGAATTAACCTCTGATACTGTTGAAGGGTCCACTAGACGAAGGGTTTTGGCAAATATAAACTCTGAAACCAAATCCATCGCGCTGACGAGGCCTCTGACAGAACGGTCCACAGATTAACAAGTCTGAGAGCTCCGTTTCCACCCCCTGCATTGCGCCCAATGATACCTGGTGCTTGACCGTACGCTGTCCGTTATTGGCCCCTCGGGCGCCAGGGTCCTGAATGCTTAGATCCGCAAGCCTCTTGCCCATCTAAGCCTTTCACCTCCTGTCTCCCTTCTTCCCCAATGTTGTTCCTTGTCACTCATCAGAACCATGCTGCCTTTCAGCGTCTTACTGGTATGGTTATGCCAGACTGTGCTGGCACAGTACTCCAGTGATGACCTCTTTTCCTTCGTTACGGTTGGTCGCGATTCCCAATCCCACCATTTGACTCCTCGCTAACACCGTGCTCAATCTGCAGCTCCCCGACGTAAGGGCAGTGAAATTCAACATCAAATACCACAATCGCGAGCGCGTCAGTCCCGGGTACTGGTTTGTCTCGCCGTACCTACACATCGACCCCGATCCACCGAGTAGTTTGTACGAACAATACCAGATCGGTCCGCACATCTACGATGACGAAGGGGTGCGTTGTTAGTTTCGCTGGACAGATCTATTTACTAACTATAATATCTTATAGCGCCTCGTCTGGACCGGCTCGCAACAGTTCGACAACCGCAATGTCTTCGATTTCAAGGTTACCAACAGCCTCGGCCCCGACCCACACCTCTCTATGGTGTTGCAACACTCGTGGGATGGAGGAGAGGATTCTGGATTTGGAATTGTCTTGAGAAACGACTATGAACAAGACCGGAAGCTTCCTTTGCGACGCGACCTGGGTATTTTCGACATTCACGAGTTCAACATTCGCCCCGATGGCAAGTCCGCGCTGCTCTCCATCTACCTCTCCCACGAAATCACCCTTGAGGAATACGGTCGGCCCGGTGAGCCTACCTGGCTCGAGACTGGTGGCTTTGCCGAGATCGATATGAGAACAGCGGAGGTGATCCAGTGGTGGGATTCATTCAATCGGATTACTCTTCGGGAGACTGTGCATTACGGCCCGGCCTCCCCAGCGGAAGCACACCCAGGTTGGGATTATGTGCATATCAACTCGGTTGATAAGAATGATGCTGGTGACTACCTGATCTCGGCACGATTTACCAACACCATATATATGATCTCTGGTATCAACGGAGACATTATGTGGCGACTGGGTGGAGCTTATACTAATTTCCAGCAAGACTTTGTCTTCTCCAAGCAGCATGACGCGAAATTCGTGGAGTCGAATGGAACACACCATATCATCTCTTTCTTGAATAACGCTTCCGACGAGGAATTTAACGAGGAGAACATGTCGTCGTCTATGTTTGTGGAACTGGACACTGGCGCAAACCCAATGACCGCCCATGTTATCCGACGTTACAACCGCCCTGACCGCGAGCTCTCGAGGCTGCGTGGAAACACCCAGCTGCTTCCTAATGACAATGTGTTCAGCTGCTGGAGCAAGGCAGGCTATATCTCCGAACATGCAGCTGACGGAGAGCTCTTGTTTACTGCCAACTTCACTTCTCCCCGCTACTCAAGCTACCGAGGATACAAATTCGAGTTTACTGGTCGTCCCAAAAACCCGCCCGATGTGGTGGCCTCGGTGTCTGGCACCGACGAGACAAACATGGTGACCTCTTTCTGGGTCAGCTGGAACGGAGCCACAGATGTCGCGACATGGAACTTCTACGCACAAGCATCTGAATTCCATGTCCCCGTGCTCATCGGATCAACCCCCAAATTCGACTTTGAAACCATGTTCGTTGCAGCCGGTTACCTCGACTGGGTATCCGTCGTGGCCCTAGATGCCAACGGCACAGCCCTCGGCAAGTCCGCGGTCCATCGTACCAAGTACCCGAACTGGAACTCAGTCGGATACAAAGGAAAGTCGACCTCGCCCCGACCCAACGATCCCTCAATTATCTACCAAGCAAGCGACAAGGTCGGCGGCGACAACGTCATGGACGAGGCTGGCCGTACATCCTCCGATGCAATGGACGCCCAAACCCAAAAGACCATCCAAGTCCTCAACCACTCTTACGAGGCTATTCGCAGCATTGGCGGGACGTTCGCTTTCATTTTACTTTTTTGCTTGTTCTTTAGTGTTTTGGCATGTTACATGGTTATTCGCGGCTGGCGGGTCCGGCTCTACCAGCGTCTCAAGATGGAGGATAGATACCCCGAGGAACAGGCGCATCTGCGGTCTATGCATCATGAGGATTGATATGTTCAAAAACTAGCATGTTTGCATCATTTTCGGGCGTTTTATATATGATGTTTATTTGGGGAATGGGAGTTGCCCATTGTGTATATAGTACTGGGAACTGGGTCATGATTACCCGAGGGATTTTGGTAATTTCACTATATTAGATCACATCAGATCTACAACGGGAGAAATAGGTCTTTTGAGACCCCCTGCTTTGTATGATCTAATTATTTCATCCACGGAACTCGGAAAGGGGCTTAAAAAAAAAAAAAAAAAGGCGAAGAAAGAGGTGGAGAAAAAGAAGCTAAGTTAGAGCACAAAGAGTGTATAAAATAAGACACTCGCCTCGAGGACCTTGGAGCGAAACCATCTATTAAACCACTGCCCTGTTAACGTATTTATGATTCAATTGTCCCTCGGGTATAATGTTGGGAAGAATCTCGGGAAAGATCAACCTATGAGGCTCCCCGCACTAGCAGGGGTTGGCTGATGCTAAATTCACCCACTCCACATGCTTGTATACTTCAAGCAAATATGGCAGCCCGTGCAGTGCTGGAACAATTGTGACACAAGGCGAATGAGGAGACACAAATGTCAGCCTACCAAGTGGAAAATGGAATTGAAGCGCCCGGTGTCTATTTTTGCAGTTCCAGAACCTCCGGCGTACTAAACTGGCCCACAATCAGATCTGGAATATCTCCGAATCTTTGGCAGACTTGTAAAACACCCCGCACGACAAAATGGACGGCGTTTTACCCCAAAAGAGATGCGTACCCCTCGTGTCTGGCCCACAAATGTTACTTGAGAAGAATTCAAGCAAGGGGATTATCGGGTTTCGGGAATAAATGTGGCAATATTCCCGAGAAAATTATTCCCGAAGATTCTTTATATTTAGTCACCGTGACTCAGTGGCGGTGTCTTTGTTTCTCTTTAAAGCTTTATTACAATTGTCTGTTATTGTTCTCGTCCAATTTCACGCCCCAATTGATATCAATTGATACCCACCATGCCCTCAACCAGCTTATGCCAAGACGAGGCGTGCCCGCCATACAGCCTGATGGACGACTACAGCGAAGGAGCACACCCCCAAATTCTAGAAGCTCTCCTACGAACAAACTCCACACAACAAGCCACCTACGGCACAGATGAATACAGCAACAATGCTCGACAATTGATCCGAAACAAGATCGGCTGCGCGGAAGACGAAGCCGATATCTTTTTTGTTCCCAGTGGCACATCCGCAAACCTTATTTCAATCGCCAGCTGTTTAAGACCTTATGAAGCCGTTATTACTCTCGAGTCGGGACATATTGCGTGCAAAGAAGCCGGTGCAATCGAGGCAACCGGACACAAGCTTATTCTCGTTCCTGCCGTCGACGGCAAGATGACACCCACGAATCTCCAAAAAGCCATTCAGCAGAATCAATTCTTCCCTCATATGGCCAAGCCCCGCCTGCTTTATATCTCCAATGCTTCCGAGACTGGAACTGTTTACACGAAACGCGAGCTTAGCAATTTGTCCGCCATTTGTAAGCAGTCAAATCTCCTGCTTCTCATGGATGGAGCTCGAATCGGAACGGCGCTTTGCTCTGTTAAGAATGATCTCACTATGCGTGATATCTTTGAGATGACGGATATTTTTTGGATTGGTGGAACTAAAGCGGGTGCCCTGATGGGAGAGGCTATCGTCGTCAAGCAGCACCTGGCTGAGGGCTTCGTCTTCCACCTCAAGCAGCATGGTGCCCTGCTGGCCAAGGGACGGATCCTGGGAGTTCAGTTCATGGAGCTGTTCAAGTCGGATTTGTTTTTCACGTTGGCTACGCATGCCAACGAGATGGCGCAGAAGATCTCGATGAATCTTGAGAATCTTGGTTATAAGCTCGCTGCAGATACGGAGACAAATCAGGTGTTTGTGATTCTTCCCCAGGAACTGGTTCGGAGACTGCTGGACAGATTCCGTTTCTATGTCTGGGAGCAGCTTGAGGATGGCAATGCGGTCGTTCGTCTTGTGACCTCTTGGGCGACGGATGAGCTGCAGATTGACAAGTTCAATGCGTGGTTGCAGCAGTGGACTGTGGCGACTAAGTGATCTGCCACTTATCCATTGCTGATGAATGGATTATTAGAATAGACGCATTAATATTTAATATAAACACGAAGTTAAGATCAATCTCAAATTCTCGACATTGGTCCGATCACCTGATCACCCTAACCATATTCGGAAGTTGCGTTATGTCCCGGAGCTTAACTTTCACTTCCTCGCGAGTTTGCCTGCTCCTTTATTCGTCAAAATTAGACTAAATTAATCATAATGGTTCTATTGCGCTCCTACATTGATCCGGCGCGCTTGGCTTCCTGATAAACCCGATATATGGCCGTGACTTCTTCATCTACCCCAGGTCACCCCACTCGAGTATAAACTCGATGAGGCTATCAATATCATGTGATGCTTGTCGGTTAGTGTAACCAGATAATTCCAGCACAAGTTCTGTTTTGACCAATCGCCAGCCAAGCAAAAGTCAAATGCGTGCATGAAGGACAACCGCCCTGTCAACGCTGTCAAAAGACCAAGAACCAAGGATGCAGCCTTTCAGACCCGCGTGTCGGAAGACAGAGCACGAGAAAGAGCACCGTCTCATCAACAAGTCCAAGAAAGCGCAAGGCCTCATCGACTCTGTCGCCAGTCCTCAGGAATGCAAATCGGGTCACCCCCCAGAATGCCACAGCTCCAGATACCGATAACCCGATCACAGCATTGTCACCAGCAATCGTAATCAGCGCGGTAGAAACCTACAGAAAGAAGTTCCCCATCGCCAACTTTCTGCACTACCCTTCTCTGATTTCCGACATATCCGCCAACGTCCACTCTGTGGATCCCGTTTTCGTTGCCTCGGTTCTGTCATTGTGCGTGCGGTTCATGAGCAGCGATGAACTTAAAGACGAAGAAATGTACGCCGACTATGCGCGCAAAAACCTAGCTCAGCGGGTTCTCGAAGCCCCGTCGCTTTATCTTGCCCAGTCACTGGTGATGATCTCTTTCTATGAATGGGGGACTGGACGTCCATATCAAGCTTGGATGTACAGTGGTATGTCAGAATCGCATGGATTCAGATACTGTATTGTATAGACTGGTCACTGACAAGTCACAGGAATGGCAACCTACATGATTCAATCACTTCTCAAAATGGCAGATGACAGCATGGAACACAACCCGCAGGAATTCCATGCATCCCAAACACAATATGAACAACTCGTCCGGACGTACTGGTGCTGTTTCGCGCAAGATTGTGAACTGAGTTCCGGGGCACGGCAGCATTTCGCTCTTTCATTCTCTCAAATCTCTGTACCCCTCCCAATTAGCGATCGGGATTTTACTTTCAATCAAACGCCCGCTAGCAGGTTAATGCCCGCTGATATGAACAAAGGGTGTGCATTAGCGAGGGATTTGACAATTGAGCACGGTCTCACGATTGTGACGAGAGGATTTGACATTTTTGTTCGGATTTTGAGATTTGCGAATGAACATCGACGCGCGCTGGCTTCCATGTCGGATGATTCCGCCACATCGCCACTGCTTCTGACTTGGCAGGGACTAAAGGAGGAACTGGATGAGTGGAGATTCCTTCAGGATAGGACTGTTCGATATCCTGATACTAGTGTTCAATCGCATGTGGCACTTGGATACGGGGAGTTGTTCGCATATATCAATCTGGTGTATTGCATGAGGTATGCATACCCTCTTCCAAATCTGTTACTCGATACTGATATGTCTGAAGCATATTATTCCTCCATCGTGATCGCTTCTTATCGAATCTTAAACCTCACGCAGACGTATTCCACGACACAAACGATGAAATCCAAGGCGAGCCAGATACAATCAAACAGCTCTTCGAAGCAGCCCAACAGATCGGAGGGATTCTCTCTGCCCTCGACGACTCAGGCGCACCGGTGATATCACCATACTCAGGCTTCAGCGTCTTCGTCGCCGCCCACATCAACATGTACGGAACAATCGCTCCACAACGATACCCCGGTGGACCGGAAAGAGCCGAAGAAGAAAAGGGCAAGAACCTTGTCTATCTCGGACGATTAAGCAAGCTCTGGCCGGTTGGTCGCAGCTGGGTAAGAGCTCCCTTCTTCAGAACCATCCATCCAAGCTGACAACAATGATAAAAAAAAAAGTGGCGAACAGTCCAAGAAGCAAACCGCTTCTACGAAACCGTCAAGAACAACCAAACAACCACAACAGCCAACCCAGACTCCGGAATGCACAGTCCACGCCGCTTCGCACTAGCAGGAACGCTAGATGAATACGGCGATATTAGATCACGACCAAATACAACCAAAGACACCCACGCGCATAGGAATCGAGCAGCGACTACCGACTCAGGCGACACGCATAGCTCTCACCCTGCTGGACGGACATCTTCGTCGCCTGGTTTAACGGGTGACACCGCTAATTCTAATTTGGATAATGCTTCGATAGCCCATCATGATTTTGAGACCGATATGTTTCAATGGCCTTTTATTGATGCTTCTTGGTCTACCGGGTTTGATGCCGGGCTGGATGGGCTTTGGTATAATTCTGGGCTTTTTGACCCGAATCCGTCATTGAGATGAGTTGCATGAATCTGTTTGCGGTGCTATAGCATATCAACCAATTTCTTCATGAAATTTTCGAAACTAGTGTATTCTTTAATCCATCATTTGTGCCCTTCTTTGGCATATCTGTTTTTCACCTCTTTTTTGCCCATTTTCGAGTTCTTCTCACGACAAATGAGTTCCCATACACCATAAAACTCAGCTCCTAGACCACTAGGACGAGGTCGTAGCGGCACTCTCCAGGCTATTCCTTCCCACCGTTTGTATTCTTAGTTGATTTCCCTCTTCGTGCTTCTTATGTTGCAAATTTCATCAGTCAATCCTTCTAAGCTTCAGGGCTAACGTTAGATTAACGAGAGGTAGATGCAGGAAGCGTGAGCTGAGTGGACTGGATCACCACCCGGACTCGTAGGCGTCGGATTCCTATCAGGTATTTGGTTGTTCCGTCGTTTTACCGCTATTGCAATATAAAAACTCTTTTTATTGTCCTTTTTGACCTAACTCGACTTATTAATATTTAAACCAGAAGTGCGGATAGAGGTGAGGATATAGATGAAGCATTGTTTGATAGAGTTATATAGACATCTGATTGGCCGATATACTACCTATCACAGAGCCCACCATTGGCCGGTCAGACGAGGATGTTAAGCTTATTCCCGCACGATCAAATAACCCATGGAACCTTCCACCTTCCTTCTCTGCAAGGCTGTCTTAAGCATAAATCCAATAATCTCAACCTCGGCACAGAGATTGAGTGATCGAGTCACGCAAACATGATGTCTACATTCAACCAAACCCAAACAATTCAATATCAAATACGAAAAACTCGGATAAGATCCATCTATTAATCTAGAATTCATTATAGATATACAAAGAAAAAGGGTATATACAACCAAGAGAACAGGCAAAAAAAAAAAAAAAAAAAGAACGCAACAAGGCTAGGGCGGGCCCAACTCTTGTAAAATACTATCAATACACATGCACGTCAAGGGTCATGGTCATGAAGTCTCAATAGTCTGAGAAACAGCGACCGTCTTCCGAATTCCATCTTCGGGGTTATAAGAAGACTCGCTAGCCTCGGGCGCGCCAGCGAAGGAAATCAGATGACTCTGGTCACCGAATGCGGTGGCCTTGTCCCATTCCGAGGCGACCTTTGACGGGGCGGATTTGCGTTCGCGTTCGCTGAGCGCCATGTTCGAGCTGTGTTGGTAGTATTTGTCGGAGACGGTCTTTTTGTAGTAGGCGAGTAGGACGTTGAGGATTGGGAGACAGGCGCAGATTAGGCCGACGCCTCCTTCGGCGTTTCTGTTGCGTGTTAGATGCTGTTTGGAATGGATGGATGGATGGATGGATGGATGGATGGATGGATGGATGGATGGATGGAATGGAATGTGGATAGAGTTGAAAGGGGCGGAACTTGAGGTGACATACCCAGACAAGATAACTCGAACGAACATCAGACTCATATCGCTCGAATTACCATCCTTCAGCACGAGGACCAGACGGTACAGACTGAACCCAGTAGCCAAACCGCCGGCACCGAGAAGACCCATAACGCGCAGCTTTCGGTTGCGCGACATTTGCAGCGACCACGTGAGCGGCAGGGGGAGGATGAGAATGATGATATCGCTAACTACAGAGATAACCGAGTCGGCGATTAGTGCGGCTGTTTGATCGAGACAGGAGCCGCCTTCCACTGGACCCAGCCAGTACATTGGGATCGGGTCACACATGCGGATCTTGATGATGAGGGCGACGATGTAGTAGCAGCAGAGACAGCCGAGGAAGATGTAGATGAACCAGACTTTGCCGCGGTAAGGAGAGAAGATGCGGGTGAGGATTGAGAGAAGGGCGATTTTGACGAAGAGAGCCATTGGGCAGTAAAGGATTGTTGCGATGTAGCAAAACTTTTTGAATTGGATTTTGGTGGCGTCGTCCAGTTCATCGAAGTGATAGCCGCCGCCATGTTGGCCGACTGAGGTTGTTAGAGGATTTGTATAGAGGGGGGAAATGGAATGGTTGTACGTACTGACGATACCGATTGCGCAGTATCCCATGAACAATAGCTACGCCATGTTAGTCTCAAAGATGCCGAGGTCCAGCCGAGTTTCGTTGAACATACCCATGCTATGGTGCAGCCATCTTAAAAAGAGGTTAGAAGAGGCAAGGGGTAGGGAGTGGTGACCAGAACATACAATCTTCAACCCCTAACGATTGCTTGAATCGGAGTCGAGTGTAAAAGCGCAACCCGACGAAAAGAGTGACGACCGGAATACAGAGACATTGTGTGACGAGATTGATTGTGTTGAGGACATCCGTAGGCTGATCAGACATGATGGGCTAGAGAACGAAGAGAGTCATCACCCCGGGGAGGTGATGAGATAAAGAACTAAGGGACGGTTCATGCAACGCATGAAACTTGGGTGAAAAGGGCAGCTGAAGCCCCGAGGGCGATCCCCAGTGGAGACTGGAAGGCTATCGATCCGTGGCGTTACGCTATGGACAGACCTGATTGATCGGGGAAGTGAGGCAGTTCCCACCACGGAATAGAAGTCTACGCCGTGTCCGCCCCAATAGATCGAATAGTTCTTGATGAAATCTAGCTAATTCTCCACTACAGTAACGCACCGGAGGCCCGAGCCACTCTTGTCGTTTTAGCCGACCCTAAAAATGTGCACTCGATCGTCAGTCCGTTGTTTCGACCATTTGACAACTGGGGAATAGTCAAACCCTATGTTTTTCGTAGCCGAGCTGACACTTTTGACACTTTTCAGATGAACGGTCTCCATAGTACCGTTTCGATTCCCCCTTGTTCCCTGTTGCATACTCCGTACTCCGTACATAATATAGAATGACTATTCACCAACTCAGCGGCAAAGACTCCGGTCTATTCCGTCCCCTGACTATCTCCAATGGCAAAATCACCCTGCAACATCGTGTGGTTCATGCGCCTCTGACCCGCAACCGTGGCGAGCCATTGAAACCCTCCACCCCAGAGAATCCCAATCGAATCTGGATCCCCGGGGACCTGATGGTGGAGTATTACTCCCAGCGGGCAACACAGGGTGGCTTGATGATATCCGAGGGAATCCCACCATCACTGGAGGTACGTGGTATAAGCCGTCAAGCTGTCAACCCTAAATCAGCCCCCAAAAGAGCCAAAATAAAAGCCAAAATCACGCCATGGTAGCCTGTTTCTCATTTCCGCACTGTTCGCGTCTCCATATCGCAAAGTTTAACACAATTTTCCTCAGAGCAATGGCATGCCCGGGGTTCCCGGGCTCTTCATCCCCGAACAGGCCCGCGGCTGGAAACGCGTTGTCGACGCCGTGCATAGCAAGGGAGGCATTATTTTCTGCCAGCTGTGGCACGCTGGACGAGCGACAATCCCACAGATGACAGGGTCGCCCGCAGTGTGTCCATCGGCGAGTGTGTGGGATTCCCCATCGGAGTGTTATTCGCACCCGCCCGAGGGCTCCACCTCGCCCGTGCCATACGCGAAACATCCACCGGTCGAAATGACAGTGGAACACATCCAGACGACTATCGCCGATTATTGTGCAGCTGCCAAGACTGCCTTGGAAATTGGCTTCGATGGTGTTGAAATCCATGCTGGTAATGGCTATCTGCCTGAGCAGTTCCTTAGCTCTAACATCAATAAGCGAGGGGATGACTATGGTGGCTCCCCCGAGAAGAGATGCCAGTTTGTTTTTGAGCTGATGAGTGCGGTTGCTAAGACGGTTGGCGAGGAGAATTTGTCGATTCGTCTCTCGCCGTTTGGTTTATTTAATCAGGCGCGGGGTGAGCAGCGCGTGGAGACTTGGTCGCATCTATGTGAGGGCTTGAAGAAGTCTTTGCCGAAGATGTCCTATGTCAGCTTTATTGAGCCGGTATGTTCTCCCTCTTTACGTCTGTCTGACCACCACTCACCGAGTCAGCGCTACGAGCAAATCTTCGACGTCGAAACAAAGGACAAGTTCCTCGAGAGCTGGGGTCTGTCAGACGTGACCCTCGATCGCTTCCGTGCGATCTTCGGCTCCACCCCCTTCTTCTCCGGTGGTGGCTGGAACGAAGAGAATTCATGGGGAGTCGTTGAGTCCGGCAAGTATGATGGTATGATCTATGGCCGGTACTTCATAAGCAACCCGGATTTTGTGCGCCGATTGAAGGAGAAGTTGCCCTTGACTCCTTACGACCGAACCCGCTTCTATGGTCCGTTTGAGGATAATGCTTTCCACTACATCGATTACCCGACTGTGGAGCAGCAGAACTAGGGCAATACAATAGAGATGGAGATAGAGATAGCTCCGTCCTGTACATAGTTGGGTGGCATTGTTCTCACATCTGGTCGGGATACTTTTCACCACGTTCACCACGAATTGAAGTTGGAATGATCAGCGCTGATGTTGGATACTTTTGTCCAATCAATTCAATAGCTTATACATCGATTAACATCTACACTTACATATTGCTGCTTTTCTCAACTATCGTCCCCTAGGCTGCGGGGTGGAACTCACAAGCAAGGGGGCCAAAAGGTCTCGAACTCCGAACTATTTTCCGGCCCCAAGATCATGATTGCTTACCACACTCTCGGGACCTATGCTACATTTACAGTAAATTGCACGAGTGAGGCTGATCCTGACCCAATGATGATCTACAGTATTAACTAATTTTTGGGGTGCGTGTGCTTTGTACTTTGACCTAGGCGATATTGAGATCGTCCTGCAGGCTGTGTTCGCCAAGTGCGGGTATTTCGGACATACACGCGTTTCCATAGACGTTATCGCCGCCTTTTTGCGGCTATGTATGCCAGTGTGAAAGAGGGTTTCATAGAGTACTCCGTGCTGGGCTGTCTCATCTCTGTATGGTATTATGTTCAGGCTGACTATTGAAAGTTGGGAAACAGGGCTGAGCTGGGGCCGAGACAATGCATGCTTTCATCCGAAATATGGTTGACTCAATTTTGCTTGATTACCTTGGGGACAGCTCGCGGAGATATCTCGGAAGGAGAAAAACCTGAGGCAGGACAAGGCAAATGGAAGGCCCAGAACTCATTTGACCACCTCAATTTAGGTGTTACAGACCTAGAGAGTCACGTCATGGTGCCACGGGCAACGGAGATGTGGACATGCTTAAGTTTTTTCCAGGTCAATTCTTCAAATGTCGACAGCGTTATCGAGATTCCCTCTATAACAGCTCCTAGTAAGACTGCCTTCTCCATAACGAATCTATATTCACAGCCGCTAAGGGTGCATGTTTACAATAAAAGAATATGTCCACCTCATTTCATATTTTTATTTGTTCTCATTATATCAAACAAAGATTTAGGAAACAGGAAAGTGAGACTAAAGACGCAGAACTGGCAGATATATATCTGTGGTGAAATGGATTACAATCGATGAGGGAGATAACACAAATTACTCTGTCCCGTCGCTCCCAGATGAGAGGATGAAGACCTTGTATATGCATGAAGAAAACGATCTCACCGTGTAAAGGACCCATGAAGGACCCGTGAAGGAGCATCACCAGTGGTGCCGTGTTATTTATGCACATCCGAAGCCCCATCCTTTCATCACAAAGGGATACAGAGAAAGCATGTCAGTGAGAAAGACTTAAAAGATGACTAGGGAAAGGCATAGAGACTGATTGGAGAGAAGGATCTCCAGGAGAAAGAAACGCTTTTAATTGCTCTCTGACGTTTGCTATCATTCAGATAATCAGTAATCACGGGACAATTACGAAAAAACTTCCTTTTTTGAAACAATGAAGATAAGTCAAAAGAAATGGCTGGCTAGCTTGTCTCTCTATATTATGACCCCTGAGTCAAACACAATAAGCGAATCTAGGATGGTTATTCAGAGAATGCGCGCGAAAACCCACCACGTGAGCGTGGAGCCAGGTATGCTTAGCAGAGGCACAGGAGAACGAAGACCGAGGCAGCAATTGCTAGCCATCGCTAACCCCATATTATATTTGAGCAATCAAGCCATGCGCTTATTCACAACTTTAATTCAATCGCCGACGGCTGTTACTTCTCGGCGTAAGATCATCCGAGACCCCGCCGGCCCCTCCGCCGCAGTACTTACAAGTTTATCAGTAACGCCCAAGTCCTGGAGATGGCAAAACTATAGCATCCGTGCAAAATGATTTCAGTAGAAGAACAAAAAGTATGTGATTCGGCCAAGTCCCAAATCAAGTATTGACATATCATACTCGAAATAGACCATCAACGAGCTCCAGGCGAATTGGGTCTGGATTCCAAATTGGCTTGATTTTTCGGACCAGAACACTGCTGGCAAGATTGTTCACTTCAGTCGCTCAGTCAATTTGCCTTCGCGACCGAAGCAGTCACTCCTTCATTTCTCAGCTGACACCCGATACAAGCTCTACGTCAATGACCAACATGTTGCGGTTGGACCGGCTAGAAGCAGTCCCTTGATTTGGTACTATGATACACTGGATATTGCGCCCTATCTGAAAGAAGGTCACAATGAGATCCGATTCGTGGTCGTTCGATATTTCGCGGCATCGAGGAGTGCGATGCCTTTCGAGCGGACTGCTCTTCCGGGATTGACTGTCACCGGAAACATCAAAACTGACACCGAAGTCATTGATCTGAAGTCTACAGGAGATTGGGTGGCGTGTGTAGAGGAGAGCATCCAATTCCCAACGGGGCTGCCTGATGATGTGTTTCTCCATGTAAGAGTTTGTTCTCGAATGCAAGTTTGGCCCTTTACTAATTTGTGTACAGATCAGCGAGCGCATTAAGCCAACAGAGCCCAGTGCTTCAGTAAATCCATTTGCATACAACATGAAGACATTGAATGGTGACATTCCACCCTGGAATTTGCGCCCGCGCTCTATACCGATGCCCGAGTCAGAGGCAATCGCTGTCAGCACCGTAAGGGCGTGTAAGAGCACCGTCGACACTGAGAACTGGACAGCCTTTCTCTCTAAACAGAGTCAACTCACTCTTCCTGCAAATTCGGCCCATACACTCGAGGTTCAGGCCGATGTCCACTCAACTGCATTTCTCCGGTGGGCGTTCAAAGCAATCAAACACCCATCTCAAATCCAACTGCGGGTCACATACTCAGAAGGATATGAACTGGAGCCTCGGTCCTATCCGTTCTTCCGGTCCAAGGCTGATCGGCTGGATGCAACCGTTGGCCATATCATAGGCCCATATGATGAGGTTACCCTCGACCTTCCTGATACCCAGAGCGTCATCTATGAGCCCTTCTGGTTCCGCACTTTCCGTCTGATGCAGATTGAGATCACTGTTGGACCTGAGCCAGTTGAATTAGTCTCGTTCGATGCGACTCAGGTCAACTATCCCATGGCAGTCAAGGCAAGTTGGAAGCAGCCTGGTGATCAACAGAGCGAGGATATCTGGGATGTGTCCATCCGGACTATGCGCAACTGCATGTTCGATGGGTATTCCGATTGTCCATTCTACGAACAACTGCAGTAGGTTCCATCCAAAACCTCAGATGATCTCCGACTAACATACCTCGATAGATACTCCGGAGACAGTCGTTCAGTCGGCCTATTCCACTACCTCTTATCCGGCGACGATCGTCTCATGCGACAAGCCATCGCAAACTTCGCTGCTTCAGTAACACCACTAGGCCTGACCCAGTCTAGGTTCCCCTCGCACGTTCCGCAAGTTATTGCAGGTTTCTCCCTCTATTGGATCTTGTCAGTCTGCGACCATCACCTCTTCTTCGGCGATACACCCTACGCTCGTTCATTCATCCCTCGCATCGATGGAATTCTTGACTTCTTCGACGCTCACGTGGACGAACTGGGACTTATCAGTGGGCTTCCCGAGGTGGTGTGGCAATATGTCGACTGGGTGACAACTTGGGGCGCAACAGACGAGCATCCCGACAAGGGCGTTCCTACTTCGGGGCGAAAGACCAATCGACATACATACTTCAGCATGCTATATGCGTGGGTTCTCCAGAAAGTTGCCAGACTCGTGCGTGATGTTGGACGACCGGGACATGCGGCTGAGTACGAGGCCCGCGCTGCATCACTTCTACTGGCCATTCGAGAGAATTGCTATGATGGGTCATTCTTCACAGATTCGACAGTCGATGTAGCCGATGAACAGTCATATTCCCAGCATTGCCAGATCTTTGCAGTTATCTGTGGAGTGATAAAGTCCGAGGAAGAGGCCCGACGAATCTTAACCGAATCTTTCACGAACGATCGCTTCTCGAAGTGCTCATATATGATGCGCTTCTATGCTTTCCGGGCACTGGCACTAGCTGGAGAAGATCTTTACGACTCATTCTGGGAGCCTATGTGGGTACCCTGGCGTGGGATGCTTGCTAACAATCTTTCAACTTGGGAAGAAGATGATGTTAGACAACGCTCTGACTGTCACGCCTGGGGAAGTGTACCGATCTATGAGTATTGTACTGAGTTGGCGGGTGTACATCCCGTTGCTTCGGGGTCTTCGAAGATATCCTTCAAGCCTCGGCTTCGACTGACCAAGGATTTGGAGGCCAAGGTTGCTGTAGGAAAGGATAATCTCGCAAGCATCTCATGGACGACTGGTTCTGATGGTGAGAAGATCGTGGAACTGAAACTCGAAAAAGCCGTTGAGGTTGTGAGCCAGCTACCAGGAGGGAAGAACGAGGAGCATGGTATTGTGGATTATATTAGATTGTCATATCGGCTCGAATAGGAAATCCAGGGTATCAAACAAGTCAAATAGTTAAATGCTTTAGCTTTTCTCAAAGCGTATCTAAGCCACTGGGACACGTTTTTATATCAACAGCTTAGTATTCCTAATAATTGCAACGAATTGCAATACATTATCAAAATGCCATATTAGCCTAAAGAGGAAGTCCGGGGTAGCAAACAACTCAATACTTTCAAACATATTATACTCTAATCCACAAGTAACGCAATTCAACATAATTGAAACGCCTATTGATCAATAGTGATTGATTTTTATACTCTTTACATGTTCAAATCAAGCAGTGACAACCATCTCATGCTCCTGGCGCTGTTCATTCGAGCGCATCTCCACCTCAGTGAGATATCCCTTGAACTTGCGAAGGTTGATCTTCTTCTCAAACCTTGAGGCCCCAAAATATTAGTTTCGGTTTCAAACAAGATAAATAATCATCGGGATATAGGAGTTGACTCACATCTCATCAATCTCAGCAGGTGTGCGACGCGTCACCTCGGGAAGAATGAACCAAGCGACAATCACAGCAATTGTACCCATGCCAGCAAAGCTGTTTGTGAGAAATTCGATTAGCAGAAGCTCTTCCGGCAAGCGTGACCGAAGCCAAGTGAACCTACAAAAACCCGGTCTTCACACCCCAGCTAGACACAGGAGCATTGTTGATCATCAACGGCGTGCAGAAGCTGAACATGATGGCGACGGCATTCGAAGATGCCAGAGCCAGTCCGGCTGTTTTAGCACGCAGGCGCTGTTGCGGTACTTCAGCGGCGTAGGCATATCCGATAGCCGATGCACCCGTTGTTGAGAGAGTAGCCAAGCAAGCGAAGAAAATCTAGGTTATCTGGTTAGTTGTACCTCTAAAAAAATGTCGCTACCAATAGTTTGAAGACTTACTAGCAGGGAGCTTGTCGACGGTTTGGTATAATCAAAGCATCCAATGATTCCAAGACATAGAACTGACACCGTTGTAACCGCATATGGATAGATGGTCAAGGGACGACGTCCAAGCTTGTCGGTAGTCACAGCGGTCATGATCATAGACAGAAGCTGAACACAGGACAGGATGACAGTGACCATGAATGGATCCTTGCTGCCAGCATATTGGACTGTAACATTGTTAGGTTGTAGAGGAAAAGGATCAAGTGACGCTTTCTTACAGAAATAGGTAGCGTAGGTGTTGAACACCGACAAGCCAACAAACTGCTGAGCGATCTTTGGCCAAGCTGCAATGACGAACCGAATACGGTTGCGGCCTTGGAAGACAGCCCACATTCCCTCCTCCGAGTTGCGCTCTGCAAGAATTCGCTCTTCTGTGACTGTAGCGGTCATGATTTCCTAATTAGGGTAATTAGCAACTTGATTGGGATATTAGAAAGAGGGGCCATACAATCTGCCCATCAACACTGTATCCATCTACCTTGCCATTGCACCTGTTCAAGACTTTGGCCGCTTGATCAATCTTGCCTTTGCTCACGAGCCACCAGGGCGATTCGGGCATAAGGATGAAGATGATCGCAATAACGCCGATCATAGCCCACTGATTGCGATATAATTAGCTTGCTGAGAGAAGAAACGAGAGGGGCGGCGCGCTAATCGGTCAACACACCTGAGTATAGATAGGAACTCGGAAGTCATAAGGATCATGGGCACTAAGCTCCTTCAGAGCAACCGAGGCAAAGATTTGGCCCACGACAAACCAGCTGGAGACAGTCAGAGTATGTATAACCTCTTTTGGAGAGAAGACTTACAAACTGTATGCGTTGATGTAGAAACCCCGCAGTTGGGTCGGTGCGATCTCAGACAAGTACAGCGGCAAGGTAGACTGGAGCATTCCAACACCCATGCCAGAAAAGAGCTTTGCTGCAAGCCAGTGATCCCATCTTGTTGCAAAGGACTCAATAAAGACGCTAATCACGAGGTCGACCCAGATGATATAGAACGCGACTTTGCGACCGAATCTCTCGGTGGCATATTGGAGGAGCTGGTGCGAAGTCAGATAGAATGCCAGGCATATGAGATCAGAGAATGGTACTTACAATTTGGCCAACTGTTTGACCAGCTGATTGAATTCCTCCCCACGCAGAAATGTATTTGCCAGCGATGATGGACGTTCCCGGAGATGCCATTTGTCGGATGAATCCTTTGTTGGAGACGATACCGCCATTCAAGTTGATCTCTTATCGGAACATGTTAGCTCTTGCTCCATGTCAACAGTTCAAAAAGAACAAGAAGCTTACGATAGCCGTCAAGAGATGCACTGAATGCGGCAGTCATGGCAATCAACGACACAGTCTTGAATCGCAACACACACTGCCAAATACCAAGGTCGTCTTCGCGAGACCGCATGACGGTTCCCATATTTTTCGTTGGTAACTCATCTTTCTGGTCCGGCGTTACATCCTCGATGTTCTCGACATTTTCCTTGGAAATATCCATCGTGGACAAGGAAGCACGGTATAGGAGCCTACAGGGTTGGAGCGATTTGAAATCGGTGTTCAAAAATGAGAATGAGAATGAGAATGATCTTTATATTCCTCAGACTTTGACGGACATTATCACACTAGCAATGGCTGGCTTACAGGCTCAAACCTATTGGGCTTCGGTTCTACAAACGACAAGGGATGAGAATGCGGGGAGATCCGGGGCCCCATTGCTCGGTTTCACACCTTCCAGGAGGCGAAAGTCAACTTGCCCAAGGATGAGTTTGAAGGCGGAGTCTGGGGACTGGTTCAGTTGCCGATTCATTCAAGAAAAGGCTTACATTGGTGTATTTCAGCAACAGTGGCTGGCCTGGCTTCTGAAGGAGCGTGCTAGTGGACGCCAAGCAACGCGCGGCAACTGCTTCGCTAGCGATTACCCCGAAGCCAGCCACTAGTAGCTGAACATATCCGTTGCGGAGAATCAAGCCCCAAGATTTGAGATGGCCAAATGAGACAAGGCTCCAACCGAAACTGCTCATTTTCGGCAGTTTTCGAAGACTGCAGGCTCCGATACGAGACGACAGAATTTTCGGGAAGATGTCTGATTATGTTCCATTCTCTATAACCCAGCCATTCATTCAGAAACACTGATTTCACATAAATGCGTGGTGTCAATTGAAGTGCAATAAATTCCAGCCCTAAGCATTGCTAAGCTCTAACAAGATAATCTCCGGCGGCGCCGGCGGGGACTCGGCCCACCACCAAGAAACCCCATCCCACATCCACCATCCTTGGTAGTCCTTGGTAGTCCCCGACAAATACTCTCTTCTTGGAAGATCAAGCCTAAACACTACAGGTATACCAACAAAGCCTCCGAGGCCGCAACAGCAAAAGTGGCCGTCCCACCAGAAACAGTGACAGTCTCTACAGTCTCAGTACCCTGAATCACACAAGTCCCATTGGTGAAAGTCCGACCAGCAACGGTCGGGTTCGAGCCTTGGTCAACACGAGATGTAGCATAAGGGGCAGTCAACCGTTTCGCAGTGACACTGGAAGAAGAAAGACCAGACAGCGTGTATGTCTGCGAGGAACGGGTGCCACTAGTGTAGTAATCGGAGTTGTAAAGAAGAGCTCGGACAGGAGCTCCGGATTTGTAAATAGCATAGGCGGCGTATGCACTATCTTGGCTATCCAGCGGCGCAATCTGGTCGGCGTTCGCCAATGCCATTGTGGCGAAATAAGCTCCGTAGTACGGGGAGCCCATACTGTAACGGCCCCACCAGCAGTATTGGCCTAGGAAGTCAGATGATGCATGGATTTGGGAGGATTCTTATGGACACTTACAGTTTCCAACAGTGCCCTGGTGGAAATAAAGGGCATCTGTGCCCATGAGAACGGTTTGCATGACATAGTCCAGGATCCAGAGGGCCGCGCCGAAAGTCGGGCTAATGCCACCTCCGCCTTGTGTAGCTGCAATATGTGTCAGCGTCTTATTCAGAAATCTCCGATGGTAAGAACATACCGGAATTAGTCTCGCCAAAGATGTGAGGCTTGCCCTTGGTAGCAGCAGCAGCAGCCTCAGCAGCGTAAGGCTCAATCTGAGACGCAATAGCACTGTGGCCCATGAGCTTGGCGAGGTCGTAGTTACCAGACGACTGGGGATAGTTGTGAGAGCAGTAGTCCTTGACATAATCATTTGCATCGCCCTCCGTTGCGGTAAGCCCGACAAGGCTCATGGGAGAAGTACCAAAGTAGACACCTGCCGAAATGATATCGGACGCAGAGAGATTGCCGCATACAGCATCTTGCCAGCTCACTTGCGAGGCTTCGTCCGCTGCCGCTGTCCAGGATGCGCCATTTGCAATGGGGTCGCTGGAAGTGAAGACTTCAGATGATAAATTAGTATGGTGGTACTTCTGACAAGAGTAATATGTATGCGATGTTGTTGAACTCACAGTTTGGCTCATTTCCAAGCTCAATGGAATAGAGGTTATCCATCTTGCTCTGGACAAGGAGCGCAGCCGAGATGGTGTTGGAAATATCATCCAGGCGACGATTCAGTCCGATGATAACCTTTCCCGCATATGTAGCAGCCAGGGAGATAAAAGATGGACCGTAAGTCAATGTTTGGGGCGCATCGCCTGGACTGGCCACTGTGTAGGTGACTGCCTCGGTTGAGGATGCATCATATGTAGCACGATCCCTGTATGATATTAGTGGGGTTCTAATCTGAACAAGAAGCTATTCCTACTGAGTAGTTCCTCCAATCCGCACAGGTGGCCATGTTCCTGTCAAGTCTTTCATATTCTGCAAACATGTCGCTGTCGCATCGACTCCTTGGAAGTACTCGGGAAATGCGAAAAATTCCAGACTATAGAATGAGTATGTTGCGACTGTAAAGGGACATTCAGACTCACGAGACACCAACAGGCGCAGCAGATATCTGCCCACTGGAGTTCGACGGCGGGGATGTCGGCACATTGAAGCTCAAGCCCGCAGCCGAAACTGCAAGACCCAAAAGCGATGCTGAGATAGGAAGCAAGCCAGCCATTTCTGTTGGATATACAATGATTGACTCTAAAGTATCTTGCGAAGATAGCGAAAAATTTGTTCCAACTGACCGAGGAACTAATCTCTTAAGTACAGGCGGCTGTAATACAATGCAGCCTCTTCAGGAGACAATCCGGGGAACCCCAGACTCAGCCACTGACTCCACGAGGTGGTTACATTCTTCATACAAAATGATGTCTGGATCTAAATATTCCGTCTCATATGTGGTCAGCACCCTTTTCCTATCGAGTTTAGCGCGCACGCGGTCTAAACCTTGATATAGTGACCGAACAAGGTCGGCGACTGACGGACTACATTAGCCCGAGCTCTGTATCATGAGATCTCAAAAGCTCTGAGACATAGCTATGGATCATCCTTCAGTTTTGCGGAGATAGCCCGAGAGCCGGCCGATCCGCCGTGCTTTGTACTCCTAGATTTAAGATTCATACCCCGACAGTACCAAAATCGCGCGCTTGCAGAACGTTGTCATTTTTTCCGTAGTCCTCAGCTGCGTTAGTGTGTGAGTTTTTGGCTCTTGTTGACTTGACCCCGCGAGACATTCTAGATACACTATTCCCAAAGAGGAATGGTGTACCATGCCGCGACCGGAAAGACCGAGCCTATCTTGAAGAGTCATCCATCAAGTCAAGCCCGATATGAAGTCATGCATGTTCGTGACTGGTAATCCCAACAAGGTGATCGAGGTCAACGCCATACTTGGTGGTGCAATCCCCGTTCAACCCCTTACCTTGGATTTTCCCGAGATCCAAGGAACATTGGAAGAAATCGCGGCCGACAAATGTCGACGCGCCGCTGAGATTGTAAGAGACTTCGACTCGACTTCAAGGTAGTATGGATTGAACTTAACAAAAAAGGTCAATGGACCGGTGTTGGTAGAAGACTCGGCCCTGGAGTTCAACGCGATGAATGGGTTGCCAGGCCCTTATGTGTAAGTGATAAGTGATCTCGAATTGCTCAGCAGGGATCTAGTATTCCCGTACTAACACGACGTCTGTAAGAAAATATTTTCTCGAGTCATTAGCAAATGACGGTCTCAATAAGCTCTTGTTTGCCTACGAGGACAAAAGTGCAGAAGCTGTATGCACGTTTGCATTTTCCTCTGGACCAGCAATGGAACCACTGATCTTCCAGGGGAGGCTGAAGGTGAATTAAACATCGATCTCGGATTGTGGATTCCGCTGATCAGCAAACAGGGGGAAATTGTCCCTGCTCGTGGTCCACCCAGGTTTGGTGAGTATCGTCCAAGTAGTGACATTCCAGTCGAATCATCACTCACCGAGAAACAGGTTGGGAACCGATTTTCGAACACGAAGGAGAGACATTAGCTGAAATGGAGCATGACAAGAAGGTACCATGAATTGATGTCGCCTCTCGCGCATGATGCTAACACCGGCTAGAATGCACTCTCACACCGGTACCAAGCACTGCACAAGTTCCAGCAGTGGCTAGCCCAGGGCGATAACCGATCATTATATTTCGAAAGCAAACAAGAAATGCGATCTGTGATATCGAAACATAGTCTGTATAGATGATCGACATAGGGTTTCCCCGCGTACTCGGGGATTGTTTCCCTGTCTCACAAGGGGAATATTTCCCGTCCCTGCTGAGACCTCACATTGGCGACTGACATGGCCTGGGAAAATTTAAGGGCTTTCTATTGGATGGTTAGATGAGCGATTCGAACCTTGGGGAAATCGATATAGAGAGAAACAAGCGCCTAACGAGTGGATGGTGGGATATCTTGCCTTCGGGCAAATTTACTCCCAACCCCAAGGCAAGATGGAGGGTACCAAGTTACTTGATGTGTTACATGAGACAATCATATTTAAAGCATCTCCATATGCCCTCACTGATCACATTCAAGCAATTTCACTTTAATACTTCTTCGTTTGAGACGAGCGAGCCCAGAGCAGGACTTGTTAATTCTGTCTCAAAGTATTTCGCTTTCTGGCCCACTAAACACATAGCTCCCAATATGTGGTTTCTCTTTGCCGCTGCGCCCTACGCAGCTGGGCTTGTTTTCTTCCTCTTTGTATACTTCCTTGCAGTTCCTTATATTGAATACCTTCAAGATCCCAAGGGTATATATTGGACATCCTCCTCAAAGCACCAATAATATCCTTACTAACTTGGCACAGGTCTAAGAAAATACCCTAACCTCTCTCCCTTCTCCGGATTCTCAGCAATTCCATTCATGCTGCTCGCCGGTCGCGGATTTCGATCAATGGAATTGATGGAGTTGCACAAAAAGAACCCAGTCATCCGGACAGGGCCTAACCAACTATCCTACGGTGACGTTCGCGCCATCAAGGACATCTATGGCCACAACACCAAGTGTACAAAAGACCCCTCCTACGTCATCACAGCTGGAACCCATTACAACCTAGCAGATGTCGTCGACAAGCCAGACCACGCTCGCAAGCGCAAGGTCCTGTCCTCTGCCTATGCCCTGAAGAACCTCGAGACCTGGGAATACAAAGTGACAGACAAGGTTCAGCGGATGTTCAAGCACTTCGATGAAGTCTGCACTGCACCTGCCTCAGAGGACGTCGCATCAGGCAAAGTCGCACCAGCCAACAAAGACCTTACACTGAACTTCCGAGCCTGGGCCAACTTCTTCACCCTCGACGCCATCGCCGACATCGGTTTATCAGAGAAACTTGGCTTCCTAGACCAAGGCTCAGACATGTGCGTCGCAGAACGCAAGGACGGTTCCACATACGAGACCAGCCTCCGCGACGCCCTCTACCCAACCGCCCGCAAGCAATCTTACATCTTGTGGGACTACGGCTGGTACCCATTGCTCAACAAGCTAGTCAACATAATCCCATTCTTCGGACGAATGCAAACTTCAGCAGACAACTGGGAAAACATCATGTGGCGCCGCGGCAGCGAGAGACTACGCCGGTACGAAGCCGGCGAAAAGTTGGAAGACTTCTTCCAGGCGTTGATGGAAGACAAGAATGGAAGTCCCAACAACCTCGAATGGGGCGAAGTCGTTGCCGAGTGCAACATCATGATGAATGCTGGTAGCGTTACCACTGCCATCGCCATCTCCAATGTGTTGTACCAGCTCATTCGCAACCCCGAGACACTAGCCAAACTCCGCGAGGAACTCGATGCGATCCTGGACGAAGATGAGATCGTCGTGGACTATGATAAGGTCAAGCACCTGCCCTACCTGCGCGCTTGTCTCGATGAATCCCTTCGCATCTTCCCTCCTACCTCTCACGGTCTTCCTCGCGCGACACCGGCCGAGGGTACCAATATTCTTGGCGAGTGGGTTGCCGGTGATACATCCGTTAGCATGTCTGCCTTGGTGGCACACCGCGACGAGGGCGTCTTTCCCAATGCCGACCAGTACATTCCCGAGCGGTGGTTGGGTGAAGAAGGTAAGGCATTGCAGCCCTACCTGGTTGCATTCTCTGCTGGTGCGCGTTCCTGCATTGGTCGCAATATCTCCTACCTCGAGCAGACGAAGGCTATTGCTTCCATTGTACATCGATATGACTTCGCGCTGGCCTACCCTGGTTGGGAGTTGCAGAGGGAGGAGACTATGAATTTGATTCTGGGCGATATGCCTGTCAAAATCTGGCGGAGGGATATGGAGGCTACTGAAGCATAGATATTTTACTCGGAGATTTTGGACTTGTATCTTCATATTTAGACAACTTTTGATGATTTTCTTTCGCATTGATGATTATTCTTTCTTTCATGTTCGGTCTTTTTACTCCCTTTTAGTTTTGATCGTTTGGATGCTTCAAACTGTCAAGTCCTGATCCGCATACACTTGCTTCTTCAATTTTCTTCCCTAGTATGGATGAAATAGACCCTGTAAGATAATTAAGTCATTCTTGGCCATAGGTATCACATACCAGACAGTGATCCCCAGGTCTCGGTATGCTTCCGTCGAGACATCGAGAGCCTCGTAGAACCCAAAGTCCAACCCCGTGGTCCGTTCACTAACCTGGGGTCAACAAGTTTCACACACAGACGATGACCGAAGCTCATGTAAATCCCATCTGCAACCGAATCTTGGATCCTGACACATGCAGAGGCTGAGGTATAGGTTAAGCAAAAAGAGAAACATTCCCCCTGTGGGGTGACTCTCCCGAAGCCAAAAGACCGGGGCAATTACCCCGCAAACCCAACTTCACTAAACGGGCGTCATTTCCACATCGGCGAGAATCAACAGATTTGGAAAGTGGATGTTTCCTCCGCACCTTCACTTGGATCCCCACGTCTCTGTATTTCTTGTCTCAACGTGGCAATTGCTGCTCTATGTGGTTGCATACTCTCGTCATACGTGGCGTTTTTGGCTTCTGGCCCATTTCCCCATATTGTCCCTGCTGATCTGGTGCGGTGAATATCTCCCTATTTGCGCGTGAGGTTATATTTATCTTGAATGTGTGTGGGGAAATGGGCCATCTTTGTAGTAGTATTGCCCGCTTTTTCCTATGGCAGATCTAGATTTCCTAACTTGGAGACTACCTTTGCCACAGACTCCACGACTCCACGCTTTGAACAGTGCGGGTATTTTCCCCTAAAATTCGACTGCATAGACGATGAGCCTATTTTATGACCACTGTCTCCCCGGATTTCGTTCACCATTTGACAATCTCTTGTGCTGATTCCATTTCCACCTCAACCGAGTCTTCTCTATGTATACTCTCTAGGACTCGACCTTCCTTTTCTTTTGATCATTTGATAACCCATATACTTCTCAACACAATGTCAGCCTTCTCGCAGCTCAACATTCCCCAAGAGCTCCTACAGGGGCTTTCCAAGTACGCAACCCCAACCGGTATAGTCGACTATACCGTCCTCGCTATCCTAGGCGGAGTCAGCGCAGGATACCTGTCGCGCGGCCTGCTATGGGACAAGCCAGACCCATATCACCACCTCTGGTTCGAAAGACCCCAGCTCAAGAAGGGCGGACAACTCGGCTCCGCAAACAGAGAGACTAGGAACATCGCACAGAAGTTGGAAGAAACAGGGAAGAATGTTGTTGTTTTCTGGGGATCCCAGTCTGGCACCGCAGAGGGCTTTGCTCATCGTCTTGCGCGAGAGATCTCCATTCGCTGGGGTCAAGAGGCTATGACGGCTGATCTGTCGGACTATGATCCTGTCACGATTGGTGAGATCCCCAATGCTAAGCTGGCTATCTTTGTTCTTTCGACATATGGAGAGGGTGATCCCAGTGACAACACTGCCGAATTTTGGAGCTGGATCTCGAAGGCTAGTGACGTGTCGTTGGCGAATTTGCGGTATGCTGCTTTTGGTTTGGGTAATACTAACTATCAGTTCTATAACCGTGTTGTCGATGTTGTTGTTGAGGGTCTGGAGAAGTTTGGCGCCCAAGCTCTCATGCCTGTTGGAAAGGCAAATGATGCTGAGGGTGCCACTGAGGAGGACTTTATGTCTTGGAAGGAGATTCTGTTGAAGATCTTCAAAGAGAAGCTGGGCTTCCAAGAGGCAGAGGCTAAATTCATTCCGAGCCTGAAAGTCGAGGAAGATGAATCACTCGAACCAATCGACCTGCATCATGGCGAGCCCAATAACCGCAACGAGGCCCCCAAGGCCGCTGCTCATTCCTCGGCCATTCGTACACTAAGCATCTCCGAGTCTAGAGAGCTCTTCACTGCATCCGACAGAAACTGCCTCCACATGGACATCGACCTGAGTAGCCAACCGGAACTGAGCTACAAGACCGGAGACCACCTCGCCATCTGGCCAGGCAACCCAGACATCGAAGTCGAACGCCTCCTCGACGTCCTGGGCATCTCATCTCGTCGCAACACCCCTCTAAGCATCAAAGCTCTAGACCCAGCAACAAAGATTACAATCCCAACCCCAACCAGCACCATCGCCCTCTGCCGCTACTACCTCGAGATCTGCGCCCCAGTAAACCGCGACAACGTCTGCGACCTCGGCCAATTCGCCCCAACACCAGAAGCAAAAGCCTACCTCCTAAATCTGGGCAAACACAAAAACACCTACACCACCTTCATCAACCACACACACATCAACCTAGGTCGCCTCCTACATCTAGCATGTCCCGAAAAACCTTGGTCTGACCTCCCCCTCTCCTACCTAGTCGAAACCCTCCCGCACATAAAACCACGCTTCTACTCCATCTCCTCATCGAGCGTCGTCTCACCACGCAAACCATCCATCACAGCAATTGTTTCCACAGCCCCCGTCCCAGAAAACCCCAACGAACTAATCCACGGCGTCACATCCAACTACCTCCTCGCCATTTCCCAACAAGCCCGTTCCCTGCCCCACCCAGGAGGCATCACATACCACCTCAATGGACCGGGCGATGCACTCCAGGGCGGGAAGGTCTTTGCCCATATCCGTCGCAGCAAGTTCAAGTTACCCATTACGGGCAAGACGCCGCTGGTGATGGTTGCTGCGGGTACGGGTCTCGCGCCTTTCCGTGCGTTCCTCTCTGAGCGCTGCCAGGTTTTGAAAATTGGGAAGGAGGTTGGACCGATGATTCTCTTCTTCGGATGTCGGAATCCGAATGAGGATTATATTTATCGTGAGGAGTTGGAAGAGATGCAGCTGGCTCTTGGGGAACGGTTGAGGATTGCTACTGCGTTCTCTAGGCTTGAGGGGTCGCCAAGGCAGTATGTTCAGGATCGGGTTGCGGAGCTTGGAAAGGATGTTGTGAAGCTTCTTGATGAAGGGGGTAACTTTTATGTTTGTGGAAGGGCTTGCATGGCGAGGGAGGTTGAGAAGGCTGTTGGGGGGACTATGCGCGCTGTTAAGGGGTGGAATGATAATGAGGTTAATAGCTGGAGCAAGGCTATTAAGAAGAAGAATAAGTGGCAGGAAGATGTTTGGGGATAGGTCAGATAAGGACGGTGTGACGATTTTGTTTTGAGTCCATGTTTATATCTCGCTTTCTTTCTATATAATCTAATGCGAATTAGATAGCTTCAATGAGTTTGATGATTTATAGGCTCCCAAGTCAACTGCAAATAACACCAACCGGCCACTCAATATGACAATGGAACTCAGGCACTAACGACCTCTGAATGCCAGCAATAACATGCCGGTCCCAGCCGGTCATAAGCCATGAAGAGCCCATAAACTTCAAAAGAACACACCAATAAGAAACAACAATCAAGGCAAACGGATCCTTACTCTCTAGTAACCCAATAAATTCCTCAGGCCGCCGATAAATCCACCCAACGACAACATGCATCAGATTAGCACCATCCTTCCCAGCACTCCGAATACAATAAGCCTCATCAAAAATTTCAGCCAAGTTCACAAGCGCGTCAACATAGATCTCACAGGCAGGCGTCTCACCAACCTGCACCTCAATAAACCGTTGCACATCTTCAATATGAGACCGGTGCAGTCTCAGCTCATCTTGAAATTCAGGACTAACACCGGCAATACTCGGATCTGGTTGAACAGCCAAAACACCACTAAATATCTTATCATGGCTCGACATCAGGATCAAGCGCACGCCTCGCATGAGAACGAGCCATTCTGCTTTTCCTGTTTCGCTGAAGATGAGGTATTCACCAGTTCGAGGACCGTGTCCGAAATAGACAAAGCAGATCATTACCGCGGACATGTAGATCAGTTGGCAGTTTTCTTCGTTTAGACTTGAGAGGATGGCTGTTACGGATCGGATGCCGAATGTGAAGTGGCTGTCGGCTTGGAGGATGTATTGGTCTTTTTTTTCTGGGTGGAGATGGGCTAGGTGTAGAGCTGCTAGTGTGAGGATTAGGTGGAAGATTGAGGGCGTTGAGAAGCCCCATTGAGGCAGGTGGTGTTGCCAGATGCGGTTTTTGTCTGTTGCTTGGTCGGCTAGGGTGCGGTATGTTTCTGTGACGAAGTGATGGAAGAGGCGTAGGTCCGTGAAGGTGATGGTTTCTTTGGGGGTTTGGTTGTTGGGCTGGATTTCTGTGGAGATTGTTTGGGTGGATGGTTGGATTGCTTCATCTGGTGTTGGTTCTTTGGGTTGGTATTTCGAGGGTTTGAATCTGAATCGCCCTTTTGGACCTTGTGATGAAACAGACGGGGATGGTGCTGAGGATGGCGAGGCTGATAACGCTGCTTCAGCTTGCTGAAAGTCGCATTCAATGGAATGGTGGACACATTTTGAGCACGCAGGCTTCTTTTCATCACACTGTGAGTTGTTAGAGAAGCTCTCTTGAATGTTTTCACCATCTATTTTCCGTGTCTGCGGAGGAGCCAAACACATAAACAAGCGAAGATGTCTTAGCAGGCTAGAACTCTTGCTCTTTTTCATCTCTATCTGGTTCATCTGTGGCAATGGGACTGAGGAAGAAGGTATGCGGATGCTGACAACAAGACCGCGGGATAACCTACTTTTATACGTCTCCTCTTGCAGTTTCCACATCCCGCACGAGACTTGTGATGTGATTTCCGCGATCGAATCATGTTCGGCGTGCTTTCCTTCCTGGAGCGAGTCTTCATAGAGAGATGTCGTACTCGGGTTCTTTTTTGCCGTTTTGGGATGAGAAGTTGGAATATGACGTAAGCTGTGCAAAATAGATTCCACGTGATCGGGAACTACGCGCGTAGAGTAGATCAAGATTGGAAATAAGTGAAACCTGAAAGACAAAGGGTTCTGTGAAGTAAGTAGCAGAAAGCTTGAAAACTCTGGTAAAATCTACAGCACAACGTGCCGACCCTATTTTAGCTGAAAGGGGCTTTCATCCCCTTTATATGTCTGCCTACGCGATCTTCTGTTTCAGACTAAAAGTAGAAAGCTTTACCGTGGCACTTATAGTCGGGGTACTGTTCTAACTAACGTGGTTGGCAAAAACTGGTTACGCCTGCATGGTTCGCTTCATGTGCAATATTTCTGAAGAACTTTAACGGTATGGATGGAATATATTGGAACGTTTCTCATGTCCGTATCTGCTTGCCTCTAACAAACTACTTTGCCAAAAGAGGGCCTGTGTGCCATCAGCCAGGCCACTTTGCGAAAATCAAGACGGCCCTGGTCTTGCTTGTCGAGGCTAAAGACTGAAGCTGATATTAGTTTTTTTATTATTATTATTGGTTCTTCCGCTATTTTTTTCTCTTTTTGTTGATTAGAGGAGCAATCTATCAACTGAGGTAGAAGCACATGAGGTTTCTCGGTTTCTTCAACATTATATATGTTTTACACATGTGTTAGGCTACGTATGCTGTTCCTACTGTGGAATATGAATATCCTACTGATTCTGGTCGAGAGTTCTCGTGTCCTGTTTCAGCCCTATAGACCCAATCCAGAGACCTGCAGAAAGAACAGAGCGTGTATGTATATTTGGCCTATCAGATCCCACGGAAACCCTGCATGAGAGGTTGATTCCGACTCAAGCCAACGGAGAGACCGATCTGCAAAGCCAGTAGCTGAGCGCCTCCATTTAATCAATGCGATATGTATAACTCTACTGCCAATTTATAAAAGGTCAGTTCTTCACAATTTTTCAGGAGTATTTGCAGACCATTGTCATACAAGCATATACATCAAGGACAGCGAGTCAATTGAACCAGTAGTAAAACACCAGTTTCTCGATTGTTGTCTGTCGCTCCAGGAGTTGCCGGTGGAGCTGAGATGCCAGACACCAGCATGCACACCTGATAAGTTGGCCTGCAGAGTAAAGCAGTTCCCTGCAAGCAAAGCCTGCACTGGACTCAATCAAAATCAACAAAACGATTGACGTGTTGTCAAGTTATCAAGCTAACATCCATCAACGTGCCCGTGGGCCACTCCCATCCCATGTATGAAACACCACAACACTCTCTCACTTCTCTTCTTAGATCTTCCTCCTGCAACCATGGAGCTACCCGATATCACTCCAAGCGCATTCATCGCCCGTCAACTGAAAATCATCGTCATCGGCGCTGGGTAAGTGAAATGCCAGATGGCTCGAGTGAACCTTCATTCTAACAACAGCAGCATCTCCGGAATCCAATTTGCGCACGATGCAGTCGCATCACTCTCAGCGCTGGATCTCGAGATTTACGACCGAAACCCTTGCCTAGGCGGGACGTGGTATGAGAATCGGTATCCTGGGTATGCATCCATCTGCATCAGATAAGACCTCACTAATAACGTAGCTGCACATGCGACGTCCCCTCGCATACGTACCAGTTCAGCTGGGCGCCAAACCCGCTCTGGTCCTCGCTTTATCCTCCCGCGCCGGAGATTCACCGGTACTTGCAAGATGTGGCGGACAACCACAACCTGTGCCGGTTCATGACTTTCAGCACGGAGTGCATCTCAGCGGAATGGGATGAGGGCTTGTCCAAATGGCAGGTTATCCTACGCAATGTGAGCACCAATAAGGAGAGGACCGTTTGGTCTGATGTTTTCATCTATGCTGTGGGCCGGCTGAATAACTACAAGTTTCCTGATATCCTTGGCCGGGACAAGTTCCAGGGTGTGCAGGTGCATACTGCCAGCTGGCCCGTTGAAACTGAGGTTAAGGATAAGCGAGTGGTTGTTATTGGCAATGGTGCCAGTGCGGTTCAATGCGTGGCTTCTTTGCAGCCTGGTAAGCAGCTGAAACGTCTGTCCAATCACGCAACATACTAACCGAGTTTGGGGGTAAAGTTGTCTCTAGCATTGTCAACATTGCTCGAGGCGCAACGTGGATTGTTCCGCATGTCTTTTCTGGGGATGGGGCTATTCAGCGTCATTGTGAGTCCCTTCCCGGTGGCTTTCCTCGGAAGGATAGGGTGGAGGCGTCCAAGGGTGCTTTTGCAAAGTACTGACGCTGTGACAGACACAGCAGAGCAAAGGTACACCTTCAAAACTAATCCAGGTCAATACTATGATGACCGCATCAAACTGGAGAAACTGCTGGCAGCAGGCTTCCCAGGCCTCTGGAAAGGGACCAAGTCCCAAGCCAAATTCTCAGTATTAGCTCAAGCATTCATGAAAGCCAAGATCACAGAGCCAGAATTGTTGAACGCAATTCTCCCAGAATTTGAAGCTGGCTGTCGTCGGTTCACTCCCGGTGGCCATTATCTGGATGCGCTGCAGAAGCCTAATGCTCTCTACGTGAAGGACTCCATTGCCGAACTGACAGAGAATAGCCTCATCGCCAAATCAGGCAAGGAACTCCCCTGTGATCTCCTGGTTTATGCCACTGGCTTTGAGCCATATCAGCCGCGTTTCCCAGTCATCGGTCGTGATGGACGCACTTTGACAGCGGAGTGGGGACACAGTGGTCCTTGCGAGAGTTACATGGCTGCGATGGTTGCTGGATATCCCAATCTCTTTGGTAAGTATTCATCCTCTCTATGCTACTGTCATGGCCTCTGCTAACGAGACTATCAGTATTCAACCCACCAATCTGCCCCGTCAATGGATCAGCAATTCCAGGCATCGAACGAGCAAGCAACTACATGACCCGAATCCTCTCCCGACTCCAAACAGACAGCCTGCGATCAGTATGCGTGACCGAGCAGGCCCAGCGGGAATTCAATGACTGGGTTCAATCACGAATGCCACACATGGTCTGGTCAGGACCATGTAACTCCTGGTGTAAACAAGCCCACCCTTCCACCCTCTAGAACCAACTGACTCAGCTCATACAGACAAGAACGAGAATGGAAAAGTCATCGTGCCCTGGCCAGGCACAGTTTTCCACTACTACGCCGCAACAGAGATAATCCGCTGGGAGGACTTCGACTTGGTCTACCAGAACGCAAGAGACAAATACGGCAGTTTCGGAAATGGAGTGACAGCAGTGGGATTTGTGCCTGATCAATTTCCTTGGGTTCATCGTCCTATCGCCTTTTTCTCACAGACACAGACCGAGAAAGCAGAGCCAGCTCCAACACTTATCCCAAGCAACCTGTGGCACGGAATGAGTCAATTCCTCCAGCTGCTGGGCGCATGGGTATTCTAGTGATCCAAGCTTTATGAAGACGTGTATGGATAGTTGCAAGTCACACAATTCACAGATTGACAAATACCCTCCGCATTTGTGTGAGTACAACATAAAATTTTAATCCCAGGTTTAACATCCGATCTTCTCGGCCGATCGACGCAGTTCAGTGGCGGACGGAAAGCCAACCGGGAGCTCATCGGTTAACAGAGGCCCGCTTGTTGATTTCGGCAATTCTACACGACACCAAGAAGTGGACATTAAATTGAGTCACGTATTCTCACTGCCAAGTATATATTCTTCTTCTCTTCCAAGCTCCCTACCGGTATCAACTAGTCGTGCACAATGTGAGTTTCCCCGGCTGGTTGTATACGTTGTATATTCCCCCTCATCGGGCCTGACGTCATATCTAAACTGCACTATAACGTGAAGCTCAATTGAACTGACAAGTATACAGAAACAGTGATCTGATATTATTCACAATGGCCGAAACCAAGATGGAATACGTCCGGTACAAACACTATTCCCGCCAATATCAATGAATAGAAAACAGAACATACTAACAACGTCAATTAGCCTCGGAAACTCGGGACTAAAAATCTCAAAGATTATCCTGGGAACAATGGGCTACGGCAGCAAAGACTGGCAAGACTGGGTCCTGAACGAAGAAGACGCTCTGCCATTGATCGAGCACGCCTACAAGCGCGGCATCAACACCTGGGACACCGTGCGTCCCTCTCCCTGGATCTCAATCACGCAGCCCATACTAAAATTCAAGCTCAGGCGGACGTCTACTCCCACGGACGATCCGAAGAAATTCTCGGCAAAGCCCTGACAAAGTACCAAATCCCGCGCAACCGTGTGGTTATCATGACAAAGTGTTTCTTCGGCGTCGACGACGAAGGCAAATACCCACCGATCAGTGCATCCGGCCGAAACGACAACGACTTCGTCAACCGCGTAGGCCTATCGCGCAAACACATCTTCGATGCGGTGGACGCGAGCGTCGCCCGTCTAGGCACGTATATTGATGTGCTCCAGATTCATCGTCTTGATCGGGAGACGCCCCGTGAGGAGATTATGAAGGCTCTTAATGATGTTGTTGATAGTGGGAAGGTGAGGTATATTGGTGCTAGTTCGGTATGCATAATAATCCACATAAATATGGAGAGGGGCGTGTTTTCTAATGGTATTGATAGATGGCCGCCTGGGAATTCCAATCCCTCCAAAACATCGCCGCCAACCATGGCTGGCACAAATTCATCAGCATGCAAAACTACCACAACCTCCTGGCCCGCGAAGAGGAGCGCGAGATGATCCCGTACTGCCAAGACGCGGGCGTGGGAATTATCCCCTGGTCGCCAATTGCGCGAGGCGCGCTGGCTCGGCCGTATGATTCTCGTGGCACGGTGCGTGAAAACACGGATGGGGCGTTGAAGATGTTTGTGCGGGCTCGCGAGAGTGAGGCTGATAAGGCTATTATTGGGCGTGTCGAGGAGATTGCTAAGAAAAAGGGATTGAGTATGGCTCAGGTTGCTATTGCTTGGTCGCTTTCTCATGCTGGGGAGAATCCTATTCTTGGATTGCATAGTGTCGATCGGATTGATGAGGCTGTTGAAAGTATTGGGGTTACGTTGAGTGGGGAGGAGGTTGCTTATCTTGAGGAGCCTTATGTTCCTAGGGCTATTACTGCTCTTGAGAGGTAAATTGGGTTTGTGTAGGTTGTACCTCTAGGCTACAATTGAATAGTCGAGAATAAGATTGTTGGCTTGTGGATGTCTTTTGAGTGTGTTGTAGTTTCTCGATAGAAAACATGAGGAATGAGAAGTCTTTTTGAAGCCTCATAGTTGGAGGCTGAGTACTTCTACGTGACTTAGTGCGACTGATAGCTGAAGACATCGATAATTGGGTATTTTATTCATGTTCATCATGATGGTAAGATGGCTAGCGATGTACACGAAACAAGATCGAAGCATACACATATCGACTATGGAGAGACAATAAGACATGCGCCATGAGCACATGGGACATGGCAAGATAAGGAAGAAAAACCGGAACGAATATGCGAATATGCATGATGCTAGTTGGGATGCGACAGGAGTTGAGTCGACAAATGGGGAATAGGGAAAGGAAAGGGAATCGAAAAGAATTCAACAAGTATCCGTGCCAGACGGCTCGCTGTGTTGAATGGATGAGAACGCCCTTGGATGCTATGCTTTGGGATGACGTGTGGACTGGCCACCGTTGGGGTATGTAGAAAGAATGGAGGTCAATGGTTATCGTGTTTTCGGCTGAACATGTTGAAGAAGGTACTGAGACGGTGGCGACGTTTGAGTTTTGGGGTTGAATCGACTGCTTCTGGTTTGGGGGGTTCGGGCTTCTCTTTTCGATAGGTTTTCTGTGCTTGACGAGGGGTTGAAGCCGAAATGTCTTTGTCGGGTCCCGTAGATGTTGTGTTTTCCTTCTCCGGCTTGAGATTAGGAGCTTTCGACCGGGGAGGCGCTTCAGACGACTCTTCTGATGAAGAGGAATTCTGACGTATTGATGCAGGACGAGAGCGGGAAACGACAATGTCGCGACCATGCTCGCCCGTGGTGAACATGCTGTGTCGGTTTAGTCGGGTACTCAATCCCGAGGCAGAGCGTCGTTTGGCTCGCTCCATGAATGCGGCACCAGTCGAGTTTGAGCGCTTAGACAGGCTTCCAAATTGCTTGTCATCCGCCGCAGCTGCCGTATTGGAACGTCGAACACTTGAGATTGACATGCAGCGCTTGCCGCTGGATCCCTTTGTGGGGCTGGCTTCGTCATTGTCAGGGAAAGCATCGTGCTCATTCCTGGCTACTGTTGGAGAAGCATTTCTTGAAGATGACGGAGACACGACTGATCTTGCGCCGGAGGAAACCAAGTCGTCATAGCTGAAGTTGTGGGACCATCCCTCGCGGAAGGCGACCCAGATGCCGGTGGTGATGATCAGAGTTCGCAGTCCATCATCAAGTGTGACAATATTCGCGTCGAGGGGTGTGTCATCCGAGGCATCGCTCACTACGGACATAGCTGAAGTCGGAGTCGCAGGGCCAGTACCGGTCCGGGTGGTCATAGAGTACTCATCGTGCACTTCCAACTGATTGCGAGTCATGGAAGCAATGACAGGATGTCGGCGGGTAGTCGGGTCGATAACGCTAAAGGTGAATCGCTTGCCTTCGTCGCGGGAGTTCATTTCCGCCGGCGCAGTCATCCGACGGTTCCTCCCACCGCGTAAAGCCCATCGCATAACCTGCGGGCCATTCTCGGTCTGCGCAACAAACTCGTATGAACCACTTGGAAGGGGGGTTGCCTCCCAGACCGGTCCAAAGTTCAAACAGATCTCTGCCTTTCCTTTCAACCGAGCATCTTCTTGTGTCCTTTGACAGATGGTCGCCACGACCTCGCGATGGTCTTCAGCCTCGTCTTCTGAGCTGGCTTGTTTCTCGGGGATGCTGGTGACCGTTCGCTCGTATTGTTCACTGATAACGACAATTAAATCATACGGACCCAGTCCGTTTCTGGTGCGATAGATGGCAGGGAACTTGCGAGCCAGAAGGGGCAGGTATGAAGTCGACGGGAGGATGTCGACGACTGGCAGCGGCCGAGGTGTCTGCGACACCTGCTGCAGCTGTAAGAGGAGCTTAGGGCGAAATCGTAACCGTTTGTGACGAGCATGCGAGGCAGGATGAGCGAACTGGTAGGAAGTCTTGAGCCGCGTGGACTTCCGGCCAGATGTTGCACGGCTGGTACGAGGTCTAACGGGAAGCTGCTGTGGTTGTGATGCTTCCCCTTCGCTCTCTGCGGACTCGACCGGACTCATGCCCATGGCAGATGTGAGTCCCGAAATTAGCCCGGGACACGTCTCAGAAGCATCGGATTGTTTAGGCTTGTAAAAGGTGTTCAGCAATGGAAACGCTGACAAGGAGAACACTGGAGAGTTGACAGGAGGACTCGGATCATTTGTGTGGGCAGCTGCGGCGTCCGCTGTAAGGCCAAGATTCAACAGCATTCTTGAGCCCTAGCGGAGCCACATTGGAGTAGGTGCCAAGTTGTTTAGGTGAGGTATTCACGACATAGACCGGATTTCAACGCGTCAGCTGCGGGGAAAGTTCAGCCCAGACGTGTGTGGAGAGGAAAGTCCAGTTCGAGTCCAAAAATGAAGGAAAAAGCAAAATGAGGGAATGAAATGTATAGTCAAAGTGACACCTGCACTCAGATGTGAGGCTGGCTGATGCAAGGGGTAATATGATATTTACAAAGGAGAGAGCCAGAGACTGTACAGTGGGCGGTCAGCCTTATAGAAAAACCAGCAAAAGGCGCCTCAGTGGATCGGATCGTGAATAATGCAATTTGTGCCAACGGGATCGGCCTCGTACGGTCTCCGACTCATCCGGTTCCGCGGTGATCATTTTGCGAGCCTCCGAGGTCCGGGACGTCATGGTTACAAGGATTGTTGACTGGCTTCTTGGCAAGACCCATAAGCTATATGATTGAGGCAAATCCACGACTTTGAGAATTCTCATTTGTGCGAGTCAACGTTATACAAAGTGGGGATTTCCCGTTGTCACGCTCAGAGCAGACTTTTCCTCCCGAGGTATATATCGTGCCAAACCTTCATCTTCGGACGAATAGGTGCGCCGTGTCCACCTCCATCTCGGCATCGGTCTCGGCCACGGACATTACGTTGACTAAACTCCCCGGTCTGCCCATGCTACAAAGAACCGATATTTGCTTTGAGATAGAGTATTCTAGATTTCTGCTCAATGGGGCATGTTTCAAAGTGAGAATTGAGACTTCACAAAGGGAGAAATATAGCGATGGTCACGTGTGGCCATAGAGTTGATCTCCTATACTCCAACAGTACTCTGTACATGTAGCTTGCTCATGCAACTTAAGTTAATGATCACCTTAGCTTCGATCTAGGGGTAATCCTAGCTCCTTGTGGCGACCCAATAGTAAAGCATAAGGCTGAACGGATTTCCAAGGATCAGAAAGAAGTTTACCTGTTTCACTGTTGCCGAGGCTATTCCAAATGCGTCACAGTCATTGGATCTCCGGCCGTGACATCCGCTGACTAACTATGCACCCCTTTATGCCGAATCAACTTCTTCACTAGGACACCTATCCGCATTGGGAAGTTCCTCGGTCCTTATTCCTTAGTTCTGGGGCACAATGGCTTCAGCTCAGCCGACTCAAAGACCACCTCCCCTGTACGCCAAACTCCTGCGCTTGGACAACCCCATTCGCAGCTTGACAGTAGCCTTCTGGCTATGGAAGGCTGTGTTATACTTTGTTGTCGCCTACTGTCCAGGGGTGGGCTATGACACCTCCACCTCTTTGATATCGTATGCCGCCAGCCCAACGGTCGGCCAGTCAGAGGCACTCTCGGGACCCCTGAAATTCGCCAGATGGGATGCGATCTACTTCCTTGATATTGCTGAAAAGGGATACATTTATGAGCAAGAATGGGCCTTCGGCTGGGGTTACACTAAGCTTCTGTCTCTTTTCGTATCTGGTACATCCCTTCGTATCCCAAAGATATCAATTGGCAGGACTGATCACATTGAGTAGGCATCCAGCTCTCGGGCGGGAACACTGGGCCACACACCACTGCAGTGGTGGGAGTGGCTCTGTCCCATGTTGCCCATTATTTGTCCGTGTTGTCACTCTATCGCCTGTCAGCGAATATATTTGGCCATGCAACAGCTGCCCAGCATCTCATCTGCTTTTTGTCCGCAGCTTTGCACATTATCTCGCCAGCAGGCGCGTTTCTGTCCGCGCCATATGGAGAGTCGATCGTCTCTTTCCTCAACATGACCGGCTTCTACCTTTACTCGTCGTCTCTTATTGCTGAGCGCAATGGAGCAACTGGTCTGCGAGACTTCAGGGTCCTCACCTCTGCAGTTCTCTTTGCAGTGGCTACCATGGTCCGCAGTAATGGTGTTCTGAGTGGGTTCCTCTTCGCCTACGATGCGGTGATACTGTGTTGGAAGACCCTGATCCAGGGACCTACGCTGCACAACATGATTCGTTTGGCAGTTATCATTCTCGGCGGTTCGATCGTTGCATCTGGGATGGTCATTCCGCAATTCTTGGCTTACCGCATGTACTGCCTGTCCGAGACTGATCTTCAGCCATGGTGCGAGTGGGCGATGCCAAGTATCTACGGCTGGGTCCAGAATCACTATTGGTAACTAGAGATTCTCCAGTAGTCGTTGACCTTGGTTTACTAACTTCTTTCTAGGGATGTCGGGTTCCTGCGATATTGGACCATCTCCAACCTCCCCCTTTTCTTGCTGGCCGGGCCAATGCTGGCTGTCTTATGTCGATCCGCTGCATGGGGGTTGCAGAGCCCTTCTTCCTCGTCAACCAGCCCCGGGTCCATGCTCACTCGGCTAGCAGTTCCCCAGGGTCTGTTGGCCGTCATGGCATTTACTAGCTATCACGTGCAGATCATCAACCGTATCTCGTCGGGATATCCTCTGTGGTATTGGTTCCTAGTTACCAGTGCTGTGGACACCGCCTCGAGTTCGCCCAAGCTGAGCCGCACGCTTGTGATCGCCGTATACAGCATGGTGGCTTATGCAATGATCCAAGGGGTTCTATTCGGTTCTTTCTTACCCCCGGCTTGAGGGGCTATGATTAATGAACTACAGTGGCAATCTAATTAGGTGGCTTAACCTTTTTTGTCATTGAGGAGTGCCACAAGCCTATCTGCGTCTATCTCCGAGCTTCTAAAAGTCGGATGACTCATGCTTAACAACGACATATGAAAATATTCTGTCATTTAAATATCGAACTCTGTATAATATTACCAGGTCTTTACTCTGTACACAAGCAGTGCTATTTCACATAGTTTAGATGATATACCCGTGTTGGCTACGTAAGAACTGGCCAAGACCCTTGAAATACAGACGTCCCGGTTGGGCTGCTTGCGTACGTTGTCTGCCTAAGAGTCAGGTGCCGTCCAAAATTATAAAGACATCAAATAGAATACCTAGCAACTACAATATCTCAGACCTTCAAATGAATTGTAACCAATTCTTGTGTTTCCACTCTTGAGCTGTTACTGTAGAATTATGTCATCACAACCTCAACTTCTCATCTCCTTGAAGCTCTGAGCTTTTGATCTTCCTGTTCTCCTCTTTCCCTTCGCCATTTACAACTCTAAAAGAACCGGCCAGATTAAGACCTTTCACGATAATCCGAGCCTATCCATCCCCTGGTTTCGCTTCACCTGCGCAGCCTGCAACATAGTCTCCGGTTCCAGATCCGCACATATTTTAGGAGAAGCTTGACTTTATCCAAGTACGCCATTTCAAAGATCTTATTGTGATTTGAGAGACTTTGGTGAAACATCGGGGTTGCTGACGTATTGCCAGAGCTCACCCGACGGCAACGGCCACTCCTCACCTCACCTCCACCATTCCTCTCCCTACCTCTTCCATCCGACTATGGACGCCTCAACCCCCAAGGCGATTCTCACATCCGACAATTTCCATCATGCACTAGATCTTTCACGGGCTACCTCACCCGGTGGTGAGCCCGCCGCCGTGAATTGCGAAGGCAAGCCCATAGCCCGCGTGCGACCCCGAACCTACCCATACTTCAAATACCTCCCCTACGAGCTGGAAAATGAGACCGAAAGAGATCAAAATCTGCGAGAGATCTTAGATCAGCTTTACATTGCCGTCGAGGCTGGCGACTTCAGCCCCGGAGCAGTGCACTGGACACGCGAGCTTCGCGGCTGGCTGTCGCTGAAGTTTGATCCAACCCGCAAGGAGCGCATCAACCTGGTGAAATTGTACTATGAGCTCGCTCTGGCTCCTGGTATTGACCCCACGGTCGCCGAGCGATTCGCGAGCATGTTCATGTTCCTCACCAAGTAAGCTCATCTCCATGTGCTAATGCAGGACTAATGCGGCTGCTAATCTGGAATCTGGAATGTAGGCGCAAGCACTATCTAAGACCGGTGAAGGACTTGGTGTTAGACTGGAAGCCCCTTTACAAAGAGCTCAAGGCTTTCGTCCTGCCCACCGAATCGGGCCTCGTTCACTCGACCAATTTGAAGCGCAATGTCAAGACATTGACCAAGCTATGCGCCTTCGCCCAATTGTTCATCGATCCTTCTGAGCTTCCCGCTATGCTTGAGGAGTTCTTGCCGCATTATACCACGTCTTTCTCTGAAGGCGCTTTTGTTGTAGCAGGGCTCATTAATTTGCTGCTTCCGACATCGCCGCCTCCCGGATCACGACCGGACCTCCTACCGCAGACACATTTGCCTACACATTTCCATCTATGGTCGTTGGTTGGTCGCTCGAAGACGTTTGATACGACCTATTTGGATTACCTTTCCCGGTTGGCCAGAGATTCTTTGCCGGCCGCTAATATTCCATTCTCTGAGCATGGTATCTTCACAAAGGAGCAGTCTGCTCTTATTTTCACGGCGATCCTGAGGCTGTTGGAGATCCCTGTTGGTCAGTCAACTTCTCCATACAGTGCCCTGGTAGATATTTCATCCGGCCTGGGTATAATGCTAGATAGAGATTCGCGGAAGCATCCAGTCGCCCACCACATTGCTCGATGGATTGTGATGTCGCTTTCCCCTGCTTGCGTGGATTCGGAAGACTCTATCCTTTCACAGTTGGAGGGACTCATCCAAGCTGTTGAGACCTTCTTCCATCCTTCGAACTCTGGTGGTTGGACGAAGACTCTATCGCAGCTAGTGTATTACTTGACTGACTTCTTCGTGATGCGTTGGAACCGCGAACAGAGTGAGGAAATGGACATCCCAGCAGAGCGCCGTCTGACTGAGCCCCTCAAGCGTCGTTTCGTGCTTTGCATCCGGGATGTGATCTTCATGGGTATTTATGCCAAAAGTGGAACTGCGATGACCTTCTCTCTTTCGACTCTGCAGGGTCTGGCCTACCTGGAACCGCATTTAATTCTTCCTGGAGCTTTGCAGAGAATTTACCCTGCGCTGCAAGGGCTGGTTGAGGTTCACCGAACCACTTCTTCTCTTCGTGCTATGCAGGTGCTTTCTCGTATTATTACTCGCACCAAGGGCTATCGTTGCCATATGACTACGTTGCTCGGACTTGCGCTTCCTGGTATTGATGCCAATGATCTCGAGAAGTCACTTCATGCTTTGTCCTTCATCCAATCAGCATGTTATAACATCCCCATGGTGGACTTGACCCAAGGACGCGAGGATGTCAACTGCAATATGCTTGCCATGCAATGGATCTCTGGCGAGATGGAGAGAATGGAAGAGCAAGGAGCAGACATCAAGCTAGATTACGATACAGAGCTGGATGATGAGACCGAAGAAATGATTCTGCGATCTTCAACATGCGGTTTCGGCGACTTCACGATATCTTTTTTGGGTCGTGTATTCACCCTATTGGAGAACCTGCCCGATGTCTCCAGGGTACGGAACGGTTCCCCCGAAGAGAACATTGTGAACACTCTCCCTGCTACCTTCATGCCTTTGCTTGCCTCACTGTCTCCCGAGTATTACGATATCGCTCTCAGCAAGATTGTCGATTTCGTCTCGAACCATGTCATCCACCAGGCCCGTGATGCAATGGCCTTCATTTGCAATGCTCTTTGCAAGGTCAATCCCGAGAAGGCTCTCAAGCGTTTCATCCCGGTGTTGACTCAAGCAATTCGCACTGAGATTGAGGACAATGGTGCTGGATCGACCAGAACCACTGGTACAGATGTCTTGCCTCGTGACCGTGGTTTAGTCTGGAATGTCAGTATGCTCAGCATGTGTGTGGTACACGTCGGAAGCGCTGTGATTGGCCACCGCCAAGAGCTTTTCGATATTGCAGTCTACATGCAGCAGAAGTGCCGCGGTATTCCTACGGTCCACATCTCCAACTTCATCCACCACCTCTTGCTCAACTTGACTGGAACTTATACCAATGATTTCTCTCTCTACGAGCCTTCAGTTGCCGCGGAAGGTATCGAGCCTAAGCTTTGGAGCTACAAGCCCGATATCCACAACCTCAACATCAAGTGGCATGTGCCGAAGCACGAAGAGATCGAGTTTGCTGTGGACGTCTTCAAAAGCCAGGCGGAGTCTGCCTTGAAGCACTTGTCCTCGCTGACACACGAGACATCAAGTGTCAAACGTGACGGAAGTGGTAAAGATTGGTCAGATGATGTTACTCGAAACCTTGTGCTTCTGCGACTCGTCCTGTCTGGAATCTCTGTCCTCTTCGATCCTAAGGCCGCGTCTACTACAACACAACAAGCCACAAGTGCTACCTCCGGGGATGTTGAGATGGCAGATGCAGCTTCAAATGGCGTCGAGGAAGACGCTGATGCCACTTTGGACAACTCTGACGACGCAACCATCAGACAGGCATTCGCTTACCCAACTGGGTATTCCCTCAAAGAGGGCGACCCCTTGTACACCACCATTCACGAAATTCGTGAGCGAACTGGCTGGGTCTTGCATGAGGTACATCGGTTCTTGAGTGATAAGCAGGAGGATGATGTTCCTTGCTTCGGTGCTCTTTACTCCGCTTACCGGTCATGGTTTGTCGATGTGGGCATTGAGAGGTCCGCCCACGTTCTCGACCGCGTCACTCGGCTTCTAGCCGCAGATATTCATCCTTACAAGATGAGTGGTATCCGCAAGGACTACCCCAGACCCCTTCTTATCCGCAGAGCCAACGTCTACCATCTTCAACGTCTGCGTCACAATGCGTCTCCTCGTCCTAGATCTAAGCTTGATGAGGTTCTCCTTCTCGATCTGGCTGAATCTTGCGTCTCTCTGTACACAGAGACCCGCCGCAACGCTCAGAACGCAGGAGAATCTGCACTCAAGGCCGTCTACGGCGGTAGACTGCTCGTGATCCCACCTCTGCTGAAGGCACTGCAGAAGGGTGTGAAGGAGAATGACCATGCCCGCATCAAGGGTGCTCTCTTCTCCTTGCTCCTGAGTAGCGTCGCCAAAATTGTCGGGCGCCATTGGAAGTATGCGCCAACATTGATCAAGACATTCATCGACGCTAGCGCCGTTGATAAGCCTTCCGTGCAGAAGATCTGCTCCACCGCCGTATTCCAGGTCATGGACTACGGTCGTGCTATGGAGCGAATGGCTATCCTAGACCAAGGCATTGTGGAAGCAATTGCCCCCTCTGGAGATTTCGGCGACCAGATCGAGAAGAAGCGTGTGGTTATTAATAAGAAGCGTGCTGCCATCGAAAAGAAAAAGGCCGACTTGGCCGAAGAGCTGGTGAACCTGGCTCGGGTATCGCACTGGAAGATTGCCAGTCGTGCCGCCACCATCGTTATCACCATGGGTCTCCGCTTCGACTATATTGCCAGCGACAACCTCATCGAACTGATGACACTTGGTTCTATTGACGATCACCCTGGCTTGCGAGGCATGTACTCCCAGGCTCTCATTGCGCTGTTCACAATGATTGATGTTCGTGCCATCTGCACTCACGAGTACAAGAACTACATCCTTGGCCACCAACGTTTCCCGTCCAAGATCAAGGTGGCAACAAAGCCCTACGAGGAAGGATATACTGAAGAGTACTTATCTAGCTTCGCAAAGCCCGAGGCCGAGTATTATGTTGATCACGACTTCCCTGGTTGGCTCGTGTGGGGCAAGTCTATGCCTGCTTACAAGTCCAATGTGGCACGAGATATAGAGTACGATGAGGTCGAGTGGAACATCCGCACAAAGATGGGCAAGCTGTTTACTCGCGAGTGGTTCTCTAAGTTCTTCATGTACCTGAAGCAGGAGCCGCGAGACCCATCTGCTGATAAGTTCCGCATGTCTGCTGCGATGATGCTTCTCTACGCATTTGAACTTATGATCCGGGATGAGCTTACAGCAGTTACATTCGAGGAAATCCAGGAAGAGATCAAGGTCGTCTTCGAAGACGGAAGTGACAAGCACCAGCACCGTGCTACTGCTGAAATCCTTGGCGCTCTGATCTCCTCCGTAACGGATACCAGCGTGGACAAGCGGACAAAGGTCTGGGAATATGCTTTCCCTATCGTGAGGAAGATCTTCACCGATGGTCTCACCCCTGAGAACTCTGGTTACTGGACAACCTTCCTCCACATGATCCTGCAATGTCGTGATCCTCGTCGAGCCTGGCCTTTGGTTGACTGGCTCTCTGGTTTCCGTCTGGACATGTCCACCAATGCTGCCTTCAAGGAGAGTTCCAAGATTAACCTTTTGCATCAGTGCATCATCGATGCTGGTTGGCACTTCCAGCTGGAGAAACCAATTGTGGAAGACTTCCTTGCTCATCTCGATCATCCTTACAAGGGCGTCCGTGAAGCCATGGGACAGACGCTTGCAACTATATACCGTACGAGGTACCACGAGTCATACCCCGATCTCAAGCATCTGCTCGAGGCACAAAAGTCGTCCTCGTCTGTTGGCACATACCCCTACCTGCCCACCGACGAGTTCTCGAAGATGGTCCGTGGAGTCTTCACGCAGATTGAAGAATGGCGCAAAGCCAGAACCCCTGGCCAGCAGACACCATCATCCTACACCTCTGGTAGTAAGACTGTCCTCCTTTGGCTGGATTCGACTCTGTCTTCTCACGAGTGCACCCAACTCGTCCCATTCTTCCCTGATGTGTTCACCGCGCAACTCCTGCACATGATGGACGTAAAGGAAGACCCAGAGCTCCAATCCCTCGCATACCACGTCTTCCGACACCTCCCCAACATCCCATACCCAGCCGAGAAAGGCTCCGAATTCATCCAATCTCTCATCCGCATAGGACAAACATCCCCCTCATGGCACCAGCGTCTCCGCGTCATGATCAACATCCAGATCATCTACTTCCGCCGTCTGTTCCTTCTCGATCCCGCCGACCGCGACAAACTCTTCGAATGCATCGCCTCCATGCTCGAAGACCCGCAGCACGAAGTCCGGGCCGGTGCCTCGGCTACCTTGTCCGGCATGGTTCGCTGCTCTCCAATCTTCCTGCGAGAGAAGATGGTCAAGCGCTTCCATGATCGCTTCACAAAGGTCCTAGTCGAGAACCCTCTTCCCAAAAAACCAAAGAACTTCCGCTCTGGAATCTCCTCCGCCGTCTCCTCAGGCGCCGGCACTCCAACCCCAGAACACAACCGACTCATTATTGTTCGCCACGGTGCCGTCCTCGGTCTTGGAGCTTTGATCCAGGCTTTCCCATACAACAGTCCTCCTCCTCACTGGATGCCCGAGGCTTTGACGTCGCTCAGTATTCGTGCCGCCAATGATCCCGGCATCGTCGGATCAAGTGTCAAGTCCATTATCAGTGAGTTCAAGAAGACTCGTCAAGATACTTGGCATATCGACGCAAAGGTTAGTTTAGTAATCCCCATTCATCACTCTATACTGGGATTCCTCCCTTCTTTTTATCGCAAGTATCTAACATGCTTTTCAGGCCTTCACTTCGGATCAACTCGAGGATCTATCGGGTGTTCTATGGAAGAGCTACTTTGCTTAGATGTGAGGTGTGATTGGTGCTATATGGATAGGAATGTTGTTCATTCCTTTTGGTTAGGCTGTCTTGATAGCAATGTTATTAATCACCATTCAACATGTACATATTGTCGCTCTAGGAACCTGGTTCGTGGAAGTTCTTAGTCCTGGAATTGAAGACTTCTGTAATTCTTATTGGTTTTCTGGTGGATTTAAAATTCGAAATACAACAGTGGTTGTAAGTCTGTTCACATTGCCCTAAAGCATTAGACAGTCTACACGAACACCTCGAAACAAATGTACTATATTATGCATTATTCTGTCTTAACTTGGCCTCTCTTCTGTATTCTCTTTTTTGTCATTTCAGGAGCTTTGGATCGATCATCCAGATCATTTAGCGGTGGGGGTTGTGAAGGATTTATGGCCACTATTCTAATACACCTTTTGCCTGTGGATCGGGGGTCTCCTACTTAAAACCTTGTAGTATTCCACTGCTTTTGAGGCTTTCAATTGATTTATAAAGCTGGCAATAGATGACGTCTGGTTATTACAAAATCTTTTTTCAAGTGCAGCTGTGCCAGATATATATATACATCGAGTTGCCAACATTTTAAACAGCAAACTGAGTGGCACTCCACAAGTATCAAGCAACACATATAATCCTATAAAAATCCAGCTAAAGCACGCCTTTCAAACTATTGAGACATATCTCGGAAATCTGATACACTTTGACGCACCGTGTATCACAGCATGAATCCGGTATGACAAGTGTGCAGTTCATAGAGACAAACACCCGAAAGAGAACAAATTACGAGCTTAGATGCTTCGTGCTGCATTAGTATTTCCATTGGAAGTGAAATAAATATCTAGTTCCAACAAGACATTACGCGGTCCTTCGTCGAAGATGGAGTCAACAACGCGTAGTGATGACATCGTACGCACCAAACCCTAGCCCCGTCCCAAAGTTATCAATCAAATCCCGAGAGCTTGAGATTTCGATGGTCACTGTGAACATGCTGAGATTCATCTCCACGCTCTAGATTGTCTACACTGACACGGCTTTAGAACGTGGTCTCACCAAAGCATGCCCTCGCTCTCTTTCTCTTTCAAGACCTAAACCTGGACGCAGAACAACCACAATGAAGATATATCCAAGAAACAGAGCACAGTCAACATTCCGACTGAGATCAAACACTGTCTTCTGGTCTCGCCGATGGATCTGGTTCCGCTGGCTAGGATATCTAACCTGTCTGGTCACCGTCTTCCGCGTCTACTCATATCTCGCCCAGAACCCAGAGACGAATCTACTCCGGACCCCTTTCAATTCTTTTTATCTGCCGGGCATCCTTCAACCGGGCCAGTATCAGCAAATCTTAGGTTTTGCGCCTGCGACAGATGACGTGCCATATGAGGACCCCGATGTGGATGAGATGGGAATGGTGCATGACCGGAGGTTTGAGATCCAATAATCCTACAATTGAATCGCATGGAAGTTAATCTAAGATATTGGTCTTCCCAGAGATAAGCAATTTTACCTCGGTGGTACTCTCACCCTAACAAGTATCAAATCCGTCAACCCGTCGCACCCAGTCCCGTTCATCTACGACCCATACCCAGCATACAACAGTCGAAAATGGAAAACGCAATACCACGGCCAATTCCAACCATGCATGGGTCCGCGAGGCCATTTCCTCGACCGCAAACGACCAGAAGATATGGTCCAAGTCTACAAAGGTCAACAAACCGGGTTTCCCGAACCGAAATTTGGATCGTACGAGGCAATGGAGCTAGACGGCGAAGTCTGCACAGATCGCTACTCCCGCTTTGGAGCATATGGTTTTGATGAACATGGCGAAGATGAATTGTCTGGTTTCTCACGGCCACCCGCTGTACCCTGGTATCGCGTTGATTGGCACAAATTGCAATCTCAATGTCTGGAACGGAATGCTGGGCGGTATAAGACGAGTGATGTGTTGAACATTTCTATGCAGAGTCCGCTGGCTTTTGATCTTCCTGATACTCCTCATAAGACGTGGGGCTCGCCTCCTATTTCGGCGTCGAATGTGAAGCAGTACCATCCTCGTACCGCGCTGCTGATCAGGGCTTGGAATGGGCTGAATTGGAAGCCGCATCATCGGGAATATCTGCGTGCGCTGATTATGGAGCTTTCCTTGCATTCTGGTGGGGAGTATCAGATCTTTCTTTTGATTCATGTTAAAGATGATGAGATGCCTATTTTCTCGGATGCTAAGACGATCAATCGGCTTAAGAGTTCTATTCCCGAGGAATTTCGGAGTATGACTCTGTTCTTCAATAACAAACTCTTGGAGGCTTGGTATCCGAAGATAGAAGAACACAGGTGAATTATTCCTTCGAGTACGGGAACTTGGAAGATCTACTTGTTGACATAACATCCAGTCCCCAGCTTCAACACCACCAACCACTGCAGATATTCGCCCAGTTATATCCCAACTTCGACTACTATTGGCAACTCGAAATGGACGGTCGACACACAGGACACATCTATCACTTCCTCAAACAATCAATCTCATTCGCAAGAGCCCAACCACGAAAATACCTCTGGGAACGAAACGCCTACTTCTACACCCCCGGCGCACACGGCAACTGGAGCGAGTTTACCTCGATGGTCGACAAAAGTCTACAAGGCCTCTCAAGCCAAACAGTTTGGGGCCCAGTATCCGGCACAGGAATCAGACCACTAGGCCCAGACCCGCCAGTCCCACACCCAGACTACGACAACTACACCTGGGGCGTAGGCGAAGAAGCAGACTTCATAACCTTCCTCCCAATCTTCAATCCAAAAGACACAGAATGGACATTCCCCAACAAAATCTGGAACTTCAAATACGACGACGAAACGCCGCGCCGTGCAGCTGTTATCACAATGGGCCGGTACTCGAAACGGCTGCTCGATTTGATCCATTATGCACAGGCGACGAAGGGACTGGGTCTAGCTTCCGAGATGACTGGCGCGTCGTGGTCGCTTTTCCATGGTCTTAAGGCTGTGTATGTTCCGCATCCTATCTATGCTGATGGTCTGTGGACCCCGCAGGAACTGGCGCGCATTTATAACCCTGGCACGCCAGAGAATATTAATGGGGGGCCGGATAGTATTTGGAATTTTGGTCATGTTTTTGATCATATTACTTATCGGCTTTCGTATATGTTTACCACGCATAGTGCTGAGGATTTGTATAGACGTTGGTTAGGGTTTCGAACTGCAGAGCATGAGGGTGGGAAGATGGTGAGTTTGTTGAATCAAGTGTTGCTTCTTTGGATGGCTTGCTGATGTTTGCTTCTCTGTAGTTGTATGAGGATCGCTTTGGGAGGCATTGTTTTCCGTCTATGTTTCTACATACGATTAAGAATACTGCTCGTGAGATCGGACAAGACAGGGCTGTTCCGTGATGTACTCGAGGTTGATGGTCTTCGTCGAATGTTGACTGTCTATTGCTTTTGGTGATGTGGAGGACGAGATACACATTTGGGACATATTGACATTTTAATATTCAATCAAGATGAGATAATAGCAATGTGAGAATGTTGATGCTGACAGTAACACTACCTGGACATGAGCAGCAACCCAAAATAGAACCAGGTTCATTTGTGCACTGTCCGTAAAATAAATAGGAATTGCTGCGGCAAGAATCGAACGCTAGCGAGTTTGAGAGACGTCAGATTTCCCCTTTGGGAAACGAACATGTTATGATGGCAAAAAAGGGACTAGAACCTAACCCAGAGATCCCTGTGGTCTAGTCGGTTCGGCTGGAACACCGGTGCACCCCCTCCCCATTCTCTCCTGTACTTCCTTCTTCTGCACCCCGAGCTGTGGACCGATCCACAGTTTCGAAGGGATTCCGAGGTGGAGGTAGAAGCCAGGGGGCTCCTGTAGCAAGTAGTGAAAGACTTGCCTACCTACCTGAACGCCATCCACGCGGTGGTTAAATTTAACGGTCTGCTCCAAAATTGTCTGCTTTTTTTGTTTGGCTTCTGCTTTTCATGCAGCTTGAGTTCACTGTTCAAGGTTCGTTCGCCTGGCCAAACATTTCAATGTTTGTTTACCTCTGGGGTCCACCAACTTTGATACTGCGCACTGACCTCACCCGTCCACGGCCCGGTCCCGTACCACCACACCACTTTCGTGCAGGGATCACAGTCCAATACCCTGCCATTCATAGACTCTGCTTAAAAATTGATGAATTCTTCGGGTTGATACCACAACAATTAGAATGATGATTGGTGATGATGGTGAGGCAGGGTAGATCCGTGGGCATCGAAGGCCATGGCGGTCTTAACAGCAGTAGCAAGACATGGGTGGGCAATGATGGGGACCTGGAATAACGGTGAATGGTTATGTGCAATGTGGATGGTGAGCAATCCGCATGGCGAACATAGAGAAAATAAGCACAATTGCACAGGAGATCGGGAAAGCATAACCTGGTTTGTTTTCTACAGTACCCATGTGCCAAGTATGTATTTTCGCGATCTTTCTTCGATCATGATGATCATCCAGACCTCCTAGAGTCCAGATACAAAGCAGTAAAACTTGTGTGTATCATTGGAACCGGACTTATCCATGTAGAGAACTAGACTATTTTGAAAAACTTTTGGTTCAAGATTCTTCAATTGATCACCCTGGGTGAAATCATGCAATGCTAGTGAAAGTTACTAATAGACTGCCACACTGGCCATGCAAGGTAAAGATGGTAGGCATGTAAGAACCCGGAAAGATGAGAAAGAATAAGCCAGGCATGTCTCTGGACGCAAAGTAAGATAAGAAATACATCATTAGAAAGATCAAGGACCCATCGTATGCATAGGACATGGAAGGGAATGGGCGGGTGGTAGGAAGAAGAATAATAATCATCGGGACGCCCAGGGAGCCCATGGGAGACGAGAAGAGAAAAGCAAATATCATGCAGGATGCGAGTAGAAAGTCATCATTAAATAATTGCACCATTCATGTTTTTCATCAGAGCATTGAGGGTTCGCGTCCAGCGCGGGCGATGGAAAGATACCCAGGTAAAGTTAGTCGAGCGCCAGTATTTAAAATCTGTAGAGCTATAGTCCCTGAAAGAACTGACATGCCTCAATGAGCTCCTCGTCATCACAGGCGAAATCCCATCCCACAATGCGCGGGTCGACACTGGCGCAAATGATCTTTCGCGCATCGAACTGGAGTTTGAATACTCTTGCAGTGGGGGTCGGAAGGAGTGGTTGTCTCCGTGCGTGGACATGGTGATGATGGTGGTGGGCGGGAGGAGGGTTGGGTGCCTGTCCGAGTGTACCAGCCGGAGGAGCTGGATTGGCGTTGGCATTGTTCTGGTTGGCAGGTGCAGCTTGAGCTGTGTTGTTCCCACCATTTTGTCCTGTCTGTGGAAGTGTCATCAATACCTGTGCTGCTTGCAGCTGTTGAGCCTGAGCCGCGACAGTAGTCCGTGCTACTTGGCTGAGGTTCCCACGAGCGGCGTTGGTAACGGCATCCGCTTGCCGCAGTTGGTGGGCCATTGTCCACCTGCCATCACGATCTTTGTGCCAGATCAAGATTGTCTCGTCATAGGACCCTGATACGATGCGGGCCCAGCTGCTACCTCCACCGCCAGGGGGGATCTTTGCTCCGAGAGCGGTGATGTCTCGAGGGTCTCGAGATCCTGCGGTGTTGACTCGATGGCCAGTGCGTCGTTGTTCCCGAGCACCCAGGTCAACAGACTCCCCGGCTGCTTGAGCGGCGAAAAACTCATTTTCCACTGCTTGCGCTTCTTCTCGCAGGGTTTCATCGGCTCCGGGGCGGTCACCAAAACCTGCTTGAAGGGTGCGAACAAGGTTACTGTGACCGCGCAGACACGCCACCTCTGCCCCAGAAACATGATCATAGATGCGGACTGTGTTGTCATTGCTGCCACTGATGATCCTTCGGCTGTCGAATTCAACACATGCGATACCTTTCTCGTGACCCATCAGAGTCTTCAGACAGGCACCATTGCGAATACTCCAGACCTTGATCATGCGATCACCAGACGCAGTCACAATCTCATCGCCGTGGATTTGCATCGCATTGACCGCAGCTCCGTGTCCTTCCACGGTCATAAGCAATGAATAAGGCTGCAAAGCTTTGATTTGTCCATTGGCAATGCCAGCCTCCAGCATGTTTGGTGTGATATCGGTGAGATCGATAATGTGCGAAGGGTAGGTTGGACCTCCGCCTCGGCAGATACGCGGGTAGTCCTTGTCATTCGGCAAGAGCTCCTTGCGGTTCCAAACCTTGACTGTCCGGTCCTTGGAGCAAGTGACCAGGAATCGACTATCGAACTTCAGGTTCAGGACCGAGTCTGCGTGTGCCTTGGTTATCTGGTGAATCTTTTCTCCAGTTGAGAATTTCCATACAATGACGGTCTTGTCGCTGCTACCAGAGATGATGACATCTTCCTCGGGGCTGGGATCGAATTGAAGACAAAGAACAGACTTTGCGTGGCCGATTAACGGGGCGTGCCATAAGCGCTTGGTATCCAGATTCCAGACACGGACTGTCTTGTCTCGGCTCCCACTGACCAGCCATCTTCCTTCAAATTGGATCGCATAGACACATTCTCGGTGTGCTTCTTCTGGGTGAGATGGATCGGGAAGCTGGAAATTGGTGTATCGCCCTTGATGCCAGTTCTTTTCGAGCCGTCTTCGTTGCTTGTACAGATGGGACCAGTTGACTTTGACGCTTCCATTGGGAGCACGTGTGATAAGGGACGATTGCAGAGGTGGATATAGCGATGGGGTAAATTGGAGAGAAGGGGTGGGCGGGGTGTGATTCGAACTGGCCAGCGAAGGAGCAGCTTGGTCGTCGTCGGTCATGTAGTGATCACCCTCATTGTCGGCCACTGCGGGTGAAAAATTGAGCCCAGCGACTCTTTGTTCTTCGGTGCTTCGTGAAGAGAGCCAGGTTGGGGGTACGCGCTTTTTGTGCTTAGGCTCCCCAATGTCTGGTTCGTTGTGTCGCAGGCGAGACTTTCGGGACTGGGGAGAGATGGGTTCGGACTGCTCCTGTTCGAAAGCACGAATCGCCCGCACATCCATGCGCCATCCTTCGTTGATGTAGAGAAATCGCCATAGTCCCGAGTCTAGAATCCGTTCACGCCACGCGCGGGACGAGAGCGAGCAGTTCAGGAGCGTTTGAGGGTCGAGGTAGGAGAAGATTTCCCATGTGAGTTCAGGAGGTAGTTTGACAACGGGGTCCATGTGAAGAATTGGATTGAGTCGTTCGACTACTGCGGCGATGCTTGAGGTACGTAGGGATCGGAGGAGGCTGTACGCGAGCTCTGTGAGGGGAGGACTTTGGTCAGCAAGAACAAAGTAACTGGGAAGGCGAAGGCGACAAGCTGGCAATGCGCGTTTCCCAGCTGTGGCAATAAGGGGACAGATATGTGAATAAAATGCAATTCTCACCAGCTCTGCCGGCCTCGCTCTGAGCAAGCACCCAGTTTGGGAGCATCATAACATTGTCCGCGCCCTGGTCCTTCTCTGCTTGGCTTCGAGTCTCATCGGAGTATCCTTCGTCGAGCTTGAAAGAGGGCGACAGAGAGGGCGCAGGGAAGTCGCCGACAGTAGTCTGCAATCGCAGGGTCGGGGATGTTCGAGCATCGGGCATAGAATCACCCTCCATTGATGCGGTTCCGAGGGTTTGCGCCGTGGTGATGGGTCAAACACCAGGAGCGGTGACTTTGCGCAAACCGATAGCAAGCCGTTCACAAATACCAGTATGATTTCAGGGAATGAGGGTTGTCCCCGAGAGGATGAATGTGAGAGGAAGGTTGAATGGGTTGGCCACTCTTTTGCATGTCACGTCACGCCCACGGGATCCACATAGAAGTTCTAGTTATAAGCACGCAAACTACTACCATATATTACCATTTATAACCTTAAGCTCACTAAATCAATATTGCAAAATTATGAAGGCACAGGAATGGGCAATGTTGCCCCTGGGTCACGTGTGTCGGGCATTATATAAAGATGCAGTCAAGAAGTATTAAGTCATAAGTTAAGGTAGATCTTCAGTATTGCAAAATTCATTGCGAGAAATGGGAAATGGGAAAGGTGATAACTATTTTACTATATTCTGCAGGTGGTAATATATACATATATACATCTCGCCCACAGAGGCGGGCTACTATGATCGCGAACCATCGACGCCAAAAAACAACCTATTTCAGGCAAAAATCATAGGGTGTAGTACATAGAATGTACAGTAGACTGCATATATGCCTGTCAGATCGAGAATACTCCATACAGTAAAGTACACTGCCAGCTGTCGAACTCCCCTCAATCTAACCTGCATAGCTAGGGCCTATGGCCATGGGCCTGGCCAAGCATCATGCCCCATAGTCTCAGTATAAGTCACTCGAAGATATACATCATACAGC